TTCTCACGGAGAGTGGCGTCCTTCTTGTTGACGAGAGCCTTCTTGATGTCGTCGATGGTCCTGCAGGAAAAAAAACACTGTTAATATCAATGGCGGCTAAAATTATGGCGGTACAGCGACAAGGAAAACTTTTTTTTTTCAGTGAATTTGGCCACTGAACGTGGCCACTGAAGAGGGGTAGGCCAGCGGAAACCCCGCTGTGAGTGGCGGGGCACTCGTTGGCCAGGTAAGATTAGAGGCAAAAAAAAAAGTTTTCCCCGCCAAGCAGAGGAAAAAAAAAAAAAGGAAATTGAAAAAGTAACGCCAGACTTTGAGTGTATCGCCAGGAACAAACTTACTTCTCGGGGACGGCCTGGTCATCAATGCGGCCATTGATGAAGCCAGCAAGCTCTCCAGCGGACTGCTTAATGTCCGCCGCCTCCTTAGAGACGGTGAGCTTCTGGAAGAGCTCGTCCAGGACCTTGAGGGACTCGGCACCTTCGTTAGGCATATTGGCGGTGGTGTAGAAGTAGGATTATAATAGTCGGATTAAAGAATCGAAGTCGATCTGAATCTGTCGATATCTACCACGGGCAGTAAAGACTTTTCAATCGAGTAGTCAACAGAGACGATGGAGGATTCGACTCTGCCTGTTGATGTCTTCGAAGACGTTGCTCGATGGGGAGGAACCAAAGAACAACTTGTCAAGGACTGTGTAAAATACAAGTCCGAGGTTCGTCGAAAGAGATGACGACCAAATATGAGGAGATAATGAAAGGAGATGGAGGTAGTGAGATCAAAGGAGGAAAAAAGGTGGGAGGGCGACAAGTTTTAAAAGGCTGCGGCCGCCCAAGAGCCAGCTTCGAGTCCACAACTTTTTTTTTCTTCGCGGGGCGTGTCGCTAAAATCGGGCAGCCCAAAAAGATTTTTTTGCTGCCCCTCCATTGGGCGCTGAGGCGGGCTTATCAGCTTTATCAGTGCCGCGCTAAGCCTGTATAGGATGACACATGTGGTGAGGCAAAGGCGGTGAGGCGTCTGGGTACAAAATTTTGAGAAAAAATTGCTGTGGCTGTCGAAACAGAAGGAATTCGATGTGCAGCGAATTTTTCTTCTAGCTTTTTTTTTTGCCGCTCGACGGAGTCCCTAGTCGTCCTAGAGGCACCTTTGTCCCCCAGCATTGAGCTCTCAGTGGCGGAGATCAAAGCCTGAGAGTTCTCTCCATCTTGTTTCTCAGTGGTGGGGAGGAAAGTTACAGATACTGCGTCAACCCAGTATCAACTCCGAGATTGCGAATGGCTGCCCTAGTCTAAGCCTCTCGGAAAGGCATCTTTCTTGGCCAAACTCTAACGACTTTACAAACGTAGCATCTCCTTCTGACGTTACCTGGCAATATTGGAGGACACCGAGGGCTGAAATGCGAATACCTACTCCTCCAGACTCAGGGGTGAATGAGTTCAGGCTTTGCAGCGTTTCCCGCCAAAAGCCTCATGCTCTGCTGCCACTGATCTGTACACTGCTCGGCTATATGGCGTGGTCCTGCTGCAGGTGGGGGACAGGGCAAAACGCTCCCTTGATCTGCCGCCACGCATTGCTATAAGATAGATTGCCATCCCCTAAGGCCGATGGTGTGTCTCACATCTCGCCCAGCCGGATCCGCCCCTGCATATGGAGTGGTAAGAATGGTGCTACTCCATGCTTACTGCCTGTTAGGAAGGGTCCAAATGTATGTACGCAGTGCCTGTAGCCTGCACTCATTGGCCCCCTCGCTACATGTTCTGCTGGCAGCGCTGCTGCGAGTTCTGGTTGGGCCTACAAATATCATTTATGCATGGCCCGAGGCGGTGTCAGAAGCTCTCTCGCACCTTATCGGCTTGGCCGGACTGAATACCTGCTCCTATTTGGTACTTCCAGCTCCTTTGCAGAACAAAATAAGACAACAAGACGGCTGCGTTGTCCGTGCATTCTGTCTAGTGTCTCCTCGTATCGCTGTATGTGGTCAGTCTGAGTACTGGAGATGTCGCACTTGACATCAAGCTGCCCTCCTTATCCATCTTCGCGGCGACGGTGGGGTCGGCAGAAAAAAGATACTTGCCAAATAGTCTCGGCCTGCCATTCCTGTCCAGCTTTGTCGCCACGTTGTCACAGTCAGTGAGCCTCAGTGGCTGGATTTGGGACGGCGTGGAGAACCGTCCCGGGCTAGCATGTGCTCCAAATGTCTTCAGTCTGTTGTGCGCCTGTGTTGCCGGCCTCAGATTGAAGCAGCGCCTCGTCGATATCGAAACGCACGTCTCACGCTCGGCCAGTGCAGATACGCATCCAGGCTCAGCATCCAGGCAAATCGCATCGCCAATTCCTTAGGTCCATCGCCATGATCCACCACCATCGCGGGGCCCCAGAGTCTGCTGCAGCGTCTTTGCCCATGTTAGATGCGGGCTCACCGACTGTCCGATGCGGCATAGGGCACATATAGACGGGGTTCGTTCGTCGGGCACATTGGTGAGCTAGCGATAGAATCAGCGGTTATTTGGGCTTCTAAGTGAAAGCAGATGTAAGTGCTAGTAGGTAGGTAATGATGTTGCGAGAAGAGTACACCTGAGGCGCCTTCAGCTGTCACAACAGAAATCCAAGGCAGCGACGCCAAGATTCATTCATGCTGACTCATCACGGTATGTCTGAGGAGCCGCGTATTTCAATCATTGATTCAGCTTTACGCTTCCAGAAAAAGCATTAGAAGATTCTTGATGAAGATTAATCGGATCAATATTCTTTCATGTCTCGCAGTTTGCTCTTGATACCAACCTCAAACCAACCGGACATCCTTTGTCAAGCTCTTGGATCGCTTCCCATTGTGTAAATGCTAATAAAAGCACACATAGCATTGGTCTTTATAATCTAAATCTTTAAAGGTAGACAGACTATTGAGAAAGCCATCTCCAGCGATTGGGTTCTTCTTATTCTCTTCCCCTTCCATAGGCTTGATACCGTGGTGACTTTACATATCTCGGATAGCCTTGCTAACCCTGGTCTCACAAATTTGTGCTTGTTATCGGGTTTACTTTCATTTCTTTTATTTTAAACTCTTGAAGAGTCATGCATAGCCGTATCTATTTAGTTCTTATATCCAAGCCCCACGCGTTTGTGCGTAAAAAAGATGATAGCCAAGCCCCAGCTGCAGCTCCTTTTCGTTAGAAATCCAACTCATCTGACCATATTCTCATTCTCCTACTTTTCCCACTGGCGCAAAGACAGGCGCACAACACCTGTCGGTAAATACCTAGATAATCTATGGCTTAGCTAGTCTGAGCAGCTCTTCACAATTTAGTTCAGACAGGCAAAATAGCCTACCATGGTCTAATGTATATGTCCCTACCTATATACACACAACGCCAGGTTGGAACACCAATATGTAAGGGCTGTTAACGAACTACTGATTAAGGAAGTTTGGCAAGAGTGACATGACCACAATGAAATTAGAACATTGTGGTGTATTTATGATAAGCCGGCTAGGTACTTGCTAACAATTATTGGCTATCAGCCGGAGCGAGACAAGGCAGCTCAATTACAAGGCAAGGAAAAAGCTTGAACTTCGAGGTCATAGAGTCATGGCATTATATGACACTTGTTCATTTATATTTTGTTTAAAGCCTTTTAAACTTAAATTGGTGGGATGCCAATATAAATTCTAGATGCAAACAGTATATATTGATGCTCCTTTAACTGTTGCTGCCCTCTGTTGTCACGGCGACATCCACTACCTAGGCAGTCAATACATGTGGACACAACATCAGCAAAAGTGACGAGATTGAGTACAAAACAAAGCGCTTTATTAATAAATAAATGACTTGTGTATACTCCATTTTATCAAGCTTCAAAAGCTTGTCTAGGTATGTGGTATGAACCTTTGTTCGGGCATTTGCCTGCCCACCACCCAATATACGCCACCAAGTGTACCTCTCAGCACTGTGCGCCTTCAACCTTCGTAACGTCACTTTACTTTAGCTTTCTTGATACAGCCTTCCTTACCTCTTCTCTCATTTTCTAGCGACAACAAAGCCAGCGTTCAATGCTACGGCGCACCTCCAGCTCCATCACAGAACTCAAGGCCCTGAAACCAAGCTACCTGCGAGCACACCACATACCTGTAAGTATAAGGCACATACCCACCCAACCTCAACCCCAAAACACCAAAACCTTGATTCTCACAAAATCAACAACAGCAACGTCCCCGCCGCGCCTCATCGCCTCATCTCAAGCCACATCTTTCACACCAACATCTCATCATGGCTTCCTCCTCCCCCTCCTCCTCCTCTTCTTCCTCATCCAGGCCTCCCAAATCCGCCTTCGGCATCCCCACCATCAACCACCTCTACTCCATCAACCGCCTCTCGCCGCCCCAGCCCTCATCGCAATACGCTCCCGATCACAACATCACCCCCAATAAGGAAATCAATGACCGCGTCTGCCTCGTCCGCGCAGACATCACCACCCTCCCCGTAGACGCCATCGTCAACGCCGCAAACACTTCCCTCCGCGGCGGCGGCGGCGTCGACGGCGCCATCCACGCCGCCGCCGGCTCAAAACTCGTGCGAGAATGCATCGCCAAGTATCCCGACGGCTGCGACACCGGCCAGGCCGTCATCACCGGCGGATACAACCTCCCCGCCAAGCACGTCATCCACACCGTCGGCCCCATCTTCCGCAGCGCGAGGGTGAGCCAACCGCTCCTGCAGAGCTGCTACCTGCAGAGCCTCAAGGTTGCCGAGGAGAATGGCTGCTCCAGCATCGCCTTCAGCGCCGTTAGCACTGGCATATACGGCTATCCGAGCGCCAAGGCATGTGTTGTCGCCTGTGATGCGGTGAGAATGTATCTTGAGCAGGACACCACGAATCAGATCCAAAAGGTGGTGTTTGTGACATTCCTTGACAAGGATGTGAATGCATACAACAGTATACTTCCGTAAGAAGCTCCCAACTTTCAGTGAGATATCTATATACTAATGCTTCGAGAAGTCACTACTTTCCTCCCGCAAACCGTGATGGGTTAGAAGAGCCTCTCAGCGAAGACTGAAAATGGGGAGAGAAGGGAACGGAAGTAAAGATTGGTCAACGTTTAGCTGGTGTGCTCGGTTGAATGAAGCACAGGACGAGTTGATATGATCCTGAAGCGTTATGTCACTTTAAACTACATTTTTTGGGTCTTGATAAAGAATTTCATGATAAATAAAGTCAAAAATAGCATCCGGTTCTCCTCCCTAAAAAATGCAACGCGCAAAGTCATTCATACATTGAGCATCATCACCTGTTCGGCCAAGTCCCCATGTCCAAGCTCAGTCCACGACATACAAAAGAGTGCGGCCTTGCTCTGGTAGCATCTCATCAAATCAGAACCATATGGGTATATATACGCCCTCCTTAGACCAAAGATAATTACACACAGTCGTCACTCCTTTGCTGCACTTTTCACGCCAAGCCCAGTTGCTTAGTTAGCTACCACCACTGGGGCCACCTTGCGCTCCCTTGTTCTTCTTTCTCCGTCTTCTCTTCTTTCCCCCCTGAGAAGGCTGTCCACCCTCAGCTGCAGCTCCACCAGACGTCGGGCTGTCAGGATTAGCATCTTCGGCTTCAGGTTCTTCAGTGTCAGCGCGTGCAAGAGGTTCCGGTGTTGCGGCTTCAGGAGCCTTGGACGATGTATCTTCAGGTGCCTCAAATGGATCATGCCCTTCACTAGGCTTGGGCGTTACATCTTCAGGAGCATCAGACGGTTCATCTTCGGGAGCCTTGGATGATACAGCTTCAGAAGCTTTGGGAAGTTCGACTTCAGGGGCCTTGGAGGATGTGCCTTCAAGAGTTTCTGTCGGCAGACCCTCAGGAGCCATATATGGAACGTACTCGGGAGCCTCAAGGGGAGCACCTTCTGGAGCTTGGAAGGGCATTGCTTCAGGGGCTTCAGAGGGTAAATCATCAGGCGTTTTGAACGGAACATCTTCAGAGGAATCAAAGGCGATGTATTCTGATGACTTGAAGGGGACATCCTCCGGGGCTGTGGATTCGTTGGTGGGTGGTGCATCTCGAGTTTCTTCTTCAGCCTCCGGTTCAGCCTCTGGTTCAGCCTCTGGTTCAGCCTCTGGTTCAGCCTCTGGTTCAGCCTCTGGTTCAGCCTCTGGTTCAGCCTCTGGTTCAGCCTCTGGTTCAGCCTCTGGTTCAGCCTCTGGTTCAGCCTCTGGTTCAGCCTCTGGTTCAGCCTCTGGTTCAGCCTCTGGTTCAGCCTCGGATGAGTGTGTAAAAGGATGCGTAGTTTCCTCGGTGAGCTGAGCCAATTCCTCAGACGGCTTGACTGGCTTTGCAGATTCTTCAGTAGTTTCAATCAACTGCCCGGAGCTGCTCTGGCCTGGTTCCTCTCTTGTATCACCCGATGTGCTTGCGTGCTCATGTCCCGCATCCTTTGCATTTTTACCAGCAGGGTCGCTTTCCTCATGGGTAGATTCAAAGTAGGAGGCTTTGAATTCATCGTGGGTGCTGCCATCTCCAATTTTTGTATCCTGGCTGGTCGGGTATTGCACATGATCACTAATATCAGAGAGCATAGACCTCAGCTGGGCGATTTCGCCTCGGAGCTTCTTAATCTCAAGGACAGCTGGGTCCTCCTCGAGGTTGGGTTTGACAGCCTCGCACTTCTTAGCCCAGCCTTCGTCTCCAAAATCAATTTCGTGTGCCAATTGCTCCCACTCTTCAATAATGTCGTCATCTTCTTCTCCACGAGCCCGATTGCGGCGGATAGCGTACGCAGTACGAGTCTCGAAGAAGGCTGTGATCAAGAGAAGTGGAGAATACAAAAGGCCCATCACGCAATCATTGATGAACTCGTAAGCCTTCTTGCTTATCCACCATTCGAATAGAGCCGAGATTAAAATCTCTATCAAGTTGAATGGAGCAATATAGACATTCTCATCTGGGGCCCGAACAAATTGCATTGTCTTTTGAGCGAATAGAGCCAGATATTCATCATCAGCGTTGTCATAGATATCCTCATAAGCAGAGTTGTAGAGGGCAATGAGAATATTGAGAAGAATGACCTGGTGATGTGTGTTAGCATAAACGTACGGTACAGGTGAAAACTGAGCAGAGAAAACGTACCATGACGATGAATGTAAAGCAGTAGTAAAGAATAGCACCCCAAGGTGGTCCGAAGTTGTCGAAGCCATCAAACTCTGGGCTCCCGAGAATAGCTCTCATCATAGACTCAATGATGAACACTACATCATCTGCCACGTTGTCGTCGGTAAGATCAAGGCCGATGAAAGCCTGTAAGAAGCCGATAATTATGACAATGAGAAGAGCGAAGAATATCACAGACTCCTTCATCATGACTTTGAGAACCACGAGCATTGCGCCAAAGAACCTGAAGCTGTCCAGGTAGAGCAAGAGGCGGCACCAAAACATGGGGGCAGTAAAGGCTAGAATATTGTACCCCAGGGTACTGTAGTACGTCCGACCATCAGTATGGGTTGCAAAGGTCAAGCCAATGATGCGGAATATAAAAGAAGCCGTCAAAAACGCATATAGGATTGCATTAAACGCATTCCAAAACCCCAGAATCTGAGGTCCGGCTTTATAAACCTTGAGCAGTTCGTCGCAGACATATCCAAGCGTAAAAGCGTACAAGGCTGCCTCAGCGATATCGATGACGCCACTAGCGTTGACGGTATTGATGGCAATTGTGAAGAGGGCAAGATAGATGAGCGAGAACAAAAGTTGGGCAAGATTTTGGTTTCTGGGGCTGCGCATCCGATCCGGGTCCATATGAACAAAGAATCTAGTATCGTCCTTTTTATCATAATCCACGAAGACGGACGGGTCGTTCTCGTCTTGGACCAGCCAACCACGCCATAGATAGCTGATGCATTTTTGGTATCCTGAAGATCCAATGACTCGAACGGCGTGCAGGTCAACGGCTTTTTCAATGACATTGACGGGAGGGGTTGGAAGGCCGTTTGCAATGTATGAGTATCGACGCAGTAGCACGGAGTGTAGGAGATACGCAGTGTCCTCTTCTTCCTCGATACTAGTATCATCATTAGCATGCCAGACAAGGTAGTGGGTACTGACAAAGAATTGTCTCTTTTAGTTCACGTACAGAGCCTTTGCTATAACGCCGCATGCTTCAGCGCGGAGGTTGTGCAGACTGGCATCCCAGAGCTCGACATTGGCTTCATGCGTGAACCAGCGTTGATTGACGAGTAAAGAGTAGACCTAGTACGATCAGTGGGTGATTACCACAATAGATGGCAGCATGTTTCCAGGTAGTCACGTACCACACAACCCTTGTTCTCTTGACCGCCTGCTTCCTTGGCAGCCCGAACGACGTGTGGCGTGATGATGCGGCTGTGTGCTTCTGTGATTCGACTTTCTTCCATCTCGCACGGCACGCACTCCTGGACCAGGTGCCTTAGCCGAAGGCATACTTTTGTAACTTCGGCCGGCGCAATGGCAGAGTCTATGTCCTCATTGCGAATATGCGGAAGAACTATAGCCAGGGTACGGAGCTCTTTGTTAGCAGGGCCATCTCCAGGGCACGAGACAGGGACTAAAGTGCCATTGAAGGGGCTTCACTTACGGGCACGCTCTTCCTCGTGAAGCCAGTGACGGCCAGAGTGGCTGCCATGCCTGTTGAGGCCAAGGAGACGATCAATGTTGCGCCAGCGATTGCTGCGAGGCATGACGACGACGATTGAGAGACGGTGAGCGGTACAGCGGATGCAACAAAATGCCCGGGCGGCTCAAAGCCTCGCGGCCGTGGTCAATTCGCCGTGCAGGTCAAAAGTGAGCACTTTTAAAAAGATGGAAACAACGAGCAGCAGACACCAACCGCGCGGCGAAGAAAAAGCTGAGGCACTGCAGCAATGCAAATTGGGTTGAAAGAGCAAAAACGAGGTCCAACTCTACTATGTAATGCTGTCGGGTCACCTTTGTTTTTAGCGGGCAAAACGATGGATACCTTACCACTGCCCTAGCCAGGGAGCAGCGCCTAGTTCTGCTTAAGCTTCACGGCACCGGCAGGTTGTGCATTAGCTGATAGCAGCGTGAAGGCCGCCTGAGGAGGGCCTGAGCAGCGCTTATCGCTGTTATGCAGCTACAGCCGCCAGCCGCTAGCACCCCGCATGACGCAACAGCACCGCCAGCTGCCTTTCCTGGAGCAGCCTAGCATCGACTTGCTGCCAGCATTAGCGCTTCTTCAGCGCCTCGAGCAAATCGACGATGGCGCCTGAAGACGGCGAATTGGATGCTGGAGCGATTGTGCATCGAATTCTCTGATGCCCCGTTGCTGAGGTCATCCTGAACAAGTTGGGCGCTGACGACGATGATTCGAGCAGCCTCGTATCTGAGACTGCGGCCCGTTAATTAAAGACTCATACACTGCCGCCGCGCATTGCTACCCAAGGCCGCAAAGCGCAGCAAAGCGCAGCAAATCACGTCTGCCGTGCTGCGGCCTGTCGGATGTTTCTTCGCCCAATGTCGGATCTGGGCATCTTCTCTGGCCTCCAAGAGGCTCAAGGGATCATGCACGCTCTCAACTGATTCGAGCCAAGCCATGTGCTGCAGGATATTGCATGTGAGGGAGCGGCCGCCTATGAGACACTTTGGGTGAGACACATGGCTTTGCGGTTGGGCGAATTAGACACATGTTGCACGGCTGTACGAGTAATTGAATGCATGAAATTGTCGCATGTTTTGCTCCGGTGTCACGCATGCTGGAAACATCTGGCGCCTCTTGGGTGGATACCGGGTAGATATGCATACGTGTATGCAGCTGCCAGAGGAATATATCGTGATCGTGGTGTCATATCATAGGTCTTGCAAGTGGTGGATGCTGTTATTGGAAGATATATATGCCTCAACCATGTGCAATCTAGGCAAGTCGTCGGTGCCAAAGCTATCATGCATATCTGTGTATCTGAAACCAAGTGTAGTTGGAGCCAGAGTATCCTCACAAGCGGCTTAGTATTGGCCGCTACATGGATATCGACATTTGACGGTCCATGGCATTTTCGAAGTTTTCATTCTTTCATCGATAGGTACTGGGTACATGTACTTGCATGGGCCTGTCTTATCTCGAAGATATTAAAAGAACAAAAGACGATTACAATACGAAAGGGAAATTCTCACGTTGGAAGACACCGCATAGAAAAGTCATATCTAGGTAGTTCCATACATGTATCTCTAGTACTAAGCTACTACTGCAAAACCACAAGTAGATTTTGAAGACTGTACTACCCCTAACCCATTTCTGTGCCGATTGTTGCTAGCAATATTTTTAAGCAAGGCAAATTATGGACTGCGCAAACTGAATGGGAAGTCCATCAGAGTCAAGAGGAACATGGCCACAGTTGCCGGCCACTCCAGTGCCCTCAGTTGACACACTGGCGATTTCGTTCTGACAATTTGTATCAGAAAACATGCGGCAGTTGACGTCATTTGAAAAAGAGCCCCTGGCGGCAAAAATAGAAGTAAATGCACTAAACACAAAGCAATTTCCTCCATTGGTAGGAACATAATTGCCCAGTTCGCCTTCACAGTTGACTCCATTGTAAAAGGAAACGCAGTCTCCGAACCAGGGATTGCAGGGTTTTGCATGTGAGACTGCTGCTGCTGCTATAACGAGGGCAAGACTGAGCTTCATGTTTGCGAGCTGAACCAGCTGCAATACATTAGTAAATGAATAATACATATTAGACTCAACAGGGGAGTCTTACATGATAGAGCTTAGGTATTAAATGGAGAGAAGAAAAGATGAACTGCATGCATAAATCTTGGTGTCGCGTAGATCAATACCGAAATGGTTGGGAGCTTTGTTAACTTTATAGTAACAGTATCCGTCAAAAAATCACTACGTCTATCATTGGCTTAGATGCATTGCAAGATGCAGTGAGTAACGATCCATCTCTCTGTTGTATGGAATCTTGGGATTCCAAATCAAGTCAGCACTTGTTTTTTTATTTTTATCTTTGTAGTTTGTTACGGCGGGACTTTGAGGCTTTGCATTGAGATAGTGTAAAAAATAGTGTAGCTTATAGGTACTACTACTACTACAGGCGCTATATTCGCGTATCTCGTTTATTGTTTCTTTCATGTGGCAGGCCATCAAGCTGCATATATTATGAGAAAAGCTACATGTATCCAGCACCCCAATTGCATTACAGCACTCAGCTATAGCTTACTGGTAGTGAAACAGTTGGTCTATGTATAAAATCTCCGTGCGCCGTTATTTAACTATTATATACGCCTAACAGCAGCAGCAGTAGCAGCAGCAGTAGTAGCAGTACTAGTAGTTGTACCCCATGCTATAGCTGGAGTGCTGGATAACAGAAACGGGTTGCTTGGTAGCTTTTCCCTATATTATTTGGCATCGGTTACTTCACGCATTACACCTGACCGATTGCACTCGGTGCACATGTAGTCAGTCCATAGGATAGAATTAATGATAACAATTTTCCAGTAGTTGATGATAAAAACGCAGCACAAGCACATGATCTGCAATCTGTACCTGTCTATCAGCGCTCCACCCAATTTAAGCAAGTGAGATGCTAACCAAAGAGAAAGATCACAGCTGGCCGTCCCTTCCATCACCCACTATGCCGAAACTATGTTTTGGAATTGTCACAATGTTTTTAGAATTGTAGCCAAACTTGAAGCTTTGTTCTTCAGTCAGCATATCTTCATACTTACCAAACATCCACTTGGAACCATCGCTTAGTAGTAGCTACAGCTCTCCCATTTCAGCAAGATATCTCTTCGACTCAAAACTAGTGCCTCCATCAACTTGAAGATTGCAAAATTACCATGGACAGCCCGGAGAAAGAGATTACAGCCAAAGACGTACTCAGTCCCGTTTCTACTCAGTCTGATGGAGGTGCCAACGACATAGACAAGAGCCTTGCTGTTATTGGCAGTAAGAATCATTACATCAGGGCTGTCTGCAGTGCCTCAGAGGACGGCGCTTATTCTTCGTACGAATCTCTCGATAGGACCTCCGAATCTGGGAGAAAACGCCGAAAGACGACCCCAAACCGAGCAGAGAAAATACCATATGAACAAAAAGTTACAGGGAAACATGACGAACTCATTCAATTCGTCACCATCCCGGACAACAAAGATGACCCTTCGCCCTCAGCATACCGTGATTGGCTGCTATTAAAGTCGGAGAATCTTCAAGAACGTTTAGATGAAGGGCTGCAAAAGTTCATGGACGAAATGGACGGCGGCCACTCTCCATGCAGGCACCTAGATCTACCAGCGGTGGCACAGTCTGATCTTCATACTGTGAACAACCAGTCTTTTCCCAAAGGCTCACCTAACTGCAGCATGGAATTAGACAGTCAGTGGTTAGACTCGCCACCTGCACTGTCACCAGGAGCTTCAATCTCGCCCGTGCCCTCATCTGTATCTACGCCTCGAGTTTCATCCAAGCACTCGCCCCTCATTAAGCAAGCACAAAGCGCAGAAAGCGAGAAGATTAGCTCAAAGCGTCAGTGTTGGCCGAATTTCAGACGCGTCGATCGCCATTGGAATACGACGGAGCAGAAATATATGACAATGGAACCCGCAGCAGAGCCTGGTCATCGTGATGCCGCCAAAGCGGAAGATTACCTTTTCGTGGTTCGTCGAGATTTGAATTGTGACCAAACCCCCGTTAAAACCACTGTAGAAATCAGGGATAGCTTTCTCAGACAATGCCTCCAGAACATCATGGGAAATATCTCTGGCATCAACTTTGCCGAGGAAAATCCTGTATTTGATCCAAAGACTTTATTTCTGTGAGCAATGCATGGACCTACCTACCCATATCACTTGATATATGTACTGACTTTATTTTACTTCAATAGCTACTTGGATGATATCAGAAGCCATCACGAATTGGTGCAAGCCAGACTCTATAACACACAAGGGTATTGGCCGAAGAAAAGGTGGCATGAGATTTTCGAACAGACGAGATGTTTAGGAATTCTTATCGAATACCTGGAACAAGACTTCGCAGAAGCCAAGAAGAACCTCGATTCAATGCTGAGCAAAGGAGTCATAACGTTTGACTTATCGTGGGCACTCTGGAAGCCCTCTACGCTGATATATTCGCCCACCTATCAGTACCATGACGTTCCCAGTGTGTCTGTAGTGAGTTGCACAGACAAACGGAAGAACCGGCCTGCAGCAGACTCTAAATATTCTGTGGACTCTATATTTGTCGACTTTGACGGCAAGTCACTTGCCTACAAGCCATTGAGGAGAGAGGTACAGCATTTCCATGGCGCCATCAACATCACCAGCCTTCCGTTTTACCCACTTCAATACCACAAAGACGAAGCCCAAATTCGCCATTTATTAATTGAACGAGGAGCCAAATTTGTATCCCTTCAAGGAATACACCACAAATCATTTACAGGCATCGCGTTCCAGCTAGTTCAAGGCAAGAAGGAGATGATGCCAGATCTACGCAAGGAACAGAGCAGGATAATGGTAGATCCTGTGGGCTTTCGAAAAATACATCCAGAGTTTTTCAGAACAAGAGATTTACCAAATCAATATACGAATGATGACAAAACTTTCAACAATGGTGTCCAGCCCCAGAGTCTCATGGACATGCCATCTATTAAAACGGCTGAAGATGATCAGCCTAACCTTGGAAGCGATGTGAAAATCAGCAGCGACTCACCCAGCAGCTCAAATACATCACCAAAGAGGGAATACATCGAAAAAGTAAAAGTAGAGATGGCCAAGGACAACCTTTTACTTATATGTTCCCCCGTTGTAGTGGGATGTTGTCTTGCGAGCTTGGAATGGCTCGAGTTTGATGTGCGTGGAATCGAAGACGTCAAGTGGAATGATGAAGCATGGGATTCTCTTGTGCTTGATGAGAAGATGAAAGAGTTGATAAAGGCGTCCGTGGCGTCTCGCGTATTTAATCCGGCATTTGGCATCGATAACAAATTGCTGGCGAAGAGGAGAGGGTTGACCAGTGAGTAGCTCCATCCGCACGACTTTGGAGGTTAACTGTTCCCCCCTCACAGCACAGAAGTACTGACCATTGGCCAGTCGTGCTACATGGCCCTCCGGGGACTGGAAAGACACTTACAGTGACAGGGCTAAGCGACCATCTAAGGCGTCCTTTGTTGATGCTGCCAGCTAGAGAGCTCATAGGATGCTGTGCTGTTTCGGTCAATTCCGTACTAGATAAGCTCCTGACTACTTGCCAGAGCTGGAATGCCATTGTAGTCTTTGATGATGCCCAAATATTGCTAGAAAAATACGACTGCCTTGACGCTGAGCGGAATAATTTAGTAGCCACCGTTTCACGGCAACTGGAGTCTTTTCAAGGCATCCTCTTCTTAACGTGCGATACCATCCAGGTAAGTTGAGCAATACGCACGATAAACTATCACTGAATGCTATTACATGCCACATTTAAACTAACAATAGATCAAGGTATTCGAGAAAGCATATCAGTCGCGGATCGACTTTGTCCAAAAGTTTGAAACGCCAGACAGAAAAGGTAAACGCATCATCCTCGAGCGAGCCATTCGCCGAGTTACGGCCCAGGGTCTTTGGAAAACCGAGGCATTTAGCGATGAGGACTATGAGAAACTCGCGGAGAACAATCTCAGCGGCCGCGAGGTTGAGAGGGCAGTTGAACTGGCCCTAAGTTTGGCAGAGGTGAGAAAGGAGGCGCTCGGGGTACGGCATTTGCAGGATGTCATGGACATGCAAGAAAAGTTTAGGTGCGATTTTGGAAGGAGGGATTATCGGAATTACTTTTCCTAATCCTTGATTTGATCTGTCTAGGGTAGATGCCTGAGGAGGGCTTGTCTTTGTTTTGTGCTGCACTTCTCTTCTTGCAGACCGACCGCATGCTTTATAATATAGGTAGCCTGTCCCCTCTTCTTTTTTCGTGTAATGATATGATAACAGTTTGGGTCTCATCGTGTAGCACAAGAGCGGCGGAAGAAAGAATCAATACTTGTACGGCGTTTTACTGCACGTCCTAACACATAATTTACACTGAGTGCATGAAAAGCAGCGTACTGCATAACGGTGAATGCTCCATATCGTTTCATGTTAATCGATATTTTGCAGTGTCACGCAGTACGCGTACTAGATACCACGAGGCATCAATCATTATGACATGATTGATAGAGCCCTTTACGATGGAGCTTTTAGGAGAGCCTTTTACTTGGGTAGAGTCACCAGACAAACGGCGGAATACCGACTTGTCCCTGTTGTCCGAGCTAATGGGATTCTTCATTCTCAGGGTAAGACAGGGTATGAGATGGCCATTCCCACTTAAGTTTGTAAGAATAAAATGCCATATTCTCCTCCCTATTTGTGGCGAAGCATTTGAAACCAGAAAGCTCGCAGAGCACACCGAAGTGTCAGTGCTGTGTACATGTATTTCATATGCACCTACCTACTTGTACGCAATTGTGCTTGTGCAACCCGGAGCGAGAGCGTGCTGGAATAAGTTCCGATCCTTGCTAGTCTGTCCCCTGGCGATTGTTTGCCAGAGCTCGTGATCCCAGGATAATAAGCTTTCCTTCATTTGCAGAAGAGGAAAAGCTGCAGAACATCCTCGTAGGGGGGAGATGCTTCAAGGTTCAAGGACCCGTCGAAGCTTGACACCGTTTATAGAATGCCAAAGGAAGGCCAGTCGAAGGGGCGGACGCGCGGATCCGACTGCTGCGGCTGGGTCGTTGTGGAGACCCGGAAGCCGGGATATGCACTTGTACGGAGAAAATGGAGAAGAGAAGAAGGATGGATTCAAAGGGGGGAGGCGGAGCCGTGTGTCAATGCGTTTATAGGAGAAGTGATGGAGCCATGGGGGAAGAAGGAAAGAAAACAGGGAAATCGGGGAGACTAGATTGGGACGGTGGCCTGAGTTTGAATGAATTGTTGCAGTATCCGTACAGTATGGAGAACCGGAGCCTGCAGCGTTGTTATACTGTAACTGCGAGAAGGAATAAGCGGGATTTGACATGTTGAGGCGAGGTTCAAAGGGCGGTGACGCGGTGGTTTCGCGTTATGAAGAGGCTGGAGCTGAATGGAATGCTAGTGCAAAAATAGGTGGTGGTGTTGACGGTGTTTTGGTTGGCATTGGTCTGGGCGAATCAGAAGGGAGAAGCACTATTGATTCGATTCAATAGCTGCAGCGCCCTGAGTCAATTGTTTGGCTAGCAGACTGAATTACACTAATTTTGTCATGAGTGAAGTAAATTGTAAATGAACAGAGAGGAAAAGGCAAATCACGCGATAAAATCGTGTTGTTCCCAAAGGCGGCGATACAAAAAGCGCTGTGCATAAACGCGAAACTCAGTTCAACTCAATACGAGCATCTCAACCTCGGAATCAAATGACTAAGAGCTGAATGGGAATTGAACTGCCGATTGTTACCGCCTTCAGCACCCCGGGACCCAAGTGGTTAAGGATTTTAGCCGTTGGCTTGGCTTTTGGCGGCCCCGGCAGCCTGATGCAGCAAAGGCTCGATTTTGCACGAAATTGCTTCGCCAGGGGGGGGCAGAACGAGCTCATTTCCCTTTTGGCGCTGCCTCCCCTCGTCAAGCAGGCGAGATTCGAGAATGCTACAGTACGGGGTAGTGGGAGTGGTGGTGGTAGGTGAGTGTAAGGTTCATGGAGTCACTCATGCTTTTCTTCCATTCCAGAAGGCGCCTGGCCAACGCGAAGTTTGTTCGTTTGCGGTCTTGGCGAGATGGCTGGGCGGTGGGCGGTCAGAAGACAGACGAGAGAGACGAGGATGTTTCAACCTTGAAGCCTGGCTGAGCAGTGACGGGCTGTCGCCAAAGACAAACTGAACAGGCTGCGACGGTGAAGGTCCATTGAGAGGTTGAGGGGGAAGCACAAGGGTCGGGAGTTAATTTGGGAGACGAGGCCCGGAGAAGATTCTATTCGTCTTGGGTTGATGGCGTTCAGTCCGTGGTGCATTCAATCACATGTATAAGGCGGGAAGAAGCTAGTAGCGATACCTGTAAACTCTAATAAAGCCCGACGCCTTGGTTGTACCGGGTACGTAGCATCAACCACCAGTACTAAAGCGACAGGCATTCATTAAAGCACATCCATGCGCACATCGCGTGGTGGATCGTCAACGGCCATTGTGTAAAGTGTCAAGGTCCGTGTAAACAGTCGGCGTCACCGCCACACCCATTGGTCCAGCAAAGCACACACAATTTGGCACACAAGGAGAAGAATAATCAAAAATCAAAAAAGAAATCTCCTCGCACCGCCATTACCAAATAATTCACCACAACACCACTCACCAGCTCATGTCCTGTGGGCTGACGCGGCGAGATCCAGGCGCTCAAACACGGCTCCACCGCGCAGCTGAGCCAATGGCGGCCGGCGGGTACCTGGTGGTTCCTGGACCGCTGCACTGACAGGGGTCTCCTGGGCAGTTTCATGGGCAGCATCGCAGACTTAGGGGGCCGTGGACAAAGACTTTTACGAGCCAGGCGTTGCCACAGAGCGCTAGAACGTGCTGCAACCGGGTCCAATCACGGATCCCTTTCCCCCCCTGCCGCTGAATAGGCCCCCTGCCGCATGCGGTACGCCTTAATAACGTGGTGCTCTCCCTCCTCCCTTCGTTCCTATTTCTCTTCCTCCTCACCCCGTCTTTCACTCTTCCTCAGAGCCATTCCTTAACAGCAGAAACATCGCCGGCGCCCTTTTTCAGCGTTCGACAACACCTTCTTTTAGCAACCTACAAAAGCACTTTGCGCATCCAGTCGCCCACCCGCTCCTTCAGCCAAGTACAGACGCGCAAGCCGTATTCTGGGAATACCTAAGACGATCGACCACTCCTTTGGATATATCAGATACACAGCATCTTCAAGTTTTCGACAACTACAACAACCACCGACACCATGAAGTTCTCCACCACCTCCGTCATCCTGGCTGCCGCCCTCGGCGTCTCTGCCCACCCCAGCGGCCACGTCCACCAGCGCGCCCACAACTCTGTCCAGGCCCGCGGCGACTTCGTCATGGCCAACAAGCCCGCCGTCGCTCCCACCTCTACCAGCGTTGCCGTCGCCGTTCCTACTCCCTCTGCTGCTGCCCCCGCCAAGGACGCCACCTCTGGCAGCCAGGGCACCGGTGTCTCGACCTACACCAAGTTCTGCCAGGGCGGCAACAGCAAGCGTGCTACCGCCGCCGAGATTGCTTATAAGGGCAATGTCGGTGGAAGCGGCCAGTACGGATGCAACCTGATGGCCGTCCAGAACCACCTCGTCTCCCAGTACCAGTACACCATGGTCTTCAACAATGCTGGCGGCGACGCTGAGTGCGCGTGCTGGAACAAGATTGGACCTGATGGCGGCATCAACGGCTTCTTCAAGGGCAACCAGGCCCTCATGTTCTCCCTGCCTGCTGGTGGCAAGCAGACCGTCGCCGTCGACAGCAACTCTCAGATCGGCTGCACCTGCGGCGAGGGCAGCATCCCTTATACCCCCATTGGCCAGTTCGCCGGTACCTGGATCGAGGGTGATGTTGGCAACCTCTCCAACGGCGGTTGGTCTGGCTGGGACGCCTCTTCCCTCGTTGCCGCCGCCGCCGGCATGGACATTCCAGGCCTCAATGTCTGCGGAACTGGTGCCCAGGAGGGCACTTGCTCTACCATCTTCCCTGGTGGCACCGGCAAGAATGCCTTCATTGCCGGTACCGCTGCCATGGACGGTCTAGGCCTCAACTGCCCCCCTGGCAACCAGTCCGTCACTGTCACCGTTGGATACACGGCTTAAGTTCTCAATTTTCACTGCAAGACGTTTGGAGAAGTGGAATAGAGAAAAAATCAGTTGGGCTAGGGTTTGGGATTTTACTATACATGATTTCGGCTTAAGAATTTCTTACGTGGAGAATATCTACGGTGTTTTTGGTGTGTGGCTTTTGCGGATTCCCCTTCGATACCCATCGAGTGTATGGGAACAAAAACCACTCAGTTACTCGAATCCGTGCTTTATATATATATATTACGGTTCTTTTATATATATAATTGAAATGTTTATTTGATCTTTACAACTTGAATGAATCATGTCTGCTGAACTTTATTTCCCCAATTCGTGATCATCCTTGAGCTTAATTCTAACTTTCTTTTCGAAACAATAGAGAAATGGTGGATGGCGTTGCACCATTCCACTCACACATCTTTTTTCTTATTGTGCTCTTTGTCACGGAGCGAGTTTGCTATTCGTGTGAACTTCAACTAAGCGGTGCGCCATGGCGTTTTCCTTTCCGTTGGTTCCTGAGCTTGCACAACTCGCGTAGCTGAAACGGACTGGGCCTTTTAGCCTACTAAACGTTCTAGTTCTACTTAGACTCCAAAAGTCCGCCACGAATTCTGACAACATGAATGGTCCTCATTTAGTCGGTACCTCTTTTTCACTTCTTGTCACCTCTTTTCTCGCGTGCATTACTAGCATCACGGATCTTTTTTTGTTTGCCGGAAAGTTACCGATCCAGGCACTCGTTTGGGCATCCGGTCCGTAGCTAATGCAGGTCACGAAAATTTTTTCCCTTCCATGGCCTCCGATTGCACAAGATGTTGTGAAGCTATTGCCTTTCTGTAAAGCATAAACTTTTCCCCTCTTTTAGATGCTCGGTTTTTAGAGCAAATGGTGGTGCGGGTGAGCTTCCGAGTGGTCGGCTAGGTGCACTGCATATACGCATTACACGTCAGACATTGTGAAAAGTCACACTTACACGCACATCACCTCACAAAAAGAGAAACAAAGTGAGGCGAGCTGCAGCGTGGTCGGTTGGCTCGAGTCATTGATGAGTTGGCAGAGGGTGGATTTGTGTGCCTTTGCCACATGGGAAATGGATCTGGTTGGCGGCCTTGTCAGGTACTAGTGGGATTTCTTTAAAAAAAAAAAACCGGTTGTACAAGTACAGTAGTAGCATGAACAAACCGATTGGTGTACTTTGGTGACATACTTTAGCGATTGACGTTGGATCTTTTGAGGTGGAGGGCATCCACCGAATCGGCGAATGCTGGAGCTGCCCTTGGCACGCGAGCAACGAAGCTTTCTTTGTTTTGGCTTGTCGGTGACGGTGGGGAAGGGCTATGGAGCTTTGAGGCATTATTTTGGTTGGAGAGAGCTGTATGCCTAAGTGAGTAGCTATCCAGCTATTCCACTGAGCGGTGGCGAAAAGACGGGGTTTGTGAATGGGGACCTTGGAAGCGTGTAAGTGGATGGAGATGATGAGCAGCTCTGCTGGACAGAAATGTACTTTTGAAATCATGAATTTATCATGTATTTCTTTTACTGCTTAAAGTAACAAAAGACAGGAGACGCTATTGGAATGAAACTCTAAGCGGATGTACAAGATGTACAGATAATGGGTGCAAAGGTCAGCAAACAAAAATGTTCAACTTTGGCAGATTCACTGCATCGGACGCTGACTGCCCCGCCCATTCTTTTTTCATTGTGCCGACTTAGCCTAACCGGCAGGACTGCACAAACTAGGCAGTATCTTACACCAATTAACGATTCAAACTTGAAGTCGCGTGTAAAGCGATGATTGCTGGCTGCTTTTTTCTATAATAATGAAACAACATCTGATAACTAGCCCTCTACATTATTATTGCTATTTAATTACTGAAGAATTGAATCATGACGAGACTGATGCTAAGCTGCTCTAGCATAGACGAACCCAGCTCGGGTCGGCAAAAGTATGCTCCGTAGCACAGTATGGATTAGGCACCCACAGCACAGCCTCAAGATTTTGATGTTGAGATTGAGGTTCGTGAGTCTTTGCCAAGAGGCCACAAATATGGCAGAGCGACGGCCGTGAATCTTACAAGCCTGGACAATTCTAATGTCTTGAGCTAAATCTAAAAACCCATCATGGGACTGGAGTTTGCCGGCCAATCTGAGCCTCAGCTGCCTCCCAGCAATGACGATGTTGCTACCATTAACCAAAATATGCTAAAAGTAACACGTCAAAATATCTCAATATGCGACTCATACATGCCCGAGATTGAAGCCTTTCTAAAGGTTGTCGAATCAAAGGGTAGGAATCCACGAGTCACCGGCCTTTTGAGTTTTATTCGTAAACTGCGAAAAGAGCATGACATCCTTAAACGGGTAGAGTCTGAGCTCGTTGACGAGGAACAAGACGAAATTGGACTTGGTCTATTAAATAGGAAACTGGTGGCCAGTTCCACTATTGTCAATCACGGACAAGTTCACTGGGATATCCTCAAGCGTTGCCGCTCATTTCGCATCGTCAACCAGGCGTTTCAGGGGTCGGCCAAAGAGGATCGCAAGAAGCAAGTCTCGCGAATCATCGGAGACGGCAGAGAAAAGCAACAGCTGAACCGGACATTGAAAGAGCAGGCCAAGGTGGAAGTTGATGTGGTCGAGGGAGGAAGCGAGTGGCTGGATATTCGATGGCTTCAGGCCGATAGGCTGGCCCGACAGATGACGGACTGCGGCTGGGCATGGGGCGACTACCAGCTGGGAGACGGCGTCGACCCTGAAGAGTGGGAGGATACGCCTCTTGCTAAGCAGATGAAGCGGCTGGTTGCTGCGGCCAAGATGAACCGCCACGAGTATCGCATTCCCCGCCTACGAATCGTCTTTCCTAACATCACAAAGGGGGAAAATGAAGATGTCGATGTGCTGTTGGATCAGATATGCCGCCTCGACCCCTTGGTTGAAATAATCATCGAGGACAGCAGCAGCGTTTTCATGAAAACACCGCCCCCAATTCTTCAAGATGCCATTAGAAATCTCATAGGAGACGAGTTTGACGGCCTCACAAACAGCCTTAATATGGATCACACCATCCTCGTGGACCTCATCTCCGACATCACCCACTTCAAACTCCAATCACAGCCCTGGCAGGCTCAAACCACGCAGCTGCAAATCGAAGAAGAAAGAAGACAAGGCGGCGTCATGGTTCGCGCTCTGTATCCAATCTTACAAGGCCGCACCCTCATCTGCACGCAAGAAGCAGCCGAGCACTTCCACGAAGTCCTCAGCACAGTCGGAACGGCCACCGAAAGGGAACGGGGGAGACTCTTGGTGCCATACGATGACGAAACCCGCAGCATGTCAACCGAGGATATCCGCAGCCGCTTTGAAGAACTCTCTACTCATCCTCTTCCCCACAACGTCCAAGTTCCCATACGGATTCTGGACGAGACATGGACCATGGCCACCGTTACGCAGGCCGTGGCGGATGGACGTCTTCCCAAAGTCGCTCTTGATGTTGCCCAGTGCGGTGCCTTTAAGAGCTCTAAGCTGAGCATATACATGTACGGCTGGGCGACGGGCAACGTGACCATTACGTCGAACAAGGAAGTTCGCGGCCAGATTCGTACGTGGGTCGAGGCCAACCGGCGGGATGACCAGGAATGTGGCCCGATTATCTGGCGTATTGACGTTACAAGGAATTTGCTGGCCAAGAGTGCCACTCCGCCGTCGGCACTCAAGGCAGAGAACGGTTTAGACGTAGACACGTTGACACGACAGAGATGAAAATATGGAGCTTTATCTAGACATTATGAATACTTTTTTGAGTCTTGCAGATACACAGCTTTTGGTTCATACAACAAAACAAACGGATCCATACCATTATAAAAATAACACAGAAAACTAAGCACTTGCTATTCAAACTTCAACTCTTATGTGCTCGACATCTCTAATAGCTGCCCGCTACGCTTTATCCTCCGAACAGCCAAGCACCGTCTCAGTCTTTGCCCCCTTTTTCGTCACCGACGTGACAGTGAGCTCACTCGACTCTTGCCACCACACAAGCGCACACTGGCCACACGCCCACTGCTTCGTATGCGTGACGGTCAAAGTATGCACCGTCTTTGTCGAGCCTTGGTGTTCAGCCGGGAGGGGCGTCAGTGAGAACGCAGTCTGGCAGCATCGTCCCGACAGGAATGTCGGTGTGAGAAACAATACCTTGCACTGTGGCTTAAGATGAGGCAATAGCGGCCGAGGCCGAGGCCGCGGCGGCGATGCTCTCTGCAGAGGCTTTAGTTACAGTGACGGTGGTGATACTCTCCTTTGTGATTGTATTTATGGCAGAGGTGGTGGCAGTCGCTTTGGCAGGTTCTTCAATCGAAGTGCTAGTCGTGGGGGTGCCGCATACGAGCTCTGTTTCTGTATATGGTTCCACGGCTGTGATTGTCGTCTTGAATACAGCGACTGGAGGCACGCCGAGCGGGATAGGGATGGGCGAGTTGTTGGTACAAGTGCCGCAGTTGACAATCCTGTCGGTGGTGGTGGTGGTGGTGAAGATTGTGCGAGTAGGGCCGATGTTCAGCTTAGGCACCTGCAAGACCCTAGCAGTGCAATCCCCATCTCCTTGAAAGAGGACGCCCGAGTCATTCTCGAAATCGACATACTCCATCAACTCGTCCGCCGCCCCTCCCCCGATCTCGCGTTTCTTCGCATCCTGATGTCGTGGGGGCGGAACCTTCCATCCAGAGCAGTGAACGTGCGTATAGGTGATTGTCGACTTGAGCTCCTTTGTGACGTACTTGAAGTCGGTTGGGCCGATATACCCCGGATGTGGGTGGTCAAACTTGGTGACGTGCATTGCGAGCTCGAGATAGGCGCAACCGCCGCAGTCGAGCGCTTTGTGAACCAGCTCCTGCTCCAGCTTCTTGTATCTAGTGACGGTGATGACATCTGGCGGCGGCATGGGTATGGGCTCTTGCTTCCAGATCCTAGTCGAGGTGCTTGTGCAGTAGGAAGTGTATTCGGGGTAGGGATTGAGGCGCCATCGGGGAGGTGGCCTGGTTATTGTGCCGCCGCCCGAAGGGCCCGCCTGAGGGAGAGGGTTTGCCGCGGCGATGGAGGCGAGGCCGGCTGCGACAAGGGTAGACTTGATTGATGGAATCATGGTGAGAGTTGTCTTGCTTCTCTCAGTCTGTGGTTGTATAATCGATATAGATTGTAGGAGTTTGTGTGCGAATAGAGGGTTTGACAGAAGGAAGGGAGGAGAAAGGGAAACAAGGGATGGGATCGGGAAATGTTTTAAAGCCTTTTTTTACTTGGATGGTATTTCGGTGCGACCATAGGTTAGGCGTAAGAAAAAAGCGATAGAGTTACGAATTATGAGAATTGTAAAAAAGGAAATTCTAAAGAAGGTTTACTTTTTTCCTTGAATTTGAGGAGGCGTCTCGTACAAGCTTTGGAGCGTGTCCGCCACAGACAGGTCTTGCCGTAGCCGAGACAAGATTTGACAGTATCGCGGATAGCGCTCATTTCACATTTGAACTTTGTGTAAGGCGAGACTTGATATTGCCAGAACGAGGGTAGTTTGTAGATTGCCGGTGTTGGTTAGGGTCCTTGGGAACCTCTTGTGGCTTTTAATAGTGTAGATCTACGTACCAAGTAAGGGGAACTGAGATGGATCCAAGTATCTGAAGAGCATAGAGGCGAGTGGCGACTAGGTACTAAAATACTAGGCAAAATAAGATTTGTTTCCCGAGATGTACTCGTAGTTGCAAAGCAAATGCAAAGTCTTTCATGCAACAGCCCAGGCACTATCAAGTATCAGAGAAATGCAATAAACGCTCATAAAAAATCCCTTTATACGACACATATTCATTACTCCTAGATCCTGAAACCCTAACAAAATAGTCTTATTCGGCACGATATACAGCTAAATCTGAACCTTGCAAAAGTTCCCGCAGCATAAGAACAGCCGGCCAGGCTTTTGCCTCCAGTGACGTGCATTCCTATCATGAAACACCACGTAGCCACTACCCTCAATCCATCTCTCCATATTCCCAGCCATTTGTTTTCCCTTCTATATTAAATGCGAGGAGTAGGAGTTGCCAAACAAACCGTCCGATGCTCCGTACTCGGCGTCGCCACATGCACACTCGCCGTGATGATCATGGCCGGGCAATGGACAATCGGCGTAACAGCGACTCGAACATCCGAGCAGCCATGGCAGTCAATCGACCTCTCGACCGTAACCGTGGACGAGTAGATGCTCAACGTGCCGTCCCACGAGCACTGCGGCCAATACGGCGGAGTAGGCAGTCGAGACTGCGTCAGGGTCAGGGTTGTTGTGCAGTTGGCCCGAGGAGCAACTTCGTTTTGTTGAGCGGTGGCCAAGTTTGCGCCGAGGAGGGCGAGGGAGAGGCAGGCTTTGGTGGATGGAATGGCCATTGCAAAGGAAAGTGCTGAGAATTTAAAAAAGTTGTTTCAAATTCAGTAAAGACTTTTTGCTTTTGTTGTTTTTTGCCCACTTTGATAGTCGTCAAAGTATGCTTTGCTTCAATGAAAGATGGGAAAGAAATGAACCGGGGATTATTCGACCTCTTTTTATATGATTTTTTATCTTGTCACAAGTGTCGTGCGAGAGACGAGGAAACGAAGCTGAAGGATGGCGGTGACACATGCAAGGGAGGATGAGAGGATGAGAGGATCAGCATCGCACAAGCCGGATAGACGGCAGAGACGCGAGACACTGACGTAGCGGATGGCGTGGTCACATGCAGCGCATTGCACCTTGAAAGTATAATTCTGCAGTTTCTTGATCCAAGTTGAGATTCAATTGTACAAGTAATCTTATGTGGTAATATGAGTTGAGAGGCAATACGAGTTGAGAGGCAATACGGGTTGAGAGGGCCAGAGACACTGTCTTATACACTCTGGAATGGCATCCACCCGCCCAGCTCCAGAAATAGAAATAGATGCCCGCCAATAATAACACTTCGTCTACATGTAGTGGGTAGCACAAGGATCCATCACCTTTACCACTTCCACGCCCCTCGTCTACATCTGACCAATATCAAAGTCCAGCTCGTCCATGAAGTCGCCGCCATCAATGTCAGGATCCCACTGCGGAAACGAAATCCCCTGGTCGCCGTCAAACACCCAGTCCTGCATCCAATCCATCGGAATCCCAGACATGGTCGACAGCCCGTCCAGGCTCGCCGTCTCATCGTCGTCCCACTCGGACGCGGGCAAGCCCTCCCGCTCGGCCACCTCCTTGAGCATCTCAAAGCACTGCTTGCCCATGGCGATGGCCGCCTCAAACATCAGGCGCGTCTTTTCCTTGGAGTCGGCCCCGGCCTCGAGCGCCTTGATGTGGGCGAGGCACGCCTCCATGAAGATGATGCCCTTGATGTTTGTCTCGCCGGCGCGGACGCGGCTGAGCTTCCATTCCCGTGTGGCGATGAGCCGCGCGCGCAGGTTGGTGCTGCCCACTGTTGGGAGGTAGCCGAGGCTCGACGCCTGGCCGGTTTTGGCGTGGAAGAGCTCTAACTGGACGTTGATCATGGCCTGCGACGCAACGTTGTGGAACATGCCCGTCCCGGTGGTGACGAGTCGCTTGAGGTCGGCATCCATGGCTTTGCTGGCAGCGGGATTGTCTGGAGACCAGGCATCGGGGAAGCCCCAGATGTGCGTGAGCTTCAATGCGCTGTCCAGACACATCTGTCGAGAAAAGTAGAATTTGGCGTCGTCTAGATACTTGACGATGATGGGCTGGTGAAGTGCATGGAAGCAGCGATACAGGAAAATCTCCGTCACGAGAACATGGAACTCTGTGATTGGCGAGTTCGGTATTGCTTTGAGAGCCATGAGAGACTCTGAGATGGCTCGGCAAGATTTTGTCAGATCCGAATTCAGCCGCAGCGTTTCTTCGTAGTGATCGCCCGGCCTTGTGTTGTTGACATGGTTAATGAGATTCAGCCGCAGCGCCATCGTCGACTGTAAAGCTCTCAAAACTGATGTCTGAGTCGGCACCTTTGGACCTTTTGCAATTCCGCCAGTGTCCTTTTCGTCAGTGAGTTCGTCGTCGTTTAGATTGGCCGGAGGCAGCGTGTCGTAATGGGCTGTGGAAAGCAGTGGCGAGCCCCCGGCATCAAAAGAAAACTGTACGTTGAGCTCCAAGATAGTCGCCCAAAGACGACGTCGCATCTCGGCTCGATATATCGTCATGTCTCCGAGAAACTGGGGATCCCGATGAAGGCCCACAAACATGGCGTTCCTCACCAGGTTCCCAGCCATCATCCACACCATGTCCACGCCGCAATTGCACGTGGACTTTGCGAGGAGCAAGAGACACTGGATCTGAATGCCCTCGATATTCATCCTCTTCTTCTCCGGCGGAATCATGAGCCACATCTGGGCTTCGAATATCCACTGCGTCGCCATTGGCCGCAGGGAGAAGAAGTCGTCATATACGGTTGTCCCAAGCGCCATGACGAGCTGGAGCAGAATCACAAAGGAGTCGTTGGACGGAAGGCTGCCTTCCCAGAACCTCGCATAGTCAGTCCTGAAGGTGGGTATATGCACGACGCGGAAGACGCCTTCAAAAGTGCGCAGATAGTTTTCGACGAGCTGATCTGCGAGTTCTCGAGCAGGAATCTGGAGTCCCAGATTAGTAGACGAGAGAGGTTTCAGGCGATGTTTCTTGATCTTGCGCCCAAGGACTTTGCATCTCCCAAGTGACTGATATAGATCTCCCTTGTTGATCTTGTCTTGACCAATGAGGTCTTGTTCCATGGTGAGCTATCAAAGTCAGCACAAACTGTGAATACAGCGCGATACCGGGCAAACCACTCACCATGCTCAGCCCATATATCCAATGGCTATGAGCAAAATACCGAGACTTGGCCACAAAGCCCCCCGTTGGCTCCACCGTCTGCTCAGTGCGGTTCTTGAGCCCATCCGGAGTGTCGTTGATGCGCAGAGCCTGGGCAAGCTTCTCCTCCAGCTGTTGGACCCGAGAGACCAGCCAGTCGACATTGGGCGACGACGAAGTCGAGGACGACCCGGCCTTGGAGCTGAGAATGGCCGACGACGATGACGCGCCGACAGAGTCTATGCTGAAGGGGCTGATTTCCGATTCCCCTGGATTCGGGGCATCCGGCCTCGGCTCAGCCGCCTTGAGGTTCCTCAGCGACGCCTTGCCAGCGCCCTCAGCCGCGTCTCTGCCGGTGATCATGGCGTCCATCTTCTTGGCCCGCCACGCAGGGACGTGATACGGCGCATACGTGCAGCTGGGGATGTTGGACTTGACGCAGTTGGCGCAGGGCTGCGTGCGGTCGCAGCGGATCTTGCGCTTCCTGCACTGCTCGCACGAGAGCGGCGGGCGGCGGCGCTTCTTCTCGGCCATGGGAGGCGCGGGCGCCTTTGCAGCTTCGGGCTGCGGCGGCTGAGATTCTGAGGCCATCACCGAGTTTCGGTCCAGCTCATTCAAGGCGCTATAGGCAGTGACGCCAGGCTTTGGCGGGGGGGTTTACAGTCCAGTCCAGTCCAGTCCAGCACTTGTGAGACAAAGGTGCACACGATAGATGGCAACAGTTTTATTTCATCGAATTTGCAGTGTTTGGAAATGTAGAATTCAATTTGCTTGCAGGAACAGCGATGCCAAGTCTCCAAAAGCTACTGCTGTTCACCTGCCGCTAACTACAGTAGGTACATATTCATACGTGCTGAGGCTCGGAAGAGCGGCGCATTTCGAAGTTGCTGTTCGGTGTTTTGGCGGTCGCTCATTGGCCAGCGCACGACAAATCACCGAGAAAATAGACCAGACCAGTGCACATGGCAGTGACAGAATCTGACGGGTTTAAGCGTTTTAAAACTTCGACTTGCTGTCCATCTCAGAGCAAAGAACCACTGACAGGCAAAATGAAAATTGCACAGCATCTTGTTCCTTTGCGCACGCTACAACTGCTAATGTTTCCTCATAGCAAACTTGAGACCTTGGCTTACGTCGCTTCTGTCTGTAAGACGGAACCCTTTTCGGATCGCAGTTCCGATACACATACTCGTTCAACCAAGAGAGCGCCGAGAAAATCAAACCATCGCTCTCCATCACACGCCAACGGCCGAGAGCGAGAAAACTCGTCACGAAGGATTCGCACACCGACGAATTCACCAACTCAAATCCTTCGTTTCAAGTCATCGTTCGTCTGCTTTGTAAGAGGCAATCCGTATATACTTGGCCTAGACCTTACATCAGCAAGTAGTGCCCCCTCTAAAAATAGGCAGCGATTAGAATTAATTGATCTGCTTCCATGCTTTTGAAGCCTTCTCACTTCCCCCCTGTCAAGATCATCCATGCCACTACATGTACCTACATGTAGGTACCTATGTACACAGCTGAGAGCGTACTATTGATGTATATTCAAGCGCGCGGCACTAAAACTCTCTTGAACAAACTTGCGACAACCCGTGACGACGACGACGACGACGACGACGACGCTTCCTTCGCCCTTGTACTATTTCCCGAGAGCGAGGCCGCTTACAAACAACGTGCCAAGAACAAATAGATCGCTCCAGGCGTCTTATTTCCATGCAGCCTAACACGCGAGAAGGAATGCTAGCTTCATCAAAGCCACGCAATAAACTGCCTACTATACCTACTCCTGTTCCTGTCAGTTACATACTTGTACAGTTCCTATTTGAGGCACCTCATGCCGTCTATACATGTACACACACACGAAACACACGCCACACACACCCTACAACAAGGAACATTCAACGTTGCTGGGCTGCAGACGGCCACTAGTTCCCTCTACTAAAAACTCCAAGCCACTAACACCACCACTAAATAACCCAGACATTGGGATTACTGGCTGGGATTTGTTTCTCATTGCTCTCTCGTCAAACCGCCATCACCGCTAAAAACTAATAGCACCGCGTAAATCCTGTCTCTTCCATGCCTAGCTCCAGGCGCCAAACCACTACCAGAATCACCCAATTACAAAACACCAGACGTAAATAATAAAGACATGGGCCTTTTACCAATAATCCCCCTTCCCCGTCTCTCGCTTCCACATCCATGGTGGTGATTCATAGTTCACTTACTTATACCCCCCTCCCCCCTTCAATATTACACATCATCTTACACTTACTGAATCAGTACTCGTATACTTGTACTCTTTAGGGAAAAAGGGACTTCCCTAATATATTTCCCTGGTGCTAACTAACTAACTAGCGAAAAGCGTAGTCTCCTCAGCGGCACGGAGCGCCATTTGCCTCCTCCGGCATGCTAGCCCCAAACAAAACCTTGGAACCACAAGATCACCTCCAATATTACTATAGTAGTTCGCAACCGTTTCGTTTTTTTATTTCTCCTCCAGGGGTACCTCTTTTAGTAAACTTCGACGTCCCTCTTCTTCTACAAGCCCTATAAGCTTGTTGTCAGAGTTCCCAAAGCCGCCGAGCCGGCTACTTTGTGCCGGCCCGGCACGGCTAATTCACCTGTCAAGCATTGGTATTAGAGTTTGCAAGCATTATACTCCCTGCATATCATGGTCGGTCGGTACTATTCAAGGTAGAGAGAGAGAGAGAGTGAAGCGGCCGCAAGTCGGCCGTCAGACTTATGGAGTATGTAGAACTCACTCCTCGAAAGTTATAGTAATCTTTTAGTTACTAACTGCGAAGCGAGCTGTCTTAAACGATGCTGATTATTGCTCCACGCCGCGCCTGAAAAGTCGGGAACATGACATAATCCTACTAGAAACGTTTCAGCTCTCATATCATCACTCTTCCAACGTTTTTGTCTTTTTTAAAGTTAATGATTGTGATAAGTAATATTTTTATTAGCCAGATTCAATTAGGAGTACCACAAAAGACAGATAAACTCGCCTGGCAACATTACTAAGTCAAGTGGAAACATGTACATCAGATGCACATCATTCGCCGGGTTGTTTATCTTGATCGCAAAGAAACGCAACCAAGAAAACGGGAAAAAGGTCCGCTCCGAGAAAATCAGGCTTGGCAACCAGCCTTGGAGGATATCGTATCTTGGCAGCTAAGGTAGGTGAGACAGTTGCATTCGGCGGTATTCGTACAACCCTGGAGAATTGTGATTCGCGTAGCAATAGCACTTTGTAATAGGTATTGCGGCTTTGCTCTCTCTCTCTCTCTCTCTTTCTTTCTCTCGTAAGTGAATCCCTTTTTCACAACTTAGTTATCTGCTTTCGTAACCCTGTAATACCAAATCGAGGTTCATAAAGCGCTCCTAGTAGGCACCTAGTCTCAAAAGCAAAAGCTGGCCGCCTATTAGGTACTCCCCCCCCCCCCCCCCCCCCCCCTTCATTATGCCATGACCGACGGCGAGCCCGTTGGATCGTGACCTTGACCTTGACCTTGACCCCGTGGCGGTGGCGTTGGCGTTGGCGCCGGCCAAGACGTGTACACTATCTACCGTAACAGCGCGGACGAGGACCGAAAGACGGTTTAACCTAATCAAAGGCCCTCGCGATACCATCGTAATAGGTAGCCTACCACTAATAGGTAGTACGGAGTCCTTCTCATAACGTGCTAAAAAAGCACGCTGCTTACCCGGCCGTTCCGCACCGTTTTGGCGCTTAGCAGTTGACAAGGATCCTGGCAAGGGCTCGGTTGGACCCTTGTTTTTATAACGGCTCGCTTATGGCATATCAGGAAAGAAACTGGAATATCAATAGAATACACTGCAATAGTGCTAGGTAGCAGTGATGCTACGGTGTACTGGAGGTGTGCAGCATACGATACTCCGGGATGTGGTTTGTGCATTGTATGAGTCGCATTCTGCTCGTAAATGTGTCTCAAGTTGCCTTGCCCTTGTCTGCGCTGCCAGGCCGCTTAGTATTCGTAGTAGCAGTGTATGTAGTAGGAGTAATGGCACCATTCTATACGGCTCTTACCTGTCTTAGTCTCGGTCCTGGCCTTGAATCTCACTCACAGCTTTAGGCAACCAAACCGTCTGTCTCAACACAATTCCTAAATTCAAAAGGGCAAGTTCGGTAGCGAAACCGGTGATAATCGGTTGCTTTTATCTCCGTTTGTCTCCTACCTTATTCCGTCTGAACAGGATTCCGCCTAAAGATGAATGAATAGGATTAAGGGCTAATGCAGACGTTAGTAAGTCCGCAATCTCCATAAGCTTTGCACAGTCGGGAAGGAGATACACCGAATGTACCACACAGATCAGATGCCGAGATATAGGGCAGAGCAAAAGAAAGAAAGGACAAAGTAGGAAAATCTTCACGAGATCGAATCGGGTCCAGCATTCAAGTGAAGATTCTCGTGCTTTCTGCGTCCCCATGGCCTGTAAAAAGGTCAGTGCGTTGCCAGATACATACGTACGTGGTAGTATGAACATAGTACGATATGATATGATATGATATCAGGTGCTGTATAAGCACGTATCTATATTACAATTATGGAGACTCGTCCGCTCGCCAAGCTTGCGTGGAATCCAAGAATGGAGACGAGTTCCGTGGCAGTTTCTGATTAGAGAGGGGGGCTCTGCTTCTTCGCATTAGTGCGTCCAGGATCACATCGGAAGCAGAAGTCTTGTTGTGTAGCATGGCTTCTGTTTCTAGAATGGCGTTCATTCTACGCTGGTGAATAATCAGCCCTGCATACCACCCAGAGAAGATACGCACATGCTCACACTTGCAGCTCATACCTGTGAATTTGCCATTCCCTTTCATCAATCCACTTCCGAAGCATATCGAATAGCCAAAACGTAGAACCACGTGCTAGATTTTCATCTGCTCTGCTGGCTTTCCAGATACTAGTATCTTGTTTAAATCTCCTCCATCTCCTCCAAATCGTCGAGAGCAGGATAGTCTCCAATCTCCACCCTTTCCGGCCGTACAAAAACACCATGCTTTAGCTCTGACGGTTGTCCCCAATAACGCTTGCCTAAGATGCTACCGTCATTCTTCCCCACAGGCTCATCTAGATGAACCCCCACCCACGGTCCAGCACCGCCAGGAATTTCTTCAACGTCGCCCACGTACTTGACTTCACCTCGACGAGTGTCCTCGCCGCCGACTCGGCATCGTTTACCGACTTCAATGCCACGCTGGGCAACCTCTTCCTTGAGGGCGGCCACCTTGGCCTCCTCACGGCTTGGCGCTGTAGGATCAAATCGACCAAGCTTTTCCGTCTTCTTCCATGCTAGCACAGAGTCTGTCTTCTTCTCGTACTCATCATCGGGCATTACATATTTTTCAACGCCTGAAGTATCGGTGAAGTTAGGCCTGGCTGTAGGTGGGCGGGTATCAACAACCTACGAAATCATGGCGTGTTAGCTTCGTCTCCATGTAGGCCCCCCCTCCTGCTCTGCCGCCTGCGTCCATCCCCAGCAAATGCATAGAGACGCTCCATGACGGACGGCAGGGGCTCACGCGCCCAGAAGAAACGTTTGGCTGCCCAAAGCCCTCCAAGAGAGGCCCGCTTTGGGACTTCATCAGCTCTCTTTTTTTTTTTTTTTTCTCTCTTCGGGCATTGAGTCAACTGCGAGGCAATTCTCCACCCCACAGAGGCTAGTATGCACACAGAGGCAGAGAAAGAAGAAGGCGAAGAGGATGGGAGAGACAAGCAAACTGAGGCATCTGCGTTGTGCAGAAGGGCATGGGATCAAACTCCGCATCCCTAGCAGTATGCCCAGCGGCTAATGAAATCGACAACGGTTGACTTACATGCAGCTCTGCATACGGGGCCAGGGGAAAGCTGGACAGTCGGACGGCGTCTTCATCTGCTGCCTCGACTGGGATCTTTTCCGAGCCGGCTGATGTTTTGAGACTGAGGATCTGGCATGAAGGGGGGATGCCTGTGACGGGCTCGAGCTTTGTCTTGAGCTGGAAGATGGACCATGAAGGTGTGATGCGGCGCTCGGAGGCGGCGTACTCCGAAATCACCAGAAGAGGGACGTCCGCCATGACGTTTGGGATTGTGTAGGTCGCTCGGCAACAGGGCCGTTTTGAGATTTTCTGACGCTTCTCGCTTATGGGCCAATTGTGGTTGTTGTTTGGAATCAGCCTCTCTCTCACTCCCCTTTTTTTTCGCGACTTCTCACTGCTACCTCCGGACAAACTAGCGGGGTTTTGGCCCCTAGAATTCGCAAACGCGGATGGAGCACGGAGGAATTTGATCGAAGGATGTCGCTAGTAGCCCTGGGAACGGCCGTTGAGAGCAAGCAATATGCTGATGCTCCGGTGGCCAGGGAGCAGAGCAGAGAACGAGAGTGTAGAGCGAAGAGAAGAAGATCGATGAGAGGAGGAAAATATTCTGCTGGCAGTTATATGTCCAGTTTTTTAGGGTACCTGTCGATTTCTCATCAGGCCAATTATTTGTCGGTGCCTACCAAGTTAGCACCTGTCCTATAAAGCAAGAGCCAGGCGCAAATGGCAGAAGGCAGCTACGGTTCGACGCCACAGGAGAAATAGGCGTTAGCGGGCATATGCGGTACCTAACAGCTGACATAGGGGGTCCAGTTACAACGCCGTCCACTGCGGCACGGCGCTGTGCAAGGTATCTGCCGACCAGCAAAGCGTAAGCTGTACTTTCACTGTTTGCCCAGCCCAATACGCGGAAACAAGCCACAGCGACGCACCGCCTTATTTCACAGCGCCACTTTGGGCTTGAAGCGGTACCCGGGCATTAACACCAGCCGCTTCACAGAGGCAATGGTTTGATCTCTATATCCAGCTGGATTGCTTCAAATTGCATTACAAGGCGGTCTGTAACAATGCATATTTCCCATATAGGCTCGACAATCTCCATGGCTGCTCTGGGTATCAGGTATCAAAGGCGTCTGAACTGAACAGATGCCTAGAACAGGCCTGCTAGGGTCCTGCAGAATCGTTATCCACATTGGACCGTTGGCAAGCAAACGGACGGGACGCCTCCAGGATCCTTGCCACCCGCCTTGAGGGTATCCGCCGCCGGCTAGTATATATGCTATACAAGCATAGGCATGTCATAAATGACCAGATTAACCTGGGTGACCTGTCCTGTGTTTGCATCGGAGCTTTGCCGCAGAGCAACCTTGTTTGGGTGCGTGGTCGTTGTAGCGGGCGTGGAGAGGGTAAGGATCCAAGTGCCCAAATGCCAGGCCCAATCGCAGCGCGGCCATGGCTGTTATAGGTAGGTATACGAAATAGCAATTAGTACCTAGTACTATACGACCTAGAAGTAAACAGCGGTACTGGCGGCCGATGGAGAAAATGCCGAAACATGCTTTGAAGTCTGTTGAAACTTGAATGTTGAAGCACATGTGGAACAAGCGAGGTCGGCGAGATGTCTTGCAGGCGTAAATGCCTTTGTCAGAGCAATTTAAAGTGTTTGGGCTAATATCCGTCGTCTATAAGGTCTAGGTGCTGCCTATTTGGTATGCGTTCGCATAGGTGGTAGATAAGTGTCATGGCAATGATGGCATCAATTGGTCCGTCGCTGCTCCACAACCCGCATTTGCCAGATCTCTCACGTAACACAGCATTAGATACGACATCTAGATACGACATCCTCTTTTTCGGACCAGATATCCAAGTCATTGCGGCAAAGCCTCCTCTACGCAATCAATATCCAAATCCTACCTATCTCTAGATTTATTGTATCCTGTATTAGAGTATTTCTTGGCGATGAAAAGGCGGGAGACGCGGCTCATTCGCACTGTGAGCAATTGCTGTTCCTGGTCTTTACGTCCTCTCATCAGACCCAGGAAGGAGAAGCCTCAGTATTGACTTATGTCGTGTATAAAATGACAGGGAAAATATGTATGAGACAACTGTGTGAGCCCGAGGCGAGCCCAACGTACGTTGTCAATGGGGCTCTCGCGTCTCTCGCAGCATACGCTTCATTGATTGACGGACAACACTTCCCGTTCCAACGCTGCTGAATGAGATCGGTTGGGATGAAGCACCACTCCCAATGACCCCGGCCAGGCATGAAGACGGAGGCAATGCTACCCTAGCCACGCCTCAATCAACTTCCTCCCAACCTTCGGTGATGCCCCCGTCCATTGAGGGCGTCGTGGCGCCTGGCACCTGACCCAACGCTCACCGCCGCCACGTCACGGCCGTCTATTGCCTGGTTTAAGTGCATCATCCTGCAAGTTCTACATCAAGAGGGGGGAGAAAGAGGAGACGAAAAGCTGCCAAGCAGTAGCAGTAGCCGCGTGCTAATCTAGTACTCACTTTAGTAGTGGTTCTACAAAGATCCGCTTCTCCAGCCAAGACAGACGTGGAGTTGATATGGAATAGTATCTGCCTTTTTTTTTCTTCAAGCTGCGCTACCACCTACTGCTCCGTACTTGTACCAGCACAAGCAAGAGGATCCTCTGCTTATGGAGGCCGAGATTTGGATTGGTTGGTGGATTTGTTAGTAAGTACATGCACTGTTAGGGGTGGCCTTCCCGCACACAACGCTGCACCGGCTGGCTGCCCACGCGATTGGTAACGGGCAAAAAAAAATTGCTGCATGTCCCGCGATGACAGACAGATGTGAGATGTGATGCCGGGGAACGGATGCTGAAACGACGTCGTCTGACAGGGATGTCTCTGCAGATGGTGTGTCGAGCCAACAAAGTCTCTTGTGGGCTCATCCACTCATGGCATTCGAATCTGATAATGGCAATGGCATCGTATATCATTTCGTAGATGCAGTCAACGATAATGACAACCAGAGCTTGGTCAACGCAACTGATTGATAGCATCCATCTCGTTTTATGTGGAATAGGCAATATCGGTATATGTCGTCTCCTCATTGGAACTTTGCTGCACAAGGTCAGCACATGTTATGTCACTACTACTCACGGCCCTTACCTAGGAACGCGGATATTGCTGCCCCGTACTCTGTACAGCTGGTACTAGGCACATACTACTATGAGCATTGGTAGGTAGTACGACGCAGCTATTGTGCTCCTTGTACCGCCTCGTGCAATAGTTGATGATGGCGTTTCCGGGACGGCACCGCGGCTGGTGGTGGGGCGGGAGTTGTGCTCCGTACGAAGGAAGTGCTATTGTACCACTCCCAATACTCCCAATACTTAGGTACCATGCTAACCCCCATTGTAATTGATCGTATGAATAACGGAACGCAGCGCTGACTACCTGACGAGGGTTGGTTTGTGAGCGGTAGACAAGGGCCATCGCGGGCTGAAAAAATGGCTCTACCCATCAATATTACCTATGCTGTTACAAGGCAGGTAGGTACCTAGTGCCGCAACTAGTATATTCAGCTAGTATTAGAATTTACTACTTGTATGCCAGCTGTTCCTTGTCTATCAGCCGTACTACCGATTAGTAGTACAATACCTAGGTAACGAAGGAGGAGTGCCGGGGATTTTCGGCTCTCGCTGTTACTCAGGCAGCAACACTGGCTTGGAGCTCGGAGCTTGGATGTGTGTTATACGTTGCTATTAGTAGCAACGCATAATGATAACAACAGTTCCAAACTTCAAGTCACAAGCATGGCACAGAGTATCACTGTCCGCTCATATCGCAAGTACAGGTACAAACGACATATGTTGGTAGATTGGGTCGCTGTTCAAAGGCAGCACGGGTCGTGGGGGGAGAGAACCCCCCATTTCCGCATAAGACAGCCTGTGGATGCAGGGGTGGGCGTCAGCAAGACTGCCATGACGCTACTGATAAAGAGTGGCTTGCTTTGTTCACCGCAGATCGTCGACTCACCAAGAGCGGTATCCAGCCCGTCTACGGTAGAGACGACGTCTTTGTTTTTGGCGTGCGAGTACAACTCTTGTTGGCGGTTGTGGCTCTCTCGTCCAGCAGCTGTTCGTCGAGATGGGAGCTAATGGTGGTGTGGTGGACCTGCAACACAGCCGACAGGGGGGTATGGAAGCAACTCGTGCGCCATGATTCAATCTCTGGAGCGGCTCGGATGACAGTGCAGCTGAGAGGCGCAGACCGCCGGCAAGACAGACAGCAAGCAGAGGCAAGACCATGAGGGGCGTCCGAACAGGATCTCTGGGACTCATGTACGCTGACTGGTCGATCATGGTTCGCAGTCAGTTCGACGAACGATGCGCCCTTGTCCTGGCACCGGCTCCTGAGGGCCAGCTCACACACGCACACTTTGCAGGCAAGGTGCAGTAGCCACATGTACTTGTGGCATCCACACCCATTCCTCTCTCTGTGTCCTCCCACGCCTCTCTGCTCGTATTGCTGCTCGCCGGTACCTGCCGTCTATTTGCTTGTATACGAAGTGGCTGCTGAAGCTCTGCGCACAGAGATCGTGTATCGACATTCTTCGCGCCTTGCTACATTCCCGCGAAAAGCAAGAAGCCGAGTGCATGTAGCTTGGAGTTGACCGCCAGTTCGTTCATCGGCGGCCCCGGGCAGCTCCCTGGCGGTGCTGAGAGTCAGCTTGCCTGATCAAACTCCGTTCATCCGCGGCGGCTTGCTTGGTGAAGAATGATGCAGATACAAGTCTTGGGCTCCTGAGGCGACTCTGCAGTGGCTTGAAAGCGTGAGATGGAGTTGTGTAAAACAAGTGAGCCAAGAGAAGGAGAGTGAGAGCGCATTTTTAATGGGTCGTAAGTGAAGTGCTATTATGGGCTGAGGCAGGAATGACTGGCAGGTATCTTACAAGTACTACCACTTGGCTGCTTACACTAATAAACACTACTAGGGGCCATGTACAAGTACCTGACGCATGCGACAAATGCTCGCGTGCGCTCAAGGTATCACAGATTAAGCAGTAGAATCTGTCATTATCTGCTTAAGATTTCCGTAATTGATGCTTGAAAACAGTCCGGTCTACCTCACCTACAGTAAGCGGCAAACTAAATTGGAAGACTCATTTCGGAGCCCATATATGTCACCCTAGGTACTCAAATATGCGTTGCGATTGGCCCTGGCTTAACTTGGAGAATAATGTAAGCAACGATCTGATAAGGATTGACAACTCCTTCCCAAGGTACTTCACATTGTAAACAAGCCTGAGATACAGCAAGTGTGGAAATTGTTTTGTTACTACCAAGGTACCTACCTAGGTACCTACAGTGTAAGAATAACATCTCAAAGGGCTTGAGACTCTGCTAAAAGTTGATAGTATCACAATCTCAATAACCTGCTCATACTTTTGATTACGGATTTAGATAACTAATAACAGATATGTAATAGGTGGCGATCTCTGCTCCCATGTCTTTGTTTGACCCCAGACTCTGATTATCTCGCTTCTGCTCGCTGGCTTGGCTTGACTTTGTTAGGTATTGGGCATGCTGGCAGATGGCTGTTGCTTGTCCAATGCAGGCCTCCCTTCTCTTCTCCTTGCATTGGCTTCTGCCTAATATTACCATGCCGGACAATCATGGCACCCTGCTCCTTGACCATGCACTACTGTATAGGCGCAGAGTTGCGAAAAGTGCCGAGTTCTGAACAGGGCCAGGGGTTGCCGCGCATTCATACAAGTACCAGCATACTTGTAGGTAGACGGCGCTTCCCCGTATCTGGCTCATAGCCTCAAGCAGTAAGTAGTACGGAGTATACGCCCGTCAAACAGAGCCGACAGCCTGGTTACGACGTCAGACTGATCATCTGGTTTTAAACTCGGCTCCCGCAATGTAACATCGTCTGCGGACTTTTTTCTATGTTACTACCTGCTGTTGGACTGGGCTATGCCTGTTCATATACTATGTACAGTATGTAGCTAATCAGGTTAGAGATGTGACAGATCTAGCAGAGGCTCTAATAGCGTCTGGCCATGGGCAAGGGAGTAGCAGTACAAGTCGTTTACGTATCCCATGCCGAGTACTATGGACGATTGAGCAATATATGGTAAGGAGCGTGCTGATAACGGTGGCAAGCATTGCTTTGAACTAGCAGCAATAGCAAGAGTCGTTTATGAAGTACCCAACACTGGACCTATTATCTGGGGTAAGAATGAATTTGCTAGGATCGTTTTATACTTTGTACGTACAAGTACTGTCCGGAGTTCCGCGTTGCCTAAACCAACGACGGCTCGGGGTGCCAAGGCTTTGGACGGAACGTACATCCGAGAAACGATATGTTATAGATGGACTGTGGCAATCCTAAAGACGGTTTCATCTTATATTGCCTCGCAGGTGACTGCATGCAGAGGCAACAGACGTGGCATTCAAAAGAGGCTCGCTCTCTAAGAGTAAAAAGAAGAAGAAGACATGTCTATGAGTCTATGATACTCCTTCAACTCCTTCAGCTTCGGAGCGAGCACATTCTATCTCCGATAAGACTTCTTCACCGCGGTTTTGGGCTTGGCGAACCAAGCTGAAACTAGTCTGCTGACAGCCATTCCAAGTTTCACGTAGACCCTGTTGTGGCGTCACAATACACGTATTGTCATTTGTACATACGGTACATGGAAGCCTGGAGTAGAGTAGATGAGGGAAAAAAAAACAAGAATGCAACTGGGTACTTGTGAAACTGCGAGAGCCGAAACTACCTAAGAAAGCAAAGTAATAGTCGCCGACGACGGTTTAATTAAAATTACGGCAGGGTCTGCCCTGACAATAGAAGGCCTGGTATGGCCTCTCTACCAAATTAGAGCGTAAACTCACTACAACTTGCCTATCTCCGCAGGGATTGACAGCTTGTAGAGGCGAGCACACGCTACAAGTACTAGGGAGCTGCTCCCCCAGTAGAATTGCTATTTACAGGCTAATGGCAAGATGATTGACGGTCATTCCCGTAAGATGATCGAAGCATCCACTACGGCCATATAAGCGCGGTGCTAAACTATGTATGGGCTTGAGGAGCCCCCCTGCTTGGCTAGTTGCTGTATTGCCACTCCATTATTGCAAAGCCTCCAATGCACATGTGCTTTTACATACGACGCCGTTTGACAGCAACCATCTCCCTGTTTCCATCTTCTGCTGTAGTATCAAGGAGAGGAGAGGTTCAACAGAGAGCTGGTCCTTGAGCCAAATCACAGAGATGTTTTCTTTTAGTTAGGAATCACTATTGCGGCACGAGATGACTACGCTACCGCCGGGATCACCTTGAACAAGTCAGACTGTAATATTTGGGGGCGGAGAGCTGTTGATACGAGCCCAGCCCAGCGAACCCAATGGGCACAGTCCTAGCACGAGGAGGATGCAGGATGCCAAACGACCTCATCTTACAGAGGCTGGTTGCGAATTGCGAGCCACTAACAGTCCAGGAGATCTGTCCAGGCCATTTACTTTGTGCCCAGCGGCTCATAAAATGCCCAAGGTACTTGGCTGCCTACATACCCAGCAGACGTTGACAATTGACTCGGGCATCCAGCAATTAGGACCTTTCAATGCATGAAGGCGTGGCCAGGTCAGGTGCTACACTGCATATATCAAATCCCTGGACAAGAGTTGCCTTGGTGGCTTCAGATATACTATACTAGCAATGTAGGGGCAGCAGCAACAAGACAGGTCAAGCCACAGCTCATTGGCAGGCTCGTTTGAAGGCCAAAAGCAAAGTGTACTCCGTACTTGCATACAAGTACAGGCAGTGGTGAGGCCACGGCGAAGGGGCGGCCAGTTGAGAGGAGCTGGACCATAGGGGGCGTGTGCCATGAAACAGTGGCCTCTTTGTCTAATCCCTGCGCTGGCCAGACACAGGTAGTGCCACAGCAGCTGCTAGAACGGATCGAGAGACGGGTTCCCGACTTAGCTCCCAGACAACATGCCAGGATGGAGCTGCTAATCTATCTTTATACCCAAATGCACGGCTGTCGAGGGAGCCTGTAAGGCGCATACAAGTACTTCGAGTTGGAGGGTGCTGTAGGGGATGTAGGGGAGGTACATGTTATACAGGAGCACATGCTTGACGGGGCAGGTACCTGGATGCGTGCTGCGCGGCGGTGGGAGCGGCGGTACCTTGGCCGTTCCTTGGCACGTCCAACGGTACCTGTACTTGTATGTACATCCCTTCTCCCCCATGCACATGCACATGCACCTGCGCACGCACACCAGCAACCCAAAAAAAGAAAAGAAGACGAAGCCATCCACATGTCCACCATCTCCTTGCACCGAATACGTGGTGCTGTGGCAAGAGCTGAGCGGCCATGGCGGTGCGAACGAAGCTCGGGCTCGACGAGGCTTAGAGCGAGGCCGGGCTCCCGACAGCGAGACGGAACTGGAGACGAGGCCTGTCTGTCTGCCTCGCACGAACACAGTCTGCCCAGACGCGTACGGCCCAGTAAGGCGGTGATGCATCTACGGCCACCAAGCTCCGTGAAGCGACGCAAGAGAAGGGCATGGAACCTCACCAGAGTGAATGACGCACGCCGGCACTTGGAACCCACGCCATTGCACGTCTGCTCCAGCAGTCAGCCGCTAGACGAACAGCAGACGACGTGGGCGATCTGGCAACGCTCGGCTGAAACATGCAGCAGGAAGGCCACGATGCTCCAGCCTCCACTCTGGGAACCCAAAGAGGATCCGGGGCCTTTGATTAGCTTTCCATCTGCAGGGCCCTGGTGCATATTCGTGGCCGGTGATGCAATGAGCCTGGCGACCTCTGACGACCACAAGCCACCGCCATGGTGCATCTTGCTCACCGACTTGGACCAAACGTCGACTTGACGATGGCATGAGCTGGAAGGCCGCCAGTGCCTCGAGCAAGCTTCGGTTCTCCCTTTTCTCTCTCTCTCTCTCTCTCTCTCTCTCTCTCTCTCTCTCTTTGCTTTTTTTCCCCCGAGACTATTTGCTGTGGCCTCTGCTGGTCTGGTTTCCGGCCGCACCCCCCTCCCTGCTGCGTTTCTTGGTCCTGCTTCTTCCATTGATTCTCAGGCGCCTTTGGTGGTGATGTCGGCATGGTCTTCAGCCCAGCTCCGTCTCTTTGTCATGCTCGCATTCACACCCTCTTTCTTTTCCTGCTCAATCTCGCGTCTCGCCACTGCCGACAAGCTAACATTTCCCTCTTTTGTATCGGCCTTTAATCAATTGGTTCGTCACGTACCGGGAACTAGCCCTACGTTGTTCGGGCCCTAGCTTGAGTTGAGCCCCAGGCTCTATCGTGCTGCTTGCTTGCTCCTCCATGCATGCAAACCTGTCCTTTCTGGTGGCCTTTCCAAACGACACTCCCCCACCGTTCCCTGCCTCCCCCAGTCCAGCTGGCGTCGAGCAGGCCAATCAGTCCCGGCTGCAGCTTCTGGCTGCTTTTCCAGGTCGACTCCCCCCTGGACGCAACGGCCAGATGCACCATCAAAGTGGCTTCCCGGACTGGCGTCCGCCCTGTCCCCAGCGCTGGGCTCTCTCCACCCCTGCCTGGTCCATCTGACGTTTCCTCTCTCGTGGGACTGGCCAGATGGAACTGAGACTCTCCCAAGGCCTTTTTTTACAAGCACTGCAACCCGATCTAGTGGCAGGGTCCTGGTCTGGCCTTGACGTAGTGGCCCGTTGCCGCCGGCCCCATGCTCTGCTTCATCGGCTCCTCTCATCTCCCCCCCAATTGGCCCCATGAACCCCCCGGGCCACGCCAATCAGTTGGCATTTTTCGCCTTCATAAACACGTTCCCGGAACTGCAAGTCCATTGTATTCACTCCCCGAGACACAAGCACATTCAAGCACAGTTTCTTCTCTCTTCTGCCGTCTTCATCCCTCCTCTTCACGGTACTTGCAAGTCCAGCTACAACCCGAGCGTCTCTTATCATCCTCGACCCTTCAGCTTCTGCGGGCTGTACTCGACTCTGCCAACGCTAGGCAACGATAGGACAACACACATCTTGCTCCCTGCTTCTCTCCATCTTTGACGCCGTCGTTCTGACTTGATACGCATCTCGCACGAGGGTCTGGCCTGTCTGTCTAGGCCCCCTTTACTGCCCTCTGCAACAGCTCTCGCAACAACTGCTACGCCAAGGGGGGGATAAAAAAAGAAAAGAAAAAAGAAAAAAAAAAAAAAAGAAAAAGAAAAGACCAGGAACCTCGAACCGTCTCCAGGACACTGTGTCTTGGCCACAATTTGCTGACAGTGCTTTGCCACCTCACTGGGCCATTACGCCGGCCCTCATCATCGCCTCATTTGCATAGCCCGCGCCGGGGCTTAAGCAGGCAGTCGCTGAGCTGGCTCAACTCCAGAGCCAGTCGCTGCTCTGCCTCCCGCAGGCAGGGCCACCGACGTCGTTCAACGTGGTCGCACACGGCAGTTTCGGCCTGATCCGCGGTCCTGGCGCCTCTGCTGACCGACCCCGTCTGGGCGGTAGAGGCTTGACTACCAGTTCCGTGGATATCGCCTCTCTGCTTCGATTTCCAGCCTCAAACGAGCCCTCCGTGTCCCACACAAGACAGCTTCGACCTGCCTCCGTGCCATCAACTCCTACGACTACTCCTCATGACCTCCTCCCTTCGCGTCTAGGGCCTTTGCCTGTAGTTCCGACGCTCGTCCCGAGCAATCGGCGCAGTATGACACCTCACGTTCCAGACCAGCCAGTCAAGAAACAAAGCAAGTGGTCTCCCGAAGAGGATGCCGTCATTATCGAGCTCCGTGGGAGAGGCATGAAGTGGGAGGATGTTTCCAAGCGACTTCCGGGACGCAGTGCCATCAGCTGTCGGCTTCACTACCAGAACTATCTCGAAAGACGCAGTGAGTGGGATGAGGAACGCAAGAATAAGCTTGCTAGGCTCTATGAGAGGTATGTATGAGCGAGCTACAGCAACGCAAAAGAACCTCACTCCCCTTTTCCCATCATACATGTCTTGGACTTTTCATCCTGTGTTTTACCATCACTGCTTCTTCTCCCCCAATATGGAGCTTCAGTCTCTCTTGTGAACAAGGCTAATATCTAACCATGTACTTGTAGATTCAAATCTGATATGTGGGCCAAAGTGGCTGAAGAACTGGCTGTCCCCTGGCGAGCAGCCGAAGCGATGCACTGGCAGCTTGGAGAGGCGGATATGGCTCGACGGGCTGGAGTAGTTCCTTTCTCTCTCGCTGCCGTCAACAATGAGGCGGCGAGCAACAGGGCCATGGCCAGTCGAAACCAGACGCCGATTCAGCCACTCGATAGTAGCAATCTTCGTGATGTCAAGCCACCGTCTCCTCACTCGAGCTACAGCCGTGGCCAGCTCATGCCCCCCATGACACCTGCACGAACATCTCGAAGAGGACCTATCAACTCTCAACCACCTCCCCCCCCGCATGCGCGACCAATGCTACCTCCCCATCCCCAACACCTGCATCAAACACCCCATTCCTCCCCCCACGCAGTAGTGCCAGGACCAATGGCTCCGCAACAGCAGCAGCAGCAGCAGCAGCAGCCGCCGCCGCCGCCGCCCCCGGCAACTGCCGCTGCTTTGCCACACCCTCATCCTGATTACCGCCGCAGCCCGGGTCCTGGTCTTGCCCCGATTCAACCTCACCCTCCATCTCACCACGCCGGCCCTCTACCAAGCCTTGCACAGTTGACTACAGGTATGAGTCCGTATGGCCCGTCAAGCGGACCACCAACACCAACATCTCTGCCTGCGATCAATAACCCTTCGATGCCTCGTTATTTGCCTCTGGAACAAACTGGAACAAAGCGGCGAGCGAGTCCTGATATGACAAGGCCAGATGGTGCTCATAGGCGAAGACTGGCATAAACAACCTACTCTTGCTCACCTACCAAACGATTTCATATATGTTGCAAAGAAGGGAAGAAAGGCGTGTATGTGGCAAGCGAAAGTTGTTGGGATTTGGCCACTGAGAAAGACGAGGAATAACAGAAAGACAAAAGACAAAAAAAAAAAGCACTGGTTATTCATTCGTTATTTGGACAAAGGCACACGCTTTAATGATTCAACGAATAGCATGCATTGGGACGGATATGCACTGCAATATCAATAGACGGGAAATACGGAACACGGTTCATGGGACAACATATTACTCACTGACACGGACGGATGGTATCAACAGTACAAGTACGCCCGGTCACAGACACTAAGACAGCCTGCTATTTGTTTTGTTTTCTGATGATTTGCTTTCCTTTCCTCACATTTCTTTCCTAGATTTGATTTTCTGTCATTATTGTACCAGCTCTCTGTCAATCAACTTCCGCACTCTTTTTTTCTTTTTTTTTCTTTCTGGTTATTATTTTCCGGTCTACGGCTAGAGGCGCTTCTTGGAATAAAGAAAAACTACACAGACTCTGGGCTTTTTTTTTCTGGTGGGTTTTGGTTCATGACACAGGGCTTTTCTACTATGGCTTTAGAGGTACGGACCAATGGCAGCTGATGGGAAGACTCTTTTTCTTAAAGGTATCCGTGTTGAAGTATTCAAGGGGGGGGGGGGGGTTAGGAGGTGATGAAGATGTTTTGAAAGGGCATGAAGCGAAAGGGCGTTTTTTTTTTCTTTTTGTATTCTTCTTCTCTTCTTTCTGCTTTTGGGGAGAGAATGGCATTGGGCATACACTGGGCATAAAACTTTTTACTGGTTTGTACTTGTTCTACTCGATTTAGCTAGCATACGGCATATCTGCAGCGTTTACTTTGTATCAATCAAATTAGCTATCATGATTATCATTATCAGAAACATTGTGCGTTTTTTGCAAGTCTTGGTGATGTTGGGTATAGTCTTTCTTTCTTTCTTTCTTTGGCTCTCATGTAACAGCACGCCTCATGATTCCTCACTGCTACATATCACCCACCAGTTATCCTTCTCATAGCCGCTCTCCACGACGACTCCGCCCGCAGCCTCGGCGTCCTCCTCCAGCTCGCCCTTTCGATACAGGTGGTAATACCGCTGATACGTGGCATCGGGCTTGCCCTTTGAGCGCATCACCCACGGCACCAGCGCATCCTGCTGCGAGCCTTCGTCCCACCCCCTGCGACTGGTGCTCTGCTCCAGCGCCCACGCATAGATGAGCACTTTCCCACCGGGCCTCACGCAATTCAGCAGCGCGCGGATGCACTCGCGCCGCCGCTCGGCCGTGGACAGGTGGTGGATGACGGCGACGCAGATGACAAAGTCGACGGAGCGCTCACGGTAGGGCAGGCTCAGGGCGTCGGCGACGACGACCTCGCCGCTGCGCTCGGACCGGGCAAGACGCACGAGCTCTTCACTGCGGTCGGAGCCGAAGATGTGCAGCGTCGGGTTGACGGGGAGATACTTGCCGTTGCCGCAGCCGACGTCGAGGCCCGTGGCGCCCGGGGGCTGGGCCGTGAGGAAGGAGGCGATTAGGGGCCAGGGCTTGTGGCGGGTTGACGAGAAGTGCGGCGCGATGGCGTTGTAGACGGAGTGGACGTGGGTGGCCTCGTAGGCTTCTGCTGAGGAGGGAGGGTTGTCCATTTGTGCTGTATGTATGGATGTATAATGAATCTTTTTTTCCTTCTTGTTTTAAGATTGGTTGGTTTTTGTGAGCAAGTGGGTTGCAGTTTTTGACTGGGGGTGTTGTTGCGTATGTGAGTGATGAGGGTGAGATGTGAGCGAGATCCGGTTGTGAGAATGGATGCTTTTTTTTGGTGTTATGATGACTTATCAGATTGAAGGTGCAATTTTTTTTTTTCCTTTAGATGCGGCCGGGGAGATTTTAGCTTCTCCCCTAAAACACGGGCCGTGGCTTGCGTAAGAGCCGTAGCTAGCTGTCAATGCATTCAGAAATAGATGAGTTTTGAGCTTGAAGCTGGCTGCTTCTGTAACAAAGATGAGAAAATCGGCTTGTTTTGGTGGTTTCACTGCATTTTCTCAGACATGGTCGTCGAAAAAAAAAAGTCTGCGATTAAAAGGCTAAGCGGCTAAAGAGGGCGTTGGAGAAGATGATTAGAACTATGGGGTGTGCATATAACCACCTGGTAGCATCCCACGCCTAAATCGCGTGGGGGAGGGATTGAAGCTTATCTTCCGCCGGTGTTGATATACATAACCGTGTAGGTCGTATTTTCTGCGTGGGCAATCGATTTTCGTCTTTCTTTGATGATCGCCCGGGATAGATCCTTGCTTTCATCGTGTGTTGGTTGACGTCTTTTATTATTTTTTTTCCTTTTTTCCTATCTCATTGCCGTGAGGTCGTATTGTTCGGTGGTATTGGGGGGACCCCTGGTTCTGAGGGCGTTTACAGATCGGAGGGGGCCATGGACCATGGATCATGAAGGACAAAAGTGCTCGGTGGGTATTCGAGAATGACAGCCAGGGATGAAGCTCATCTACTTGGAGGCTGCGGGTTGCTTGCCTTGCAGGTGATATTATGTGATGATGATGCCTGTATGAAGTAAGCAGCATAGGCGAGTGTTGCCCGCAGGGGATGTTGGATGATGCGCAATATTGATTAGTTTTTGAGTAGGGGAATAGGCACTATCAAGTCAACATATTCCTGACTCGCTCTCCCGTCTATATCTTACATATGGGGGCTTTTTTTTTCTTTTCTTTTCGTGAATCTCCGTTTTCCTTGCCTTTCCTTGTTAAGAAGATGGCAGCTTCTAGTTCTGTTAATCTTCGCCGTTTGCAGCGCTTGTATCCAGCATATACTTGTCGCCGTCACTTCTCGTATACATCACCGCCGTATTCAAGGTTCTTATGCATACATGTACTTCTGCTGTAATCGGTCCCTGTCAATCACTTTATTATATTTTGGCTTGGTTCACGTAATTGCTTGCAACTTCAGGCCTATTAATTCCCCGTACCCACAGGCCACTCGGCCAATTTTACATTTGATGGCTTCATTGGTTTCCCGTGTTCAACGGGCTCTTTGGATCATACACATCAGTCGTAATCAGCTCCGGGTACTCAATGCCACCCTGCTTCAGCGCCGCCTCCATTGTCTCCATAATGACGATGCTCTCCGTCCAGGGCAGCGTGGCGCTCTCCTTCTTGCCGTCGCGCAGGCATCGAGCGCACTCGTCTGCCTCCCAGAACATGCCGTGGCCCCAGCCATTGCGTGCTGGGTCCCCGGGGATGGGGCAGTCGACCAGCTGAGACTCGCCGTTCTTCTTGACGACCTTGTACTTGAGGGGTCGGAACGCCGGGAAGAAGACTTGGATTTCTCCTTCTGACCCCTGGATTCGGATGACCGGGACGGCGTCGTTCTCGGGGTCGGAGTGTGCTCGCAGCGTGGTTGTGGCTACGCCCAGGGAGTTGTGCCGAGGGAACTGGCAGATGATGGCCGTGTTTTCATCCGCACCGGTGGTGTACTTGTTGCTGGCGGCGACCACTGTTGGCGCCTCCTTGTCCTGCTCTGGCTGTAGGTGGTACAGCGTTTGGAACACCCAGGTCAAGGGATACACGCCGAGGTCGAGGATTGCGCCGCCGGCGAGATCAACATTGATCATGCGATGAGAATCCGCAAACGAGAGGCCCTTGCCTTCAGCTGCATTCGAGTTGAATGACAAGTCGCCTGTATTTAAAAATAAATAAGCAGTCTCCTTGGAAATCACAAGTCAGTTACACTCACCAATTGTCCGATAGACGGTACCAATCTCGCCCGATGTGATGCGCTTCCGGATCTGGATGCTCAGCGGGAAATATCGAGTCCACACAGCCTCCATCAGGAACAGATTCTTCGCCTTGGCCGTCTCAACGAGCTTTCTGGTCTGGGCGGCCGTGACGGTGAAGGCCTTTTCGCACAGGACGTGCTTGCCGGCTTCCAGCGCCAGCATGGCGTTCTGGAAATGGTGGCTGTGAGGCGTTGCGACGTAGACGATGTCAATGTTGGGGTCGGCGACAAGCTCTGGGTACGATCCATATGTCTTGGCGTCAAAGGCACCGTCTATCGTCTTGAGAAACTCTTCTGCCCTCTTCTTGCTGCTGGAGGAGGCGACGGCAACAATCTCGTGGCGCACGTCATGAGCGTCTCGAACTTTGGGGTCGCACAGAAGGTCCTTGCAGAAGGCTGTTATCATGGCATTAGCTGATGATTGCTCTCTTTGAAATGGGGTTGAAAGACAGGATACTGACTCTCTGCAATGCCGCCAGTGGCCATGATGCCCCATTTCACGGTGTAAGGGTTTCCTGCAGCCATTGTGGAGGGTATATTGTTTAATTGCAGTTGTTAGAAGGATGTGCTACGACTGATGCGTCAAGAGAGATTCCGCGACCTGAGAGCGAGGTTCTACGGATATTTATATACACTAGCATCGTCCAGCACTCTCTTCAGCAAACCTGGGCTTTTGTTTGCAAAGTACGCCGTCACTCAAAAGCCCGCGGCGAAGCGATCCACTGCGAACTGGTCGATCTCGCCGTCGCCAATAAACGGCCGCCAATGGTGCGGACAAAGTTGCCCCGCGGCAACTATTTCTCTCTCTGTCGACCACACAACGGCGTCCGCTAGAGCTTACAAATTACCAAATTCGAAACCTCTCCTCAGCTGTTCGTTATTGCTGTATGGCAAAAAAGCTACGTTAGCGGCGGGGAATGGAACTCGGCTTGGTGGGGTTGCAACATGCGATCCAATTAGGCTCATAGAACGGCGTCATTTTTTCCATGTCCATTATCCCGACAGTATATCCGTAGTTCGTGGGGCCGATATTTGGATGATGAAGTGAATGCACTTTTCAGGAAACTTTGACCGTGGAGCCGAATTTTGACGTCAATGTCGATAAAAGATGAGGTTGAAGATGATGCTAAAAGGGTAAAATTAAGCTCATTTTATTCGACATCAATATTATATAACAAGCTTATACGGAATGTGGCAAGACATGTGCCTGACGTGACCTCGTAACATGTATATTGTCTGTTTCCCCGCGTCTGAAGCTCCGCTGTTGAGTGCATGAGACTGATACTCTACCAGCTCCAGGCCGATAAGCCGATAGCAGTTGTTTATCCATCGCCTTTCGTACCATGATGCAATTCTGCTAAATGGCATCTTTGTCAATGTAGTCTTGTCATCCATCAGCGATCCCAGCGTCATGGCTCGACCATCTATTGGAGCGCAGGCCTCTCGCCTTGCGCGAGATCTTCCTCTGGGAATATCATCAACATCCTCCCGGATTCCAAAGCTGGTCTATGGCACCGCCTGGAAGAAGGACCAGACCGCAGACCTAGTCTATCTGGCTCTGAAAACAGGCTTTCGGGGCATCGACACTGCGGCCCAGCCGAAGCATTACGATGAGCGCGGCGTTGCTACTGGAGTTCGACGGGCTATAGGAGAAGGAATAATTAAACGCGAGGACCTATTCGTATGTTTTGACCATGATTCTATGTTACTCATGAGGTTTCTTTCAGCTAAACCATGGATTTGTAGATTCAGACCAAGTTCACCTCGCCAGCGGGGCAGAGTGACATTGCTCCATACGACTTCAATGCCCCGCTGGCTGACAAGGTCCATCAATCGGTGCAGTCATCTCTCGCCAACTTTACGATTGATGGCCAAGAAGCATACCTGGACAGCCTCGTGCTGCATTCCCCCATGGACACGATCCAAGAGACGATCACCGTGTGGAAAACTCTCGAAACGTATACTCCGCACAGAATTCGCAATCTCGGCATCTCCAACACCACCTTGCCGGTCTTGCAGGCTTTATTCAACGACATGAGCGTCAAGCCGGCCGTTGTGCAAAATCGGTTCCATAACAGGACTGGTTACGAGACTGATCTTAGGGCATTCTGTCGCGAGCAGAAAATTGTGTTTCAATCATTTTGGACAGTCTCCGCCAACAGGCATCTTCTTCAATGCAGCCCCGTTCGAGAGGTGGCACAAAAGGTCGGAGTGGGAGCGGTTGCGGCGTATTATTCCATGGTGTTGGGTCTTGGGGGAACGACCATCTTGGATGGAACGACAAGTGAGCATCATATGAAGGAGGACTTGGAGGGAATAGAGGCTGTGGGTGTCTGGGCAGAGGGACAAGGGGCTTCTGATTGGGCGTCTGCGCTCAGTAGCTTCAAGAAACTAATTGGTGAGTTGTAGCCCTATGCAGGTGACATAACACTGCGAGTTTACAAATCCACCCTCGTAACTCTAAGCGTCTTGCCGATTCGAATGGGGAATCATGTACGAGTATAGTCTACCTATTCAGCAATACAGCAAGGATAAACGAGAATATCTTGGGATATCTTTGAGTACATGTCCAAGTCTAAATGTCTTTCGCAAATGTGTTCGCTACAATAAAGGGGAAGCAAGCCGTGGCTTCCAAGTATACCTATTTGCTTCGTCTCAGCTTATATCCATAAAATTGCAAGACAAAAGACATGGGGTGCTTACCTTGACATTATCTGCTCCAATTTTAATCTTGCCCCATGATACGGCCTCATCCGGACGAGCACCGGCGTCACTGCCGTCGAATTCTTGGGCCGTGTTGATGTAGACGGCTGATTCCGCGCCGTTTCTCATCAGGCATGCGTTTGCAATGTGGTGCTTGACCACTCCACCTCCCAGGATAATCATTCCTGCTCTCTTTGCTCGCACGGCAATGGTGTTGATACGGCGGATATCTTCCACGAGGTCGACTCGCAACTGCTGTGGTGAAGTTTTGAATGTGTGAAAGTAGAGCATATCTCCAAGGCTGCCGTCCGTCAGGGCAGGGCAGAAGACGGGAATGTCGTTCTTGTACGCCCAGTAGTATACCGAGCGCTCATCATTAATCTCCTTGCCAAGCCGGTGGATAACCTTGGATGGCGTCCAGTGAATCTCGTCTTCCGTTCCTTTGCTGGCTTCCTGTTCCTCCAGCATCTTGTCAAAGATGGGCACCACCCAGTCCTCAAAAGCGCAGTAGTTTGCGTTGGGAACCACGAGGTTTCCGATGCGGTTGAGGCCCTTTTTTCGAAGACTCGCGCCGTCTGCGCTGAAGGAGCTCATGTATGTTTCGCCGAGACACTTGATGAAGTCCTCCTCAACTCCTCCTGCTGTGGTCACAATAGCTGAGACATGCTTGTGCTCCACCAGCCACCGAAAGACGCCTCTTAGACCGGATGAGATTAGGTTTGAGGTGTATCCCAGGAAGATGGTAGTCTTGTCCCCTGTTTCAGGGTCTCTCCAGGCTCTCTTGATTGGGCTGTTAGCCATGCAAAGTCAGCTGTGTCGAGGCTCTCTCTTTACTAACCATGTCGTTGATGATCCTGATGGCCTCACTCATCGATGTTGCCTGAAATCCCATGTTTCTCATGCCAAGAAATAAATCCTCTGCGGTAATGGGCCCCTTTAGTTTGTTGAAATCAAGTTCTTCTACCTTTTGGGCGTCCTTTGGCATTTCTTCCGACTTGACGAGCACCGCATTGGTGACCTCGGCTGGAGGCGCATTTGCGTTGCCGTTGTCAGCCATATCTGGTATGCGATATCCTTGCAAGTGGTAAAAAAAAAAGATAAAAGGCCTTTAGATGCTCAGGATGAAATGATTTAAGAATGAAGTGTTCTAATCTCTATAGAGGCCTGTCAACTTCAAGATGGATAGAAATACTTTACGCCTCTCTCTATATTTGCACAGGTCGCGGGTAGCCTCATCCGTCAAAGGATTTACTCTTAAAAATTAAAGAAAAAAATCCATCAGCAACGGGGCTAGTCCCACAATTGCAGTGGTTGTCCGGCAGTGCCAGAAACATCAAACCGAATTTTTCTCGACAGCGCCAAGGCCCCCGCCTAAAACCGGGGTGCCTTAATCACAGCAGAGCCCCCGGAAGGGACTAGCGCCTCGCGGCAAAGAGGCTAGGCCTGTCCAAGCGCCACGCGATCTGGATGTATTTTGAAGTCTCACGGTGGACCTCGACATCTTCAGCTCCTTCACCCTTCCAGCCACAACGGCTATTTGCATCGATTCGCCTGGAATAGTCTGCGGCGTCGCGGCCAGACATTGTCGGATTGTCGGCTGGGCTTTGCATCCTGATTTTCTGCTGTTTGGAGGGTTCTGGCCCCCTGGATTCGACCTCGCCGGACCCCCTGTGCTTGGATTCGGGTACAGAGGCACGTTAGCCGAACCGTTGAGCCCATTGGAGTCCCCGTGGCCAACAACAAAGAAGCCCGACTTCACGCAGCGAATCCATCGCCAGCTCTGGTTTCGCGACTCCATCGCCAGCTCTGGTTTCGCGACTCCATTTGCTTTTGGATGGGACCTGCGGAACATCTGCAGGGTCTCATCCGGCACTGGCCCGCCACACATCATGTACGTACCGCGCTGGAATCATCTACTCTACCCACCAGGTAACGGTGCATTGTCGATGGCCACGGTTGGCGCCGCGCCCGTCGTCATCAGAAGCGAGGATAGAGTTCTGCAAGCACCGGACTGGGGCATCCTACTCACGCTGACAACTGTTTTAGGACGTCCAGGTATTCAAGATACGATGGGGACCGGCGGTCTAGGTCCCCTCGAGATCGATCCCCAGCGGATCGCTTTGACCGACCGCCGCACTTCAACAATGACGGTGACAGGCGTCGCTCATCCGCAGAAGCACGAACGAATTCGGCACCGTTTCCACCAGGTAGAGATCTGTTCGGAGACCAGATGCGCAGAGAGCCGCCGCGCGGTCCCAAGGCCCTTATAGATGCGCCTGTCGGGCCGAGAGGAGGCGGATTTGGCGGCGACTTTAGAGGCGGAAGAGGGCGCGGCAGAGGAAGAGGATGGGGAGGACGAGACGATAGCCGTGATCGAGGGAGAGATCGAGATGTCGACTTTCGAGACCGCTATCGAGACGAGAGAAGCCGAGAACGTGACCGGGAGCGAGATAGAGACTGGCGCGACTCGAGAGACTTTAGGCTGCGCAGATCGCCAATCGGGAGAGCTCGATCACCAACGCGAGATGGGCGAGATTTTCGGGATCGTGATCGGGATATACCTCCAGGTCTAGATGCAGACAGATCTCGACGTGGCTCCCGTGATGGTGGCCCCCCATCGGCAGGCTCTTCAACATCAGAGCCTCCATTTGGCGTGTTGCCATTCCCTCGAGGAGGTGGATTCCGTGGACGAGGAAGAGGTGGAAGAGGAGATTGGGGTATGGAAAGAGGTCGTGGCCGAGTCCCCTACGACGATCGCGGCGACCGCTACATGCGCAGCCGCTCTCAGGAAGGGCGCTGGGCTCGTGAGCGTGACGAGCGCGAGCGGAACGATAGGCATCCTGATGCTGATGTGCGCCGTGACCTTCACATCGATAGAGACCGAGGAGACCTTTTCCGCCCGAAGATGGCAGCCCAAGAATCTGCCGCGCAGGTCAAAGACGTCTCACCTCTTCATGTGACACCTTCGGCCCCGGCATTCGAGCCTGCGCCAAATCGGGCTCCGGCTACGGGTACAGTTTCGGGTGTTGGTGGCGAGGTGCAGGCGGCGCAGACGCAGACGCAGACACAGACGCAGACGCAGACACAGACGCAGACGCAGGCTGCCCCTAGCATAATTACAGCCAAACCGCCACCAACGGCCCCACGGGCATTTGGAGAACGTCCAGTTTCTGCAGGGCAGGCCTCCACAGCACCAGCTTCTTCAGCCCCTGAGATTCCACTGCCTCCCACTGGGCCATCGAAAATCGGCGCACCTCACGACAGTCCCCCAAGAGGGACACCTGTAGGTCCCCGGCTTCAACAACAGCCCAAGGTTACCCGCCCCTCTAGCAAACAATGGATCAACCCAAGCTTGAAGAAGCCGCCGCCACCGCCAGAATCACCAAAGGTGGCGAGATCGCAAAGCTTTGCTCAGCAGCGGCCTATCCCATTACAACGAGACATCTCTCAAGTCGAACCGTCCGAACCTAGGCGACCGCGTAGTAGCGATGCAAAGTCGGACTCTTACTCCGGGCTAGATAGTAGACTGCGAGCCCATCACAGCGAAGAACCGGGCGAGATAATCACAAGGACCGAAGACGAAAAGCCGAGCGACATTGACGCAAAAGCCGAGCCTGAGAAGCCTGAGACTGAGAGAATGGAATCAGTTGATTACGAGCCACCTGAATCAATGGAACTGGAGGTCAAGCCTTTGGATAACTTGGAGCAACTTGCTGTCCCTTCTACTACTTCCCCGAAGCAGGAAACGCTTCCTAAGCAAGACTCACCTCCTAAAGCTCAGGAGAATGAGACGATTGAGGATACGAAACCTTCTGCGGAAGCAGCCACGGAACAACAACAACATAGACGACTCAAAGTGCGCGCCGTCCGGTTCGCTCTGCCTCCAAAGAAAACTGCGCAAGAGGAACCTCCTGAATCTGATGATGAAGACATGGGCGATTATTTCGACATGGAAATCAACAAGACTGAAGCTGAATTGAACAAATTGCAAAGACCAAAGACACCAGTTGAAGTTATTAGGCGCTTTATGAGTTTATCTCATGGAGCAATGGTACAGATACTCAATGAGGGAGAGGGACTCTCTGAGATGCTAGGCGATATACCAGAGAACCACGAGCCGGAGAGCAAAAAAATGGAAGTGGAACCCGCTGTACAAACAGAAGAAGCGCCTGCTGTTCCCGACGAACCTCTTCCCTCAAAGGAGATTGAGGAAATCAATCACGAAAAGGAGCCCGTCAGTGACCATGACCGACTTGAAAAAGACACGGTTGAGGAAGATAAAGAGAAACCTGAAATTGCAACAGCCACACAAGAGGTAGAGGATCTCCAGCCAAAAGCCGAAGAAATGGACATCGATAACGAACCTACAATTCCGCCTCCCGAGCCTAAAGATGTTCCTGAGCCTGTAGCCGAAATTACAGCAGATGAGTCTACTATGAAAGAGGACAAAGAAGTTGAGACCGAACCGATCAACGAACAGGCTCCAGCACCTATCGAAGAGGTTATCAGTCCGGCGAAACCAGCTGAAGTAGAGCCCAAAGCTCCAAGCACCCCATCTCAAATACCAGATGAGGATGATGAGACTGAAACTGAAGACGAGGCTTATATGGAGGCTCAAGCTGTCGCGGCCGCTGAGACAGTCCGTCGATATATGTCAACGCCACCCATCGATAGTCTTCCTGACTTTCAAGGTCCAGTGTGGTATCAAGATAAAGAGTTTTTGGCATCGCTGGACTCAGATCCAATCATTGACGATTTTGTTGCTGAGCATCTTGCAAAAATCCACTTTGATAGATCGGCTGAGCAACGGCACGCGCAACAGATCTATGCAGACAACTACATGCAGTACTTGAAGTACACCTTGTCTGATGATCCTGTGGCGACAAAAAGCCGAGACAAATTTTCTGTTGCAGCCCCCTCTGAGACTACAGGTACTGTGACACCTGAGCATAAGCCAGAAGGGAGGGGTACAGGTAGGAGATTCGCCACCGAACGCGATCTCGAACGTGTGCTTCAGGCGTCCATGCGAGAAGACGAAGAGAGAAAAGAGCGAGAATTGCGAATCCAGCAGGAGAAATATCGCAGCGATAAGGAGGCTGTTATTCCAGACATGTACTGGGACGATCTGGAGAAGCAACAGGTTCAGTATATCGATCGATCAGGGTATACGCCTCTAGATAGGCTTGTTTCAGCATGGCACATACTCCCTCCCTCTAACAATTTCACTGCAGAGGAGGCACAGCTCTTTGAGAAGCGTTACCTAGAGCTTCCCAAGCAATGGGGCAAGATCGCAGAGGTTCTTCCAAACCGCGACTTCCACTCCTGCATTCAGTACTACTACCTGATGAAGGGAGAGCTAAATCTTAAGGAGAAGCTGAAGAAGCAACCCAAGAGGCGTAAGAAGGGTGGGCGAGGCAAGCAGAGGTCCAGCGCTCTGGTTTCGGAGCTCGGCAACGGCGAGCCTGAAGCCGAGGAAACGCCCCAGGAAAATGGAGAGAATGGAGAAAGGCGAAGGCCACGAAGAGCTGCCGCTCCCACATGGGGGTTCGAGCAACCTACGACGGACGGCGAGAGCACTCCTGCTGCTACTCCAGGGCGACGCGGGGCATCTGCTGCTGCCAAGGGCGACCAGCCGGAAAAGGTAGACGGCCGGAAAAGGAGAAAGCCAAGAGACAAGGACAAGGACAAGGACAAGGACAAAGAGAAGGACAAAGACGCCAAAGCATCCAAGCCAAACCAAGTTCTCGCGGCAGCGCCCGGCCCCAGCTCCGGGACAGGAAAGGGAAGAGGCCGAGCCGAAGCCCGCCCAGTGGCCGCAGAATTCCTGCCAGCTCCTCACCCGCTCTCCGACCCTCATCGTTTGCCGGTACAGTTTGAACAACCGCTGCCCGCAGGTATCCAACCGCCATTTGTTGTGCCACAGCCGCAACTAATGGACAGACCGAAGCCTGCCGTTACTTCCATCAACGAAGTTATGGCGGCTCCATCGCTTCGGCCTGAACCGCCCCCACCCCCTCCATCCTCTATTACTACTTTCAACTTGCAGCAGCCCATTCCTGAACGAAAGGCAATGTCACAAGCAGCATCAAGTTATTGGAGCGTTTCGGAAGCTAATGACTTCCCGCATTTATTAAGGGCATTTGGTACCGATTGGTCTGCAATTGCCAAGTATATGCAATCTAAGACAACTGTCATGGTATGTTCCCCCCGATACTATTGTGAGCGATAGATTTACTAATACAACAAATGAATCTAGGTCAAAAACTATTATGTGCGGCAGAAAGACTCAGGGAAACCCGAGTGGGAGGTAATTGCTCAGGAGGCTGATGCGAAGCGAGCCAGGGGTGAAAAGAGACCTGATCCCCCTGTCCTCAGCAGTGGTGGCCGTGGTAGGAGGTTCGAAAGCACTGCGCCTGGCACATCACGACCTATCGCGGTTGCTCCTGGAGCAGTCGAACCTCACGTGGATCTACCACAGCCCAAAGTTGAGCCTGCACCTCCTCAGCCATTGCGGCAGCAGCATATCGCTACTTATGGTGTGCCAATTGCCCAGGCTCCGGCCCAGGCTCCCCTCGCGCAGCCTAACCAGATCCCTCTTGCTGTACCAGCTCATCCGGTGCCTCAAGGGACACAACAGGCCATATCTCCAAACGCCCGCTCCATGCATCAACAACTGCCACATTTCGGCTTCCCGGAGAGAGAGCGCGATCCCGCACAATCTCAGCGAGTGCCGCTTCCGCAAAAGTCTTCTGTCAATCAGGTTCCGGAGCTTCGAGATCCACGCCCACTGTCTGTGGCACAGCCGCTTCAGCCATCGCACCCTGAGGCTATCGCTGAGCGTGAGCGCACTGCTCAGCTTGAGCGGATGAATGCGGAGAAGCGGTATAGAGAGCAGCAAATGCAGCAGCAGCAACAACAACAACAGCTCCACCACCAACATCAACATCAGCATCACCAGCAACAGCAGCAGCAGCAGCAGCAGCAGCTCATTCGAGAAAGAGAAATGGAAATGGAAAGGGAAAGAGAGAGAGACCTCCGACAAGCAGAACAACAGTCGATGAGAATGAAACAAGAGCCCGAGGCACCACTTCAGCACCGTTACGACCCTTACACCCATCGCCAGCAGCTCAGCCATGGCGGAGGCCCTCGCGAGCCCTTCTCACTGACAAGGGCGCCATCTCAAGAGCCCTCGCGTTCTGTTGCTCCTCAATCGTACCCTGCTCCTGTATCGCAGCAGCCAATGAGGCCATTGCTTTCGGAACCTGTAGCAGTACAATCACCGCCATTGGCGCCTCCGTCTTCTCGACCGACTCAAACCCCTCAGCCAAGGATGCCCTCAGGACCTCCGCATGAGCCTTATGGGGTAGCTGCACCACCACCGAATGCTTCTTCCATATCTCCACACACGCCGGTACGGCCACCTGAACCTAGGAAGTCCAACATTATGTCTCTCTTGAACGATGACCCTCCGCCCCCTAAGCGGGTTGCTGAGGTCACCAAGAGTCATACGCCTGTACCGTCGTCGACACCGCCATCTCAGGGTATCGGCAGGCCGCCTCCGCCAGCATCCGGGCTTCCACAGGGCGCCCCAGTTCGTCGGGAAACAGATGCGCACTATTCTCCCTACTCGCGGACGCCATCTGGCGGAGCATCAGCCATGCCACCTCTCAAGCCTCCTTTTCCCGCCTCGTCGGCTTCCTCACAACATATGAGTGGACATCGAAGCATGCCATCTGATTCGGCTGTGGACATTGATTACTACCGATCTCATGGGTATCCGCAGAGCCATCCAGCGAGTGGAACGAATTCTCCTCAAACATCGCATCGATATCCTCCACCTGCACAGCCAGCTCAATCTCAATACCAGTCTCAGACAGGCTATCCTACAGCATATGGGGGAGCTTCTCAGCCGACGCATATTACCTCACCGCCGGCTCAGCCATACGCAGTTCACTCGTCGTCTAGGAGCCGCGAGATTCTTCCGAGCAGCCGCGACAATGCTTGGCCATCGTCTGGCCACCAAGCGCAGCCTTCTGATGTTCGGCAACAAAGCAACAGCTGGCCAACTCAACCTCCGAAAGCATCACAGGCTCCTCCACCGCACTCGCAGCAGGCTTGGGGATCTCAGCATCCCTCAACAAAGCCAGGAACTCCGGGACCAACATGGTCAGCGGCACCACCACCGCAACAGCATCTGAGAGACGAACGCGGACCTCCTTCAATATACGGACAAGGTGCTTCTGGATTGCCGCAGCAGCACGGAATGCAGTCTAGGTACCCACCAGCTACTCGAGAACCGCTGCCCTCCGCTCCCCAGCCATACTCGCGATATGCATCAACGCCGGGCCCGCCGCCTCCGCGAGATCCAAGAGAACCTCCGCCGGGCCGAAGCTACACCCCTAGTGTCTATGATACACGAGGGCCACCACCTGCGCAGTCACAAATGCATGGCTATCCAGCGCCAGATCCAAGAGACATGCAGCTTCGGGACGCAAGAGACCCGAGAGATCATAGAGATCCAAGGGACCAGAGGGATCCAAGAGATCCGAGAGACGTGCGTGATATGATGAACAGAGGTTATGACCGGCCGCCGCCAGACAGCAGATATGGGCGATGAGCATGTTCTTTTTTTTTTTTTTTTGAAGAGTCAATGAGAGGTATAGCAATATAGTACCATATTTGTTTTCGCTACAATTATGTATTTGCCTGATTACAATCTTTCAATTTTCCTCCCACTATTCTTATACGCACCATTTCTTTCTTTTTTTTTTTTTTTCCATTTCATCGATCATCTACGAAATTGCCACGTTCTATAGATGGGGGGTCCTCTGGAGGAAAAACAAACGATACATAAAGGCATTCGTTTGGGTTGGTGAAAAACAACAGGAGACTGCAAACCGAGGGGGAAAGGGGCAAAGGACCGGCGAAGTTGCTTGTGTATGGTGCGGTTTTTGTTTTCGGCTGTCTTTTACGAAATGCAAGTAATTGATTGCTTTTTTACGTTTGGGACGGCTTTTGTATGATATTGTTTATCTTGATTATGAGATATAGCTTATATATATATAAAGATGTATGAATATTGCTAGAAACCTGTATTGTGAAACTATCATAACCTAGGTACTATTGGTAGATGGTGCTGCATCTAGATATGAGGCATGTTGTAGTTGGCAAGTTGGGTTCAGCGATTGGTGGGGCTATCAGCTGCTAAATGTTTAAACTAGCTGCAGCTACTAGTTCATCTCCAAATAGCTTCTGGCGCGTCGCGCAACCCCAACTTATGCTGCATCATACCAAATATTTCACTCTATTCCAAGCTACTTTCAAAGACTGCAAAAAACGATTCAGTGTATCTAAAAAAGCAGCTTCTGCATCTCCGCAATGGACACTCGCAACACCGCCAGCGGCTCAAACAGCAGCAGCAGCAGCAGCAGAGCATATTTCGAACAGCAGCGAGAAGTCCTCATCGGGGACATTGCCGAAGTATGCGAAAAAACCCTTTTGTCTCCTCTCCCCCCAAGTCACAGGTACATCAGGAGCTAATATCATGGGATGTGGTAATGCTTAGAGCTTCGAACAAGTCCTCTCCAGCATAAACAAACTGAACCGATCGCTCGAAGCAGTCATTGCTGTACGTTTTGTTTCCCTCCGAATGCAAACGCCTGGAACAAAAACGCCCCCCAAAAGAGACAGGGCGAAAACAAGGCTCATATATCCTAGGTCGGCAATGAATTTTCCTCCGTAGAAGCCCTCTGGTCACAATTCGAAAACGTCATGGCCAAGGACGAAGACGGCAACAAAGCAGCAGCAGAGCACCAAGGCGACGAAACACAAGCCGAAGAAGAAGAGACACGACACGAATGAGTTTATGATACCCACATATGGAAGAGAGAGAAAGAGAGAGAGAGGGAAAAGGCACGCTTCATACAAACAAACGAAAGATTATACTATTGCTACTACACGCACGTAAATGAACAAGATACCCCAAACTACCGAGTACCCCAACCAATCTACGCAGCGCATAAATCTACACTATCTCTACAGTACGACCACTAGATCGGAGAGGAAGAAAAAATATATAAAGACAAAAGGGGCCAGAAAGGAGAGACAGTCGGTAGGGCGAATATGATGATTTTTTATGTCCCCAATCCCAAGCCTGATTGAACTCAACAGTATCATGCTACATAAGAGAAAAAAAAAACGCAAAGTGGATAGAAAAAGCGAGACAAAAGAAAAAGAAAAAAATAATAATAATAAAGCACTAAAAGACCACACAAGTCCGCAAAAAAGTCACCACCCGTTTCCTAGTTGCGTTGAAAAGTTTGTGGTTTCCATATCCACCCTTCCCCTTCCATGCGTCAAGGCTAGCAGGACCTAAAGCGCAAATCCAAAAAAAGAGGCCGGCTCGAATATGTTTAAAAACAACCACGCGGATTTCCGCTTATATATACCCGGCTCTACTACCTCTCCTTCGAAAGGGCGAGGTGCACCAGCAGCTCGTCTCCCATCTCCAAGCGTTGTCGTCTGAAATCGTGGGACCATTAGCCGTTGGACGTCGTTCGTTATAGGCGCAAATCGTCGTAAAAAGATCGTCTAATGGTCATTAGAATTGCCGTATCTGCGTCCGCATCCGCTCCGTGCCCACAAGTCCACCTCGACGACCCCTGACTGCCCTTCTGCCGCCAGTGCAGAAAGGACGAGCGTATAGGCTCTCGCATGACCGCTTTAAAGGAAATTGCACTTTCTCTTCTTCCTCTTAATGCCTCCTACTACCGGAGCTTGTGTCTTTCCATCGCCAGCGGACACTGCCATTGCAGTGGGTGTCTCCAAGTTCCTCCGGTCGTTGGCCACGACAGTCAGAATGGCCCGTTCAAAGATCTCGTCGACGCCCCGCATTTCCTTACTGCTGCATTCCATATACCCGGCTCCCATCTTCTTGGCAACGGCCATTCCCTGCTCTGCGGTGACGGGCGTGAGGCCCTGGGTCTTCAGCATGTCGATACAAGATTTTTTGTGCCGGAGATCTGATTTGAGGCCGACCAGGATGAGGGGGGTGTAGGGGCAGAAATGCAGAACTTCGGGGTACCACTGCGGTCGGCGTTAGCAAACGGCAAATCGAGATGACTAGATTCAGGGGGTGGAGCCCTCCAACGCAAACGTACCTTATCCATGACATTGTCCAGCGAGTTGGGGCAGTCGATGGCGAAGCACACAAAGATGAGATCGGTTTCGGGGTACGACAGCGGACGGAGGCGGTCGTACTCTTCTTGGCCGGCCGTGTCCCACAGAGCGAGCTCTACGGTCTTGCCGGTGGGCGGGTGCGTCGGGTAGGTGATGTAGTTCTCGAATACGGTGGGCACATATTTCTACCCAGGGGGCGAGCTTCAGTATCTGGACGCTCAACGACGGGCCGCCGCGGCTGGGCGCTGCTTACCTCTGGAAAATAGCCCTGGCTGTAGCTGATGAGCAGACATGTCTTGCCGCATCCTCCGTCTCCTACAACGACAATTTTCTTCGAATATGTCGGGGCCTCCGTTACGTGAGTCGCTGCTGATTCGCGGCCTGACGATGAGCTCATGGTTGTACTGACAGTTCCCTCGCTGGAGCGGGTGCGCTGGGCGCGCTTCTCGGTGCTCGCCGTCGCATACTGCGAGTTGCGATTCTGGTACGCCGCCATGGTGGAAACGACGTTCCGAGCAGATGCTGGCGAGAGCGCGGCAGAGCGTGTAGAGCGTGTCTCGGGCGGACAATGCAATGCGGTCTCTGTCGCCGGCAGGAATGCTGATCCTACTCAACAAAGAATAGGAGTGGGCACCGCGGCAGAAACAAAGAAAATCGACGGTTGCGGCTCGGCAGGGTCGCTGCAAGTAAGGGAACAATCGGTGTAAGAGGGATGGGAAAAAGGATGGAAAAAAGGATGAAAGAAAAGAGATGCACAAAAACACTGCGGCGGTGTGGAATACGATGCGGCGAGCAGCAGAAAGCGTAGCGCAGCCCCCGAAGCTGAAGGTTTGGAAATCGGCACGACGCAGAGGCTGGGGGGATGACGATGTTGTACTTGGACGGGCTAGGCTGCTGTTGCTGTTCGCTCCGGGCAACGAGACGAGTTGGTGGGACACGACGGTTGCTGCAGCTGGTTATCAGACGGGAACTGGCAAAGCGAGCCCAAAGAGCTGAGTAAACACGTTGGCGGGGCAACGGGGGCGGTGCAGCCCCGGCGCACTGACGTGACGGCCCTGGACGGCCCTGGCGAGTGGCTGGGGCGCCAACTGGCGGTGGCTAGGGCGGGTTGTTCCGGCTCCGAAGATGGTCCGTGCATTAGCCGTCTGCGAAAATTCTCGTGGGCTAAAACGCGTGCACGAACTGCGGGTGGAGATTGCTGTGCGTTGCGTATAAAGCTTTTTTTTCCGTGCAAAATTCTCTCTTCTTCTTCTTTTACCCTCAGAGGCCGACTTCTCTCGCCGAAAATGAAGAGATTTCATTCAGCTACCGGGGATGATGATGATGAACCCTCAGCCCCCAGCAAATACGTGACGCTCGTTTCCGGGGACGGCTTCGAGTTTGTCGTGCTGCGTGAGGCGGCCAAGATCAGCCCCATCATCAAGGGCATGCTGGACCCGAGGAGTCAATTCGCCGAGGCCAAGGACGCGAGATGTGTGTTCCAAGAGATGAGGTGAGAAACGAAGCGACCATGAGTGGCCGTGGCATGTGCTGCAAGGGATGACGACAATTCCACGAGCATTTCTTTGACAGAACGCCGCTGTCTCTACCAGACTCTCATGTCTCGGGCGAGGCTGGACAGGCTGGTCTGGTTGATGTTGCACTACACTTGAACTGACCCAGAATCGTTTTGAAAAACGGCCTTGCTATAACAGTGTTTGAGCTGGCTGACCAACGCATGATAGCGGCCTGGTGCTTGACAAAGTGGTCGAGTACTTCCATTACTGGTACCGTTACAAGGACAGCGAAGACGTGCCCGACATGGACATTCCTGTCGAGCTTTGCCTCGAGCTGTTGGCCGCAGCCGATTACCTGGGCTTGGATCAGTAAGCCATGTGGGAGTCGAGCTATTGGCGCTTTTTAATCTTACACGTTTTTCACAGGGCCAATATGAGCACGAAATGAGACGGCACAACCACTGGATGTTACTACCCAGACAGATTATGACACGAAGATATGATACCACACCGATTACAGAAATAGAAGAGGAAAGCAATATGACCTCGCCTTAATACTAAGAATGATGAATTCAGCAGCTCTTCTTCTTCCTTGTCTTTCAGTTCATTGTGATGATCATCTCTCCGACCTCCATTTCAGCATATACGTTCTTCTCTGTTACTCCTCCGTGGGTTGAACGTCTATTAGAAGTGGTAGATTAATAGCCTCCCTCTCACTCTGCTTGACTCAAAGTTCTTCCGTTGAGATCTCGCTTTTTTCTGAGGGGCACATGCTTTGCCATTTATTCGTAGCTTTGTAAATCGTTAGATGGCCTCTTGTAGGCTAGTGAGGTCGATAATCTGGCATATAATAGCTTCGAGCAATGTTAAGCTTGCTTGAACTGCCATTTAGAGAATCACACAAGTCCATACTACGTTAAGCACTATCTCTTGCAGCATACTGTTTAAACATCTGTAAACTCGGCGTTGAGGCACTTCATGCTGCTTCAACCGTATGAGTTGCATGAAGCTGCAGTGGCGTCCTTGCTAAGCTGCAGCAGTGGTGTCACATCCGTCATCTGTGAGTCAAACTCAACTATGACTCAACAGCATCCCTGAATGATAAAAAATTGGGCTGTCGGTTCTAGCATTGCCGTCACAAAGAGCACATTTCGCCGCATCCACCCAGAGATACTTGAGTAAACGTTTGGACTGCTGTCATTCGCATTGGCCGTATAGCACAGCCAGTACGTGCTCTGTTAGTGGATGCAGATGCGCGCTAAGCCCCGGCCTTTCGTCACTCTTTTCCGACACTACCTCCGATATCCTACGACGAGGAAAATGGCATCAGGTGCATTCGAATCGCAGGGCGTTCGAATTGCCGTAGAGGGCTGTGTAAGTTTTTTTGCGCTACATTTATCCTTATGCTCTTGTCTTAAGCGTCAATTGATCGTATTTTCAGGGCCATGGCGCGCTCGACGCGATATATGCTTCCGTCAAGCAGTCTGCCCAAGAGCGCGGCTGGGATGGCGTTGACCTGCTCATCATTGGAGGTGACTTCCAGGTAAATCATCATAGACATTGATTGTATCCTGTTGATGCAGGCCGCTAATCTACGCAGGCTGTGCGCAATGCGGCCGACTTGACGGTCATGTCGTGTCCCATCAAGTATCGCAAAATTGGCGGCTTCCACGATTACTACGCTGGGAGAAAGCAGGCTCCATACCTGACCATCTTTATTGGCGGCAATCATGAAGCTGCTTCACACTCCTGGGAGCTCTACTATGGCGGCTGGGTGGCTCCCAACATTTACTATCTCGGAGCTGCCAACGTTCTACGGCTGGGACCTATCCGCATCGCAGGCATGTCTGGAATATGGAGGGGTATGAACTACCGCAAGCCACATCATGAACGGCTTCCTTTTAACCACCTCGATATCAAGTCGTTCTACTCTGTTCGAGAGATTGACGTCCGGAAGCTGCTGCTGATGCAGACGCAAGTTGATGTCGGCCTAAGTCACGATTGGCCGCGCCAGGTAGAGACACACGGCGACCTCAATGAACTGTTCAGACGAAAGCCCTTTCTGAGACGCGAATCTATGGATGGATCTCTTGGCAGTGTGGCTGCTGAGCATGTCATGGACCGTCTACGACCACCTTACTGGTTCTCAGCGCATTTACATGTCAAATTTGCCGCTATCAAAAAATACGATGATGCATCAAATGCGACCGAGGTTACCCAACCTCAGGCAGATAAAGCCACTGATGCTGCACCGCCCGCCCAGGACAACCCAGATGAGATTGACTTGGACATGGACGACGAGGATGCTGAGAATACTACCAAAGAAGCGGCTACAGGAGGTACAGAAAGCGATGCTAAAGAAGATGCTGAGGGTGCTGCCGGAGAAGTTCCCGACGACTTGAGAGCTCAGCTGCCCGCATCATTTGCTCGGCCTGCAGAAAAGGTGAAGCGCATACCAGGCCAGCCAGTCCCTCCAGGTATTGAAAACAAACAAGTCCGGTTTTTGTCATTAGACAAGTGTCTGCCACAACGACACTTTCTTCAGCTATGCGAGGTTCAGCCGTTCAAGAAAGAGCAGCTATCGTTATATCCACCACAAAGCTCTGGCCCTAGATATCGACTTCAATATGATGCCGAGTGGTTAGCAATCACCCGTGCTTTCCACAAATTCCAGGCCTTTGGCGATCCTACGGCCCAAGTGTCTGCAGATTTAGGTGAAGAGAAATACATTCCCCTGATTGAAGCAGAAAAGGCGTGGGTTGAGGAGAACATTGTCCAAAAGGGGAAGCTGGACGTGCCAGAGAACTTTGAGCAGACAGCGCCTCCGTATGTTCCTGGCACGCCAGAGATTGTTCACAAGCAGCCCGATGAGTACACAAGCCCCCAGACCGCGGCCTTCTGCGAGCTCTTGGGCATTGAAAACCTGTGGGATGCTAGTGCCGAGGAGAGGCAGCAACGGCAGGCTCAGGGGCCGGTGAATACACAACTCGAGGGGCGCGGTGACAGAGGAGGCTATGACGGAAGGGGAAGGGGAAGGGGAAGGGGTAGAGGAGGCGGCAGAGGCGGCGGTAGGGGTCGAGGAGATGGAAGAGGAGGCTTTTACGGTAGAGGAAGAGGATATTAAGAGACGGTGTGTCTGAGGAGGGGCCATTCGTTATTATCCCTCATCGCCGAACAAGCCCCAAAGGCGGGAAAGAGCAAGTACTACCTACATGATCAAATTGGCATCTCGTCTATGTAAACAAGGGCCGCCAATGTTTACCAGAAAGCTGGTTGTGGGGATAGGAGGCTTTGGTGTTTGTTTACCCACTCCAGCCACGGAGTATGTACTCCGTATCTGGATGTGCTAATGCAGGTGGTCTTACATATCGAACTTTGCAGCAATAAGCACGCATGTTGCGCGACGATTTGTGGATAACAATTAATGCATGCTTCCACCATAGACGAATAGAAATCCACAGACGGCAATGTTTCCTCATGGCCCATGCGCCTCATGTAGATTAAATTGATGGACGTAAACACGCAGATGCGGCTTCAATGTTGTTATAAACAATTGACAGTGTCATTAGTAATCAGGGTGGAAGCTTGGACTCTCGGCCAAACGATTTCCCGCAACGACCATCCTATTCTCAGCTACGGATGCCAGTAGACAAAGTCACGATGGCCCGCCAATTTGCTTTATGCCTCTTTGCGGCAATGCCAGAATTGCAAAGCAGGCGGCGGAATGGAGTGGGAGCAAAACACTAAGATTATCCGGTTAGCCGGATACACTTCCCTTGCGCGCCAAAACACGGGGATTCCACGATGATGCCTTAACAGCTGGGGGTTAAAGGGGGCTCTTTGTCGTTGCACCCGCCGTGTCATCTCCTTTATGGGGATAGCAACTGACCCTTTTTTTCTTCTTCTTCTGAATCGCCCTTTTCGATATGAAATCGAAAGTTATGCCCAACCAAGTTTTATTTTTGTGACGTACGAAGCAAATTATTCTCTCATTTTTGCGGAGTAGACATGGGGCACCTGCACAATCTCATAACATGGGCCAAGGCCCAAGGCGTGGTGGTTGACGCGATACAGCCGAGCAAGATTCCCGGTCGAGGCACAGGGATTCTGGCCACGCGAAAGATTAAGGTAAATTGGGGCCCGCCATGTAGGATTGGATGTGGCACTTTGAGGAGGAGAAGAGGATTCTAATATTCGTGCCAATATAGGCGGAAGAGGAAGTCTTGAAGGTGCCTCCTAGAGCGTTGCGCTGCTTGGAGTCGGTTCCATCGAGGGTACGCGAGAGATTGCCCGCGGAAACGAGCATCCAGGCACTGCTCGCGGCGGATCTGGCTCTTGATAGGAGCGCCAATGCGGTGCCTTGGAAGGCTGTGTTGCCGAAGATGAGTGATTTTGAAGTAGGCATGCCGATGATGTGGCCGAGGGAGCTGAAGCATCTTTTGCCTCTTGAGCCTAGAAATCTTGTCTTCAAGCGGGAGAAGGCTTTCCAGGGCGATTGGAGTGATTTTCACAAGGCATTTTCGGACATATCGTATGAGGAGTACACGTATGCATGGCTGACTGTCAATACTCGGACGTTTTACAACGAATCGCCCGAGACGTTGAAGTATCCCTGGGAAGATAGGCTGGCGCTGATTCCCGTGGCCGATTTGTTTAACCATGCGGACGCTGGGTGTAGGGTGTATTACTCTCCAGAAGGATACCACATCGTTGCGGATCGAGACTACAAAAGGGGAGAGGAGTTGTACATCTCGTACAGTAGCCACTCGAACGACTACAACCTCGTCGAGTATGGCTTCGTCCCTGATGAGAATCCGTCAGACGATGTCTACATTGACGATGTTATTTTTCCCAAGCTGAGTGAGAGCCAAAAGGCGGACCTCGAAAAGCGAGATTTACTCGGGGTGTATCCTCTAGGAGAGGCGACCGAGGAATTTCGCCGTACGCAAGCGGTGTTGAGACTGCTTTGCTGCACGACCAAGGAATTTAAGCGATTTCTCAACGACGAGGAAAAGGGGCGTGGTGTTCAAAGTCGAGTTGACGAGTATCTGGTCAAGTTGCTGGATGAGTTTTTGAATGACATTGTTGCAAAGCGGCTACGGGAGGTTGATGCTTTGACAGTTGGTTTGAGAGGCCAAAGGGCGCTTTTGGCGAAGCGATGGATGCAGATTGAGGTGATTGCAAAGGGGAAGATGGAAAGCTACCGTGAGAGGGATGGATACTAAGGAGTAAAAGGGTTGGCTTCTTTGGGAACACGGGGGTTGGTTTCAATTCATGTGCATAATACGGGCGTGGCATCATATATAGAATGGCGCAATAGATGAGAAATAGATTGCTTTTTAATGATTGAAGCATTCCGGGTTTTTTTTACCTGCCTCTATAATATATTTCCAATATCTTGGTTTATATACATATATACACTAAACCTATATTTCCTTTCCAAAAGATAGTTGTCCAATGGGTTTACATGTCTTCTTCGAGAAGCTTGACCTTCTTGAACTCCCAAGTTTTATAATAGAAGAAGTTTCAAAAAGTCATATACAGGCCAATTTGTCATCTTGCGACCAAAACCCTATTCAAAAGACATGTACGCTTCCTTCATTTTGGTCGCAGCAGATAGCACCAGTGAAATATATCCGGATCCGTCGCTTTCACCTTTGGCGTAGGCACCTTTTCCAGAACCTCAGCCACAAACGGCAACCCATCAATGTCAAAGCGACGCGCAGAGTAGCTCATTGAGACCCATACGGCACCTGGCGCAAGATGCCTCCGAACACAGCTCGCCATGCGTCGAACTTGATCTTCTCCGCCACAAGAGACTGCATCGACGGTGCTCTTGTCAACCACGAGATCGAATTTGTACTCTTTGTCAGTTGAGAGCTGCAGCTGTGTAGCATCTGCCACGGCATACTTCATCTTTACGTCGCCAAAGGCCTGCTTCTCCAGCTCTCGGCCTCGTTCTGTGGCCAGAGGCTCATAATCGACATTTGTGACGTCCAGAAAGCCGAGATGGCGCAAGTAGTTTTGTAAATCGCTGGTTCCAGAGCCGATGTGGAGAATTCGGGCTGAAGATGGTTCGAGGTTGGTGAGAATGGGTTTGATGATGGAGATGAAATCGGCAGATCCGAGGAGCCATTCGAAGGAGGTTTCGGTAGAGAAGCGGTCGTGCCAGTAAGCTTGCTTGTCAAAGTCGACTGGCATCTCTTTGTTTTTTTTTTGTGTCTTTATGTTTAAGATTTGTAGATGGTAAAAAGTAACAGTGGGTGATTAAAGGATATTAGGAAAAGATTTCATTACTAACTAATGAGAGTTGAAAGCCATTGACATGTTGGAGATGCTGAATCCGGTGCCGGTGCCGATCGTTAAAAGTTTATTCAGGCGATGGGGCCGGGTGGGGCCGTACAAGATGCATCATCAGCATTATAACGATGTAGAATGCTGTCTGATAAAAGGCATTTGATACGCAGAAAGAGGATTATTAATAATTGTTACAGACAAAAAAAGAAAGGGAGAGACGGGTTTCTCTCCAAGCGGACTGCATCGACGTGAGGCCAGCTTATATGTATATCGACTTACAAGCTCCAATGTTGTTTCTTTCCCTGTGAGTCCACGGGTTGGTATGAAGTAAAATCTATAAAACACAACATGATGCTTTCATTATAAAGTGAAGATGGAAAATTTCACCATTTCTCGGGGATACATTGAACGACTTGACTCGTAATATAAAGGTTTAATTGACTTGCATTGAAGACGGAGATTTGCATAGTGAGAAGACGTCGTTGGCGCGGGTTAGTTCCAGAATCTGCTTGTCTAATGCCGAGGTAGACGGTTGTTCATGTATATATATATATAATAAAAGAAAAACTTTGTTTACGTTGGAAATGCTGGGTTATAGAATCTGTTATCAATACATGATGTTGCTATTATTTCTCCTTCCTGGAGGTCAGATGCTCTCGATTCAACATGGTGGCTCTCTTGAATTGCTACGCTTGGTGTTATTGCTCTTTAGTCGACGAGAGCCAAATGCTGATTGATCAACGGCACAGGTAACCTGGACAATTGTAACTCTACACTAAATCACACATCTCATACAAAACACCAACAATAATCAAAACAGCTCGCTATCCCTTGTAAACAGCCGCGTGGACAGTTGAGTACAAGTACAAGTACCCCGCTCAAAGCCAAGCAGCCAAGCCAAGCATAAAGTGGCAGTGGCAGTGGCAAAACACGCCCTGTCGATCTCAACCAAACACCTAAAAATAAAGGAAGCCGTAGGGCCGGCTCTCCTCGTATCTACAAGCCCAAAAAGCCACAAAGCCGCATCTGCTAAAGAAATGATGTGTGCATCGCGCCTCAGCCACGCCACGGGTCCACTTGCAGCTCACATGCCGCGTCAACAGCTTTGGAATTCGATATTGACCTTCATTTCTTATCTGCCACTTTTTGCTATCAACCTGTCCTCTTTTTTTCTTTTCTTTATTGTTTGTTTGCTATTTTGGTTTTAGAATCTCTATTCCTCTGTGTGCCATCTTCCCTCTCTTTGAGATCTCGTGACCGGCTCATGCAGCAACGACGATCGTTAGACCTAAGCTTGTTTCAAGTCTAAATCCAGACATCATCAAACCACCTACAAAAAACAAAATCATAACAAAAAGAAACCTCGTCCAAAATGGCGCCGTGGCAGCCTCTTGAAAGCGCCATCCACCTATTCACCCCCAACGACGTTCAATACCAGCCCATCATCCCTCGAAATCTCCAGCATCCAACTCACACTCAGGCCGTCACGTTGGGCGTCATTGGCGGCTACGTCGTGGCTATTGCCATTCTCTGGAATGTGCCGTATCTGCGCATGATTCTGTGGCCATTCAAGGTATTTTCATATCAAAATCTCCAAACCAGCTTCATACAAGGAATCATCTCCACATCTGCACTTACACACTTACAACACCACGATGTAAATCACAGCTAACAGCCACAGATGCTCGTCATCGCCTTCCACGAATTCGGCCACGCCTTCTCCGCCATCCTCACCGGCGGCCGCGTCAAGTCCATCTCGCTCGACCCCCACGAAGGCGGCGTCACGCACCTCTCGGGCGGCATCAGCGCAATCACGCTTCCCGCGGGCTATCTCGGCTCGTCCCTCATCGGCGCCCTGCTCACCATGTGCGGCTTCGACATCGTCGCCAGCAAAGTCGCCTCCATCGTCCTGGGCGTGTGTTTCCTGCTGACGCTGTGGTGGGGGAAGCGCGACTGGCTGACCATCCTGACGGTCCTGCTCGCCGTCGGCCTGCTGGTGGGCTGCTGGTTCATCGTCCATGCCGAGGCGCTGCGCTTTGTGGTGCTGTTTATCGGCGTCATGAGCTCGCTCTACAGCGTGTGGGACATTTGCGACGACTTGATCTTGCGCAAGGTGAATGAGTCGGATGCGAGCGTCTTTGCGAAGCGGTATGGCGGCTCGTCGCAGTGCTGGGGCGTTATTTGGTCTGTCATCTCGGTGCTTGTTATGGCGGTTGGCATCATCATTGGCTTGGCTGCCTTTTCGCAGTCGTTTGCGCAGCAAGAGGAGGACTCTAAGCATTTCATTCCTACCTGAGCAAATTGTTTCTTTGGATTCAAAGACGGGGGTATAGGGGAAAACAGAGGCTTGTTGGAGTTGTAATTTTGATGATACCCAATACTAGAACTGACAAAATTGATTAGAACACCATATAAATTAGTGGTACATGAAATGAAGCTATGTGCAGTCAATTCAATATGTGCTAAAGTAGAAGCTATATACAGTGAAGTTTTGAACATATATACATATATACAATCTTGTTATCCAATAATCAACACAGGCCGCCAAGTCATACCAGCTCATTCTCTTTTTTCATAATTTTACTCATTTCAAAGCATTGACAACCTGGGCCTCAAAGCCAGTGTTGGCATAGAGCTGGGACATGTCCCACATCATAGCACCGGCAAAGGTGCCGCTGAATCCCTTCGAGTACTGAAAGACAGAAGTGAGCTGAGAGCCAGAGACGTAGCCACGACCAGCACCCGGGCCAGCGGGAATGCCGACAAGAAGCTTGACGTTGGGGTTGGGGCTCGTCTTGGCCCAGGTATCCCAGGTCTGGTAGTTGTAGTTGTTCTGGCTGCTGGTGCCGGGCGTGTAGCCGCTGACGCCGCAAGGGTTGTTGTAGAACTGGATCTGGATCCAGTCCATGGGGACGGCGTTGATCAGCGCGCCGACAGCAGCGTCGGGGAAGAAGCACTGCGGAGCAGCCGAGAAGTAGTACTTCTTGCCACCGGCGGCGTTTGAGAGGCTCTTGAGCTGGGCGCCAAAGGCCGGCAGGTTGTTGGTGGTTGCCTCAAAGTCAAAGTCGAATCCGTCCACAATGGCACTTCCAAAGGGACGCTCGGCAGAGTTGCCGGATTGGACAGGACCGAACATGGCCCAGACTTGGTTGGCTGCGGCTTGAGCAGCACTGGCAGAGCTCCAGCCACCTTGAGTGTAGGAATCACCACCAAGAGAAAGGAGGATGGTCTTGCCGTTGGCCTGGCAAGTCTTGATATCCGCCCTTTAAAGGAAGCAGGGTTAGTCGCGGTTTATGTACGGCAGAAAAGCTTCAACTCACTCAATTTCAGGGCAGCTCAGGAGCCAAGGGTTGTCGGAGAAGGGAGCGCATCGGTCACCAGCATTGGCAAAGTTGGTCATGGGAGGAGTGATTCCGTTCAGGAAAGCAATGTCGATAACATTGATGTTGGCATCTACATGGCAAATGTCAGATTCAACATGCTTCTTTTCTCAACCTCGGCCGATCGAGGGCTGCAGCGTTGAAAAGTATAAGCCGAAACGTACCACTGCAGTAGGTCGAAAGACGCTGTTGTGTGCTTTGTTGGTTGGCCGAGTTTTGTCCTATCCAAATGCCATGTTAGATGACTATTTTCCCTTTCCCAAAAGATGAAAAACTCTCAACAGGAGCTATTACCCCAGTACACAGCAATGTTTTGCTTCGAGTTGACATTCCAACCGGCAAAGACGGATGGAACGAGAGCGAGCGCGCTCGCAAGAGTGGTCAAAGAGGGCATCGTGGCAAAAAAGATGGTGAAGCTGCTGAATGTGAAATGAAGATGCTGACGATGGTGAAGGACAGAGTGTCACCTCGACTGGTTGGACAAAAGCTTTTATATCCTCATTTTGAGTCCAACATGCCTCAACGTCCAAGGAGTCTCTCTCTCCACTGTCTTACCGCGATGCTACATCCAGTCTTTGGTAACATACGTAGCATTGAATCGACTGGCCTTCTTTCACCAGCCCATGCTTGCCATCTCCGGGCCAAAGGATGAGGCGAGACGAGGGCTATCACAAACCCATAATGGAGCCATGCTATCTTGGGCAACTTCAAATAAGAGAGCCACTAGCGTCGGCAATTGGAATCCTTCAACTTTGCTGTTGTAGTTTTGGAGATACCATCAGTCGGTATAACAGCTTCAGAACTGAACTTCTAGGTGACATGTACGTATTCTAGCGAAGAAGAGGGATGGTGGCATTTGAAAGGTGCGTGACGAGGCCAGATTGGTTAACGCTCCGAAACACCAGGGGTTCTGGCTGCTACTCAGATACAACGTACAAAGTGCTCGGCAGTACCGGCCAAAGTTGCCAAGCTTTACTGCAGTATGAATATTGCTGCCTGTCTTATGCGACTGCCAGAGCCTGATAATGGCTTCCTCACGCACCGGTAACATGTGTAGATGAAGCGAAGCTCCACACATGTTTGTGTGAGTCCGTATACATGCGTGGAGAGGTCATTGCCTACAAAGCGTCACTACAAGTTACTGAGATATCAGTATAGAGAAACAGAAACAAATGGTGATGAGTCTATTAGGATCTTGACTTGCAGTAAGGTTTGTGGAGAGACTAGGATGTGATATCTCCTACCTACTTAGGCAGAGCCTGGACCCAGCATCGAGTAAGATCAATAGTATCTCTTCGAGCCGCCCCAGAGCGACATGGAATCCGAATCCTAGTTTGGACCTAACATGGGCCAGTCGGTAAGCAACAGTTAAGCTTGAGTAAGCCCCCTGGCATATCGATCTAAAAGGCTAGAATAGTCATCAACGTTGATAGGTGACAGCCCTAAACGTGATTCCAGGCCGCCAACTTTGCTCAGCAGATTTGCAGTTACACACCATCGGCTATCACAGACAGCAGCTACTGGCACAGACGAGAAGCAAACAAAATAGCTGCGGCTAGAGTGTCTCTCCTCCGTGGTGGCCACGCACCACAACAAGCTTGACACCCTTCACTCATCTGCGGCCACGCGCGAAAAGAATGACAAGGAATGGTTTTGAGCAGATTATAGCAAATATCTTGGCTCGAATGCCAATCTTTCTCCCTTCAAATGCATCATAAGCGCATTCTCTTGCCGCCCAAAGAGACACCTCCACCAATCGGAAAAAAGTTCGATAAAGCATATCGCTGTAGCTGGCGTGCTCTTGATACAGCAGCTTCCCGCTTTGGCATAGGAAGAAAATAGATGACTTTTGGACGAATGACCCCCCTGTAGGAACGCTTTCCGTAGGCATATCCCAACAAGGTTAAAACACTTGACTGAATCTTTCAACATCCAGATATCGTGGGGAAACAGGCCACGGTTCGGCTCAGTCCGGGCCGCCCCAACAGTGCCCATCTCATACTCTGTTTCCCAGCTTTCTGAGTGGTCGTGTTGATTTCATTTTGTTTAGCAAACTTGAGGTATCCGAATACCAGAAATCTGATAAGACTGCGCAGGAACAGCTACAAGGCTGTATGTTATCTAACCCTTTCCTTTGCCCGTCTCTGCGTATCTTCTTCTCTTAGGACGCTCAACCCGGCTTTCGTCGGCGCCCATGACCCTATCAGAGATGCGTTGCCACCTGCTCCTTGGGTATGGCTGTAAAGTGAAGAGTTCCCAGTTTGCCTCAAGCATCAATCGCATATTAGCCGGCTACCCACCTTCCATCAGCCGCCAACCTATTCGGCGCAAGCATCATTTAAAGTAGTGGAGCGATCCTCCGTGGGGTGCTAGCGAGTCGGCTTCGGAGAGAATTGCGTTGCCTGTGCTAAGACAAGAATGGCAGTTTGCATAGTCTGTAAATACCAAATGCTAGGCCTAGGTAGCTCCGGGACTCTGGTAAAGATGCTGTTCGATCTTGTTGATCACTTTGGCGTGGCGCATCATGGCGCTGATCTTGCTTCTATGTATGTCTCTGATCAGAGCTGACGGGCTCCAACTATAACGCTATTATGCTGATATTGCCTCAGCCATTGCCGCAGGAATACTTGAGTAGGATTCGAAACAAGAGTCGAGAGCAGCCACGCCTATTTGATGCTGTATCCGCAACCCCGCGTGTTTCATGCAGCATCCCATCCCACGATGCAAGTGAGTAAGTAAAGATGGCAGAAAATGACCTCAGAGATTGTGGTAGTGGACGATGCAACGTAATCATGTCAATGGCCTGCAGCGTGGCGCACCTTCTCAAACCTGCCTTATCAATAGAGTAGTAGCCAGGATGAGACGTTATCTGCCGACAGCGATAACCGCTTTTGGCGAGCACAAGACATTTTGATTTGAAACAGCGCCCAGGGTCTCGGGTTTTCCCTCTCGCTTGCAATAGCTTCTCGCCACGGCATAGTTCCAGGCATTAGCTTTTCCAGATAGATAAACAATCGATCAACTGTTGGCAATAAGGTTATTCATCAAGCTTAAGACATCTGTTCAGTTGATTTCGCTCATATCAACAGTGGTCGTAGTAATCGTAGTAAGCATTTAGACATCTTGATATCGAGACCATCTCTCCGCGTTGTCCCCCACCTAAGCGAGCTCCAACACCACCCCCAGCTCTTCAGCTTCAGCTGCAGTAAACAAGCCTCCTACCATGCTGCTAAACATCCTATTGCTCCGCTGCCGAATAACTCTTCTGGCTCAACAAGCACAGCGACTCCATTCACGCACTTCTCCAGCGTCATGTGCTACAAATACAAGCTAGAAAGCGGCCGTTCCTGACATCTGTCAACTCAAGCCCTCTTAGCTTCTTGGCAGGCCATACAGGATCGGTCGCTCGCCTGTCTTAGGAAGTTCGAGCCTCACAGTTCCCAACTAGGCCTGCGTTTGCTACAGTTAGGTAACGTTACCTGGCGCCGAGCTACACAAGATATCCCTTATCAGCATTTTCATTTCGGTTGGCACTTCTCAAGGTTGTATATATTTGTATACCAATGTATCCGTGTAACAATGTCCATCAGTCTCTCGTCAAGACATGACCTACTTCATAACTGGGAGAGAAGAGAAATACCAGCTCCTTTTGCCCTTCTCCATCATGTAAAGCTAGTTTGGAGCTGGTGACGGCAAAGATCTTGAGACTTTGAATCTAATCAATGCCTGTCGTCACCATGCGAAGCTTAGCTCCGCTATTTGAGCTGTTTGATGATCGAGATCAAAGTGTCTTGACCGTGGCGTTGTCTCCTCCCTTTGTTGTAAATGACACCTTGCCTCCCATCAGTATTCGATACATTGTTAGTTCCGGTGGCATATCATCACGTACGTGATATTCTCATCGCTCGTTTGAGCTGGCTTGCGTCCAAAATTCCAGACCCTGTGCTCAAAAATCATAATAGCAGCTGGCGTCCACCAACAGTTGACTTGTACTCGCCTCGATTATTGCAATAGAAGCCTCCAGCAATATGAGATGCAAAACCTTGAAAATGCAGTCCCGTCAACGCCAATTGTTCCAACCAAGAACATGCCCACTTATTGGTTTTCATGAGAATTCTGAGAATTCGAGGCATCATCATCTTGGCGGTCCTACCATCGGCCACGGCGTCCACGGCCTCCAAATCCGCCTCTTCCACTGCCACCTCCGGCCATGCCCTGGTCATAGCCAAAGCCTTGGTTTCCACCAAAGCCTCCACCAAAGTTTTGACCCTGGCTTCCCTGGGCGCCCGCACTGCCTCCGGCATTTTGCATGCCAGAAAACATAGCTGCCATCTGGCTTGGGTCCATCTGGGAAGGGTCCATGCCAGAAGCCATCATCTGCTGCATCATGGCTTGCATTTCAGGCGGGATCCCGTCCATACCAGGCATACCAGCAGCAGCACCGCCACCACTACCGCCGCCGCCGCCAGCCCCAGCACCTCCTCCACCTTGCATGCCCATACCTCCCATCATCATCATGTTGAAATCTTCCATCATCTTCTTGTTGTTGACAGCAAAAGCGTCAGCGCCAAACTCGCCGCGAATAGATTCTTGCTTGGCAGCATATAGCGCCCATGTGAATTCGTCGAAGCCGTAGTTGAAGTAATCGCTAATGTCTGTGCCTGGCTTGCGCCACGGTTTATCATTGTCTGGCAGATCTAACAGAATAGGTCAGTTATCAAGGATAAACCACCTAGAATTATAGTCCGCATACCCTCGTCAATGTTGATCTGTGTTATAGGCTTGCCAGCTGCAGGATGAACAGGAATGGCATTGATATCGATTGTAGATTTTGAGGCGGCGGCTGAAGTTTGGTCTGCGCTTGGAGCGGCAATGCTAAGAGCGTTTGTCGTTTTCGAGTCTTCCTCTCTCTTGACGGGCGCCGCTGGCTTTGCGGAAATGTCGTTGGAGGCTGACCGCTGGGGAATATTCCTTATGTCGCTATATTTTGCTTGGCTATTGTCGCGCTGTCAGTACAAGAATAGCCACATCAACAGGCGCTTGGAAAAGCGTTCGCGCAGCACGGCGTGCGTAGGTCGACATACGGTGGTGGCGCTGCCTTTGTGCCATCTTTTCGCTCTGTGATGATGTCTATATCCTGCAATCCATAATGTTAGCATGAAAGCAGTGGCCCATTTCGACAAGGAAGGCCAAAGTCGCGTACTGAATCGTCATCGTCATCCTCGTCCATGGCGCCGCTCTCGTCTTCCTCTTCGCCTTCCTCTAGCTCTTCCGCTTTAAGCTTCTTCTCCTCATCCTGTTCAATCTTCGGCTCTTCGGGCAGGTAGAGATCGTCATCTTCGTCCATGTCCATCTTGGCAGCGGCTTAGGGAAGTTTTTGGTGTAAAATAAATTGAATTGAATAAGAGGATCAACTATACCAATCCAAAGTTGAAGCTCTACTACTACCTTGTAGGTAGGAAGCTCTTCTACAGGCTGATAGGCTGGATAAGCCCATGGTGGGTCATCACAATACAGCTCCGGGGTTCTGCCGTATCCCTTCTTTATCAGCCATTATCAGACCCGCAACAAAGTTCCAGTCCAAGCTTTCGCATAGTACTGAAGTAAAGAGCTCCACACGAATACCTAGACCCTTGACTCGCCTGTCTGGAAAAAAAAGTTCAGAGCCTCTTTTACAGAGGTGTCATGTCTCTGGCGCGGTCAGCCAGTGGCCCAGCGGGTCTAAGCATTAACACTGGAGCTGCCAATAGCCTGTAAGCTTTGCTAAATCTTCAACACCACGCCTCGGGCTTCTGATATCGCCCATATTTACACTCTACACCACGTCTTCTTTACCCTCCAACACCTCCCACATCTTCCAATTGGTCACGCTTTACACTGTCGTCCTCTTGTTGTTTCTAACTAAACGCGCCACAGAGGCACTGCGCAGCCAGCCGCGACAAGAGGGCTGTTTGGTTCTGGTAACGCGTCAGCAAATCCAACAACACCCAACAACATGGCGACCACAGGCGGCCTCTTTGGCGCCAAGCCAGCAGCAACAGGAGGACTCTTTGGAGCTACAACAACCGCGAGCCCACAAACGACCACCGGCGGAGGTCTCTTTGGCGCCGCTACGCCCACACCGGCGACGAATACTGGCACAACTGGCGGCGGCTTGTTTGGCTCAACAGCGACTGCTCAGCCAGCTCAGGCATCTAGTGCAACTGGTGGGGGTCTTTTTGGAAGCAAACCTGCGGCGACAACGACAACAGGATTGGGAGGAGGCTTGTTTGGCAATACCGCGACCCCTCAGCAGCAGACAACCACCGGTGGAGGTCTGTTTGGAAGCACCCCTGCGGCCCAGCCCAGCGCCACGACGGGAGGTGGTCTTTTTGGAAGCAAGCCCGCGGCGACGATGACAACGGGGACAGGAGGGGGTTTGTTTGGTGGCGCTGCAACCACTCAGCAGTCAGGAGGCGGCTTCTTCGGTGGAACAACTCCAGCTGCAACTACCACCGCTACGGGAGGTGGTCTCTTGTACGCAATGCTCTATTCGTATTGGACAATTTCCTCAATCAATGCTAACATCAATGCAGTGGAGCGACTACAGCTCAGCCGGTCCAATCCACAAACCAAGTTGCTGCCGTCCAAGTCAACTATGACAACTTGCGACCACGATCGAGGTTCGATGACCTTGCTCAGCCAGTCCAGAACCAAATTGCTCTCATCGACAAAGGCATCCAGCGCGTCATCAAGATGAGGGATGAGATTGGCGAATTCATGCCCCAGCATGAAAAGGATATCGACCAGCTCGGACGAGACGTCCAATTTGTCGAGTCCAAGTTCAAGAGTGTCCAAGACGCCCTCAACCGCGATATCCAGACCGTCAAGGCCCTACAAGACATGACTAAGAAAAACGTCACCGATGCCCAGCTTTCCTTCAAGGCCGCGGACAACCTCAAGCTACCGACACACTACCACCAAACCGGCCTCTTCGCCGGGCCCCCTCCAACCAGCGACTCCAACTCAGCAGACGCCTCATCGGCGCATGCCAGTGCGCAAGACCTCATTACTTATTTTAACCGCATCTGCGATGACGTCGAGAAGTACAAGAAACGCCTGGACGAATACCGGGCGCAGATCGAGCGCGACATGCCCGGGGTGGAAAACGGCCTCTACGAACAGATCCGCAGCCTGCGCGACCACAGCAACGCGCCGGTTCAAGACCAGCTGAGCCAGGTGCTCGCGGCGCTGCGGGAGATGGGCAGCGCGATTGTTGCCCAAGCTGGACAAATTGCGGATACGCGAGAGAGAGTATCACGGCTACAGGCTGGGTTCTTGGATAACGGCCTGTACTCTGGCATTTCCTCATGAAAGCGCTTACGGTTCTTTGTTTTCTTGTCTTTTTTTTTTCTTTCTCCGGGTTTGGGATTTCGCTGCTTTCTTAATACTTTTTTGGTATCTGGTTGAGGGGAGATGCGCTTTTAGGTTTAATCATTAGGCGGCGCTTGCTGTACAGGAAGGGCTGTTTACGGCCAAGCATAAGACAGGTTGTCCATTGTCAAAGAAAATGTATGACTATGAGAAGGGTTGACAGCGAGAGAAAAAGGAGTATCTAGACGATAAAAATATAAGGGGGTGACTGGTGTAGGTAGATATGGCTACAAGTGTGGTCACAAGAGATACCCTCTCCCCTTTTAGAAGATGTGAAATAGGGAAATTTGCAAGGGTGAGACGCTCTAAGCAAGATTGTTCCACTGGCATGCTGTGTGTGGTGTGTGACTCATTCTGGAATCATGGTAAATGAAATGGGTATATGTGAGTACCTCGGGTAGAATTTTATATACATGAGTATGTGGAAACAATAACGAAGAGAAATTGCTCCAATGACAGCTTCTTCTTCCAAGATTTTTCCCATGATAGCCAAAAGTCTTTCAGTAATTCAAGAAACGCCGGTGGTGGTGAAACGAATAGAGAGAAAAAAGAAAAACAGGGCTTTTAATATGTTCCTTCACCATCTCCATCATCTCCGTAGTCGTCGCCGCCCTCGTCGCCATTGTCAAAGTATCCCTCCGCATCATAATCACCAGCATCCTCGTCATCGTAAACCTCATCTTCCTCTTCCTCCTCCAGACCCTCATCGTCTTCCGCATCGCCAACCTCATCGCCCTCGTCGTCCCGCAGCGCATCCAGCTTTTCCAGGATATGCTTCCCATCCACCGGCACGCCCTCGTCGTCGCCCTCAATGGCCGGCATGCCAAACGCCTCCTCCGCATTCGGCAGGGCATTCACCTTGCTCAGCTCCAGTTTGCGCCGCTTCCTCACGCCGCTGGCATCCGCGGAGTCGACCGTGTCGAGCAGCTCGGGCGGGTACATTTCGCGACAGACCGGCCGCGAAGACCATTCCGGGAGCGCGCGCTCGGGGCGGGAGAAGCGCTGCGAGTAGGTTGGCATTGCGCTGAAGGGGTCGACGGAGGCTTTGCTTCTGACGTCGTAGAGGGCGTTCATCTGGTCGCGGCCGTAGGTCTTGCGCGGCGCGTCGGGGTCGATGAGCGAGGTTCGTTTGGATGTGTAGAGCGGCGATGAGTGGATTTGGTGGCGAAGGAGGAGGAAGTACTGGACGCCGTTGTATTCTGTGGCGTTGAGGTTGCGAGAAGTCGGGACGACGTAAGGCTGAGAAGAAAGTGACTGTTAGCAAAGGTTCTGGCTCTATAGCATCCCTTCTCTAGATGTGCGGCGCATTATCTGCTTACTGGGAACAGCTCAGAGGGCCGGGCATCAGGCTCGTCTGTATCATCCCATGGAAGACCTGGCCGTCCTCCTCTGCCTCCTCCCCGGCCTCCTCGCCCTCCTCCTCGCCCACCACCTCTGGACATTTCCGACTGAGCTCACGTCCCTTGCGCAAAGCTCCAATTGCTCCGTGAGCGGGTATATTTCAGTGCTGATATAATGGTTCGTAGTAAAGACGATGATATTTTTTATTTATACTGCCCAATGAAAGACGGCGGTGTCGGAATTCTTCGCTGGGTAAGAGAAAAAGGCGACAGCTGAGAGTTGGATGGAAATAGCAAAAGAAGCTCAATTGGAGCGCCAACTTTCAGCGACTGAGAAAAAAGTATGGTGGGGAGGGCGGAATTTGCTCCGCTGTGACGCTGCCCCGCTGCCTGCGCTCGCCGTCAGCGCATCTGCCTGCTATTGCCTACCCTAGAAATTATACATGATTTTACAGGGCAAACGTCTCCCATTGTCATTATAAATCCAGAAACAGCTCTCGCTCACATATCATTATATTTCATCATTTCACAATAGATCATACTCTCAGCTTCCAGGGCTGCTGGCAATTGCTAGAATCTCATCATGTCTGAACGCATCATCCCAGACGGCATCTCAGACGCTCACCCCATCTCTGGCCTTGAAGAATTCCAGACTCATCTGGCAGAGCTCGAGAATGATCCCTCCGTGCCATTCAACCTCAAACTCCTGGACGATATCGAGCTTCAGTTAACAGGTATCCCCCCATTCATTCTTTCATTCATCAGTTAAAATCCCTAGAAAGATTGCTAATCAGCTCCCAGAATCCAACATCCCAGCTCTCCTCCCAACCGTCCTCCCTCCACTCACCCAAATCCTCAAATCAACCACGCAAGATCCCTCTCCTCTCCTCTCCCTCACCATCAAGCTCCTCTCGCCCTTAACCTTCACCCGCACTCTCACCATCGCCGACCCTCCCTCCATCCTCACAGCCTTGAGCTCTCCTCTCCCCGGCGCCAACCTCCTCGCCCTCGCCATCATCCACAAGGCCGCCAAAGCACCCACCGAGGCCGCCCTCTTCAGCACTCTCCCCGATGTCGTCGAGGTCCTCATCCGCCGCTGGCTAGAAAGCCCAGACGTCGGCGTCGGCGAGCGCGCGGCAAAGGTGCTCGGCGACTTGCTCGAGACAGACTGCGGAACCATCCGACCGACAGAAGGAGTCAACGGCGCAAGCAGCTATACCATCAACGGCTTCAGCACCACCACAAGGCGCCGTATTCCCGGCCACGGACGCCTCTGGAGCGTGATTTTCACTCAGCGACCTTTCTTGGAGCTCATCAAGACACTCTGCTCCCCTGAAACAGCAAATCCTCCTACTCGGCCTCGACACCAAACCTCCCTCTCACAAGGCCGTCTCCTACGCCTCCTTACCCGCCTCGCAACGCTCGATATCCGTGCTATAAGCACAGCTCACCACCAAGATCTATTCTCCCTTTCCACTACTGCCATCGCCCCCAGTGACCAAGGGATCCTGCAATGGGCAGCGTTGGAGATGCTATCCGGGTCAGACGATATTCTCATGCACCTCAATCTCATAGACTTTTTCGAGACTTTTGTCAGTGTCATGCGCGTATCTCGTCTCACCCCTGAAGAAAACGTCATTGTGAAGAGATTGGTTAAGGCGGCGGCCGAAGGGGATGGCGGGCTGAAGGAGGCCCTGAGAGGACTGCCGAATCGGACTGTGGAAGAAGAAGCTGAGCCTTTGCGTGCGTATGTCAGCGATATACTAAATTGAAAGAGCATTTCTTCTTTATTCATAAATCTTTCACAAAAAAATCTGAAATCTAGTTCAGCGATACGTAGCTAGCTATCGAGCAATAGAACTATTAGTGACTTCCAAAAAGGGGGCTTGTCAGATCATGAAGATAGCCAACGAGATGGACTAAAAATAACATCATACTATTATAACATTTTATCTCCTATCTGACAAACAGTATAGGCAGTCTTTCCTAACATAAGGTACATACACAACCATGGTGTTTTGAAAATAAGAAGAAAGGGAGAAAAAAAGTCACACTCGTCTATTATATCCGCCCTCCAACGCCATAAATCGCTGCCCGCACTCGTCATGCCTGACTTTACAGCATCTTCCGTGCAGCCGCTTCAGACCTGCCAAGCGGAAGTTCATCAGCATTGGTGCTGACCGTGCTGTCCCGCCTCTTGTCCCCGGCCTTGACCAATCCTTCAATTCCAAGAGATACCTCGCCGACCCTCCGTAAAACCGCAAGTAGCGCACCGCGCAAATCCGCCGTCAAGTCCTTTTGGAGCAAGTCAATGGCGAGCGGGTAGAAAGAGTGCAAGTGGGTCTTGAAAGCATCTTCGGGGAAAGTAGCGAATCCCTCAAGCACGTCAACGACGACTGGTCTCCATGCAACAATGTTTCTCTGCTGGCTTTCTTCAGCCAGCAAAGAGTATCCCGTGATTATGTCCTCGCACAGAGGCACCAGAGCGGCTTCGATGTCGGGTCTGCTCTTCAACCTTTCAGGTGCATCATCTATAAACATCCTGAATAGGATAGACACGTATGTCGCCGCAGCACCGCTTTCCTGCTTCAACAGGTTAGGCGGCTGCTTCATGAATCCTTCTCGCCAGAGCTTCATTCGGAGCTCTTTATCTTCATTGAAGCGGCGTGCGAACTGGAAAGAGCGCTTCAACAGACCCATGAGTCGCAAGAGTTCGGTTGAAGGGATGTTTGCGTATACGGTGTCGTTGCTAAAGAGCTCGTTGACCGTCTCAATCATGAGAAGCTGCAGGACACAGCGGGAGATGATGCGGTTGAAGAATCGCCGGCGAGCAGCTGTCACGACGACAGGTTGCTGCTGAAGACTGGAAGTTGGTTTGAACTCTTCCAACTGCTGTCCGTTGGTGGCATGAGCCGCTGGGGTCTGTGCCTCATCATCGTCTAGTTTGTGCAGAGTTGGGTGATGAATAGACTCTGTGTCGGAAGCGCCGTTCTCGTCTCCGCTATTGATCTTCAACGTGTTTTCATCCCCAGCAGAAGGAGTTTCGGCAACAGTTGGGCTGAGAGGCGAGGTGAATTCCAATCCATTAGATGACGACATTGACATGGAAGTAGTTGCTTCCATATTTGCCGCAGTAAAGAGTTGGTATGCTGTTGTCCGCTCGAATAGCTCACAAAATGCTCCAACGATCTTAGACCAGTGTACCAGATTAAACTTCGTCACGTTTTTCAGTATCAGCTGTTGTAAACAGTTACTACCAATGCGTGATATGGTGTCATTTTCTTGACAAATGCAGAGGGCGAGCAGCTCCAAGAATCTGTCCAGCATATATTCCAGCGCATCAAAGTAGTGTGTAAACAGCGTGATCATGTTGCGCAGAGCTTGAATCATGGTAGTAGACAGCCAGACGGACAACTCTTCGTGATTGAGAACGTTTGTCATCTCTGGTCTTGAACGCAGAACCATGAAGATGGGGTAGAGTTGTTGTCGCCAAAGAATATCCCAAAATGGCTGGGTAAACCCACCTCCATATTTGAGGAGTGCAGCAAAGAAATACTCGAGTGCATTTGAACGGACTTCAAGGTCTTCGCCAGTCATTAGCACATCATGGAAGGCGAACAGCACAGGGAACCAATAGCCCTCCTCCATGGATGTTTTTGTCTGCCCCTTTTTGAGAGGTTCTACGGGCCCATCATTCGACGAGGAAGTATTCCACGGCTGATGCGACAACGGGCACTCTGGTGTTTTGAGCATTGTTGGAATAATCGATTTCAGCAGCTCCAAAGCGCCTAGACTCTTTTTCTGGAATTTGAGATTCTTCGAAAACTCTGTCAAGCAGACAATGAGGTCCGTAAACGCTCCTTGAGAAATGACGACGCCGAATTTTTCCTTGTAAACCTGGCTAACGTTCTCGTATGCAAGATAGACAATACTCTCGTACGGTTCACGAGCAGCAACGGTGAAGACACCAAACATAGTCCTCCATCCAGAACGGATATTATCTCCTCGCGCTTGAATCATTTGAATAAGGCATCGCAGTACCATGTCTTTGACTGTAATATTGTGCGAGTTGGACAGCACATGCTCAAATGGCTTTAGGAAATCCTTTTGGAACTTGAATCCCGCAAGCTCTTCAATCTCCATGAATCGCATGGACAGCTGTCTTAAAGAATCCAAAGCAAAGAAAACAATGTTCATGTTGTTATGGCATCCGACCTGGTTGAAGTGCTCGCCAAGTACTACCCAAATATTGCTCCACTCAAATCTCACACGATTCATGTTGTAGTAGCTGATTTCGACAATCTTCTGCAGACTGTATGTCCGAGGGGAGTCGTTGGAACCCGAAACCTTGATCTCGTCCCAGCTAACCTCTGTCAAGGCTTTGGCAAAATAAACCATGGCTTCACCCGAAAGGTCTGCCGTGCTGGAGAATATTCGATCGACGCTTCGAATAAGCTCATCTGAGCGGCTCTCGAGAGCAATCTCGTGAGAAAAGCCCCTGGGGCCAGTAGCAGATCTCTGTCGTGGTCTGTTTTTCAACTGCATAGATGAGCGAGATTCCGATGTCCCGGATCGCTGAGGAGGAATGAAGCGCGCCTGGGACACATCTGGGATGGCGCTCTCATCAACGCCGCCAGAGATCAACTGCAGTCGATCCAATTGACTGATACACATGAGAATATCCTTCCATGACTCTTGCAGAACATTGCCCTCTGTCTGAGCGAGGTCCAAGATCACTTTCAAGGCTTCAATATTTTTCGCTTGCATCTCCTGGGGGTTGTTCAAGTTTGTGGCATTTCGAAGTGCGGAAATGAATGCTTCTCGAGGCGTTGAGAGATTGAAGAGACAGGCAATCTGGGTTGCCAGCCTCATGCCCTCTAGGCACAGCTTATTAACTTCGAGGTTGTGTGCTTTTTGCATCTGCCCCGAAAGCGCAGAGAAGATGGACATCCATGTGATATCAAACATGGCCTCGACATGCTTGAAGGATGTTGCTTCGATATACTTGGGAGTAGTCTTGGAGGCGTTTCGTCGCTGGCTCTTGAACAAGTTTTTGAAGAGCTGCTCTGAACGCAGCGCAATCTCCTCTGACTGCTGCATATAGGCTTCCCGCTGCAGATCTCGGCCTACATTTGAGAAGGCTTGTCCCAAGCCTGCAGCCAAGCCGCTTGGTTGGGTAGGAAGATTGCCCTGGGCAGCCGCAATGTCTCGCTCGCTCTTCAAAACAATTTCGTTACTGGCAATTTCTTCATAGATGGAGATTTGATAGTCATGAGGCAAATCCGCATTGTCATTAATGCCTGCATTGTTTCGAATGAATTCCTCCTTGGTCATTCTCTTGGCGATCTTGCTGCTGTGCAAATCTGTATTCAGTAAGATCACCGAGTACGCCAGTACATACGCCGTGTCGGCGTTGGCAAAAGCGTTCGGGTTACCAAGCACGTAACGCTCGGCAAACTTGAGCATAAACCGATCGATTTTCTGGGCCTCTCCTGGTAGACGGAACGACTGTAAGAACTGACGAAGGGCATCAACGAAACGCTTCTTGGCGAATTCCATAGAGTCCACAAATGCGTGCATGGTATCGATATTTTTCTGATCTCCTTCACCGAGATATTCTCCGATTTGCGCCTTATCCAGTTTGTCTTCACTGAGCAAAAAAGTGGCTATATCTTGAGGTGAATCGCTCGCGATGAAGCCATCGCGAAGGAGCAGCTCAATTCCCTTCTTAGGCTTGAAGTTGAATTGCCTGATTCCCTTCATGAGGGCCGTTTTCCTGGCCTTTTCTTTGCTGAGATAATCCGGGTCATCCTCCAACACGGGAGTCGAAGGGGGCAGGGGCGTGTCAAGCCGAGAAGCGCTTTCGCTTGTGGGGTCGATGGACGGCCGTAGCTCATCAAAAGAGGTTCTGGCATCTGCATCCGTGCGAACATTTTCGCTATCTGAGCGTACAGAGGCAGACCAATTTACCAACGAGCGCAGCGTCTCGACAAGGGCCTCCAGTGATAGGCGTTTGATTGCGTATTCTTTGGGGTAGTCGGCTTCATTCTCCTGGTGCGGGATAATCTGCGCAACGGTGAGCGACGGGGGGAGGATACCCTTGAGCTGCCACTCGCTCGCCGGCGCAGTCTTCCCTCGATACTCCTCATACGCCTGTTCATGTATGGATGTTATCGAGACGGGCGCCGTCGCAAATTTGGAGAGATCTTCAATGACAGTTTGGAAGATGTTCTCTACAGACTGATCGCAGTCATAGTTGAGATACGTCTCAACCAAAGCCCTCGGATCAGCGCAGAGGCGGTTTAGGATGGAAACAAAGTAGAGTTTCTGTGTTAGCGGGGCATTCTTCTGAGACAAGAGTGCCAAATAAATCTCGTTGAGAATGACCTCAATTTCTTTCTAGTATAGAATAAGCCTCTGATACGCATCAAGGTGTGCCACATAGGAAGACGTAAAAAACAAGGAGAGAAATAACGTACCTTGAACGAGGGGCGCATGTATTTGAGCATGAGCCAAAAAATCTCACAGCAGATATCAAAGATTTTATCCACCGAACTGGCTCCATTCCGCGTAATGCTAAGACAAAGATAAAATTTAATGGCCTGAAGAAAAGTGGTGGGCTCATTGCTCTTGGAGCTCCTAATGGTACAAAGAGGCGAGGTGAAAACAGCAATGTTGTTGTTTAGAAGGGTGTGGATGAGGTGCAAAGAAACGAGCTTGGAGCGCATCGCTCCACCTCGCAAGTCGAAAAGCTGCTCAGGGGGCAGAACTTTGGTCGACAGATTGCAGAAAGATCGGAAGATGAGATAGGCATCCCGGATGTACACCTCATCTTCAGCGTCTAGCGCATCGCTGTCCTCCTGCGGACCAGATTGCCCTGACACGGACACATTGCTGTCATCTTTCTTTTCTGACTTGATTCGCGTAACCATAGTAGGTCCTTCGCCAAGGGTCGAATCGTCAAAGCTCTTGCGATGCTCTAAATCTTTTAATGTGAGTTTCGCAGCATTGGCCGGCTCTTCCGATGCTTCGTTGCTATCCAGCTGCGAAGCCGAAGTCGAAGCGTCTTCCCCGTCATCACTAAGGCGGGTGCCGTTGGCAACCTCGGATTGTTCAAAAGTAACATTGCTTGCGCCATGCTTCAGGTTGTCCAGGCTCAATCTGGCTTCCTTCATGTGAAGTCTAGTCTTGACTCGCTCGAAAACGGTGCCAACCATCTGGGTGAGAGTGCCCTGTGCAACCTGCTGATTGGCCGTGCTCCGAGAGAGCAGGAAAATGTTGTAGGTCTGGCGCACAGCCTTGAGCAGGCCTGCGCCATGAACAACGATCTTGTCATTCAGGACGGCCGCTAGGAGTGACTTGACAATCTGCAGCTGGATCTCGACGGCCGTCGTCTCGCCTAGGAAACAGTCGCAGATGGTATCGATGGCTCGTTCAATTAGCGGGGATGCCGGTTCGGCGCCTTCCTTGTGCCCATCGTCCTTGGCAGGGAGGGAGAAGTATGAATAGGATATCAGCTTTCCAATGCAATCGAGCGCTGTCGTTGTGAGCTGCGGGCTGCCGGTCTTGGTTGCGAGCTGGAGAGGCGCGAATACAATCTCGGGGTCGGGCAGCTGATCCTGCTCTTTGATGGCATCGAGGGCTGTCTTGGTCAGGTCGGCCAGCTGCTTGTTTCGCTGGGCATCTTTAGAAGTCGCAATGGCGTCCAGAGAGGACACCACGAATTTTAAGGAGCTCATGGAGCGCAGGGAGGCCGGATACGACAGACAATCGCCACGGGAGAAGGACGCGGGAGTTAGGGACCTTGGGCTTGGTCCATCGATTGAGGCTGCGGTTCGGAGGCGAGGGCACGGGCGAAGACGGAAGCGTGGGACGAAGGGCTTCGCGAGCAGGCCGAGGAATTGGAGAGGCCGGTGCCTTGTGCCGCAGCTGGCAGATCAGAGAGAGGCTGCGATATATCCACGCAAAGAGCTCGAGTTGATGCCTCTCGACTAGGGGACAACATTTCCAAAAGCGAGGAGCCAGAGAGCGGGCCCCGTTACGCCGCCTTAGCCTCGAGGCTACGTACCAATTGGAGGTGCGAAACAGCGCGTGCTGGAGTACAGAGTACTCTAAATGCTCCCGCTCAGCCAGTGAGATGCTGCAAAACTGCTCCTGCTCAGGCACCAGCTACAAGTATCCAGTACCTGAGAATCGGTTTTATTGAGCAGCAAGCCACTTCCAATTCAAGCCACAGCTACACCTGCCAAACACTTTAATCTCTAACAAAACAGTACCTAATAAGGGTCCATTGCGAGGATGCACGTTGCAGTTGGAGACGGACCTATTCTTGAGGCTCTGCCCCAAACGGGTCTCTGCAACAGGCACCTGCATATTCCGAAATACTGATTGAGAATATCAATATCCGTCTGCCTGCTGCGATGTTTCGAAATTTATATTAGTAGTTACCTAACAGGCAACCATTTCTCCCTTGTCGCGGTTGCAGCCATACCTAGGCACCGTGTGGCCTTGAGTAGGCTCCAATGCCATCGTTTCTCAACATTCTCTCTAACAGGATCGCTGTGTTCAGAACCTGCGACGCTTCGCTGCCTCCTTTCTCGATAGGAGGCGTTACTTATTAGGGTAGCTTACCTAGCTAGCAGCACTTGCTGTTTGCAGCATCATCAGACACGATACGAAGCGCCTCTGCCGCATATATATGAGCAGCCATTCCGCGGCTTGGGTTAGCGCAGATTTGCCTCCCGCTGTCCGAAGTCAATGGCTTGAGGGGTTGAGGGGCCATCATGATAAGCAATTGCGCCCGCTAGAGTTGAGACGGCCCAGATGACATTCGGCATGCGTGCTTTGACTTTCTATTTTTGCCAATCTTTATTGGGGCACGAGCTAGCAAATTGTGCTGTCGAATATCTGCTCTTTCTCTCTCAGGCGCCACTTACAAGCGACTTGAGCAGTACTAACATCATGGAAATGGGTACGAGTAGGAAAAAGGGTCGAACTACTCAGGCATTTAGCAGCTTTCGGATCTAGTACTAGTATTGTTATGGATGTTATTGTGCTGCAAGAATAGATTGGCTGGAGAAGCTACTGTTGCTAGACTATTGCTAAGCTGGTACGGAACGCCTGGAAGCATTGCATTCGTGGACTTGCCGCCCGAAATCCGGAAATCATGCAAGTGCGTAATCCCGGGCGACTTTTGGGTCAGTCTTTTTTTTTCTTCTGCTGACTACTGCCAATCAGAAGCTGGGCGCAACCCGTAGTTTGCTGGAATGAGTAAGTGAAAATGCACAGTCAATATCTGATGCGTATAACAAATACGCTTCCTATGGATATTGTTTTTGCACTGAGCACGAGATTATCCATCGATCCTAAACTGCCACGCGATGCCACCTGTCAGTCAGAGCGTAAATAATTTCAATGACTTCCTGCACCGCGTGGCCAATTTGCGTATTAGGGCTCTGCCAAATAGAGCTTCCCCGGCTCAAGCACCGCTACATGAAGTCTATTAGGCGGGCACCGCCACCGACAGCGACCCGCCCTGGCATTTTGGCCTGGATGCAACCAGACCAAGCAGACATCCAGGCCAAAATGCCAAGCACCAGACATTCAACTTGGCGCTCACCTGGCTTCTGCTAGCCTCAGCGCCCCAATCCGCTGGAGCTATTTTCCGCCGCCCTTCCGAGGGGGCGGGCCATCATTTCATCCACCTGTAGAGCCAGGTGAGGTCCGTCGTGCTCGGGGCAAAAAATCCACCGCCGCGCCGATATCCATGGCCGCCAAACGCTGTCGTCTCACTTGGTCGCCTTTTCGCTGCTGAGCGCCAAACCCTGCGTCTCGCACCTTGCATCCTCTCCGCCCTTTGCTTCGCCCGACCCTGTGATCGCCTGGCGCCGGCGAAATCAACTGTCGCCAGATGTCGTCTCTGTGAGTGCGGCAAGGCGGACCAAAGACGAGCCTGGCGACGACGCCCGCCTCATCGCAGAGCCACGATCCGAAGCTCGAAACCGACTGTCTGCTGGCTCAGATCGCTTCGACCAAACACCCGAATCCCGCTCGCACGTCTGCTCTACCCCCACGTGCAGCACATCTACCTATATCTAAAAACAAATCAACCTCACGCATTCAAGTTTATCTGTCCGCGGCTCCCTTCTACCCGCCAAAACGAGGCGAATCACCGCTTCGCCGAAATTCAAGATTTATACAGACACGCACATAGCATACCCTCATATACGCACAAAATGTACTCCGTCTTACTCGCCGCCCTCGGCCTTTTGGTCGCTGCGACTTCGGCCGACGACAGCGACAACATCACCACTTCAGCTGAGACCGATGTCCCTCCAGACTGGGCCACAAACGATGCTCTGCAAATGAATCTATCAACTCCGGGTGGGCAGCCCAACCCGCTCCAATTTACAGTCATTCCTCTTATCCCCAATGCTGGCACGAACCAGTCAAGCAGTAACTTTGTAAGTCTGTTTCCGGAAGTCTCTATCTCGTCTTGGCCTCGATGCTAACAAACCCACAAAGTCATTGAACATAAATGGCAACATGATCGCTATCGACGTCTCCAACTTCAACAAAATCAACAAACCTAATGACGTCGCTTATGTATCATGCGACACCGACAATTCTTCGTCCGGCACCCTCATCAGCACCAATGAGATGCTAAACGATCTCATCAGCGCAAATCCAAAGGCCATCGTCTTGTATTCGCTTGCCGGCACCTGGTGCAGTCTCAATTTCCAAAACACGCCAACTTTTCTTAATATCCTTTCCATGGCCGATAGCGGAGAAGCTCAAAATGTGCTGGGTGCCCTAAACGGAACTGCCAACGGCAGAGTTGTCAACGTTTCTATTACAGGAAATTCAACCGCTGGAGATCCTAATGGTAACCCCAGCCCAGGTGGAGGTTCCAGCTCGTCAGTCGCCATGAGTGTTCTCTACACCATAACAGGCCTTATTACTCTTCTGTTTCTCGTAATCATTGCCACGGGCGCCATAAGAGCGCATCGATATCCGGAACGATACGGACCTCGGAGGGCCCTAGGTGGCCGGCCTCGACAGAGCCGAGCCAAGGGACTGGCTCGCGCAGTTCTCGAAACCCTTCCCATTGTCAAATTCAACAACCAGGAATCCGCTAAGCCGGATCCTGAGCTCGAATTAGACTCGGCAACTACTGATGGGCGTGACACTCGAACTCAGAAATCGGCTTCAATCCTTACGGAGGATGCACGACCTGAAGCAGCTACGGCCGCCACGGGCGGTAGCGAGACCAAAGAAACGGCTCCGGTGGCTGAGGCCCATGGCGCTGCTGACCCTGGCACTACTCCAGTCGGGAACGTGGGATGTTCGATTTGTACGGAGGACTTCAAGGAAGGTGAGGATATGAGGGTTCTGCCTTGTAACCACCAGTTCCACCCAAATTGTATTGATCCTTGGCTTCTCAATGTGTCTGGAACATGCCCCTTGTGGTAAGTTGAATGTGCACCTCTGCAATTTTTCTGTTCTCAGTACTAACGCCACCTAAATTAGCCGACTCGATCTTCGTCCTGATGCTGCTGAGAACAGCGATAGACCAGCCACTGATAGAAACTCTATACTGCCACCTCCATTGGTTGTGGAGGGTGAGGATGGCGAAGGCAACCATCCCCACCACCGCAATAGAATTTCACGCTTTTTCGATATCAACAGGCTGAGGCAAGCAACAGCGGAAGAACAAATCGAAGCTCTGCGACAGATGCGATCGACTCGCCAGGACGATACCGAAGCTCATGGTGCAAGCGGTGGCGCCAGCGCCAGCCATGATGCAGAGGGCGAAAGAGGACAGAGGGCTCACTTATCGGCGAAACTCAAGGAGAAATTTCGAATTCGAACCAGGGCTCGATCTCCTGAGCGTCGGGATAGCTAAAACGGCGTTTTTCCCGCCATCTCTCTCAACCACCGTTTATCCACGTCAAAGCCACACAATCCTTGAACTCTTTATCATCATACCAGCGGCTTTTATTGGCCCTTGTATATACACACGGCCAGCTTTTCCCTCTACGGCTGCATCCTACATCATTTTCGATCGCTACATCTTGGTAGAATTGTCTATTTGACAATACTATGGCTTCGGCGCTTGGGGGAAACACTTGAACTTTATTAGGCAGAAATGACGAGGGGACTCATGGAAGCATCGCACGGCGTTTTTTTGGCATCTGTAAACATTTTTCCCTTTATTTTTTCTTTTTTTAAGCTACATTTTATCCAAGCTGCTTTCCAGCGAATGGTGGCTTACATGGGAGTCTGGGTTAGGCATCTCTTTTGTTTTTATTGGACGTGCGATGCAAGTTAATCATGAGGAACACGACGGCGATTGAAATACACAACAAGGCGTGAAACAAGAATTTCCGCTAGTAAACCAACTAATTTAGCTACAATATGTGACTTGGTTAGTATTGGCTGGCACTAGTAGGCGTAAAAGAACATGAAGGAATCATCCGACGAGTGGTTGCGCCGGTGACTGGTGAGACGGAGATGGTTGTTACCGAGGCGACATGCTTGTCTCATATAAGTCTTTTTAGGTGCAGTGACGTGTGACTGAACTGAACTATTTGGAGTTATTGAAGGCGTAGCGTGATCTGATGTGGGCATTTTGACGTGTGCTACGCAGTACGATGAGCAATATCTGATATTCGGCGGTGACGATTCCTTCTCCGTGTAACATTTGTAAAAGCTGAGACTGACGAGTGTCATGAATGTGGCATTGATCGCAGAGGAGCAAAATCCAGCCTCTTCTAGAAATGTTAGACAGCACCAGTATGTCTTTAAACAGACGTGACTATTGAAAGTTCAGAATCTTGAAGGATGAGCAAGGTTACGCAGTATCGTTTTGATCTTACTCAAAACGGGTTATAGATTTGTAGAAAGCTCGCATAATTTAAGAGGATATGATTTCCCTTGTCAGGTTGAGATAAGATAGATGGGCGTGTATTCTCTTTCTCAAAGGGGAAAACGAGCGCAGATACTGCTTGCCCAAACATGCTCTTGTTGTGAGTTCCTACCAGCTCAAAGGATACGGTTAAAGCAATACGCATCTCCTCACGACCTCTCCCCTGTTTATACCATACAGTCGCTTCAACTCCTTTTCCCTTCTTCTTTGTAAACAAATTGCTATCCTAATTCCGCAAATTTTGTTCCCTAGCCGCCGTGATCCCTCTATTGTCGACTCCATCGCCACCTCTCGCATCATGAGTCGCACTTAGTCCGTCTTCTGAGCGGCTCTGCCCTCTCAACAAACGCTACAGGTTTCTTGGATAAGGAATTTGAGAGGGACTCGGGCCCGTCTAGTCAGAGGAAAGTCGCCTTTCATCGAGGCCATTCATCACATCGCCATGGCTCCGACAATTATTTTGGGGCAAGAAGGGGCTAAAGTACCGCTCGGGGGACAAGTCTTCAGTGTCATACTGGCTTTAACGGCAGTCACTGTCCTGACTTTGTTTATGAGTGGGATCAGCGCCCAGCATCCCACCTGACCACGTACGAAGCTAACTGCGATGAACATGCTAGCACAAAGAGTCCTTGCAATCAAATTTTGGCGCCGGCTGCCACCTGTAGTTTGGTGTAAGTTGCCACGATTATGATTGATATGGGAAACAAAGGGAACTGATTTTACATCTCCAGTGGTGTTTGCCATATATATTGACTCGTACATGTTCGTTGTTGCCACTGCGATTTTGCAGCACTCACTTGGGGTCAACGCTGGCTTCGTTATTTGTGAAGCGGAAATCATACTGTGCTTGGCATGCTATGTTACCACAAAGGTGATGCTCGTGCTCAAAGCTTCATCAGTCTTCTCTCTCTTGCTAACATGGTCTTCTTGGTAGATTGTCAGTGCCCAATACTTGATCTCGTTCAATGCTGGGCTCTGCACCATGCTAACCATCTCAGTTTATCTACTTGTTTCTCGTTGAAAAGGCAGTAAGTGTAGATCCAATCAATGCTTTTTTTTTTTTTTTTTTTTTTCGAAATTCTGCTAACACTGTGATACAGTATATTATTCGCGGTGTAACAAAGCCTCGCATGAAATCCACTCTGTACCTGGTAAATTCTCTTGGAATGCTCACCATATACATAGGAGTGGTCATATTAAACTTTGTCTAGTAAGTTCAATATGCGAAGAGATGTTAAATGGCACCTAATAACAAGTAAAACAGCCGCATTGCAAGAATGCATGATGGAGAATGCATAATAGGGATGGAAAAGGTCTCAATGATTCCTCTCATCTCTTTCGATGCGCTGATCAATGTGTACCTGACAATTATGTTTCTTATACCTTTGAAGAGTAGGTTTATTTGGGTCTTTTGGAAGCGGCAGCAGAAATAGTATTCACTGACGCCTGCTAGGACTCCATTCTTATGCCAACATGGCGAGAACTCGAGCTTCCATTCGTCTTCGGACAGTGGCATTCCGAACATTCTGCGGCACAGTCTGCACACTAGTAAGCAGCATTGTGTAAGACTCGATGCGATGGCTTTAAGAGGGTTCTTTCTTGAATATAAGTCGGCTGATGAACAGTTTTTTAGCAATCTCTGTGTGTTAATGGCCCGTAACGGAGAACCTGGATGGATCTGCTTGATGAGCTGCAACTGTGACAGTGAGTTATGCGTGTATATTCTTGCTTGACGACTTGACCGCTAAATCTCTGCCTGTTGATAGTCCTGTTTTCTGTAATTGTCATCCAATGGGTGACATCCAGGGATAACGCCGGGACAGCAAGCGTCAACTCATCCGGGGAGCCCAGACGATCGCGAGATCTCGGCTCAGGGGCAAATCGAATATCAACGCCAAGCGAATTTCAAGAGACACTATCATCGACATTGGCCGATATATCGCTCGTGCCAACCAGGCGGCGATCCCGCGATGGCGATCGTGATGATCCCTATGAGCACGACACCCCTGATGGCGCCGCTGCCAAGATGACCAAAAACCCCTCCAATGCCGTCACGGTAACGACGACGATAAAAAGAGAGGTCGGGCCTAACCCAAATTACCTTTCCGGACTGCATATCGAATCATCCACTACTTGTGGACGCGAGTGCCTAATATCCCTGACATCTGGCGCGATAGATGAGAGGTTCCCCCCGCTGGAGACCAAGATTACTGCCGGGCGGTCGCACTCTTTGGAGGGCTCCGATCAGTCAAAAGTCGATGCTTGTCACTGTCAATCCTTTTCCCTTTGAGAGCAATGCCAAATGTTACCTAGCGAGTAGTAGTTATTGATTCAATAGATGTTACCTTTTTGCTTTATAGCATAATACATAGGTTATTGTACAGCCCTGATAATAGTAAGCAAAGTCAATATATATTTAACTTGGGAAAACCACATCACAGTTGATACAAAAGACTATTAAAGCTTGGGCGCGCAAAGAGAGTAAATCGCAAGACCTTTATTGAATTCGTAGCTCGTAGTTCTATGCTAAAGTCTTGTCCACGACCCTGTTTCTATACGTGAGATACATACCAGATCATTCCATGCTTTTTTCCGTCAACATCTCTATCCTTGATCTCATGAGAATATCGAAAAAAAGAGAAATATAGACGGAAAGGGCCACCAAGAAGTGACTTATGGCAGAAATTATCTGGGAGCACACTCTCTTTCCCTCTTTGAACAAACAAAAAAAAATGTGAATCAAAATGTACTGATATCGCGGATGCTGACATCCAAGAACCAGGTAGTTAAAAATATGTACAGGTGAACTTGAGTTGCGCCTTTCCCCTTGATGCCATTCAGTATGTTTTTTTGTATCTGCTGTGTTTACACCAAATGTCCCCCTTCTTGCAATAAATAAGCTATGACTGAAATTCCGGCTAAAAGATATGTCGAGATAAATCTTTAGCGAGGTACTGTAATACCTAGGAAGCGAAAGGATTCCATCTCAGCCACGTGCTTAAGTGGAGGCATAGGTGAGACCGATGCTGCTGGCGGCGGAGGCTGAGGCCATGAGGTTCAAACCGTCAGAGCTGCCAGAGTTGGCAACCATGAAGTAGGAGTAACCCAGGACGCTGGGGTTGGAGTCCAACTTGGGCAGAGCCTCCTCCAAGAAAGCAGTAATCTCATCGACAGAGCCAGAGGGCTGGAACTCAGTGATCATGACAGGCTTGCCACCACCGGCTTGGCTGACAGCCTCAATCTGGGAGAAGAAGGTGTCGATAGCAGAGGCAGGAGAGTACCAGTGCATGTTGACGAAGTCGAAGTTGCAGTTACCAGCGCAAGCCTCAACCCACTGCTTGAGCCAATCGGCACCCTGGCCAGGCGATCCGGAGTTGGAGACAGCAGGAGCGCCAACCAGAACTCTGCCAGAGTACTTGTTCAGCCACTGCTGGTGAGCAGAAGCAGCGTCGGCAGGAGACATGTTGGCCTGGCTGGGAATATCGGGCTCGTTGAAGCTGAAGACAGCCTTGGTTCCAGAGGAGATGAGAGTCTCAACCTGGTCAGCGAAGCCATTGGAGTGCTCGGGAGCGGGACTCCAGAGAGTAGGGATGTAGCTGAACTGGCTGTCGATTCCAGAGGGGTAGAAGCCCCAGTTGTAGGCCCAGCCCATCTTGCCAGAAAGGGCACCGTAAACGTTGGCCAGGAGACCATCGTTGTAAGCCATACCACGACCAAAGTGACCAGCGCTGACAGGAGCTGAGCTGGGGGCCTTGCTAGGAGTAGCAGAGGGAGCAGCCTGGGAAGTCGAGCTGGAAGAAGGAGCTGGCGCAGAGCTGGGCGAGGGAGTAGGGGTGGGAGTAGGCTGCTCAGAGGTGGTGGGAGGAGCCGGGGCAGAGGACGCCGGGGCAGAGGACACCGGAGCAGATGAAGGCACAACGGGTGCGATGCTGCTGCTCACGACGGCGGGGACAGATGGGCGAACAGAGGTGACCAGAGTGGTGGCCTGGGCAGCGGGAGCCGCAGAAGACGAAGCAACAACGGCGACAGAGCTGGCAGCGGCAGCGGCGTTTCCAGCGGCCGGGCCAGTAGGGTTGGGAACATCCTGAGCGGCGAAGCCACCAGCAGCTGAGGTGGCAGCAGCAGGAGCAGGAGTGGACGCGTTGGGGTCAACGGTGACATAGACGGTGTCGATGACAGTGGTCCAGTCGACAACGAGAGCCTTCTTGTCCATCTGGTGCTGGTGGCGATGGGCGTTGAGAGCCATGGACTGACCCGCGAGGGCAGCGATGGAGGTGAGGGCAACGGCCTTGTACATTTTGTCTAGATTTGACGGGAGTGATGTATATCGATTTCAAACGTTGGAGTAAATGATTGTGACAAAGTCGAGTTGGACTTGGAGATGCTTTTGCAATGCGAGGCAGGTCGGCGCGGCCGGTAAAGAGTGCAATCGGTCTATCAAAGACGCAGTAAAGAGTGAACAGCCTTGCTGATTCAAAAGAAGAAGTCGAACTGGCGACGGAGAAGATAAATGAAAGACGAGCTGACGAAAGTGCCAGGGAAAGGAAAACGTTTGGTGGTGAAAAGAAGGAGAAAGGAAGAGATGAGCTGGGGATGAGAGGGGCCTGAAGTACCCGGCAAGTGGAAGCCGCAGATACAGGGCCCGGTGCAGGGCTCGATGCAAGGTACAGCGCCAGGGCAGGGATCCCTGTTCGTCGAGGGTGGGTAGTGCCCCCTGCACAGCGCTATCGTGCAAGTTTTGCAGTGGGCAAACGGCGCCCTGGATGCGATGGGGCGTGCTGACGCTAGCTTCAGTGCCTGAACTCAGTTCAACTGCCTGCACGTGTGCCTGCTCGACCTCCCTCGGCATGGCCACGGCTGGTGGTGCTGCGTCTGCAATGCCGTGGCTGGTGCAGCTGGAGCTTGGCGAAAGCGAACACTGAAGCCACTGCTGGGGGCCACGAGAACTGCGAATGGGCAAGGCGTGTACAGGCTTGAAGGCGTGCACCGTTTGTTCACGCCCAAGAGCAGTCCGGTACATGTCAAAGCTTAGCAGCAGATGCTAGCCTGTCTGGATTACATTGCGTCCCACACGGTCGTGGTTGGACCTGTGCTCGTGTTGTTCAGGCACTCGTGCTTGGTAGTAATTTACAAAGCAATAACTGGTCAGGCATCCCGAATCCTGTTTCGATATTGATGCTGTAGAGTACGGCCACCAATATATTGCATACCTCTGCGGAAAATGTAGCAGCAGCTGCTGCTGCGTCACCTCCCTGGAGGGAGACACAATATCGTGCTTTCAATATTGTACCACCGCCAACCCCTCTCTAGTATGCTCCAGACGTCACCGAACAAGCGATACCCATTGCAACTTTACTTTTCTTCCGCCGATGCCACAATACAGTAGAAACATTGTTATCCGTACTACAAGCCGGAACCGGGCAAGCAAAAGATAAATTCAAAAGGGCAGAGAAGAAAAAGTAAAAAACTCCCTCTTGCTTATCCCAACATGTGGTCCGTCAAGCCCAACTTGGCTTTAGCCTAGCGCCCCTAGTGCCGGCCAAAGCCTCGCCTAGCGCCAGGGGCTACGGCGACTCCCAGGCACGCTCAGCACCCTATGGAGCCTTGCAGAGGACCGCACATGGAGCTTGAGGGACCTCTATGGGGGGCTGCTTGGGGACTGGAGCGTTTTGGACCGTCGCCCCCGCCAAGGCACAGCGCCAGCTGCGGCTGCACTGATTGGCCAATGCGCGCCAGGCACAGGCTTCCGGTTGGTCGAGCGCAGCGACTCCAGCCGCTCGAGGCGGCCGCGGTGGGCGAGCCCGGCCCGCCTGTGCCCAATCGCCGTCGACGGCGCCCACAAGCCTAGTCAAGGTGAAACGGCCTCTGCATATGCCCGTACGCGGCCCTGAATCCTGTTTGCGAAGGGGCTTAAGCCAGCAGGCGTGCGGGCTTTTTCTTACTTTTTCTCTCTTTTTGTTTTTATCTTGTTGTTCATTGACACGGTATGGAGCATGTTCTGTTGCGTTTGCATGTTTTAGCAGCAATTTTAAGTGATGGGCCAAGCATTTACCTGGAAGCCATGTGGGCTCGGCTACACCAGCTGGAGCTTCGATGTTCCGTTTCTTCTCAGATGCACACTGTACAAGACTGCGGTACGAGCATGCAGCAGCAACCCTGATACAGACAGCAGTCGTGCTCGTGAGGATCAGTGCTGACGAGGCATTTAACCTTTTTGTCCTCGGACAAATTAGACTCGAGGAACAAGAATGGAGAAGGACTTGATTCCATTTCCCATACTGTAGCTGCATGAAGATACAAGTGATGATCTGAAAGTGGATTAGGATGGTTTTGGCCTGTAAGACACATGGCATGAACCCATCCACATACATACGGCAAGATCGACAGAATATACGAGTCTGTGTCGCTCATTACTTGTTTCGTATTCTATTTCTAATCGCAGCCATCTCTTATAACCATATTTGTCGAGATGCTAAGATCTTGCTGGAGTCGTCGCCTTGGCAGCTGTATCTATGGACATGCCCGCTTTGGTCATTTAGCATTATACGAGAAAACCATACTGAACCCTTGGAGAGCTGCCGCCGTCCTAGGAGCTCTCCCAAGCAAATCCGTTCATCCCATGTCCAAGGGAGGGTACGCAATGCCAGGCCATCAGTTTCATGCTCACCAAACGAGAAGTGGCCGGGATTTGGAATGCAGGGCGAGACAACTCTCGGAGGCGCGGCACCGATTCATGTGCCCCTATTGGAACACAAGCCGTGTATGGGGACACGGAGTACTCCGTATACATAAAGGCATGGCATACCATTCTCCGCACACGCAATCTCATTGTTTTGCCCGGCCCTTTGTCCGCCGGAGTTTACTTGTAAGTGTCTCGCGCATGACAAGTAAAACATGATTGTGAGGGCTGCTTCTTCTATACGCCTTCCACCCGTGTCTTATCTTGTGGTGGTAACGCAGAGTTGCAGCTCTGCCTCTGCAGCTATCCAACATGCACAAACTGACGTGGCTCCAATCCGGCAGCTTCACATGTCTGCCGTCCATTGCGCACATTTCATTACTTTTCACGCCACTATACTGTAACATGAAACAAGACGAAGAAAAAAAAGACTCGAGGCCCATCCGTACATCAAAAGGGCTTAGATCGATATGCAGCGCTTTAACTAACAGGCACCCGGCACCGACACCGACACCGATCCCTGTCTCTTCTTTTCGAAATTCTTTTTTTAAGCCGAGAGGCGTGCAAACCCCCACCCCTGGCCACGTTGGCTCGCTCGGTCGTGCCAACCGCTAGCTCATCCGAGATGCCAAGATGGCGGTGTCTTTTTTTTGCCTCCTACTTGCTTGGCGGCCGCGCACTCTCAGAGAGAGTTGCAAGGATCAGGCAGCAAACGGCTTCTCGAATTTTCGAGTGCAGTGTGCGATGCCTTTGGTTTTTAGGGCTTGAGCCACCGTGAAATGGTGGTTTTAGAAAGACGGATTGCCTATTATTCACTCTCAGGCTAGTAGTTTGTTTGGAGAGTGTTCGGAGAACGATGCTCCATACTCGTAGGCGCTGGATTAGTAACACACGACAAAGCACCGTTAACGGACTCGAAAAGGAGGCGCGCAGGCAATAAGCATCTAAAAGCCTATCCGCTGGGTAGTCCTAGAGGCCTTGGCTACGAGTAGACGCTGCAGGCTTCATACAAGCTGAACCTGTTGGATACAGGCACGAATACTCCCCAAGCAGGACAGAACTCCACGCGCTCCGTGCTGGGAGCCCAAAAGGTGGCAGTTAACCGAGTGGCGCGATATGTCAAATTGCTTGCCCCTTTCCAGCCCTCTCGTTCTTATATTAGACCTGGAGGCTGGGCCTCTGACCAAGCCATCGCCAACGTGAGCTCCCCCATGCCTCTTCAATGCCCTCGCCATAATCAGGTGCAGGGGACAAGGATACCCGGCACATCAAACCCTGGGCCAATCATGGACGCCCCGGACATCCGCTTCTGTATGTGGTTGTTATGAGCTCCGTGTTATACGAACATTGGGTCGGAATAAACTGTATACGCACATTCGGTCACCGGCGTCTACTGTATCTCGTCAACCAATGGGCCGATTTGATTCTCTGTGCTGGTGTGGAGCGGCTGGTCCTGCCATCGTTCCTGTAAATTGACGATGTCACTTATCTGCCCATCTAATCGGACACTACTATTGGGCGTTTCAGTTGGGACTTCAATTTATACGCTCCCCGCAGATTCTATATGATTCTGGTTCCATCACTTGGAGTTTGGCTGATGTATCATAAAACGAGTGCTATTCTTAAATAGCCGCCAATGTTCGGAGATTGCATGCCACCAGACGCTCGTCGAGTAAAAGCTATTCGTAGAAACCCTATGCCTGAGCGAGATACACGAGCAATAGGCACAACGAATCATCATCGTATTCCAACCTTGACAAACGCCACCATCGCATGTGCATGCAGCTCGTCGTTGTATCCAGTTTATTAGCATCGTGCCCTTGGACGCGGGCCATCTCACTCAGGCCCGCGCCCGCATTCTTTTTTTTCCTTCTTCGTTGGACCAACCACTCTTGGAAGGTCTGGGCAGGCGTTTCGCGCAGGGACGCATTTCAGATTCCTATCTCTGTTAGTAGTTCACGCCAGCCCCTACTGTACGATCGGTTACTATTACCGGCCTTTGGAATGCGGCCAAGTCATAGAGGCAATGGTGCGTGTGAGCCCCGGCGGCGATCAAAGCTGTGCTTTGCAGGTTCTATTTTTACTGGATTCTATATATATCTGTAGGCTGATGATTGCCTGTGCTTAGCAGGCGGTGAAATTGGCGACAAATACTAACATGAAGAAAGACTTGTGAAAACTCACTATACAACCAAGTAGTATTCAACAACGGCGTGAATCTCTTTCTTGTTATTCTAGCTAGCTTTCGGTAACGGCACTGTTTATTTCAATACGCTTACGCGTACTCATTTATCCTGTTATCTACTAGCAGCATAAAGATCATCAAACCACCCGTCAACTCCCAGCTCTTGTGCCGAATAGCCGGAAACGCAAGAGAGCCTCAAATGGTTTTGTCGATCCTCATCGCGGTCGAATTGACCGAGCCAACGAGCTTATGCTGCAATTGCCTCGCCATCCCGAGCAAAGGAGCCATGACGCTCGAACCATAACGCCACGACTCATACCTGGTGTTGCACCTCGATTCGCTCACCGAGTTTTCATGTTCAATGATTCTACGCTTACCCTATAACTCGTGGGAAAACGTGGGGTTGTACAAACGTAAGTCGGTCGATTGAGCCGCTAGCTCGGCAGCAATGCCTTCTGGAAGCTTAGCAGCTGCTTGGATAGTTTGAAAACGTAGAGAAATATGGACGGCAAGGTTCGGTGAAGGAGGCCATCCAAAGTGATGTTGCGGCGTGCCCATTCGGTTCCCGAAATGTCACAAGCGCCTAAGGCATGCTACACCTCAGAAGTAAATTACAGATAATTGCTCGCATTGCGGCAACCAAATGGCGCAATGTGTCTGCCAAGGCGGCCAGCTGATCAAATTGAGGCTCGCGGACCTCATGCTGCTGCGCCGCCTCTTAATCGCCTCAGAAATGGTGGCATCGAGAACCTCTTTGGCTGTATTTGCAAGGCGCACGAAGTAATACGCACAAGGACGCGGAGGAAAGGTGCTCCGGTCCACGGCGCCTAAATATAGGCCCGTCGCATTCGATAGAGCAGTTAGTCAACAAAGACCGACACTTCCATATCGACTTCTTGACAATTTGCAGCATCCCACTGCTCACGACTAGGATTTTGCAACTGCAGCTGCCCACCAATCACGCCCCGTCGCCATCGCCATATGCGCTCCGTAACGTGGGGCCGTCAAGAGTCACCCGGTGACCGCACCCGAGCCTGCATACAGTACAGCCTGGGTTGAAGAACCGCACGCGCCCTTGCAGCATCGCCTGCCATGAGCTCCCAGCCCTTTGAGGACGACATCATGTCGTTCCCTGATTCGTCCGACTTCGACTATACCGCCTATCTGCAGCCCGACGCGGGGTTCGTCGACGGCGTGCAGGGCTATTCGACGCTGTCGGAATCGTCAGGAGGAATGCACACGCCTCCGTATGCCAGCTCCAGGGGCCTGCCCGGTAGTAGCAATATCAACAATGGCAGCCTCGAGCTGAGCCTTCGGCGGACGCCGATGCAGCAAAGACAGCGGCTGGAGAGGCGAGGCCATACCAAGAGCCGTAGAGGATGCTACAACTGCAAGAGACGGCGCATCAAGGTATACATTGTCGCATTCCTTGGAGGTCCAGTAGAGGAAGTAGGCAACTCATGTTAAACGTCCATCATAGTGTCAGGAAACACACCCGGCATGTGGCAACTGTGCCAAAACGGGACTGAACTGCGAATATCCTGTTTCACCGCAAATTATACACCAGGTACGTTCTAACGAGTGCGAGTGCTCTATCATTATACAACCGGGCATCTGGTCTTGAACCTAGCTGACATTGGAGTAGCCGCACAATCAGATACCATTATTTAGCTTGCAGGATATGCGATGCTTTCAGCACTTTCTGACCCAGTGCTACCCTCACCATCCATTGAAGCAAGAGGAGATTTGGACGCACGAGATTCCGAGCATAGCTCACAATGTACGTTGGCTGTTCCCTTGACCTCGTGCTTGAAGGACAGTGCTTTTTAGCCGCGGGTTGACGTAACTGAACGATTTTGGTAGCACGAATTTCTTATGCATGCGATCCTTGGCTATGCGGCCTCGGAGCTGATGGTCACAGATAGCAGCCTTGCACCGGTGGCCATGAATCACCGCATCAAAGCGATCAAGGCCATCAAGAAACGCTTAACAGACGCGTCCAAGATGGAGACGACCTACGAGGAAGCCAACGCTTTGGTGGCTACCTGCTTCGCACTGACTTTCCAATCGGTCAGTCTCGAAGACGGATTGGCCGAGTACATGACTTTTATTCGTGGGATTGTCATTGTGGGGATGCAAATGATGTTTAAGAGCATCAAGCCTCTGTTCAGTAATCTGTTTGAGTCGAACCAAGACGAAGTCATGGCGCCATACATGGAAGGACTGCCTCTAATTGAAAAGGGGTGGGCTGAGGCTGCCATCGAGTCGATTACCAATTTGGGGCCGCTTTGCAAGCGGCAAGTCGAGATTGAATATCACGAGCAGCTCATGAACGTTTCCTCTCAATTACTGACCAATTCCTTCGAAGGTAAGCCGAACTCTGTATTTACTTTGGTGCTGGTCATCTCGCTAACGTGTTGGGTACTTGTTCTTCCTGCTGCAGCATACAAGGCCAATTCGAGGCAATACGGATGGTGGATGCTGCTACCTCATGATTCATTCCAAGAACTCATCAACGCCAATAACCAGGTTGTCATTTTGCTGCACACACACTGGATAGCCCTGTCGCAAATCATGGCCTTTATCAACGAGCAGGAGTACGAAGTGCGAGAGAAGCATCCTGCTCGGCAGGAAAATAGCCGCATCGACCCAGGATTCATCCGCTGGCTGAAGTATCTCAACGCGCGTGTAGATTATGCGCATCAGATGTTCAACCAGTGGCCGACGTGGGTGGACGAAAAGCTGGATAACGACATTACTTTTTTTGGGAAGCGTCGGTAGATGTACGCCTTGTTTGGGTATGAAGCAAATATAATTTTGGCGGTTTTTTTTTTTTCGAGTTTTCCCAATGTATCTTTGCGACATGTATCCGGTAATTTGATATTAACGATGTAGAGCAACTATATGTAGGTAGTTTATTGAGAAATACCACGATGGTAGATGATTTTATATATGCATCAAGGAACACAACCTACACAGGCTGAATGTCCATAGATGCCCCCCAGTATGGCATCTGAGGAGTAACTGTTACGAGGAATACGACTGTTGGGTAGCCATAGAACATTCAAAAGCATCTGTCACTTACACCTTGCCAAAACATGGTAGCGCTGATATCATCTTCAGCTGTAAAACATATTAATGTTGACCTGTCAACCCTCTCTCGACAAACTGCCGGTGAACATGGACGCAATTGACGCATCCTCAGCACAAGATCCTCAAAGCCCTGCCCACAGCCACACAGGGCTTCCTTTGAGACAATCCAGACGCTTCTGGTGCCCAAAACAAAGAGCCGAGCAGTGCAATCAAGCTTGGAGCCATTCCCCACAAAGGATGCGCTAGAAGCCATTCTCCATTTTACGTTCGCTCCTCTGATTGGCCCGTATTCATCGTATTCAGCGTATCCGGTATGCGAAATGGAGAGCCCCGCTTATCTTGTGGCGGCTGAACCACGCAAGAGACCAGAAAAGAGGCGCTGCGATGGTTTGTTGCATGTCAGCACGCGGGAGGACATGCGCCCGATTTCCTGCTAGGAGCTGGCGGATGGCGTTTGGCGACGGTGGCTGGGGGGCCAAGTTTGGAGTGGGAGGAGCCGTATATCTCGCGTTGGGCGAATCTGGTGGTGGACTGCTGGCTTGGCGATGATGCCTAGATACGTGTGTTATTGCTTTGCTGGGGCGGTGGCATCGAAAGTGTATATAACAGTGGTCTGCACTTGGATGGAGAGAACAGCTGTATTTGAGATTAATGCAATTCCTACTATATCAATTATTTATTCTTCAAGTACTTTTATTATACCAGCTACATTTTCTGTGGCTGCTCGCACCCGACTTACACCACCAGAGCGGCCTGCTGCCATCATATACCCGTACAATGTCGGCCACTCAAACAAGAGTGCTTCTGCACAGTCGAAAGCTCTCTCAGACATCAACATCAACATCATCCCTTCCTCCAGCGTATGAACCCGGCGACTACATCGAGCTCGACAATCTTTCCACCACATCTTCACACTCCAGCTCCTCCCCCCCACAATACGACGACTACCATCTCAGCGCCCAGGGCTCATCTTCATCTTCATCCCGACCAACCTTTCACTGCACCAAAGCCCTTCAGATCGAAGCCCGAGGCCATCCCCTCTTGGCCTTCCCCCATTCGCCTCGACGGACTCCCATCCCCATATACAACGTAGATCTCTCCACGGGCATCGCCACAGACATAGCCTACCAGTCTCTCCGTCCGGTTCGCGGCTCCGGAAACAGCAATCTCATCCGTGCCGGCGACTCTGAAAACGACCCCATCTGCCGAACTACATACCGCTTTGGCCCGGGCAAGCCCCCAAAATTGGAACTATGTGGACTCATGGCCTATGAGGAGGAGTTTGAAGTCGTCAACAAGGGCTTCACTACGCGAGCGCAAGTATTCCGCACGCACCTCGGTACGTTCCAATGGCGTTATGCGGGGCGGGAGGAGAGAAAAGCGGCTGGGGCGGATAACTTGATGGTTCTCGATCGAATAGTCAAAGTGGCGCTTGAAGGCGGGAAGCAGGAGGAGAAGAGGATACCAGTGGCAAGACTGGTGAGAAATGCAGAGGTCAGGTCCAAGGAGACGAAAATTACGACGGCGGGGAATGGAGGCAGATTGATGATGAATTTGAGGGAGTGGGAGGGAACCAAAGGGGATGCGGAGCAGATGGAGGTGTTGGTGGTGGCTAGCTGCTTGGTGATGCTGAAGAAGGAGGTTGATAGGAGGAGGATGCATCAGGCTATTGCCATGACATCGCCTTGTTATTTTGCTTAAAGGGTTTTTGACGAAGAGTTGAGACCACGATTGTTATGTGTGTAACAAGTGGAAGTGTGAGATATTTAGCGATCGTATTAACTCTATTCTATGCTTATTAGACTCAGATATTTATATATTTCTCAAGTTAATTCACATTGCCGTCTTCTCTGCTCTGTCCAACTCCAACAGCTCCCCTCGTAGAGGCTTTTCATCAGAAGCAATCGTCTCCTCAACATCACCCTTTTTGCATCTCGCGCAATACGTTATACAGCAGCCGTCTTTTTCGCCAATGAAGGGGTCATCTGTGCACGATTTCCCCCACAGTTCGACAATCAAGACCCATACTGTCAGGCTTAGTGTGATGGAAATGAGGCTGAGGGACTGGAGTGAAGTCGCCAGCGGCAAAAAGAACATGATGATGCAAACTGCTATGCGATTTGCGAGCCTGAGATTTTTATTCAGCCGAAGCGTGGGTTGCTTCTTGTGTTCGTGTGAGAAGGATATCGCTGCCATGCAAAGAAGGGCAATGGCGAGACCATGGCAGTAGAAGAAGCGGACGCCGGAGTTGAAATGATCCTCGGCGCTGTCCCTGTAAGGTTCAGCAAGTTGATTTAAGTCGGTCCCTGGTACATCAGTAGCAAGAACCAGCCTCGATAGAGCCGATGTGGCGACAATGTAGCCCATCACAAAAGGTAGATGAGAGAACCCCCAAAGCCCAGCTACTGCGTTGTTAGCCATAAAGTGCAGAGACCAAGAAATACACAGATGGGATCTAACCAGAGATTGGAGAGCGTCGGATTGCATGTAGATTGATGTTGCGGCCGTCGATGTCAAAGTAAATCCAGTTGAAAGTAAATGCTTGCATTAAGCCTAGAATAGCCTTTCCCAGAAATGCATTGATATCGTAGCCACCCTGATTTTGGAAAAGAATGGCGACCACGGAATATCCAAAAACCAGAGAGACAAAAGCATTCATCCTTTCGACCCTGTGCTCGATGCTGATGGCAGGATAAAACTCAAACATGCGGTCGAACCATTCTTTCCATTTGCCCTCTGGGGCATGATTTTGTTTGAACCGTAATAATGTAAAGAATGCTATATGTCCATACATGTCCAGAAACAGGGCTGGCATGATGAACCCTAAGCGGCTGGGCATGTCGACATGAATGCTGGCAATCCACAGAGCGGTAGGGACAATAATGGAGACTATCTGAGAAATCATGACACCTTTAATCATGGGAAGGAGGTAAGCCGCGATACCATAAAATACCGCTGTAAAGATCCGCGCAGCGAGATAAAACGACACGAGCTGTACGTAGGTATTGTGTGCTGGATCATCAACAAAGATATGGGTCGTGTTGGTAGTAAAGCTAGTGATGAAGATTAGCCATCATGTTGCAGTAAATGGGTTCCGTTATACTCACCCAATCAGGCACGAGATGCAAAACAAAATCTCCAGTCTAGTGACAACGTCGTCCGTCTCAAACCAGCTCAGCGTGAGAGTAATGTCCGTCCATATCTTCCATGCCATGACGAATGTAATCACGAAGCGTAGTAGTTCGTATCCCGTCGCTTCTTCCGCCATGTGCTCGCCATTGGAATGGATGATGCCCACTAACAAGCATTATTAGCTGCTCCATTTCACTCGAGCCGTAGAGCAAACAATACCGTACCGTACACAAGATCGAGGAAGAGCTCGATGGCCATAACTTCCGTCTGCTCAGATGCCCTCCACATCAAACCCTGATGAAACCATTGCCTAATCACAGGCCGTTTAAATAGCTTGGTTGTCTCCCCATGACGGTCGCCGTCTTGGTTTCGCTGCTCGCCGACTTTCTCTGAGATGGACGCGTGCGAAGAAGCGGTAGGAGGATCCTCGTCACTGTATGTTCGTATAGCAGCATCGTAACCAAATTTACTGAAATTACCATAGAGTCCCGATGCTTGATTCTCCAGACGCTCTAGCTCTGCAGTCACTGAGGAAAGTTGCGATTGGACATCTTCCCATTCTTCAAAAGCTGGCCCATGTTGTTCTCGTAGCAATTGTCGACGCTCTTCATGATGATCTCGCGACTGACGGAGATATTGGCTGTGCTCTACAGAGCCGTGAACAACCACTTCGACTTGTATGTCGCCGCCCCGGGGATATTTTCGGCGAACATCCTCGAGATCCTCTGGCAGCGTCACGATTATCTTCTTGCCGTCAGGGAGCAGCATTTCCTGAGGCCGTCGTCGTCTTCCTTGCAGCGTAGATGACATCGCTGAGACGGATATGAACCGATATTCTTAGATAAAATAAACACAAGAGGGTCGACACAAATCAATACACAGGCCAAAGCCTTTGACGAGTGTCATTAAGGAGCTTTCATGATCGAGGACACGGAGAGAGCAAACTGCCCGATATGGGGAATTGCATCTCTGCACCCTTGTCCTTTGCAGATAAATGGGTGTCTCAGCCTGCGGAGATTCCATTGGCATAATCAAGTTCTCCGCCTTGAATCGGCGGCGTTACGAGGAGCATTTCTGAACTGCGCCTGGCTTGTCTCAGCTCAGCAGAGCAGCTTGCTTACTTCATCGTCTGGGATTGTGTTAGATTTTCCGGGGCCATACTGAAAACCCTGGCACGGAGTTAAGTCAAATTTTCCAGATCTGAGCAAACCCTGGACGTACGAACTTGAGCATAGATCAGCCAGTTCCAACATGAAATGCGGCGTGTCAGCAGCAGCGTACAAAACGGGCAATACATATCCGTAGAGTCGGGCATATCCGATGAGTCAGCATTTGGCAATGCACGTGACTTTTTGAAACCTCAGGCGCGCTAGCGCATTGTCGAGCGCTCGATTCTAGCAAAGATTCAGTCGGCATCACCAACAACGCTTATTTTCGCCGTCCAATCCATCCCTCCGCCAAGATGACTGCTGCGTGGAAAGCTGCCGGTTTGACGTACGTCGATTGATCCCCTGCCGTAGCGCACTCGCCTCCGCCGCCTCGATGACCCTCTCGACCGCTGCGCTGCGACTTTTTCCGGCCGACTCTGCGAGCCCTTCGGCTAACATGCTGTGATGTAGCTACAACCGCTTCCTGGCCGTTTCGGCCCGCGCCATTCGACGAAGCCTCAAGGAGGACAAGCGAATTGTTGCTGAGCGCCGTGCTACTTCCGAGCTGCGATTTGCTCCCTGGAAGGTATGTGAAATGGGCGCATAGACGACAACGGGAACCGGATTGTTAATACCTCAACAGAACGGCAAGGCCGGCGAGACCCGAGACCTCAACGCTGCCAACGCTGCTGCCATTGCCGAGAACGCCTCCTCTTAAAATGGATGTCTGAGAAGAAAAAAAACTCGAGTGGATGAGACGGGGGTGGAGTGATCTTACAATAGACGGTGGGAAACGATATGAGAAGAGCCATGCAAATGGGTTAGAACTCCATATTGCTAGCGTTGTAAAATAAATAACTGCTGCAATACACCAATATATTATGGCAATTGAATTATGGTATCCGGCCATAGGAGCATTTTCTGGGTCAAGCTTCTGCCGTAATCTTCCGTTGAAAGTCTATGCGGTATGTGAGGGGTGTGACTGCTTAGCAAGATGTATATGGTGGGGAATGCGACTGAAGCCTCGTACGGTCTTATGCTGATGCCGCGGCCTAATAAATCTAAAAAGAAATTGATTTTCATAACCTTGCCAAATAAACTCAATCCCGCGCTTTCAACTTAAGCCGCTTGTTGAAATCTGTCAAGGAATGCTGTAGAAGGTGCCATTGCTCAACTGTCTAGCACTATCTTTAGGTCTGCGTCTCGGCCCGCGAACAGTGACTTTAGTGGTCGTCAACAGCAGACCCATTTCAAGCCACGCGCGAGGGAGAATAAAGAACTCTTTATTTTTGCTCTTCATCTTTGATTCAAAGACTCATCGCCCGCGCAATAATGCCAGTACAATTCACCTGAGGCATCACCCACTTCTACAACATGGCGGACTTTGGAGTTGGGGTACCAGATGGTGCGGAAAAAAAAATATGATGGGCTGAAAACCATCATAATCTCCTGCCCCTCGCCCTCAACACATTTGCTAACCCAGAGGCTGCGCAGAAATCGCGAGATTATCGCTGGGCCAGGGCCCTGCTCCTCCAGAGGCGCTGCCACCCAATATCAAAAGCGATGGCATCACCGCCGTGGACATAACGGCAAAGTTTTCACAGGCTGTCAAGAGTGAGCCGGCGCATCCTCGTGTTATCCGAGCTGCAGTGCATAGTAAGCTGATTTCAAACCACAGCTCTTGAGCCCGGAGCAATCGTCAAGGATGGATTCTTTACGCTGTTTGATTCAGTCGCGGCTTTGGAGGTGCGTAGCCATGCTAAACTGCGCTTTGCAAGTTCCTGTCTTCTCACATGATGATAGATTATGGATCCGAAGATGGACAGTGGGTGCAGCCGCCCGGGGGCTGAAGTTGAGGAGACCTACGACGTTTCTAGATCACTGCTGCCAGAAGAGGTGATGGGTATCATGGATCAGCTTTTATGCCATGAGGTTAGTTCAAAGGCTCGTACCGACCGTGCCATGCTCCAAGCGCTCATGTTGTATTAGATGTCATGGCATCTAGGCTATCCTCTATCTCAAACACTATTTACCAGCTTCTACGTAGAGGCCCTATCTATGCCGGAGCCTCGAAGTATTGAAGAAGCTACTTTCGTTCGCAACGGTAACCATGATCCAAATGAACAGCTCATGCTGCAGGTCCTCCGAGCATATTGTCTAGGTATGCTGAAAAGTTGCGGCTATGTGAACGAAAGGATCAAATCAGAGCACTATTATGAGGTTAGTCTTCCATATCACCGCAACAATAAAGGCTCTTTGTTATTAAACCCCGAGTTCAGGAAGAAGATTTTGTCACTACCACATATAATCGCACCCTCTTAGCAAGTCTACCAACAAGTGCGATACGTGACGTCTTGATAGAGGCCATTGCAGCCCTCAGGGCGCAACGGGACTCTTTACCCGACAATCTTGTTGAGGCTCTGCTGACCCGACTGGAGCTGAGGCGCATATTCCTGGACGCCGTGGAATGCCCCAAGCATATGAAAGAGCCCGACTTGGCGAAAAAGCCATGGAGAGAAGGGCTTGAATTGTTACCAAATCTCAACAAGACGCACACTCTGGCCGTGCCAGTTATCGACGCTTTCAGTGCTACGCTCCAACGGAGATTGGCCAGCACCATGCCTCCGCGACCCATTGTTCAGCTAGAATTTGACGTTGCTTTTGGTCACCTAAAGGACTTGTTTGCAGATGGCCTCGAGCTAATCGACGTTTTGAACTATACAGATTCTCAGAGCTTGCTTGTAAGTGTCACCGGCTTGAGAAAAAAAAAAGGGTGATCTGATGTTGACGAGGAATTATAGACATTTGTAACCTGTTTTCAAGCGAAGAAGCCACAGCCCATTGTTTATGTGCGAACATTACTGCAGACGTTTCTCTTCGATGCCATGGAGGTCCTAGGAAGCATGAGTATTCGCCAACTTCTTGATGATGACTTTTCTATTCTCACAATGCCGGCGCACCAATACCTAGACAGAGCAAATGACGAGATTGAAGTCGTTCACGACCCACGATATGCCATGGCGCAGCAGATGGAGTTATTCAGGACCAGAGCAGCACAGCCATTCTTAGATATCCTCCGTACAGCGTGCCAGAACCGCTGCCGCGTGAGGAGAACTCTCTGCCATCTCCTGCGCGATTGGGAGAACCTCCAGATGGACGCAGAAGAAATCGACCAGATCCTCCAAGTCAAGGTGGAAGAGCGGCCAACAATGTACAGGTCACCAATGAACGGCAGCGGCGTGGAGTCTTACTCGCTGCCCTTGTCGTCATGGACATACCTGTATAAGCTGCGCCAGATGGAGCAGATTATCCAATTGGGTTTCGAGCTGGAGATTTATCAGACTGATGAGCTCGCCGGCATGTACTGGTACCTCAACTACATCTCCAAATCTCGTCTTCACCACACCGAACGAATCAAATCATTCGTAATTAAGAGAGTTGAAGAGATACACGGACGGCCTGGATATTCAAATCCCACCCTTGACTCACAGCTACAGCGATCCTTAATGTACGCTCGCCTGTCATTACTCGATGCCGCCGTGACCTGGGAGCTATCCGATTCACTGTCATGTCTATACACCGTCTTAAATCGCCTCAAGCTCGTCAAAGCTCCGCCAAGGCCATACAGCACCGACGAACTCCGATACGAGATCCGAATGAGGCCCTTTGCGCCAATTGGTCTTCCCGTCCTACCCACTTTTGAAGAATTCGCAGCGGGTACGTTGCAGCCCGACACCGAAATCGACGAGCTCTTTGAGTATGCGGAGCGCGCAGTGGAAGGTGCCAAACGAGGCTTCGAGGCTCTCAGCAAGATGACGGCTGAGGAGTCTTTCTCAGTGGGCTCTCACGCCCGGTGGTCCGCGTCTGTCAAGAATGGCCTCAAGTCGTGCATTGCCACGAAACTTGCCATTTCGGCGGTGCAAAAGGCGATTGAGGCTTCGCCGGGCCTGAATGATTTGAAGATCAAGGTGGAAATTCCGACCCCACAAAAGGCATATCACGAATGGTGGATTGTTCCAAAGGTGCTGCCTGTAGCATAACTGCGTGTAAAATGAAGATGAGTATTTAATTAGGAAGGAATCAAAAGAAAACTAATTTGATGTTGCGTTTCCCATTTCTTTCACCCCCACCATTCCAAGTGAGCGAAAAAAGGAGAAGAGACACATGGCCTCAAGGTATCCAATCGTGATATGTACGTTCAACTCATCAAACCCCAAACCCGTTGGAAATATATTCCATAAACCCAGCTCTATACCTACCGATAGGGCATATTATCCACCCTTGTCGATTCCACCTTACCTATGTTGATTACACTAATAGTACAGCCCAAAGATTACGGCTCTCTATCTAATGTCCCGATGAGCCCTCCTTCCATTGCGTAACAGAAGTTGTCAAGAGACGTTCGACGCATTTGGTGCTAACAAGCAGCCAATCTTGCAATGTGGTTCATTTACGCCTTCTTGCGGCCCATCCTGAGTCTCACCATCTGCTCATAGAGAACATCCTTGAAGGCAAAGAGGAAGGCCGCCGTCAGGACACTCTGGGTAACCTTGGGGCCAATGCCTATATCGTATCTTGTCAGTCCATCTTATCGTTATTACGACCTTTTGTCGGAATTTCAGCTCACCTTTGTACAAGCCAGAGTACCCTTCATCCTTCACAACACGCCTCAGAGTCTGAGACATGCCTTCTTTCTTATCAGAGTGGGCAGCAACGTGCATCTGGCTCTTAACAGTGATGTAGGGGTATGTCACTGATGTGGCAAAGAGCTTGCCCAAGGCTCCCAGCACGAAGGCCACGGTAGGAGTAATCTTCCTCTTCTTCTCCACCGTATTCTTCATCTGCTCAAAGAGCGTGTATTGCAGGATGGGGTTGATGACCAGCACCAGCGCCGGGATGACGCCGGCGAACAAGGCCTGGGGCCCCTCGTTCTTCAAGAGGGCCATGAGCGTCCCAATCGTGCTGGGAGCCTTGCTGCGCTTGGCAACGGCGCCAGCCGCGGCCTCGACATCATCCGCGTCCTGTCGGCGCGTGGTGATGCGCGTGTTGACGACCCAGATGGGGTTGGTGATGATGACGGTCGCAGAGCCGGCGATGGCGCCCGCGATCATGGACTCGATGGTCGTGAGCTTCTTGCTGGCGCGGCCGGCGCGGGTGGCGGCCTTTTCGAAGAAGGCCCGGGTCCATTCGTACCAGTAGTAGTAGATGAAGTTGGTGACGCTGATGCCGAACAGCGCAGAGTTGATGCCCGCGTAGAGGCCCGAGACGCCCTCGCGCGCAATGATCTTTTGGACGGCTTCGACGAATTTGCTCTCGGCTTTTCTGGATTCGACCTGGGCTCTGGTGGAGAGGGTGATGAGAGGGTAGCTGTGGATGTTAGTCGAGGACGGTCGCGATATGCAATGCGCAAGGCGAAATAAACACCCAGAGGCCAAGAACACGTGGTTGATGGCTGGATGCAGGGCATCTTACGTCAAAATCATGGACAGAATGCCGCCGCCTGCTCCGGCAAGAGCATGGGCGACATTGTCGTTTTGAGGAATCGGAGCTTTGGCAGCCATTGTATTCGAGTTCCGAGAGACCGAGGCGGGAGGTGATTCGGTGTGGAAGAAGAGCGGTACCCTCGCGATCGGTGATTTGTTGTATTCAAATAGCCACCCAGCGGCAAGATGGCAAGAACAAAAGAAAAGAAGTTGTAGCAGACAGCCTTAGGTCGAATCGCATGCGACTGTGCAAATGCCCGGTAGCTATAACGGCAGGCGAGGCAGAGGCTGTCTAAATGTTTAACCGACTTAGACGGGGCCCCTGATGGATTCCAAGCCGAGGCACCTTTTGGGTATGTGGTGAAAAGGTCCCGGGCAATTTTTTGGCTGAGTAAAAGTGCTGTAGACTGCTGCTGTCTCACGCTAGCGCGGCAAAGTGCGCTGGAATGAAGTCATGCCTTTTCCCGGGGAAGCCCGGCTAGCGTGGTGAAGCTTCGGGGCGTTGCATGTGACATTTGGCGGGGTGTTTTTGCGGACGGTGAGGTCTGATGAGGATAGCAAGGTGTAGCGGTGGGTTTTATATTTATGATACTATCTAGTCTGCATATTGTTGCTTTCTAAAAATCTGACAAAGGCACATTTGAGAAATTAAGAGAGTATTATACTGAGCTCATTGCCATCTATTTCGACATACAATAATCTGAAGCTAGCGGTGACAATTGCTTGTTGCGGCGCCGGAATAACGATACTGCGAGCAGAGCAAAGAAAGTTTGAAAAGAGCTCGGACTAGCAAACCATCAAAACAGACTTTACAGGCTAACCCATTATAGGCAGTATCGGGTGCAAACTCCCAATGTAGCTTTCCACATCACGGTCGCTATCCAGTACCTCCTCACCTTGGATTCTAGCTTCATTCACGCGGTGGCTGGCCCTGCGCTCAATCCCCTGCCAACACGCACCCAGGTCTGGGAATGAAACATTTCTTTGCTGAGATGCCCCGGCGCAGCAAGGCTGGCTTCTATTGCAAACATCGTCCTTCAACTCTCGCTGGCACAGCATCGACCCCAGCACGCCTAGCGTTGATGTTATGACCTCGCCTGACCCGCTGAATGAACCCACTATATCGTTTCCGAGCTTTGAGCCTCAGTCCGTGTCGCGACGCGTCACGCGCAGCCAGCGATCGCAAAAATTCACATCGCAAGCCGAGTCATCCAGAAGACAGATTTTAGAGTCGGAAGCAGGGGAATCGTCGTCGCCACAGCGGTTACTGGCCACAGTCGAGACAGAGGGCCATCAAGCCGACGACAACATGGCCACGGCTCCGAGCGGCACGAGGAGGAAGCTGTTTCGGTCCCCGGTGCCTCAGTCGCCCACAGTGCGGCGCATTGGCGACGATACAATCACAACCTCAGTTCCGCTGAGGGAGACCGCCGACGACGAACTCACAACAGCGACGACGCCGGGGAGGAGGCGGAGCCGCCCTCGATTATTAAATGGGACACCCATGCCGACTGCGGGGATGAAGAGGAGGGCAGCATCACCGATTAGTCGAAACTCATCACGCCGTCAACGCACCGAGAAATCCACCAAAGGAAATGCTACGGAGCTGCACTTTGAGGAGAAGGAGAATATCGAATCCAGCACACGAAAATCCACAAGGCGAGGGCGCCCACCCAAAAACCCGGAGAATGTCCCGTCCACTACACCAAAGGCGTCCCCAAGACGAGGGCGTCCGCCCAAAAACCCAGTTGTCGAACCATCCAGCGAGCTCGGAGCTACGAAGAGAGGGCGTAGGAGGCGAGCAATGGCGCCCGACGAATTGGTCGAAATAGCTGCGGAAGCGGAAGCAGCAGCGGAGAGGAGTTTTGCGCAGAATAGCGGCCGGACAACTGAAGCAAACAGAGTAAATTCCGTACAAGCTCACTCACAACAGCAGGCCGAAGGCGATGCAGTCTCCAATGCCGACGCAGCATCTGACGAATGGATAAGACCAATGGTCGATGAAACGACGCCTAGACCCACGGTACGACCTTCGGCGACACAGTCGCCTTCAAAAGGCAGATTGACAGGCGGTAGTGTGAGAAGGAGAAAGACCGATCATAGCCATCATGCTCCAGAAACTAGCGATCACTCCTCCGTCGATGACCATCCTAATGACTTTAGCTCCCAGAACGGCGATACCATCGCACGGGGCGAAGACTTTAGTATGATCTTTATGGATTCTATTCCATCTTTTCAGGGGAACCTTAGCGCCAACGGCACCTTCATGTCCACTCTACACGAAGACGATGAGGTTGGCGAGGAGACGCATCTTATCATTAACAACACTCTAGCATCCCTCAGGCGAGAAGTTGCGCAGACCAGCGACCCAGTAGAGGATACCACGGAAACCATCGCGATCCCCGACATCCCCGAGACCGAAGAACCAGCAGAAGAAGAAGTATTCGTTCCAATTATACGCGATGCCGCTAGAAGTGTGCGCCTAAGCTTGAGCCCGTGGTGGTCCCGGAAACCTAAGAAGATGGGAGCATCACCGCTCAAACACCAGGCCCTGATGAGATCGGCCGCAAAACGATCAGGGAGGATATTCAGCGTAGAGCATACGGAAGAGCCGACACCGACTAAGGCTAGGAAACAGACGGCGTCCACGCACTCTCGCGAGCAGCATCTGAGTAGCGATTCCTTCTCCGAGATTCCTCAGACTTACCTCGATGCTCCGACTCCTAAGCCTATCAATTTTTCTGCCCCTCAAGCTGACCGAGAGGTTGATTTGATGAAATTTGGATTGGGGGGAGGGGATGAGGAGCAGGCCGAGCTGGAACATGCTCAGAACGTTAACGAACCCCAAGGAGAACTCCTAGAAGAACCTCAGGAGGAGCCTCAAGGAGAACCGGAGGAGGACCTGGAAGAAGAGCTGGAAGAGGAACTGGAAGAGGAGCTAGTAGAGGAACTAGAAGAGGAACCAGTAGAGGAACTGGAAGAGGAACCAGCAGAAGAGCCTGATGAAGAGCCACCGGAAGAGAATGCTACTAGAGGTAGCGTACTGGGTGGCATGATAGGATATCTTAGGAGAAGACTATCAACCTTTGAGATGAGCTCCCCCGTGCGTCAGGTTATCGAGGAGGAGGGCGAAGAGGAGGGGGAAGAGGAGGAGGGAGAGGAGGGAAGAGAAGAGGAAGAGGAAGACGACCAGTATGACGAGCACGACGAGCACGAAATATACGAAGAGCAATACGGAGAGCAGCACGAAGAGCAATACGAAGAGCCTGGGCATGAAGAGGATTTTGAGCAAGAGCAAAGGCTCGACTCTGATTTGCCACAATTAGAGGGAGATGGAAACTTTGAAGGAGGAGAATACGAAAACGAGGAGCCGGAAATAGTCGGAGAGTACGAGGAACAGGCAGAACTGGAGAACCTTGAAGAGCATCACGAGGACCTCGAGGCCCATACGCCAGAAGAGGAGATGGGAGAATACGTCGAGCAAGAAGAGGATATCGAGGAATACCCAGCGCACGAGGAGCATGAGGGCCAAGAGCATGATGACCACGAACATGAAATCAATGAAGATGGCGAAGATCAAGAGGAATACCCCACGAGTTTTCAGATCAACAAGTTTTCAGATCGTATGAGAGCAGCCAATCATACATACGAGCAGCCAGCTCATTATGACAATCATGTTGACGAAGAAATGCGTTCTGCTTCTCCAGAGCAACCACCTGAACAGCTAGAGCCCACGCCAGAGCGGGAAGAGCAGCCAGCAAAGGTTACGCCGCTCCATCAGATGTCGTCGCCGCTCCAGGAGCCTCAATCTCTGCCACAAGAACCGGTACCGGAAAAGATGGTACGGTCTAACTTCTCTTCAATTATGCGAGCTGGCCGAGTTTTACAAAGCGTTACTTCCGACCCTCCCTCCCCGAGAGTCCGAGAGATGTCCCTAGGAAGCCCATTCAGAAGTTCCGCAAATAAAGAGCCGTCATACACCTCTAAAGAAGACAGGCATCAACTTCTAAACAAAAGTCCGCCACAACCAATGAATTTTGGAAGTAGCCAGCTGACTGTTGTCAAGGTTCCTTTGACACATGGGGCTACTACTGAGACTCAGGCTTCCAGTATGAATGCGGGTGGGACGGACACTGCGCACGGTCACGGTACAAAGGATTTTGCGCATAAGAAACGACTCTTATCAAGAGAGTCGATAGCAAGTTCTTTGGGCAATACCCCGTCGAGCAATGGTGCCGCGCACTGGGCGGAAATCGAGGGCCCATCAAGTCCCAGCGAGAGGAGAGAGAGATCGTTACTACAAGCAGCGCGTTCATCGGTTATGAGACATACCAAGCCCCTTGTTCAGCTTGACGGTGCGGCAGACGAACCAGATGTGGCCGAGGAAGAAGAAGAGCAGATGGAAGACGAACCGATAGAAGAGGAGCAAGTGGAAGAAGAAGAAACGGAAGAGGAGCATGTGGATGAACAAGAAATGGGCGAAGAACACGTGGGCGAAGAGGAAATAGAAGAGGGGTATCTGGACAAAGAACTGGAAGAGGAGCGCGTGGATGAAGAAGAACTGGAAGAGGAGCACGTGGATGAAGAAGTAGTAGGCGAAGAGCACTTGGATGAACAAGAAGTGGACGAAGAGCAAGTGGGAGAAGAAGAAATGGAAGAGCAGCATCTGGACAAAGAATGGGAAGAGCACGTGGATGAAGAATTGGAAGAGGAGCACGTGGATGAAGAAGTGGAAAGGCAACAAAATGAAATTTTACAGCCTGAAGAGGAACAGGAGAACGAAGAAGAGGAGGATGAAGATGACGACGACGACGATATCGATATTTGGGAATACGAAGCTCAGCGGGAGGTTCCACCTCGTCCAGAAGTACCTTACGAAACACTGCAGCCAACGACAGTGCCTTCAACACAAGATCGCAACCTGTTGCCAATTCCTTCAACATCCTGGAGGGATACACGGCAAGCAACCGCCAAGTTTCCTGCCGATGCGTCAAAGACTGCTCAATTAAAACGGACAATCAATCGGCAGCCCAACGTGGACATTAGAGACGAAGAGCCTTCTCTAATCTTACGGAACCAACAGGACAAGGAGCCCGAAACTACAACTAAATCCAAGCGATTCGACCTGTCATCCTTCTTCTCCTCGCCAGCTGCCATTACAGGAATATTGGCTGAGAAATTCAGGTCGCCCAAATCGAAGGATCTTGCGGTGTCGGCTGCTCAACCAATGGAGTCTACCAAGCCTAGACAGGAACCTCCAGCAATGCCCTCCGTACCACTGTTTCCGAGAGCTCCTCCGAGTGATAATAGGCAGCCAGATCTTCGTCGTGCAGATCCTGCATCTTCGCCAATTCAATCTGATCCAATAGACGACGATGACCGAACGAATGAACGCTCATCATCTCCAGGCTCTCCTGAGAGATCTCATCTTACTACTATCTCCCAGAAACAAAATTTCATGCCGCGGCCAAGGCAGGCCAGTAACACACTTTTCCAGCACTCTTTCTCGCATCCCTCGGCGACTCCACCGAGAATCCAGTTAACGCATCAAGATATTCAGAAGTGGCAACAAGAAACAACGAATGCCAATGAAGACTCCTCAAACTCTCGATCTTTACTGAGGCCACTGCCACCAAAACATGCTTCGCCGAAGAAATCAAGTCTACGGTCTCCTCTGAAGCCACATACGCCAGGGCGAGTTGTTGAGTTCACAAGCAACGTGCTATCACCTGCCGAGCAAGCTCGTCTTCGCGAGCTCCGTAACCGGGCAAACGAGGAAGTATCAGAAGAGGACATCATCGTTGTAGACCCGCGGGCAGGCAAGGGAAGCATGGCCGGTAGGCAACAGCAGAAACAGCCGCCAAATACCATTCCATCGAGGCTTATTAGACCTGCGGGCGTAACAAAGAAACGACCAACAAAGAAGCGGCGGAGACGGGAACCGCCCTCTGAGACGGTCTGGACCCGTCAACATTGGCTATTCCTCGACACACTCCTACAAATGCGGCGAAAGAGCCCATATAGTGAGAAGTACGCGCCCGTCTCTCAAAAGTACCTCGGAAAAACGATTACTAGCATGGGCGAATCCATGGTACTAGAGAAATGGCACCTCGAATGTATCGACGCCTTCAAATCCCAAATTGGCGGCTGGGACGAAGGCGAACTCGCTAAAAGATTATTTGCACTTATTCTTGGAGAGGCGCAGCGCCGTCGAAGCTCTGCCAACCGGTCCCCTGGAGTTATTTTTCATTGATTGAAATTTGGGAACGGGGCAGACATTTAGCTTTTTGACTTTTTTTGTTTTATTCCTGTTATCAAGTTTGCTTATTTACGACTCCTGATGGGCACTCAGACTGTTTTTTCCCCTTTCTCTTCTTTTTTGTGTTAAAACTTTTTGACATGGCATTTCACCGGTGTTGGAAACCAAGGATTAGGAATGAAAAGAGAATTATGTATATGCATGCGTGGCGTTGGAAACAGGATGGTTTTTGAATTTTTTTCTGGCTCGGCTCGGTTTGCTTTTTTTTTTTTTTCATGTTGTATTTAAAGGGAAAAGATACCACTTACGCCGTTCTGGTTGTTTGTCTCTCGCGCAAACATGTATTTGGAGAGCAGGATTCTCTTCTGTTTTTAGGGGGAAAGGAGGGGGCGGGGGTTACTTGGATATACCACCAGTGTTACTTGTACCTACGGATATCTAGGATACTTCTTTCTGTATTGCCTTATCTCGACGAAATGAGCTACGGCATGATAAAATGAGATACAAAAAACATTTCACAGCTACAACGCTTTTATGACCACAGTTCTCTTTATCACAGGGTTGCTCAAAAGGTGCGATGAGTTGGGTAGTTCAGTAGGGACATTTAGGTCTTTTCAATAAACCAACGCCTAATCTACCGTGGCTTGACTGACACATTACGATGCGTGACCCGTTTGTCTAGGTAGCCATCATTCCCTTCCTTCTCCGTTCCCATTGTACTCTTTTCTGTTCTTCTCTTGCCTTATTCGAGCATAGAAGCCTGGTTAGTGTACAGCACATCCACCACATTGCTCAGCTTCTCAATCGTTGCCAGAGCAGCGTCATATGATTCGTCCCTCTGCGTCTCGTCGTAAATAATAAGGCAGCCAGCACCCTGATCCAAAACACCAATGATGACCTTGTCAAGGATCATCTGTGACAGCTTCCTCTCAACTTGCTGGGTGTCAAGACCCACCATCTTGGCAATGTGGTCAATCTCGACTCGTGAGAAGGGCTCAATGACCTTGATGAGGTTCTGTTCCAGCATGGCATCGTAGAGCCGGCGGAGGTGGTTGCGGATAAAGGTGTCGCTGCCGAGCTCGTAGCGGTACGCAGACAGGGCACGCTCGTATTCTTCCAGAGATCGGTTTGCGTGGGCGCGGGCAATGGCCTTCATGGCCTCGAGGTTCTTGCCGGCGTACTTGACGGCCTGCTTGGATGCCATGAGCTGGTTGACGTCCTCAACGAGGTTCAGCATAATCTTGCAGAGGAGCATGTATTGCAGCGCAGCTTGAGCTTTGCTAGACTCTTCCTGGGTGTGGTATCCGTCCAGTGCCTCAATGAAGTAGGAAAATGCCGTGTTGAAGTCCTTATCTTCAGCATGGAGCATTCCACTCTGCATGTCGAGGTTGGCCTGCAGCAGCGGTGGGGTATAAACGCTGGCAGCGCTCGTTCTCGCACTCGTTAAGGCGGCACGGGCCTTGGGAATGTTGCCCAGGGCGTGGTAAACTCGGGATTCGAGGAGCTGTACTTCGACGAGGCGGAGCTTGTCATCGAGGCGCTTGAGCTCGCGGAGGAGGCCGTTGATGAGTGTGAGGGCGTCGTAGTAGGTTTGCTTGGACATGTAGAGGGTGACGAGGCGGACTTCGAGGTCCTGGCGCTGGAAGGCACGGCGCTCGGCGGTGGCCCATTCTATGCAGTCTTTTGTGACGGCAATTTCGACGTCGGTACTGTTGGGGATGTCTTTGAAGAAGTCCAAAAGCTGACGAACTAAACGGCATTATCACGCATCAGTCATTGGGGGTCTCAAGCTACAACTCTTTCGCTCTCTAGCATAAAATGACATACCCAGCTTGGAGGACTTGGCCTTGGCAAAGGATGAGAATACTGTCCGGCTTTCCCGCACCAGGTTTACAAGCTCCTGGGTCTTCCTGTTGGAGAGATTAGCTCACTTCAGCCCTCATGAAGCACGCTGTCACTGACTTCTCATCCCGATAGAGTTCTCCCAAGCTTATCAACGCAGTCTCGTACTCGCGCGTGGCGGCGTCTGAGGTGGCCGCGGGGGCCTTTGATATGATTTCTCTAAACGCAGCTTCCGCCTTTCTAGGATCCTTCTTCACCAGCTCTGCCGCAGCCTGCTTCTGGTCCGCCTTGACCAGCTCTGGGGATTCTTTGACCAGGGTGGCCATGGTGGGAGATGGATCTGGAGTCGAGAGAGAGCTTCGGGCGGGGTTTGCGAGAGGCGGAGGGTGTGTAGATGGTCGAATCGATACGGCTGTCTGTGTTTCTGCTGCTAAAAAGACAGAAAATGCTCGTCTGGTGCTGGAATGGGCGATTGATGGAGTTGTGCAAGTGCAGGTTGAAGCTGATGCACAATCTCGATCCGAGCTTCGCCTGTCCCTCCAGGTAGACACAGCGCGACGTAGCCCGCAGACCAAGGCTGCAAAGTACCCGGTACTTAGTCAGAGGCCGTCGGCACCATGCCGCAAGCAGTAGCGGCTACCTTTGCCCACTTTTTGCGGCATTGGAAGCTGCTGGGCGCAAGCTGCGAAATGCGGACCGTCAAATGATCCGCCCCGGCCTGTTTGCGTGGTGGGCTGAACCGAACCGGCGCAGGCCGGAGGGGCGGGCCAGTCATGCAGCGCAATGGAATTTTTATAGCGGGCTCCCCTCAGATAGAAGAGCATCGAAGGCGCCGAGCGTATAGTTTCATGTAGCAAAACCCATTGCCGTCCAACTCCTCCAGCTTGCCCAATTGGCCCATTCCCCAGCGCTCTACCGACCTCGCATCTCCGTAACTCTCCTTCACCATGTTCCGACAAGCCATTGCCGCCTCTTCCAGAGCTCTGCGCTCAACGCCGGGCATCGCCGCCAGCCGAGCTGTTCTGCGGCCTCAGTTCCAGACTGCTGCTCCTGCCGTCTCAATAAGATCATTCCAGCCTGCCGCCAGCCGGTGGTACAGCGAAACCAAGGAGTCTACCGAGTCCAAGGAGGCTCCCAAGGCCGAGGAAAAGGCTGAGGCCAAGGAGGGAGAGAAAAACGGCGAGGCTGACGCTGTCGCTCAGCTGAAGAAGGATCTCGAGGCCAAGGATGCTGAGGCTCGTGACTGGAAGGTTCGTATATACTCCCTCTTAATCAATCTTCCAAAAACTCTCAAATATTCTACTAGACCCCCTTACTAACACTTTCCTACTACAGGACAAATGCCTTCGCACCGTCGCCGACTTCCGCAACCTCCAGGACCGCACAGCACGTGAGGTAAAGGCCGCCCGCGACTTTGCCATCCAAAAGTTCGCAAAGGACCTCGTCGACAGCGTCGACAACCTCGACCGCGCCCTATCCACCGTCCCCGCGGAAAAGCTCAAGGCCGAGAACAAGAGCGAGGACCTCCAGGAGCTGGTCAACTTCTACGAGGGCCTCAAGATGACCGAGAACATCCTCATCCAGACACTAGCCAAGCACGGCCTGGAGCGACTGGAGCCCGATGGCGTCAAGTTCAACCCCAACGAGCATGAGGCTACCTTCATGGCCCCCCAGCCCGGCAAGGAGGACAACACCGTCTTCTTTGTGCAGCAGAAGGGCTTCAAGCTCAACGGCCGTGTTCTGCGTGCCGCCAAGGTCGGCGTCGTTAAGAACGCTTAAAAAACTTTATCCTTAAAAAAGACAGAAATCTTCTCTCCATCTAACCGTCATCTTTCAAAGACACTCCAAATCGAAGACATACAGAAAGAAGAAGGAGAAGAAACTCTACAGGAAAAAAAAAGATACCTAAAGATGCGTGGATGGAAATGATCTGAAACATAAATCATTGCAACGCCTCTTTCACCTGTACTATTACCGGAATTTTTGCGCTGGCTTGGCGTTGGGTCACGAAATCAGAAAAAATGTATAATGCTCCTCTCACGATGACGGTTTTTGAAAAGACAAAAAACATGTTGACATATTGCATGCTGGGTTCGGGAAAAGAACCTTGAGAAAGAGGGACGAAGGGAAAGGGTTACAATTGGGTTACACTCCAGAAAAGTTGGACACATGAATGTGAGACTGAAGAGGAAAAAGAGAGAGAATCATCTGTATGAACAGATGTAACATACATGTATATACGACTTTGCGTCATCTAAGCGGCTATCTGGTGATGAGCCGCCCTCTAATCAACCGCTTAAAGCGGAACAATGCATACCTATGCCATCCCATATTTTTTTTGTGACTTTGGATGATTCCTATGTCTACAATTACCATCCCATCCTGCCATGACAGAATCCGTTTCTAAAGTATTAATAGTCGTAAGATTTGATGCTCGAATGACATGAAAGCAAATATTTCCTCCTCTAAGTTGATGTTTTGCAGACTGCCGTACTGCCTTGGAGTTCCATTTCTTCTTTTCTTTTTATACATGCGACGACCGCCGGTCAACATTACATTCGCGTCTTGATAAAGAAACATATTTTACACGCCTGGGACTGGCTGGTGATAAGTCACCTATGCTCGCATCTTATTTTTTTGCTTTTCCTTTTGCAGCAGGCTTGCCCTTGGAGCGGCCTTTTGGCTTGGCTTCCTCGCTGTCTTCGTCATCTGCGGTCTGGGCTTTCGCAGCCTTCTTTGATGGCTTCTTGGCCTTTGGTTGCTTGATGTATTTGTCCTTCTTGAAATCGATGTCGTCATCTTCTTCGGCATCTGGAGCCTCCAACACCTCAGCATCATCTGCTTCTTCAATGGCTTCTTCCAAATCTGGCGCCTCCTTAGCGAGCTTCTTTGGTGCCAGCACATTGCTAGCTTTGATGAATGGTAGTGGGTGGTTCATGGAATTGTATCTATATCCAGTTAGTGTCAGGAAAACTAAGAAAAGAGAAAAGGGTCTATGATGGGACGCGCAGGACTTACGTTCGAGTAAAGGCAGCTTTTGTCTTGGTTTCGATTTTGACATCTTCTTCCCTCATAGGACCAACTCCCAGCTCTTGAATGGCGTCAAAGTCCTCTCGGGTGAGATAGTAGCTATCCATCAGGTCAATCACCTCTCCTACGGCTTCACCGCCTTCTTTTTGCAGCCGATCAACTGTTTGGGACCACATCAGAGGTAGATACTCTTGTCGGACCTCAGTATGATCGCCAGACGACTTGAGTCGCATGTGAGAGTGAATTTCTCGAATATATCGACCCAGCTTTCCAGCTTTGCTGTGGTTTCCAAGCCATGAAGTGAAATTAGATCCAATCAGCTGGCCAGCGACGAAGCTGGCAGGTCTTACAGTGCTGAAAATAGCATGCGTAGGCATCAGACTCCAGTGCTGCTGTGGCCCGTGGATCATACGGTCCACTAGGTCACCATCACTGATACTCTCCGCAGCTTGGTCAAAGAGCTCAAGTGCCTTTAAAGTGGCTTCTCGACCGGTGTATCCATTGGCACCCACGGCCATGGGCTTGGTGCGGAGGTAATTTTCCTGAATCATCAAGAAGCTAAACTCATGATCATTGAAGTAGAGTTCAATCTTGTCATTGAGGGTTGCCTTGCTCGCAGGGGCAAAGAGTCCACCGCCAAGCATCTTCTGGCAGATGTCCCACGGCTTCAGGACGACATGCTTTTCCCATGCTTTAGACATGGCTTTGCTTTGATCAAAACTCATCGATGATTGGTCAAGCTTCGCTGTGGAAATCATGTTAATGATCTGGCGGATATCCTTGTTGCTTCCTTCAATGAGAGCGTCGACAACTGGCGGTGGCAGTTTGAGGCCTTCTCGGTGGCAGATTGTCATGATGCGGGAGCGCACTTGATCGACCGTCGGACGGTTGAATCTAATATCAAACGCAGCATGGTCGAAGGGCTTCATCTTTGGCAATCTACGCTCGTTGCAGATCAGGATCAATGGCACTTCCGTCTTCCTGCAGAATTTGGCCAGGGCGCCAACCCCTCCGCGATCACCAGCCGACATGCCATCAACCTCATCCATGATGAGAACAATCTTTTTCTTGGCGTTATCCACGGATTTGCCATCTCCGGCGAAGAATCCTAGCAAAGAAGTATTGTTCATGACATCGCTAACCCCGGTCTCGACGAGTTTCTTGCTTCGTGTATCACTAGCATTGCTCTCCAAGACATCGTAGCCTTCGAGCTTGGCCGCCAAATGCGCCGCCGTGGTTTTTCCAATACCAGGAGGGCCAGATATAATGATAGCTCGCTCGCCTCCCATACCATCTGCTCCACGCCGCTGGAAATTGTACTTTTTCGACTTTGGCCAGTTTCGAAGCCAGTTTTGAATCTTTTCTACCTGCGCCTTGTTGCCGCATATTTGGTTGAGCTGTGTCGGCGCATATTTGGAAGTGAGAAGCAAATCGGGTGCTCGTACAGGTTGAGCCGCGGCGCTGCTCGTTGATCCTTGAGCTGCGGCCTTCTTCTTTGCTGCTTGCTCTGCTTCAAGCTTCTTTGCTTTCTCTTCCGCCTCCATTTCCGCAATCTGTTGCTTCACCTTTTCTTCCTCTGCCTTCTTCTTCTCTTGTGCTTTTTGAGCGCCCTTGCCGGTACCACCATATGCCGGAAGTTTGCGAATCAGATCGAAAAGGCCATGCTCATCAATGGTCTTGATACCATTTGCTTTGATCTTGGCTAACTTGCTGGGTCCAGCATCGTCTCCGAGAACGACGAAACTGGTTTTGCTACTGGGCTGCCCAGTAACTTTGCCGCCATATCGCTTCACCAGTGCCTGGCCTTCATCGCGGCCAATAGTTTGCAACACACCGGTGAAGACGAAGGTCAATCCACTGAGACACTCTTCCTCGCCTTCCGGAAGCTCGCCAGCAGGCTGAGCGGGTTGTGTAGAAGCATTACCGCCACTAGCGGCGGCCTTTCTCCAATCGAATTTCACGTTGGGATCTTTAGGTGGTGGTGTCGGCGCTCTTACAGTAGCCACACTATTTAAGATGTTCTGGATATCCTCGTCCTCGGGCTCTTCTGCTTTCTTCGCTCTGGGTGCGCGTGGTTTGCTCGCTGCAGGTTTTTTCCGAGGTAGCTTTTCTTCTTCCTCTTCGTCCGATTCCTGCTCCGGGGACTTTCGCTTCTTTCCGGCCGGTGCGGCCTTGGACGTCGGTTTGTCTGCAGAATTCTTTCCAGAGGCAGCAGCTCGCCCTCGTGCTTTGGATTTTGGGACAACTTCGTCTTCGGATTCTTCCGTTTCATATTCGTCATTTCCACCCTTTTTGCGGCCCTTGGCGTCAGCAGCGAATATATCATCAGCATCCTCATCGCCATCTTCCATATGTGCATCCCCATCATCGTGAACGGGGGCCGGTTTATACGAGGTCCTGGCTCTTTTGGACCGAGGGGCTACGTCTTCGTCCTCGTCTTCCTCCGGTGCAGCTGCCGTTGCTGTGGGTTTCTTTCGCGGACTAGATCGAACAGGAACGTCAATTTCGACCGTGGATTTGGCGGCGCTTTTCTTGGGTGTTGGAGATGCTTTGGCCGCTTTGGAGTCTTTGGAAGAAGCAAAATAATCATCGGCAGATATGGCCACCCCTTTAGGCTCTGTTTCTCTAACTTGATGTTAGTGATTTTCAATTATAATACAACATAATGCAACGATACATACCTTTTTTTTGCTGGGGGCTTAGGTGCAGGCTTCTTCTCTCTGTAGACCGGTTAGTGGTGGGGCGTGAACCAGATGCGATACTGAGGTGGAGGCCAATATTACTCTGCAGCTTCATCCTCGCTGTCTTCAACAACTTTCCGGCTCTCTATAAACTAGTCAGCATCAATTGAAGTCTTATGGTTCAGCAACACCTACTTCCTCGCTTGCCTTTGGCCGCTGGTGGCTCTGGTTTGGCGGCCGCGGTCTTTGGGGGGGCCGCACCACCCTTTGGGGTGAAGAAGGATCGAATATCAGGCATTGTGTCTTCTTGCTCGGGAAAAAAAAAAAAGAAAACGAAGAAAGAAAAATGAGATGGCAAAGAAGAAGAACAAAATATAGCCCTACAAAGGCCCTCTTTTGGCACAGTCTGGGCGCTGTTGCCTGACTGATCGCAGGTTTTAGCGGCGTGCAGAGTGAAGGAGCAGCCTAGAAATTATTCCAGTGACGTGCTGCGGCGCAACGCGAAGCTGACGCGAGGTGCGTGACCTGAGCTTAATTAGCAGAAAATGTTTGGCCTGACATCTCAGGCCCCGCTTTGCGCCGGCGATTTTGACGCTTGCCGCCTTGGGATTCTTTTCAAGATATCGAGGCCCCAGCGGTGCGACAATCTCCAGACAAGCCTGAATCAGCGGCCAAACCCGACGCCATGAGGTCCAATGGCGCTGCGGCATTGCTGAATGCCTTCCAGGGACTGAGAATCTCCGCATCCACGCCTTTGCGACAACTGAGGGCCCCCGTCCAGCGCCAATCCAAGGTCCTCGGCGCCGCCCAGCTGCTTCAGAATGGCAGAGCCTTTTCCACAAGCCCCGCCATGATGGGCACATGGCTCGAACCCAGTCTGAACCGAAAAAAGAAAATGGCCAAGGGCCGACCCCGAGTAGCGACTGGAGGATCAACGAAGGGCACGACTGTTATTTGGGGCGACTACGGACTGCGAATGGTGGACCATCACCGAAGAATCAGCGCCAAGTCTCTTAAGATGGCGGAAGATACGATCAAAGTGCGACTTCGAGGAGAGAAATACCGCCTTTACAAGAGAAAATGTTGCAATGTTGGCGTTTACGTCAGCGGTAACGAGGTGCGAATCGAGTATACGCTTGTTTGAGCGACAGTAGCAAGCTAACCATCAAAACAGATGCGTATGGGTAAAGGAAAAGGTTCATTTGACCACTGGGCTACGAGAATGGCAGTCAGCCAAGTTTTGTTTGAGGTCAAGGGCCGAATCCACGAGCAAATTGTTCGAGACGCCTTCCGACTGGCTGGCAACAAGCTTCCCGGTAAGCAACCTCTTTCCTCTCTCTACTACAGGCTCAAGGCTAACTATTGTACAGGCCAGTGGGAATTTGTGAAGAAGGGAGATGCTCCTGTTGTTGGAATCACCAAGCTAGATGGTGTGACGCTCGAGGATTTGAAGAGACCCAGGAAGCAAGTTGTCCCTCAGGAGCTCCTTGAGGCATCCCCCTCTACGACAGCCACTGATGTTGGAAGCACACCGGCATCCTCTGGATCTTCATGAGTAGCGAGAAAGAAAGAAGATAACTTCCATGTACCATAGAAATCTTGTATATATGAAATAAAAGCCGACTGATGAAAGAATGAAAGAATGACGAACATGCAGGCACAATGCTTGTAGAGGCTCCAACCCCACCAAGCTCATAGTATCAGGTACAAATGTGCACTCTAAATATAAGGCTGTCGATAAATAGCAATTAAACAAGAAATCAATTGTAGAGATTATCAATTGTAGAGATTTATGAAGAAATTCATATTTTGGCACGCATTGGTCTATACAAAACAGCTTCAGCGGCTACATCGACTTGATGCTGCACCTCGTTCTGTGCTTTAGCCTGGTTAATGGCTAGGCAGTGGCTGACAGGCAGGCACCCCACTATGGATTTTGGTGCAGTCTACAGCACTTAACGCGACGACGCGTCTTCATCTGTCAAAATCCTGTAGCTTCGCTGCATCCCATCAGCACATCAGCTCAATAGCCGGCGCAATGGCTCTCATCGTCGACAAGCATCGCCCGCGGTCCTTGGAGGCTCTTTCATACCACCAAGAGCTTTCCGACCGACTTCAATCTCTCGTATGGCTCTCGTCCATGTCAATTGGCATCCAAATTCACGGCGACGCAGGCTAACGCTCCCAATCAATCATGCAGGCTCAGAGCGGCGACTTCCCACATCTCCTAGTCTACGGTCCATCAGGAGCTGGAAAGAAAACAAGAATAGTGGCAACGCTGAAAGAGCTGTTCGGCCCTGGTGTGGAGAAGATCAAGATCGACGCACGAGTATTCCAGACGTCCAGCAACCGAAAGCTAGAGTTCAACATTGTCGCTTCCAACTACCACCTAGAAATCACGCCGTCCGACGTAGGGCAATATGACCGGGTTGTCGTGCAGGACCTCCTGAAAGAGGTGGCACAGACGCAACAGGTAGACCAGTCCGCAAAGCAGCGATTCAAGGTTGTTGTCATCAACGAAGCAGACCACCTCACTAGAGATGCCCAGGCGGCGCTTCGTCGCACAATGGAAAAATACTCGCCAAACTTGCGTCTGATTCTTTTGGCAAACTCGACAGCGAACATTATTGCACCAATTCGTTCAAGAACGCTGCTTGTCAGAGTTGCCGCTCCTACGCACGAGGAAATCTGCGACGTGCTTGCGCAATCAGCAAAGAAAGAGAACTGGGAAGTCGTCAAAGGCCTGCATGAAAGAATAGCTGTGGAGAGTGGCAGGAATCTTCGTCGTGCATTGCTAATGTACGAGGCCGTCCATGCACAAAAGTAAGTGGGAGCCAGACCGCTCAACTGCTCCATTTTCCTGCTCGTTGCTAACTCTGTCCCGCAGTGAGAAAGTCACAGACACGACGCCTATCCCGCCTGCGGATTGGGAGGCGCTCATCGGCCAGATCGCCAAGGAGATTATTGAGGAACACACCCCCGCAAGGATCTTGCAGGTGCGCGCCAAGCTGTACGACCTACTCACGCACTGCATCCCGCCCACGACCATTCTCAAGACTCTCACATTCAAGTTACTGGGTCTCATTGACGATGGGCTGAAAGGAGAGGTCATCAAGTGGTCTGCCTTTTACGAGCACCGGATAAAGATTGGCACCAAGGTCATCTTCCATCTAGAAGCATTTGTGGCCAAATTTATGCGCATCTTGGAAATGTATCTAATGAGCATGGACATGTGATTCTCGCATCGGGTTATGGGGCGTTTGGAGTATTACAAAATAGCTGAAAGGAAGCCTTTGTTCGGCCATCTTTTTAATGTTTACCCCGTTTTGTTGTGCTTTGATTACAAGTATTTGTTTGGTGAATGCATCCATTCATGACCTATTTGTTCGAAGCATAAACAACAAAATGTTTGACAAAGGGGCACATTATCCAAGTTTCTAAATAAAATATACCATCTACTTATATAAACTCTCTCACAATCCAACTCAAGATGGGACTACAAGCAGGCCAGTCAATATCTCAGTACGGGTCAGGAAGAGACTCGCTCTTACTACCAAAGCTCATGTGAGTGTATCCCTGATGTGTTATTATTTCCACGATTTTCGTCATTGCGATATATATTAACGCGAGCGATGAGCAGAACTCAAATTCGCCCTCATAATACAAAACAATGTCTAAACACAACGAAGAAGATGTTGAGAACGCCGAAAGTAGCACACAGACTTTACGGGTGAAAGTTAATGAAGGTTCGATCGAAGAGATCCAATTGTGTCTGCAGTTTTCGGCCCCTGAGGAAATCAGCAAAGGCTTGTTGAAGAGCGCCAGTGGGGACATGCAACGATTAAGTCTCGGAGAAGCTAATGGGGGCTTATATGAAAGCGACGACCTTTATGGAGATGCAGATGAAAGCGTTTCTAGGACCATGCAGGGGTTAAATCGGCCCAGCTTCCAGCCTTCGCGGCGTCTGGGGGACGGCTCAAGGTTCGCGTGTAGCCGGAAGGAAACTACGCATGACCAAGGATTTGCTGCTCATGGCTGTGAAGCGGAAGAGTATGGCGATGAATGCATTACACAGATTGCTGCCGAGGAACTCGAAGGGGGCGATGTGGGGGATTTTGACTATATTGACGAGGATTCCGCTGCTGAAGATGAAGACGTCGGTGATGCGAGAATGCCCGGTGGCGCAGTGGTGTAAGATTGACGTTGAGCGGCTTGGGTGCAAGGGATGTTATACGGTAGTATTCAAGTCTCTGGGCCTTTTCTTTCTTTTGCTTTTTTTGGCTGTCGCTGCAGTTGGAGTGACTTTAGGGAGCATCAAAAGCAGCTTGCGCTTTATCTTTCACTAAATTTTCATCTTTTACTGAAAATTTAGAAAGTGAAAGACAAAGCAGAGGGTTTCAGTCATTTATATATAATTACAAATCATAAAACAAGTAGATAGTACATATATACAAGATAAGTTGATGCCAGCGGGAAGCTGACCTACCTAGGGAATGCGCTGCTGAAAAGACCGTTGCATGCAAACCCGCGAGAATTCTGGTATCATGCATATAAACTCGCAAGTTTTCCAGGTTCGTGCATACAAACTCGCAAGTTTTCCAGGTTCGTGCATAAGAAGAGATATGAAGTAGCCTACTAACTTGTTTCTATGCATGCTCACATACAAATTTGATAAACAGTCACACTACACTCGCAATTCTCCACAAGTGCCGCGAAGGTCTAGGATCTGATTATGAAGAGACATCAAGTATTCTACTAACTCTTCCTATGCGTATTCATATCTAGAATTGCTAAGCATTTACATTAGGCTTACAAAGGTCCACAAGTCTCTTGAAAGTCAGGGATCGTGCGTTGAATCTGCACAAACCTTGCAAACTTGCGAGTTCTGAAATTACTCTAAAAAGCTAGAGAATGTCCATTAAATCTGCACAAACCTTGCAACCTTGCGAAATCTATAGGCTCTTATTAGCTTATATAGTCAGGGGTTGTCTATTGAATCTGCATAAACCTTGCAAACTTGCGAGTTCTGAAATTACTCAAAAGAGCTAGAGAATATCTATTGAATCTGCACGAACCTTGCAAACTTGCGAGTTCTGAAATTACTTAAAAGAGCTAGAGAATGTCCATTAAATCTGCACGAACCTTGCAAACTTGCGAGTTCTGATTACTGGAAAACGTTAGAGGGGGTTGTGTGTTAGATCTGCAAGAACCTTTCACTCGAGGAGGCTGCGGAGCCTTGTAACGATGGAGTGATCTACTAACTCTTTTCTTTGCGCATTCATATTTAGAAGTGGTAAACGAATACATCACGCTTACAGAAGCTAGTCGAGGTCAGGTTACTATTTAAGTCTGCAGGAACCTCGCAGACTTAGCGGTAAGCAACTAGGTACCGTATTCCCTCGCAAAGTTGGACTTTGAGTATGGAGTAAAATACCATGTTAAGGATTAGGTACTTTCTATATTGAAAAGAGTGCAAAGTACCTAGTCCTTAACAGGAAAGGGTAATCACAGCCAAAGTCCAGTTTGCGAGGTTTGATGTTTTTCTTTCGACCTCGCAAACTGGACTTTAGCTGTGGATTTAAATAAGAAAAAAGGTATTTTTAAGTAAATCCGCATAGGGAAATCTTATAGAAGCTACTAGAAAGCTACATATCTGCTTATCTGCATCCACAGCTAAAGTCCAGTTCATTCAACCTCACAAACTGGACTTTGGCTGTGGATCTTTGCTACACCCCACACCCAAAGTCCAATTTTGCGAGGGAATACGGTATATGCATTTTTTTTCCGAGTGCACACGCAAATCTGTAAAAGAGAATAAGTAAAATGGATAGTGTTTGAGTGCTTACCGCCTACTGGGTATTCTATAGTACTAGGTACTGATAGTAAAAGCGAATTTTGGTACCTAGTCGAGACCCGCAGCCAAAGTCGAGTTGAGGTTCGACCTCGCAGACCCTCAACTCTGCTTTGGCTGTGGGTCTGTTAGGATTGCAAGTACCTTCTATTGCGTTTTCATAGGCATTTGCAACAAAAACTACATGTTTGTACAACATGTAATCGCTTACCTCAATCCGCAGTCAAGGTCGAGGCCCACAGTCAAAGTCGAGTTAACCAGAGTGTCGAACCGCAACTCGATTCTGGCTGTGGGTTTCTTGCAGGCGCGACTCCAAAACAACATGGCGATATACACAACCTATCCGCAAATACCGTATTACCTCGCGTTTTTCATTGATAAATTTAAAAGTGGGGATTTAGAGAAGTTAGCCAATTAAAGGTAAGAATTATCGTTAAAGTTGCGAGGGAACCATCGTCGAAAAAGCAAGGGAACCACAATAAATGGAAAACAACAGAGTTTGATTGGCTATTGGAGCTCTATAATGCATTTGATTGGATAAATACTGATTTATTGTGGTTCCCTCGCAACTTCGATGATAATTCTTACCTTTTCAATGATGATTCCCTCGCGACTTCGACGATATTATGGGGCAAATAGAAGATGTAGCCAATTAGATTAGCCAGAACCTACATTTATCATCGAAAAACGCGAGGTAATACGGGTACAAGACAGCTTTCCAAGTAGTGTATAGATTTGCTTTACCTACTATAGAATAGGTGTTTCACTGCCAGTTTGTCACGCTGCTGCGCTTCTCCTGTCCCACCCGTTCTCACAGCCATTTTGTGTATGCAGGCACGGTAGCATGAGCAGCCCCGCATGATGGCTGCTGCTAGCAAAATGATGCAACATTGCAAGCGCTTTCAACAAAACTCTATGGATCATGCAGTTGCTGGTACATTCCTACTAGTAGTTTCGGCTCCATCTCCGTTTTTCCTTCCTTATTTTTTTATGTAGTCCAAGGTGCCTAATCTTTCGTCTATCGTCTTTGGACAAAGCGTTCTAGCTTCAATGAGATGGATCAAAAACGGGTTACACCAAAACGAGTTTTTTTTTTCTTTCTCGAAAAGTTGCTTTTGTGTAGCCAATACTGCGAATGAATACAAAAGCCAACATTCACATGTCAGTGAGATATCAAGAAAATAGCTAGAATCTGAGTCGCGTCGTGTCGCATGAGACATATCCAATTGATTTCGCTGCACCAGTTCCCATCTGTTATAAAGTAGCAGCGGTGCAACCCAAGTCAGGGCGGCGTAGGATAGCGCAAGCCAAATGTTGCGCGTGAGCCTGCATATAGCCTGGCGCTCTTCATTTATATTCGGGACGTCTCGCCATTTAGCCGGTTGTCTGCGAGGCTACCTTGGATGGATACCTAGGTAGAGCGTGGAGCAAAGTATTCGCAAACTCAACTTACACCACGCAGCTTTAGCCAGCCAAGGCGAGAAAAAAGACCTTCACGGGGCCAACACCGCTCCAGGCCGCGCAACAGATGGACCATCCGGGAAACGGCGGTCACCCCTCGGCGAAACAGGCTACTTGTACTTTTAATCACGCATAATCCGTACCGAGTGGTTGGGTGCGTTGGTAGCAGCCTCTTGCTGTGATTAGATTTTTGTAGGGTAACTGTTTCGCTGCAACATCGGAGTGGATGGGTGGAAGGAAGGGTAAAAGAGGGGCAACCGCCAGGCAGCGTAGCATCGAAGGATTTTAGAACCACGGCCTACCTATTTTTTGGAGCTGCTTATTACTTGACAAGATTGTGTTGATCTTCATCTTCTGCGCACAGCAGTTGTTCCCCCTTTCTACGCATCCATTTCTCAGCACTCCGTACACAGTACTCCATCAAGCAAAACCCCCCCGAGCGGATAACTCGGTACGGAGGACAGGAGATTCGAGGCAGTCCAGGTACCTACTACTAGTAGTAGTTCTTACAGTACTAGTGACGTGCGAGGCAGCGGATATTGTACATCAAGGCCGGCACCCACCTAGACCCCCAATTTTTAGCAGGACCCGATTCAGTCACCCATGGGCGCCGATGAGAAGCCTCGCTGAATTATAACGTGGCAGTCCATCGTAGCAGCACGGAACGGGCTCCATAGCCCAGTGCTACCCTAGCAGTTGTCTTCCGTAGTGCCTAGATGGGGGGCTTCGCTTATTCACCGTGTCCGGGATGAATGCAGCTAGCATGAGCACATCGTGGGTAGCAATTTCAGCACCCGCGATAATTGGCCGTCGCCGACTCAAGAGCCACGCTTGCGTCCGCGAGAGCTGCAAACTCTCAGAGCCCCGGTCATGGGTTCTGCAGGACAGGACGGATCAAGCCAAGGAGGGCTTGCGGGAGGTTGCGGCCACAGGATGGGAAGCCAGTAGGTAGGACGAAGTGTGAAGTCAGCGTGTATGTGCGCGCATGAGGGGAGAGAGCAGATGTCCCGAGGATAATTTGTCAGAACTGCCCAGAATATCGACTGGCTCATCTCCATGGACTCTTCGGTTCGGGCGACAGGCGGTTGTCTCGCTGCTTGACAGGCGGGTGCGGCGCCGGCAACATGGCACAAGGCGATAAGAAGGCCGTGCCAGGCATCTGAGCGGCCGAGCAGTCGCTGGTACTTGTAAACGGTCGAACCCTGATGAGCCGCGCCCTTCCGACTTGTGGATGGCCATTGGGTCTTTTGGGTCTGTCTGACCCCTTTCCGGAAGGGCCTCTGATTCTTGTTGGCCACGCGCTTCGGGGCAACGGAGGTGCTGCTTCTCCACCCGGTCCATCGGGGCAAGCGCCGTCTTGTAGGGCGAGAGGGAGGCTTTGAGACACCAAAAGGACGAGACGTGGCGCTGCAGCGATGGATTCTAAGACGGCATAGGATAGGCAAGCTCGCGCTAAAGGATTCCTGGGGAGGGAACTTGGGGGATCGGCTGGGGAAAGTCGGGGAAAGGAAAGTAAAAAAAAAAAGACTCTAGACGTCCCCGTGGCCGTGCTGACTGGTCATGGTCGAGATGGCCTCCCTTCTTTTTGTGGCCTCCCTCGTACAGTATCAGGCCTTTAGTTAGACCAGGGCATCGCCTAGTATAAACCACCGCTGCTCAACATTGCTAAACGACGTAGGTAACATTTACTAGCAAGCTGCGAAGCCGATAGCAATACCTCATCGTCATGATCCACTGCGACATGCTTGCAGCAACATTGGAAAGTAAGCCTGCAAAGCGCGGGAAATGGAGAATTGTGGTCCTGGTATCGTGTACACGCTCGTACAGACACACGGACGGAGCCACGAAACTAAGATTGACGCTCCATACCTACTACAACGGCAAGGGCTCCATAAGAATCACAGACGGAGGCCGGCTAGTGAGCGTCAAGGTCGGCAGCCATCCCCAGAAGGCAAAATCCCTTGAGGCGGTCGCATCACGAATCCAGAGCCCAATGCGATTACTATAAAGCAATTTAACCCCCCTCCACCCTCCGCCGCCTTTCCTTCTTCTCTTCCGCCCTTCTGTTGCTTGCTCTTTTCTTCACATTCCAATCCACGCCACCACCTCTGGCCAAGTCCAGCAGTCCAGCACCAAGAGACATTCAGAGAATCTCACCTGCTTCTCTTTGCGACGCCTTTGCCTCTGCCCGGCACCCCCCGTTGCTCCCTCTTTTCCGGGCCATTGCGACTCGGAAAGGGACGACGCCTTCGCCAAGCGACCGCTGCTGCTCGCCCCAGGCCTCGCAGCGCATCCGCGACAACCTCGCCCTCCAGGCTTTTGCGGCGCGGGAGACTCTCCACAAGCCGCAACGTAGCACCAAGTACTGGTACTGCGACTTTACAGCTACCCCGCACTCCGCCGGATTTCTGCAGCGCGTATTGCCGCTCGACCCCTCCAAGACCTTTTCTACACCTTTTCCACGCACAAACACGCGCAGCAGCCGCAAAACCCCCAATCCTCACAGAAGCCATGGCCGACAACCAGGGAGTCGTCGTGGAGGCCCACGAGATCGAGACTTTCCGTAAGAATGCGTTCCGCAGCTTGTCCTGGAACATCTTGAAGCCGAGACTGACTTGTGCGCGCAACAGAGCCTCCCCAGAATATGTTCGCCAGTATGTTGCCACCCGCTAGCAGCTCGAAATCTCCGATAGAGAGCCAGCTCCTATTAGCTGCTTTTTGAGTAGATCTTGCTGACATCTTTTTTTCTTCTTTACCCATTCGGCAGAGCACCCTAGCAAACCCCACATTGGCAGTAAGTGCATCATTTTCCCAAAATCACCTCAAAACAGCAGTATCTGCACCGGTGTCGGCGCACATGCCACGACCTGGTCCGGACGTCCGGGAATTGCGTCAACCCAACGGCGTGTTTTCCGTCTGTCCGGACGGCTGGTGCAGGTACGCGATTTTAGGATATGCAGACCCCGGAGTGCTGACCGCTTCTAAAATTACACAGGCCTAGAGGAGTACCAGAAGCTCTACAAGGAGTCCATCACCGAGCCCAACAAGTTCTGGGGCCGAACAGCTCGCGAGCTGCTGTCCTGGACCCGCGACTTCGAGACCGTCTCTGCCGGCAGCCTCGCCGAGGGCGATGTCAAGTGGTTCGTCGAGGGCCAGCTCAACGCCTGCTACAACGCCGTTGATCGCCATGCTTACAAGGACCCCAACCGCGTTGCCATCATCTACGAGGCTGACGAGGTCAACGAGGGCCGCAACGTGACCTACAGCGAGCTTCTTCGTGATGTGTCCAAGGTTGCTTGGGTCCTTAAGCAGGCCGGCATCAAGAAGGGCGATACCGTCGCCATCTACATGCCCATGATTCCCGAAGCCGTTGTTGCTATCCTGGCTTGTGTCCGTATCGGCGCCGTCCACTCCGTCGTCTTCGCCGGTTTCTCTGCCGACGCTCTCCGCGACCGTGTCCTTGATGCCAAGTCCCGGTTCGTCATCACTTCCGACGAGGGTAAGCGAGGCGGCAAGTTCATTGGCACCAAGAAGATTGTCGACGATGCCTTGAAGCAGTGCCCCGATGTCAGCAACGTTCTCGTCTACCGCCGCACTGGCGCCGACATCAACATGGTTCCCGGCCGTGACCTGTGGTGGCACGAGGAGGTTGAGAAGTGGCCTAGCTACATTGCCCCCGAGCCCATGAACTCGGAGGATCCTCTCTTCCTCCTTTACACATCTGGATCTACCGGAAAGCCCAAGGGTGTCATGCACACCACCGCTGGATACCTGCTTGGCGCCGCAATGACCGGCAAGTACGTCTTTGACATTCACGATGGCGATCGCTACTTCTGCGGTGGTGATGTCGGTTGGATCACTGGCCACACCTATGTCGTCTACTCTCCCCTGCTCTTGGGTGTCTCAACAGTCGTCTTTGAGGGCACACCGGCCTACCCCAACTTCTCAAGATACTGGGATATCATTGAGAAGCACAACATCACTCAGTTCTACGTTGCCCCTACAGCCCTGAGACTGCTCAAGCGCGCCGGTGACGAGCACGTCCGCGGCAACTTCAAGTACCTGCGAACTCTCGGCTCAGTCGGTGAGCCCATCGCCGCTGAGGTTTGGAAGTGGTACTACGAAATTGTTGGCAAGGAGAGCGCCCACGTTGTCGACGTAAGTTGAAAGAGATGACAACACCGCAATGAATAGATTACTAACGTTTGAAATCTACAGACGTACTGGCAGACCGAAACTGGCTCTAACGTCATCACTCCCCTTGCTGGTGTTACCCCCATGAAGCCCGGTAGCGCTTCATTACCCTTCTTCGGTATTGAGCCCTCCATCATTGACCCTGTCTCTGGAGAGGAGCTTCACGGCAACAACGTTGAGGGCGTTCTCGCCTTTAAGCAGTCATGGCCCAGCATTGCTCGTACCGTCTACGGCAGCCACAAGCGATACCTGGATACCTACCTTCACGTCTACAAGGGCTACTACGTAAGAATATCTTAGCGTGTACGGGGGGAAAGGATGAAGACAAAACTGACAATTTGACATATAGTTCACTGGCGATGGTGCTGCCCGTGACCACGAGGGCTTCTACTGGATCCGAGGCCGTGTCGATGATGTCGTCAACGTCAGCGGTCACCGTCTCTCTACCGCTGAGATTGAGGCTGCTCTGATTGAGCACCACGCTGTTGCCGAGGCGGCTGTCGTTGGTGTTTCCGACGAGCTGACCGGCCAGGCCGTCAACGCCTTTGTCGCCATCAAGGACGGAAACGAGGCGACAGATGCCCTCCGCAAGGAGCTTGTCCTGCAAGTCCGAAAGAGCATTGGCCCCTTTGCTGCCCCCAAGGCCGTCTACATTATTGGGGATCTCCCCAAGACGCGAAGTGGTAAGATCATGCGCCGCATTCTGAGGAAGGTTTTGGCAGGCGAGGAGGATCAGCTTGGTGATGTCTCAACAGTACGTTTTTTTGCCCCCGTCCCTAAAATCAGTCAACGTATCGTGCAACTGACCATTGTGTTCTTTATTTAGTTGTCTGACCCCTCCGTCGTCGACAAGATCATTGCGACTGTTCACGCATCAAAGGGAAAATAAACAAATTAAAAAAACAAAGCAGTTTGGGAGTCAGAGCGAGTTTTTGTTTCGCATCTAGCTTGTCATTTGGTAGTACAATTAGGTCGGAAGTAAGAACGGCGGCCATCAACGCACGCAAAGTCCGTTTTGATGTTTAAAAATTAGGGTAATTTGGGGGGAGAATACTCGTATTTTATTTTTTTGGATGCGGATATAACGATTGGGATAGCACTTGATATCTAAGACGATGAATCCAATAAACTTTTTTTCGTTGAGCGGAGATTGATTACTTTCATACTTGACGATATAGGCAATATGACGTTCAATTAAACAGATTTTTGCTGCGCTGACAAAGTACAGGGACCAAGTATTCGAAGAGGCTTGTACCCGCAGGCTGAGGAATCAACTGAAGACGCGCGTACTTTCAATCTTGGTAAACAAGACGATAAAGTAGGTACTAATAGGTAGCTTGCCAAATAAAGTTCGTTATGGGTATGATAACGACAGTTAACCTTCCTTTTGCCTTTTAGACATCTCGGCACGCCTGCCTCGGATCTACTTGGATTTAATGGGGTAAATTATACGGAATTAGGGGCGCATGCCCGAATCTGTAATGTGGCAAACATTAGTATCGCGCTTGGTGATGCTTTCAGACCGTCTAGCACGGCGCCACAGATGTTGGAAGATATGGAGTCGAGCCAAGACTGGAAATTGCTTGCACAGCCTGGATTGGTCCACGCCGATGAAGCCGAAGATTGTGTTTCTCCAACGACTCGGTGTAATTCAATGTCCCGTAATAATCTTGTGAGAACCGAGAAATGTGAAGGACGAGAGAGATTGGGAAAGATGAGAGAATGTCCCTCATAATCAGGTGCCAAGTCGCCAAGACAGATACTCAGCCATGATGGTCATCGGATACATGTTATTGGCTGGGGGGTTTGTTTGCTTGCGAAGTTGTAACCGCGCGCTCGTGGGTTTTGTTTCTAAAATGCTGAAACGAACGTCCCCAACTTATCCTCATCTCGTACAAATGAAAATAAAGAGTAAGCGATTACATATATGCATGATGCGGTCACCTTCTGCAGGGCTATGCATATATACCATGTGACCTTGATTTGTTATACGAGAATGCATTGTTTCTTCGATTTCCTATTTTCTCATACTTTTTCTGCCAAGGTCGGAATGGGGTGTATTTTTGGTGTATATTCTTGGCAGAGAGTGGCTCAGCGCAGCTGGTGAGATTTGGGGCAAATGGGGAGGGGGGTTTCATGATTGATGACATTGTACAATGGCCAAAGAAGCTGTAGAGTGCGTTGCCCCTTTTCTCTCTCGATGTTTTTGATATTTTTTGATTTTTTCATTGAAGCAAACCAAAAATTGATTGACAGAAATTCTTGCGATTCAAGTTATGTGGTAGACATGGCATGTATTGAAAGAAAAAATTAAATTCCCAGATGGCATGCAGTCCATGTCTTACCGGGACATGGAATCTGTCTGATGACATCTGCATTAAATACGTGCAGACCGGGATCTATTGTCATTGGACCAGCAGAGCTGAAGAAAAGAAAAAAAAGAGGCACAGTGACATAGGCAACTTTGTAAGCGGAATCAAGACAAGGGCTACCTTGCCCCTCGCTTCTCGGCGTCGTTTCAGGGAATATGCATAACGAAATCGAGGCTGGAGACGAGAAAGTTACTTCGTATTTCGTGTAAGCCGACAGAACGCCATGAAAATACGCGAATGAACGCCTCAAAAAAAATGTATCGCGAAATTAAATCATCGTCGATTTCCAAGAAAACATGCGCTGCACCTTGCATAGGCTCCCTCATCCACCCATCCATCTCATCGTGTCGTTGCCGCGAAACATTGAAACCTGAAAATCGTCCCCCATGCCAAGCAGCCCCTGCCATCATCACCCCCTGCTACTTGCGGACGGCACTGCTTCAGCGCCCTTCTAGCGCTTCTGTACCCACTGAGTTTACGAGCTTAATGGGCTCCAAGCGTACCTGGTGGAGGCGCAGTGGGCCCCGAAAGCTCCCCCCAGGCTTGCCAAACTCCCGCAGCTACGGCAGCAGCAGACCTTGTTGACAGCGCTCTTGTCCACCGCAAGCTTGTCGCCCAGGCGCTATGAAGCAATGTACCGACGCCAAGCAGCATCTGAGCCTCATCGTCCCAAGTACCGCCTTGCTGGTGCACGCACACACTTTTTTTCCCTCTCGCACTCTCTTCTTTCCCTCATCCTCCTCATCGTCTTTTCTGCTTCATTTCTCCCTCTCATTTGCTCCGGCTCTCCGTCCGCGGCGCGCGCCTTTCCCCACCTTCGGGGGACTCTTTTCCCTCTTCTCTCGGTGTTGGTCGCCTCTTCTCCTCCGTTTCTGTCGCTATTCCTCTGCGCCACGCAGACAAACGCAATCGTTTCTTGGCTTGCCGTTGTCTTAAGAAGGAGCCGAAAGCCTGCCAGCTCGTCGCCCGCGTTTCGGATGGCCTGTTTGTTGTGATAGTCGTCGTCCTGTTCTTTGCGTCTATTCTGCGTGTCGTCTTTTTTCTCTAGTCGGCCGTTTATATAGATACTTGCATCTCCACCCCGCTGCCATGGTTGCGCTGCGGTCTCTTGTGGCCGCTTTTGCTAGCACAGCCTTGTTGGTCCAGACTGTGATCGGTATTATTGTCACTCCTCTGCCAAAGCCAGTTGCCATTTGCTGATACCTGAATTTCTCTTGAATCTCGCTGTAGCGCATTCTTTGAAGAGGAGTCCACTTAGTTACGTCTCCGTCATCGACGATATCAAGATTCACACGCCTGCCGGCCGAGTGCACTCACATTCCGAGTTCGACCTTACCTTCTCCCTTCACGATGGACAAGAGCGAATTCGACTGTCTCTTCACCCCAACCACGATGTTCTCCACGAAGACTTTGAGGTGACCTATCTCGACTCCCAAGGAAACATCAGATCAAGAGAGAAAGTACAGCGCTCCGAACACAAGGTCTATCGGGGCAACGCCTACATTGAGCGCCCTGACGAAGATGGCTGGTCCCTGGCTGGATGGGCCAGGATAACGGTACACCGCGACGGCAAGCACCCAGTCTTTGACGGCGCATTTCGAGCTGATGGTGACAATCATCACATCCATACTGGCACAAAGTACAACAATCTTAAGCTCGACAGCGATCCTGCGTTTGAGGACTGGAAAGCACGAGATCCCGACGAGGTCATGGTCGTGTGGCGTGACTCCGATGTTCAGGACTTTCTCGGTCGTGGAGAGCTCAAGCGCCATGTCTCCAGCCCGTCAGAGTGCATCTCAGATTCCTTGAACTTTAACAGCCAGTTTGATAAGGAGCTCAAGCGATCAACTGGGCTCCAAGGAATAGATGCCAGAAGCTTGTTTGGCCGCCAGTCCATCGATGGAGGCTCGGGGGGAAGTGGCCAGGACTTGATTGCGAGCATTGGAAGCACAGCTGGCTGCCCAACCACCAAGAAGGTGGCTTTGGTTGGCATCGCCACCGATTGCACGTACTGGAGCGGCTTCAACTCTTCTGAAGACCTGAGGAAAAATATCATAGGAGTTGTAAACCAAGCCTCCCAGGTCTATGAGAGTTCCTTCAAGATCTCTCTGGGCATAAGAAACCTGACTGTTCTTGATCGTGGATGCCCGGGAGCTCCTCAGGCCGCTACTCCTTGGAACGTCGACTGCCAGTCCAACACTACTATTAGCGATCGATTGAATCTCTTTTCTGCCTGGCGTGGCCGATCTCTCGATAACAACGCTTATTGGTCTCTGTTCAGCACCTGTCCTACAGATTCCGCTGTCGGGCTGGCCTGGAGAGGCCAAGTCTGTCGTCAGAGGTCAGGCACCAGTTCGGATGGGCAAGGCAATAACGAGACCGTCGCCGGCACCAACGTCGTAGTGAGAACAACGACAGAGTGGCAGGTATTTGCCCACGAATCGGGACACACTTTCGGAGCTGTCCATGACTGCACGAGCTCTACTTGCCCTGTTGATGCCTCTTCACCAGCTTGCTGCCCACTCAGCGCCAGCACTTGTGATGCCGGGGGCAAATTCATCATGAACCCTTCAACTGGCGTAGGAATATCCCAATTTTCTCTGTGCAGCATTGGCAATATATGCTCCAGTCTCAAAGCGGCAGATGCATCAGGCTGCCTGACTGACAATAAGAACATCCCAACTGTCACAGGCAGCCAGTGTGGTAACGGCATCGTCGAGGAAGGCGAAGAATGCGACTGCGGCGGTGAGCAAGGCTGCCAAAACAACACGTGCTGCGACGCAAAGACTTGCAAATTCACAACCAACTCTGTGTGTGACCCATCCAACGAAGACTGTTGCACCAGCCAATGCCAGTTTGCGTCCTCTGCAACGGTGTGCCGACCCAGCATTGGAGAGTGCGACATCCAGGAGACTTGCCCCGGTAATGTAGCTAAATGCCCCGACGATCAACACAAGTCAAATGGCGAATCATGCGGTAGCGGAAATGGCCTCGCGTGTGCCTCAGGGCAGTGTACCTCTCGTGATAGGCAATGCCAGGTCGCCGTTGGCACCTCGGCCAACAACAGCTCGACAACTGCATGCCCTGATACTCAGAATAGCTGCACGGTTTCCTGCACTTCCGGAGAGCTTGCCTTTGGACAACGTCAGTGCCTCTTGTATGGTCAGAACTTTATTGACGGGACTCCGTGTGGCGCCGGCGGACACTGTTCCAACGGAACATGCACCGGCAGCTCCACGTCAAAGGAGATCCAGCAATGGATCACTGGCCACAAGGAGATTGTCATCCCCATTGCGGTTGTGGTGGGCATCTTGGTCATCGTCATTATAGCGAGCATCATCCTCAGCTGCTGGCGCCGGGTAAAGCGACGACGAGCAGTTCCCAAGACCTCCTCGCCCCCCGTTGGCGGCGGATGGCCTCAGTGGAGAGGGAACCAGAACCAAGGACCTGGGCCGCAAGATTATAATATGACCGAGACGCAGTTTAATCCACCGCCACCGGCGTATCAGCAGCCGCCGCCGCCGCCTGGATATGGACAGCCCCCGATTCAGGAGCCGCAGTGGAGGCCGAGAATGGCGCGGTATGCATGAGTGGATGTTTCCATCGCTGATAAACAGTTGTTTTTTTGTTGATTGCAATTCTTGTTATCTGTGCTTTTTTTTTTTTTCCTTTTTGGGAGAGACATGTTTTCCTTTGGAAGAGATGGAAACCGTTTGGGATAGCACACAATCACTCTCTTTAGGGATTTGAAAAATGGGGAGGGTTGGATTTATATACTTGGAAACATTTGCACATACTCGGGGCGTTTTTTTATTATGGGAGGATGGGAATATTCTATTGATGATTCATGAAAGAGGAGGGAAACATTTGTCTTTGGGATATATAATTGGTACACACGCACGCTCACGAACACTTATACGCTCACACTTACACATACCCATCGTTGCAACGTTTGGAATTTCAACTTCTTTTTCTCTTTTTGACTATGTATAATATTTTGCTTTGCAATACTTCTACGTGTATCGAGTTGATGACAATATATGTTGAGTATATATATTATATATCTTTCATTTCAATCTGCTGATATGGAATAAGTCAAAAAAAAAAAAAAAATCATCATGAGAGTCGTCAAAATAGTATCTTCCAAGAGTGTGCCGTAATCCGCTGAGAATGAAACCCCTCGAAACAGAAGTTAAAAAGAAAGCCCATAAATAGACCCCCTCAATTAAACAAGGATGTCCTCTTCATTAGGCCGTCCTGCGATTAATGTTCATAGCCTTTCGCATATTCGCCTGTCTCTCCCGCGCCGCCCTGGTCACCGCCCGGTGGTGCCCAACGTTGGACCAGTAGTCATCGTCCTCGTAACCACACATTATAGTCATGAAGCGATGACGCTGGCCAGCCATGCTCTATCTCCCCCATATCATCTGTCAGCACAGGACTTGGAGAGTAGAAAAAAAAATATAATTAGAGTTCAACTCACGTCGTGTTCGCTCTGGGCATACATCATCAGCTGCTCCGGACGATCCAACACCGACGCGGCAAACGCCCTCCGCTGGCGAGTCTCAAAACCCTCTGCTCTGCAACACCGCAGGATATCAGCTTCATTGTCGGTGTCTCTTCCCTCAATGCCATCATCAGATTCGCCATCAAGGACGCTGTCGAGACTGTTACGATTGCTAACGCAGAGTAAACATAAAGCAAAGCTCAAAAAATCAAGAACAAGAAAGGGAAAAAAGAGAGCAAAAAAAGAAAAGAAAAATACAATAGAGTAAAGAATCAATAAGAAGAAGGTCAAATTCAAATCACGCACCCTTTTCTCAAGATAGGCTGTCTCTCCTGGTGCTGGCGTCGTTCATCTTCCTCATGGCCGCCGTCTTCCTCATCGTCCGTCTTCTCGTCCTCGCTGCTCCTGTAGACGTCCTTGCCACGCGCTTGGCGGTCACGCACCGATTGAGTCACGTTGGTGGGAAAGGGCTTGCTGCGAATCCTCTCGCGCCGATCTCGCGCTTCTTGGTGTAGCTGCTGTATTAGCTGGGTTTGCTGTTGCTGGTACGTCTGCTGCTGCTGAAGCTGCTGCTGTTGGATATGCTGCAGCTGAGTCTGCGAGTGCTGGAATAGCGGCTGTTGGAGTTGTTGTTGCTGCTGGTGCTGCAGCTGTTGCTGTTGATGCTGCTGCATCTGCGATATTGAAGCCTGAAGCTGCGGGTCGTATTGATTGGTGAAGTTGTAGTTGGGCGGTAGGCCAGCCATGTTGTTGGTGCCCTTTTTTTGGTGGATTAGAGAAATGGATATCAATCCTTCTTGCTGCTTTTATTATTTGCTGCTCCTTGATTATCTTGGAGTTCAATCTGAAAATGGTTTGCGTGTTGCGCGTGCAGCCTGGTGTAGATGTAGCTGACAGGAGGTGGTTGAAAGTAATAGAAATGAAGATGGCGGGCGAATTTAGGCACGATCCTTCCTTAGGTCATCCATCCGCTGGCACTAACCCCGCCTCGACTTCGACATCGACCTTGTACATTTATTTCATGGCGTCACCTCACTCGCTTGTATAAAGCATGGACGGGATGTAGGTACATGTAGTAATAATCCATTGGCACCCAAGCACAGGCCATTTACAAGACACACTGACGTTCTGAGCTTTTCGCTAAATATAGACTTCACATTCGTTACTCGCTCCGGATGCGAGCCTCAACTTATTAGTAACAGGATCTTTGTCCTTGAATTGATAGGTAGTAAGTACCCTGCTAGTTTTAATGTACAAGACGCAGCCTCACTACCTCTTTTGTCTGTTCAAACACGTATGGACACATATCGAAATGCCTTTTGCTAGCTTTCCTTCTTTCTCCTCCTCTCTCCTCCCACCTCTCCCACCTCTCATGTTACCGCCGGCCCAAAGACTGAAAATAGCAACGCAAAAACAAAATAGAAACTTGAAAAAAATGACTTGAAAATAATCAGAATAACACCACTCGTACTCCATACGTCCGTTTTATCCCTGTCGTTCATTCGAGTGTATCCGCGTAGTCAAGATGTAATTAGCATAGTTTGGTCCAGTCTCCCCTTGCTGTCCAGATATATGTGGTTATGACCAAAAAAGAAAGCCCAACGGGGAATGCTGGTATACAAAAGGGACTGATGCGCAGGACCATTGCGCCCTAAAAGATTGGTATCGCGGCACATCACCTCCCGCGAATCCAGATAGCCATCCTTTGTTCAAAGAGAATGAAAGAAAGACGAGGAGGAAATCAAAAAGAGAATTGCTGTTGACGTGAGTTTCGTCATGCCGCAGTCATTGTAGGGTGTCGCGCCACTCGCCAATGCCGTGGCTATCTAGATTTTTTTCTTCTTCTTGTCCATTTGTTTCGTCCTCATGTTGCCGTGTCGTCTTTGGAAGCTTCCAAAGAGTCAACTCACTGATCCCATTTCCTATGGAATCATCCATTTGCTGTAATGTAACCAAATCTTCTTCTCATTTGTAAACGTGGATTCTATCCACTGAAGCTAATGATAGCGAGCTAAGAGATTCGTCAGTCAAAAGGTTCCACATGAATTCCCCCATTCAATATTCTTATACTTACTCGACTGTTTGCACCATAAGCAAGCTTCTGGCCGCTGATATCCCAGCAAAGACAGTGTTCATCCTCTTCTTCAGAATCTTGGTTGCCCTTCAGGTTCTCGAATTCGTCTCTAGACGGTCTCCAGACGGCCCGGGGCACGGAGTGGCTGTCAACCTTCCATATCAAGACGCTTCTTGATGTGGCTCCTGCGATAAAAGCTCCGTCGGGTGTAAAAGCGAGTCGTACGACGGGCAGCTCCATTGTGAAAAAGCATTTTGGTTTGCTTTCAGGTTTTCTGGCGTTCCAGATCAGAATGGCGCCGTCTTCGCCTCCAGTAGCGATTAATCGTTCATCGTCTGGATTGGAGTGATTTGACGACAGGGGTTGCCAGGCCATTGTTGTAATCGACCCCTGGTGTGCTGATATGGATCGGCGCGCGCCGGACTCATCCCATAGCTACATAAAATCATGATGATTAGTCTCCAACTTCAAGATAGTCGTGGTATGGGTAAACCAAGGTTTTCTTTTCTTTTCCCAGACTTACATCTAAGACACCCTTGTCGCTGGAAGTGGCCACCAGCTGAGATAGCGGGTCGAATAGGACCTGAGCAAAATGATCATCCTCTTTGGTCTCGAACTTTCGAGCCCTTTGTATTGATGTCTCCCCCACGCTTAGACACTCAAAGATGCCCCCGCCGCAAATCAAAAACTCGGACTCGCCGGTCCATGTTGCGTCCAGTCCCGTATCGAGGCTGTGGCCCGAGAGATCGTACCTGAAGGATTTATTCGAGGTTGCCGAGTGCACCGTTATTGATGTACCGACTTTGTTCTCTGGGGAAATGGCAAGGAGCGCCGAATTGCTGGGATTCCACAGGAGCTTGACGATGGGCGGCTCTGCCACGTCCATGGACTGGAGGAGCTCGCCGCCGGCGGACCACACGTGGATGGCAGCGCGGGATCCTCCGCAGTCGCTAGCCACGGCAATTGCCGTGCCATCTGAAGTCCAGGCCAGCGCCGTGACCGTCGTTGTCTTGGGAGCGTCGGGATCCAACAAGGCATGGGCGTGGGGTGACACGTGATGCTCGCCATGCTCAGTTGCCGTGGCACGCGAAATGGTCCAAACGCGGGCTAGCGCATCGGTTCCAGCAGCCGCCAGTATTGATGGGTCTCTAGGGTTCCACTCGCACTGCAGCAGAATGGGAGCGTTTTCAGTCCCAGCTGGGGAGGGAGATGGCGCTGTTTCGGTGGCGCAGTTGGTGTCCATGAGGCGGATGAAGGTGGTTTTTGGAAATAGTTGCTCGACCTTGTCGACCTGCGTGCCCTGCTCGGGGCCCTCTGTCCGCACAATTGGGAGCGGCACCTGTTCGCCTTCTAGCGGAGACGGGTAGGCGTGATTGTCTTGCAGGCTCTGGTCGTCGTCGTGCTGGTGGTGATTCTCCTGCTGGTCCACATCCATGGCCATGGGGGTGCTGACGGTGGCTGCATCGGATTTGCTCTCGCAGCCGTTGCTGAGCCGCGGTCGCTTGGGGGGGGACCCATTGGGCAGAGAGTTCTGAATCCGTTTTCGCGACAAGTCTACCTCCTCTTCGCCTGGTGCATCCACGTCTTCGTCGTCATCCTCTTCCTCTGTTTTTGCTGGCGGCTGCATTTCCACCAGCGGTCCAAAGATGCCGTTGCGCACCACCTCGGCTTGTGCGGTGGCATCCTCAGGCATCTGCTGCCGAATCGGATCGTCAGCCAAAAGGGAAAAATAAAAAGGGAACAGCGACAACCGCGATTGGCGCACAGGCAGCCCAGGCCCCAATCGCGAAGTTGAAAAAGGAAGAGAAGAGGCAAGAAGAGAAGGGGAAAGCAGTGAATCTAGCAAGCAGTAAAATTTCCCGGCGTACCTGGTGACGTGCGTGCTCTCTTTCGAGCGCATAGTAGATAAGGCCGCTGTTGACAACAGAGACTAGAGCACGGCCCTTGACATGGCGCGCAAAGTCAAAGTCTCGCTGCGGCTCTTTGACGTGCCATTCTTTCTGGAATTTGGCGGCAGTTTCTCTGTAATCTAGACGCAAAAAAACAATTGTCCACGGTTAGTCATACTTCAAGGTTGACCCGGCCCTGCGAGAAACGACAGGGACAAAAGCTGCGGTGCTGCGCGGTTCCACGTACTGCCTTCAAGCAAATACCTGCGCAAAAAAAGGGTCAGCACGAGGCGTGGGCGCCAACAAAGCCTCTTGGGGCCGAAAAAAACATCTGGGAAGAGACTGGAGGCTCGGTGATGGAGGATTGGGCGGCGGTGGACGGCCTGGAGGGTGGCAGGCGGCCAAGAGGGCACAAGGCTGGCAAAAGCAACGGGCTTTGACGAACCTCCAGATGAGAAAGTTGACTCGGTCTGAGTCGAGAAATTCCTTGATGACCATGGCTATGGTTCCGGGGGTGGGAGGGGGGAGAGCGCGCCAGCAGGTGGCGGCAGTGTCACGGCTGGTCGTCGCAGGCGAGTCTGCAGGAGTAGAGCAGCGCTGAGGCTCGATCGGGGCGCCGTCAAAGGAGAGCGAGATGGCGAATGTGAGGAGGAAGTGAGAGTGAAGATTCAAGAAAGAAGATGAATCGAATCCACATCCGCCCACGGCAGAGACAGGTACTCCGTACCTCTGTCGGTACATTGGCCCTGCCGCGCCTGGGGTACGCAGTACCTGGACTGTGCGCTGCAAGTACCTGGCCGCCAGCCGCAGCCACCGGCCACGCTGCAGTACCCGTCAAGTACCGCGTACCTCGAGGCAGATTCAACGGGCCTTGTTTGGGGAGCCCAGAAAGGCGAGGCGCCGAAGGAGAAACCCAGCCGGTGGACTGCGCTATAGCCGGCGCCAGACATCAATTAAAGGCTGGCTACATGTAGATGCCAGCGCCACCGCAGCGCCGCTCTACCAATGGCAAGGCCCTGGAGGTCACCCCCAAGGCTTTCACATCCTACCGCCAAACTTAATAATGGAGGGGGCAGTTTTTTTCCTCGAGATCTTGCCCCCTCCAAATCTGCCTCCCTACAGCAACCTGCGCATACATGACCGTTTTGCTCTAGCCCTGTCATGCCACGAAGAGGGCCCTAAAATGCACATAAACGAGCTTCTGCGGCATGACATTTGCTTTTGCCTTGGCCAGCTCCCCCCCCCCCCCCCCTCTCGCTGATGCGATGAGGCCGCGTTGCGGACACGATACTGCGCCGCATATTGCAAGATTGACAGTGGCGTTCCTATGCACGGGTACAGAGAGCGACAAGGCATGGCATCCATTTGCAGCGTCGCTTCGCGGAGGCTGCCGCGCATCACGAATGTCGGTACCTTGGGTACTAGTTGATGGCGTCGGAAGCAAAAGACTTGCCTGAATACCTCCAGAGCCATGTCCAGATACGGAGAGGTACCAAGCAGACGTCGCGACAGCGTGTGATGCGCCAGGTACTGCTCCGTCGTGGGCACTACTGCATCTAGTCGTTCTCGAAGGTGGGCCGGCCTGGCGCTAGATTGAGCATTCAAATCGCTGTGGAACGAGATAGCATGGCGGTAGGGCAGCGGGAGAAACGGGGGATTGGAGAGAACCCTAGGCCTGGCTGCTAAAACTTGCCGACGGAGGGTGGTACAGTGTCCCGGTTTGTCGTAGAGGCTCTTCACAGGCAAGACAAGACATGGTGCCGGGTTCTCGATACTTGTGCGCGAAACGTTTCGCCGCGGAGAGGGAAACCAGCTTGCGGGGTCCAGTCGACTTGTTACGGTATTGTCAGCCTGTGACCTGGTCTCTGGGCTGGACGAGTGCGTGCATGTCACTTCAGACAAAGGACGACGAGAGGGAAAAGAAAGTCATTACCAGATGCGCCATCTCCTAGCGCTAGTGGCGCAAGCCCAATTCGCTCGTCAACTGAAGTGTCCTCCTCTTGCATGTACAAGTACCTATTCGCTATCCTCGTTCGTATCTAATGGTATCTGTTTGTCACGCTCCGGCACTCGTGCTGAGGCTGTTTGGTCGGTATCTGTGGCCGAAGGTTCTCCGGAGCACGAGCACTAGATATTGCCAAGTTGCGCATTGGCCTTGCTCTCCCGTTCAACGCCCGCCCGGTCAGACGCGGCCAAAGGGAAAATCTTAAGCCACATCGTCGCGAACTCGGTTAACGGTAGCCCAGGTCATTTTGGTCCAGCCCCTGCAAAGGGGGCGGATGCTTTTGCACAAGGCACAGTTTGCTACTGTATACATAGTAGTAAGGATGCCCCAGACTCTCTGGCATGCACAAACTCGGCTGCCAAGACAGATGCTTGGACCCAGGGCGTCAGGATGGCAGCCCCAAAACCCTCTCTTTTCGTGCGGTGGCGAACTGCGAAGTCGGTCGGCTCCTGCAGCAGCTTGGCCGCCTCCGGGCTGTCCCCATCAGCAATCGCGATTTCGATCCTGGATCCAGGGCAGAAGCTGGGTCGCTGTCTCGTCTGCGTCTCTCCCCACGGCATTCTCGTCAACGTCCTGCCGCTGCTGATGGAATGGAAGACGTCGCCATCACGATGCCGCGCCTCTCGAGATCAAGCCTAAAGGGCGCCAGGGCAGCAGAATCTGAGACTGGATTGCAGATCGGCTGGGCACTACTCCGTAAATGAGCGTGCGCCGTAGCAGTACCTGGACATCCCGCGCCCCGCAGGGAATGTCCTGGATCATCCAAGTGTCTCCAAGCGGCCGTACCGGTACGTGCTTCCTCAGAGGCCACGGGATCCCGTCAATGGATCTGGGCTCGCGACGGTGGCTAATGGCCAATGGCCCGGCACACTAGCACAGCTCGTACTGTGCTCTATGAGGACAAGAGGATTAGCGGCGTCGTTTGGCGAACGCTGTGCTTATTGCTTTTATCCCCGACACGCGGGAAATCCCCCTCGGCGAGATGACGGGCTGCGAGCTCATCGCCTTAGCTAAGCTTCCAAAAAGTGGTCCTCTCTTCATTTAAAGATTCAGTCTCACGCGCAGCAACGCACTGGCACCGGCCCCTTGAAGCTTCCTGGACGGCCCAGAGGGAAATCTGGAAGGCTATCTTCTGGAAGCGGCGGCTCAGAAGGCCATCTTCGGTCAATACCTGTTGGAACCAAGGCCCGTAGAATGATGGATGCTCTGCTTTTTGACTGCTCTGGCCTGGTTTGGTCCGGTCTGATCGCCTCGCCTCGCCTCCCCCTCCCCCTCCCCTCTCTTCTCGTCACAGGCAGCAGCAGCCATCCAGAAGACAAAGAGTGTCCTGGATGGCGAGAGGTGTGTGTGATTTATTCTCGTCAGCCTACGTGGCACTGGTCACAGGCGACAAAAGGGGCGGGCGGCAGCATCATAGGTAGTCGGCCTTGGAGCTGGTGGCGCCGCCAAGTTTGTTGCTTGTTCCCCTTCACGCCGCCGCGAAATGTACATTGTATCTGCGCAGGGGTTATTTGTGACGGTTGCGATGTGCGTGCCGGGGACAGGGGTGCAACGAGATGGCTGCCATCAATGGCTTATTATAGCCCGGAGACCACAGACGAGTGGATGAGGGCGAGTGGATGACGGAGCTAGACCGGGCCAGCTCAGTGTTCCGTGGGTGATGGGACAGGAAATCCTGGTACGAGAAACTGGTGGCCCAAGGACTAGCAGCAGCAATATCCGGGGTCTTGCAGGCTTCAGAGATTCTAGCGACAATACTGTAGACTGCAGCGTGACGGAAAGGAGAGCAGAGAAAGAGAGAGGAGAAAACGCGCGCCATGACGGATTTTGCTTCGCAGGAGCTGAGAGGCTTTGTCGCCGCAACAGCTGCGTCCACAGCCCCGATAAAAAAGCCAGAGGCCTCGAAGTCAGGATCTTTGACGATGGCATGGATGGGTCTTCAAGCTCGCCCCGCCTACTCCATACACAAGCGCCCACGGCCCATGGCAGCCGGTACGAGATATTTGTACTCATCATTACCGACAACTCTTCAGCAGGCGGCGTAAGGCAACATGAAGCCACGAGTACAGATCGGGTATGCAGCGACGAAATATAGTACCACGCCGAGTATAGCACCCGCCGTGAAATGACCTACTGGAGTCAAAGCGCACTTGTTACCAAGGCCTGCATTGGCTCCAGGCACCTGCTCCTACTAAAGATGCCTGACCTGCCTAAACGAAGAAACCATGCGTTTTGCTTCGTCTCCCGCAGCTGACTGTTGCCGTGCGTGCAAAAACGATCATTTCAAGCGTATCAATTGGATTTGTGCAGATGGATGTGCAAGATCGGCCATTCCGACGCTGTTTCTCTCGATCGTTCGCCGCCAGTTCCAGTTCGGGATGGACTCCTCTCTGCAGCCCCCGTGCTTCCGTGGTACTGTACAGTAGCAATTCAGACGGCTGGGGTCTTGTAACCTTGAAGCAAGCAGGGCAGGGTCCCCCGTTACGGGTTTTTGCACATGCGCGACCCCACATGCTACGCTCAATCCAATTTGCTGGCTGCCGGATGAAGCTGATTGTCCCGATAGGAGAAAACCCTGGGGCAGAGCCTGTGCCTTGCCGAGGTTCTGCCTCGTGCTGAGTCATGGATCGAGTGGTGGCCGGTGCATGAGTGTGTAACTGATGTCTTGAACGCTTGACTGACGAAAGACTGGGGAGAGTGCATGTAAGGGGGGTTTGAAACTGCACCAGATAGGCTGCATCACATTCTTTTTCCAGCAACCAGTGATCAATCACGCACCTCCTCTGCCTTGTAAGGCCATGTCTTGCAGCTAGGCGTTTGGCCTTGTATCGCTTCCCGTTTAAGCTTCAAGGCTGCGTCAACGCTAGTTAATAATACACGACTAGGAAACGTGTCTGCAGTCTTGAACCTTGAGCTGACTGACAAATAGCATTTTTTCGATGATTTCTGGATAGCATGAGAGTATCACAGCGAGGAAAGAAGATTAAATAAAACTTCTTTCCCCAACAGCCATCACATATATATCTTCATTTGCGAGGACCGAGCCTAGTATCGAAAAATTTGTGCCTGAGGCAAACACTCCTCCACCAGTCGGCATCACCCGATTCGGCTGATCCCTTCGCATATTGTGGCATCCCTAGCATGGAGGCTTTCATGCTGAGTACAAGCCACCAGCAGAACATACGCCCATAGCTCTGACCGCGCAAAAGAGGACAACAACCCTCTCGTTCTGCCCTCTGCCTGATTCTCAACCGTCTTTCTTTTCTCCTCGTGCGCCGGCCTGGATCCTTCTACAAACCCCGGCTCAAATGACACCTTGGAAAAAAAGCCCCCCCGCGATAGAACCATCCACCATCCCGCATCTCGCATCCCCGTCGCTATGCCCCCGCGAATAAACCTCCCGCCAGTAACACGAGCTCTGCTCGGCACTCTGCTCTTCCAGTCTGTCCTGAGCGCCGCGATTAGATATCGCCAGTGGGCCGAGGATACGGACATTGTGATACCGTACCTGACGCTCATCCCGCAGCTGTCTATTGCCTACCCCTGGACGTTTCTGACGGCTTCGTTGGTTGAGGGCAACATCTTTACGTTTGGCTTGGGTGCCGTGACCCTATACCATGGCGGCAGATATCTGGAGAGAGCTTGGTCTTCGGCAGACCTGGCCAAATTCCTTGTGCTCGTGACGCTGGTCCCAAACGTCCTCACCTTTTTCACCATGATATTTTTCTTTACCTTGACTAGGGACACCGACTGGACGTGAGTTTATACTTTTATATACGCAATTGTTTACTTGATAAAGGACTACCACTAAACATATTTCTCTTTGCAGACTTACGATTATCGGCGGTACCATTCCTATCCAGATCGCTTTCCTCGTCGCCTTCAGCCAGCTCATCCCAGCGCATACGGTAACACTATTCCGAGGCATCGTTTCGCTCCGAGTCCCAAGAATTCCCCTCATCTATATTGGCGTCGTCACTGTGCTCTCGTTTACTCCGCTGCTATCACGCGCTGCTCTTTGGCTGGCCAACTACAGCTTCCTTGTCAGCTGGACCTATTTACGATTCTTCAAGGTTGTCTTTCCCGATCTTGATTCAGCTCAACCGGCGTCGCTACGGGGAGATGCCAGCGAAACTTTCGCCTTTGCCGAATTCTTCCCAAGCCCCGTTAAGCCCGCCGTGGCTGCCGTGTCAGATCAAATCTACAACATCCTTGTCGCGATTCGACTCTGCAAGCCGTCATCGCAGCGAGGCATAACTACAGGGCGCGATGGCTTCCAGCACAGAGGGGCGCCAGGAAGTGCCCGTGCCGAAGCCGAGAGAAGAAGGGCTATCGCACTGAAGGCACTGGACCAGAGGCTGAATGCTGCAACTGCTGCTGCCCGGCAATCCTCACAGGCCCCGCCACCGGCTCCTGCCCAGCCGAGCGGCCCACCTGTGCAGGTTCAGCCTCAATCAAGTGCTCAGACAGCTATGAAGTCTGAACCAGGGCCGATGCTTGGCGAGACCAAGTTTGAGCCGGAAGAAGATGATTCATAGGAGAGCGTCTAGGGTGGGGCCGTGTATTTGTTTGTTTGATACAATGACATGGATGATATTGGCGGCGCCTTTGTGTTTTCCAGACGAAGGTGTCAGGAAGAGGGACTCGGGTCATGGATTGAAATGATTGTAATGATATGCGAGGATAGCGCGGTTGGATTGATGGACTGTAAGTTGGCGCCTGGTGTTGTCATGGATCCTGGGGTTAATTATCTAGCCGGCACATGAACTAATGAGTCATGTTTTATTTCATCAGCTGTGTTGAAGCGATAATACACACCATTTAAAGTGTATGACTTTCTGCAACCCCTAGTTTTTGCCCCCAAGACAACTTGATGCGGCTATATCTAGCTGGCTTTTTCTGACACCAAAGGCTGAAACTCTCAGGTTGCAGGAAAGAGGAGGAGAATTGACCGCTCCAGTGGGTTGATGTGGAGGTAGAAGCTGGGTGTCGATCAGCTGAGCTGATTGGGCTAGAGAAGGGAAAGGAATACCCAGCGTTGTGACTCTCCATCAAGATTGCCACCGCCTTGCATGTTTCTCTCGTCTTCCCCACGTTTGGGCATTGTCTCACATATGACATCGTACTGATCTACCATGCGAGTTATCTCATAGCCTTGTCAAATGATTCATGTGGAGAGCTGTGTGTCCCGCCATCTGTAACTCGAGACATTAGCGCATTGCAGCCACGCAAAATCAAGATGAAGACAAAGGAAGATGTCATCTGGAAAGAGGCAGAGGGTGAGAGTAATATATGCCTTGAAGCAATCAGGACAATTTTAACTTTTTCTTTCTTGAATTTCTCCTTGTACTTTTTTTTTCTTTGAACTCTTTTGGAGTTCTGGCGCTTACTTGGATGCTCTAGCTGGTGGCAAGGATGAGATCTTGCAAGCTACCCAGAATAGCAGTCGACAAGAATCATCGAAAATACAAGAGGGCAGCGTCGCCATGCACGGCTGAAACCCACGCGGGAACCCCCCTTACTCATCGCCATGTAATATGTATAGGTATATATATTATACACTTGAGATTCCGTCCATCGTAAGATCCTCCAACCGGGAACCAGCTCATGTTTCCAGCCGGCCAAAAACCGCTGCAAGAGGCACAGACAGAGAGAATCCTGAAACAGACGTACATGTACATACATAGCTTGGCAGTACGTAGTGACTGCGTCTGCAGGGATAATCTCAATCCTATAAACATTCATATTAGACCTACGGCAGAACCCGATGCGGTACGATGTATAGTGGAATGACGATGCGACTGCATTAAAGCCGCTGGTCCTCCGTACAGAGTAGCACCCCGGATGGAGCAAGGGGGTGAAAATGTGGCTTGTTTCCAAGGTCTTTGCTTTGGACTTTCAAGCAATCGGAGGATCAGGACGGGCTACGGTCGCTGCCCCTCTAGGTATATACTGCAGGTTGGTAGGTAATAACGAAAAAGAAACCAGGCTGAGGTGGGTGGCCAGGATGTCAGGCCTTGTCTCTGTTTAATAAAGCCCAAGTGGCTCTATGTACATACCAACTGCCTATCAAACTGAGCTAAACAGCCCGTCGCAGCTTTCTAGTGCAGGTAAATCGTATTTGGTGGCACCGAGTGTGTCTGGGCGCTGGGCTATGGTTTGCAGCGGCTCATGACAGGCGGAAAGCACATAGACAAGTATCACGAACTTATTACTAGTAGTAGCCCAAGACACAGTTGTATGTGTATATCCACTATCACTGTACCGTCTCTCCATGTCCGCCTCTCACCTTGGCCCTGACGCCAGTTGAGGGGGTGGAGTGGTTTCCGGCAGAGGCCTCTCCGGGGTTAATCGCTGGGCGTAGCGGACCTGGCCGAGAGTGTGCTAGCCAAGCGGCTATTTTCGCTCAGCTTCCATCTGGCCTGATGATGCGACACGATGGAATCCCGCGAGTCGTGGCCGCGTCCGAGCAGAGGCGCTGCGTTGCGCCCTACCTACTACATACATACCTGTAGGAGCAGCTCCGTAGATACCCAGATAAACGCTGATAAAGACAGCACGGCGACGAGGTTAGCAACATGTTGCAGTGAATCATGGGTGATTTCCAGGGTACTAGTAGCGCTAAAACAAACGCCATACTGTACCTATCTACCATGTGCTGTACTTACTGTAGATCGCCTCTCGCTCAGCAGACTCAGCAGGATGATGCCTCTCTTGGTAACTGACCTTGCCATCGTTCGTCTCTCGTCGCTATTTTTCTTTCGCAGGGGGTGCGCGTGTGCAGCCTGGCACAGGTGTCAATAGAGACAGGTCACCTAAATGACGAAATCCAAGGGACCGCCGCCGGAGCCAAAAGGGGTGCAGCAGAGCAACGTGCCGCTGGGCGAGCGCTTTGCGTGCAACCACAACTGCCCTCAGTCCTTGTGCGAGGAGCCGAAGGTGAATGAATCAAATCACGGTGCAGAGCAGCACAAGGCCTCACGTTACCAGCATCAGTATGTGGCTGCAGGCCCTGTGCTCCCAGGTCTCATAGCTCCGTGTAGCCGTACTCGCCCTGGCCGTTGAGAGGTACGTACCTCGCGCGAGGCGAAGACCCGGCGGCGGGAATCTGGCGACCTCGCGATGGGGAGGGATTTGCGGCCGCCAGATGAAACTGGCAAGGCATCAGCTCAGCCAGCCGGCCAGCTAGTACGGAACAGTGCTAGCCAGGGCTGCTCGCAAGATGAATGCATGATATACTCGTATTTTCTGAGAGCGCTGGCTACAGACGGCCATTGCAGGTAGGGAGGCCAAGTGCCATGCCATGCTATGCCATGCAGCATGCTTTTGGGGCTGCGTGCTGTGCTGTGCCGTGCCGCGCTGCGATTTGCTTGAGTCCTGCCAATGGCGCTGAAAGGAAACCTCACGATGCGTGATGCCTTGGCATCATCGTGATGTGCGAATGCGCCGCCTGACAGCGCCTCGCATGAGCCCAGGAGCCTCAATCGGGCCAGCATGGCAGTGTGGGAGGACCTGGAGCAATCTCTGGCTGGACTGGACTGCAGACTGGCCTCGACGGCCGCGGTTCGTTGTGCGTGCTCAACTGTTTTTTTGCCGCCTTCAGGGCTTGCGAGCATCCTGGGGAATGGGCTCCACACGCAATCGCGCCCGTTGCTGAGCCAAGCAACAGGCAGGGGACCACGGCTAGGAAACGCCCCAGATGGCCAGATCCGTCGGCGGCTGACCGTGGCACGTCAGAGTGTTGAGCAGCAGGCTCAGGAGGTGTCCACCTGGCGGCTCCACAGTGGTGAGAGTGGATGCGGCTAAGAGCTGGAGAGCTTCTTTTCTCGTCAGGGAGATTGATGTGATGGGGTGGAGCCGCGAGAAGAATGGATAGAGCGGTGCTAGCACGCAACCGTGCTAGGCGGCGCTCCTAGTGCTCGTACAGTAGCGGCGACTGGTACTTGTAGTGCCTGCTTGCAGCAGCAGCAGCGCGACACGGCAGGGGTGCAGACACGGCGCCGCGGCGAGGCTCGAGAGGGGAATAAAAAAGAGGACCAGGGGCTGCTGTCTGGCCTTAGCGCCTGGGAAACGCACCGCCTAGACCGCCGCATCGCCTAGCGGTCCGAGCGAAACGCGGCTACCGGTGCTTTGGCGTCCACCGAGCGCAACTCGTCGAATCCATCGTCAGCGCGCATGGCCCCCCTATAAAGGCAGTGTCCGACTGCTCCGTAATGCCACCAGACGAGATCAATGATGCTGCTTGTACGGCACACAGCCCGCCCACTGACACGTACCGCTGCATGCTGTGCCTGGCCTGTACATGTATAGGTATGGTATGCTGTTCGCGCAGCGCTTCATGGTTTGCTGGCGCTGGATGTGTCGCATCGCTCCCCACTGTCTGGCTGCCCTTCTCCACCAAACGGGCAGCCAGCTCAGGCAGTTTCCTGCTGTCGATGCTGGCGAGTACCGACTTGTACTTGTACAGGCTGTAGCACGAAACAAGCCATGAGCGTAAGCAAGCGTGTTTGCTCAGCTGCCACTCGCCTCCTAAAGGGGGGAAATCAAGCAAGATAGAAACGTGTTTTGAGTGGCTTGTGGACTTGCAGCTTCACGCCTGCACGGCTCCGAGAGGGGCCCTACCTGCTTATGTAACAAAGGCTGCAGAAAAAAAGCCGAATGCAAGATATGACCTGTATCTTGATCCTGAGGCTCATCTACCTTATTTTAGGCTCTGCAATCACCATCACGTGACTGTTGTGACTGCTGTTCCTCTTTCGTAATCTCTCGATGCGTGGCAGGGCAATGGGTCCCAGTGCCACTGTTCTTTTCTGTTCTCTTTCGTTCGCGTCTTGTGGGGGAGCGAATCTCTAGCGGCTCCCCCAAGCCAGCCACGCTCATCCGTCGAAGCCGTCGTCGTTCTGCGAGGGGTTTAATCCAGTGATTCAGTAGCAGTGTTGAGGCATATACCAGTAGCCTGGCGAGTGCTCGTAGGTGCAGCGCCATTCTGCGCGAATGCTTTGCTCTGCCCGGAGACGATGCATCAGGACGCATCAGGTCTCTATCTACAGCTGCCGAGCGAGCCTTAGCCTGCCTGTGCCTTGCTGGAGCTCCTCCTTGCCTGGAGCAGGCGATGCAAGCGACCCGGACCTGCCCATGGCTGGTGCCGCAACTCGTTCTCCCTGGCTCCGTAAAGCTAGGCCCGGGTGTCTGACTTTCGTTGATCTAGCCACCCACTACTATAGATATCAAGTCTGCTGGCGTCTTCTACCATGGCTGACTATACTCGGGTACCACATGTCCACATATCGATTTCAGTTTACTTGTCGTACAAGTATATCCCGATTAAGGACGGGGGAGTGTACTGTTTGCCGTGCAACCACTAGGCAGGCCCTAAGGAGTCCTGTGGTTGACACCAGTTTGTAGCATGCCGTCCTATCGTGGCCTTGGTGTGCCTATTGTTTCGCCGCCATAACTTGGCTGCTGACAACGCGAGCCACCAGCGCCCCCCGGTCACTGCCGGGGCTGAACGGCCACCCACCATCGTATCGAGGGCTTGCGTCGCCAATAGTAATGAGTGAAGATCCCCCGAGAGCTAGGAGAGCTCGCTGCCGGTTGACTTACCCGCTGGGTCCTCCGACAAGGCTTGCTTGCGTCCATGGGCCCTCAGCGGTTGGGACGTCCAGTGGCGGATCCTGCCACGACCCTGCGTTGGTGATGGTTCTGATACTTACCATGTATTCGCTTTTGCTCTGCCAATGGATCTTTATGATAATATGAGTGAGCGACAAGTGTCGCCGTTGTTGTTTTTGTGTGAACTTTTTGAAATGGCCGGCTGCTAATCTTGTTATTTTGATTCAACCTCGCTCAAACTTCAAACATTTCGCAGCCTCTGGACTCTGGACTCTGACAATGTCACGACCGTGAGGCGCTTCGCATCATGCATAGTGAGAGAGAGAAAAGTAAAAGCCAGCTCTATTAGGCGTTTGCCATTGCTACCCACCAGGAAATTGTGAGCACGCGGCTTTATAGAGAGGATGCACTGCCAAGGCATAGATTAGGCGCCTTGTACGCCGCCAATCGACAAGCCTCACCGTTGGCATAAGATTGGTCGGCCCCAGCGCCGTCTCCCTTCCTTTTCTCAGCCGCCTTCATCTCGTCTGGGATTCGTGGCCTATGCCACTGTCTCTCTAGGTTAGCGCTGTGTGCATACCATGGAGTACTACTGGCCGTGAGCACGTTGCGCTTCGTAGGGTTTTGGGAACTGTGGTAGAGCCTAGACTCTAGAGGGCCTCACTAACTGCGCTGGGCGCCGGCAACTGCGTCAACGGGTGCCCAGACGCTCAAGTTACCGTCCCCCGCTTTTTGTTCCCTTCGCAGCGCCGCGACCCGTCGTCACTGCTAAGTGCGCGTGTGTGTGGGCTCCTGCGCTGGTAGCCTCGGGCGCTATGGCGCTGCTGCGGTACGTACTGCCTGCTCGCCGGACGCCGCACGCGTTCCGCAGGCCATTTGTATGAGTACTTTGTACAAACACGCCCAATTTGACAATCCCTGTCCACACCCCTCCCATCCCCCTCGACGAGGTAGGGGCAGCGAAAGCTGCCAAGCGGGTAATGCCCCATTATTTCAAAGTGGCCCCGCCTGGCTCCGCAGACTACACCGCCGTGGCTGTAGCATGTTCTTCTCTCCCATTTTCATCATTTCATGGGTAAGGTAAGTTTGTCGGTTCAGCAGCGCAGTTCCTTCCTCCACAAGACAGCCTTTTTTTCTCTCCCCATTTACCCGTTCTCTTCTTTTCTCCCCTCCATCACATCTCGCAACCGCAACAAGTAGCGTCGGGGGTGCTCGTGGACCTTGGCTTGCCTGCACGATCCTGACCATCGCTCTGTATAGCATTTTAGCATCATCAGTCTTCGCCTTCGCTTCACATCATACCAGACGTATTTTATTTCATCATCTCCCGAGAGGGTGTCGCTGCTGTGCCTGGATTTAAGCTCTGCGCGGCACGCACCTGACGAGCCACGCCTGGATACGAGCCATTGGGCCATCGCCACGACCGTCGCTCTCAATCGACACGTCCAGTCGCCGGCTTCAAGCATTTTGCGCGGTCGCGTCGAGATTGTCCTGGCCAAACTAAGGCCGCCGATTTCTTACACCGCCAGCCTTGTCGCGATAATCAGCAGTCGAGTGCCTTGCGATGGCGAACCACCACCCGTCGCCTACGATGATGCAGATGCAACATCAGGCTCCTCCTCCGGGAGGTCCGCCTCAGAATGTCCAGCCTGCTCATTTCAACCCGCCTCACCAGATTGCGGGCTTGAACCAGATCACGGCCATGAACGAGGCTGTGTGGTTGCAGATTGGTATGGCCTCCTTATGTTTGCTAAATTATCTTTGCAGGACTCTTCTGCTAACAGACTGAACAGGAAGCTTCTCTGAATTGCTGCGAGTGTCCGATGAGGCAATGCACGCCTACGAACGAGCCCTCCAGGCCAACCCTAACTCGATCGCCGCAATGAACGCGATCGGAATGCTCCTCAAGGGCCGAGAAGCATTCGACAAGGCTCTTGAATTCTTTCGGGCCATCGTCCAGCTCGACCAGAACAATGGTGAAGCTTGGGGCAATCTCGGTATGTCGCGCCATCTTGGAACAGAAGCCTTCTGAGGTTGATGCTAATTTACGTTTTATAGGCCACTGTTACTTAATGACCGAAAACCTACAAAAAGCGTATGACGCGTATCAGCAGGCTCTCGTTAACCTCCGTGATCCCAAGGTAAGGATCTAATGCAGTAAACCCTGGATATTGCTTTGAACACCGACGTAACCTGCTTTTTGCATAGGATCCCATGCTGTGGTATGGCATTGGCATTTTGTATGACCGGTATGGAAGCTATGATTATGCAGAAGAGGCTTTCTCGCAAGTCATGACAATCCAGCCCGACTTTGAAAAGGCCAACGAGATTTACTTTCGACTGGGTATAATCTACAAACAACAATCGAAATTCAATCAGAGTTTGGATGTGAGATGTCACCTTCATCCTAATACGTATTGCCTGGATAATTTTACTGACGAATCCTTTAGTGCTTTAAATACATTGTTAATTCCCCCCCGGGACCTCTGACCCAGGAGGACATTTGGTTCCAGATTGGACATGTTCATGAACAGCAGAAAGATGTGAGCTACTGCTTGGTTATTCGTTTTTTTTCTTCCCGCGTAATATACTAATATTGTCTCGTAGTTTGACGGTGCCAAGTCTGCGTACCAGCGAGTGCTGGATCAATCGCCCAACCACGCCAAGGTTCTTCAGCAGCTGGGTTGGCTGTACCACCAACAGAGCCCCTCGTATGAATCCCAGGAACGCGGTATTCAATATCTTGAAAAATCCGTCGCAGCAGGTGAGTTTGGATGCTGTCAAACGCTGGTACATCGCCAAAGCCGATGCCTCTGACACATTTCATAGACAACCAAGACGCGCAAAGCTGGTATCTTTTGGGTCGGTGCTACATGTCACAACAAAAGTATCCAAAGGCATACGAAGCCTATCAGCAGGCTGTGTATCGCGATGGGAAGAACCCCACTTTTTGGTGCTCCATTGGTGTCTTGTATTACCAGATCAACCAATACCGAGATGCTTTGGATGCGTACTCGCGGGCTATTCGCCTGAACCCTTACATCTCTGAGGTCTGGTACGATCTCGGCACTCTGGTAAGTTTTCAAGCTCAGGCGACTTTTCTTTTGCATGTATAGCTGATCACTAACTCGACGTGTAGTACGAGTCTTGCAACAACCAGATCGCTGACGCCCTGGATGCCTACCAAAGGGCAGCGGAACTGGATCCAGGTAACCCGCACATCAAAGCTCGCCTCCAGCTTCTTCGTTCCGGTGGCACCAATGGTGGCCCACCCCCTGCTGCTCCTCAACCTGCCGACATGCATCCCTCAACGTATCAGACAGGTCCCACAGGTCCTCCTCAATGGGGAGGATCTACGCAACAACAATCGGGCGGCCCCCCTGCTGCTACTCAAGCGGCTGGCGAGAGCTGGGCCGGCAGGCTTTCCAATGTGAACCCGCCTCCTCAGCCCCCTAACCCTTATGAAAGTCGAAGTGGCGAGCCTTTCCGTGGTGGCCCAGCACCACCTCTGCGACAGCCCAGCCCTCCTCCGCAACAAGAGCTGCCAACACGTCAACCGTATCCCGAGCTCAACAGACCCGGCCCATCACGTCGTGGTCCATCACCGCCGCCGCAAGCTCACCAATTCGCGCAGCCTCTTCCCCCGCCACCACCTCAGTCTCAGTCTCAACCTCCAGCCCCTCCGCCGACTGAGCGACGTGTTGTCAACCCCAACTGGGGTGGTTCAACGCCTTCGGCATCGGCACCTCCTTCCAATAACCCAAATAGCGCCAATCCCCCTCCCAACGGCATGACTACTTTCCGGCCAGCCAGCAGCCCCCGTACTGCTGATGGCCGCCCCCCGGTTCATGATAACCGCATGCCGTCTCCAAAGTCGGCTTATCCTCAGCACCCGGCTCCACCGCACTATCCTCACCATTCAGAGATGCCGCCTCAGAGTGGCCCCGAGAATAATGCACCGCAGCCACCTCCTGCCCCAATTGCTGAACCTCCTACCCAGCGTATGGATGACCGCCCTCCATCTGTTGGGCCAAAGAGACATCGCGAGTGGGAAGACGAACCTGTGGCTAAAAAGCCAGCCAATGAGGAGACCCGTGCACGATTGGAGAACCTAAATCACCGCAGACCTTCGACGCCGCCCCGCGATGCATATCGTCGCAATTCATCTGAAGCTCGCCGAACGGAGGAGCAACGCCGCCCCGAAGAGCCCAGGAGGTCCGACGAGCCACGCCACAAGACGGAGAGCTATCATCCTTCTGAGGCTGCCCATCACACCCAAAACCACAGCGTGAGCTCGAATCACTTGCCACCGATGCAGCCAGGATCGGGCCCCATGACTGGCGTTGTTCATGAAAAGCCTCAGCCACCCGTTGTTCCCAAGGAGGAACCTCGCACGGAACAGGCTCCTCCGGCTCGTCCACCCCCTCCTCCCGCCTCTGAACCTGAGCGCGCGGCTAGGAAGATGGAAGTTGACGAGGATTACGACGATAGCGGAGAGGATGAGAAGAAGGCGGCCGTTCTCACCAATGGCTCTGGGCCTTCAGCGGCGTCTGGGGATCTAAAGGTCCCGCCATCTTCTACGAGCAACGCAAATGCTGCTTCTGGCCCTGCACCTAAAACTGAGTAAGGATATTCCGATGCACGAGTGAAGGAGGGATGGAATTTATGAGTCAGGTCTTACACGAGGCGAATTTTTTTTTACCGTGCATTTTTGTCTTCTTCTTTTCTTACTATATATCTCACTTCCCTCCCCAGTATTAGTACTACTACTTTTAAGTTTCATATGTTTACTGTTGACGGAAGGTTTGGCGGACGGCAGTGGGGACGGATTATCGGTTTTTGGCTAAAAACAAACTGCCGCCGGGGAGCGTTTTCCGTATCATAAGTGTAATGTTTTTCTAAAAAAAAAAAAACTACTTGTCTGTATGTCATACATTACACGTATTCTATGTACCTATAGTAGCGCCTGTATTAACTCTTTAAGATTACAGTTCAGGTGGCATACACGGTGATGAAGTGTTAATAGAGGTAGTATGTCTATTGTGTTACTTAAGACATAGGTAGGTAGGCCACTGAGTTATTGGAAGTGCTAGACTATTCCTACACTGAGAGGTGCCTTGATTTAAGTGGGAAATGCCCAACACTTTAAACGACCCGGTGGCCTATATCTCGAATAACACTATAGACACAATACCTCTACTAACACTTTATCATCATAGGCCACCTGAACTGCTCGCCTCACAGGGGCCCAGATTTGATGTATACGTACCGCCAATGCTTCTGACATCTGAAATTTTTTAGTCACGTGATCCAGTTCGTTTCTTTTTTTGATAGCTTCTCAACTTGATTGGATAGATGCTCCTATCTTCTATAAGAAGCCTAGCGCTATAGTGCACGGGCCACAGTTTTGAACCGCTCATCAGGTCTCGCTTAAAATTTCGCCCACAAATTATTTCTTTGAAAGCCCTCTTTCACTTTTCTGCTCTGTGCAGCTTTGTCGTTTTTTCATACCAACTCATCACCACACCAGCGCCCAAAATGAGTGTATGTAGCCATACCGGTCGATCTCCCAGCCTCTCATGAAGATGTTAACATCAGAATAGCACCGCAAGTACGAGGCTCCCCGTCACGGCTCCCTGGCTTACCTGCCTCGGAAGCGCGCTGCCCGCCACCGCGGAAAGGTCAAGTCGTAAGTCTCGCAGAAAATTTTTCGATATCCTCAATTCAGGTGTTGAAGGGGATGAGAAACCCACGAAGGAGGAGAAGAAAGAACAATGCTAATCAATTGGAAATGCCAGCTTCCCCAAGGATGACGCCAAGAAGCCCGTCCACCTGACTGCCACCATGGGCTACAAGGCCGGTATGACCACGATCGTTCGTGACCTCGACCGACCCGGCGCGAAGGCAAACAAGAAGGAAGTTGTGGAGGCTGTTTCGATCATTGATACCCCCCCTGTACGAACAATGCAGCCCGCTTGGCTATGTGCCTATGGCTAACATCTTTTAGATGATCGTTGTTGGTCTTGTGGGCTACATCGAGACTCCCCGTGGTCTGCGATCCCTCACCACCGTGTGGGCCGAGCACTTGTCCGACGAGGTTAAGCGACGATTCTACAAGAACTGGTACAAGAGCAAGAAGAAGGCTTTCACCAAGTACGCCAAGAAGCACTCCGACAACAGCGGCTCTACCATCACCCGCGAGCTCGAGCGCATCAAGAAGTACTGCACTGTCGTCCGTGTCCTTGCCCACACCCAGATCCGCAAGACTCCCCTCAAGCAGAAGAAGGCCCACCTTATGGAGATCCAGATCAACGGTGGCTCTGTCGCCGAGAAGGTCGACTTCGGCAAGGACCTCTTCGAGAAGCCCGTTTCCATCGACTCCATCTTCGAGCAGGATGAGGTCATTGACGTTATCGCTGTCACCAAGGGTCACGGCTTCAGCGGTGTTACCTCCCGCTGGGGAACCAAGAAGCTCCCCCGTAAGACTCACAAGGGTCTCCGAAAGGTTGCCTGTATCGGTGCCTGGCATCCTTCCCACGTCCAGTGGACTGTTGCCCGTGCTGGTCAGGAGGGTTACCACCACCGTACCTCTGTCAACCACAAGGTTTACAGAATCGGCAAGGGTGACGCTGAGGACAGCGCCTCCACCGAGACCGATGTCACCAAGAAGAAGATCACTCCGTAAGTTTTTGTTTAAACACTTTGACTGGCATTTACAATTGCTAACCCAATCTTTTTCAACAGTCTCGGTGGCTTCGTCCGCTACGGTGAGGTTAACAACGACTTCGTCATGGTCAAGGGCTCTATCCCTGGTACCAAGAAGCGTGTTGTGACCCTCCGTAAGTCCATGTGGACTCACACCTCAAGAAAGGCTCTGGAGAAGATCAGCCTCAAGTGGATCGACACCTCCTCCGAGTTCGGTCACGGTGCTTTCCAGACCCCTGCGGAGAAGAAGCAGTTCCAGGGTACTCTCAAGAAGGATCTCGCCTCCGCATAAGTGCGAGGTATCGATTTGTTTCCTTTTTGAGTTTATTCGTCAGGTCATCATTGCATTTGGTGTCGGATTTGGTTTTGCCTTGGGCTTTTCTGGGGCTGGGTTTGGGCTCCATAATGGGATGAGCATGAAAAGAAAAAAGTTTTTCAGCTAGAAATCTGGAAAAATTTCACTCGAGATTTCCCTATCACGATAATGGAAATCCCACGCATATATATATGCATGCCAAAGTAGCCGCGCCAATACAAAATGTGTGACCAATTATAAATGCGCTTAATGATAATTGCCGTATGATTTACAAGTACTAGGTTGTAATAAAACTTCAACACTTATAACAAACATCAACAGTAAATATTAACAGCAAGTCTGTGCTATCGTTCAAAAACACTGCCTCGGTTACCGTTTTTTGCAGCTATAATCCAGTGATGTAAATTTCTACAGCAATTTTATAGCGTTATACTAGCCCAAGGTAACTCGATAGTGTCCAGAGACAAGATCTGGTATGCTGCGGTTTCAGTTCTGTGGACGGATTCGCCCGCGTTGACGTCACCCACCTCGAGCTGACTGGACCTCGAGCTTTGCGCGTAATATCATTATCGCCTACACATCTTCCTACCACTCCTACCCATGCCATTCATTCAGAAAAGACTCGGCGGCGTCCTTCACCTGTCATTCAAAAGAGGGTTTCATATCGACACACGAGTACCTCAACGCAAACAGTTGGCCAGCCATTCAAACACAAGTGCGCAGCAGCAACACGCCCAAGTCGCCCCGCGAATCTCCATCCCCAGCACACAGCGTCGAGGATTGTCAAATACGCAGCAGCAGCAGCGCAACATGGCGAGCGACGAAGACTACATGGCCTTCCTCAACAAGGCAAACCAGGACGCAGAGGAAGGGCAAGCGGCGGCAGCGTCCTCGGCGCAGAGCGCGGGACAACAGCGGACGTTTAAGACGCAGGATGAGGGGAGCGCGTTGCCTCAGAGCATTGCAGATGTTTTGAAGGATGCGTTTTACGTGAGCGAGGCGGATGAGCCGTTCAAGGGGGTGTCTCTGAAGTGGAAGGGCGAAGGGGGGCTTCCCGATGAAGGTGAGTGCCATTTCCCTTGTCTTTCTTTCATGAACTCTGTCTCTCTGAGCAAGATGAGAGAATAAAAGAAGGAGAAGAGCAGTTGCTAATTGAAACGACGCTGTTTACAGTTGAATTCGCAAAACTGATCCAACACTGGGACGCCGAAAACGCTCAAGTCGACATCATGGACCCTGTCGACTGGGACTCGGACGGACAATACGCAAACATCATTGATGCTGTGAGCGAGGCTACTCGTGGAAACGATGTTAGGGTGTATAGGGTTGCGAGGGATCTGACGAGAGCGGAATATTGGGTGATCTCGCGGGATGATAAAGAGGATAGGATTGTCGGAGTGAAGGCATTGGGGGTTGAGTCGTGAGATGATGTTTCGCGGGTGGACGGGCTTTGATACTAGAGAGAAACAATATGTAATTTTGCATCTTGCTTGGGAATTTATTTCATGATTCTATCGCTTTCAGGCGAATTATACGGATCTGAGTAGCAGCTTATAGCTAGCTCCAGTATCTCATCTTTCAGCTATCTGATGTTTTAGCTTAACTTACCGTGCTTCGAAATTAATTTCGACAAATCTAGGGTAGATTTACACATTATACATGATGAGTTTTGTTGGCTGCGCAGCCAATTCAATAGATAATGAATTAAAAACAATACATTTTGTCGTTTAGTTAATTCTCATTTGGATAATGTGATTAATATTGCGACCGACAGATGATAGGTTTGTTATACTATACAAGTAGAAGATTGTAGGTCTAACTAGAAGCTCGCCCCATGTTTGCTCTACGTGGCAAAATCACATCAGAATCTGGGCGTTTCTCTTTTTCTTATTTCACCCCTTCTCTGTCATTCTGCATAAAATTCCATAGCTACTCTGTTACGTTACCAATTAGGTATGCAGCTGAGAAATGGTACCCTAATCGAAAATAGTACCTTGATTGAAAATGGTAGGAAATCCTTGTTTTTGCTCTACGCCCCGCTTAACGCTGCACCTCATCTTGTAACCTGCAAGCTGGGTCTTATCTCAGGCTGCTGATCAAAGGCACAAGCTCATATGATTGCCACTAATACTACCTAGGTACCGTATTCCGTTTTTTGTGCATCTCCATACACGGATACACGTGGTGGTGAAATCCAACTGGCGCGAATCCGTTGGCCCCCGCGGTCGATCGCTTGCCTTGAATGGGAGCTTTTCCCCCGGACCTGTCTGGGACACGCAAAGCCACCCATGGAGCTGACCATTAGAACGTGCAGCAATGACGTTCGGGCGCGTTCAGTGTCACCCGCCATCCAGGATCGATGCGATTTCGAAAAATTCGATCCCTCGACGTAGTGGATTGCGTGGCTTGTTGGGGTGGGCACTTGGTAACGCTGAAAGCCCTTCCCCCGATTACTGTTTTCGACTAAACAAAACACGGCTGCATCCTGGATGGCTTTTTTTTCATCACCATTTTCCCGAGCAAGTTCGCAATCTTGAAACCTCCTCAAAATGACCTTGAAGAAGAATGGCGGCTCTGACCGACGACCATATGATATCCGGCGCGTGTCGCTCATGCAGCCCAACAAGACCCCGAGCCACGATGCTCTGGCCAGACTCTCTCTGTACGAAGAAGTAAATCGTCAATTTGCGCAAGAATTTCCCCAGACGGCCTGGAATTTGGGCAACAGTTTTCGCCTGCCATGGCTTTTCTCGCCCCCTTCAGAACAACAGGAAGATATGACTACCGCTTCAGCAGATAATGCGACATCTACAGGTATTTCAGCAGTTCATATGCCGGCCCACGACTTCGAGTTTATTACTCCCACAGACTACAGCCATTCCGCCCACAATGATGATGGCGATTTTGATGTCCGATCCGCTACGACGACTCCGACGACGGCACCAATGGCTTCACCTTCAGAGCTCTCGGACATGCCAGATCCATTTGCCACTCTCAGCGCCGACTTTGACCCGCAATGGGATCTCGACACATTAGATTCACTACTCTCCTGGAGCAGCTACCAGGCTCAAGAATCACACGACTGCACACAAGCGATGCAAAACAAGGGCGAATGTGAAGCAAACGAACAAGAACAGTTGGAGGGGTCAGGTCTGATGGTTCCCCCACCCCTCTTCGAGCGCCCTGCAGAGCACAACATGATGCTACCTCGAGAAAGAGAGTCTCGAGGCTCCGAAGACCACGTTATAGCTGAAGAATCTTGTGTAAATAGAAAGAGCATGAATCAGATTATGTTTAATTTGAATCAGTTGGGAAGCCGGCTACGCGACGATGCCCGAAGGCAGCTGGATGCGATAAGCAATGGCTGTGATGCTTGTCCTTTGAGCTTTGGAGAAGGCTGAGCGCCTTTCTGTCTGTGCACTGCGCTGCTTTTATGCTTGTTTATTTCGGGTTTCCTGTTGCGTTTCCTCTCTCTGATATTTGTTATTTATTTAATGTGCAAAGGCACGAGGCCACAAATCTAAAGCAGAGTGAATGAATGGCTGCGTCTATTGATGCATAGCGACGGGCGCTTTCAATGCCCCTCCCGTATATCATCGAGATGATGTCCTACTACTAACTTAAAAACCATCGAGAAGCTACTTTGAAAAATACACCTACTGCTTTGGGGCTAGAAGCACCGAGACTGTACAGTAGTGACATGAAGCCAATTGCTGCTAGAGGCCAACTAACGGGAGCAAAGACTCCGCACGTAGAACAGTGCCAAGTACAGCAAGTGGGGACGAGCGCCAGTCTCTGCCGGCTCGCCCCTAATATTAACGGTTCGCCCCAAACGGTCTCGGCCCTGGAGTCCAGAGTACCTCCAACGCCGTGCCCTGCAGCGCCCTGGAGCGAGTATGAACAACTTGGCTTCGGCTTAGGCTGGCCTTTGTTTGAACCTTGAGCTCCAAAAAGATGAGCGACGGAACGCTCCGTGACTGTGCGTCGATCCACCCCGATAGTGCGCTGCTACTGGAGGTGCTGGGCGGCCACCCGCGGCGAGCTGTTGGCAGCTCTGGACGGCACATGGAGCTTTCGAAGCTGGATGACGGAACGGTATCGGTGGCTGCTGCAGCACGATGGAGTGCTTACAGGGTGCCCTCCAGGGTGCCCTCGGGGGCGCAAATTCTGCCACCAAAGGCCTATAGCGTCGGTGACCTTGCCAAGGCACCTGCTACACATGCACTTTCGCATATTGAGTCCCCCGAGGCCTTGGTGATCGGCGCTCCAGATGGTCTTTTATAATCTCCTTCTGTGACCAGCGATCCGAGCGCCTTGCGGAGGTTGTGGAACGGTGATGGCAGCATCTTCGGACCGAAGCTCGGTGAAGCCCGTCAGGCTGGTGTCCGAGTCTGCCAGAGAGCGGGAGACGTTTGAGTAAGACGCTTCTTTTCTTCTCCTTCTTTTCTCTTCTTCTCTCTTTCTTCTGTGTGTAGCCCGATGGACGTGCCGGCCTCGTGTCGTCCAACCAGCTGTTAACCCGTGCCCCGTGGCAGATACTCCGCGTCTCTACTCAGCTCCATCAGGCTGAACGAGACTGGCCGGCCGATTCCCTCATGCGAGCTCTCGGCAGCCGACGACGTGATCCTGACGGGCCTCGCCCAACTGGGCGCCCTCCAGACCGGCGCCGATAGGTCCCTCATCTCCCTGTTCGACGCCCACCGCCAGTGTATCGTGGCCGAAGCAACGCCCACCCAGCGCCTGTGTCCATCGATCAAGAGTGACGACTGCGAACGCCCCCTCTGGCTATGCGGCACCGCTATTCCTCGCAGTCATGGAGTTTGCGAGCATAGTCTCCTTGGGGACAGACCTCCCGACGCTGCCCATGGGGAATTGGCAAGGGAGCTCCCCCTGACCTTGGCCTACGATCTCGTTGTCGACTCTCGATTCTGTGCCAAACCGTTTTGCCAACCAGGCACACTGGCTCGATTCTATGCTGCCGTCCCGATTCGAACTCGGCGTGGCATCAATATTGGCGTATATTGTGTTATCAACGAAACACCAAATCTCACTTGGAATGATGGCCACTCCCAGCGGTTACGAGATATATCCTGTGCCATCATGGACCATCTCGAGGCGCAGAGGCTAAAGGTCTTGCATAGGCGAGATATACGAATGAACCGAGGCTTGGGGTCATTTATTGAAGGCAAATCATCCATCTTTGACTGGCAACAGTCTACGACAGGTCCTCCTACTGAGGGGGGATTGCAGACACTTGCAAACAGTCCCAGTTTCATGCGGTCGTCCCAGCAACAACATGAGAAACAGCAGCAACAGCAGCAGCAGCAGCAGCAGCAACAGCAGCGAGACGATTTTGGAGATGACCTCGCGACCCAACTATCACCGACGGCTCAATTGCCTGACCCGAACGGTACGACAAACCCGATCGATGCTTTCTCTGAACACGATCAGCGTACATTCTCCGTCGATAGCTCAGAGGCCATGCTATCTGAAGCTAAAGCCATGGCTGCTTTGACAGAGGATGAAAGTTCCGTGCTTATTATATCAAAGGCTGCCAATCTTATCCGAGAGTCAATCGAGGTGGAAGGCTGTCTTGTTTTTGAAGCTCCAATTCAGCCATACTTGTCTCAGACGCACACCAACATTACGAATGACGAAGAATGCCAGACATCTACAGCGAGCAGCAGCGAAGAAGACCTTGAGATGAGACGTCGAAGTAGGACCATGCCGATATCTAGACTCCTCGGCTATTCTACGTCCAGAGCATCGAGCATTGACGAAGACGCTACAAGCCCACCTCGCATAACGCTGACAGAAAGCTTCTTGTCTAAACTTATTCGACGGTACCCTAGGGGTCAAATTTTTAATTTTGGAGCTGATGGGGAGCTGCAATCAGACTCATCGGAAGATGAACAAGCATTTCCTTCATCTCCCGAGTCGACAGCGGAGTACCCGTCGCTGCTTACTTCCGACTCCAGAATCAGTTTACTATCTCTGCAGGATAAATCACAGACGAGATCTTCGGCCAGCCAGCGCGAAGGAGAGGCTCTTCTCAAAGCATTTCCTGGCGCTCGGAGTGTTGGATTCGTTCCCATCTGGGATCCGAGAAAAGATCGATGGTATGCGGGCGGGTTCATCTACACCAAGGACTTGGCCCGAAGCTTTTCCATCGAACAGGAGTTGAGCTACCTGAGGGCTTTTGGAATGCTTGCCATGTCTGAAATCCTGCGGTTCAAGGACTTGCGAGCCGACAAAGCAAAAACCGATGCTCTCGGCTCACTCTCGCACGAACTACGCTCCCCACTACATGGCATCTTGCTCAATTCGGAATTACTAATTGACACTAAGCTCGACATTTTCCAGGGAAATGTTGCCCACACCATTGAGACTTGCTCCCGTACACTTCTTGACACCGTAGACCACCTCCTTGAATATTCTAGGATCAGCCATTTCTCTGGCCGAGACGATAGGGCTCCTAGTTTATCTTCGAACGGTCTCGACTTGGGGCAATTTGGCAAGAAGTCTTTACTGAGAGACTCTCGACTTGATCATATCGTGGAAGAAGTAGTTGAAAGTGTCTTTGCCGGGTTCAACTTCTTACACTTGTCTGTGAAGCAGCTGTCGGACCGACAGAACGGATCAATCAACAGCGACGTGAATGCTAACCACCAGTCGGATTCATTGCAAGCCATAGACCAACTTGAACCTTGGATGACCAACAATGGGGAACTGAAATGGTCTTTCGACGATGTCTTGATAATACTCTCAATGGATGTAAGATGCAACTGGGGTTACATCGTCAATGTTGGAGCTTTCCGTCGAATAGTCATGAATATCTTTGGTAACGCACTGAAGCACACCAGACGCGGCACGATCACGGTATCACTTACGCAGGAATTGATCCGTACCAGAAGCCGGAAGAAGGAACGTGTTGTTCGGTTTACAGTACAAGATACCGGTAAAGGTATCACGGCCGACTTTCTCAAACACGGGATCTTTCGCCCCTTTTCTCAGGAAGACCCCTTGTCGCCAGGCGCTGGGCTAGGGCTCAGCCTTGTCAAGCAGATTACCACTAATCTACAAGGTGACATCTCGATTCAAAGTGAAGTTGGCGTTGGAACAATAGCCTCTGTCACACTCCCGCTGCAGCAATTGCCACTGTCTTTAGGCACGGCTCCTATAATATCCGAGGAAGATAAAGTTTTCAAAGAACAAGTCGAAGACCTCAAAGGGCTGCGAGTGAGGCTTCTGATGACGAATTCCGAATGGCGAAAGGCCGTGGTCGACATCTGTTGCGAGTGGCTGCACATGGATATAATTCCCAATACGCCCGATACAACTGTGACACCGGATCTTGTGATGTGGTCTTACATGGACTTGAAGCCAGTACAGGAAGACTTACAAACGTTTTCCAAGACGCCTAATGTCGTCGTGTGCTCGAATGCATTGGTGGCCTATCGCCAGTCACATGCGTTTAAGAAGGCTGCCTCTGCTGCTGTCTTTGAATTTATATCACAACCGTGAGTTTGTCAATTTTTTTTCTCTCTCCAAACGTTACAAAACTTTCTCTTGCTAATATATTGCAATCAATAGGACTGGACCGCGTAAACTTGCCAGAACACTACATTCGGCGTACATGCGATGGATGGCCAATTCCAATTCACCAGCAGCGGCCACTTCAGCACCAATGGTAGCCAAGCGACCAAAGGGACCCAAAAGAATGCCAAGTTCATTCTCTGCCAACAATGTTAGCAGGCCTTCCCTAAGTCGATCAGCTAGTACAGTATCTCGAGTCGACAGACCAGCATGGACGAACAGCGCCAATTCGTCAGCACCACCCAGCGCAACGGTCGAAATACCTGCAGTGTCTACTAGTGAGCCTACGACACCACCGATCAAAATCCTGCTCGTTGATGACAATTTCATCAATTTGAAAGTATTGTCTACTTATATAACGAGGCGTAACATTGGATTTGACGCCGCAAAGAACGGCCAGGAAGCAGTGGATCTCTTTCTTTCGAGTTCTGACACACCATATGCCTGCATCTTAATGGACATATCTATGCCTATTATGGATGGGTTTGAGGCCACGAGACACATTAGAGCTCACGAAACCCAGAAGGGATTAACGCCAGTGCCAATTATTGCACTCTCAGGCTTGACAACAGAAGACGCCCAGCAGGAGGCGTTTGGTAGCGGAATGGACATGTTCTTAACCAAGCCTGTGAAGCTTGGGGACTTGGGGCGGCTACTTGAATCTCAAGGAATAATCCACGCTGGGTGAAGCAAAAGCTGGGGTATACAAAATCTCGACTAATACGTTCTACTTGGAAAGGCCTACAAAGGACGAAACAGAGCACATTGTACCGACATTCCATGTTGAGAGAGAGAGAGAGAGAGAGAGAGAGAGAGAGAGAGAGAAGATGATTATCCCACCTAATCTGATGGAATTGCTGCGCCAGATTTAACGTTACACTACAAGACTAGCAGGTATATGCTTTGGCTATTTTTGTTTTATTTTTGGGATCGCTGCCTAGGCAGGAGAATGAAACCAACAACAAAAAACAGGTCTGGATTACGCAGAGCGACAGCTACTGCGGTCGGAAAAGGGCCATGAATAGTAATCTGACTAAGATGCCGGACGTGACGACAAGGCATGAAAGAATATTTATAGGGCTGCGTGAAACGAGCTGGCCAGATGGGGAAGAAGACTAGTATGGGGCAAGGCGAGTACGATGCGGTGAGGCTATATCAACGATCAAGAGGGCCGCTGAAGAGCTTGCCTAGGAGGATTACACATACAGAGCCCGTCCAAGGTTGATGAGCCTGAGGGATGTTGCTGCGGTCGACAAAGATGGTCTATATTCAGGCAGAGAGACGTTTTGCTAGGTCGTGTTGAGACCCCCTTGGTATTATGGCTGGAGAGTTCTCCAGGGGCTCTGGAAGCCGGACTCCGAAAATCGCGGGGATCGGGAAATATCATTGAAGAAGCTCGTTATTTATTGCCATGTACATGTGAATGGCAGCTATTCTTGTAATAGTAGTAGTAGCGATAGTTGGATTTGGAAGAAGTGAAAATAAAGGGGTTAGCCTGCGTGCAGGTGAGAAAATAGCGTGAAGAGGGTCGAGCTCTTCGCCCACCGCTCGTTCAAGAGAAATGTTCTCCAGGCTTGTTTTTCCTTGTAGACTCGGACCGTATTACTCCACAGAATGAAATTGCTTTGTGCCCTCCGCCCTCTGTCACTCACCATAAATAGAAATACTAGTAGCTATTGCTTGGCTCCAGCGCTACTCTTGGGTTGAGAAAGAAATGGGTGAGGCTTCTTGCCTAACATGTACATACATACAGTAATTCGAAGATGAAGCACTTGGAAAGCAAGCATTGATCAGTAAGTAGCCTTTCTGGGGCATCTGCTGACAGCGAGGCAGGGTTCTCACGGCGCTCTTTGATGTGCTTTTTTTATACTTGGCCTGGTATTAGTAGACGTTGGGAATGTGTCATCATTTGGTCTGTGCCAGAAGGCTATTTTCTTTGTTTCCTTCTTGATTGAGATAGTAGTAGTAATCTGGGTACTGGGTAGGTAAGGTATTTAAGATTATTTTCATCAAAGGAAGACTAAATATAGGTGGGCTTATTGTGCGGTTTGGGGCTCAGATCTGCCATGTGGCCGTGCTGACTCTCTCTCCCGGTGCACAATGTTGATCAGTGGCACTACCTGCCTACTTCATGTTGCATATGCAGCATCTGTGCCTGAATATCTGCTTTCGCACGTATCTGGTTATGGGTCGAGATATTGTAGATCGTCGAAGGAAGTGCATGTCTGTATCATTTTAGGGGGTTTTTTGGTCTTTTCTGTAGATGGCGATCTTATATGCGGCAGTGCTTAGACGGAGGTTGGGAGGTTGGGTTACAGAAAGTATGTGCAGCTTACTTGATCTAATCATTGGGTTTTGTTTTGTTATTAAAATATCTGTACGTTATGGGAGCTTAGTATATTTAAAGATCTGATTTGTACAAGAGTAATATAGAGTGAAGAGCCATGAACTCAAATAAGAAAGGATGGCTATTCTGCTCTCAAATGACATCATATTAGTTGAGCCTAGAAACACCATGAATGTCATCAACTAACCTGATGGGTTCTTACCTGACTTGCCTTCTTAATATGGAGCAAAGTCTCTCGAGCATAGCATGCAAGATGGGCTCACATATGGAGTCATGACATTCCTATTCGACTCTCCACACCAGGGTTCTTACCACGTAGTATGGTATACCGTAAGAGATGAGTGTCATCAGCGAGATGTTGCTATTTATGTCTTGAAACGGGTTTTTGTGACCCTGGTATGATTCTAGCTCAAGTGCCGCGTAGTAGCAGTACGTAGTCTAGTATATTCTTATTTTGGCCTACGAGTCAGTGAGTGGCTTATGATAATGAGACGCGTGCGTTCTTTTTCTTCTGGAATCTTTGACAGGGTCACATCCCGGCGCAATCTGCCCAGATTTGAAGAGGATACTACTACTACCAACGAAGCATTTTTGTGGAGGATTTTCTCCGGGGTCTGGAATAAATCTACGGGTACGATAACTGATGGCTTACATGTTAGATGTAGACGTCTCTGCATGGGCGGTAAAGATGGAGAACTGGTTGCGAGCTGCTTTGATCGCCAACAAAGTAATTGAAGCTGAAATTGAAGAATTAAAATTAAATTCCGTTGAACGTTGTAAAATCTCTGTTCAGCTGCTATATCAAGCCAACAATAGTCTACATGTCATGAGATCCAACAAGCCCAATATCAGGAATTCTTTCATTCGGTGCCGACAAAGTACTTGCGTGCCCGTGCGCATTAATAGAATGACCTGCGCCCCACCAAGCGGAGGTGGTCAACAACTGCAATTGGTGTACCGGCCCGGCTCTTTTTCCGCAATGTATGCCTCGGCGCCCCCACAATAATCACATTTCCAGGGCCAGGGACATGATTGCGTGGAGTTTTAAATTTGCATTCTATATTTAGTTTTTTTTTCTGGTCCCCGCTTGTCACTTTGAGCCTGAGCAACGATACGATGCGGCCTGTTCCGGGGAGGGGCGAGAGGCTCGTGGCAAACACGATGTGGCGAAGATGAAATCTGAAGTCGAAAAAGTCGATTTCGCTGTAAGGACCGCATCTGCAGGTTGTGGAGGGTGGGAAGCAACACCAGTCACCACTGCTACTTATCTTTCACCAGCGACAAGGCAACGGCTTCTCTGGACGCCACATTGTGACAGGCGCTCTGCGATTGCCGACGGCTGCGGTAGCGCCTCGCAAAACGACTTGCTCATTGGCACGGCGGCGTGTGACAGCAGCAAAGGCCGTGCAGCCAGAGGCCGGTTCGCTGCGCTACAGCATCCGAAGCTTAGGCGCGGACCATTGGCTTCAGGGGGTTCGAGGGCTCAGCGCTTACCCGCAGGCTCGAAATAGCAACACGAGCCACTCACGGCCGCCGTCGACCCTCCACCAGGCGTGGCCCTCTCGACGTCTCCGCTTCCCGCGCCTTTGGTCGCCCCTCGCGCCTATCCGGAGGGGAAAAGAGAGAGAGAAAAAACTTGGACTTCATGGGGAGGAGAGGAGAGGAGCTGAACAAAGGCGGTTCCACTTAATGGCGGTGGCGCAAAGGGAAAAAGGAGAAAGGAAAGAAAGGAAGCTGGGCGACAAGTGCGGAGAAGCTGGGCCATGGGAGCGTCGTGGATGATGCAAAACATGCGCGGTTGTTTCGTCGTCACCTGTATATAGCCGCCGAGGATCCCGCCTTGCCTGCTGTTGGACTTTGTTCTGCGGCATTTCTGATTCTTGTACGGGGGGTAGATAAACCTCGTACTCGTAACCTTGTTTTGTGTCTTCTTTGTTGGCTGGCTTTCTCGTCTTATAACGCTGTTCATTAAATTAACCCACAGCGCCGCGCAGCACCGCACAGCACAAAGCTTATATTAACATCCACCAATACGAAGCGCGCAACCACCAAGACTTCTTTCGGATAATTACGACTGGGGCTGCTGATCGATTTCGTGTTGGGCCGATCGCTTGAACGAGAGTGTCTGGATATCGCCTCCTTTAAGCCAAGGACGTCGTCTCTTTCAACGTCGACTTGACTCACCCCACTCCACCTCTTTCATCTCTCGACAACTCGACAACTCGACATCTCATCTATAACTCCCACCTCTCGTCTTGATACTGCATCATTACACACGACATCGAACATCACAACTATCCTCGCCATGGCGTCTCAGCCGCTGCACCAGAGCCCGCCCAAGAGGCCGCGCCTGTCGCTCAAGATCAACACCTCCAGCCCCTCCGTCGCCAGCAGGCCGACAAGAGGCTTCCAAGTCGACCCTACCGACCGCACCGCTTGCAACACCTTGTCCAACGTCTACGCAACTGCCATTGAGAGATCTACGCCAGTCCAAGCAGAGCCCCTCACAGCCATCAACACGCTACAGTGCCTGTCGTTGAAGACACCAGTTGTGTCTCGAGGCCCCAAGCTGACGCTCAAGACTCCCATCAAAACTCCATATGTCGCCGATTTTCCAGCGACACCTACCACGGACACATCAGGCTCGCCGCCGCAGCAGATGGAGATTGCCTTTCCCAGCACCATGACGCCAACACCTCCCATGTCTGCTGGCGCCGTTGACTCCAACGGACCCAAAGCCTTTTCTTTCTCACCCAAGGACCTCTCTTCTAGAGCCAGGGGATATACGGTGGCCTCTCCTTGCTCTCCCGTCGAGCCTCTTCTTTCTAGACGGCACATCATCCCGTTCAATACTGGTGCTCCGGCACCTTATACTCACCCTCACACTCTCCACAGCATCTTGCGAAACTCTCCTCTTCCTCCCAGGACGGCCATCCCCCCTTCACCGAGGCGGCAGTCCTTGAGATTGCAAGAAAGAGCCGCAAAGCGAGTGGGCTACAACAACCCTCTAACCCAGACCATCATCACCAACAAGTACACAAAGTCACACATCGATCTTCTCGTCGAGGAGGCTTCACCTGCCTCGCCGTCATTTTCGCCCATCGGACTCGACAGGGGGATCAACCTGAAGCAGGCATTCTCGCCCAACGAAATCGAAAATGGGGGCCAGACGCCAGGCCCCTTTGAGGACATGCGACGCAAGCTTGCGGCTTTGAGTGGCAGTGCAACATCTTCGCCCTCGACAACGCCCGGCGGCAGCAGCAGCAGCAACGGAGGCATCCGCAAACGCAAGCGCAAGGAGAAAAAACGCCAGTGGGTCTGGACAATTGGCGTGGCCGACGAGGAAGAGGAAGATGACGAACGCGTCGGCGGCGCAATCGCTACTTCGAGGGCTGAGGCATCTGCCTCTGCAAGGGCCAGGGCCAAGATGCCCAGCAGCAGCGGCCACGACGATGAGGCTGTGCCCAGGGCCGCGGTGGAGGTGCCCGATATCCAGATGGTGCCTGACACACCGACGGCAAGCATCGAGAGCAGTGCCGATTCGGCCATTGACATTGACATGTCTGACGCTAGCAGCGTCATTTCGGAAGATTTCCAGGGCTTCTCTGGGCCTTCCCTGGGATATGATCTCGACATGAAGACGCCGACGGAGCCCAGGGCGCAGTGCAATAAGCGGAAACGGGATACGCCCATTCCAGAGCTAGCTGAGGCGCAGGACGCATCCGTAAGCGTGAGCTAGGCTAGCCCATGTTGATGAATATATTTCATCAAAGGGGTTCTTAACAAAAACAAAAAAAGAAAGAAAGAAGAAAAAAATCTTTCATGTATTTATAGCCAAAGTCCTGTTGGAAAATAAGGAGACATGGCAATAGGGTTGATGAAACAAAGGCATCGGGAAGGGAGTTTTTTTTTTTTTTTTTACTATTTCATCCTTCTCTTTTGAAGTAGCATTTTCATTGGGAAAGCAAGCAAAGCAAAGCAAACAAAAATCGGGTTGCATTTTATGAGAAATGAAACTTGTTACGAACTGTAAATTTTGAGATGGGAAACACGAGATTATGGTGATGAGGGGGTGTCATCTTTTAAGGATATTATACCAACTTTTTTTAATTAGTTTCTTGGATATATCAATACTACTGGGCTTTGATCAGCCATACACATCTTTTTCATTCTATTAAATAAAAAAAGAACATCTGTTTCATGTGATGAATAGCCTTTATTTAATAGCCGTAGAAGAGGACATTGCCACGTCCCCATTACATCAGCTAGACTATATTCCATAATGCTCCTTGGGTAGATCTATGTTCAAGATTCTTTTCCCTGTCTTTCCTAATCTCCCCTTTTTCTTTCTCCTCTTTTCATTTTTTTTTTCTTTTTAGATTTTATTTTAGTCTATGCCTTTTTTGTAGATTGCTGCTGGTCATAGTAAATTTCCTCCGCTGAAGTGATGCACTGCATGTTGGCACCTAGCTTGTTAATGGTTTCTTGCCACTCCTCATACTCGTCAGAGTCGAATACAATGCCGCCGCCTAAATCACAAAAATTAGCTTTTCTTGAACAGTTTGTAACATGAATGTAGCTCAAACATACCAGCTTGGAGATACGCCACGCCGTCCTTTGTCATCATGGTCCGCAGAGCGATACAGGTGTCCATTGCGCCCTCAACATCCTCGCCGTTCTCGTCCACTCCTCCGTAACCAAAGTATCCAACCGCACCGGCATATACGCCGCGCTTCTCCTGCTCCAGCTCGGCGATGAGCTCCATTGCGCGAACCTTTGGCGCTCCGGACACGGTGCCGGCCGGGAAGATTGATCGGAAGGCGTCGAATCGGGTCTGGTCTGGGCGCAAGACACCGGAGACTTGGGAGACGAGGTGCTGCACGTGGCTGAACTTTTCCACCACCATGAGGCGGTCGACGCGGACGGTGAATGGGTCCCCGACGCGGTTGACATCGTTGCGGGCGAGATCGACGAGCATGACGTGCTCGGCCCGGTCTTTGAGCGAAGAGCGCAGCTCGTTGGCCAGGCGCTCATCTTCCTCTGGCGTCGGGCCTCTCTTGACCGTTCCGGCGATGGGGTGGGTGATGATTCGGCCAGCTTCTGACTTGACTAGCAGCTCGGGTGATGCGCCGACAATCTCAAAGTCTTGGCAGTCGATATAGAACAGATACGGCGACGGGTTGACGGTTCGCAGGTGTCTGTAGATGTTGAACGGGTGTAGGTTGGTAGGACGAGCGAAACGCTGCGAGGGCACGGCTTGGATGATGTCGCCAATGACGATGTGCTCCTTTAACTTTGTAACGTGAGCCTCGTAGCCTTCGCGGCCAATGTTGGACTTGTACTCTTGGCCCAGCTCGATGGGGCCCTGCTCCGGCAGGGGAATCTCGGGGCTGTTGAGAACGCTGACCAGCTCGTCAATGGTCTTCTTCGCCTCGTCGTATGCTGCTTCCAAGGTCGTCTGTCCATCTACGGGAACCTTGACGTAGCTAATAACCTTGATGACACCGTAAAACCTGTCAAAGGCGACAATCGTATCGTATAACATGAACAAAGACTCGGGGATCTTCAACACATCCTTCATCGGCCGCGCAGTCTTGGGCTCAAAGTATCGCACGCAGTCGTAGCCAACATAGCCGATAGCTCCTCCGGTCAGGGGAGGCAATCTCAGTCCCGGAACATGCGCAACAACATGGCTCGCCAATTCCGCCTCGAGCGCAGGCAACGGGTCCTTCTCTTCGCCGTAGCCAGGACCGGTCGTCAGGATCTTGCGCGGGCCGGCGCCGACGAAGCTGTACCGGCCGACCTGCTCGGTGGCTGCTGATTCGAACAGAAATGAGTATGTGGAGGAGGCGGAGGACGTGGATTTGGCATGCGCCGAGACTTTGAGGTAGGCGGCAGAGGGGGTGATGAGGTCGGAGGTGATTTGGCGATAGACAGGCACGAGCGTCGGCTTCTTTGCGCCGTCCTTGGTGGGCTTGTTCAGGAGGTCCTTGACGGCGTCAAGTGACGGGACGATGCTTCTCTGTAGGCATGGTAAGGAATGATGGCCATACTAGCACATGGCAGAGCAGCGAAATGTGGGCAAAAGGAAGGACTTTGACAGCTCTTATATGGGGAGAAGAAAAAAAAGTTGACTGGCTAGCTTACCACATGTGCCATCGCAAGGATGTGAAGAAAAGAGACGAAGAAGAAAAGTTTAGAGGGTTATCTATGGGAGGAGAACGCTGTGCCTCAGGCTGAGAATCTCAAAGCGTCCGTGTCCGAGTATCTGCATATGTGGAGGACGAGTCTGCAATTACGCAATGGCCAGATATAAGAGCCGAGAATCTTGGAGTTGTGACTCGAACGCATGCGACCCCACCAACTCGAGTTCTGGACTTTTAGTGATGGAGGGGCAAGCAGCGTGGCCGGCACCGGCGATCTTGGTGAGGACTCTAGCGGCTGTCAGCGGTGCTACAGCGCCCGTTTAGCGGCGGAGGAGCACTGAAGCCAGCTATGAAGGCGCCGCTGGTGGCCTCTGATTGGCGCAGAACCCTGGCATAGGTGCGTCTGGTGGGCCAATTCACGGCAATTCACCAAATGGCGTTGACAAATGTGCGCCTCTGCATTGTTCTACAACATGTCAATATAGCCAACAGCCCTGGTTGCAGCACCAATAAGGCGCCGTTCCAGCCCTCAGCCGGCCGTGGGTCGCGAGCCAACATCTCAGGGAAGATGCCGCGGGAAACATGGACGGCAAGGTGGTGAAAAGGCCGCCAAAACGCAAAGAAGACCGAATCATTCTGCAGTTTGTCCGTCTCGCCGTCTCAACGCCCGTCGTGATGCGAGATGTTTTACTCATTACCAATACGATGTACTAAACAAACGCACAGGACTACGACTGCTTCTACGCTCAAGTATTTGAGAACAAAAACCCGGCTCTGAGGTCAAAGCCGCTCGGCATTAAGCAGAAGAACATTTTGGCCACCTGCAACTACAATGCGCGCCGCCGCAATGTCAAGAAGCTGATGCTCATCTCGGAGGCAAAGAAGATTTGTCCCGATCTCGTTCTTGTAGACGGCGAGGACTTGACGCCGTTTCGCGATGTGAGCAAGACTTTGTTCAATTTCCTGAGATCTCACTCCTGGAATGGCAAAGCGGAACGGCTGGGCTTTGATGAAGTCTTTTTAGGTGCGTCCAAGATCAATGGATTTACCATGGGTACTTGCTAACACGCTCCGTAGATGTGACTGACATTATCGACTACAACATGTCGTGTCTCAACCGAACTTCAATGGCCGAGTCGTTCTTCTATCTATCCAGCAAGGACCCTGAGTTGGGCTTTCCGTGCGACTTGACCTCCATTGCAGGCTGTGTTGTTGGTGCCACTGTCGAGGACGTGGATTTGGAGAGCCCTACATATTTGAGGCACCTCTTGGGCTCCCACTTTGCCCAATACCTGCGACTAAGGCTGGAGCAAGACTTTGGTTACACATCGACTTGTGGCATCTCTACAAATAAACTTCTGAGCAAACTTGTCGGCAGCAAGAACAAGCCGAGGAATCAGACAACGCTGCTTGCTTTGACCGATGACGATATCGTGAGCTTTGTGGATGGGCACAAGCTTCGCAATATTGCAGGAATGGGCTCCAAAATCACACACGTGCTTGAGTCACACATTATGACCAAGGAGCTTGAAGACACTGGGCCCTTTGATTCTCACGTAACGGCACGAGAAGCTCGTCTCCATCCAACCATATCCCCGTCCTTCCTTGAGGTACTTCTGGGTGGCCCTGGCGCGGAAAGAGGCATTGGGTCTCGAGTTTGGGGCTTTCTTCATGGCGTGGATCCTACAGAAGTCAAGGAAGCAAACGACGTCCCTTCCCAAATCAGTATCGAAGACACCTACGGCGGTCTTCAAACGATACCCCGAATTACTGAAGAGCTTCATAAGCTGTCGTGTTCTCTAATCCGGAGAATGAGAGTAGATCTTACGATCCTAGACCACGGCTCAGACATACCAGGCGGTCAAAAGTGGATTGCAAGACCAAGGACCCTCCGACTCTCAACTCGATCTTGGCCGAAGTCGGATGCCTCCCAAACTCGAGACTTCAGTCGTGTGTCTCGGTCAGGACCGCTACCGAGTTTTCTATTTGACCTAAAAGCTGACATTGATGAGCTTGCTCAGCAACTAGTCGCAGAAGCGTTATTGCCACTACTCCGCCGCTTACAGAGTGAAAAGGGTCAGACGTGGAATTTGCAGCTAATTAACATTTGCGCGGCAAACATGGTTGCCGGAGCTACTGATGACAAGACGGGAGCGGGACGAGACATTGCAGTCATGTTCAAGAAGCAGGACGAAGTACTTGCTCCATGGAGGATTGCGTCCAACGCGACTGGCGAAGATGAGAAACTCGCAAAAGACGAAATGGAGGACGATATATCTGAAGATTTGGATTCTGACATATCTTGGGAGGCCTCGGATAGCTCCATATGCGTTACCTGCGGCCACTCTATACCATCGTTTGCGCTGCCCGCTCATGTAAGGTATCACGAGTTGGGCGAATGAGTTTATCTCGTCTTGCTGCCAGTCTCATTAAGAGAAGTGACTTTCGACATTATCGGTCCACGCCTTAATATTTGCACTGGGTGCTTCGCAAGCAGCAGTTGGCTTTTCTGTATCACGTTTCTGTACGACGATAAGACGCGGAGCCGGAGCCCGCTGCCCAGTGGTATGCTTTTGTACTCTGTGCGTCTTCCGGGGGGCACAGGTTGATTGCGATTTCTGCGCAACACGCGCATCAAAGGATAACTTTGTGAATAAGGCGGCTTGAGCTATGTTGTACCAGCAAATATGCGACTCCTTTGTGGAATATAGAGGAAGCCAATAGGAGGATCATTATTCAAGAGACAGGATTGATTGTGACTTGTTTGTCTGCACGACCAAGAAAGAGAAGGGAGAAGGGAGAAATAGGAGAGATGCGTAGTAGTATATAATCAGCTTATTTAAACGTAGCGACAGTAATTCAGAGTGGCGCCATCGACCAAGCTTTATAGACTCATAATATAAGGCTGTATCGGTAGCCAAGGCCGTAATCCAGCAAACAAACTGAAGTAAACCGGGATAAGAGCCGCCTCAGCCATGTTTGTGGGTGGACATGCAGCTTGTTCGTGCTACAACCGTGTATCACAACTCGACGCTCCGTTGTCAAGCTAATTTATGGCGGCCATGTCATCACCTTGCCACGCCCGGCTCAGAGGATATTTGTAGACAAAGTCATGGCCATGCAAGTTCGAAACAATACATTGTCAAGGACAGCTGGGATCGTGAATCGGTGCTTTGCCTGGCAAACAGTATTTTTTGGAGGTAATGAAGCTCCGTCAAAGATGCTGTACATAGCCGTATGAAATAAAGCAGAAAAGGACAGAGTAATAGCTTGTTTGTCCCGCTGTCCATTGCACGTCTTGCCGTCGTCTCTGTGCTGGGGATGCATCCGCGCTTTTTATAGCTCTACTTTGGCACGCCGCTGGGGATACTCTAGCCATCAGAGCTTCCAACTTCTTAAAAATATTAGGATTTCCTTGTCCCTCATTGAATATGCCACTTGTTGCCTGCCTTTCTTTGCCCATCTATCTGCTCACCGCATCGCCAACCCGTGGTTATCTCCATCTTCTATCAGGCAATTTACAAACGAACTGGACTCAGGAGACGGCTTCCAACATGCAATGGACGGCACGGCTCACACCGCCGTTGCAACTTCAGTTTTGGCGTTTGTGGGAGCACCGAGTGCCGCCTTTCTATCGCTGAGGCCTTGTGACGTTTCTTTTGTCCTCCATTTCCAACTGTGTCTGTCTGTTGATGTTTCAATGGAGACTGTCTTCTCCCTCTCCTGCTGCATCACTGCTTGGTGCACCTACCGCGGGAAGTAGTCAAGTTTCTTTTATCGTGCAATTTTTTTTTCTCGCCCTTGGTGTGACAATATTCTCCGTGAATCCTCTTCAACGTGCGTGATGAAGTGACGTTTGCTTTTGTTTGCCCCCAAGTTTCCATTCTAGATCCCCGTTTCTGTGTTTATTTGCCGGCCAGATATCTTATATCCCATATGCCTGCCTGTTTTCCAGCCTTTTGTATCACAACGCCCAGCAAAAGAAAGGGAAATGCTCTGTTTTCGTTTACACCCTTCTCTTGCGCCTGCCTCCTCCACGATTCTTTCCCTTCCGTGTTTTTTTTTTTTTCATCTCTTCTCTGTTCCTTCCATGTACGGTTTGCACGCATCATTTACTCCTGCCATTGGCTTTGGGGTCGGAAACTGGCAGCCACCTGGCAGCCAGCCAGTCCCAAATTCACCCACGCGCCTTCCTCTTCTCTTCGCTTCTTTTCAGCTTCTGCTTGCCTCACTCTTTGTTCAGATTCTCTTTCCCTTTCGCTTCCCTCCTCCACATTGGTTCTTTGTTTTTATTTCTACATATACCAGGTAGGCTTTTGCCTTTCTTCATCACAACATCAACGAGAGTGAGATGCGCCTGTTCTTTCTCCATCTCCCTTTACGGCTTCAAATCATCTGGCCAGGCTTAGCCAATTCCTCAGTCTCTTCTTTTCATTCCTAGAGAGACTTTCCGTCTGATTACTTCCATCAGCTGCTGGCCGAAATAGTTGGCACCCATTATTCAACTCCTCAAGAATTCACTTATCCGTGACCAGCCTCTCGCCTACCGAATCTTCACCACTTACAGAGCGGATCTCTGAAGTGGCTGCTTCTTCAAGTTCGCCGATTCACCAAGTCATCAGGCCTTTTAGAAATTAGAAGCTGTTTCTCATTGCATCTCGCCTGGCTTCCCTCATCTTGAAACGATTGAGCGTCAGAAACCAGAAACCGCCCGTCATGGCTCGAGGACGTGGAGGTAGCACTCATGGCCAACGCCGGCCAGTCGACTTGACTGGCATTCTATCAATAGCCGAGAAGAATGACTTGGTAACTCTAGTCAATGCCATTACGGAGAGAATGGCTAGAGATATTAGCAATATCTTTGACTCCCCTCCAGTTGCTCCACTCCAAAGCGACCATGATCACCACCACCACCACTGGCTTCTGCTTTCCCTACATCATCAAAAACAGCACAAACCAACCTCCCATTCACTTATGGGTATAAAACGAATTGGTTCCTCAAAGCCATTTGATAAGACACACGATATCATCGAGAAAGAGGAGAAAGAAGCCATGACGCCGCAGCTGCGTGAGCTAAAGAAGGAGGCTTTGATCTTTTTTCGCAAATGGCAGACTATAGTCTTGCAGCGTGTTCGAGATATTGCCGTCAGTGATCAACCAGGCCCTCAGCTAAGCATTCGTGGTCGTGGGCGTGGAATTAGAGGAATGCCTCGAGGGCGAGGTGTAGGTGGTCGTGGCGGCGGCATGATGCGCAGCCCCCTGACTCTGGCAACAGGTTTGATGAGCCTTCTTCCACGCATCTCTGTTTCTAGGTGGCGGTATACTAATTATTACTTAGGACCACCGCGAGCACCGTCCAATTATGTGGACCGTAGCCTAGCTACTCAGTTTCCCCCGGTTCCCAACGCTCTATGGACTCTGGATATGGAGAAGCGTAGGCTATTGCTGCATGTTGTGTTTCTCGTTCTGCTATCGATGCAAGAGTACACAGCAAATGCAAGACACCTCATACAGAGCCTTGCAACTTCTTTGAACCTCCCACCTTGGGTATACCGAGAAGAAGAACTACGCCTTGCTCGCGGGCTAGCTAGGACAGCTCTTAACCTCTCTGAAGAAGATGCGATTGCACTGAAGAGTGAGGAGACGAAGACATCTCGACGCTGGAAGCTTGGGTTGGGAAACAATTCGGGAAAACTTGCTGCTCCTCTTGCTGCAGTTGGTATCGGTGCGGCCCACGGTGGTCATGGACTCACTCAGTTTACAGCGGCAGGGCTATTGGGAATAATGGCCGATAATGCACTCGCAATAGGCAGCCTCTTCGGCATCAATACTTTAAAGCCGTTGGGCAAGATGATGGAAACTTTCGCTCGAGAAGTTACCGACTTCGCATTCATTCCCATTCATAGCACGGATGCGTCTGAGTACCGCGACCCCCGAGTTATTCCAGCGGAACATCGAAGACTTTGCCTTACCATCACTATAGGCGGATATGTCGTTGGGGATGAAGATATCACAAAAACTTGGCAAAGTCTAGGTCGCTATACCGAAACTTTTGTTACGCGGTGGGAAACTGCAGCCCTCACAAGCCTTGGCGGCTCCCTTGACACTGTTATAAAGAGCAGTTCTTGGAGCAGTGCCCAGGCAGAGATTAAAGCTCGCACAAGTAAGCATATGCTTTCCAGACTTGTCATATCCTATACGGTGATACTAATTGCATTCTTCCAGTTTTCTCAAGCCTTGTGGACGCTACCTGGCCCATTTCACTTCTCAAAGTCAGCAAGATTTTGGACAATCCTTGGAATGTTGCGATAGTCAGAGCAGAGAAGGCAGGGGCTGTATTTGCTGATGCCATTTTGCGACAAAAATTTCATGGAGACAGGCCAGTCTCGTTGATTGGATACGGCCTTGGGGCCCGTGCCATCTATACATGCCTCATGGTATTAGCAGAGCGCCGACAGTTTGGAGTCATCGACTCAGTTGTCATGATGGGCTCCCCAGCACCGTCGGAGAGTCGCGTATGGCTGACGCTCAAGAGTGTTGTATGTGGCCGCTTGGTCAACGTCTATTCAGAACACGACTACATGCTCGGATTTCTATATCGAACTGCCAATATTCAGTTCGGTGTCGCTGGTTTGCAGGAAATCCAGGGAGCAGATGGAGTCGAAAACTACAGAATGAAGAGCCTTCCTCGCGGCCATCTGACCTATCAAAGCCAGGTGAGTCAGATTTTGAAGAATATTGGCTGGGAGGATGCCACCGCAGATGCTGCCAACGTGGGCAAGTAAAACTTATCGGATTGTGTACCCTCATTGCTTGTTCAGCCCTTATTTCCCCCCGGTTTGTCCAGCGGCTCGTGCCGACAGATTGTGTTTCGTAGTTGGAGGTGACTTATTCGATTTTCAACACTGAGCTTTGTTTTTTGTTGCTGTTCTCAGATGCCTTGAACAGCACTCTGACCGAACTGTTATTGTATCTATTTAGCTATCATGCACCAGCAATTTTTGCTATTGTTTATAAATGGGCTGGTCTCTCCCGAGGTCATAGGTGGTGGGGAGACAGCAAATGGAGAAGAAAACACAAATTCATGTATGAAATTAAGAAAACGAAGAATCGAAATAGTCCAATTAACAAAGAGCTGCCCTGCCAAAAATGTGTTCTAAAAAAGCAAAAAAGAAAAAACCAAGCTTCCCACGCCATTTAGGTCAACCAGTCAACCAACGATTTGGTTATATGCCGTCGTATGCCTCCCTCCTCACCCGGAATGAATCCATGCATGCCAGTGTCTTTTTTTGTTAACAATAAAATTATCTTTGACCCATCCGCGAGTATGTTTGCGATTTCGACAATAGATTACATCGATGCGTAGTGATTTTATTATACATTTGAATTTTACCCCTTCTTCATCTTCTTCACCTTTTTTTTGTCTCTGAATGCCAAGTTTTGTCATCTGCAAAGGAAAAAAAAAAGCCCCTTATTGAGGTGTGCCGCCTAGCATATTCGGAACTTGCTTCCGAGCAACTCCCTTGGGGCCACGAGGCTCGATGCGAGGAACTCCCTGGATAGCGCGGGGCTCACGCATGAGCGACCTGTCCAGACGAGCCGGCATGCGAGTCACAATGGTGTGGTACTCGCCGGGGAAGTTGCCCTTTGGTAGAGGCACCGAGGCTGTGCGCCAGATGTGCTCTGAAGTATCGCCAAGATAAGGGGGGATCTTGGCGCCGCTGCTAGATCCGCCAGTGTTGCTGCGGCCTGAAGGTGAGAGGCCCCATGAGTTGGTACCACCGCCGCCACGGAGAGTGGACAGACGGGACAAGCTGGAAGGCAGGCCAGTGCGGCCACGACCTTTCTTGGCCATGATGATCTCGTCAAAGAGTCGGATATCGGGGTCAGAGGTAAGTTTCATTTCTCTTTCATGGACGAATTCGTTGAATGCTAATAAGAAAAGGGGATATTAGTTCAAGTGTCAAACAGAAGAGAAAGGAAGAATCATTAAATGCAGAGCTTACCTTGTGTCTCCCGCATCATTGTGACATATTCTTGTTGATCGTAAGGGAGACTCTTGATGAATCCATCCATGTCAAAGGAATACAGCTGGCCACTGTTCTTGTGCTGCTTTGACGGCTTGCCCAGATATTTGCGGTACGTGTACAGCAAACTGGCGAGGCATCGTACAAACGCTGCCCGGACCCGGTCACCATGGAAAGCGTCAGTACAAACCAGGGATACGAAGCCCAGGCACCGGCCGTGGGCCACAGTCTTGCACGCTCCACACTTGTAAAACCCATCACCTTCGGATCTTTCTTCGCAGATTGTGCACACAGAAGCTGTGTCTTTAGGGTTCCAGTTGAAGCAATGCCCCTCTACCCAGACTGTTGTATCAGTGTTACTAACTGGCTGAACCTGCATGCTTGGCATAATAGTCGAGGCCGCTAGAGTGGAAGCCGCATATGTCGAAGGAGCATAGCCCCCTCCAAAAGAAGATCCAGAATCCAGCGTTGAGATGGATAGGTTTGCCTGGTGACCATTCAAGAATGGAAGACTGGGTCGATGGACGGGCTGAGCCTTGTCGACGCCAAAGGACGAGCTTCGTCGACCCTTGTCTTCTCCAAAATGCCCCGATCGCTTCTCCCTGAGTGTTGCGGTCAGGGCAAATCCTGAGTCGCTACGTGAGACCGGAGTGGACGGCATGGGAGGAAATTTCATCGAGACCGGAGATACGGAAGATTGAGGGCTGGTTGAACTTGACTTGCTGGTTCCTGGCCGATCAGGTTTGCCATTGTCCACCGAGGACAGCGAAAACCCGTTAAAGGCCGGAGGCAGCAGATCATTAGGGGGGTCAGGGTCCGCAAAGCTGGACGAGTTTTGAGACACCCATTTGCCGAGAGTCGCGGGGGGAGCGACGCTAGTGAATAGAGATGCATTCTCCGATGAGAAAGAATCATACGGGAAGGCCTCCATTGCGTAGGGAGGAGGTCCGGTCGTGACGCCATAGCGTAGCTTGTGAGGAGCCGCTACCTGCAGCAATGACATCAACTTTCGGCGATGCTGTCGCGGCAAGCGGTTGGGCTGCGACGTGGCATCAATGGTGTCCTTGTCAAGATCGACCAGGACGTAGTCATCTTCAGGAAGATCGATTCGCTCGTAGCGGCGCTCAACACCGACAATGTACGGGCAAGGCGCGTCAAGAGCAGAGATCAACCTGGCAGGTAAGATGGGGATAAAAATGCTTGCCCATTTCAGAGGGTACAAGAGACTTGCAATAGCATGGCAAGCCAAGTGCAGCATGCTGGTGTGTGAGGAGAGGAAGATGATGCGAGATTCAGACATGGCGTATTCAAATAGAGCCACTATGTTCTCAAGAGAGAGACATCTAAACAAGGCGTATATGTCAATGGTCCGAGAGCCGGGAAGCTCATTCGCTGCTTCTTTACGAGCATAAAGCCGCAGCTCCCGTACACCAATCTCAACCTGAGTCTTGGAGCCCAGGGGGCTAAAGGCTTCTGTGCATAGATTGACGACGTACTGCTCCAAAGGCTGCCATCGGCCTACTTTGGGAGAACTTGGGGGGATCCTGAGCACGGCACCATCGGTCATGGGAACGACAATTGCCTTGAGCCATTCTTTCCAGAACGCCATGTTTGCGGGGTCTCGTCCCAGGATACCATAAGCACGCGGAGCCCAAAGTCCACTCTCGCCAGTGGTAAGACCCTCAATTCTAGAAGCTGCACCGTGTCTCAACGGTCTAAGCATATCCGTCATGAGGCTGATCTTTTCCTCAACAGTTCCAATCTGATCCTCAAGCCTGTCCCGAGCAGGGGTGCCCGAGGGAATTGTCCCAAGCTTGGATAAGAGCTGCGACAAATGCGATCGCTCGCTGGCTAAACGCACTCCCAAGCTCGCTGCGAGCTCCCGCTCTTCATTGGACATGTGGCTCTGTCGCCAATCCTCACATTTACGCTCAACAGCCTCTGCTACATCGGCAGGCAGCGCTGTCCACACAATGAGTGTGATTCCATAGAGCTTAGAGTTATCATCAGACGTCATGGTGAATCCGTGCCACGTCGTTCGCGGCCGGTCATCAGACGAGACGATTTGAACGTCGTTGGGGAAAGCAAACATGGGCACGTAGTCGGGGAACTTGCCTCGTCGAGCAACTTCGTCGATGGCAGTCTTGGGGGGGTACCGATCGAGAAGCATAGGCTCAAATCGTCTCTTGAGAGGATGCATGTCGGGATCGGTGTTGAGAGGTTCGGGAGGAGGGATGACAGAGTTGTAGTTGCTCAGTCGTCTTGTGGTGCGTATTGAAGCTGGTGTGAGGACAGGTTAGATGAACGTCGAGCTTATTGCAATACAAGGGGAAAGAGACGAGGGATCACACTCACGAGCTCTCTGTGACATGGGCCTGGCAACACTGGGCTGCTTCCGCAGACTGTTCATGTCTCTAAAGCTGATCTTGCGGCGGATGCTGCCCTTGATGCTCTTCAGGGGGCTGACTCTTCCGCTGGGGTCGGCGTCATCGGCTCGAATGCGTTCGGCTCGAGGGTTCACCATGGGCTGGCGCGCCTGGGTCTTGGCTCCAGCACTGAAAGAAAGGTCTTCCAGAAAGTTTTCTCGCTCGGCAGCAAACTTCAGAAGAGCCTTGTCGAAATCAAAGTCCCCCATAAGGCCAAGGAACTCGCCCATCGAGCCACCCGGGAATAGGCCGTCGCCATTAAGGACGCCATTGCCATTAGCAGCGGCCGGCTTGGCCTTGATTGTGGCGCTGCTCCTGTTGCTTCTTGTGTTGCCGTCATCCTCCTCGATGGTATCGACAGAATTTCGGCCGTCCAGAGAAAGCCTAGAGAAACGACTGGCAGAGTTCTGGCGAGAATGGCGAGCAGCCTTTGGCTTGGTATGATTGCTAGCAGCATCTTCTTCCTCTTCAGGCTCTCCGTCTTCGGCAATGGTAGTCGTCTCGACGGAGTGGCTTACAGACGGCAAGGACTCATCGTAAACCACCGCCTCTATGCCGGCGATCCAGAAGTATTCCGCCAGGGGAGGTGATGAGCCCTCCATGTCATATCAGTGATTCGAACTCTCAGCGTAGATGCGGCGATTGGTGCTTCAACAGCAGCAGCGATGTGCAATGGTAGCCCCTCAGCGGGTTGCACCAGTCTTATGGCAACTATTGATTATATTCGCCCGCTGTGCTAACGTTCAAGTGTTTCTTATTCTCGTCTCGGCACAAGAGCCTCTAGTCGGTGAACGGCGCGTGGCACGTTGGATGCTGCCACAAAGTTAGTAAGGGCATGCAGGACAGGCCATGGAGCATGTTTGGCTGGTTAGTGGCATCACTGCCGCCGCAACCAAGGAAGGCTGTGAAACAGGCACGCACCAAGACACAAGCAGGGTCCTTTTTCTTCTCCTTGGTCTGCTCAAGGGAGGAAATGCACGAGGAAAAGGGCGTTGGCGGGCTGCAGAGCGTTGTTCGTGGGATTGGACAGGAAAAAAAGGCGTTTGCCGTGGGAGGGGGGTTTGGTGAGCCCCTTTGGCGCGGCAGAGGTCGAGGATTGTTCTCTGGGATGCTCGAGGTCCCGCAGGCGATTCAGACACCGCAACTCAGCACTGGACTGCCAGCTCTGGTCGACGTGGCGGACGGATGCATTCGCGGAGCAAGAAAACGGCCTGCTCGAGCGGTGCTGCGCGATGCAGAGCAGAATGCAGGATGCGAAATGCGAGGAATCGAGGGGATTTCGAAAGGGGAGGAAAAAGGGTCGCGCAGGGCCCCGTCCAGGTAGCACGGAGTGCAGGTACGGGTACAGGTACGGGCACCACAGTGGACTGCTAAGGCCTGCTAAGGCCTGGGGGAATTTTGGGGTGCCAGCCGGTTTGGCACCGATCTGCGCCGGCGCTTGCTGGAGCCAGCCAGCGACAAGCGAAAAAGGGCCTGGTGATTGCAGGTAGCGCTACTTGCGTCTGTGGCCGCGACCCAGTACGGGTACAAAGATGCTCCGTGCAAGCAGGCACGGCTGCAAATGCAGTTGATTCGTATCAAGCCGCAGGTGTCTGGGGCCAATCGAGTGGCAGCAGCATTTGCATGATCGGGCTCTAGCGCTGCATCACTGGCTGTCGCCTTTTTTCAAGCGTCCGGGTACAGGCCTGATTGCAATGCCTGCCTGCAGTACATGCAGTCGCCTGTATCGAAATCGAAATGGATGCCACAGGTACCAGGGTACGCAGTACTCACAGCGCAAAACCTGTAAGGTACCATGTACTCCTTGGCTAGCGTGCAAGTTCGGAAGCAAGCCACCCCGTCGAGCCGTAATAAAGGCTCTAGCCCGGCCGGAACTTGTATTTGCGTGTCGGGCTTTGCCTGAGGGGCCGCGGGCGAGCACATGGGCGGAGCAGTACTCTCTACATCGGCGAGTACTGCCGTGGCACTCGCCTTGTACATGCTGCCCAAGTACTGCGTGTAATGTACAAAAATTACCCAGTGTCAGTATTAGTACTATATCAAGTTGGTGGTGATATTAGGCAGATGTCTGCTCAAGCCTGAGTGCGCCATTGGCCGGCGACTCTCGAGCAGTGATCACGTCCAAGATGGGCGATGTGGACAAGACTAGTTTAGGCCTCTACGGGGCATGCATCCCGCAGCAGTAGAAACAACTGCAGGCTTGGCCCTCTGTTGGCCGTCCAAGAGCTCCATACCGAGGATGCCAGTCGGTGCAGATAGCGCTCCTAGACCTGCAAGTTTGCACAGTCCACGTGTCTGCCAGCCGAATAGACTCCCGTCATCATCGTTCGGAGGCTTAGAAGGTGTGGGAAGAGTTGACAAGAGCCTTTTCGAGCCTAGGCAGTAAGCACTTTACACATGCCAAAGGAAAGGGGAGAAGGTGATTTTGACTTTTCTCCAACGATTACCGTGCAGATCAGGGTACCTGCCGTTGTAGGCATTTGACGGGCAGATCTACAGGTACAGATGCAGTAAGCAGGAACTGACAGTCACTGCCTGAGGTTGGCACATTCGTAGACCTTCCTCTAGACAGCTTTCTTTCGCCTTGTATATCCTACCTTCTCTCTTCAAGATGGACACTCCAAAACGAATCGACCAGCATCTCTTTTCCGCCAGGCAAAACACCAGAATCGTTGCCAGCCCTAAGCTTAAGCCTCACATGCCTTACCAAGGATGCTGGTACTAAGCCGATTAGAGCTACTGCCAAGGTCACAACACGACGCTTCACATGAGGCTAAAAGCGCCAAAAGGAAAGAAAATTCTTCAAACACGACCTTCAAGGGACGTACCGCGAGATGAAACGCAGCAGCATGCATCCATCGGCATGGCGTTTGGCGATCTTGAGCCAACCAAGTGCTAGCAAGGCTGTACGAAGTAGGTACGCGGGCAAACAATTCTACACCCACCCCAGACTACAAAGCTGATCCGAGAGCCAATCTCGAGCTCCATATTCGATGCTCCATGACTTGCATGCTTCATGTATGCACATGTACAAGTACGGAGTAAGCTGCAGCTCAGGAGCTCACTAGCACCAGTACAATCCCGTCTGTCGCTCAGAACACGAGCGATTGCGGCCAGCCACGTCGATGCAACATGCTGTATGCGACAGAGTGCGATGAAGAGAGGCGATCAACAGGCCAGGGAGTGTGCATCATCTAGCCTTCTCTGAGCCAGTCCGGGCTTTTCTAAGCAGAGGTGCCCCTCTGTATAGTTCCCAACAGCCATCCTTGGTGGGAGACCTTGATGACCATCTGCACCAATATCCAGGATTCAGGGATACCCCTGGTCGGTTTAGGGCGGTAGGCGCGCCTCGCGTCAAGTGGCGGGCTCTCTTCATCGGCCTTCTAGCGGCGGCTGATGACTCCTGGGAGTACAAGTACAATGCTGCTACAAGCAGCACTGTATGGAGGTGTTATGATTGATCGATAATGAAAGGAGCTCTCTCACCGCAACTGCATTTCGTCTCAGCATAAGCAGCTTCTACTTATACGCATATGCCAACTCCTTCTTACCTAGCCTCTCAAAACATGCCAATAACGGATCAAGCAGACTCCCCAGATCGGCAAAGAGCTAGATACCCAACGATAATCAGGCACCGGCCGGTGTAACAGACAGCTTCTGTGGCCACCAAGATGCAGGTACCGCCAGGCACGCGAGCGACATGGCGCCCATAGTACATGCTCAAGGCGAAGCACATGCTGCAGGTACTTCATCCTCGAGGCCTCAGTCTTCAAGGCCGTCTCCAGCTAGCCCCTGGACTAGGTTACTTTGGCCCCGGCCAGAAAGCTGGAGCACGGACCCTGAATTTGAAGGGTGCGCAAGTTCGCACTAAGGAGAGCTCAGAGTGCTTCGTATAACTACCTAGCATGGCACAAGATGGTTTTTACTCCATAGCTACCTCTCCGTAATATGTATGGAGCAGGCTGCAGAGCCTTTGAGCAATAGGAGAGAGGGTCCCGTTCTTATTCTCATTGCACTAGCTCAATACTGCTGGACAGCTTTGGGAGTTTTTGTCTTGGCCCTGTTTGCCGTTCAAATACTACCTAATACTCTCCCTTCGACGTATCCCGAAACAGAGCCAGCACTTTGTGACTCTGAAACGAAAAAGACGATAGCAATCCACGGTCTATTTTCAACTCTTTGCCTTATGGTCGCTCCCTTTTGCTTTGTACCTCCTATGGGGACCAGTCCTGCTTACACGAGGAGGCAGTTGGAAGAAAATAGATTCAGCCCGTTTCAGGGCACCCCACATATGATGTATCACGATCTTAGCCACCCACTTAAACCACTCTCTCCCAATTAATCCTTGTTCTGTGATCAACCTGGATCACGAAGTGGTATTAACATATAGAGCTAGACTGCAGCCACAGACAAATACGGCACGCTGCAGAACTATTTCTGTTGAGATAAGCCACCTCAACATGCTATAACAAGACGTGTTGGTAACTGGCAGTCACTGAAGTACTGTTTCTATAACCCAACTCTAGTCCGCTGAGATGGCTCACTCTGGTCATTATGCGGGCTCGATTCAGGACTTGGGTGCTCTGTATCCGAAGTACTCGAATTACTTTTCCTCGCAGCTCAGTTGCAGTTAACTGTAAGCTTCCACCAACGAACCCAATACAGCCAAGCCATCCATAGGCCCCTGGATGCGACGTCACTAAACGGCTACTATAGCAAGTCATCGACCTCATTTTGTATTGCGGTAGCCCGCCGCCGATCCCGCTAGATGCCACTGTTAATAGCACTGTCGATCCCAGGCTTGGGCTCGGCGCATTCATAGCCGATTGCCGGCTCCTCATCCCCCCGATATAGATGCTTCCCTTTGTCTGTAAAGCAACTCAAACGACCATGTCTCTTTCCAACTCGTTTCTCTTGCATATTGCCTTGTTGACCCCAATTGGTCACACGCCCCTATCGAAGATATTCGATCACCAGCTGACATGAGTCTGCTGACTGTACTATGGCTTTCCTTTTCTAATATACCTTCTTCATGCATCACAAGACGATTAAATGATCAAACGGTAAGGTGGAATTGGCATTGATCAAAGTAGACATGCGTAGATGATAATATTCCGAACTCCATATATATTACTACCTCTTACCAGGTACTAATACTGCTTTGGTACCCGCCGCAAAAAGCAAGTGCATCTTTTACCCCTTTTAAACGTTGCCAGGGGGGGGGAGAGAGAAACTGAGCAGTAACATTTTCCCAAACAGAGGATCACCAAAGAATAAGAGCGAGACTGCATTTTTAGTGATAATGAACCTCCTCGTATGACATTGTCGTCAGCGTCAGACCAGTCCTGCATACACGATGCATCTCGTACTGAGTCAAACGGCGGGCGCATCCCTGATACACGAACAGGAGTGCATGTTTACATGTTTTAGGTTAGCACCTACTTCAAACACCGCCCTGCCTTGACAGTTTGACCGATTGGGTAACAAGCTATGCATACATGCAAGCTGAAGATAAAAATAAAGATGCTGTGATAGGTTGATTGCGATGAAGGATATCTTCCGTCAATTTAGCAGTATTACCCAGCCTAGTATCCCGTCCGCTCGGAATTTAGACCGCAGCATATTATTACATGTACTATTCTCCTTTTTGCTAAACCCTTACGAAACCATACATCCTTGACTACCTACCTACCTATAATGGGTAGTCCGAAAACAAGAGACAAGAGACAAGGCACATGTAACAGCCAAGATAATGTCTGGTAGGAATCGGACTACACTTTCGCTGTGCTTGGGGTTCTCTGTATCTCTTTGAAGTTATCAAGACGCCGTTTTGGCACTTTGCTGCATACAAAGAGATATCTGTGACTCCCCTGTAGGAACTATAACTGTTGGTGGTTGGCCTTTTTACGCGTCCGTCTCTTTATATCCCAGCACGGCATGAACCATCGGTGCTCTCAACATCCAACACCAATCTTCCCCATGTACCTAGATAGTACTTCTCTTTCGTGAATCGTGCACCGTAAGCCCCTCTCTTCTTGAATTGCTCCATCACATGTTTATGGAATGCCATGCATCCCGCCCAGCCGCAGAATTTAACTCAAAATCGGCCGTTAGATCCATAGACTAGAATGTTGGAGACGTCCCATAGTTTCCTGATGTTGCTCACATAGGAGCCCGCTTTGGTATGTCAATGAATAGCTCTCTCGGCTGTTGCCACCGAATCACCGAGCTGCGACCCGAGCACCAAGCTTGCCCGTCGATAGAAATCCTCGGCAACCCATCTCTCCCCTCCATCCAATGCCCAGGACGCCAAAGATCAATCTTCCGTCCGATGTGAGTCGTAGGCCACCGCCGGCATCTGTACCCTCCTCATGCACCAGGAAGCAAACCTGCTCAATCTCGCCCGGGTGCACCACCGGCTTTTTATCTCCCTCCGAGAGCCAGTTGCAGTCCTGATAGCCCAGGCCCTCCTCCACATCCAGTACCACCTTTTCCAGCTGTATGATGTCCTCACTGCAATTCTCCAACTGCGCCTCGAGCACCCATTTTCTGTAGTTGCTGTTGTTTGCACTGGCCTCCAGGGCACTTACCTTTGTCCTCACAATAAGCGACGCCTTGCAGATAAATTGATATAGCTTCCTAAAAGTCCGCGTCCGCCCACTCGTCTCCGTAGCCTCAGAGTAGCTCACCGTCACAGCCAAGACGTGGTTCCCTTCCTCTTTCAAGTCAAAGCCTACAATCCTCTGCAGCGTCCCACCCGGCTCAAGATCCACCCCTCCCGCAGGCGTCGCGCCGTGGATATTCGCAGGCCCGAGTTCGAGCTTCTGCGTTCCTCCCACGCCAGGCGTCTTCATCTCAGCCTCGATACGGACATCTCGTATGCGCTTCGCCGCATCGGGGGGCAAATCATTGTTCGCGCAGAGGGTGCAGCTGAACGTCTCGCCCACGTAAGCCGAGCCGAACGACACCGGCAGGTTGAGGATCGGGCTCAGCAGGAACGGGTCGGGATTCGTATTCGAGGCGGATTTGTAAGCGAGCGAGGCGGGTGCTGGCTGTGATTTGGTGTTGGGAGGAGAGAATGGAGGATCTACTGGGTACTGCGTTACGAGAGACGGTTGAGAGAGCCTGCAGAGAGAGGGTTGGCGGCTGTTAAAAGGACTGATCGAGGCTCCCCAATCAAAAGAGCGTTTGGTGCCTACCTGAGGACTTTGACGGACACCGAATGCGGCTCCTTGACGGGATCGTGAGAGGGGTATGCCTGGTGGGACATTTCTATCCTGGATTGCGCCTTGTGCTGGGGAGTTCATGAATGTTCAGATAGGCACTTGGCAGCGACATAACCGTGGGAAGCGGAGCTGCTTGCAGCTGTCACCAAGCTCGCTATCGATAAGAGATCGGGACCCCCGTTTCTTCTATAATTAGCACCCAGCGCCGCCATTTCGGCTATCTTAGGCTTTGGACCTCTAATCAGGACTCCCGCCTTGAAGACGATCCAACTACGGGAGTGAATTTAACGTCCATTGCAATGTATCACGTAAAATTTATGCTAGTACATAGATGAATAGAACAAATTTGACGTGCAAAACGATTTATCAAATTACTTCGCTACAAATTCTGTCTCAATTTCTGGAAATACTTATAGCTAGGTAGGTAAAGCTCCGTAACTGCCAAATCGGTTAATTTCCCTGAACTCGTCCCCAGGCACGCAAATCCTCCTTTCTTTTTATCCACCTCCTCTTTGATTGAACATCAAAGTGCGCGTTTTATGAACCTTGCAAGACGTTAAATCAAAAGTCTGTTACTATCAACCTCGGAAGTGTGGCAATAAAGAGGCGCAGAGAATAATTCTTCCACAGAGATCTTCCATCCATGGCATCATCGCGGCTCATCATGAGGGCGGCAAAGCCAAATCTGCTCTTGTGCTTTGATGCATTCGGCACTCTATTCAGCCCCAAAGGAGGAGTGGCCCAGCAGTACGCCCAAGTCGCGGGACAATGCGGTGTTACTGGCTTTAGCGATAAGGAGCTTCAATCTCGGTTACTGGAAGCAATTAAAGAAGAGCGGGAGAAGAACCAAAACTACGGGAGAGCAACAGGACTGGGCGCCACTCAGTGGTGGACGAATGTGAGTAAGCTCCCCCCCCCGGTTTGTTTTACATTAATCAGCTCTATATACCGAGCTTATTAGTTGATCTCTCTTCAACATGTTTTCAAAACTCTAGCGTGAGAGCGATTTACCTATTTCTGATGTCGGTTGTTCTAGGTCATCCACAAAACATTTACACCACTCACGCGCAACAACCAGGCCCTCCCCCCTACCCTAGTCCCAAAACTACTACACCGATTCTCTTCAAGCGAAGGCTACGAGGCCCAGCGTGATCTTGTCCCAGCAATAAGAGCTTTGCGGGAGCGGATATCCCAGCAAGGGGTTGAGAGGCTTGTCATTGGAGTAATCACAAATTCCGACGATCGGGTCCCAGATGTCCTGTCCTCCTTTGGACTCAATGTAAGCCCGTTACGATACGGAATACCGTTTGAAGCAAGCGCCCTTCAAGAGACGCAATATGACATCGACTTCCATTGCATGTCGTACGACGTTGGCGTGGAGAAGCCAGATAGACGGATTTTCAACGCCGCCGATATTATGCTTTCTCACATCATCAAAGCTCGATATCACGAGACTGTAAGCGAATCTGATCTGGAGAGTTGGCAAAAAGTATATGTTGGCGACGAAGTTGCCAAGGACGTCGTCGGCGCTGCTGAGGCTGGCTGGAACCCTGTGCTTCTTGACGTTGAAGGAAAGTCCGCTGAGATGGCTAGCTTGGAGGATATTCCTCAACAGACTCTCGAAGACCTCTTTGAAGGCCACACTTCTGTAAGAGTGAGCTCGATTCGAAATCTAGTTACATGGCTTACAGGATGGAGATGAGAGGCAAAGATAATAAATGATGCAACGCCATTTTGATCAAAGATGTGAAATGTAGAACTTTGCTCTTATGAATGTTGCAATACACGAAATTTGTGGTGACTTGGGCCTGATAATCACCACCTCATATTGAAGAGGCCAGATGGATTACCTCCCACAGAGCTTGATCCACAGATGCTGCTCCTCAAGTCTCGCTAACGTAGTAATTAATTAACTAGGTCAGGCCGCGGCGGTTGCGATGATCCGCTCTCCCTATGGGTATACAACATGCCTAACTTGAGGCGATTGCAGAAGCAATGCTCGTATAAGAGGGTACAGGCCATATTCTTCTGAGCTTTCATATCCTACATCATCACTACTTTGAATCGTCACTTTCACACACACACATCGTGGCAACCACTATTATTACTCTGGTCCAGATTAATAGTTTACAGCCTGTGCTTGTCAGCAGTCAAGACTTCTCACACAAGAACCATCAACTGTTTCTTCCTGTTTGAACAATAGTTATCAACAAAAAAATAAACTGGTCTCGTCAAGACCGACTCCCTACCACTGGATTTATGTCTAAATTCAGATGTCTGGACTTGTCAGTTTAAAACCTTTTGTACCAAACCTAAGATATCGTGCGGCGCGTTTGAACTAGCAGCTCTGCGCTTCCTCCAAGCCATTCGTGTACGAGATCTGCTGCCCCCTGTTGTCAACCATGCATATTACAAAGTCAGCATAACAAAAGGAGTAGCAAGCTCTTATGTCAGTTATGGAGACCTATTCCTTTAAAGCCCTGGAGGAGGCGGAACCTAAAATCAGTAATTAGCCGACGCTGCGCAATTGAGTGTGTGAACCAGGTAGACATACAGCACTAAAGCTTCCACCAGGAGGCGGTGGTCCGGATGGTGGCGGAGGCGGTGGTGCAGAGCTTGGAGGAGGTGGTGGAGGAGGAGCTGCTTCGGCAGGAGGCGGAGGCGGCGGAGGAGAGGCGGATTGGCCTGGGGCTGCTGCTTGTGAGCTCTGACCTCCATAGTACTGTTGATACAAGGCGACATAGCTACAATACATTAGTTCTTTGTCCAAGGTGGTCTAAACAGGCTGATTTACTTAGCGTATCCTCCATATGCGGCGTAGGGATCGGCGCCATTATAGTATTGAGCATATTGAGCAGCATAGTCGTTTGCGCTCTGCTGGTTGCTGGCTGCTGGAGCGGGGCTGTTGGAGGCACCAGAATCGGAGTTGTATCTGTTATACGAATTGTACGAATTGTGGTGAGATCCGCCATGCGATCGGTCGTGGGAGCCCCTGTGGTGATGGTGGTCGCCATAACCGCCACGATCATTGTTATAACGAGGCGGCCGAGCTTTGAATTCCTCGTACTGCTCCTTGACGTTGGCAATCAAGTCTTCGCAGAGCTCCTTGGCTTTGGTGACCATATTGGGATCAGGTCCTCTGGAATGAAAAGTCAATAAGGCAAATCGGGGCGGAAAGGAGTCTCGGTATGAATACATACGTGACATGAAGGAACATGTCCTCGTCGCTTTCACAGTTTGTGGCAGCCTCCAAATAGCCTGAGCCTCGGCCCTTGATTTGAACTCGACAGCCGGTCTCTTGTTGAATGTGTTTTACGTAGGCACCGCCATGGCCAACTACTTGAGCACGTAGGTTGAATCCTGGAATTGGCTCAAGAGTAATAGGAATCTTCTCATCGGGCCATTTGCGCTGAAAAGATTGTTTAGCTACAAAAAATGAAGGAGTATAAAGGTTCCAAATAGTATCTTACTCGTCCAAATTCATCTCGTTCAACTTGCGGCCGCTCCTCCTGGTCTCTGCGTCGGAATCTTCGTTCATCGACTAGCTGGGGAAGCTCCTGCTTGATGAGATCGTTGATTTTTTCCACAGCGGATTCGAGACCAGCCTTGGAAGTGCTGGTGATGTGAAGATATAAAGGAGGATTCTTGTGTGCGAAGCTAAGTTAGAAGACAAAGTATAAGAGTGTGGTGTAGGGTCATTGATTCATCTTACCGTTGCAGTTGCCATGCTCTTGTTTGGGTAATAGCTACCACGGGTGGTGACATCTGGGAGGAAGAGTCAATATCAGCGTTCCAGAATTTCGTCCAGCAAGGATTATCGCGTACCAGCGCCAGTCTCGCTTCGAATCTAAGTGAATACGAGGTTAGTAAGAGCAGAAAGGAGAGGAGCAGCTGCAACTCCACGGCCACGAGAACCTGATGACTTGGGTCGTAGTGCCGCGGGCGTCAAGCTGACGAATCCAGCGGAGTAGATAGAATGAGGGCCATTTACCATTTCTTGAGTAGAGCCCTTAGTCAACAGGTATCGATTTCGCAGGTCGTTGACTTCGATGTCTTGAATGAAGTCGCCGTCGGCAACATACATATCGGGCTTCATCTCATTGTCGCCTGGCTTGTCGGACTGCGCGCCCGAAGACCTGATCGGGGGGACATCCACATGCTGGGGAGCCTTTCGCGCCTGCAGCTGAGCATTGATCTTGGCAGCGGCGGCAGCTATTTTGCGAGGTTAGCTTGTCGCAATCGCAGGTACACGCGCATTTGCGCCTGAAGAGAAGTGAGTCAAGGGGCGTACCAGCGGCCGCAGCAGCATCTACTGCGGGCTTCTTTGTCTCGGAAGAATCATCCTTGGGCAGCGGACTGCGGTCTCTGCCTTCGTGGCGGCGCGTGGGCGGAGATCGAGAGCGCCTGTCAAATCTAGAGGCTCGTCTGGGCTCAGGCTCCGTCTGGTCGAAACGAGATCGCTTTGTTCGTCGCTCAGAATCCTCCATGGCGTCGCTCAAGAGATGGACAGCTTGCGATTGTTAAAAAGACCGTTGTTCTGTTGTTTGGTAGGAAAGCCAAGAGCCGCTCGCAATAGAACCGAGGTTGCGTCGTAATTCAGCAAAAATATCAGATGAAGGATGCAAGGCTGCAGGGCACAAGAGTTCGCGACATGCGTGGATCAGCACCGTAGCCAACCACTGTGCTTGGGCACTCTTTAGAGGGCACTTGGTACCTAAATGGGTGGTTTTTTTTCCTTTTTTTCCTCTGCCTCGTACCAAGATTAGATAGACAGGGTGCGCCTGCTTGGCATCGGAAAAATGTACTTGCGCGTGCGGAGTCCAATGGTTGCGGCTTACATAATATTGACTACTTAAAGCTGGGGAAGCGCCTAGTTGGCCTGCGGTGTCGGAGCTTGCTGATGAAAGATCCCTATTAATGTACGCAGGGCCACTGCAGCAATTGGGCAAAATTGAGATGCGTTTCAAGCTGTAAACTGTGGAATTCTGCATGTTCAAGCAATGGGTCTCAGAATACGCCATCTCATTGTCTATGGTAGCAATGCGGTCAGCCACACATGCGCTCTTACGTGAGGCTAGTTGAGGCCGGTTTTGGAGCTAGATTCTATCAAGAGGCTCAGTACAGCATAGATATGCTCAGAGCGACAGCAAAGGTCGAAGAATTAATGGCTCAGTATGGCCTACATAAAGCGATCAATTACATAAAAGAAGAAGAAGATTGAGCCCGATAAACACCATATGCTGCATAGAAGGATGTAGCTTGTACTTTCACATATGCCGGGTATGGCCAGATCGCGGGGGAGGTTATGCGCGGGGCACACATCCGATCGCTTTTGGGTGCTGGACTATGCTCGTGATAGTGCTGGAGCCGTTGAGCTCCAGAGACATAGGAACTTTGGTGCGCTAAACCGCCTCCTTGTGATATATCAAGGTACCAGCAACTAATCAGAGTCTTCCTCAAGTTCTTTCACGCCCAGTTGACTGCAGTCGTCATTTGCAGAAGTATAAATGCAGCAGTAGCGGAATCTTCCCTATATCTTAGCGTCCGTCGGCCAACCTGAACCGTGCTAAATCGCTGCGTCAGTCAAGCCTCCGGTTTATCGGAGCCCACCTCCAACTCTCGAGGCCACTAACTTTTTTTTGTTTCTTTTAAATCCTTCATCTTCACTGACTCAACGCTCACGAACCATCCAACAATCCATTCCATCGCCGTCCGACCTACTGTCTTCCAGTGACCGAACTCGATTGGTTCACGGCACTGCAGGATGGCTTCGCTTCGGCCATGGAGCGCGTCTTTGCGCCTCGCTGCAAAGTCCTTCCCCACTGCTATGCGGACGACGACTGTGCGACACAGCTCGTCCAGCAGCTCAACCTCTGCCATTGCCTACAAGGCCCTGCGCCGCCGCTCTTCTCCCCTGCCCACCACCGACACTCCTCCAGCCTGGTCGGCCCAGGCCGCCGTCTCCAACATTCTCTATGAGACGCCCACGCCCTCCATGGCGCCTCCGAAGCGTCACATCCTCAACTGCCTGGTCCAGAACGAGCCAGGTGTGCTCTCTCGTCTCTCCGGTATTCTTGCTGCCCGAGGCTTCAACATTGATTCTCTGGTTGTGTGCAACACCGAGGTGGAGGATCTGTCTCGCATGACCATCGTCTTGACCGGCCAGGACGGCGTTGTCGAGCAGGCCAGAAGACAGCTGGAAGACCTGGTGCCTGTCTGGGCTGTGCTGGATTATAGCAACGCCGCCCTGGTCCAGCGCGAACTCCTTCTTGCCAAGGTCAACATTCTCGGACCCGAATACTTTGAGGAGCTGCTCGCCCACCACCGCGAAATCAGCAACGGCGAGCACAATGGCGAGTCTACCAACGAGTTTGAGCGAACTCTCGAAGAGTCGGCCAAGGACTTCCATCCTAGCAAGCTAGCTGCCAGTGAGGCCCTCCGACACAAGCACGAGCACTTGAAGACCATCACCTATTTCGCCCACCAGTTCGGAGGCAAGGTGCTGGATATTAGCACTACCAGCTGCATTGTTGAAGTGTAAGTCATACAACATCCTCATGAGCGTCACTTTCTAGAACAACCCCCCGGCTAATATTCTGGATTACAGCTCCGCTAAGCCGTTGAGAATTGACTCATTCTTGAAGCTGGTTTCTCCCTTTGGAATTTTGGAATCTGCCCGTACTGGTCTGATGGCCCTGCCCAGATCACCACTTGCCAAGCACGCCGAGGAGCCTATCATTAAGGATGCCGACGAGGTTGTTGATGCCAGCCAGCTTCCTCCTGGTTAAAGTCATGATTTTCTACGAGTATTAATTGTACCTAGCTAGTGCCATTTGGGACACTTGGCGTCTGGTAAAGGGAATGTTCGTTGGTTTATAGCAGTTTTGTATGAATTCGATTTTTTTTTTAAACCGCCTGTGCTTTTGAGAATATGCAAAAAGTTTCTTCCTAAAAAGAAAACTACATAAGTTTTAAATTTAATATTACTCGAGAACACCCTTGTTTACAACGAAGCCTTCCAATGCCGCTGTGAAAAGAAAAAGAGCAAGTTAGCGTTATATTGTTATGGCTAGCAGAAGAGTGACTTACCAACAGCTGCCCAGAGTCGGTTCTCCGCCTCGGGGAAGACGAGAGACCTCGGGCTGTAGAAGACCTCATCCGCAACTTCTTCAGGGTGTCGGGGCAGGCAGTGCATGAACTTCCAGTTATCCTTGGCACCGCCCCGAGTTGCCAGTTCGTTGGTGATCTGATAGCCGGCGAAAGCCTTGAGCCTCTTCTGTTTCTCAGCCTCCTGTCCCATTGAGATCCAGGTGTCGGTCACAAGGATATCGGCATTCTTAATGGCTTCCTCGGGAACAGTCGTCTCTGAGAGCTTGCCGGGTGATTTGACACCATTGGCGGCTGAGTTGATGAGCTCCCTCATGTGGTCGGGGATTCCGTAGCCCTGGGGCGAGGCGACAGCGATTTCGACGCCGGTCTTGACGCAGCCGATGGCTAGGTCGAACAGCACGTTGTTGGAGTCGCCGACCCAGGCAACCTTGAGGCCTCTGAGGTTGAGGCTGTTATCGCTTGAGACAGAAGATGGGAAGGCCTCGTAGATGGTGAGAAAGTCAGCAATGGTCTGCAGGGGGTGGAAATCATCTGAGAGGGCATTGATAACAGGCACGGTCGAGTGCTCGGCCAGTCCTGTGACATCTGAATGAGGGCCGACTCGAGCGACCATACAAGATGTCATTGATGAAATTACAACAGAGGTGTCATATAGCGACTCATTCACCTGCCCAGTGTTAGTGACCAAGTCGAGTAAAAATCAATAAACACCAAGAAGCACAAACACCAAGCTGAATATCATCCTTGCCGAGGAACATGGGGTGTCCCCCCAGCATTGTAACCGCAGCCTCAGTCGAGACTCGAGTCCGGGTGCTTCGCTTGCTGAACATCATGGCCACCGTCTCACCCGCCAGGCCGTTGCTCAGGTGCGGCACTCGGCCAGACTTGACGTCCTGTTTCCGGGCGGCGGCATTGCGCACCAGGGCGGAGAATTCTGAGGGCTTGAGGTCGCTGATGGACATGAGATGCCTGGGCTTGGCGGCGGCTTGTGAGTAGGCACGGCTTTGGAAGCCATTGGCCGCGTTTCGGAGAGCTCGCGCTGCTGTGATCTTCATGACGTTCTTTTTAATTTTTTTTCTAAGCTGACGAGAGCTTTACTTGGAGTTGGAGCTGGAGAAATTCCCAATTGGCGTTATGATGCTGAAAATTGAATGGAGCAATGTCGACCTAGACGGGAGAACAATTTTTTAAATTTGGTGGTGCGAGCAGTCAAAATGTAGAAAATGTAGAGTCATGAAGAGCTATCAGAGCTGCAAAAGAGTCAGTCATCGGCGCCGATGTGAGGTTCGCCGCAGAAAAAAAAGGTGGGGTCGCTGGCTGTAGCTCTAGCCCGTTTGATGCTTGTATAGAGGCATGTAAAATGCAAGCACTTTAAGGGCTCCGGATGCAAACAACAAAGAAAAAAATGAAACTGGTTTGAAAATCATTCCCATTGGAAACTACATTGTTGAATTGAGAAGTAAAGAGAAAGATGTTATAAAAGAGTTTATTGTATGTCCATGTATGCGATGGCAGTAGTATACGCTTGTTGAATATATACTAGGGAGGTAGGCAGTAAACTATATACACGAGCTTGTAAGAATTGTAAAGCTATACACCACTCATACAAGTATTAAATGAGCTGTTAGAAAATGAACATCGTGCGATTTCATAATCATCCAGCCCTCACAGGAAAGTCTCCGCGGTCAGCGACTTAGTTGGGCGCGCCGGGGTCGACATCGGCAAAGGTGGTGCCAACAGCAACCTCATCGTACCAGACCTGGCGGAAGCTCTGGCTACCAACCATCTTGTTGTCGTCGTGCCAGCTGTTGGCGTAGAGGCCGATGCGGAACTGGAAGAGGCTGTCGTCGTCGAGGGTGGTGGAGATGTTGTACTCCTCGTGCACCTTGACGTCGTCGAACCAGACCTTGAAGTAGCCGGTGCCATCGGACGCCCACTTGATCTGGAGAATGACCTTGTGCCACTGGCCCGGGTTGATGGCGGCCAGGTTGGGGCGGGTGACGATGTTGCGGCCGCAGTTGGGCTGGCGGTAGTGGCCGTTGACGTAGCGAGCGTACAGCTGGCCGTTCTGCGTCCAGATCATGGTGGAGGGCATCCAGTCGTCGCCGCCACAGCCAGCGCCGGGGCGGTTGGCAATGAACTGCGCAAGGTTGTAGGACTGGCTGGACGTCTCCCACGTGTCGGAGAGGCGGAACGTGAAGCCGTAGAAGAGCTCGTCGCCACGCTTGTAGCCTTGGTTGTGGTCGACCTCGGAGTGGTAGCGGTCGTGGTACGAGGTTCCGAGGTAGGTCTGGGTCATCTTGAGGGCCGAGGTGCCCTTGTAGACGACGTTGGAAACTTCAGAGACGGTGCCCTGAGCTTCGTGGCGAACAAAGTCAAAGCCGTTGAGGTGACCGTCGTTGTAAAAGGTGCGGGTGGCGCTGACCGCTGGCAGAAGAGCCATGGCGGCGGCGAAAAGGGACTTGAAGGCAACCATTTTGAAGATGATTCTTCTCCTCGACACGATTACTCGGAATAAAGCCTGAGTTGAGTTGAGTGGTTGGGCAGGAGATGGGGACTATGATCGACAGAGCCGTGGCTACTTATACTTATGCCTTCACGCACTTCCTATCAACCAAAATAAGCGAACAGTATTATTAACCTTGTCTTTTAGCACATAGATCCCGAGGAAAAGCGTAGCCTACCATGGCAGGTAGACTGATACGAGATTGGTATTCAAGCATCACTATGCACCACTACACCCAAGAACTTGGCTGATTCGGAATGACCATAATGGCGTTCAAAGAGCTTGTCATTAGCTTACAGAGTGTTTCATTGTAGGCTAGCCAATCAATCGTCATTATGCCCCTGGGGATCGAGCGGACTGCAGCCATGTTTCTCGGATGGATCTCGGTGGATCTTACGCCTAACCAGCTAATGCTTCCCAAATGCCAAACTGGGCAGGAGAAGTCTAAATGGCGTGGGTTGGGCCGAGCTGTGACTGGTGGATTAAATTCCAATTCCAAGGTCATTCTAGAAACGAGATCCAAGTCAGTACCACGAGTCGGTCGGTCTGTTAAGTTCACCACATCTCACTTCCAGGTATGTTATAAGATTTAACAGGCCATCTCACGGATGTCCTACGTAAACTGTCCATATCGTCAGGTGAAGCTTTGATTACGGGTTCGCCGGCTGCTACATTTAAATTTATTGCTCAAAATCGCAATTTTGGTCACAACATCTGAACTAGATTCCTCATCTTCAGCATTTGAGCTGATTATGCAGCTTACAAATTCTTGCTCAGGGAACATAGCAATGAGTTTAGTGCGGAGTAGACTTGCATGTCTTGGCTCTCTGAGCTGTAATACATTCAGGCAACCATCTAGGAACATAGTTTGAGGGAGCCTTGCAAATTCCGCTTTGGGGTTGGAAGTCATTTGACACGAGGCCTCGAAGACGAAAACTTACCTAATGTTAGTTTATTGCTTCTGTTGCTTTGAAACCCCTGGAGAAAAAAACAGCGAGCAATGCAACGGGGCCCACTAAAGTAACCATGAAAGTAGAGTAAAATTTAAGTTTAGTGCACGGCGGCATTAGTGAGGTAGCAGCATTCACTGAACCAAATTCTACGAGATAAATGCCGGACAAGGTGATTGATAGTGGCAGTGTCTGATGATTACCAAATAGTATTTATTGAATGAGAATAATGATTCATTCTATCGCAGCTCCAGCAAAAGTACTCTGGCATAAGTTTCTCGGAAGGGCGGAGCATATTGTGGGCTGTCCGTGGACTTGCAAACAAGCGGTCCTGCCTAATAATAAGCAAGCCGTATGCATAGGTGGTTCTACAAATAGGAGCATGCGCCAATAGTTCAGATTACCAAAAGAGGAAGCTCGCGATATTCTTGGCACGTACTGGCTGTCAGAGATACTATTGCGCTCGTCAATTAAGGCCAGAGGTCTACCCAAGAGCGGATAAAGGCGGGTTATTGCCAAGACTGTTTTCTGCCCTACTCCTTTTTTGTCTTGCGTTTTCGCAGCTACTTGATTCCTCCAATCATGAGACTGGAAGCTCTAGACGAAGTGAGCGGCATTGAAGTAGGTACCCAAGGTAGCGTTTGGGGAGACCCCCTGTAGTAGGTTACTTATACGACAGATGCAATTCTGGCTGCGTAAGAGTCGAGAGAATATTCATAGCGCCAATTAACATGCGAATTTACTAAGAACAGAAATTGCAATGCATAGCACTTGGGTAGCACGAACTGTTAAGAGGCAGGTTTGAGCTGCCTAGCTATAAGTGCCAGGCAAAGCAGGTAAGCATACAGCAATAGAGATGAATCTTGAAACTGGTTATCTACAGGAAGGTGTAAATCCATCTGCCGCTCACCTGCCTTAATCTCTAACTTGTGATCCACGATGCTAGTGGAACATGTCTTACAGCTTGTGCTTCAAGATAGAGCGCTTGTTTCTCCAGTTGAGGGGCCTCCGAAGCTTTCCGTCGAGACATGTTCCATTTTGTCTTTTCAAGAGTTGGTTGGTAACATAAGTTGAAGGAGCACCCATCGGCTTAGCTCTTTCAGATTTCCCTTTATCAAGAGACTGTCAAGTTGGGAGAGAAAATCAGGACACTACCGATCTACTGTTACACACTCTATTGTTATGCCACAAGTCATGATTTGTAAATAGGTAGTTTTCTACTGTTGCAATTGCTGCTCTTGCTTATATTATCTTTATTCTTTCCTAGGCAATCACTATTCACTTATTCTATTCCATCTGCGTATCTCAGTCGAGGCACACGCTTTAAAAAAGCGGAGCACTCTTTAACTGGTTCAGATGTGGCAACTTCATCTATTGGCTGATGAAGATACAATTATGGAGCATCCCACCTCCGACTGAGGTACGAAGCTTAGCTAGCTCAAACAGGTTAGCTCTCAAGGCAGGAACCTGAGACATCAAAGGTACGGAGTACTCCGTGCCACTACAAATTAGTGGTGCCTGCACTAATTTTAGCACAGGTCGCGGCACGCTGGGAGGCAGAAACGGCCCCTGCGCAGGTACTCGGTACTCCATTATCTTTTTCAGGGGACGTTACTCAGCAATTGTGGCTCCGATCAGCCAATCACATCGCCCGTCCACGTGTACTGTCTCGACCCGATACCCAATGGTCCACTCCCGTCACTCGATCGTGACGACAACAACTTCCACCTTCAACCCAAGCCGTTAATATCAATCCGCCCATCTTGGCAAATCCGGAAGGCTTGCCTTGCAGCAGAGATCATCTCCGCAGTCTGGAGCATCCTCCACTTCTCACGGCTATACGCTTACAGCAGCTGCTGCTCGTACAACCCATTCAGCCTCCAGTGAGAGGTGACGTCTCGCCAGGGACGCATCTTACTGCAGTCTTCACGCCATCGCCCAACTCCCAGGCCCGCCATGCCTGATTTCCGGGTCTCGGTCAGCTTCCTAAAACCAAATTCTCGCTCTGCCGATGCCTCAACACTAGACAATGAGCCACCGGAGGCATCGGAGACGTCTCCCTTGCTCTCGTCGGAATCGGAGCGCGCACCGGTCACTGAGGCTTCGCCATTGCTTTCCGATGCCAATCATGGCCAGGAGAGTGAAGATGGCGAAAGCGACAGCTTAAACAAGTCTCCGAAGAAGTCAGGAAGCCGCCTACGATGGCCCTCAATCATCGCCATTGCAGTCTTGGCCGCCCTCACTGTGGTGGTCATGGTCCTGGGTTTCCTCGTCCCTCCTGCCATCAAGACTTACGCTGAGACTGCTGCCGTTATCGAACCAACCGGCTTATCCCTGGAATCTCTCACTCCGGATAGCGTTCGCGTGCGGATCCAAGCCAATTTCAAGCTGGACGGCGCTCGAGTTCAAGACGACACAGCAAGACGCCTCGGCAGACTGGCAACCAGCATCGTCAGAACCCTCGATACCGAAGAGACAAACGTTAGCGTTCGTTTGCCCAATTACGATAATGCTCTCCTGGGCTCTGCCGTTGTGCCTCCATTGACTATCAATCTGGTCGATGCGCAACCTACTGTGCTAGACTTTGTGGCAGACCTCAGCCCTGGAGACGCCGAGAGCCTCCGCCAAATTGTGAATGACTGGCTAGATGGCAAGCTTGAACAGGTCAAGGTGACCGGTTCGGCTGCACTTCGTATCAAAACGGGCTTTTTGCCGCTTGGAACTCACGATGTGGTCGAGTCCATGGTCTTTGAAGGTCAATCTCTCTACCGCACCTTTGCTGCATTGTACTTTGGAGAAAAAACAATAATTTGAAGAGTCTTTTCATTTATATTCTCGTGTTGCAACATTTGCTAATTCCATTATAGCCAACGAAATCCCATCTTTGCCCGAATACAACATTGACCGTCTCAACATCCATGACGTTCCTATTGGTGATGGAGGACGGATGGCCGTTGGGGCGAACGCATCAATCGTCGCATACAACGACTATCCCATTGGCCTCACTGTTCCAAAGCTTGCATTTGATATCCTCGTTCCCAACTGTGACCCATCCGAACCTCCCATCATGATCGCCACTGCCATTACCCATCCAATCGATGTGGAACCGCATGCTAATGTTACGGTCGATGCCACCGGCGTCATCAACGATCTGTCGGACGAGCTTACCCAGGCCTGTCCTCTCACCAAGATGTCACCGCTTGACAACTTTTTCAAGCATTATATGAATGGCGAAGATGCCCAGGTCTACGTCCGCGGTCAGAACTCCGATGAGTCGGATGTTCCAGAGTGGATCAGATCTTTCCTCAGCAGCGTCACTGTTCCTTTTAGCTTCCCAGGATCATCGTTTGATGATGCTATTCGAAACCTCTCTCTTACAGACGTCGACTTCAAACTTCCAAGTCCTTTCGCGGATCCCAACGACCCCGACTCAAAAGCTCGTGTTTCTGGGACGATCCAAGTTTTGGCCGTACTTCCCTCTGAGCTGAATGTGGACATCAGTGTCAACAGTCTCCGAGCCAGTGGTAACATCTTTTATGAAGGCAAGAAATTTGGCGAATTAAATGTGCGGCAGTGGCAAAAAGCCAATTCCAGCAAGTTGAACGACCCCGAAGACGGCCAAGCAGAGCTTGAAATCACGTCTAGGATCACCAATGTGCCCCTTGACATTACTGATAGTGATGTCTTCAGCGATGTCATGGGACAGCTTTTACTCGGCGACGAGGATCTTCTGCTTGATGTTGAGTCACTTGTTGACATCAAGGTGTCAACGGTGCTTGGAGATCTGGTTCTCAGAGATGTCCCCGCAAAGGGCAAGATTCCAGTAAAACGTTTGTCCTCGCCTTGGTAATTTATTGCGCGGCTCGCTTGTGATGGTGTCATGACGCGTCTTTTGAGCTATTGAAAGTACAGTTATGATTCACGTCACAGGATGCCCAAGGATAGCTCTACTAACTAAATGGAACAGAGCTTCCTGGTAAATCGCTTACGAAACTTGACCCGCGCGTCTTCAATCTGGTCATTCTGAACACAACGAAACATGCTGTTCACATGCAGGCATCGGTCAATTTGACGAATCCTACACCTTACACAGCCTTTATTCCTTTTGCAACTGTTCACGTCTACAACAAAGAGCTCATCATTGGAGAGGTTACGGTCAACAATCTAGATGTACAATTGGGAAACAACACAAATCTTGCCGTATCCGCTACTTGGGATCCGGTGTCTCTTGGCGGCGAGGAAAGCCACAAAGCTGCCGCGAAGTTGCTATCCGACTATCTTTCCGGCCAAAACACAACATTGACACTCAAGACTCATCAGGGCAGTGTTCCAGGACTGCCTATTATCGGTGACGCTCTCTCCAAGTTCAACATCACACTGCCAACACCCCGAATCAGACTTCCGGGAGACAAGAAGCACGGCAGTAGCCAGGGTAAAAACTTTGTGAGAGATGCCGTCTTTCATATTTTCTCATCTACAGCCTCTTTCAATCTGGCATCACCACTCAAGCAGAATACTATACATATCGAGATGATAAACGCTACAGCATATTACAACCATACAGAACCCGTTGGCCACATACTCTACGATGAGCCGTTCGATGCCCCCCCAGGGGTGACGGAGACTCCACGACTCCCAGTCACATGGTCGGCGGAGAGCATCGGCTATGATAAACTGATTGATGCCATGGATGGCTCATTGAAGCTGGATGCCTCGGCAAACGCGACAATAAGGATAGGAAACTGGATAGAGACCGTCCATTACGAAGGACGGGGGATTGGAGCTAGGGTCAGGATATAGACGGTACATTTATTTCGTTCATTCGTTGTTTAAGCTACATGATATTGTTTTGGATTTTCCTTGGGAGCAGCGTTTGGTGTCTTATCTTGGACTTTTGATTTTTTTTATGAGCAAGGATTGCTTTGATATACAGGTTGACATTTTTTACAAGCAATTTATATACGAGATACACAGAGATACTCTCAATGTTGAATATGCAAAACCATTTGCAAGTAAGCAGAGACGTGAGTTTTGAGAGAATTGCAAAATTGTATTGGTATATTTATCGCCGGATTGTGGTAGACTATATCTAAGTTTGAATATATTTTCCATGTTCGACAGCCATCATAATACATCTACGCCGAGGGCTATACTCTAGTAAGGAAATCATCTAGAATTTACGGGAATAATTCTTATAAGAATACGAGGCAGATTACTAGAGACAGGATACGCTATCACGTTACGAGTAGATTTGTCTGGTATCATCACGCTGAGCAATAGAGAAGGGGGATCGAATCAAGATGACGAACCTGGAGTAGGTACACCACGTCGATGTCGACTCTAGCAGTGTCAGCAAGGGACAAAAACACACAAAAAGCGAGAGAAAGAAAGAGTATAACAAGAAAAGGAATAAGCACCTTTGGTTTCAATCAATTTCCCCTAATAAAGCCAACAAGCGGTATTTCATTAATAAATATGCTGAGAGGTAGTGGTTAGACAATTTTCGCAAAAAAAAAGATAAAAGAAGAAAAGAAGCTGTTCTATCGACTCAAGTCGTCGTTATGTTGAAAACCTTTAGCCGAGCCGCACGCCTGCTTCCCTGCGCTTCTTCAGCTGCTGCGCCGTCGCCAAGTTCATGCCGGCACTTTCGCTCGCGTCAAACATGCTCTGCGCCTCTCGCCTCTTTTCGTCGTCAATCTTCTTGAGGCGCTTCTCGGTCTTGCCCTTGCCGCTGCCCTTTCCGTGGAACTGGTGGCTGAGATGCTTAAAGGCCTCCTTGCGGTCTAACAATCGGCCGTGATCATCGACATACTTCAACTCGATGTTTGGCTTGTAGCCCGCGTTAAAGAGCTCGGCCATCTTCTTCGATTGCTGGTGGTCACGGTGGGTGTTTTGCTGTCGTGCCCACTCTTCTCTCTCTCGAACGGACATGCGATCTAACCTGCCGCTCATTCTGTCACGTTCTCTCTGTTGTCGGGTCTGCTCGTCCAATTCACCCTCTAGGACTCTCTTCCTGGAAAGGAATTCTTCGCGAGCAACAAAGTCTTCATAGCTTCCAGTCTTCTCCTGGGACTCGAGAAGCCCTCGTTCTCGAAGCAGTGCGAGGGCTGCGCCCATACCGGTACCAACCATCTTTTCATCTTCAATACCCGCATCTTCTTCCTCCTCCTCTTGCTTAATATTGTTATTCCTCTCTTCTTCTTCTCGGTGTGCTGCAATCTCTGCTGAATAATCATCCATTTCATAGTCTTCATTTCCATCTCTGTCTCCATCTCCATCGCCCATGTCACGATCCTCGTCTGCTTCAGGGCTTTTTGTTGTATGTTTTTGCTTCCTGGTCTGGCGATCTTCATCGTCTGGCTTGCTCAGGCCGGCAACAAATTCGGAAATCTCGCCAATCACCAGACCGCCGCTTTGGGCCTCTTCAGGCACCTCATCGTCTTCTTTCAGTTGTCTTGCAATGTCTTCAGGCCGCGTCTTTTTGCGTTTCTTTAGAGCAATTTTCCTTTGAATTGCTAACGACGCTTGAAGGTCGTCGTCATCGGCAAAGTTATCAGCAGAGGCAGCTTTCCGTTTCTTAGTCGTAGAAGCCTTAGAATCAATGTCCATAGAGCCGGCATCCACTGGAGCGGTTTCCAAAGGGAATATGTCATCTTCATCAAGCTGCTTCTGCCTTGTGCCCTTGCTTCCCTTCTTTTTCTTGGGCTTCTTCACCTTGATTTCTGAAGGGGCAAGGTAGTCTGATGAAGGCACACCATCATCTAGCGTATTGTCAGCTATCGTATCAGTAGTAAAACTTTTGGGTCTTTTGCTTTTAAACATACCGACAATATCATCAAGACTTATTGATTGAATCTTCTTCCCCTTCCTTTCTGGCTGATCCAGGATATCTGACAGTTCAGCGATGGCTCCGTCGTCATCGAGAGTAAATCTCTTGGCTTTTTTGCCATTGATCTCCTCGTCGTATTGTGCCAGGATAGTGCCCTCGCCATCATCATAATCATTGGGGTTGTAGCCCTTCAGCTTCTTCTTGAGGTCCAATCTTTCACTGAGCTTCTCTTGCTCTTTGATACCCAAATTCTCAAGCTCATCTCCCTCTTCCTCATTTTCGTCAATTGTCGTATCTTTCAAAGTAAGGATTTGTTCGTCTCCGTCTAGAAAGGATGTTGAATCGTGAGCAACCTTGATGCCTGCGAGGTCCTTAGAGGTGTATTGTATGGCTGCCGCTGCCGCTGCCTCTGCTGCAGCAAGCTCCTCTTCTAGCTTCCTTGCTGTGTCAATCTTCTTTTGTCGCTTCTTCTGCCCTGTCAACCACGCCTTTGCATCAAGATCACTGCTTTGGCCTTCTTCGCCGAGTCCCTTGCCCTCTAAAAGAGCAAATCGCTGAGCCTTTTCACGGGCTTTTCGTACGGCGGTAGCCTTCTCTTCGCGTCGTTTCTTGGCAGCTTCTTCGTCCTGCACCCTTTTGTAGTTGTCATATGCCTGGGCTTGGCGACTCTCGACGGTGCTTCCGGGTTCTTCGTCGTCGTCGGACGCTGAAGCTTGATGCGATACCTGGGCTCCGGGTACCGGCAAAGGCTTCATGCCCAGCGAGATTCGGATGCGATTTGTCTCTTCGATCGTTGCCGCGTCCATGGTTGCTTGCTGTTGGTATCAGACAGGATAACAGTTGGTCAGGACGTCGCGAACACGCAAGAAAGAAGAAAGTCTCAAACTCCGTCTAGTTAGGTAGGTACGAGATGGCGGCACTTGGTGCTCCACCGCGGCCTGGCTGCCAAATTCGTCGTCACTTGGCGCGCAAACTATTTTAGCCGAGATATTTCCGGTTTTTCTATCACGTGATACTCCCCACCAGCCAATCTTATCGCGACTCCATATAAGGCTCTATCGTGAAATTTTCTTCCAAGCTTCTTTTCTTCTTAACATACACGGATCTGTGCTCTGCGGTCCTCTGCGTTCACGCGTCAGGGTCGACTGCTTTGCAGCTCGATAACTCTATGGAGCCATCAACTTGTTATGGTGTCAATCATCCTATCGACAGGTCCAAGAAGAATTCGACCTCTGGCTGCCTCATTCGCTGTCGCAAGACGGCTTGAGTGTTGTGGCTGGAGGACCCGGGGGCCCCATATTCCGAACCTTTCACCAAGGCCGTCGGCCGATGAAGTTGAGGAAAACCATGGGATGCCTACATCTCAGCGCTTGCAATGCCTAGGTAGTACTAGATGCTCTGTAGACATCTCTGTAGACACGTCCGTAGACGGCTGCTGAGCCTCAACTCGGAGCCGTCTGACCTCAAGATGCCACCCCGACTAGCCGCTCGGAGCAAACCATGATTAATTGTGTTACTCGGGCCGCAATATCTACGAAATAACCCCGACGAATTCGGAAAGCAAAATGCGATCCCTTGTCAGCGGGGCAGATGGGAAAACAGTTTGCTTACTCGATGCATGCCTCGTGATTCTTTAGGACGGATACCGTACAAGCAGCCTCCTGAGTCCTGCGAGGTTCTGATGATGTCAATCCTTGACATTTAGGCAGATGTCAGAAGTCCCCCCACGGCGAAATCCCACCAAAACACCCCGTACCTGTGAAAGTGGCGACCTACCTCCAGGGTGCCTCATCTATCTGCCAATGCATGTGAAGCTCGATGCCGAGACCCTGCTCCGACATTCTACCTGCATAGGTACAGTAGATAGCATGCACCTTCTCCGTATTCGTACCTACCCAGGCGGTGACGACTCATGCTGTCACGTCCGTCTACCTCTGTTCTACTTTTTCTTCCTTTTTCATTCGTCCACGTTCTTTTTTTGCCTTCTCATCCTTTCTACGGCACGTGCTTGGCAGTCCAACCTGCATGTGCATGTAGCCAAGATTACCTGTCATCACGAGCCCTCGGCTGCTTGTGAAACACACCCAGCTCAGCTCCTCTGAAAGCTCGAGTAATAGCGCCGACTCGGCACCACTTGGCCACACCCAAACTAATTCGCACAACGGACGACATCCAAAGATTGAAAATTTTTCGTCTCTGCTGCCCATCTTTGCTCCTATTGTAAGCTGCAAAGCACGTGTAGCCAATGCAGGAGCGCAAAAGTTCCGGCGACAATGAATGCTAATGTTCCGGTTGATCTAGGGTAGGAGGGCTAGCACCGGAGGCTAGAGGCGGTAGTGGATGAGCGGCGGGCGGGAACCTGGCAAGCCTTGCGCCTCATAGCCCGAACGAGACGAACATGGTCCAGGATTTGCCCCACGGGGGAGCAGCTTGGAGATGCGGAGCAGCCCCTGGAGACGGGAGGTGGTGTGCTGTGCTCTGCTGCGCTGTGCTGTGCTGTGGGAGTTTGTTGGTACAGTAGCGTTTTGCCGTCTGGCCTGGGAGCCTCGGTGCCTTGATAGGACGCTGCCTCCTTACTTGGCCCCTCCCCCTCCCTCTCCCTCTCCTTAGCTGCGCATGCTCTCCTGACAGCGTGACTAATGACGCGTTGCCAGCCCATTCGCCTGACACATCCCGGCATCTGAGTCTAGTTCGTCACGCTGGCCGGCGTGGCCCAGGCAGAGCAGCAGCGTCTGGGCGTGATTGGGCGCTGGCCCCGGCCTGGCAGAGCATCAGATCAGCTGCCCATCTGCCGTTGACCGCGTTGCCGACTCGTCGGATCTCACCGGCCTGGAGCTGATCCCGGAGTGGCGAGATGGTAGAAAAAGGATGACGGCCCCGATGCCACCGACGCAGTGCCGTCTTCTCTGCAGCATCATCGTCGACGAGAGGAGCTGAAGTCGAAGACACCGAGAAAGAGGCTGGCTGGCAGAAGAGAGCTGAACATCCCACCACCACCACCACCGGCCGCTACCCATCAGGCTGCTCGGCTCTTCTTTCTTCACCCCTCAAACGGCTGTACCGCGAACTGCAGCCCTTGGGTCCGGAGAAGAATCGGCCCTTTGTATAGTCTTCCGGCCCTCAGTTCCCCATGGGGGAGATCCGCACATCCACTTTGGCCTTGTAGACCTTTTGTCGGTCCGAGTCCGAAGAACCTGAGCATTGACGGCGGCATTTGCGAGATACTCTGAGCTCAAACAGCTGCTTCTCATTGGACGACTGATTCCACTGGGCGAGGCTCGGCATAAACAAGCCGTTTGCTATAGCATACTGCAAAAGTTCTCTCCAGACCCCCGACTATATAGTGAAGATGCCCGCGTTCGCCATGGATCTGGCTGCGAGCCATTCAGCGCAAGCACTCTCTCTCAACGTCTCCTCACACGCTTCATTTATTCCGCCCATCATGCATGTCTTGTCAACGGCCGTCCTGCTCGGCTCGGTTGCCGTCCAAAAGGTCCTGGGAAGACCTGGCGCATCCGACATTACAAAACGAGCCGTTACTGACTTCATCAACTCGGAAACTCCCATTGCCCTGAACAATCTGATTTGCAATGTTGGTCCTGACGGATGCCGTGCTTTTGGCACATCGATCGGCGCTGTAGTTGCGTCGCCAAGCACAACTGACCCAGACTGTAAGCTAGTTTTTGCATTATACCTCCACTATCGTATATACAATCTATATATACAGTGCGCTAACACGAATCTAAACAAAGACTTTTACATGTGGACTCGAGATAGTGCTCTTGTTTTCAAGACGCTTGTTGATCGGTTCACACAGAACTACGATGCTGGCCTGCAGCGCCGCATCGAGCAGTACATTGCTGCTCAGGTCACTCTTCAGGGCATCTCAAACCCATCTGGTTCCCTCTCAGACGGGTCTGGCCTTGGCGAGCCCAAGTTCGAGCTTACCTTGAGCCAGTTCACTGGCAACTGGGGCCGCCCGCAGCGTGATGGTCCAGCTCTTCGAGCCATTGCCTTGATTGGCTATTCAAAGTGGCTCATTAGCAACAACTACCAGTCGACAGTGTCGAACATCATTTGGCCCATTGTGCGAAATGATCTCAACTACGTTGCCCAGTACTGGTCAGTGATTGCTTGTTTTCTTGCCCGCTATTCACTGGTTCTTTGCTAACCTTGACTTTTAGGAACCAAACTGGATTTGACCTGTGGGAGGAGGTCAACGGCAGCTCATTCTTCACTGTAGCCAATCAGCACCGAGCACTTGTTGAGGGTGCTACCCTTGCCACTACTCTTGGCCAGTCGGGAAGCAGCTATTCCACTGTTGCTCCTCAGATTCTCTGCTTCCTTCAAAAGTTCTGGTCGCCATCCGGATATGTCATCTCCAACAGTAAGCTATCAATGCAGACCAATTTTGTAGATGAATGCGTATGCTAACACTAGTCGGCGCAGTCAACAGCAACGACGGCAGGACTGGAAAGGATTCCAACTCCATTCTTACATCTATTCACACTTTCGATCCCAGCATTGGCTGCGATGCCGCCACTTTCCAGCCCTGCAGTGACAAGGCTCTTTCAAACCTCAAGGTCTACGTCGACTCCTTCCGCTCCATCTATGGCGTCAACTCGGGCATCCCTGCTGGCACTGCTGTTGCCGTTGGTAGATACCCAGAGGACGTCTACTTTAACGGAAACCCCTGGTATCTTTCTACCTTTGCTGTTGCTGAGCAGCTGTACGACGCCCTGTATGTCTGGAAGAAGACTGGCTCCATCACCGTCACTTCCACCTCTCTGGCTTTCTTCCAAGAGCTCGTCCCCAGCGTGACAGCCGGAACCTACGCCAGCAGCTCGTCTACCTTCACCAGCATCGTCAACGCCGTATCCACCTACGCCGATGGATTCGTCAGCGAGGCGGCCAAGTACGTTCCCTCTGATGGTTCTCTCTCCGAGCAGTTCGACAAGAACACCGGCACTCCTCTCTCCGCCGTTCACCTGACCTGGTCGTATGCCTCCTTCCTGACTGCCACGGCCCGTCGCGCTGGCATTGTCCCTCCTTCATGGATTAGCAGCGGCGCCAACACCGTTCCCTCGTCCTGCTCCGGCACGACAGTGGCTGGTTCCTACTCAAGTCCCACAGCCACGTCATTCCCTCCGTCACAGACTCCCAAGACTGCGGCTACTGGCACCAGTTTCACTCCCATTGCCTGCGCTACCCCAACTTCCGTGGCTGTGACCTTCCACGAGCTTGCTACGACCGTCCCCGGCCAGACAATCAAGGTCGTTGGCAATGCCCAGGCCCTGGGCAACTGGAGCACCAGCGCCGGTGTTGCCCTGAACGCCGTCAACTATGCTTCCAACCACCCTCTGTGGATCGGACCCGTCAATCTCAAGGCCGGAGACGTCGTCGAGTACAAGTATATCAACGTGGGCTCAGACGGCTCCGTGACTTGGGAGGCCGACCCCAACCACACTTACACTGTCCCTGCAGTGGCCTGTGTTACCGCAGTTGTTAAAGAGGACACCTGGCAATCATAATGAACTAATAATAGGTAATAGGAATAGGAGGAGGAGGAAGGAAATGGCAGATTGTCAGTCACGCTTGCAAGTGTGTGTATATTAAATTTTTTAAGCTACATCTCTTTTTATGATCCCAAGAGAGACGAATATATGATGAAGGAATAGCGTTATTTCCAAACATTTTATGTGTCCCTTGTTTTAATTCTGTGAAAGAGACATTTGTTGTTAAAGTTGGTATGTGCGCAATCTTCCCATTGAGTGAGAAAAAGAGTCCTCATCTTCGTTGTTGTTTTGATTTGATAGGTCAAATGAAGACTTGTGGCTTGTGGCTGATTGCCTTGAGTATATATATACCTAATGACGAACCAAGAAAGGAACAAACAAATAAATAAACAACACGTGTACATCCTGATTAGTCGAAACCAGACGAGCTGCCCATGAAACCAAAACCCTCGTCTGCTTAGTGATTTCTCTTCTTGAACGCTACACATCTTTCTGTTCTTTCTTCTCCGGAATTTTCAATTTACATCATTTCTTTCCCTCTCCATTCCCTTTACGCAAACTCATCATCAGGGGCCTCAATGGAATTCTTCACCTTGACCAGGATGGCCGTCATCCACGGCTCCAACCTGCTCGTGCGATCAAACTGGAACAGGAGCTCGCCAAACTGATCCTGGTCGTGGGCCTCGACGGCGCCGCACAGGTCCTCAACCAGCTTGTACTTGTACTGGGAGGAGAACTCGGCGTCCTTTTGGCGGTAGCTCTCGACGGCGCGGCGGGTGCCGACCAGGTCGCCGGTGGCGAGGTGGCAGACGCCGGCCTTGAAGCAGTAGGTGGAGAGACTCCATTTCATGGTCTGGTTGCCAATCATGGAGTTGATGATGCGGTCGTAGGTTTCGATGGCGACGTAGTAGTCCTCGTCGAGGGCGGCGAGATCGGCGTATTGGGTGAATAGCTTGTTGGCATTCCTATAGAAGCGCCAGCTTGTTAGCTTAACCATGACCATAATACATCCAAGTAGCAGAAATTGTAGTTTCATGCTTTCACGCTGGAGAGGGAAAACACGCACAGTTCTCTCGCCTTCGGTAGCCGCTCAGCAGCCTCCTTGTAGGCCTCGCGCGCCCTCTTCAGATCCTTCAGGTCATGCTCATAAATCTGACCAAGGATCTCCTTGACTCTAGACAGCCTCGTCTGCTTGCTCTCGCTGGTCGACTGCTGGATCAGAGCAAAGGCTCGTTCTCGGCATCGGATCGCCGCCTCGGGATCATCTCTTCGGTAGGCGTCGGAGGCCTCGACGTAGCTGTCGGCAGCGTCGCCCAGTTCCTTGAGGCTCTTCTCTCGTACGGCGGCGGCTCGTTCGTATGTCTTGCCGGCCTCGATATCTGGGAAGAAGGGGCTCAAGAGTTAGTCGATGTATGTGATTGCGTTAGAGAGCAACAGATCCTTTATGATCTCATAGAGGGGCTCTCTCGGGGTGAAAGAACATGGTAGAAGCGTACTTTGGCCCTGTCGCTCGTATGCCTGAGCTGCCTCCTTGAATAATCGAGCAGCATCCCAGAATTTGTCGTCCGAGCCGCCCAGGAAGCTCCAGCCACCGCTGCCCTTTGATACGAGCTTCTCGGCCTGTCAAGTTAAAAGGTTAGCCAAGCCCAGTGGCTTCTCTGCCATCTTCCAAGAGCGGGCGCTGCGAGCTGGACGATAAGAAAGAGAGGCGTACCTGCTGGATTAGAGCCTGGGGATCTTCCATGATGTCGAGGATTCTGTGTGTAAAAGAGTATTAGAGTCGTGTGGAGGAGAAACGCTTGATATTAGTAGTAAGATGGAATCGTGGTAAGAAAGGCGATTGCGCTCGACTGGAGGTTAGTAACTGCCACAGCGCCTGTTAGGCGTGACCTGGAGCCTATGACGCTGCTGAGGTGGGGGCGAAGCACCTGAAGCAGCTGGTGCCGGATAAGGCCGGATCTGGCCTAAGCCGATTTTGATACCTCTGGATCGGCACATGGACAAAATTATTCACGATACACGCCACTCACTGAATCATTCATGCCGGCAGATCCTCAACTTCTAGAAGCTTATTTCATGTTTCCTCGATACGGCTGTGTGCTATAATCAATCGCTACAATGTCATTCTGTTCTAGATGCGTGAGGAAGAGCCTTCATCTTTGTCCTCGTCTTCATCCAAGAATCATCTCAGCTCCTCTATCATCCAAAGCCTCGCCATCTTCAACAGCTCAGGACATACTCTCCAAACCAACCTGGTCTGTGAGCTCTCTACTTCCATCTCAGTCACATGCCGAGTCTCCAGAAACCATCACTCCCGCTCAGCTTCATCATCTCTTGCGTCTATCAGCTCTTCCCTTGCCCAAATCCCCTGCCGAAGAGCAGTCAATGATTGAGACTCTCCAGAGTCAGCTGCAATTTGCGCGGGCTGTACAGAGAGTCGATACCTCGGGAGTGGAACCTCTTCGAGCCATTAGGGATGAGACCGAAGCTGCAACTAAAGAGAATACCATTGGCTTGGACGATCTAAAGGATGCATTAGCCAAAGAGGCCCTCGTGGGGCACTATCAACGGCCTCGTAGAGTCAAGGAACAGATCCAGTCTGATGCTGAGAACTGGGATGCCTTGGCTACGGCGTCAAGGAAAGCCGGAAAATATTTTGTTGTTGAGAGTGGGAAGAAGGCTGAGGCCGGGGAACCTTGAAAAACCCTTTTTCGTTGGGTAGGGCGTTTTCAGCCCTACTGTATATATTTCGACATATTCTTGGGTGTATTTGCCCTGGCTTACCCAACAATTTCTGTCTTGCAATGATACCCTTGATGACAAGCAATAAACAAATTCCCTAATTCCTAAACTCTCTCGAAACCAGTTTTCTGCATGTCCCGCAATCCATGCTAATATCAATCCTGAAACATAAAAAGGATAAGAAAAGAAAAGCATGTACCCTTTAAAGCCTGTTTACAAATCCGATCTTGATCCAATCCGGCTGTAGCGCGGTCATCTGAGTAGTTGAATTGAGTGCTATTTTGAGCTTTCTTGCTTCGTATCTTTCGGCTTCTGTTTGGGTATCTTTTCGTAGGCGTTCGGGCTTGGTGTCCTCTTCTTCTTGCCATTCGTTCTTCTGCCACGCTTGTGGCTGTGGCTGTGGCCATGATCATGATCATGATTGTGATTACAATCGTCTTTATCACCACCGACTTTCCGTTTACTTTCCGGCTCAGGGTCGGAGTCGGAGTCGGAAGATGATGAGTCTGAGGAAGATTCGTCGCTGGACTCGTCGACTTTCTTGGGTCGGTGGTAAATGCAGCATACTATGCGAACAAATACTGTTAGCTTCATCCGCGACTTTGTATAAGTGTAACATCCCGCCTTGGCGATACCAAGAATGAATAAATCGTATGGTACAGCTTTGGGCATAAGCAAACAGAAATCTCCTGCAGCCATGCGTACCTTTGGAGCTTTTCCTTCCTAGTCCTTCGTTGTCAACCACGTCCTCTGCCCACTGCACCGATCTTCCATTTGAGGTGTTCCCTCCTCGTAGCCGCAATACTCTCGGCGCACTCTGCGCTGTCTGTGGTGGATTTGTCTGTGTGGTTGTTTGCGATGCCGGCGGCGCCTGCGCGGCGCGCTCTTGCGACTGCGACATGGCGCAAGGTTCTGTGAGAAACCTGATTCTTTCTTGCTTGATAGTTTGTAGCAGGTCTATCAGTATCGCGCGAGTAAAAGTGAGGCTTATCGCATGGAATCTTAATGCGCTATCATGCAGAACAGAGAAATCTTTGACGTGGAGGGGATGGGAGAGAAAACGGAAAAGGGATGTCGTGTGACGGGTTTTGTATGCGCAGATGTCATCAGTGGGCAAGAAAAAAAGAGAGCTAGGAACAGGTAAGTTGCGCCCCGCGGCGTCTTTAGTCAGGTGGCGTCACTGATGCTCTGGATCTGGAAAGTATCGCCAAAAAATCACCACTCGCTTATCATGCTACTTCAGGTACATGTCCTCACTTCGGCACTTCCTCTCGTGTATAATTTAACATTTAGTCTATTCCAGTTTGTATTGCTATCCATGTCTATATAAACTAATAGCGTTCAGATGTGGTCATATAATAATACATTCCTCATAATGATATTGTACAGCAGTGGTGATATTGTTACACGCATTCATTTCCGCCATGTGACACCAAATTACGCAGCCTGGTGCTCGCCCCTTCGCTTCTTTTCCAGCTTCTTTGCCCCCTTCATACTTCTCCTCGGCCGGCTCTTCTTCTGGTCCGCAGTCTCTCGTGGCTTGTTGTTCAGCCACCCGTTTATTGGCTTTCTTGATCCCACAAATTGGCCGAGCGGAGAGTAGACATCCACGGCCGGCCACTCTGGCGACTCTTCGGGCTGGAGTTGAACCTTCGTCTCTACGACCTTATCGGCAGACATATCCCTTCTCATGTTGTACATATCAGCAAAAGGGTCGGTATTCTCCTGCGGCGCCGCCTTGAGCTTCGTCTCCTGCTTAGCTTCCGCGGGCGCATTTTGAGATGCAAGTATGCGCTCCAAGTGTCGCTTGCGAACTTGAGCCACAATCTCCACATACCCGACGCCCTCGATGAGTATGTCCACGGAAAGCACACGGAAAGGAAGAGTATCGACACTCAGCCCAATCGCGTTCTTTCGGGTCAAAGGTCCAGCCCTCTTTTTGGTCACATCGTGTTCGAGTTTGAATGTGCCAGCATGCTTCATCTTATCTCCAATATCAGGCAGTGCAATGTTTTCAAGGCCGATGGATTGGCGGGTCTGATTTTGAAACTCAATGGCCTTGTCCGTGTTCGTAAGATGCTCGTGGAGTGGCGTGAAATTATACATTAAGAAAATCATGTCTGGTGTCCGTGGCGTTATCCGAATCAGCCCTCCGCCGAGGACTATGGAGCTTCCAGGCTTGACAGTGATCTGCTCGGGAACAATGCGCTTCTTCATGATAAGAGACTGCCTATGTTCTTCTTTCACATACAACTCAAGATCACTGCGCGCTAATCCAGGCAGATCTATGAGCTCTCCTTTGCCATTGCCGAAGGGAATGCGGATAGGAGACGCAGTTGTTCCAGGAAGAGATGAAACGATTGGCATATCTGGGTAATTCTTGGCTGGTTGGGGAGGTGGGAGCAGAGAACCCAGATTGATTGTTGCCAGATCTTCGTCGCTTTCGAAGCCGTTCTCATCCATCGTTGAGTTAGCTGTGGCGGCTTCCCTTTGGCGTGTTGATCCACCAGCCCGCTCGGGCTTTTCGATCATTCTACCCTTTGGGTAAATGGCTTCAAAAAGCTGACTTTTTCCAACATTGACCTTGCCCACCATCCATCCAGCACCATCGCGGTTCCAGACATCTTCCTTGACTGTCGTTGTCCACCACCCTCTTCTCGCGCTGACGCACCTGACGTTTCCGAGGCGGACCCGCTCACCAACTCTGCCCAAAGCCTGGCGCAAAACATCTTTGAGGTAGGGCATCATGGCATCTACCATCTCTTTAGTTGGGCCCAAGAGGTCGCTCCTGGTAATAATGAAGCTCATCTCAGTCTTGCGATCATGCTGAAACTTGCCCGCTCGAGACCGTCGATTGCGCGTGCGTAGGGGTACATCTCCAAGTAGCACATTAAGCCGTGGAATGAGAGACATGGGGAAGTCGGCGGCGTCAATGACATGATAGATGTGGTTGTATTTGTGAGGCGACTCTTCAATGGTCTCACGCAGAGACTCGACTGTTGGATGATACATTGCAACCTTTGCAGTGTCGCCTTTGGTACTGTGATGTAGCAAGTCATGGCAGCGGTCGCAAACAGGTGCTTTTTGTGAAGTTGCTGTACAAAAATTAGTATGAAATCCCATCTGGAATCTGAAGCTGAAAGCGTTGACGTACTGTTCTTGACCTCGGTCTCTGGCTCGCCACCTTCCATAAGCATGGCAGGATCCAGACCAAGTTCTTTTAACCTGCTCTGGTCAAAAGATCCGAGCGTCTCATTGACAATCTTATCTTCATCTCCTTCCAGAGGATTTTGATGCCGTGTAGGAGGATTCATCCATTCTCTCACTCTCTTCTTAGAAACATCCAGATATCCCAACTGCTCTGGATCCTCAGTTTGCGTAAATGCGCCACATCCTGAACACGTCAACGGCAATCTTCGCACCGGTTTGAGTGGTAAATTCGAAAGATTCGATGGCGGCGGCGCTGATTCGTTGTTGTTGGTGATAGTTTCGGTGTGATTTGTTCGTCGTTGAGAAACCTTTGCTGCAGCTCCCAGACTTATACGTGAGAGCCTGCTTGATAGACCTGCAACCGCAGGACACAAGTACAGCGGCACTCCTGCTGAAGGTACAGCTTCACCCACTCTCAATGTCTGCCGAAGCAGACGTCCCGTAAGAGCCCTATGCATCCTCGTCGAGATGATTTTCGTGGATCATAAATTTCAGTTCCAGAAGTTTTTTCTTGAAAAAAGGACCCTTCTAAAAACGACCTTCTATAATCTCAGTGAGTGACAGTGCAGCCCCCCACTGTCGCATGGTTCACCCCACCATGGAAAAAAAAGAGAGAGCGCCGGATGATTAGCCGGCCCGCCAATCTCCAACGGGTGCGATTTTCTTGAAGTGGGATTATGCTCTCAGACGATATTGCATGTAGATTGACTGAGAGTTGCGATAATTGCTGCGCATCAATCCCCGTCAGTAATTGAGTCCTCGCAGCGGTCGAGGCGCAAAGACACAGTCCAAAATGAGGTCATTAGGAGAGCGGTTAAACCTGCTCCGAAAGGTAACACCCTGAATTCCATCATTTATACCATAGCAGCATCGTTCGCTAACCAAGAGCTGTTATAGAAAGTATGAATATCTATACCAACCCCTCCAACTACCGCCGCTCTGATAACGACATCCGACTTACAATTTTACTCAACAGCTCATTAACATAAGATGCGGTCCCGGCGCAGCTGTCCTCCCCTCAGAGGTCACCCGGATACACATGGACTTTGCCATCAGCTTGAAGGGCGGCCACATGGGAGCTAGGTTCGTGCCAATTCACATCTCTCACGGCAACAATAAAGACTCGTACCTCTAATACAAAAGCCATTCAACAGAAAATTCTGGAAGGAATACCTCCCCCGCCTGAAATACCACAACCCCTCCATCCCCATGATCGTCAACCGCCACGACCAGAACCAGCTCTCCCCGACAATGTCCATCTACCTCCGCAAATCCGACGCCTCACCCGCCGCTTCTTCCGAACCTCTCGCCCAGCCTTCATCATCCCGGACGAACCTCTCCAAGGCGCAACCCCCGACTGCGGACGAGCGCGTCGTACACATTGACATGGCCAACAAGCACTCATCACACATCCTCGAGTTCTTCATGGCCGAGACCCGCGCTGTTCCTCTGCAGCCTACGACCGAGGAGATTGTCGAGATGCAGGCCCTCGAGACACTACGAAAGAATGCCGACGTCGACCGTGAGCGTGTACGACAGCTGAGACTAGAGAAGAAGAAGGAGGAAGATATGCTGAAGCGAGCAAGAGCTGCGGGTGGCATGGCAGAGCAAGAGGAGGCATAAAAAAAGAAATCAAGGTAGACAATTGTACGATAAGCGTTTTTGAGTATATGGCAATGTGTATCGTCCAGGAAAAAAAAAACCTATGGGCCAGATGTAAAATAATGACATATGCTAAAATCCCCAAAACAGTATCGCAGACGCTCGATGTGGCTAAGATACAAAAACATAATCCAAGGGTATATATACTATGTGATGCCCAAAACTACTCTAGCCAGTGACAATAACATGTACTTGAAACTGAAGCATCAGCCTACCCCATGACAAATTGGAACTTCAGAGCTATAGATGCTATTTTCCAACGTGCAACACCGCAGCCATCTGAATCGCCAATGATTGCTCACAGATTATTTGAGACCGAAACCTTCGCTCTCATGAACGGCTCTCCATAGCATAGACTCCAATTTTTCCTTTGAATCGTAACGCCAGAGAGACAGCATATTGAAACATGTTCTGGCAATGGGGTATCTCCCACAATCATCGCCCAGACAAGACAGTTTGATTGTCAAAGAAGCGGCCCCCATCGCTGGTATGCGGTCGCTGCCGGTAATGAATGTCAGCATCTTGCGCTGGTCACTTGGGGTAGCCTGTTGGAACGTCTCCCAGAACCAACTAACAACCGGCTCTGTTTCATCAGGGGTTTTGCTCTCCCAGTTATCATATTCTGCGACGGCTCTCAGAGACGCAATATCGAGGGGCTCATCAGAACCTCTGATAAGGAGTTCGATTTCTTCGGGCTGGAAAAGTGAAAAGGCATTGCCACCACAAACCGTGTAGAAACCTCTCTTGAAGGGCTCAAACTGTCGCTTGACTGCTGTTTCAAGCACATATCGCACATAGAGATCGACATATTCTCGCCGATTTTCATTCGTCACAGGTTTGTTTTCGCCCCCGGGGCAGAGAGGTACTTGTACCTTGGAGCCATATTTGTCAGTTTCAATGACAAAATCTAGGCAAAATGTCTCTTCGACATCTCCATCAAAGGCCAAGAGTTGTCTTAAACCGTTTGCCAACCGCGGGCGATATTCAGATAAATCATCCAGTGTATATCTTATCACCGGTCGATGCTGCTGTGGCATTGTTCCAGCAAGTGAAGGAGCCGATGCAAGAAGCTTTCTGAATGCAAGCGGAGGTAGAGCAACATCCAAAATAGTAGAATTGTAAATAGCCAAACCCATGACAACGCCAACCAAGAAGAACTGGTCAGAAGGTTCAAACGAGTTGGGGTTGAAGTAACAGTATTGAGAGTCGTCATCATAGATAAACATTCCTATATTCGAGTTAGATGAAAGGCATAGATTGAAGAATCGTATGCAAGGACATCTTACCATAGTCGGGGTTGAACACTTCACGAATGAGGAGCAAGAACCATTCTTTACGAAGGCCGCCTGCGTCGATTCCTTCCTCCCCCTGAAATGAAATGCGTAAACCTTTCTTTAGATCCTCGCCGCCACTGCCAATAACGCTGCTTACTGCTGTTAAGCTGTCATCAACAAGGCAATCTCGGCGGATATCGAGAAACAAGTATTGGTTGATGTTTCTTCGAGTCATGATACTATCAAAGAAAGCATCTCGCGCCTTGCTCTGCATTTGCCGGCGGGCATCATGCTCCAGGATGTGAGTCTTGGCCCATATACTCAAAAGAAAGGGATACTGGCAGAAAGAAAACTTGCTCCTCTTAGACTCCCAAGACTCAAAGTCGTCGATAAGGTCGGCATAGTCAATCATGGAATTGTAGAAATCAGTGGGCGGCAGAAAGTAACCGGCGACGCGGCCGGTCCCGTTCCAAGTGACCGTGCCATTAGAGTGAGCGTCTTCCCCACGACGAGTGGGCAAAAAGTTATTTGCAGAAAACAATAAAGAAAGAACGCGGGATGCAGCCTTGATTTGCCAGTCGTCTGAGTAGGATATCTTTTTGATTGGCTCTTTCGGCTTCTTCGCGGGCCTAGGACCGCCTATCGCATCATGAAGAGACGCACTACCGTTTCGTCCATATTGCATTTGTGGTATCAATCCGGCCGTTAGATCAACTGACTGGTCAGCTTGCTTTTTTTCGCTCTGTCGAATCATCCTGTAGGTCAAGAATCCTGATACAAGCTCTTTCACTTTGATAAAGCGCGGGGCATGGTATCTAGCCAGCCAAGTTACCATTTGATTCTGACACTCTACCGATGAATTGGAGATTAATCCCACTATTCGTTTGATGATACCGGAATGTTGTCCTGAAATGGGGCCAGAGTTTCCCACAGAGTCTTTCGACGTCAGGGGTCTCGATCGCATGGACTTGTTTACTTCTAACTGAAGTACTCCATGGTAATGTTCATTCTCCGCATAGAGGGACGGATTCTCCATGATAAATAGGAGGAATCGCAAATCCATTGGATCCTTAACCGGACGCCCGGGTCTTTTGAGCAAATTTTCTGTAACTTTAAGCAGCACTCGCTGAAGATGAGCCTGCCCTTTGAGAACATCCTGTTCAATAGCAAGAAGCTCCTGTTCGGCAAGACTGCCCAAAGAAAGATCTCCTGAGATTTCTTCAAAGATTTTGAACCAGTCCTCTGCAGCATTATTCACAATCGAATACCACTCATCGATATCGGCCCAATTGAGCTGTGGTGATTTCGTTAACGGAGGTGGCCGATGAACATGAGCTGGCTCCTCTTTAGCAGCATGTTTCTTAGGAGCCATGCTGTCCTGCCCAGTCCACCACAGCCCATTTTCCGCAACGTCGCCAAGCATTAGCAGCCTTGGATCCAAGTCAAATATAGGAGAGTCAACCTCCATCTGAGATGGCCTACGAGGCGCACTCTTTATCGGCGTTGGTTGACGTGTATCTTTGACGGGGACTGACGGCCGCCGGGGGGTATCGCTTGTAGATCTCGAGGCGTACCGAGGATGCTGGGTGGAAAAGGAAGAATTGATGCATTCAAAATTACTAAAACAGCTCGTAATGTAATCTTCTAATGGTTTGAATATCTTTCTAGGGTCATCAGTCTGGCCAGCAGACCGATCTCGTGAACGAGGGGCGGCATGATTGCTGTTTGGTGGTGGGGCTCTTTGGCCAGGCTGCTGCTCGGAGGGAGAGGAGGGATATGATCTAGACATAGCAATCTGAGGATTACTACTCGGGGACCCGTGATGCAACGTTGGGTCTTCGCCGAATGTATAATTGGTGATTGAGCCCTTCCTCCCCTGAGGGATTTCCAGTGGCCCGCGGGTACGTACGGCGAGATCCGGATGGAGTCGATCTTGGTATGAAGGTCGATCATCGCAAGCCTGCTCAGTTGCAGCTTCATCTGACATGCTGCGAAGCCTCCTGAGTACATAGAATCGCAGATTTTGCCTGACCAGATGCTTGGTTTGGTCGAGAGAGATAGGCAGAGTAAGATGGCCAAAACTACCCGTCCTGGAGCTTTGTATTGGTACTATGCCCGGAGGAACTGGCGGTTGTCTCGAAGTTGATGGCCCTGGGCTTCTGTCATGGCGCTGCTTCGAGTTTTGGCTATCGACACTAATCGGAACCAAGTCATTGATGGTCATACAAATGGTACATTTGAAGACCTTCAAGTCCTTTGGCCACTTTACAAGAGAAGCACATGTCATGCAGTTGCCAGTGGCAAAGTCCCTGCTCCTGGCAGGACTACCTCGCCGATGTGTATTCACCTGCTTGTTCGGGGCAGGGCCTACGTTCGCCTTACCCGCGTCGACAGAGGGTTTTGATGTCGAGCCTTGCCTCTTGCGGCTGCCAAAGAGCGACGGGAATGGGTTGCTCATGGAGCGAGAGTGGTTTGATGTGCGGCCGCGGTTCTGCTGCGAAGATTCGGCGTCGGAGTCGGACGAGCTGTAGTCGGGTTTCGCACGCGAGTGGGTGGTCTTGGACATGCCAAATCGTCCGCTCAGCGAAGTCGGTGTATCGAGAGCGTCTGAATGGAGTCGGCTGATGATGTCGGTCTCGTCTCGAGGAGTAAACTCAGACCCGCGCCGGGTAGTGACAGCAGGAACTGGGGGAGCCATGTCTGCGGTTGCTGAGGCGTCCAACGTCCAAGTCAAAGATCTAGGTATGATACGACGCTGGTACTTCTGGCTGTTGCGACGGACAGCGGCAGTCGCATCTGAGCATGAAGAAGGCAGAAGGCGTCAATGTATAATCGGAAATACGATCAGCCAAGTACAAGTGCTGCGCCAGGCATACGAGTACAGGCACTAGCAGCTGTGCTTCATGCTTGTGTGAAGCACAGCGCACAGGGATGGTCGATGATGAGGACCAGGGGCCCTAGGGAGGCTCGGCCCCCTTTGGTTTGATGAAGCGAGTTATGGAGACGTCACCGGCTGGATGTCGAGAAGTAGCAACCTAGTGGCTTATGGCTTTTGTCGAGAAGGAGTCGTCTGTACGAGCGCTGCTCGTGGCGGCGAGCTGATGGCTGGATCGACAGGGGTTGAAGTTTATATTTTCTGCTTCACGACGATGGTGTCGAAAGGTCGGGGGGACCCGACGAATGAGGCGCACGTGCGTGGCCCAATTAGAAGCACGAATAGAATAAATTAAAAGACAATGGAATTAAGCATGGGTTTGCCATTGCTGGACACGTCCATCCCTGTCCCAGACATGGGGAAATTGGTCATGGGAAGAGACAAAAGAAAGCAGCATGAAGAGACGGCGGCCCAAGGCTGCTCCGCAAAAGCCATGATCGAGGCTGGTCCTCAGAACTTTGTTTCCCCTCCAGCGCTTATCAAATACCGGCCGGCCCCTGACGCCATCCTGAGACTCCGGACGCTTAGCGGGTTCTAGCGCCAGACTCTTGCCTGATCCGACATTAATGGCTAAAAGTGCCGCTGCAGCCCCCAAATTCAATTCCAGCAGTCTTCTGCCATCATTCATGCAGGCGATGAAGCTAATCTGCGTTCGGGTCTCCAAAAGGAGTTTCTGATATGCAACTCCACAAAATCTACTTGACTTTTCTCTTATTTGCAGCAGGCTGTTACACACTGGCTTGCTGTAATTGGTTTCGTCAATGTCTCTACGAGGCCTCTGTAAGATTTTCACGGGCAATTGGAATTCTACTTTGTGTGGGCGATTCGCTCGTGATGTCATTGATGCAGCTATATGTAACTGAATTGTCCACAAGTGCTCCCTAGAACGCAAAACTATACTGAGTGCCTGTTGCCCACCGGGTTTAAGATGAATGCCTAGCTCTCTGCAAAGATGCCGCTGAAACTCTCGCCATCTCAATCCAGCAGCTCAATGGGTGTGTTTTCCCTTGGTGAAAGCCTTGCCTTGGTGGTAGGAGAGTGATGGGAATTACGACGCATCTAATGCTCGCCTTCAATGAGTGCATCCAAATCGACTTCCATTTCAAATAGCCGAATAGCAGGAGTATACCAGGTATCTGAATGCTTATCCGCAGAAACTCCTTTCAAAATTGCTTTTCCAAAGAGTGTAGTATCTGAACAGATGGGCCCTTTTACCTGGAACTTCTGCATGCCATCGTCGGACACGATGTTAAATTTACCATACAATCGTGCCAAAATACGACAGTCTTTCTCAAGTATGAAACGAGTTTCTCCGAAACAAATCCCGACTCTAGTCGGATTCTGTATGAAGAAGACGACTTCAATCTCGTCGTCAATTCGGCGAACGGTAGATATGAGAGTTTTAGCAAACCCCATCATGTCCAGTCGTATAGATATGGCAAGCTTATGGCCCTTGTCATCGATTTTCAATGCAACAGCAGGGCCTCGCCCTTCTAGTTGGCTTTCATCTCTAGGCCGAGGGATAACGTGTTGAATGAAAGCCTTGAATCCATGCATATTCCAAATCTTGAAGCCTTCGAGATTATAAAATGCCACATTAGTCTCGGTGAGGAAGACATTGCCAGTTTCCAAGTCTGCTTCTCCAACCAGGAGCTCATTGTAAAGCAGAGACACCTTCGTAGAGCTAGTCCAGCCGAGATCAATACCAGGGGCGGGTTTGACACACACAAGGAGATTTGTGGTACTATAGGTCGTAAGTTTATTGAAGATAGGATACGTGACGTTGAATGAGATTATTTGACGGGGATACAAACCTCTTAGTAGGGTCATAGAGATAAAGGGACAGACTTTTCGCCCTCCCTTTTACTGGAAGCACTTCCATATTGATCGGTATAGCTCAATATTGAGAGAAATGATTCACTATTTTGCCGTCAGCGAAATTTCCAGAAAAAACTTTTCTGACAAGTCCAAAACTTTCAATTTTGCATTCTTGTTCAGATCAAGAGCGGGTAAAGCAGAAGGAGCTCATTCACCTGTTATTATATGCGTAAGCAAAACTTTGTGTGTGTTGGAGAATCTCCCCTCGCCTATCCTTCAGAAGGAGGAATGCAAAGTAGAGAAAGAAAGAAAGGAAGGAAGAAAGGAAGGAAGAAAGGAAGGAAGAAAGGAAGGAAGAAAGGAAGGAAGAAAGGAAGGAAGAAAGGAAGAAAGAAAGGGAGGAAGAAATAAAGAGGGTTGTGTTCGCGAGGAGTTCTTTTATAGTATCTCTTCGCAGCCGGCAGCAGTGCCCTCTCGGACTGGCAGTCTACCGAACAGCTGCCGACTCTCCACTGCATAAAATCTCGTAGCCTTGGCCAGGCTGATATACTTTGGTGTAGATAAAATATCTGCCCTCGTTGATTGTTTATGGCTTCCCTTGATTAAAATTATGTTCACGGCATCATATAGCTTTTGTCCTCAATGTATCATGCTTCATAGTAACTACTACTCCAGTATTTTATTGAGATTATTCAGCTATTTGCTCTAGAGCCTTCGGTTTCCAAAACCAACGATAGATAGATAACCATGAGTCAAGAATAACAATCTTCGCAACTGCGTATCATTTTGACCGAATAGAGAGCAAATGTTCGCCATGGTCAGCAATATCACCAATGTCGTCATCAACAGTAGCGCCGTGATTGGCATCAAGATCTAGCTCATCCAGGTTGACTTCAACCTCAAATAGCTTAATAGCATATTGCTGCCAAGACTCTTCGCAGTCCTCGAAATGTTCTCCTTTAAGAGTCACCACCCCAGAAATTCCACTTTGAATTTGTCCGCCTAAGTTGACTTCGAATTCACCGGGAACAAGATCGAGACCTCCGGCCACCTCTCCAACTGTTTGCTGACCTTTCTTGAGTATGAAGGTACCGTATTCAAATTGGAGCTCAAGGGAGCTCAAATTCGTGATTTTCATTGTGATGCTGATTTCTTGGCCATGGATTCTGAGATTTGTGACAGCCGCTCTCATTCTCATCATGTAGCTGGGGTCCATGGATATGGTAAGGGTATGACCATTTCGGGAGACGCTCAGATCAGCGGAGGCAGTATATTGGCTGTCCATCTGGGTATCGACATCCTTCTTTGGCATAACGTCCTGGAGAAAAGCTTTGAATGCTCGCGTGCTTTTAATTTCCATTTCAGGCTCCGAGCCTTCACCCCAGTTGATTTTCATATTGCGTTCGTCATCCAACATCATTGGCATGTCTGGTACCACAATTTTGCCGATCAAGGTATGGCCATACTTGAGGCAAACCTTGACAGCAGTAACCCAACCGATTTCAAATCCAGGGTCGACTTTGCCCTCAATTTCAACACAGAAAGCCCTATAAACTTATATTAACAACTAATAAGTGTAGATAGATGCCTTGGCAGATAACATAACTCACGTCAGAGAACGGCTTACTATGAACAGTCGGTCGACGCTCATGCTGCCTTCCATCTTCTCATCAGACCAGTCGTGCCAAAATGCCATTTTGGGAGCGTTATATTCCTCTTGAGTATCTGGATGACGATGAGTATTAGAAAAAAACAGTATTACTTCGGTAATGTTATTTAGAGCAAACCTTTTAGCTGATCTGAGAAAAGCTGAGTTCCAAATGAAGAAGAGAGAAATATCCCCCCACCGCTTGTAGCTGCGCTTTGGTTTCTTTTTACTGCGGCATTCGCGGTCGTGTTGAGCACTTTTGAGAAAAGAAAAAACGAGGAAGAAAAAGGAACGTGAATGACTTATTTATAAGACACGATCCAGCAACATTCACCTGGCAGCTGATGTGGCTGGGGGCACTTCGCTGCTCGGTTTCTTGCATCAGCTGCAGATTTGAGTCCCGATGGCGGAACTATCACAGTAAATCTTTTCCCTTTGGCCTATTAAAGCTACGCTGCCTATTAGTTTCCTTGCGTAACTGACACAGTCGTGACTGGCAATCCAGGGCCGAAAAGAGACACGCCAGTACAAGAATCGCATCAATAATATGGACTTATATAGATGTGACTACCTATTAACGACACTCCAGAAACAGAGAGCAGTCTGTAAAATGACTGGTAATGTTGAAGAGATCGTCTCTAAAAAATCACAATTATACTATGCCTGCTTCACTATACTGTATTCAGGGATCTATGATGTCCTCTTTGGTGGTTTTGTTGGAGGGGGAAAACTGCATGTCGGATATATCATGCAGCAAGCATTTCGTGCAGCTAGCATTGACACCCCTATGGCACTAGGAGTAATAGGTGCTCAGCTAACAAGACCAGCCAGCAGCTGCAGGGATTGTTGTAATCTAAATGTTTGAGTTCCGTTAGCACACTGGAGTGGTATAGTGTTACAGCTCGCAATGTATCGAGGATCGATGTCTCTGAGCTGTTGCCGCGCTGCGATGCAGATGGGGGTGGCAAAAGTTAGTATGAGGTCATTGAACAAGAGCTGAAAAGATCACTTTGCATGTTCTGGAATATTGAGGCGAGGAAGGATATCAATTGAGCCAATTTCAACTCTCTATCAACCTCTTCAAAATCTGCCGGGGCTCCCAGGAGCTGGATCGGCCAATCACCCGTTCTTCAGATTTCCTTCTTCACTCGACATATTCAATGGTCCCTTCACCAGAGTGCACGTCTCACATGTAAGCATAAAAGAAAATTATCTCGTTGATGGCAAACATTGACCCTGATGCAAATGATTTCCGAGGATCTAACCTCCAAGAACTCCCACGATATCCCCCCTCACGTCCCAATTTTCTTCATGAGTGGACTCATGGTGAGGATTGCCTCACGTTTTTTAGACTACATGCCGTTGTCTTAATGCGCCATGCATCATAAGAATGTGTTAACCCCGAAAGAGACAGAATTCGTTTAGGAAGGAGGAGCAGCACCACGTCCACGGCCAAAGCCACCACGGCTGTAGAGAATAAAAAGTTAGCCAATGTCCCAAAATCAATCCCAGAGTTCAAGTCGTGTAAAATCCATCGTCTAAAAGAAGTAAAGAGAATGCTTACAATTGAGGAGCAAACTCGCCGGGAGCACCACCCTCCTTGCCCTCACCAGCATCCCTTCTTCGGTATCCACCCTCACGGTCACCACGGTCGCCGCCACGTCCACGGCCGAAAGGTCGTCGCTCACGCTCGCCCTCGCCGAGCATGCCACGGGGAGGAGCGTGTGATCGCTGCTGCTTGATGTGGGTAGCAGGAACGATCTCGGCAGGCAGGTGAAGCCATTCCCGGAGGTAGTCGAGACCCTCGGGGGTCAGGGTGTAGTAGTAATATTGCCAAGAAAACTGAGTCTTGACATAGCCGCGGGAAGTGAGGGACTGAGCAGCCTTGATGACGAACAGGTTCTTGGTGTCAATATCGGGGTGCTTGGGGAGGTTGAAGTCCTTCTGCGCGACGAGGACACCCTCGCGGAAGAGGTACTACCAGACAATTGTCAGTGACACCCGGACGCTGTAGTTTTCTTGCAGCAATTCCTCAAGCTCGCACTCGGGAATGCCTCTCATCGTCGAAAAATACCTCGTGAATCTTCTTGCGGTCGGCCTTGGGAATCAACATCGTGGCGGTTGCTGCTCGGAGGGTCGATGTTGGAAAGTTGACGGATTTGCGGACAGGCGTACAAAACCAAAGATCTCGAATTGGATAACTTTTGTGGGCGGAAGCCCTACCAGAAATTCCACCTAGCGAAGTGGGGGTCCTCGAAAGTGTGCGTTGTGGCTTGAGTCACGTGTAGATAGGCGTCGGTCGATAGCGAGAGCTGGCGGCGCGGGAAGTGTGGCGCAGGCCGCACTCACATGACGAGCTTTGCTGACCGTTGCCGCCGCTACCAAGTTCTCTACGGGTGCAGAGGGATCACGGCGTTCTGCATCGCAAACTTCTTGCCTGGACATCCCCCCAACGGTGACCGAATTTCGAGTTCTAACCCTAGTTCTGGCAGCGGACCGTATTACAAGCGTCTGGGCTCTCGTCTCTCAACGCGCCGACATCATTCATTCAACCTCTGCTAGTCTGCAGTTTTACAGCGATCGCATCACCGTATCCATCATCTCGCAACAATGAGCGAGCATCTCAACGTCCTCATCTCGACCTTCAAGGGTCTTGGCCTTCCGCCAACCCTGGTCTTGCGCGCGCCTCCATCCACCACAATCTCCTCCCTACGAGACCTTATCGATGAGAAGATTCCTACCGGCGCCACCGAATCCAAATTCATCCTCACAACACACTCAAATCGGCTTTTGCCCCAGACATCAGAAACACCAATTTCCACATACCTATCCTCAAATGACGATGATTTCATTAACTTGCGCCTCACCATCCCCCTCTGTGGTGGAAAGGGTGGTTTCGGATCTCAGCTCCGAGCTGCCGGTGGCCGAATGTCATCCCGCAAGAAGCAAAAGCAAGACGATAGCGGTTCAAGCCGAAATCTGGATGGTAGACGGCTGCGTACTGTTAATGAAGCCAAAGCTCTCGCGGAGTATCTCGCCATCAAACCAGAAATGGAGAAGAAGGAGAAGGAGAAGCGACGCCAGCGCTGGGAAGAGATCGTGGACATGGCAGAAAAGAGAGAGGCGGAGATCAAGTCTGGCGGTAGGGGGAAGCTGGATGGCCAGTGGGTCGAGGACAAAGAAGAGAGCAACGAGAGAACTCGCGATGCTGTGTTGGCTGCCATGAAGTCTGGAAACTACAAGGATAACCTAATCAGCACATCTCACGGGTCTGCTTCTTCTGAGCAAAACAATGGCCAATCTTCAAGCGAGGCAGAGGATTCCGAGAGCTCAAAAGAAGCTACTCCTCCTGCAGAAGCTGCTGTACCTTCAAAGGCGAAAGCAAGAACCTTTTTCGGCTTCGATGAAGACGATGAATTTATGAGCTCTGATTCGGAGGATGAGAGCGAAGAGAAGTCTTGATGATGGGAATACTTTGGCGAATTTGTGATTGAAAAGCAACGATGGAGTTCAGGATAATATGGGATACGGGCGCTGTTGACAATTTGATAAGATACCAGTATGGCTAATATAAATACCTCTTTTGTACACTGTTTGTAATCCTAGCTATATGCACGTCATGTACGTCATGACTGCAGGTGCGTAAATACAAAATACTACCATTTCACAGAAAGCGCTCAGAGTTTCAGCGTATTGCTTGCGAATTGACTACTATTTTTTTCTTGCAATACACGCGCAGCTTGGCTGCTTATTCTATGTGAACACCCATACATATATACCCCGCCAAGTTAAATATGAGCTTTAAGCATCAAGCTTCACGGGGAAGTTACCAGCCTCTGCAAAGGGGGAAAAGTCAGCTTCAAATAGCAAGTTTGCATGTAATTGAAACATACCGCGCTGCTCGTCCCATCGCTGGTACCATCCGGAGGGGCACAGTGATCGGTAGGCCAACCAGAACTGCTCAATTGATCAGCATCCCACCCTAAATTTCAAGGTTCCCCCCATCTCCGTACCTGACGGCAAGGCGCAAAGTCCTCTCCCTTGGCGATGATGCACTTGTGGTAGTCGACGTAGTTCTGCCAGCAGTGCTTGGTCTGGTTCACGTTGGGGAAACGGGCATCAGTGCCTGCGCAGAAGCATTCGAAGTTAGCGACATATCCAACAGCGGGACCTCCGGCGACGGTTTGGGGAAAAAATCCTGGAAGCTATTCCCAAAGCCACGGGCAGCTCGCAATCGGCGGCGCTGCAATTGATCGAGCTGCTCGAGCTGGTCGTTCGTCGTTCACGTATTAGGGGAGTTGTATCGGGACGGTCTCACCAGCTGCAAAAACGCCGTTAGCCTCGGGTCAACTTAAGATCAGACCACTTTTTTGGAGAGTGAGAGAGGGGATATTTTGAAGTCTGCCGTACCAGTGACAAACTTGAAGGGCTTGGTGACAAGCTCCTGGCCTTCCTCGTCGGACATGATGAATTAGATTCGCGTTTGGCGGCGGGACGGGTGTTGTGCAGGCGACAATGGGGAGCGATTCAAGGCGGGCGCTCTGGGGAAAGGGTTTGGGGTGGGAGATTTCGCTATGCGTCGAATGTTGGCAAGCTTTCCGAATCAGATGTTCCGGAGGTGAAAATGTGTGCCTCAGGCCCCCCGCCCGGCCAATGGGACCCGGCTGCTTTTGGGGTGGGCGAGGAAAGTGGGCCAATTTGCTGATGTGGGAATTACACCATGAGATAGATACTTGCCTTTCGCTCGGCCCACGTCGCTTCGAACCAAACATTTCCTCGCAATCCGCTGCAATCCCATCGCCTCGAAGCATCTCGGCCGAAGCCCTCTCCGCTCTCATCACAATGCGTCCTACTCTTGCTCTTCGGGCCTTCCGCCCCACGGCCCGCATGATGCGACCCATCCCCGTAAGTGCAGCTGTTTTAGAGACGAGCCGTAAAAAAGATTCGAGATCCGGCTAACCTTTTGGCGGTTATAGAAGGAGGACCAGGCCGGTATGTGACACCAATTGATGCTCTCCGAGCACTGCGACAACCCCGGCGATCATTACTGACGGTTTTATCTCAAGGCCACACCGTCTCCCAGCGCCTTCGCAAGCTCAAGCAGATGCCCGCTGAGCTGTACCCCCTCTGTACGAAAAGACTCACCAGCTCTCTCCTCCCCCGCGCCAAAAAGATCCGATCTTCTAACATGTGAAAACAACTCGTCTTTAGTCGTCGTCGTCGGTTTTGCCCTTGGTGCCGCTGCCTACTCCTGCAGCCGCAAGTTCTTCGTCGACAAGAACCTGCGTCTCTCCCGACAGGGCGCTGCCGCTCGCGCCGCCCAGAGCGAAGGCCACGGCGAGCACTAAATTTACCAAAAGATTGTTCAACTTTTTTTTCCGAGAAGCAATGTTCTCGCCTGTGTCATCTTTTACCGCGTTTGCTTAGGGTTTCAGATGGGAGGGGGGATTCAAAACTGTACATGTCGAGAACAGTTAGGACAGAGCACCGATGAGAAACACAGCTTGCATGTTGTTCTTAAAACTTGGAATCCCATTCATGTAAAAAAGAATACTGTATCCCATGACATGGTCCCTCTAAACACCGTCGCTATGCAAAAACATCCAAGTAAAGCCCATGTAGCCCTCTTCCAAGTCAATATCCATCCATAGCCCCTTGGAGGATCACTCCGGTTTTGGCCCTGCAACATCCAGCCCCTCGAGGCCTTGCATAGGATCCGACGCTGGCTCCTCCAGGTTTGCCTGATTCGCGACGTCATCCTCTGCCGCGTGCTCAGCAAGCCAGCTCTCCTGTAAGCGTTGAAGCATTAGCATCCTGTAGATATCCAAACGTAAAGGAAAAGAAGTAGTAAATGGGGGGGAAAAAAAGAAAGGAAAAGAAAATTCAAAAATCCGTACCTGTTCCCAAATCGCCTTTCTGCTTCCCAGTCCTTCATCCGCACTCTTTGGCGCCCTGGCCGGCGACACCTTGATCACCTTGCCAAAAAACTCAGACTGGTCCATGTTGTCAATGGCCTCTTTGGCGTCCGCACTGTCCTCAAATTCCACATACGCAAAGCCCTTGTGCGGATCCGTAGAGTTTGGCGCATCCGCCTTGGGGACCTGCACCTCCACGATGTCGCCGAATGGGATAAAGGCATCAAAGACATGTGTGCTCGTGGCGAGCTGTGAGAGCCCGCCGACGTGGACTGTGGCCTTCCAGCGAGCGGCGTCAGTCATTGCTTTCTGAATTGCCTTTTGACTGTTTGAAAAGAGGGGTAAAGAGAGAAAGAATTGGAGAGAGTGACAAGCTTGGCGTTTGAGAGTTGAGTAGCTTGAATGACCATCTTAAAACTTCGCCATGTTGGTGAGTGAAGTGAAGATAGCTGTTATGCCGAAGTTTCCCCGACGCATAACGTCCCAAGGCAAGGCAGCCAAAGAAGAGTACTTCTACGACATGGAGAAGCAACTAGGGTGATAAGAAGAAATTGGAAATTGCATCTATAATAGAAGCTACCAGAAATGCATAATTCTAGGGGAACAAACATTTCTGCGAATCATGGACTGAGTATTGTGGTCCACTGCCTTGTGATGACTTTCATACCCTACACGGAGATGGTATCCGAGCCAAGCAGCCCATAAGTCCTTTTATTTCTATATATCACGGCGCTAACATATTGTTCAAGTTCGAAATACCATTACTAGGTATTAGTGAGTTTTTTCTTCTTCTTTTTTCTAAACCGGTTTCCATAACACCGAGTACTTTGCGTCTAAAAAGGGTAGAGAGGAAACAGATATCTATAAGACTTTAATCTCCTTTGCTAGGAAAATTTCAGTTCGTTACATCTTTGTAGACTTTAGACTAGAAAATATGATCGTATCCCCTAGTACTACTACATATATCATAATGAAGCTTTACACATACTAGAAACACTCAGTGTATTAGCAGATTAGAATATTGACACAGAATATCTGTGACATGGAACCACAAGACCATCAACATTATTGCACGCCGAATTCCATTTCACTTGGTATCAACAATCATCATTTATATATAATCTAACCAGTCATGCCGCCCGCGGTTTTAATAAATGCCTTACATGACCCATCAACTTGATGCCGCAAGTACAATTTGCCGAGTAAAATACTATAGCCCTCCATATGAGACATCGTTTTTCTTCAATTAGGGAGTTGCCTTGCTCATGCTAATGAGTCGCTTAACTCCAACCTATAACAAACAAAATTAGTAAAACGTGCATAGTATTACAGAATATGACGGAATGCGACTTACCATCCAGTTACCACACTCGTCTGTCTTATCCCGATTAATTTCCATCTGTAGTTTTTGAGCAGTAGCGTAGTCCTTCGCCTGAATTGCTTCGGCGAGTTGCGATAGCTGCTCGATTGTCGATGGCTGGATAAGCTCCTCGTTGTTCAAGTGGTCGAACAAGATATTCAAACGCTTTTGCGTATCCTTGACTTGAGGGGCAAATGTCGCCGGAGCCTTAGAGGCTACCCGTTGCATATCCTGGCTCAGAATATCCACCAATGGCTGAGCGTTAGATGGAATATGCGATCGGTCTCCAGGAGGATACTTTGCTGCCACCGGAGGTGGCGAAGTTTGCTTGGGAGGTGGTGGAGCAGACATAGCACTGGGCGGGGGGCCAGGCCGACCCATTGGAGGACCTCCCATCGGAGGTCCTGTTGGGGGCGGCTGAGTGGCTGGTACCTGTCCAGGCGCAGGAGCGTAGGGAGACGGAGCATAAGGCGACGGAGCATACGGGCTCGGAGCCGCTGGTTGGTGCTGAACCGGTGGGGCATAGGCGTTTGCAGACGGCGGGGGTCGGTTGATTGAGCCGGGAGGTGGCGGCATAGGGGAGCCAGAGTACTGCCCAGGCTGCTGTTGCGTCGCCGCCGCTGGTGCGTACCTGTTCGAAGGCGGAGGCCCAGGGGGAGGAGCGTTATATGGCGAAGCTGTGCGTGGCATAGCTGGAGGGCCTGGATGGGTTGGGATCCCACTAACTGCAGGAGCTGGCGGAGCATATTGGTTGGCTGCCGCAGAAGAAGTTCGAGGCGGTCCGGCTAATGGAGACTGAACTCTTGGGGGAGCTGGTCCTCTGGGAGGTGGTGGAGGACTAGCCCTAGCACCTGGTCCATAAGGTGATGTCGACGACGGAGGAGGGGGAGGCGCACCCTGGCCCTGTTGACCCGAGAAGGGTGATGTGATGGGTGTTGCGCTGGGGGTCGCTCTTCGTGGAGCTACCTTTGTGACTACCGGTACATCATTCCAGTTCTCCATGTTCTTGGACTTTGATGGCGGAGGAGCTGATGGCGTTGAGTTCCTTGGGGGGGCACCGATTGGTGGCGGTGCGACAGGCGTTCCAGTGTATGAAAATTGGTTCGGAGGCTGGTATCCTTGAGGTTGGTAGCCCTGAGGTTGGTAGGGATTGACCGGAGGCTTATACTGTTGAGACGTAGAGACAGCCGGAGAACTTTGCTGTAGTCCGCTATAGAGATTCGAAGGGGCCGAGATAGGGGCAGGCTGAGGAGGTTGATAGCCTACTACAGATGGCTGTGCTCCAGTAGTAACGGATGGAGTTCTGCGAGCCGCGGTGACCGGTGCGGCGGCAGGCTTCTTTTGCGTTGCCAGCTTCACTCGGCTCCTGGTCAGCTCTGCAGCCGGGTAATTGGCTGGTAGCAAATCGATATACTTTTGAGCAACTTCCAACTTGCCTTGGCCAGCCAGGATCTCTGCATATTCAGTGTACTTGTCATAAAGGGTGGCTAGCTTCCAATCAGCCGTCTGGGCCAGTTCCTTGTCTTGGAACTTGGCGACTTGACGGAAGACGGTAACCTTCTCGATAAAGGTCTGCAGTGATTTAGTGTGCACTGAGAAAGTGGAGTCGTTGGACTCTTCCTTCATTCCAGCTTGCTCCGACTCATTGAGCTCATCTACCCAGATGGCAACGACCTTCTCAAGCTTGGAGCCTACAAGGTAGCAGAACGAAGCGTCCTTTCGCAGACCGTGCTCGTTAATACGGTCACCAAGGGCCTCGCATAGATCTGGGAATTCAATAGGGTCAGAGAATGTGCAGATGATGGCCATAGTCTCCTTCCAGTTGCTGAGATCTGCGTTGTAGACAACGTCCCATAGGTTTTTCTCGACAACTGAGCTGATCAGTCGCAGGTAGCTGGGAGTGCCGCTCTTACGAGCCAGATATGCGGACTGAACTTTTTCAACAAGTTCCTGGCCGCCACAGTTGGCAATGAGGAAGGCATCTGCGATACGATCTTCCTTTAAACAGATATCAGTGGCCTTGGCAAAGTTGCCCAGCATGAGAGACTTTGTGATCTCCTTCTCGACGGACGAATCATCATCACTAAAGAGATGGAAAGGGTTGTCGGTCTTGGCGCCCTTGTTGGCGGCCAGGCCAGAGAGAAAGTCATCACCCTCGCCCTCGCCTTCTCCAAAGAAGTTGGATAGACGTCTCGGCTTGCCTTCCGCGTCAGTGGCTTCCTCCTGTTTCGTAGCCGTCTCCTTTTCTTCTCCTTCGGACGCCTCGGTTGTCCCGTTGGCCAGATCTTCTTCCTTGAAACCAAGGTGCTCAACGATTTTTGAACGAGGGTTTTCGCCAACCAGCGTCTCTATAACTGTCCAGTCCGCCTTCTCCTCATCAGTTTGAGCTTGTTCCTTTCTCTCTCCGCAAAGGCTGGCCAGATCACCAGAGGCAAGAGCCTCTTGGAACTTTTCAATAGCAGATGAAACATCTGAATCGGCAGAAAACTGTGAGATTGATAGCTTTGACGAGCGTTTTTGGCCGGCCTGGGCTGGAGATTCCCTGAAAATGACGAGTTTACCACCAAAGCCAAAAGAGGCACCAACTGGTCGCTCAAACCACTTGGGCGCTTTGCTCAAAGACCATGAAGCTCCCTGAGGTTGGGTCTGAGCAGCCCTAAAGAACTCCTCGTCATCCAAAGGCTTCTCGTTGACTGCCTGCGACGTATCGGGATTGGTGTTTTGGAGAGTTTGGATGGTAATCTTGCCGTCAAAGCTCGCAGTAGCTGACAGATTGGGGTTGTGAGGGTGGAAAAGGGTTTGGAACGTCCAGTTTGTAACCTCGGGCAATTCTCCATAGCGCTCTGCGGTATGTGGGTTCCATACAATGGTCTTGTTGTCCTTGCCAGATGAGAGCAGTAGATCGGGATCCTGCTGACACCACGACAGTGACAGGATACCTTGCTCATGTCCCTGAAGAGTCTTTTCCGGAGCATTGGAGTTTCGTAGATCCCACAGGAGGATAACCGGAGTGTTATCGTCGGGGGTTGCTGTGAGGAGCTTTGTTGAATTGTTGGGATCCCAGGCAATTGCGCTCACGGCTTTACGGTTGTTATTCAAGGTCAAGGATGCCTTTTTCGTCTTCAAATCCCACACTGTGACAAAGCCACCTGGGCCACCAGTAGCGAGGATATGAGAGACCTTGCGGTTCCAGGCCAAACAATCGATGTCGTCAGATCGAGCTGCGGCGTTTCCTAGACGGAAGGGGTTTTCGATGTCGCCAATGTCGTAGATGAAGAGCTCGCCCTTGGCGCCCGCGGTAGCCAGAATTTGGGGTTTCAGAGGGTTGAACTGAAGAGCCTTGATGGCACCAGTATGTTTTGTCGTCTTGGAGATGGACGCATCGGAGGCGCCAGTCTCGAGTTTCTCGGCGTCCCAAAGTTCGAGAGTGCCATTCTCAAGAGCACCGGCAATGATACCCTTAGGATGGTCGGCGTCGGCAGGTCCCCAGGCGATATCGTAAAATCTAACAACTTTAGCCGCCTAGCCAAAGCCAAAGAAAGGGACCCCAAAATCTTACCTCGAGTCTGTGGTGATGCTGACAACGGGCTGGAGTTCGATGCCCTGCTCTTGGTTATCCAGAGACAGATCCCAGATTTCGAGCTTGCTCTCGTCAGAGAAATCGGCATCGACCGCACCAGCTTTTGTTCCAGTGACGACTATGGGCTTCCCGGAGCCGGGAGACCACGCAAAGGTGGCCGTCCGTGGGATATCTCGTAGGCGCACCATGGCGGCGGGGTTGCGTATTGCCCAGATTACCCAGAAGATGAACTAGACGGCGGACGAGTCTGCCAAGAGACGAATTGGAAAAGAAATAGAAAACCAGAAGCCCAGTCAGAAGCCTTAATGCAGCATTGATAACTGAAAGTTGTGCAGCTCCCAGAATCTGGAGAAAGAAGCAATCGTGGAGCTGGGAGCAGGATTCAAGGCCAGCTAGGTATGATGCCAGATTGCAGGCTAGACGAGATGGCCACATGGATCGGTGTCTGAGCACCTCCCTGCCCAAAACCGCGTCTGTGCTTCCCTATCGCTAGCGACAAGGCCCGCACGTGACGCCACTGTGGCTGCTGGCGCTGCAGTTAGCACTTAACACAAGTACCCCTGATATCCATTGTTTTGAGACGAACCATGAAAAGGCTGGAAATACCTATACTACTCTCAATATTGGATGCTCTTACAATAAAGAGTTTGAATCTTGACTGACAGGCGATCCCGAAGACAGGGCTGAAGATGTCATGAAAAATTCTCAGATTCCAAAGTTCTACGCAGTACCGGCGCTGATCAGCGTACACAGTACTCGGCCGTGAGACAATAAGACGGGACAGCTCGACGTGGGGTAGCTCGATCAAGCTATCAATGTTATGCGATGAGAGATGATGAACCCGGCCTCATCTATTCCGCTTACATGTTGATGCTATGAATCCATAGATTTTGATAGCAATAAGGCAGAGGGCGACATGGAAAACAATTCCTAGGGCCATTTACTGAAAAATCCACCAAAGACAAGCTGCTTGACATTATGGACAGCATTCCATACATAACCAGTCTGTTGGATTCTTTTCCACCATCCGATTCTCAACATGCAGTGGACGAGCTTCGCGCAAGGATCTAGCTGCAGTATAAAATTGCAGAGGCTGCTTTGGCCAAGTGGCAAACTCAGATCGACCTGTCTATCTACGATTATATCATCGCAGGTTCACTTCTACCCAAACCACAGACTGATAGCGACTTTTCACTGCTTCATTTGAGCTGTATCTATTGGCGCACTCGTCTAATGCTTTCATGCGTCGTGGGATCTATACCAGGGAACTTCCAGATATCACTAACCGATGTATCATTAAACACGACAGACGCATTACGTTTAATCCCCCATGACCCAGATTCAAATGTTACTCCACAGACATATGCTTCCAAAATGGTCCACCGTGCTCATCTCTTTTTTTAGCCATTAGCTGGGGCAGTCCAAGGAGGCTCGGAATTGTTTCCTAGGGTGTGCGCACGGCGTTTCTATGAGGTGGCCGCCAGATTGTCAGGCCATAGGAGCATGGAGCTGCAATTCCTATACGATTTATTCAGCAAGCGTTTCATGGGTAAGAAAATACAGAGATACATGATACATCTCTAAAGTAGTATGCGGAAAGATGACCTACCGTAGATGCACATGTCTCCAAACCAAAGAATTGGACAGCTTGGTTTTAAAATGGTAGTCATAATAACGCGAGAGTTGATTTTAAGGTATCTAGGTATCTACTATCTCTATTACATCTACTATCTTTACTACATCTATTATCTTTGCTAGGTATGTGCCGATGTGGTTGCTTGCATCAGGACTCTCATTTACTGATATACAGCGAGTAAAATGCAGGTATCACTGGAGACTTGAATGTCGATTTTGAATCAAAAGAAAACAAGTGGCGTAATACATATTCCTCATTGGAGATTTCAACGACCCATGGTGGTCGCTTTAACGCATTATGCAACCTACCCAAGGTGCATGTAAGCTGGGATGCGCTGCTCGATCGCATGGAGGATCAATAACGCATATGCGGGGTCGACATATATACAGCTAGCAGGCAGCCTCCTTTGCAAATTCAGCCTCAAAATACTAATTTGATATCTGCTACCTAAGTCTGCCTGCTTTTGTTGTTGAAATTTCAGCGAGTGCGCAAGATGAAGCCAAAAACGAGACAAAAAGTATTGGATAAGGCCAGGAGCTTGCTTAATCGGCGCAGTCGTAGTAGGCCATCATCTCGAGCACCAGGTGAGCATCTGACGATTGGTCCAGCAGCAGTCAGTGCGTCTTCGCCATCTGGCATTTACTTGGAGCCCTCGACGATATCCCCCAAGCAACGGTCTAGTTTGTCCTCGTCAGTTGTTTCATCAGCAGTCGATACGCCAAAGGCAAACTCGGAATCCTCAGATGCACCTTTGGTTTCCCAAGTTTCAGCATCTCATTCATCCCATGTTTCTGCTACCTCTTCAATAAACCCTCCTTCCGACCCGATGTCGGATTCTTTGGCAGCTCCGGAACTTCAATCGATACAATGTTCTCGAGATCCACCGCCATCAATGTCTCTCGTTGTAACATCTCCTGAACCTCAAGTGTTACCTGAAGCGGTTGGATCAACGCCAGCTCTGCTTTCAGACCTATGGAGCCAAGCTATTAACGAGGCCAAAGGTGAAAGTGGAATCCTGAAATGGCTTCAAAAATATGGGCTTATGGCCACGGATGGCGCGCAGCAAATAGACCAGAGTCAAACGGATGAAAAATTCCACGTACAAGAGCTTATTAGTCTTATTGAAGCAAACAAGTTATCTGAACAAAGCGACAAGCCGCTCAAAATCCCACTCAGAAACCAGGAAATCACTGCCCGAGACTACATCGCTAATGCTGTCGCCTTTATTACAAAAGTCGGCGACATCGCTTTCTCTTGCACGCCAATGGAGTCCAACGCACCTTGGACCGTTACAAAGGCTGTTCTACAAGTAAGTATACGGTTTAATACTATTATAGTCTTCTCTGAACCCAATGAAATGAATAAATGAGCCTGAATCAGCATCCATATTGATGTTAGCCTAATATCAGCCGCAGTGTCAAAAGCTGATTATTCCTAGATTCCAGTCCATCGGATCGAACAACAAGCTGCTCTTCTCGGGACGGTCAAATGGTTTACGAGCATTGTACGCCGAGGTCAAATCTATGAAGTTCTATATACCATCGAAACCACAGACAAGAAAGCCATTCAGGGTTTACACGACGGCCTTCTTCAGGTCTACATCGCCGCCATAAAGATGTTAGCCAAATCAGACGCCTTATTCAACAGCGGGGCGGCTAGGCAGACGTTAACTTCAATCATCGAACCGAACTATGCTTCTGATGCTATAAAAACCCTATTTGAGAAAGAAAAGAAGCTTGATCGAGAAATTTATGCCTGTGAAGTCTCACGATCTGCGCTATCGTCCTATCTAACCAACGCGCAAATGAAAGGCCTAGAGAAGCAACTATACCAATTATCTTCGCCACTCCCCCAGATTGAGAAAGGAGTGGACAGTCTTTTAGCGAAATTGGAGGAAAATAGACTCAAAAAAGTACTGGATTTTATAAGCCAGGAGATGTTTGGAAAAAGTCACGCTACTGTTGCAGAAAAAAGAATAAAAGACACAGGAGACTGGCTATTAGCTAGAAAAGAGTTCCAGACATGGCAAGGAACACCTTTTTCAGCTGTATTATGCCTCAAAGGAACCAGTGAGTTCGTTTTCAGCTCATTTTTCTTCTATGGAAAAAAGTTGGTTTATCTAATGAACCACTCTAGTTGGCACTGGCAAGACATATCTCACGTCTAGAGCGATTGATCACATAAAACAGACACTTGCGTCATCGCCCCAACATAACGAAGGATTTGCATTTTTCTATTGCAATCGATCTGGACCATCGATGCAAGATCCACTCATCATTTTAAAAAGCTTTGTTCGTCAGTTAGCTGGCAAGGCTTTTGATAAATCTGGTGTCATCCAAAATAGCCTTGTACAGACCTGTGATGCAGTGAACAGAGAGAAAAGGGAATTTACCCTTGAGGATTGCGAGCACTTACTTTTAGAATCGTTTAATTTATATTCAAGGACGACTATCATTCTTGATGCATTAGATGAGACAGACATCACTGATTATAATTTAGGTGCTATTCTCACTACGCTGTTGCAAAAATCCGAAAATTCGATCAAGATTTTCATATCTAGCAGACCTGATCGAGAGTATTTAGAAGCCTTCGCAGATGAGACTATCATCACAGTGGATGCTAGCAATCAGCAGGACGATATTGAGAGATTCCTGGCTGAGAAACTCTATACTACCAATTTCTTTCAACAGCGAAGCCAGGCCACGCAAAACATTATTACTAATGTGTTTACCACAAGGAGCTGCGGAATGTAGGTTATTCCAAAAGAAACAATTTGATTTCTATTTGCTTGAACTTCCAATCCTGATATCTAAGCTGATTACAGGTTTCAATGGGTTTACCTACAAGTGAGGAGTCTTAAAAGGCTTATTACAGATAAGGCAATATACAACTGGGCTTGTAGCTTGCCAGTTGATTTAATGGCCGCATATGATCAACTTTGGGAAAATATTATCAGAGAACATGATACGCTTGATATTGATTTAGCTAAGCGAGCCATTATGTTGGTACTATGTTCTTTTGAGCCGCTTCATGTATACACACTTCTAGAAGCCATTCGATATGAGATGAAAAGCTCTACATTCATACGGAATGAAGAGCAGACGCAACAGCAGATTCTATCGTTATGCCAAGACCTTTTAACGATCGACGAAGACAGGAGAGTATGGATGCTACCACATGCCTCTGTGGCTGAGTATTTTGAGAAGATAGGCTGGGTAACTATATGGGAATGCGATGCATTTGCATCAAAGCTCTGCCTCAACCGACTTAACGACCCTCTATGGAACGATGATAGATATCTTGCGCTTTACGCTGCATATCACTGGCACAAGCATGTTGGACGGTACGACAAATGGCTAGGATCGAGCGGGCAAGAGGCAGATCCGGATCTCGCAGCGGCTGTAAAGCGGTTTCTTGGGTCGCCAGTCGAAAGCAGCGCAAACTTTCGAAATTGGGCTAAAGAGACTAACAGAGGTGTATCCTATGAGACAATAACTGCCATGTGCAAATATGGACTTTACTACGTCTTGCGCGACTGGTGGGAGCAGCCTGGAAAAATCACAGCGGATGCGGCCCTCAAAGCTGGCTTCAATAGCAACAATACAATCATGTTCACAGCTCAAAGCCGCTGCATGCCAATCTGCAGACGCATGGCTGAATTGATGCATCTGGAAGATGACAGATACACACACGCACTGGAACGTTTAATTGAAGACAACGAATTCGACACGATGAAATGGCTTGTGAAAGAGGCAAACCTGGATGTCAATCTTGCGAGGAGGGGAGACACACGTGGTTACAATACTGCTGCACAGATCGCGGCACAGAGACGACCCAATATACTGCAATGGCTGGTGGATCAAGATTTCATGGACCTGGAGAGTGAGAATGATAGTGGCCATGAATACGACAACGTCCTAATCGCAGCCGCGGCTCGGGGCAACGTCACATCGGTTCGGATTCTGCTCGATGCCGGAGCCAATGCGAATGCTGCCGTGCACAATGGCAAGTATGGAAGTGCCCTTGTCGCAGCAGTAACGTTGGATGGAGCTCTTGGGAAGCGCGAGGAAGTAGTTCAACTGCTCCTTGGTCATGGCGCAGACCCAAACATGCTTATAAGAGCTGGCGAATATGGCAGCCCGCTTGAGGCATCTTTGACACAAGATTGGGCAGCTCAAGAGTATTGCAGAAAAATGCAGCGCTTGCTGTTAGAAGCCGGTGCGGATCCCACGGCTGTGTCAGAACATGGTGAATATGGAAGTGCGCTGGCCGCAGCAGCGTTTCTGGGGTCGAGAGGAAGATCTTAGAACCATGATTGAAACGATTGGGACAGAGCGTGCCATTGAAGCCCTTGGCCAAAGTCGGCATCCTGATGAGCGAAGATTCCGAGAGCAGCAAGATGTTACACACTGGAAAGAGACAATCACCTACCTTGCGGAGGAAGTGGGCGTAGGCGAGGAAGTTCTTCATACAATCGGCCTCTGGGAAGTCGAGCCCAAGCCTAATTATTTGCCCTCGGGATGGCAAGATGGGTTTATTTTGAGATACAACAAGTATCGCTAGATCAGTTCTCTTTTCATGTATATTCAACTTGGTCTAGATTAGGGTTGGCTCCAGAGATATTAGGCTGGGGACTTTGCTCTTGCGATATATCCCCACCATGCCTGGATGTCTCTAATTGCTACTTCTGTTTCAATGGTAGCTAAGAAGTTTCTAAATTGACTATCCGTATAAAGTACTACTGCTACTGCTATTCCTAGGTATCTGGTATATAATAACTAAGTGATGTTGTTATTAGATCTTCTATAATTACGCTAACAGCCTGCCCCTATTTATGCCGTCTAACATCTAATTCTTTCATTATAAATACCTATGCTGTGGCATTTAATAGACCCCCGGGGCTCTCTCAATAAGGCGATCGAAATTTAGTGAGAAGCAAGCTAGCAAAACACCAAGCAATGAAAAGTTGACTCACCAGGTATAGCAGGATTTCCATGTCAGATCGCTACATATCTGGCGTTGATGCTTTCGCAAGGATTGCCGACATCTGTAGTAGAATCACCATTGAATACCTAAATGTGCAGGACATGCACTCAAAAAAAAAACATTCGTACGCAATTACAGTTAAATCTATACATCTAGCTGCATCACCTTGATTTCTCATACTTACTCACAGCTCGTAATATATGGATGCTTTGAACCCAATACAGTAATCTATAATGTGGTCAAAATACAAATATGCGGCGGCGTCCAAGTCCAAGTGCCAGCACGCTAATACATGCAGTGTCCACCAAAGCCGCGCCCCTCTATAGGTCCAGTCCAGAACATCATGTGCATGCATGCTTGTCCATTACGTGGGGTCTCGTGTGTGCTGTCATTTGCCGTCCACCTTTTCTGAGGCCACACCTTCTTTGCCATTCCGACTTTTTTTTTTTTTTTTAATTTGCACGAGCCGGACACCGATATACATCACAGCTCTACTGAAGCTTCCGCGCACTTCAAATATGGCAGACACTGCTACCACCAACGATGCGGACGCTGCCGCCCAGCGAGCTGCGGAGCAAGCGCGGCTGCGCAAGGAGCGCAGAGAAGCAAAAATCAAGGCTGGAGGATCTGCGAGGTTGGAGAGAATTACCGGTGCAGGCGGCCGTGTTACTGGAGGTGCGTATCTTATCTTATTGAATGCTGTTTTTTCCCCTCTCCTCTCTTTTTTCGGACATGTTGCTGATAGACGCGATCCATCGTGATAGACTCGGGGACTACAACCCCATCCGGTCCAGATGCCTCCTCAACCGCACCAGCAGCTACCGAGCACCACGATCCCGCCGAAGTCGACATCTCGGAGCACTTCTTCGCCCCCAAGAAGACGTCCCGCAAACCGATCGATGGCGTCTTCTCTCCCAGCCCCGAGCCGTCGCTGTCCGAGGCCCAGCTGCGCCAGATGATGCTCGGCCTCGATCGCCCCGAACAAGCCGGTCCTCCTGGCGGCAATCCAGCCGGCATGAACCTACCTCCAGGCATGGAAGACGACCCCATCATGAAGATGATGTCGCAAATGATGTCCTCGGGCTCGATCCCAGGCTTTGGCGGTGCCGATGGAGCTCCCAACCCCTTTGGCAACATGCAAATGCCACAGCAGCAGGCCCCCGTCGAGCTGCCCAAATCTTCATCCGTAACTCTCTGGCGCGTCGTTCACGCCCTGGTCGCCATCGGCATGGGCCTATTCTTCATCCTGACGACACATTTCACCGGCAGCAAGATTGAGCGCGAGCGCATGGCCCTGGCGCACGAGCAGGAGGTGGATGACGAGATGGAAAGGCGCAAGAACTTGTTCTTTTGGACGTTTGCTACTGCCGAGGTCTTGCTGTTGTCGACGAGGCTGTTCCTCGACAAGAAGAGTACCAATGCTACGGGGTTTATCGCGACGGCTATTTCGTACTTGCCGCAGCCGTATCGGGGGTACATTGAGATTGGGCAGCGTTACATCCAGATCTTTACGACTGTGAGGACGGATATTCTGACTTGCATTTTTGTGCTCGGGGTTGTCTCTTGGTGGCTTGGATGAAGTAGCTCAGTGTTGTCTTTTTTTTAGTGAAGCATCGTTTACGGGAAACGAATCATGAGCATGAAGGAAGTTCTGAGTTGTTCTTTCTCATTATAATACAAAAATAGAAAAATTAATATCATCCATACAACCATTAACAAACAATTTGCTTGTGCACCTCATCTAAATGTAAATATCCCAAAAAAGAGATGCTGAACAAAAGAAAAAAAGAGAAAAGAATATCGTATGCACATCTCAGAGTCCAGTATGATAAAACCCCATAGGCTCCTGTATCCTTTATTTTTTATTTTATTTCCTCATTACCATGCTCAACAACCCTCCCATTACGCCTCTAACTCTTTTCGGATTCTCGAGAGCACATGTAAATACAACTGCCGTGCTCGCCGCAAATATCAACTTCTCCCGCCACTGCTTCTCCAGGGGATACCGACGCGGGACCAGCGTCGCCAACGCCCTTGGCGCCACGAACAAGGCCATGTCTTTCCTTCTGCCCGCATTCTCGATGAAGACGCTCCAGCCGCAAAGGTAGCATCCGGTGCCGACGCAGAGCCCTCCATCGATCCACTGGCGGGAAGGTATATCCTTGCCGAGGATGCGGGGGCCGAGGCGAGTGCGGCCTAGGCACACGCCGTAGTAGAAGAGGGTGATGAAGGTAGCAAGAAAAGTGGATGATCGGGTAGAGCCGGTGATGGCCTTCATCAGGTCGATCCGCTTGGGATTCCGCAGCTGAAGGGCCAGGGCAAGGGGCAGGTAGGTGAGCATCGACCACTTCCACGAACGAAGGAAGCGGCTTATAGCATGATATTCACATGATGGGCCACACCCCATATGGACGAGGCCGCAGGGGAAAGGGATTTCTGTAACGGGGTCACCCCATTCTGTTGGCAGGCCGTAGTCTTCGCACATGGCCGTCAGCAGTGGTGCCTGGCCAGTCTCCTTGCCGTAGATGAGCTCGCCGTTTCTGCATCGCCGCAGAGCTTCGATGAGTCGTAGGTCGACAGAGGCGGCAGATGTGATCCACTTGTTGTAGCTGCGAGGAAGGCTGTCTGGTGAGTAGAACCACGCCCACATGATGAGGCCCGACGAGGCAGCAAACACGGCCGGGTCCGTCATACGTGAAATGATTTGCTCAATCTAGGCAATTAGCTCGAGAAAGGAGCCCAGTGAAGAGAGGCAACTAACCACCGTCCACTTTTCCGTAGCCTTGCGGCGGCCGCGGTGCTGAGACCACAGCTCGCCAACGAGGACATCGGCAGCGCGAGTGACAGCAAAGAGAGTGAGGTCAAGCGTCCGACCGCCATAACCGTTGGGAACGGCTTCGGCCAGACCTTGCTGGACCGATGCTAAACCCGCTTCTGTCAATGAAGGGTGAGTCCGCTTAGACTGTAAGAGCTGGAGGCTGAGCCATCCCGATATGAAAGTAGCCAGCCATCGTGCGAGTCTGTCAAACCATCCCGTCAGCTTTCGGCCAATATATAGATGTATTCCTTCTTGATTTGGGGTGTCAAGGCGTTGCACAATAGGACAAAACCTGGTCGTGCAATCTATATCCGGGGACTTACCTGAGTTGTGAAGCCGCACCAAGCTGGGTGGCAACACGGCTGATGATCTTGAGCAGAGGTTCCTATATCAATATTACAAATAATCGTCAGCGCATTGTTTGTCACAATTGAAGCCGCTATTGAAGAGCGTGCTAGCTGAAACGGGCCACAACTGAGTCGAGACTATTACCAACATGGAACTACACGACCATATTTTGCCATCATACGGGCAGGTGGAAGCTCATCCAGGACCATCAGCCTGCCAGCCGTGTCTCATCTCAAGCCGTCAAGCGTCTCACTCAAAGTTCCATCATCATCTTACCTGTAGTAACGTAGAACCCCCCACCAACGCAGCACAAAAGGTGGGAAACCGTCGCGGATCCAGGCCGGTGCGTAAGATTCGAAACGCAGAATCCTTAAAGGACCGCTCATCTTTGTCGGCGGACAGGTATTTCCTCGCGCTCTTGCGCCTCTTGGAGATGAACTGGAGGATCAGCGTCAACAGGCGAGGCGCCACGGCAGAGGCATAGCCCAGGAGATAGGCCCGGACCAATGGCCGCAGCGGTGCGGGCAGGGACTGGAAGCTCAGCGGCCCTTTAGGCTGGACGGCTCGCAGGGCTGCCACAGAGGGTTGCATCTCCAAGGTCAGTGGCCCGACTGAATTGGAAGGTTTAAGAGAGCAACCAGACGCTATGATGCCGGGCGGATGACAATGGGTTGGCTGAAGGGCAAAACTTTGACGAAACAGAGTTCAGCTGCCTGCCTGCAGGGAGTCCCCAGAACAGCGCCCAGCAGAGTTCAAGATGGAAAAGAAAATCAAGGAGAAAAAAAAAAAGATGTAACGCGCCGCTCGCTTTGGGTATCTCGGGGGATGCCTGCAAGTATTCGCTGGCAGCCCATAAGCAACTGATGCCGCGGCTTTTCGGCGATAGTGTGACGCGACCGCTGCTTTGTCTGCGCGATGATGTCGGCCGGTGCGATGTACCACAGCGCTGTGGCGTTAGGGGTGAGGAACCTTAAAGGGGGAGACGCAGTCAGGCCTGAAGGACAAACACCAGTCAATTGCCCCCTCGTGGGTCCCTTTTCAGGGCCAGCATAAAAAGAGGCTTGAGAATAGCACAGGAACTGTTGATTAGCGGTACTGTTTTGGTTTGGACTTGGGCGTTGAGCGTTCTAGATAAAAGGGAACTTTTTTTAAGCAGTTGATCCATGAGATGTGCTAGGATAGGCAAGTCTGCTAGTGTGTAAATCACATCCGGGGCCTCGGTAGTAGATCCAGCAGCTTCCGGATGCGTTGCGGCTCTTTGCGCATGGCGTGTCAAAAACTACCGGTACTTACCTATGTGTCAATTCATTACTTCTTCCAATTGATAATGCAATTATCATCTGTACATTGCTACTCTGTATACCTACTAGTACCTATACAACGCACAGGGATAGTGCTGGTAGCGGCAACGGTAGCACTGCTCCAGGGCGTTCAAGGGGGCATGCAACGCCTCATTCAGCCAAGAGCCAGCTCTGAATATAGTTGAGTGGCAGTTGAAAACTAAACCTCCCACAAGCCGACCTTGGCACGAACCCGAGCTCCACCAAACGCTCAGCACAGACAGCGGTGGGCTAGGAACTTCTGTTTTCCCTCTTCTAGATCGAACAACAGGGGGATACGAAGCACGCATAACCTGGGATGTGGCAGTGATGGCTAGAACTATTTCGCGGTCTCGGCCGAGCGACAGACAGATGTGGCCAAGTGCTCCGGGCTGGCAATCCTGCAAAGAGTAAATTGAAAACGACGCCCCATCGAAAAGGGAAATTGATAGTTGATAGAACTCGATGGTGTAACCGTGTTTTCGGCATAATGGTGATCATTGAGCGGCATGGGCGTGGGGGACCCCTTTCTGATGTTGCAGCGTCGACGAATGGAACATGGCTCAGGGCGTCGAGAGCCGCTGTTCGTTCAAATCCAGCAACATCGACAGCCGATACAGAGATAACTACTACTCCAGGTGAGACAAGATTTTCTACGGCCAATATCCAATTTAAGCAGGTTGAGAGGAAGCATCCAAGGCACCTTAGCCCTGGTGCCATGGAGGGGTACGTGCATCTCTCCGGTGCTCCGTACGGAGTATTTCCACGTTAGCTCCCAGATGCATCTCGGTGTTCCGTCATCTGGTCCTATTCTCTTCATCATTCTTCGATTGCTTGGTGTCGAGGGGTGCCGAGAGTGCAGCTGGAACAAATGGCATGTGATGCTCGCTTTGAAGGATACCGCTAAAAGCTGCCACTATCGACCACGGCTGGCTCCATCGTCGGACTGTACCGATTGCCAGCGGAATCTGCAAATCAGAGAGGAGGGCAGCATATCGGGTACCACCGCCCCTCCACGCCCGCTAACCCTCGATACAGCGGTACACAGGCTTGGCCGGTATTTCGATAGCAGATTGGGACCTCAGTAGGCATGGAATAGCTGCAGGCCGCTCTGCTGCGCTAGAGCCACTCCATACCCCTTCTGAAAACCCACCAGGTGACTTGAAGCGGGCCTTGACGGGACAGGGATGGCTGAAGTTTTTTTTTTTTTTTTTCCTGGCTGTATGTAGTATTGTATTGACGGCATCTCTGATGACGGCGTCGTACGGGACAATACCGAAATTCCCTGCTGCCATCGACATTGACGCACAAGCCCGAAAGCGTTGACGTTATTGATTGACACCCACCTGCGCCGCCGGTGTTGCATGAACGCGCGTGGAGCAGCTCGACTATTGAACAATACGACTCTGTACGGCGCAAAAGGCCACCGTACTCGGTTCGCTGTAGGTTATCTCAACTCGAGCTCCAATTAATGCCACAGCTGCCCGTCCAATTGGCAGCTCGCGCCCGCGCCCCGAGGACTCCGCTACCAAGTACCACGCTGCGGCAGCTGTCTTGAGTGCTTGCTTTTGCCTGCTTACCTGTACATTACGTTGCCGCAGGGCAGCTGAGCACAGCTCTCCTACTTAACTAATTCATGTCCTCGTGGGGTCGCCTGCCGGTGGAGTGACTGACGCCGTAACCTGCTCTCGTGCCATGCGCCAGCTGCAGCTTTTCCTCTTATACTCCCACAATCGTCTTCTTGCCTCTTCGATGCCGCATTAGTCTCGCCCAGACACAAACACTCCCCCCTCTCCCCACTGTTAATCCTCTTAGCGGCGCTGCGCTTCCACCAAGACGCACCGAAACCGTGACCCTGCTGGACAAACCACGGCTCCACTCGTAACTCGGCCTCACCTCATGCTCTGCTTCAGCGTTTAAACCTCGATCCCCCCGTTTTCCTCTTCCATTACCCCGGATTTCTGTCCCCAGCTTCTTTCATGTGCTTCTGGAACTAAGATCGCGTGCGCCCTACCGCCACCAGCGCCTGTAGTTGCTGAGGCTATTCTTACAGCCGCCTTTCGCAAACCGTCACGGGCTCGCCTCGGCCGCACCATCTCGACCATCCTCCCAAGGCGCATCCATGCTTGCCGTGCGGCAGCCACCCAGCAGGATGGGTTCGTCGCAGCCCGATTCTGATCCCTTCCAAATGCCCTTCGGATGTAAGATGTCCCCCGTATATGTCATATGTCGTTTACCAGGTCTGACCCCAGCCCTTATAGATGCCGTCGATGGCACCCAAGAGCCCATCTTCGATGCCCCCGAACCTGCGCCTGGGGCCCCCTTGCTTAGCGAAACAGATAGCAAGTTCCTAAACGACTTTTTCGACGACATGACTGCGAATCAATACAACATGCCTTCATTCGGCGAAGGCCTGAACTACCATGCCTTGTTCGACCTGCCTCCTCAGCTGATGGGGACAGCAACCTCATATGGCTCTCAGCCGACGACGCCTCTCGGCCACGAATCGCATTTAGACTACTCGATCGACTCGCATAATTCACATGGATCCACGTCTGGATCACACCTAATGCCACCGCCACCGCCGCCGCCGCCGCCGTCTCACCCTCATCCTCATGCTCTCTCCCATCCTCATGCCTCTCAATCCGCTTCTTACCAACAACACCCCTCCGACGATGTCTTGAATGCCGCTGCCACGCTGATGCAGAACGGATCCGGGCTACGCGGAGCGCACAAAACCAACGACCCATCTGCTCCGCGACGATCTCTTGGCCCTCCGGTCGGCCACCTCCGCCACCAACCTCTAGAAGAGTTCAGAGAAGAGAGCCGGAGAGGCATGGTGCAGACCGAAGTTGATAATACTTTTACAGAATGGATGTGGGGTTCAAAGGGACGCCAAAATTCCGCCTCTCGTCCGATTTCTGTAGATTACCAATGGGGCTCAGATTCCAACTTCAATCTTGGACAAGGCTACACACCCGAAGCGAACAAAGAGACAGTTGAGACGATGCAGCAAGAGCAGCTCAAGTGTCTCGAATGCCTGGAACCTAGCCAGAGCGCTGCAACAACTCGTCCAAGCAGTCCAGCAAATACTCAGTCTACGTTTGCGCAAAACATACATCGGGATACATCTGAAACAAGAGAAAAGCCGGGTGAGGACGGTGCACCGCCTCGTAAGAGGCGAAAGAGCAAAATCAAGAAGGATACTGGAGACGATGACGAGAATGAAAGTACCAACGGCACAAAGTCCGCTGCAGCAAAGCGAAGAAAAGCAAAGGGAGAACGAAATGGATCCATCTCATCACCTCTTATCGACGCCAGCATAGGAGGTAAGCGGCGAAAGTCGAATGCAAACGCAGCCAAGGCGGCAAGAGAAAACTTATCGGAAGAGCAAAAACGAGAAAATCACATTCGCAGCGAGCAGAAGCGCCGAACTCTGATAAAGGAAGGCTTCGACGATCTGTGCGACCTTGTCCCCGGACTAAAAGGAGGCGGCTTTAGCAAAAGCACCATGCTTACAATGACAGCAGAGTGGCTAGAAGAAATACTAGTGGGAAATAGAGAGCTTGCCGCTCAGCTCGCCGCTCTCGAAGGACGATGAGCCCTGAATCTGGGTTACTGGTGTTTGATTCTATATATTATTTTCACTTTCTTCTTCGAACTCATTACCATCGTTCGAGTATCTGGAGTTGGGAGCTGTATCATTCTGTGGGACGATTTTGCGAGGCGTTTTGTGTTTACACGCCATTGGAGAATGAAAAGCCGTGGTGGTATAATGAGTGGCTATTCTGCTTCATATCTGGCTGGAAAGGGGAAAAACTGAAGAGGCATAAATGTGCCTTTTCATTTATTTATTTTATCTATATATGATTCCCGGAATGATTTAGGACACAAAATAATAGCTAGTAGATAGGTACTAGAACAGTGGGCATCGAAAGAGCCATGTTTTGTGGATATCTGATTCTTCTTCTTCTTTGAGATGCCATATTGTAAATCAAGACTGACCTCTGGCATGTGTTCCTAAAGTCAATCAGCCACTTTGCCCATCTAGTACCTTCTTCTATCGCTTGGGGCCGACTAAATTAGAATAGCTCATACGCCATACGACTTTACCCCTTGTTTCCTTGGGCATCCATATATTTTATTTCATAGCAACTTTAAACGTCTGACATTTTGTTGATTGCTTATCAGTACCTACGCTTATACTTGTACAAGTTGACTATTCCCGGCCACATCAAAGAAAAATTTGATATCCACCCAGCGGCTAGCGTTCTTGGCAATTTCGCGAAAAGATACTCAGAAAAGAAAGAGGGAGAAGAGAGAAAAGCACTTGCCATGCCTTATTACCGCTCCATGATACAGTCATCACCCGAGAAGAGCAGAAATCTCCCTCAAAGCACTCGTCCCTGCCCATCCCGCCAAGTCCAACAGGGCGTTCGCGGATATCCAATCGAGCCAGCCTCCCGCCTATTAGAAACAGCCAGAGCACACAAACAGGGCCTATTATGGGGCGTGCCATCCGCGCTAGCCCCAACCAGGTCTAGGTCCCAAAGCTTCCAGCAATCCGCAGAGCTCAACGCAAAATTCTTGGACGGCCAGCCCCAAAGCGATTTATTTCGACAACCTGAGCCATTCCGCTGCCAAAACACCCTCAGCGCGCAACCAACCGTCGGGCCCTCGCCGTCCCCCTCCCTGAACCTCTTGGATACAGCGTCAATTGTGCTCCAGACGCCGCTGTCCGTGAGCATCTGCCCCTCCACGCCGCGCCTCGCCCACCAGCCTGCCGTTCTCCCCGGGACATTGTGAGAGACATTTTCCCGAGATGCTCAGCGCCGCTCTTCGGAGGCGTGTCCTCGCGCCTACTCACCAGGCCCTGCGATCTGGCTTCGCCGCCCACGTCGTTCGCTACTATGCCTCCTTCCCTAGCCACCAGGTGATCAAGATGCCTGCTCTGTCGCCCACAATGCAGGCCGGCAACATTGGAGCCTGGCAGAAGAAGCCCGGCGACACCATCAGCCCTGGTGAGGTTCTGGTCGAGATCGAGACGGACAAGGCCCAGATGGACTTTGAGTTCCAGGAAGAGGGTGTTATTGCCAAGGTCCTCAAGGATGCTGGCGAGAAGGATGTTCCTATTGGCACCGTGAGTTTTTTTTTCCTCTTGCTTCCCTCCGTATATAATTGACCCTTGCCGTTTCATTCCGATACTAATCTTTTTTTTTTTTTTTTGCTCCGATATAGCCCATTGCTATCCTGGTCGACGAGGGAACCGACATCGCCGCTTTCGAGAAGTTCTCCATCGAGGACGCTGGCGGCGCTGCCCAGCCCGCTGAGCCCAAGAAGGACTCTGAGCCTGCCCCTCAGTCTACCCCCGCCTCTGCCCCTCAGTCTTCCTCTGCCCCTGAGCAGTACTCTTCACAGGGCAGAATCCAGAGCGCTCTCGACCGTGAGCCCAACGCTCTCCCCGCTGCTGTCCGTCTTGCCCGATCCAAGGGCATCAGCCTTGATGGCGTCAAGGGAACCGGCAAGGGTGGCAAGATCACCGAGGAGGACGTCAAGAAGCTGGTTTCCAGCCCTGCTGTGTCTGCCCCCGGCGCTACCTTTGAGGACACTCCCATCAGCGGAATGCGAAAGACCATTGCCAACAGACTGCAAGAGTCTACCCAGACCAACCCTCACTTCTACGTCACCAGCTCAGTCTCCGTGTCCAAGCTGCTGAAGCTGCGACAGGCCCTGAACAGCTCCGCTGACGGCAAGTACAAGCTGTCTGTCAACGACTTCCTCATCAAGGCCATGGCCATCGCTTCCAAGCGAGTCCCCGCTGCCAACTCTAGCTGGCGCGGTGATGTTATCCGCCAGTTCTCTACCGTCGACGTCTCCGTCGCCGTCTCTACCCCCACCGGCCTCATCACCCCTATTGTCACCGGCGTTGAGGGCCGTGGCCTCGAGTCCATCTCCAACAAGGTCAAGGAGCTCGCCAAGAAGGCTCGTGACGGCAAGCTCAAGCCCGAGGAGTACCAGGGCGGCACCATCTCCATCTCCAACATGGGCATGAACGACGCCGTCAACCACTTCACTGCCGTCATCAACCCTCCCCAGGCCGCTATCCTGGCTGTCGGCACCACCCGAAAGGTCGCTGTTCCCGCCACCAACGAGGACGGCGAAACTACCGTCGAGTGGGACGACCAGATCACCTTCACTGGCAGCTTCGACCACAAGGTCGTTGACGGTGCTGTCGGCGCTGAGTGGATGCGCGAGCTCAAGAAGGTCCTCGAGAACCCCCTGGAACTCCTTCTGTAAATTGGAAGAGAGGTAAAACAAAACAGGAGAAATGATACACAGGGATTTCTTGACCCTCCACAAAACTTTCTCTATGGGCAGAAGGCGGCGTCTGGGATGGGTTACATATTAGACTGGGAGCTGAAGGAAGAGAAAGGATCCAAAAAAATTTATATAAACGTAAAAGATAAAGCGGCAATGGATCTGTTTAATCTTCATGAGAGAGAGGGGAAGAAGAGATGAAGCGGCAAGTGTCTTTTTTTTAATGGGCAAAGTTTTTTCACCTTTTGCCGTTGCGAAAGACGACGACGATGATGGGAGGGCTTTTTCAAAGCACGCCTTGTATAAAAAAAAATAAGAACGTCCCTTGACTAATACTGCATTTTGGGTGAGGGGAGGGAAAAGGGGAAGCAAGGGGAGGTGGATTTTGCCAGCTTTGTATACGTTTCTCTTTTTTATTTCTTGTTTCTTCTCCCCTTACCTGCAATACAGAATATATTTTTTTACATCTTTAACTACCTAGAACTCTCTTCTCAAAATTCACTTTGTGGACCCTTCTTTGGATTCATTTTGTAGACCACTATCCTGTTTCTCTCTGTTTTTCACCCTTGATGGTAGTAATGTGAATGATTAGTTAGTCTGTATAACTTGTTCGGACAAAGTACCGAAGAGCAGAAAAAACTCAAATTTAACATTGCCAGTTTACTTCTTTATTGCAAAATTAACCAAAGAGGTCGTTTTCTACTGAGACCCTCATACGCCCAAAGACTGCTTATTTTATGATACATACAGTTTCCATTAACATTCATCCTCTCTCTGTCCCCGCCTTCCTGCCCATCTTTGTTTTCTTACGAAATTGCCCAAAAAAAACGCCAGCCATCTGAAAGATCCCCTTCTAACATCTCCCCAATTGTTCAAGATTTAGCTCAGGTCCATTGTCTCAGCCCCAGGAGCCGCTGCAGCAGGAGCAGGAGCCTGGCTTGTGCTGCCGTTCTGGACTGACAAGTCGACGCCACCATCGTTGCCAATTAGTCGCTTCTCGGACTTGTTCACAAACTCGATACTCCTGGCGGGATCGTAGAAGAGCTGGAAGCATCGTTTGACGTCGTCGATGCTGACTTGCTTGGATTTTCTCTTTGCTGAAACTAGCTGGGATGTGGTGATCAGGTTGCTGGCGTAACGGAGGCCAGCTTCTTGGCCGATCTTTGTGAGCAGAGCTAGGGCATCTGCAGAAATATCGATTTCTTCCTCCTGCGCTCGGATGGACAAAATCTTCTGGATTTCTTCGGTGCTGTAGTAATGCGTGTTGATGATGACAACACGATCCAAGAAATCGAGGGGCAGGCCGTGTGGGCTTTTGTAGTCGGTGCCGCGAATACGCGAGACGCCTCGGTTGCTGGCCATGATGACGACTGGTGCCAGGTCATCTTCCAGGGCTCGGTTGACGTAAGAAAAGCACTCAATGTCAAGCATATGCACCTCATCGAGGAACAGTACGCCAGGAACAATTTCGGCCTTACCCTCCTCCTTCCACTCGCCAACCTTTGTGTTGATCTGGTCACGGATCTCGCTGCGAATTTCACCAGTGTCACCGGAGAAGAGAGCCAGGAATCCTTGTGTTCGCGAATTGATGACATCGATTTCATGCAGTGATACGGTGTGGACCACCTCTTTGCGCTTTTGCAGCTCGCCATCAGGGCATTGCAAAAACTTGGTATCGGCACCCATGGCATCGTAATCGCGAGATCGGGCGTATGATCGACCGAGCTTGGTAATCTTGCCGGAAGACTTGTCGATGGAAATAATATCGCCGGCCATGACGCGCTCCTTGGTCATGGCGTCAATCATCTTCGCGCCCATGTCATACACGGCCTCCATATCGGTAGTTTTGATAGTCAGCTTGCCCTGTTTGGCGCTGCCAGTAACGCTTCGGTCGATCTGGATCTCCACAACTTCTCCCTCCATAATTTCGCTCTCTTCCTTGATGCGGACGCCGATTGACTTGCGGAAAGCTTGCGTGAGAGCCTCGGTTTTTGACATTTCGAGGGAGAAGATCTCTGAGGCCGCGAGGGTTGTGAAGGGAACGTCGGAGCCGAGGGATTGTGCCATTCCCATGGCAAGGGCAGTCTTTCCCGTGCTATCAAATCAAAAGCGTAAGCAAAGGATAGAGAGGAAAAGAGCCGAGTTGCTGCTGCCTCTTGTCACTTACCTTGGCGGGCCAGCAATCAAGACGGCGCGGCCAGCAATTTTGCCCTCTTTGATCATCTGCAGAATGACGGCAGCGGCCTTGCGGGCCTTTTCCTGGCCAACAAGGCCCTGCGACGAGGCCCTAGGCTCGAGACTCGTGGCATCGACGCCGAGTCCCCGGATGTGAGAATGCGCGGCGATGAGGTTCAGACCGCGAAGGTCCTTGGTTTCGGAAACGGTTACTAAGGGCTAGCCAGAGGCAGTCAGTTTACGAGCGGCATGATACTCTGGGTGGGGGATTGAAGACTCACAGCAGCCATTGTGAAATATGTGTATCCCGCACGCGCGCAGCAAGTTGGTCACGACAGGGTTGGAAGCGATAGATCAAGGCTGCTGCTCTAGCTGGGTGCGCAGAGTTGACAAACAAGGCTGGGCGAATTGGAGCGGCTGCTGAAGCTCCCGTTTTCGCCAGGAAAAATTACGGCCCCGGCGAAGCGCGCGGATGGCGTTTACACGCGCAAGCCAATGGCAGCTGCAGGGTACGTGGATACGGTTAAGCCGGTGGGGCGCGTGGTTCTCGGCCTGTGCCTGAGCCTGTCAGCCCAAGCTCCCCAGCAACTACAGCTTGTTTGGTTTTGGTTGATGCTTCATGCGGTATAACACGACTGGAAGCAAATCACGATGTGCCCTGGGACACCACTATCTGCCCAGCACTTAAATTATCCTAATTAGACCAACGTCTATGTTTCAACAGCCTGGGCATGCGCAAAACACGCTCTAGCACGTCAATCCTTGGGCACCTCCTCTGTTTCCCTCCTGGCTGGCTCCCTCCCCCTCTCGGTGTGCTCTTTCCTTTTTCCTGGCCCCCAGAACTTGCATTTTGTTTGCTCAAATTGCCTGTTTGCTAGTCCCTTCCAGCCAACGAGGGCCCGGCTCCCAGCAGCCCATCTCCACTCTCCAGCATTAGCAGAAGCCACTTCTCCTGCTTGCAGCAATGGCTCTCGCCGTTCACCCCTGCCACCGCCGGGTTGCTGCTTGCCATGCAACCTCTTGTTAGTAGTTCTGGGCAAGAGAAGCACAAGGCGAGGCTCCTATTCGTAGCTTTGCGTTTTGCGTAGAAGAAGAAAGAAGCTATTGGGTCTGTTCTCTCCGTAGGTGTATGGCAGCATCCCCCGTGACTGCACCGCTTAGAGTGGCCGTGGCATGCCCTGGCCACTTCGCCCAGACCTTCGTCTGATTTCCATGCTTTTCTTCTTTTTTTAAACAAACAAAGAGCACCTACTGTAGGCCTGCACTCTCGCTGCAAACACAATTTAGACCCGCCTATGTGCCTTTTTATAGTGCTGCGGCCGTTTGCACTGCGCCTGGGCACTTGATTCCTTTTTCCCCATCGACGCTGAATGTCGAGTCCTCAATATTTAAGATAGACGCTCTCGAAGTTGGCCCTTGAAGTTGGACCTGCCTTCGAATCTCCCTGGATAGGCCAACGGATATAAATAGTCCGCTTTGGTCTCGTTAACGTCTCATTTGATCAAGTCATCAGCTTAAGGCGTATCTATATCTCTGTCGCCAGCTACCTATTCGGATCAACTGTTACTATGAACAGAGATACGCAGGGCCTACCGCTAAAGCCACCGCCGTTGCTCGGATTCGCTCAGACTTTTGGGAACCAACGCACAATGTCGGACTCTAACAAGTCTAAAGACAGCCAGCGACCAGCCAACAACACTGGCCCAAACCCCAAGCGCCGCCGCACTATCGATCGATCTGGCGAGCGGAGCCCAGTTACCCAACGCGATGGAGCTGAGGCATCCAGCCCGACGGTTTCAACAGGTAGGAAAAGCGTCTTTCCAGGACTTGAGTATGTGCCCTTGAACTGACTCATGCTAACAACTACTGTATATAGTTCCCCACAGACAACGCAACCCAGACGCGCCCAGACAAAATGTCTCGAATGCGTTACCCAAAACTGCTGCCCATCATACATCAGCTGCCTCTCTCAAGACGTTGATGTATCAGTTTTTCGAGAATTTTGAAAGCTTTCAACTGAGGAGTAGAGCAGTTAAACATCTCAAACATTATTCGAAGATCCAAGAGCAGAGTCATCACCGTCTCTCAGACTTCTCTAGTGCCTCTAATCTACAAATGAATGAGCGAAAGGCAGCTCAAGACGATATTGAGAAAGCCGATAAACAAATAACAGACTTTTGTAACAAAATATCGCCAGCTCTTCGATCGATTTTGCAAGGTATCTCAGAGGGCGGAGGTATAGGCGCCACTCCGTCCTCAACTCCAGACAGGCCGATGGTATCAGAAGCCAAATTAAACACTGTCCAAGACACAATCAAAAAAGATTTGGAGACAGCGGTCAAGAAAGATATCGCAGAGTCACAGCAATCAATGAAAGATTTCTTTCAGTCACAAACGTCCGCACTGAAAGAGGCGCTATCCCAAGAATATGAGCAGCAATTCAAATCCTTGAAAGAGACTCTGATGCAAGAATGCGAGGAGAGACAAACTTCTCACAAAAAGACGCTGACTCAAGAAGAGGAAGAGAGAGTGAAATCTCTCAAAAAGTCGCTGGCACAAGAAGAGGAAGAGAGAGTAAAGTCTCTCAAAAACTCGCTGGCACAAGATTATGAGAAGCGAATCGCAGACATAAGGCTTTCTGTTGCTCAAGAAAACAGAGACCAGATTGCAGATCTAAAAAAAGGCTTGGCCAACGAAAGCGAGAAGAATACTGCTCTTGAAAAGAAGATGGTAGATTTAAAAACTGAACTTGACAAAGCAACCTCAGGACAGAGGCAGAAGTTGGAATCGCTAGTAGAGCAAACGCATCTTGACCAGCAACTACAACGCCTGTCGAGCTCTCAGGAAGACAAACTTGGCGAGATAAGAACCTATGTGGACCAGAAAACGGAAAACACTTTTTATGTGCAGCGATTAAAGCGAGTTGATCTGCTTACGGACTCTCACAAAGAGAAACTCGGCCAACTTGAGGATCGCTTGAATCAAGCGGAAGACGATGCACGAAGAATTGAGAACCTAGAAGTGCAGATATGCAATCTTTCAAGGCTCATCAACAAAAAGGCGCACCAGCTCTCTGATTCTCAAGAGGAGAAAGTCGGCGAGCTTGAGGCAAGCTTGAACCGGCTTAAAGATGACAACGTTGCCACCCACCAGCTTCTCACATCTCAAAACGACAAACTTAGCAAGCTTGATGACCCGAAAGCCACTACAGCAAGCATTGAAGATTTGAAAAAGCTTGAAGCTCGCATGGACTCACTGGCAAGCGATACTCCGAAAATCAATGACTTCATAAAGGAATGGCGCGTCCACTTAGAGCTGATTGAGAAAGGGGCACAACTATTCAATACACGTCTGGTTTCGCTCGAATCTGTGGCATCTACTCTTTCAGCGAAAGAGTTGGATGATATTCGTACGGAGATGGCAAAAATGGACCAGCGCATACGGAACTTCAATCCGAAGCATGAGTCTCTTCCCCTATCAGCCGATTCGATTCGACACGCCATCTGGCTTGAAGTAGAAAAGGAGATGGAGAACAAAGCCAACGCAACAAAAGCCGCGCTTGCGCATGTTCAATCCGGACTCCATAAGTTTCTCAAGACTGAGCGAGAAGAGAGAGAGGCTCTAGAAGCGCAATGTGCCGAAGTTACCCGCCAGTTATTGGAGGCCCAACAAGAGGCCGCTGCAACGAAGAGTGAACTTTGGGAACTAAAGAAGAGGATGAATGATCCCACACTGAAACAAGACAAATTACTCGACTGCTTTGAAGAAAAATTGAACAGTCGAATTGGAGCCGTCGTATTTGAGTTCCGTAACGCACTTGACGGAATCTGTTTGCACATCCAAGGCCTGGGGGCATGGCAGAACAACTTCAGCACAAAAGGTCTCTATAAAGACATCTTGAATTACATTAATGCCACGATGCCAGATGGCACAGTGGTGCAGTTGAGGAGGCTGAAACAGCGCATGGAAGTCGCTGAGACGCGCATTGCGGCTTGTGAGAATGGCACCAGCAACAAAAGAAGAAAACTGCCGAGTGGCGGCTCAAAGATGGTTAGTGGTGATCAAGCAGACGCGTAATCATATTCATTTTAAGGGAGAAGCCAGCAATGTTTGAACAGCGGCGGAGATGAACAAACCAGCCTATTATCTTACGTCTTCGAGATGTATCTCTAAGCGGATAGCTTTCTTTCAAGGCTCATGAGGCTATTATTCCTGCCAGCTTGGATCCAGGCACAACACTGGCTTTCAAATCTAGCCGCTTGTTTGGACTGTTCAATGCAACGCGGGATGCATGTACTCGTAGTACACAAGGGGCTGGGATAATTTTTTTGTTCTGGATGAGGCGGGTGACTGGCCATGCATGTAATAAGTAATATAGAGTATTGCACCCTGTACTCGAATGTATTTTGTGGAGGGATGTATGAGGTGACGATGCGATCTGTAGCCGAATTATAGAGGCAAGCAAGTTAGTTAATTTCTTCCATTATATATATTAGTCTGGTAAACATCTCCTTTGCCAATACAATATAAGAGCAAGTAAATACTACCTGCATTCGAGTCACTGTACTTTCAATAGCATATTTATTTTTCATCTTTATCTCCCTCTGTGTGTATTCATCTGTGTTTATTAGATAAAGCATCGACATTGCAGTTATCTAGTATTTACATCTACCTATAGACATCCATTGCCTGTGAGATGTATTGCGTACTTGGTTCTGCAGAGTTTGGTTTCAAAGTATGATACAGCGTAGGAAAAAAAATCTTCTTCTTTCCTCTTCTTTGCCCTTCTATCAATATATCAGTAGAGTTTACATATCAACATACTTTATATAAAACAATAAAATATAGTCACAGGATACGCCTCTGTTGCTATCATTTGAGTCCGCAATGAGATTTGTGTAAGTTTCAGCCTGGTTGCGGTGGCTGAACGTCAAGTGCGCAAACGGCACTTTTGTACCTGAAAAAAAAAAAAAAAGGTATTGACCAAGGTACTAAAACATACCTAGGAAGACGATTGAAATCATTGTGCTTCTAGATGCTTTATCTAGGTGGTCCACCTATTGAAGCAAAAAGAACAAGATACAGAACAATACTACTGCTTTATATACAATTCCCATTCCTACAGAGACCCCCGTGATCTCAATCTCATTATCAAATCAGAACCCAATGATATAGAGCTCGGAATCCCTGAATATGCACACCAGGCATTATTGTTGCCTCTATTGGCTCGGTGTTGGATACACGTAAATCTTCCTGCGAGGTTACAAACAAATGAACTCATTCTGAGCTTGTACCAGCGCCAAAGTTCGGAGCGCCAGGCGCCCAGAAAATCGGGCGCAAGGGCCCTTGAAACCTTAACGGCGGCTGATGGGGCAGTGAACACAGCGCTCCGCCATACAAAAAGCACGGGCAGCCCCAGGAGAGGCCCCAGGAGAGGCACCGCACACTAACCCCCGACACAACACTGAAGTGAGCACTGCCGTATCCACCGCATCAGCTTCCCCCAAACCCCAAACCAGAACCAGCGCCAGCCTTAGGAGCAGCTCGTGTATGGCCTGAGCAGCGGTACATGCGCTCCCGCCCGCCGCCCACAGCTCGTGCTGGTACCGATCGCCAAACACCATCTCGCGGCCGGCATCTGCATCCACGTCCCGCATCCACGAACCTCCAATCCATTGCCGCAACGCATCGCCCTGCCGCTCGCTGGCGTCGCGCTGTGCCGAATCGCCATTGCCCCCGAGAGAGCGCCTGCTGGACCGATCAGCGGGCGAGCTGCGAGCCCTGCCCGGCGGTGCCCCGACTCGCATCGCCCATCTGACTGGCCAGCTCTTTGTTGCTTGCTCAACCTCTTTGTCTCTTGTCTCGCCTGCTGCCTCTTCGGCCAGCCCTGTGCGGATCCGCCGCCACGGCCGCCGCTCCGCTCACCGTCGTCGATACCGCATAGCCATTGTCGCGCAACCTCGCCCTCGCTCGCGGCGGCCGCTCTTCTCGCCGTCGTCGGTCGCGCTCCGCCGCTCACTCGTGCCTGCGGCATGATCACGCCCAAGCACGATGGAAGCGGCGCGGAAGACGATCGAGGTGCTCGGCCAGCGCATCCTGCCAGGACAACCCCATCACTTGGCGTTCCACCCCGAATGGCGATACCGTCCCAACCACGGTGACAGCAGCTCCTTTGAGGAATGGCACCATCCCCGCCTGCAATACCTGACCCTATTGTCCGAAGCCGATCGCGGCGTCCTGCTCACAAAATCCGATTATGACATGCGTGAAGAGCCGGCCAAGCCTCTTCCGCGCGAAGTCAACGCGCTGGCCAAAGGTGGTGAGAAGAAGAAGTTGTCGCTGAGCGACTACAAGAACAAGAAGACCGGGGCCACGTCGTCCACGTCGCCGCCAGAGCCCTCAATTGCCAAGAAGAAAGAAAGCGAACGCGCTGGCGACCTGTCGGCCAGTATGGGGGCTGCATCCGACCACAAACCCACATCAGAATCCAAGTCTGCCTCGGAAGCGAGGAAGGCGGACAGACCCAGGCCACGAGAATCAGATCCGCTCGTTGACGCCAAACAGCGACAGGGTCGCGAGCCAGCCGCCGACATGAGGTGGGTACCTTTGAGCTCCGGGAGATGGCAACATTGGGCGACGACCAGCAAGCTAACATTGACACAGATTACCTCCCAAGCCTCCCACAAAGCACCCATTACCGCCTCGACCACCCTCTCCCAATTCTAAGAAACGCGTGGCAGATCCAGATGACGATTTGCGACCGCAAAAGCGATCCAAGGCTGACACCGGCAAGCACATTGATGACCGGGCACCGCACTCGCGTGATGAAGCGCAGAGACGCAAAGACAGAGTCTCTTCCTCAACGCCTTACAAAGATGCGCCGTCGCATAAAGATGACAGGCTCACCAACTCGTCCTCGCTACCCAATGGCAGAGCCATTCTGAAAGGCGCGGTGAGCTCCAGCCGTAACAACAACACTTCGCCCGCATCTCGCCCTCGGGGCGATTCTATCAATGGCATCCGGCCTACTGGCACAGGAAGCAACCGAAACACGCCCACCAAGCTGGACACGTCAAAATCAAGCGTGCCGCCACTATTATCTCCCCTGCATCTGACTTTTGACGACCGGAACTCCGAGAACAAGTCACAGGCAAGGCAGGAGAAGAGAAGGGCGCGGGAAGACTCTCGTGAGCGGGACAAATCTCCCATAAGGCACAAAAAGTCAGACTCCACATCAGAAATCAAGAGACAGAGGTCACCGGCGAGGATTCCTCCGCTGCTCTCGCCGACTTTGCCACCGGCAGTAGAGGCGGCTTTGGAGGCTGCTTTGCAGACGAGAAAGAAAATACCAACGGAATCGTTGGAAGCCAAGCCCCTCAAGAGCAAGGATGACAAAGAGAAGGAGCTGCCGTTCAAAAAGAAGAAGGCGGCTACCGATTATCACTCTGACGACGACGAACCTCTTTCACAAAAACCACAAAAGTCACAAAAGTCACTCATTGTTATGATCAAAGTGCCCAAGAAACTACGAAAGGATGTCAAGAGGATCCTCGCCTTGTCATCATCTACTGCCGCTCGCAAGGAGTTGCAGGCTCAAAGCCAGGAACGTTCTGCTGCACCTGAAGAATTCATTCAGCCACCCCCCGCAAGGAAACGGCCGGTGGCTCCCACTGAAGCGGCGGCATTATCGGAAACCAACGCACAAAAGAAGCCCAAGGCTGCTGATATCCCCAGTTCCTCGCGTTTGCCTGCTCCAACGACTCCATCCAAAAGGGGGGCCACCTCCATGTCTCGCGTTAGCTCGAGCAATTCTTTGGCCCAGACCCCTGGAGACGCAGTTAATGCCACTCCATCTGCCTCTACCTCATCGGACCGCCGTGTAAATGGCCACGATGTCCATCGCTCAGAATCTGCCGAGGCTAGGGCTATGCGCGAGAAGGAGGCCAAATTTAACGCTCTGGGACGCCGCCTCAAGCATGAAGCGGATACAGCCATGAGAGGAGGTCGTCGAAGCCCGGGTACCAATGGTCACATGCGTGAGCCTGACCTAGGTAAAGGTTATGTGATTAGTGTGGAGAGTTTGTTGGCTTTCATGGCTGGCTTCCAAGCGCAAAACATTTACCGCGGGCTATGCAATAAGAGGAGCGACCCGACTGGATGGATGAGCCTGTTTCCCCTGCTTGAGTTTATTCAGGGCCAGTTGAAGAGACAGGAGACACATACCCGTCGATTCCTTCCGCTTTATGCACTTGTTCTTCATCTTCATACTGTGGCCATCACAGAGCTAATCCGATGCCACGTGGTCGAGAATTCAACTCTTCCGCAGCCAGACTGGTTTGCACTTGAAAAAAAGCGACTGAAGCTTCTTTCTCAAATCAACGAGGCTTCTAACAACATTGATACTCGAGATCTGCGCCTCAGTGTACCATCACACGCAACGCTAGATGATATGACTTGGGCGTCGATCCGGATCCTCAGAACATGGTGTAATGGTGAGCACGTTGATTGGGCCCCCGACGGCAGTCTTAAGGAGCCTGTTGCGTCTCGGGGTTCATGAAATGAACAGTATCGATGGCACTCACTAGTGGCATCTCTTCTTTACACGACACACTACACCGCTTATATAATTGGCATGGCTTTGACAGCTGACGGGGCTGGGTGGCTACTTTGGAGCTTGCTAGCTTTTCCATTTCCTGTCTTTGCCCGAGTCTACATGCAAGCAACTGCAAATGACTGGATTTTGAGATTCTGCATTTTGGCGTTGGGTCACGAACAAGGGATTTTTTTTTTCTTCTCCTTTCTGCTTCACGCACTTGGTAAATCACCCGAGTTAAGAGAAGACAAGAGAAGAAGGCGAACTCAACTCGTTGAATGTTCAAAAGATTCTGCCACCAACCAATGCACCACCGCGAGACGGCTTGCATCTGCTGCCATTTGGCTTTTTTACTAGCAAATTGTTTTGCTTGACGCGTTTATGATATCCCTGTACTCATACTGTTCTCTTTACGCTGTTTTACCTCCGTCTCTTCGTCGTTTGTCACTCTGTGCCGATGGTGGGTGACTTGATTACTGCTGGCACAGGAAAGGATGCACGTGGGTTTGAGGTAACAGCTAGAAAAGAAACACGCAGTACTGCTGAGTTTCTCTTTTTCATATCTTTTTCAGCTCCTCACTGGGCTTCTCTCTTCTTTTTACCAACTTCACTTATTGATAACTGTTGAAAATATAAATCAAGTGCCTGTGGTTTTGATCTACGGCAGACGTTTGCTTGAACACAGGGGGAGGGGGTCTTTGAAATGAAAAAACAGGATTGGGAAAGTGGAACAGTCGGGCAGGCAAGGCGACTGTGACTGTTATTTTGTAGTGTTTTGTTTTATTCTGCTGGATGGAAAAAGTTGAAGGGGATGTTGCGTACATACATTGGCTCTGTTGCGGCCTTGTTTTGTTTTTAGCCTTGTTAATTTTGCTCTTTGCAATACACGATGGCAGAATCTGTAATCAAGAGTCGCTAGGAGGTGTAGTAGATGAAATAAATACCATTTCATGATTGACGCAGGCTGTGTGTCCCTGTTTGAGTGATTACATGCTCGTTCTAGCTGCTTTTTGTGCGTATACGTGGAAAGCTTCAATGATCCTTCTTGGTGATGGTTGTGACTGAGATCGAGACCAATGAATGTAAGGAATGCGTGTGTCAGGGATAATTAATACGGCTTTGATCGTCTTGCTCTGAGTCAACCATCTCCTGAGTATGGGTGATTGCAGCTGCCTTGACGCCTCGAGTAAATTCACACCTCGTACAACGGAGTTTGTCTCTATTGTAATGGAGCTGTAATGCGATGTTACCTCACCCGTAATTCACATATGCGTTGGTGAGTCTTCAAGTTGCTCAAAAGAACATATTATGCTATAGAATCTTGATAGAGTCGTATAGTGAAGAGACCCTGTCGAGCATGAAGCCATTAATTGCTGTGTTTCCATACTTCAAGAGACAAAGACAAGAAATTCACTCTTTGCTATAGACACTGCCAAGTGCAATCTCTTGTCACTTGTGCTTTTTCCACAGCTGCACCGATACACACCGCCCTGACCCTTTTTCGCATTTTGAGCTCAGCCATCTACTTATAGCCTACTGCACTCGGCCTGCTCTCTGTTGCATAACTCTCACCTTTACACTTCTCTCTTCTTCTCAATCTTCTATTCCTTCTTCGCCATCCACACATTGAGCATCCGGTTCTTATACTGGGGACTTACCTCACTTGCTTTCTTCATCTTCTATTCTACGTCAACCCACAATAACAACATTTCCATCTCATCACCATGGCCCCTCAGGAGAAGAAGTGGGATGATTCCGCCGAGCGCGACCTCTGCATGTCCATGATTTACTGCAACGCAGAAAGCGGCAAGGTCCGTCAGAACTGGCCTCGCATCGAAGAGGTCATGAGAGGCCTTGGCTACACGTTCACCAAGGACGCAATGTCGTAAGTTTTCAACCATCTTTACAAACTTTCATCTCCTTCTCTCCAAAGTGTATAGCCCATCATAGGTTAGAAACAGAAACTGACTTTCTTCTTAAAAAAAAAACACAGCCAGCACTACTCCAAAACCATCATGAAGGACTTCAAGACTCGCCACCCTGATATCACTGCGACCAGTCTCCCTGAGACTCCTTCGCCTGCTAGTGCTCGCAAGGCCAAGGCTGCTGCTGCAAAAGCCGATGGCGCCAGCACCCCTTCCAAGAAGCGAGCCAAGAAGTCTGCCGCCATGGTCCCAAAGGATGAAGACGGAGATGACGATACTGAGCTTGATGCGACTCCGAGCAAGAGAGTCAAGAAGGAGGAAAAGGTGACTCCTGTTAAAAAAGAAGACAAGGCAGCTCCTGTCAAGGATGAAGAAGAAGTTGCTGATGCTACTACTGAGACGTAAGGTAAACCCGCTTCTTGTGTTGAAAATAACACCTAGCACAAACTCTGCCCATTTTCCATTCTAATCTCTTTCTTCCCACCCTGTCTTCCAATAAAAAAGATCTACTTTGCAATTTCGAGCTAACATTTTTCGTCTTCTCAGTGCCGACGATAAGGACAGGGCTTTCCAGGCCTGGAATGCCAAAGGCCCCTCCGACGAAGAGTAGATTCAGAATCAGCTTCACAAACGCCTCATCTTCTTTTTTTCCTTCTGTTATCCTCTCAGGGTAGAGTGATATTGGTATACATCATCGGTATATGGATTGGCTAGAGAGGATTATATAGACTCTTTTTTTTTTTTTTGCTTTGGAAGCTATTTATTTGCCAGCTACGGAGTGGTGGATGCGAAGTGCTATATACGCTGGTTAGTTAAGGAGGGATCGATATAAGTCTATATACGGTGACCAAAAGGCAATGTTGCTTTAATACTACACACTCGCAATCCCAAAAAATCGGACCAGTGCTCTCGCCTATAATGAGTAAGAAAAGTCTCTAATTTGCTTCTGTATATTCTCCCGCCCGTCTGCTCGTTGTAGCCGGACCACTTAATTACGGTTATGCTTGCCTACCTATGCCGTCAGGAGACATTGGATGAAAGCGGTTCTTTCATCTTCAAGGCTGTTGTGTTCGCAGAAATCTCCCGAAAGAAATGAGATGGTTGAAAATACAGTACCATTTTACTAAAAATGGCTAAACAAACTAGATTCTCTATTTTGCAAGCAATTCATCAAACCAACCGTAAACTTCAAAGTTCCCAGCCCCAACGCCGCAACTGCATGGATTAAAAGACTAACATCAGGAACCTTATCATTTATCGTGGTGATCGACCATCTAGTCTGTTGCCATCGCTTGGTCCCTTCTTATCTGGGGCCTTGGACTTATCATCAGCGTCTCCCTTTCTCTTAACAGTTCCACGCAAACTTTGTCCTTGACCCGCAAAGTGTTGTTTTGGCGCCTTCTCTTGCGCCTTCTCAGCGTCCGTCTTTAACGGTTTCAGCTCGTATCCGAAGAAAAGCTTGTTGGGAGATAGACGAAGGGGCGCCGGGGCGCCGGTTCGTTTTTTAGGAACTGCGGTTGTCTCCACTGGCACTGGTGTAGCGGGCTTCGGTGTTGCAGTCTTACTGCCTTTCTTAACCACTCGCTGGCCTTCTCCGAGGAAATTGGTCGGCACGCTGGTCACTGACGGAGCGATAGAGCTGTAGTTGATGGCTTGTGCCATGGTCCCCTGACTGTGCAAGATACCACCGGCAGGCACGCCTCCCATAGTACTCCGTGGAGTGCTTGTTCCGCTCTTCTTCTCGGGCTCAACGTAGCCAACGGGTGCCGCAAACTCGACCGATACGTCGGTTTCAATCATACTGACGCCCATCTTGTCCGTCTCTGGTTTAACATCCAGAACCGCAACATCGTAGACGTCATCGTTGTATTCAAAGTTGAAAATATCGCCCTTTGTTAAAGTTGCAAAATTCCTAAAAGCTTTTTCCAATACGGCCTTCGGATCGCTAATCTCGAGGAAATTAACCGATTGGGGCTGAAGCTTGACCATCCTTGCGAGCTCCAAAGAAGTAGTTCGGATTTGAATCATGTCGCCAACGTCCAAGCCTAGTGTTACCATCATCTGTCAAAGGTCAGCAACAGAAATAACAAAGAGAGATCCGGGTATCGACTATACGACCACTCACCCACTGGGGAATATATGCGCGACCTTCTTCGGCAATGAATTCCAAAACTCCGGCATGTGAGTGCTTGCCCTTCTCGCCATTGATCATCTCCATCAGCAGCGGCCACTGCACATGGAGCTTGGAGACTTTGTCAAGAGCTGATGGTGGAAGAATAATCTTGGATCCGTAGTTCAACTCTGGGCGCTCGCTGCCCGGCGCCATGATGACGGGATAACATCTGTAGTATTCGTCGAAGCGTTGGATTATGGGTCGTCGGCCATGGCGTGCCATGCCATAGGGGTCGAAGCCGAAGCCAGACTTGGATAGCATTAGCCATTAGAAACACATGGATTTGGGGTGCGAATATGCCAACTTACCATTTTGGCGTGATGTAGTAAGCAGGCGATTAAACGATAGATACAGCCAGGCTACCTCGCCTGCGCGTTCTCGAGAAGGACGCTCAAAAGAAGCTCCGTCCGTTCAACTGCCTTTGTATCTTGGCGTTTCTCAAGTAAGAATGACTATTGCTGCGCTGGTTGCTGGTTGGTGAAGCTTGAGATGTCAAAGTCAAGAAAGGCGGAAGACGTGGGGTTCGCAGTGGAGGCAGCTGTTGAGTGACGCAGGTACATACCTTTTATCGCAGCTGAGATAACGCCAAAATGTTAATCCCGGCATGCGGAAACTCTCTTACTGCTCCTAACGCCAACGAGTCCACCACTGAGCTGCTGCCTGCCACCACGTCATCTTTACTTTATTAATCATTTAGAAAACAAATTGCTTGTTGAATTTACTGCATTTGAGCTACCTCTTTGCTCACACGGGAGAACAAGTGGCGATTGGCCGAGTCGTGTCGTCACCCCCCGGAGCACCATGTCTTCCCGTTACTCTGCAGCGCGTCCGAAGCGAGCTGGCGAGGACTTTGCTCGAACGCATCACAGCAACGAAGAGGACACAAAACGAGTCAAATTTGATGTCCGCAACCCGTCCATCTTGGCGCCGGACGCGCGAGAAGATGACGCAGTTCTGGATGCCGACGTGATTGGTGGCAGCCATGCTACGAAACGAGGCGCCGTAAACCTCGACGGCTACGACAGTGATTCAGACAATGAGAACTTCAATGCGCGAGCGGGAAGTCGCAAGAAGGGAGATGTGAATATTCTTGAGCAGCTGGACAACTACGACGCAACGGCTAGCAGCGCCAACGGGCGCCCGGACAAACCGATCAACGAAGATGACGATGACGATGACATGTTTGCGGCGGAGAATGACGAGGAACAAGGGAAAGAGGAGGCTGGAGAAGACGAACACTTTGAGAAGTCTGGCAGAAAGAAGAAGAACGTCAAATTCTTGGACAACGCTCAGATCTATGGCCAGGAGAAAGGAAGCAAAAGTGGAGGCACTATCCGCCTAGACGAACAAGAAAGCAGCGATGATGAAGAGGACTTGGAGCTTGCGATTCAAGAAGAGGGAGTGGATGAAGAAGTGGGAGCTGGCGGCTTAAAACGCAACGCACCCAAAGTTGAGGCTTTCAATCTTAGGGACGAGATGGAGGAGGGCCGATTCGATCAAGATGGCAACTTCGTGCGGAAAGCTAATGACGCCGATGCCGTCCATGACAGCTGGCTCGAAGGCTTGAGCAAAAAAGAAATGAAGAAGGCAGCGGCGGCGCACGAAAGACGCGAGGCTGAAGCACGGGAGAAGCGCATCGAAGAAGATGGCGTATTGGTCTCAGAGCTACTGGCAGCGCTGATTACGAGGCTGGAAAGAACCGAAACACCCCTGGAAGCTTTGGCACGGCTAGGAAAAGACAAGCCTAAAACCAAAAGGATACCCAAGTGGAAGCTCAAGAAGATGAATAAGGGTGCAGAAGCTATGGAGACAGATCAGGAACCAGCAACGGACCCGAAACAGGCGGAGATTAAGGAAGCAATCGATGCCATCACAGACGCGGCTGATAAATTATTGAGCCGTGGGCACGAGGAAATCTACGACGAAGAGAGAGAACTGCTGGTCCGCGAATATCGACGCGAGACGGGAGAAGACTGGGTCGAACCCAAAGTCGAGTTCGCGGCCGAGGCTGAGGCTCAGCCAGCTTCAGCTGCAGCTGCAGAAGACGCATCGGCTCGGGCTAATGGCACGATGTGGGAGTTTAGGTGGACAGATGGACGAGACAATGCCGCAAAGCAAGGTCCCTTTGACGGCCCCGCGATGAAAGCTTGGCAGGATGCCGGATATTTTGGTCAGGGCGTCGAGTTCCGAGTCGTCGGCACAGGCGAGGATGCGTGGGCCGCTTCGGCAGACTTTTCGCGGGGACAGCTGTGAGCGAACGAAGAGACTGAGGGCGTGAAGAGGACCAAACAAGCGAACGGGTAGAGCCGCTTCTCCAACTCTCCAGGTTCCGGTAGCTTGTCTCTGTGCCGGGTCGACTTGTGAAAGTGGGAACTTTGGATCGAGAAAAGCGAACAGGACGATCTCGTTGGTCCTCTCAGAGCAATCAAAAGCTCTGTAGCATCCGTCCCGGCGCCTCAGCCGCGGCTAAGAAAGGCTCCGTGTGCTGGGGACGAGAATGACAACGACCGGCTGTGTTCCTGGAACTCCCGATCTTGACGGGGCCGATCTGGGGTCGCAGGCTTCTCCAAGATCCCACAAGCCGTAACGCTCCGGCGCTTGATTCCGCAGTGGCCCTAGGGGAAGCGCGATGGCAGCCGAGCTTTGCCGCCTGCATATTGACACAGGGATTGTATTGAGCTGATGGTTGCCGTGCAATAAGTGGTGTTGTTGTAGGAGCGAAAATGAGGGCATCGCCAAGCAGCCCGCGCAAACTCGAGGTCGCCCGCAACAACGAGAGGTTTTCAGGTACTTCGTACCTACCTAACATATGCCAGCTATGGGACGTTAGTACTAGTAACTACATTGGGAAACCAGCTCGATGAGCGATTTCTATTATTCATCATTTCTGCTGCTCGCACACGCCACTGCTGCACTGCACCCCTTATCATATCCGTATCAAGACCTATATCATGCGTACCCACGCAAGACGTGCGTCTACTGCCCAGGTGAGGCCACGGGGGTGACAAAAAGGGTCAGCTTGATGTAACTCATTTTGCTTGCCATCGCGAGCGTTGCCGGAGAGCTATTTTACGAAACGTGCTCGCCGTTCATCGGCTTCGTTTGGCTCCTTTGACTCCCTGTCTCGTGTATTCAGCTTGACTGCCTCCTTGATATTACCAAACCTGATAATTAATACGGCCGCGGCAGCCCCGGCGAAAAAAAGCGTGGGATGGCTAACTCGGCCAATGGGGCGGATCGCAGGATAAGCCCGGGCGATGTTTTTGAGCTCTCGCTCGGCCTATCCAAAAACATCTGCCATGACTTCATGATTTCATAATCAACTCCGACGTCCCAAGGAGATGGCAAAAGCAGCTCAGAGGGAAAATATCATAATTCCTCATGATCAGTCCTTTTTCGCCTCTTGTTGTATATTCCAAACTCCGGCCGGCGGCGCTGCCCGGTGGAGCACAGCCTGAAATGACAAGACGGCAGCCGGGCCTTTGTTGAGAGGCGAAGTTCCCGCCTAGGGCAGTAGAAAAAAGCACCGCCCCGCCGGAGACGCCCCAAAATTCGCGAAAACAGCGCATGTTGGTGCCGGGTCCCAGCCTTGTGACGGGCTTATTGGGCGGACTAATGCTATGTAGCTCTCCCTTCGCAATCGAACCTGCGTGTTGGTTCAAGGCTGCTCGGTGAGCTGGTTTTTCTCGTTCCCCTGGACATTGCAAAATGGAAGAGGCTGGTTGGATGATAGGAGGAGCACGTTTTCTCTTGGCTTGCTCGCTTTGAGTCTCGAGGCCCGAGATTAACAGTCAGGATTGGGACGGATTCGGCGCCCTAATGATGATGACGGTGCGTGTTGGCAAAGGACACTATGTAAGAAGATGCGCGTTGGATTGGTAGGAAGACGTATTCTGTATGTTGCTGCCATTGCCAATCCTGTCGTTTTGCAACATCACGAAGCTCCTGTCGTAGTATTAATAGCAGTCGTGAGTATTTTGTTGGGCTCTAGGATCTGCTAGTCTAGATGCAATCATCGTCAATATCAATCTGCAAGCAGTAGTGCCTGAAGCTAATTCGCGTCCACTACGGCCCTTCCATTCCATTCCATCCATTCCTGCTAGGAGGAGCTACCGCCTGGGCATCCCACCCACTGTGTCGAGGCAGTAGCGGCTTGGGCGCCGTACAGTATCGTTTCCAATGATCCGTCCAGTACCGGCCACTCTTCCCGCTCGCTGCAACCTACCAAGATGCGGCCTGACCCCCCCTGTTCGAGCCGTTGATTCCCAGGTGGCGGGCCCCAGTCTTTAGACGCGCTTTGCCAAATGGCATGGATAGCGCTCATCCGATGCCGCATCACGGTTGGGCCAGAAACACTATTAATCTTTCGACTGCTCCCCTCTCCTGATCTTTTTCTTCCCTCCTTTCCTCTCCATAACCACTCCTCAGAGACATCGTCCTATTACTCTATCTTTCAAACCACAAACAGGTTAGTATAACATGACATGGTCACGATAAGCCCGGCACTTCAACGGATCAATGTTTCTGTTTCCATCCATCTGCCCCTCTTCCCTCAGCTGCTATCGCCTCTAGCTACCCCGCTAGGCTCCTCTGCGTCACCTTTTTTTTTCCTATTTACCCCTCCTTGCTCCCAGCTCCTACACACAAAAAAAACTTACTCGGAAACAAAACGCCATCAAGCTTAAGCTTACACTCAAGCTCTCAATCACAGTTCACAAAACCGCCATCATGTCTATCAAGGTCGGAATCAACGGCTTCGGCCGAATTGGTCGTATCCTGCTCCGCAACGCTCTCGAGAAGCCCGAGCTCTCCGTCGTTGCCGTCAACGATCCCTTCATTGAGCCCACCTACGCTGTGAGTTGCGACCCCTCGCTTTTCTGTGCTGGTTTCTGTGTATCCTCAATATATCTCGATCACCCTCCGATTTCTGCCCAACCAAAATAATTGCATTGCGGCAGGCGAGATTAGAGGGGAGGGGAAGGCGATGAAAAGAGCTGGTGCTTATGAAGGCTGCTTTCGGCATTGTGGGGTGTGATTGCTTGAACATCGCAATGTCGCGAAACGAAGCTTTACACTTTCTACCAGGCTTGGCCTTGCAATTTGCTATTTTCATCGTCAATGGTCGCTGCGTTAAATGTCTTGAAACATGTTGAGCTTCAAAACAATTTTACGCAGCTCCATCTCGCCATTACCCCTCACTAGCTACAGCTGTTCCATTGCATGGCCGCTAACTGAGTTATTATTAGGCCTACATGCTCAAGTATGATTCCTCCCACGGTCCCTTCAAGGGCGATATCGAGGTCGATGGCCAGAACCTCGTTGTCAACGGCAAGCCCATCCGCTTCTACTCTGAGCGCGACCCCGCCAACATCAAGTGGAGCGAGACTGGCGCCGAGTACATTGTCGAGTCTACCGGTGTCTTCACCACCATTGACAAGGCCAAGGCTCATCTTAACGGCGGTGCCAAGAAGGTCATCATCTCTGCTCCTTCCGCCGATGCCCCCATGTTCGTGATGGGTGTCAACCACAAGGACTACGACGGTACCCCCACCGTTCTCTCCAACGCCTCTTGCACCACCAACGGCCTGGCTCCCCTTGTCAAGATCGTCAACGACAACTTCGGCATCGTTGAGGGTCTCATGACCACCGTCCACTCCTACACCGCCACCCAGAAGACCGTCGACGGTCCCTCTGGCAAGGACTGGCGTGGTGGCCGTGGTGCTGCCCAGAACATCATCCCCAGCAGCACTGGTGCCGCCAAGGCCGTCGGCAAGGTTATTCCTGCCATGAACGGCAAGATCACCGGCATGTCCTTCCGTGTCCCCTCTGCCAACGTCTCCGTCATCGACTTGACTGTCCGCCTGGAGAAGGCTGCCTCATACGAGGAGATTACCAACGCCATCAAGAAGGCTGCCGATGGTGAGCTCAAGGGTACGTAAACATGTCAACTTCCAATTTCCAAAGCAACAAAAAACTAACTCTGCCATAGGAATCATGGCCTACACCAACGACGAGGTCGTCTCCACCGACATGCTCGGCAACAACAACTCTTCCATCTTCGATATCAAGGCTGGTATCTCCCTGAACCCCAACTTCGTCAAGCTTGTCAGCTGGTACGACAACGAGTGGGGTTACTCCCGCCGTGTCCTCGACCTCTTGGAGCACGTTGCCAAGGTCGATGCCTCCAAGAAATAAGCGTTTGACTCTGACTAGATGGGCCCAGGGGTGGGCGTAACTATATTGTCAAGACGAAAAAAAAACCACCAGAAAAAGACAAAGCAGGGTGCAAACAGCTACCGCACGCCAGCATGAAGATAGACCTCGTGCTGTTATTTCCGAGCTTGGAACTGAAATGGAGAGAAAAAAGAAACTCCGAACCCCTTGGGGAAAAAAATTAATGCCCTTATGGATCTGGCGATGCAAACTTTCTGCTAGTAGCTTTAGCTTCATAGGCTCTCGTACATAATGAGCCTATATAATAGTATCATGGCCATGATAAATAGAGCCAATCCGCTCAACCACTTTTATTTGTCCGTTTGTTGCACTTGTGACGTCTTATAGTTTGATACATGGCAGCTGATGAGAACTTTTGCCTTTTCAGCATGTTCAACAGAAGCTTGATCAACATCCCAAGTTGACTGTCTAAGACGGGAATTGGTATTTTAAGCTACCCATCTCCAATGTTCTATTTTCTGATTTTGCTAGAAGATTACTCTCTTTTGTAGTATCTAGTAAATTACTGGAAGAGTCACGATGTAAGTCTACTTGAGGTGGCAAATAGTTGCTCTCGAGATTACGTTGAGGGAAAGCCCCATGGCCTTGGGTGCTTGTACTGGGCACGAAGAGTGCCAGCCCACAGGAAGGAGAACAGTATTCTATATGCTCTTTCTCTACAAGACATCACCTTGACAAGTTTGAAGACAAGTAGCGCCGATGATAAATCTTTGCGTTGCAATTGTTCCCTGTCGTTATGCGACGGTATATACGTGCTTAAATCTTCCCTTTGTGATAAGATGCTGCCTTTACCATTTCCTAAATGCAATTCCTTCCCTTCCAGTTCCTTGCCGAATGTCCATTTCAATTTCAATTGATACGTAAAATAGTCGCTCCATATAGTTGCTTCCACTCAAGTGGCTCTTGATGCGAGCTTAGATCTCAGCTGGATTGGGCAGGCTACCGATTCCGATGTCGAAAGACCTGAAATGGAGAGAGAAAATGAGACAGGTTAGATAAAAACGGCTCTGACTGGTTGTAAGACCATGAGATTTTCGAAAAGGGATACTTACGAAGCACTGGCTCTGGCGCGCTTCGAGGGACGAATTGATGGACTGTCCATCTCATCGTCCTCGGCGGCCTGCTCCAACTTGAGCTTGACGTCGTCGTCCTCGTCGTCCTCGTCGAAATCCTTCTTGGCTGGAGTGCGGCGCTTGCGAGGAGTAGCCGCCGGCTTGCGAGGAGTGGCGGAAGCCTTGGAGGCCCCAGCAGCGAACGGATCAGCCGCGGCGACGATTCCATTGGTGTCGCGAGCCTTGCGCAACTTTTGGACATGTTGACTAGAGCAGAAGAGAGGGCACAAGATGTTAGCAATGCTCTTTTGTCGTTTGAAAAAGACAGAAGTAAGGCTTTGTTGAGGAAGAGAAGAGAAGAGAAGAAAAGGTTGCGTGTAAGTACTTTATGGCATCGTAGCTGTAGCTATATCCGCGTGCTTGCATCCGTCTGGTGACTTCAGTCAAGAAAGCCTTGCCGCCTTTGATCTCATCAATGACGCACAAGAGAAGCGCTTCGTGAGCAGCCGCGTCCCAGCCTCGAGTGGGCTTGCTGCCCGACGGGGTGGCATCTTTGGACTTTGGTGCGACCATTGTAGCTTGGGATGGCAAAGAATGAACTTTTGACTGATGAAGAGTGGGGAAAGAAAAAGGTTGAGACACTTGGATGGAGATGGTTGATATGATTGGGATGATGAGTGAGTGCCGAAGAGAGAGAAGTGTGTGACAAGATGGAGAGAGTGTGGTGCATAGATATGTAAGGGGATGGAGTAGTGCACAGGTCAGATAAGAGTGAATGCAGTGCCGCAAATGGGCGAGCAGTACTGCCCGTCTTTTTTTTTTTACTCTGCTACGCATTCTCTTCTCCGCCCCAGCTGGCAGAGTGAAGCACAGGTGCCAGGGGTGTTGAATGCAGGCCGATCAAGCGAGGCCTCGTTGCCATGGGTGAGCAGCCGTTGGTGAAATGCCATTGGCCCAAAATACATGCATCAACGTACCGAAGCGCGCCCTCGGAAAAGGTGTAGCCCATCTTGCTGAGATCGGCCATGACTTTGGCCCATTGCTCGGAAGAGAGGCTCAGGTTGCAGAAGGTGGCAATGAGGATGTCTTGGTGGACTTGGGGGCTCCATTTCATGATTTGACGAGAAGCAGACATGGCTGGCGATGTTTGGATGTGGACGATGGTCTTGAAGTTGAACAAAGATGGGTATAAAGAGGAGTTTGTCGTGTTTTTGTAGGTGCAAAGGCTGAGAGATGAAGGTCTTGGGATATAGAGATGCTATAAAAGAGTGAAGGAATGGGACAAGGAAAAGAAAAGGTGATGAAAAGACGGAGATTCAGTGAATTGAGAGTAAGGAACTTATAGAAAGGCATGCTTTATGCCGCTCCCTGCCGCCTGCACATGACTTTGGTTTTTGGGGAAATGGCTGTAAGCGGTGAAGACTGTTGCATTTTGGCAAGAAAATCACAACCATGTGGTAAAGTGAAAAGAGCAAGATAGGGAGGGAAAAGAAGCATGAAAAAAAAAACCAGTAAATATCCAACTAGTATAGAAAATAGAAGATATTCCTTACCGGATGGCGCTCCACGAGGTATCGTAGCCTCGAGAAGCAAGAAACTCGACAATGGCAGTGTTGACCTGCGGGTTGAAGCTGTTGGTATGGTTGCCCGCTTGGTAAAAGGCGACAAGCAGGTCGTTGAGGAAGTCGACCTTGTCCCAAGCCGGATTCGAGGCCGAAGCAGCTTTGCGAGGCATGGTGGATGTTTTGTTTGTTGAATCGAGATTGGCACAACGCGTTGGTTTATTTGTTGATTTCGTCTGGGTTTGAAGGCCTGCAGTTGTTTAGGCTGTGGATTGGGTATTGGTGGTATATGTAGTGGTTGGAAGCAGATTGGAGGTGTAAGGGTGCCGACAGTAAGGCGGATGTAAGGCTTTGGGGAGAGAAGTGAATTGGGTTTAAGAGAAAAGTCACTTTATGCTTTTATCTAGCAGGTGAAAGATGGAGGTATTCCAAAGTGATCAAGGAAAAGAAAAAGCCAAAATATGTCTGATGAATGCAAGAGCACAGGGTAATCAAGACTGCAAGCACATAAAGGATATTGTAACATGGAGAATTAGATATTTGTGCTTAAATGCCTTGGAAGGCCTCAATTCAATTGCCACTTTATCTCAACTAGGTGCTGTTTTATTTCCTGCAGCTACTGTCTCCAAGTTCATCTCGAGATTCCCTTCCACGCAGCTACTTTCTCCAATCTTGACTGTAATGCACCGATATCTGAGCAAATATGATTCCAGATGGCAAACAATAAATGTCCCTTATTCCTCAAAAAGCAAGGCAGGTATAGCAGATGGGCACCTGGAAGAAGCTTCCCCAAGGTAAACCCTAACCCTAAAAGCCTTAGAAAGGGTCCTCGCCACGCTCAGCCTTGAAGTTGACGCTGTCATCCTCTTCTCCCTTGCCAGAGGGCGATTCCACAGCAGTGGTGGTGTCATCTCCAGCGTCAGCGTCAGCTGCGGCGGCATCGTCGTTCTCCTTCTTGGCACGACTGCCACGGGCTCTGCCTTTGGTTCCAGCACGGCCGGTGGGCGTCTTGCGGACCTTGCTGGGAGTCGAGGCGCCGCTGGGAGAGGCGTTGCTGCCCTTCTTCGGGGTGACGTTGGAGTCGATGCCGAGCTTGCGCTTGACTTGACCAAAGCGAACCTGTAAAAATAAAAGTTAGATGAAAGGAAAGATGGGCATGGTGGGGGAAATGGATATTTCCTAGGCTGTAGGAGACGAACCTTGGCGACTTCGGCGTTCTTGAAGCCTTGCTCTTGAGCAACGGCTTCCCAGTCAATGTCCGCCCTGTTGCGGGTGTGCTTGACAATGGCGAAGAAGAACATGGCCTCAGAGGCGGTAGGCTCTGGGCGCTTGGTAGGGGTTTTGTCGGCCATGGCTTGATTCTTTGTGCTTTCTTGGTTGATGAAAGGAGGACTTGAGGATAGGCTTCTTGCAGGCGAATGTCAGTAAAGGAATGGAGTTGGGAACAATGTGAATGTATTTTTTTTTTTTTTTTTAAAAAAAAAAAAGGAAAAAGAAAAAGAAAGAAGCATCCAAGAAGACCTGCTTGTGAATTCAAGATGGAATAGCTGAAATGCTTTACTTACTTGATAGTTTGTTGGTGAGCAGGGAGTGAAATCTGCTCCAAGTGCGCGGTGCGGAAAAAGCTTGGATATGTTTGTGTCAAGGTTGAAAGAACAAAAGAAGGAGGAATGCGAGAAAAGCAGGAAATTTATGGCTGGGTTAAATAGCTGTTACAAAAAATCGAAAGAATGGCCGTGCTTTTACACCAAACGCCAGCTGTTACAACTGGCGGTGTACTTTGGTATTAGCAGCTGTTGAGTTTATGCCACTCGGCTGCAGAGTGAATCACACATGCAGTTCATGAGACAATAGAATATATTAACAATGTATTGGCATTTGCGGTTATTGGGGTTGAATGGCTTTGAGAGTTTCTTGGATGAGGGTGGCAACCCTTGCCCAAGTTGAATACTCCAATAGCTTATTCAAGAACTAATATAGATAAAAAAGGCAGAAACGCGTATCTAATAGGCCAGCCTGCCTGAGAAGGATGCATGTGCCTATTGAAAGGATTATGCTAAGTTGTTGCAGCTAATATTCAGTTAAGAATTATTCTTTCTACAAGATTTGCGTTACATCATCACAAAAGCAAGGAGATTGTGTTCAGCGCTCAATAGCTGGCTTTCCATTTGGTACTACTAAGCCATATCAGAATCTTGATGGCTTGATGGCTGAAAAAAAAATGAAAAAATATAAAGAGGACGGATCTTCTTGATCCTTTTTGTCCTCGCTAATTATACACATGCTATTATAAGCCCTTATAGTAATTTTCAAGTCTTCCAAATCCCTAACCGATCCGTTCTTCTCTCCGTAGAGAGGAATGGGGATATATACCCGAAACCCATTGGCCACCCGCCGTGGCTAGAAATCATCAAATCATGAAAGCAAGTTTAACCGCGCTCCGTACTTCCTTGGAAATATTTTTTTTTGGTCGACTTTTCTGTTTTTATATTCATAACACATCGCTTGAAAAGAAAAGAAAAGTCAAATGAGATGAGTTTAAAAGTGTCGGTCGTCCCAGTCGCCACCGAGAGGCTGGGAGCTGCCAGTTTGGGATATACCCTGACTGTTGACGTCTCCCGTGGCAAATCGGTTCAAGTCAAAGGCAGCGTCGAAAGCGTGGTCATGGCCGACATGGCTCATGAAATCCGAGTTGCCATCCAGAGGAGGGAACATCAGACCATTCGCAGGTTGAAGATCTTGGAGGACAGAAGGAGAGATGGAAAGGCCTTGAGCCATGTCATCGCTACACGGCGTGAGGAAGCGACCGCTGAAGTCGTCCCCGTCTTGGAGGTAGGGAGACGCATCATCCATGTAAGGAGATGTGAGTGACGCAAAAGACTCTGGAGAAAACTGCAGCTGGTTGTTAGTCGCATGTAGCAGACGTTGTGTTTCACAGCCACTCTTACCAGAGGATACGAAGAGATGTTGGATGAGCCGGGCTCTGGCTTGATGGGCGTCTGCTTCTTGGACTGTGTCTCCTTCTTCGACGCCTTGGAAACTCGGTTCTTATCTGATGGCTTGCCTCTCTTTGTCGGCTTGTGGCCGGTGATTGTCGATCGAAAGCGGGAGAAGCGCATTCTGGCAGCGTGGCCATTGGCAATGGGCTCTATGAGGACGGGATCGGCGGCTACTTGGCTCCAATCAATCTAGAAGAGAGGACGAGTTAGAATCTTGATCAGTTGTAGGCTGAAGAGATGTAAAACCTACGTCTCTGAGATTCTTCTGCTTCAGGATGGCGAACAAGAAGCGGGCCATGGCATTGTCGCTGTTAGGAGACATGATGACAAGCTTGTTGCGGAATGTGTTGTTTGTGTTGAGGAAATTAGGCGAGAATTGCACGAGTAGAATCAAGGCCCGAGTGGTGTAGCTCGAAGCAGACGATATGGCAAAAAAAAGCTGAATATAGAACAATGCCGAGCTGCCTGGCGGCTATTACTGCATCTAGGCCGAGAAATGTGGCGATGAATCCGTGAGTTGCGAATAAAAGAGCAAGACAAAAAGGATAGCGAAATATCGAAGATATCGTCGGATGGCAGAATTCGGATGATGAGATTAGAAGCTAATAATCTATCAAAGAGGTAGAGGAAGTAGGCGAAGAGGAGGGAGATTCGAAAGTGCGTGAATGATATACAGATCGAGAACCGAGGTGAGGCAGAAGTGAAGGTCAAACTTGAGGCTCTTCCTATTGACAGCCGAGAAACAATACGATTCTCAAAGCACAATGACGATGACGAAAAGACGAGCAGGGCTTCAGACTAGATACTCACGGGTTGGGAGCCAAAAGAGAGAGAGAGGACGAGGCCAGGAACCAGCAGGACAGCCGTCTCTTATAAACGGCCTCAGCTAGCGGCAAAAGGCTCGATAAAGTCACCTGCAAGGATCCAGGAACGAAGCTCCCCCAGCAAGGGCCCCCTCGTTCCCCATCTGGTGTTACATTTGCTTCGCTCGTCTCGTTTTTTTGCGTTTTCACTACTTGCCGTCGGGCTGAGAAATCCGCATGCCGGATGGACGCCCCCTCCCAAAAGGCCACTGATGTCTAAGACCAAATCAGAGATGCATGGATATCTTCTGGCCTAGGGCCTGCGGTTGCCTGGATCTGGGCGCTGGGCTCCGGCTTTTGGAGGGAGAAGCGGGTGGGACTGGACGGGGCTGCAGCGCGTAAAGTGGCAGGCCATCCGCTAAACAGGGATGGAGGGGGTGCGCTGAAAGGGCCGCTGTCAGTTGGTGTGGCCCCCTGTAAGCCACTGGTGGACGTTGGCTGACTTCTGATTAGGCGGTGCGACAGAGTAAAAGCGGGAGACGGTGGCGACAACTGAATGGACTACGCATCGAAGAAGAAAAGAGAGAGCTTGATTTGCTAGTTGCTTCCAAATCTCGGAATCTTGATATCATGTTTAATTTTGTTTTATTTCTCCGTCATAGGCATCAATTCAGATTGCTTTGGGACTGCACAGGCTCTGAAAATGAAATTGGTGCGACCGCATGTGCCAAGCAAGCGCCTGCGTTCCGAAGCAGCCCAAATTCCAACGTCACAGTCAAGTACATGAAAACGAATCAATCACATCTAACAAAAAGGATAACGCAAACCAGGGGTTCCTCTTCCGGCATAAAGAAAAGAAAAATGAAAGTGAAACTCCCGTGTGACTCATCTAATTATTGCCCAGCAAAAAGCAAAGACTAATGCGAAGGCGGTAAAATTGCGCATGCAAGAGGAGGGGCGTTGCGATAGAAAGAAGAAGCTTTTGGCGAGCGAGCGCTGCTCCACGCAGCGATGCTCATCCTCTCGACTTTAATTGGGCCAACCAAGATGCTGTCGCAAGACTATCAATTAGCCTGGTCGTAATCATGATACTCAGGGCCCGTCAAACAAGCCAATTCTGATGCTGGCAATTGATTCAAGCGCAGCATTCGTCTGCCTGTATAACTATCGACAACCTCGCTCGCTCGCTTTGCCTCGATTCAGATTCATCCAAAATGCTGCGCCTTCCTGCCAGCCGTGAGCGTAGCAAATGAATCATTACAGGCCCCAACCAAATCCAGCTAGGGACATCCCATTCCCATCCCATCCTCACCGACCGGTCGTTTTCATCGCCCTTGTTTGTGTTGCTCGGAGCTAGCGGGTTACCATGCGAGGAGGGGCGAAGTTTGGGAGCTTTCTGGAGCATCAAAAGCTGCCATTTTCGAGTTTCAACTTCACAACCAGACGGCGCAAGGAAATGCAGAAAATTTGCGAAATTATGAAATCAACTATTTAAAACCCATTGATGCCACTTTCACCAGCCTCCATGGTCGCATCCGGGCGTCGCAGTCAGTCTGGGCGTCGTGGAGGGGATTCGGATGAGGTGCGTCGGGGAGACGCGATGGGGCGCGAAATTTTTTGGGGAAGCAACGAAGGGACCCACCTGCTGCGTCGCCAGGTTTCCGCGAAAGCACGTGAGACCGCTTGGACTGTGGGGCTGTGGGCAATGGCCAACCAGAGGCGCCAGACGTAAGACGCGACAGGGAGGCCAACTGAGGCCCTCGTCTAGGTAATGTCGCTGTGCTCAGGGATGACGTGAACTCGTATCTTGGTAGGGGATCTGCCCGCAGGATTAGTAACTGGCTTTTTGCTGCTTTCCCAGATTGCCGTTGGCGCTGCTGTGGCTCATTAGATGCGAGATATAGGCGTTGCTACGTATCTCTCGCTCTGTACCACTGAGTCTACCTGCCCGTCTAAACGTCGTTGCTCGCCAAATCTCTGCTATTATTGCATACATCACCCAGCACCCTACCAGTAATTCTCCCATCTTGGTATATACTGCCACTGCCTCTTACCTGCCATGCCTACCCAATGCAGCATCAGGTCCCTTGGTATGATATGGAATACGGGATATCCCGTCGTCCTACATTAATCTTGTTGCATCGTCTCTGCTGAGCTTCTTCAAACCACTTCTGCTCCTACACATCCGATATCCACTACAAGCTAGTACATCGACAGCCTTTTATATTTTCCATGGATCAGCGGCACGGCTCAATAATAAGCTATATTAGTATATTCAGTGTATAGACTCTGTCTGTCTACAGAGTAGCTTGGCTCGGACGCATTCAAAATGAACGCATACGCGCGCAGATTGTAAGTCTAAGCATTGATGGCATTGTCCGGTAAAGGCCAGCACCTTGCGTGTTTTATATACAGCTCGGCGCCAAATAAGCTGTAATGCTGAATTTTACACTGTGATTACGCATAACTATCGAGTTTTTGCACGATAATTACGTGATACTGTATGAAATTCATACAGTATCACGTAATTTACTTCCTTTTTTTGCGACCAAGGCATAGACGGTGCAAGTGCAGATCTCCCTGCGTCCCATTAATAATGTTTCTGCGTTTTTGACTCACAGGCCGGGGCTCCAGCGAGCTGTGGCATTACTTTCGTCCGACTGCTTGCTCGTTTCGTCCGGCGCTTGCTCGGGGCTCTCGTACTGGCGTCATCAGCTCTTCTCTGGCGACCAGACTCGAATCAGGCCGTTCCCCTCTATTGGCGCTAGAGCAAAGGGAGGGAGGGAAAAGGAGCAGAAAAAGGAAACCTTGACGGGTAAACCCCGTGCCAACGCCGGCTAAGTCGCAGCATCGCCGCCCCCAAGATGCTACATGCCGCCCTCAAGTCGCAGTCAGGCTTGTAATTTCGACGGACAAGGCAGAGGGCATATTATAGGCGCTGGTAGAAGCACGCACTCGCCTTTTTCAGCCATCCTGCAGCTTGTACTGCGCGCTGAGTCGGCGTTTGGCGGGCCACTTACACAGCATGCATCTGCCGGCTCCCACCACTTACATGCGCGGACTATCTCTTGATCCGCGCCCCGGCCATCACATCTCCCGGGTGCACGGGCCTCCCATCCCCAACATCCTTTCTGCGTACATCCGTACCCCGTTCTCCCACTACCAATTTTGCCCTTGATTGCCCTCTGCTCTTAACAGCTTCTATCTCACCGCTGGCCACCAAGACAACCCAGCCTAGAGCATCGACGACCCACCGCCCTCCGGTACTCGCTTGTTTACCATTTTTTGGGCTTGTTTGTTTTTTGCTGCATGTGTCCTGCTGGGCGGTGATATCATTTCGATACTATGAACAAGAACTGGAATGACAGGGCAGATAAAGATCTGTTCTTCACCATCTTATCCGTCAAAAACATTGGCGTGATTAGCGGAGCGGAATGGACCACCATCGGCAATTATATGCGCGGCCTCGGCTATGGCTTTACCAATGAAGGATGTCGGTAGGTACCTTTTATAACGATCCATTAGCCTGTTCATCATCCAATTCCACCTGATCCCAGCCTCGTCCGTGCTCAATTGGTTACATGAGGTCGCAGTCGCGTGAGCTTTGACGTGGCGAGTGACTGTCACACACATTGCGAATGGATGCTATTCAGACCATTCGTCTATCAAGATGAGACCAAAGACGAATTGCTTCCATTTGTACTTTGTACCTGATTCCTTCTTCTCAGCCATACCCATCTCTACTGCTATTACATGCCCTCTTGCATATGTACCTATCTACTTACACCAATCATACTCCTGCCGCGTAAATGTTTCTTTCATGCTTTCAAGATACAAGGGTGATGAGCAGCATCTACGTGTACATCTTCACTTACACCAATCTACGACAAATATCACCACTGACACTACATGACTGTTTCTTTGGTTCTACAGTAGCTAACGACTTCTACACAGACAGCACTTTCAAGGGCTCAGGAGAGCCCAAAACAAAAATGAAGCTGATGGCTCTCACTCTGATAGCGCTAGGCGCGCAGACCCAACCCTGAATCCCATAACGAGAAGACCAGGCCCTGGTCGAGGCCGCCCTCGCAAGTCACAAGCTTCAGAAGCAGCTCAGCCCGGCACAAACGATGCTGATGGTACTGCTGATGCTGATGCCTCTCCCACTGCTGTTCCTGTTAGCGCTCCCGTTACCATCTCTCCTACTGCCCCTACGATGCTTCCTGTGCCTATGTTGCCAGGGCCTATGGTGCCTAATAACTCTATGCCCGGCCAGGGACCAGAGATGGCCTCTCATGCCATGCCTATCCAACAGAACCAACATCCGCAACTTCAGTCTCAACACCCCCATCAACACCAGTTTCAGCATCAGCATTTTCAGCAATTACAACATCAGTCTCAGATTCCACCCCAGCTCAAAGAGGAGATGCTCAAAGCGGAGATGTCTGAAGGCGTCGAACTCTCTGCTCAAGCTTCAAATCATATTGATTCCAGCCATCTAGCCGAGTCCGAGGCTGACGCTGAGGCTGACTCGGCAACTTCTCAAGACCAACTTCAGCTAGATACCGTACAGAGTGGCGATGAAGACCCAGATGAACATCCTGCCAAGCGCCAGAGACTGGATCCTCATGACCTAACCCAAGATTCAGCTCTCGACGACGAGGCCGTTTTAGCTTTGGCTGCGCATAACGGCACAGATGCGACAGACCCATATCCAACAGAGTAAGCCCTGCTGATCTGCTGCATGTCTACTGCCGTGACTAACAAGAGAATAGTTTTGGATACCGAGAAGCATAGCATACTCTTGAAGCTAGAAGTTGAAATAGACCCTTCACATAGCATTTCGATATATGTGAAGGGCAGCATATTTGCTAAACTTTGGCGCGTTCAAGCGAGCTTATTTTGCGTCTGTTACCTTTTGTCCTGGCCATATCTCCAGCAAAGGAGATACTGCCGATAATTCGCCTTGTGTTTTGCAGCCTCTCAATTCCGAAACATCGGGCATTCGCTTCTTTTTCTTACTCTTTTTTTTTTTTTTCGATTTGGCATATAATTTTAGCGCTTCTTGAAGACTTGAATGATCATATGATTTACAGCCATGACCTTGGGCAATGCCACAAAGGAAATGGCATGGCGCAGATGGCATGATATGCAGCCGGGAGTGCAAACGGGTATATTTATTAGAGCTTTGGAGGAAATTTTACTGGCAAGTAGATTAGGAGCTCACAAATTGGGATACTTTCATCATCATTTCTAAACCATCAGCCTCGTGGTCATCTGCTCTCATGAATCCTCTGCTTTGTTTGCTTCAGCGACTACTACTAGTATACTCACAGCATTTTATGCCAGTCAATTCGTCATGCTCCTGCGGCTGGCAGCTGGCAGCTGGCCGAGGAGCCACTCACTTTGACCGCCCGAACACTTCACTTTTACTCTGCCGCTGGAGCAAAGTGATATGGTGCCCAGGGCTTAGTTTCTTGGGAGTGGATTTTTCTATTTCTTGCGCAGGCACAGCCTTGCTCTTTCTATGAGCTGCATCTCCATCCCATCATCCACATCTCTCACATCACAACACTTCTCTTTCTACCAAGACATCTATCAGCTCAGAGCTTCTTAATTCAGCTACATCGCTGCTTAATACGAGACTATCCACTTGGCATAATTTTACAACCAAAGTAAGTTTCATCTTCTCCTCTCTGAACCGGTTGATGCCATCTGACCATCAGCTCCAGATTACCTACCATTCATCCACCATGCCTCCCAAGAAAGCAACGGGCTCCGACACCGCCTCCATCAGCGGCCTCAGCGAGACCGAATTCCGCTTCATCAAAGCCATCTTCGACAACATGACCCAAAAGCCCGACGCCGACTGGGACAAGGTCGCCGGCGACCTAGGCCTCAAGGACGCAAAATGTGCCAAGGAGCGCTTCCGCCAGATGTCTGTCCGCCACGGCTGGCGCCCCAGCGCCCAGGCCGCTGCGCCGGGCAGCAGTCTCGGCAAGGGGAAGAAGGGCAAGGATGTCACTAGTCCTTCTGGTGATGGCAAGGTGACCAAGAAGCCAAGAGGGAGAACCCCGAAGAAGGCGGTTGTCAAGAAGGATGAGAGTGAGGATGACGATGAGAAGAAGAGCGAAGAGGATGACGATGTTAAGATGGGTGTGAAGTCGGAGGATGAGGATGGTGTTCCTTTTTGAAGAGACTTCGAGGGGGGTTTTTATTTTGTCATTGCCGCCGGTATTGCTGCCACCGAAGGAAATATTTGGGCTAGTAAGATGCCGAGTATGCTGATATATTGAAACTGGATCGCATAAGACACAGGTCATCTACGCATTTGATTCACAATCGTTCAACTACACAACCCTTCTGATTCATTCCTTTGGTGTAATTTAAGCAAACAAATTGTTGATGCTATCAACTGTCGAGTTCACAAAAACCAACCAGCCCAATATAACAACTTCCTCGTCCATTACAGGACCCTTTGCATCGTCATTAGGTGAATGAATGTGGTACGATTGAAGACACTCTCTTTCTTTCGCCAACTTTAGTCTTGGGTTTGTCCCTTTTAGAGCACAGAGCCAGTACCGCTGGTGAGAGTAACTGCCACTCATCCACCCGCATGCTCGACACTCTGCCACCAGGTGTCAAAGACTGCCAGGCTGGTTGCCACGGCCACAAAACAAATTCACCCTTGTTATCAATTCGTCTTGACAGCCGCTCGAAATTTCCAAAATCCAGACGCGTCATCTCTTCTTAACCACGCGAAGCGAGAGAAGTCGGTGTGCAGCAGACAATCTGCGTCATATCATCATCTCTCTTCCCCTTTGCACACGCACTTTCGATCCTCGTCTTTAGCTACAGCATTCAAATATTGCTTGGTAATTACAATCTCGATCTTTCCTTGGTTCAATTTCTTTTGTCGCTTTTTCCTTGATCCGGCATTTTGTGTCTACTCGTCTTCAACGAATCTCCTGAGCGGGAAGTGAAGCGGTCAACTGTCCAACAGCCACTTCACTTTCACCGCTGCATCCCTCCTCACACAATTCTGTGTCTTGGAATTTACCGTCTTCACTTGGACAGTGGCAAGCTTCCGCTCTAACTGCCTAAGGCGTCCACCTCACCTCCTCTCTCCTCCGTTTAGGAATTCCCCTCTCGTTTCATCTCTTCTGTCCCACATCCCCCTCTGAGCTCTCGAGTCATCGTCCACACATTTGCTCATTTTCAGTTTCCAACAGATAAAATCTCGACAATTTACTTTGTGCGTCTCTATCTCCTGTTTATTTCTTGTCGTATCGCTCTACACGTTCCTCTCTGTCTCCGCGACAACATCCATTGACTACCCTGCCATCTGTTCTTCACTGCCGGCCTATCTATCATCGCCCTTCGCAAAACTGTTTCATCTCGAATATTACCATCAGTCACTAATACTGTTCGCAGTCTCAAACAATACATCTCGCTTTCATCATGTCTAAGCAAGATCCAGCTGAACAAGTCCGCTTCCTTGTGTCCTGTATTGGTCACACCACTAATGGAAGAGTAAGTTCAGTGGCGACCAGCTCCATCATACCCTCTACAACAGTTTCTTCTAACAAACTTCTACAGCCCGACTTCACTCTTGTCGCTGAAGAGCTCGGAATCGTCACCAAGGCCGCCGCGTAAGCTATTCTGACCCCGACTTAGCGATTATATGTCTAACAGCTCGTCGTTGCTTCTGAGCAGCCAGAAGAGATATGAGCGGATGCTCAAGGCCAACGGAGTGAATTCTTCCAAGCCAGCAGCTGCCAAATCCGACGCCGGAGATGACAAGACGCCGACTACTCCGGTCAAACGCAAGCCGGCTGGTGCGTCTGGAGGCAGCGCCAAGAAGAGGGCCAAGGCTACTAAGAAAGAAGAGAGCGACGATGATGTGAAAGATCCGAAGTTGGTCTCCAAGCCTGCCAAGGGTGTGAAGAAGGAGCCCAAGAAGGAGCCCAAGAAGGAGCCAAAGGATGAATACGAGTCACCTCTTTCTGGTAAGCTGATTTTCTTCTCCTCGAGCTTGACAGCTTTATTATAATATCTGGCTAACATTTTACTTTAGATGCCCCCGACTCAGGCGCGGACTCTGACGCTGGCACAAGCTTTGACTCGACCTAGACTTGCTGCGGCTGTGCTCTCTGGCTGAACAGCAAGCCAAGCTTCAACATTGTAATGCAATGTTTACTTATTTCCCTAGGAGTACATCGAGTGGCTCTGACGATTTGGAAACGTATCTGGCCTGGTTGGAGAAACAGAAAGGCCCCAAGTATCGAGAGAGGATATGACACAGGATATTGCCTGAACATTTGGTTTGGCATGGATTTACGTAGTGAAGGACCGCTAAGTCATTTCAATTGAAAAGGTTTACTTTGAATTGTTGGCATTGTATGTGAATCGTTAGCATTGAATACGAATGCCGTGAGGGTGAAAATGCATGTGCTTGGTGAAGTTGTCTCTACCGACACGAAATCGAATAGAGTAACCGAGTCGTAATGAGCCTCTCGTCTGATATCATTTGTAGATACGATAGTCCCATCTACGGTGATTTCTACCTTTGATAGCATCAATATTACGGCTGGAACACTGAAGCCTTGTTCAGCCCCAGTTCGCTATCCATTTCCCGCCATTAGCCCGTGAGGAGGACAAGCCGTGATTCACTGTTTGCTCACGCCGCTAGTCGGACAAACTTTGTAAAAGGGTGACACTTGTATTCAACCCTATTGTATTTGTACCACCTGGAATTGGTCACAACTTGCAGCTGCCGGCGACTGGCTTTGGGATACGTATTTGTACACCTCGACACCAAAAGGGGGAGAGGCCCCACAAACGAAATGCAGCACTCGTTGAATAGAAGCAGCTGGCTATTGTCGCTAGAGAGATGACATCTACGACAATACGATAGAGAGAATATCATCACAACAATAGACATTGTCATTGTCTATTGCTGATATCGTTGCTTTTCTGATGCTCAAAACTTCGCTTCTCTTAAATCACCACTCCTCCATCTAGGACCTCTCTACGTCATCAATATTTCCAACCCACCAGTTGATAGAGCATCAACAGTCATCAAACATCACATAAAGGACGCATCGCCTCTAAGCTTGCCTCTATCAAAGCTCTTGCGCCTCGAGTATCCCTAGAGAGCTTCTAGCCATCATGTCTCTCCCATCTACTGAGCCTGGAACAACTTCTCTTTCCAAAGAAAATATCAAGGTACAATCTCCCAAGAAAGATGCTCCTCCATGTTCGGCGGCTTACATGCAACAGATGAATCCTCTCTTCACAGGCCTCCTTACTCCTCCCGAGTCTCCGATCCGCTATGCTCAAGTTTCTTCAGTCGACACAACGGCTCAGTCCTCTCCCGCTTTGACTCCAGGGGCAAATTCAGGCTTACCTGCTGCGAGTAAAGCTCCAAATGCTTTAGAGGCACTCTTCACTGCTATAAAAGATACCAAGACGGATACACTCGAACAGAATGATGTTACTCTCTCCGGTAGGGCCTCAGATTCGGGATCAACTCCAGCAACTCCGACGCCTATCGACTTTAATAACGCCAGCGAGATCATATACTCCATAATTGAACAAGGAGTGGAAGAGAAAATGGTTGAAGCAGTCGATCAAATACGCTTACATGCAAGTCGATTGGAGAAATCTCTAGCATCATTTCACCGCGAGAACGTTGATGCACGGGATCAAAACGACACAATGAGCCGCCAACTTGATCTTCATTATCGCACCATTGAACAGAATATCGAAGAGTTCAAGACACAGTCCAAGACTATGAACACCATGATCGGAGCTCAAGCCGATAACCTCGCCGCAACCATTACCATGGTCAGCCACCTCTCGCAAGTCGTCACCAATCTCCCCATGGCTCTCAACCAAGTGGTCTACACTGCAGTCCAGCAACAAGCTCAGCAAGCTATCCGCGACATCATGTTTGCTCAACAACAGGCCATGTTTTCTGTCTCTGACGTTTCTGGAACCAGACAGTCTGTCTCCAGCGATGAGAGCTTCAGTCACTACGCTCGTCATCATCGAGGCTTGGGATTTAAGTTCATGCCATCAATGCATCATAGCAATAGCTCTTCCAACAGCACTGCTTCGAGTACAAAGCGTGGCTTCAGATACAGTTTGAAGAGGCTCTTTAGATCTAGCAAGTAGAGAAGACAGGCGGACTGGACTCAATTGTGGGAATCTGGGCATGATCGAAGGATATCAGGTTACAAACGGGCATCACTGGCATATTATTTTCTGGGATATGGCGCAAAGGGGTTACTTTTTGGCAGGTTACATGTACTCATGTAGATTACCAATTTTGTCTGCGCAATCTAGCTCACATGCTATCTCTACTCCTTCCACTAACATCTTCGACCAGAATAACACCAACCTCCTCGAAGAGAAGAAGTTTTCACATTTCCAGTCCCACAATGGCACTCATATGCAGCTAATAATGCAGCAGTGGAGAATCCAGTGTATTGAGGCTGTCCATTGCCGTTTGACTGACCAATTGCGCTGCCACTTGCTGGGGCAGATTGTCACTTCCAGTTGATATCGCGCCTCGTCCGAACTGCCAGCTGCCAAACGGACACGCAATGACGCCCAGACGTAGAGCAAAATTTTGGAAACGGACGAAATTTTGGAATTTTGTTTTGGGAACTACTTTTCACATTTATGTCTCTTCTTTCTTCTTCTCGTCCCTTGCCTCTTCTTTTCTTCTTCACCGTCTTCATCCCCAGCTACGAACCACGGCATCACCACCAATTGTAGCTACCTTCTCGCTCAAAACAACACAAACAACAATTCAATTGAGTGTAAGTAGCCAATTTTCATCTTCTACTGCTTTTTGCCATCATGATTTGGCTGCTTTACACAGCAATTGAGCTCTTGGCAGCAGAATTTTCCCGGATTCCCCTTCCCCTTCCCAATTCCTTTCAATTGCCCAATTTCAGCACATCTCCAACACGCGTGGTTTCCTCAATCAGCTCTAACAATTGCTCTTAGTTATAACGAGACCTCACAAGTCTTCTAATTTTGACTTTGCACTGCAATCATGGGTACTCCGGCTAAAAAGACCCCTTCCAAGCGCACGGCTGCTCACGATCGCCGCTCGCCTTCCAAGGCATTGAAGCTCGAGCAGAATGCCATTGCTGAGAAAGTCAAGACTCCGACTTCTGCTCCGCGGGATACTACTTATTCCCACAATCTTCCTACTGATGAGCAGAAGAAAGGCAATGGACGAGTCACTGGACGCAGCCTGATTATGTGGAACCGTAAGTGAATGTCTCAATTGATATTCTACCAATTCCCTTTGCCAACGTTCATATTCCACGTACTAACTCTTCGAAAGGTCCTCGCATGGCTGAGAAGCTCATTCTCCACCTTCATTATGAATGTGTCCGCCACAAGGTCAACATTCCGTGGGATGCCATTGCTCATCGCCTCCGTCCTGGCTCATCGGGTGCGGCAGTCTTGCAGCACGTCAATCGCCTCCGCAAGGAGCTTCTTGCTGAGGGACACATGGTTCCCCCCCCTGCCCAAAAAGCATCTCCTCTTGCTCCGTTTGATCCCAGCATCAGAGGCTATGTTCGTGATCCCTCTGGGGATGATAAGCATGCTACTCGAGCTGTACGCTTCGATGAGAAGCTGGATGATGCCAAGATCAACCTTCCCGACGCTCTTGATGCATTGGAAGAAGTCGAAGAAGAAGACTCTGCTTATATGTCGTTTTCTACTGTTGAGGACGACATTCACGTCCCGATCACACCGACTCCTGTCCGACATGCGGCTCCACGTCGCCCTGTGTCTGCTCCTCACTACAGCACGAACGCTCGCAACCTCCAACTCGGAACTGGAGAAGATGCCCAGCTTTTTAATATTGCCCCTCCCAATTTCACGCACAGCCGTACTGAAGTAAGTCCCATCTGCTTTGAAAATCATTTACTGATACTCAGTACTGATAAAAAGAAGGGAATGCAGCCTCAAGGTGCCAAGATTGCCTCTCCAATTGAGAAGCAGACTCAGCAAATGATGAGTGAAGGCAATGTCTTCGATCCTTTTGCGGGACACTTCTCGTATCCTCCCGTTAGACCTACTCATGGACAGGTCAGCCCTAGCGGTCAAGTGCCTCTTGAAGGCGGCCAGCAGCCCTTTATCATGGCAAATCCTTTCTTGTCCCACTACACAGGCTTCTACGGTATGGGCCAGCCAGGCTTTATGCCAATCCCTCCCTACAATTTCACCATGCCTTCTCCCCCTGCCCCCGCTGTCCCTATGCAGTCCGTTGAGGAGCAGTCCCCTTTGAGCTCCCCGGTCGCTATCAAAGAGAGTGAGGGCTCAGTTTCGCCCGCTTCTTCTCCAATTGAAGGCCAGCTCCCAGCGTTTCAGCCGGAGACTTCGCGACCCATGGCAGAGAGTCCCAACGGACAGAAGCTTGACGAATTTGATGTGAGTACCAGCTCTTCTTCATCTACTTCCTCTTCATCCACCTCTTCTCCCGCGCCCAAACGAGAGTTAGACTGATGATTGAAGGCTGCTTTTGCATACAATGAAGAGCTATTTGGTCACCCCGGACTGTTTGGCTGCAACGAGCTCTTGAGCAACGAGGAGCCATTTGGCCGCGACTTGCTTCTCGAATTTCTTAACTCGAGCTAGACTACGCGCGCTACACGGCGGCAGCTTTTCGTCTCGGCAGCATATGCATGCAAGCAAGCAAGATGAAGCTGTCGAGAAAAAAAAAAAAAAAAAAGCCATATATACTGACCGTAACTTCAACGAAAGATTGTTCGGTCTTTTCATTCGGAGATTTCTTTAAATGTTTCTTTCCAAATGTTTACTTTTTTCGTTTTTATTTCTGTCTTTACCTTTTTTTTATTTCCTTTATGTCGCACAACTGATACCCCCCCCAAATGTCGCTCACAGGAGACAAGGGATACTACGAGTAACCAATTGAGCTTTTTACGAGCTCTCGGAATGGTTAAATATGACTTCGAAACAAAGCAACGATATCACAAAAAAATCCGGAAAACAGAAAGCCCCACAAAAAAAGGAAGGCATGGCTGAGAGGCAGACTTTACTGAATATTTGAGATGGAATGGCAGGGCGATAGAGAGCTGAATTAGTAGGTACATTTTCTTCTGATGGCGGGGAATCGAGCATGGCGGGGTTCAAAACAGAGCACCGAGAGCAGCTCTTAGTAGTCGCAAGTACATAGCTGCATACCTACAGTTCTAAGTAGCTTTCTAATCGCAATTTCTTTTGACACGACTCTGTGGCATGATTCTCTCTACCGAGATATCACTACAATGGCAGCTTAATCATCCATTTCGGCTCAAGGCCTCTGCCCCAGAGTCCACAGATTCGGCTGGAAGAGGGTAGAACAGCTCTGGCCACGCCGCTAAGCTGGTTTCGGGCCTGGCTCGGCTCAGGATCCATGTTTTACCGACGCTCCGTGACAATTTTTTTTGGGGCGTGCAAGCTGCTCTCCGATTAACTACCGGCGGTTTCCAGATCCTCTCCTCCTCCAACCTGCTGTTCCTCTGAAGGCTGGCTCATCTTGGTTCAGGCTTGTGATACCCCCGTTTCCTTGTTCTTTTTTCTTTTCCCCGATTTCAGAAATCAGCAGACAAAATGCAGCGCGCATTAGCTTCTCGTGCCCGCGCCTCGGTTGTGTCCGGCGCTTACAAGTACCGATCTGGAAGCAGCCTTGGTCAGCAAGTTCGATTTGCCCACAAGGTAGAACAAGGCAATTGGGATTCGAAATGGTGTTCGTGGTGCTAACAAGGTGGAATAGGAGCTCAAGTTCGGTGTTGAGGCTCGCGCCTCTCTCTTGGCCGGTGCCGACACTCTGGCCAAGGCCGTTGCTACTACTCTGGGACCCAAGGGCCGAAATGTCCTGATTGAGTCCAGCTTCGGCTCTCCCAAGATCACAAAGGGTAGGAATTGAGAGAATTTCTTGTGTTGACTTGTTATATTTCCAAGATTTTGTTGCTGACGTGCTGTTTGCTCTAGACGGTGTTACTGTCGCCAGGGCCATCGCCCTCAAGGACAAGTTTGAGAACCTCGGTGCCAAGCTGATCCAGGATGTGGCTTCCAAGACCAACGAGACTGCTGGTGACGGTACCACCAGTGCCACCGTCCTGGCTCGTGCCATCTTCTCCGAGACCGTCAAGAACGTCGCCGCCGGCTGCAACCCCATGGACCTGCGCCGAGGTATCCAGGCTGCCGTTGACTCTGTCGTCGACTTTTTGCAGAAGAACACCCGCGACATTACCACCAGCGAGGAGGTTGCCCAGGTCGCCACCATCAGTGCCAACGGCGACCACCACGTCGGCAAGCTGATTGCCAACGCCATGGAGAAGGTTGGCAAGGAGGGTGTCATTACCGTCAAGGAGGGCAAGACCCTGCAGGACGAGCTCGAGGTTACCGAGGGTATGCGATTCGACCGCGGTTACGTCTCCCCCTACTTCATCACCGATACCAAGTCCGCCAAGGTCGAGTTTGAGAACCCTCTGATCCTCCTCTCTGAGAAGAAGATCTCTGCTGTTCAGGACATCATCCCCGCCCTCGAGGCCTCTACCCAGCTCCGCCGTCCCCTGGTCATCATTGCCGAGGACATTGACGGCGAGGCCCTGGCTGTCTGCATTCTGAACAAGCTCCGTGGCCAGCTCCAGGTCGCCGCCGTCAAGGCCCCCGGCTTCGGTGACAACCGCAAGTCCATCCTCGGCGATCTTGCCATCCTGACCAACGGTACCGTCTTCAGCGACGACCTTGACATCAAGCTCGAGAAGGCCACCCCCGACATGCTGGGATCTACTGGCTCCATCACCATCACCAAGGAGGACACCATCCTCCTCAACGGTGAGGGCAGCAAGGACTCCATTGCTCAGCGATGCGAGCAGATCCGCGGCGTCATTGCCGACCCCACCACCTCTGAGTACGAGAAGGAGAAGCTCCAGGAGCGTCTGGCCAAGCTGTCTGGCGGTGTTGCCGTCATCAAGGTCGGTGGCTCTTCCGAGGTTGAGGTCGGCGAGAAGAAGGACCGATTCGTCGATGCCCTGAACGCCACCCGTGCTGCCGTCGAGGAGGGTATTCTCCCCGGTGGTGGTACTGCCCTGATCAAGGCCTCTGCCCAAGCCCTGAACGATGTCAAGGCTGCCAACTTTGACCAGCAGCTCGGCATCACCATTGTCAAGAACGCCATCACCCGCCCTGCCCGCACCATCATTGAGAACGCCGGCCTCGAGGGCTCTGTCGTCGTTGGCAAGCTCACCGACGAGTTTGGCTCTGACTTCAACCGCGGTTTCGACAGCGCCAAGGGCGAGTACGTTGACATGATCCAGGCCGGTATCCTTGACCCTCTCAAGGTTGTCCGCACTGGTCTCATTGATGCCAGCGGCGTTGCCTCTCTGCTCGGTACCACTGAGGTCGCCATCGTCGAGGCCCCTGAGGAGCGACCTGCTGGTCCTCCTATGGGTGGCATGGGCGGCATGGGCGGAATGGGTGGCATGATGTAAGCTGCCGCTAGAAGACGAAGAGAAAAAAAACAGGAGTAGGAAGTGTTGTATTAAAAAAACTATTACATGATTGGGCATGGTTTCGGTGTTATACTAGAAGGATGGTTCAAAAGGCCTACTAACCCATCTCCCCTCTCGCTCTCTCGATCTTTTTCTCCCCATCTACCCTGTCCATCTATCTGTCTGCCTTTCTCTGCTCTAGAGCAGGGAGACGCGGCTGTTGCCGTTTATGTATTGTATTGTAGCGCTTCTGGCCATGTACCACTATCAACAAAAAAAAGGGATAATAACGAATGAAATGTTTTTGACGATATACATTGCATGTTTAGGCAACCAGAAAATGGCGTGACGGTTAGATATCCATTTAGATTTGTATTAATGTGGCTAATTTGCGAATATTCCATGGCGTATAAATGTATAGCTGCGTAACCAGGAAATCTGGTTGCCTTGAGGCAGCCATTGATAGATGGACAGCTTAGTGGAGTGGATGGGAGCTGTCAAAGCTGGTGCCTTGTATCAACGGCGGCGACGTCAAGCTACTAATAAGGCGGCTATCCTCCAGCTTCTGTTGCACAGGTAGCTACGAGTATTGGCCAACCTCGATATAGCTTCCGGTACAACAGCAGCTGTAATACGCGTCTTCTGCATCCTCGCCACCTTTTCCCAGCCAACCAAATACGCACCGCTTAGGCACCAGCACCAGCACCAGCACCCAGGCAAAGGTCCGTCGCACATCACTTCATCCGCCCGTGGCCATACGTAATTCCCCATAATATCTTCTCCAGTCTGCTGGGTCTCGCGCTGCTCTCTTGCAATCTCCCTGCCGAGTCACGTGCAGCAGCTCCCTCCCGCCTCGAACGAGAAAAAAACACTCCCCCACTTCTGGCTTTTTGGCCCAACTGTGGACTAAAACAGAGGGAGAGCTTTCTTCGTTCCCTTTATAGCACCCCGCCTCTGATTTGATTTCACTCCAGCTGCCACTTGCACTCCAACCTGCGTAAGTTCCCAGAAACCATCCCGCTGTCACACACCCATTTGGCATCATCATCGAGACCCCCCGTTTTTCGACGCCTTTTCTTCGTTTTCTTTTCCCCCGTCTTGTTCCTCCTTGCTTTACTCTTCTGCTTCTGTTAGTTGAAAGCTCCCCCGTCTCCCCAATTCCCTTTCAATCTTATTTTCCCGTTTTCCCGCCCCTTTTTTTTTTACCGTCTCTTAGTTGCTCTTAGACGCTCTTTTGGGGGGGACAAGTTCTAAAGAGGCGCTCGGACGAATCTCCCGCATTAAACCCCCTCATCGCTAACAGGAGAACCTTCATCAGCTCATCACCCCTCCTTTTTTCCTCTACACCGCAGCTCAGCAACCAAGTCGCAAAAATGGTAAGTTTCCTGCTGATGGCTTTGAGAAGCTCAAAGCTTCTTTTTACGTTTGTGTAAAATGCTGACCGCGTTGTCCTCTTGTAGTCTCAATCAGGGTACGTTTCTCGCCCCTCTCCTTTTCGCCGTTACTTGTCCACGCCTTATCAGCTCTCCGCTTTCGTTTGGCTGCCCGCCATGCCACGTTGTTTCAATAATACGAATGACTGCGGGAAATCTAAAGCAGCACGAGAGCTTTGGCATAGAAAGAGGACCCAGAAATCCAGAGAAATGGGGAGAGAGGATACAGAAGGAGAAAAGAAACGCTTAGTAGGAATTGGTAGAGCTAACATCGTGTAGAGCCAAGGTTTCCCCCGAGGTCTCGGAGGCATTCCAGAACCTGAAGCGCAGCAACGACAAGAACAGAGTGCTGCGATACATCATCTTCAAGCTGTCCGACGACTACTCCCAGATCGAGGTCGAGCACGCCGAGGCCGACAGCGACTGGGAGAACTTCCGTGAGAAGCTCCTCAACGCCACCTCCAAGAGCAAGACTGTTAGTCTCACCGCCGAAATAGCCTCCAAAACAATGGATTTGCACGCCTGAACAAGAGCTAACCTGGTGCAAAATTAGGGTGCTGTTGGCAAGGGACCCCGCTACGCTGTCTACGACTTTGGCTTCAAGTTTGACGGCCGAGACATGTACGTCAGCCCAATGCCCACCCCCACTAAAACCGCCGCGGCTATTGACAGTGCATGCAATACAGCAACAAGATCATTCTCATTGCCTGGTCTCCCGATGATGCCGGTGTCCACGTATGTTTACCCCCTTCATCTATTCCTGACAGTGCGCCTTTTCTTACTGACTTGAACAAACAGCCCAAGATGATCTACGCCGCCTCCAAGGAGGCTCTCAAGCGATCCCTCGAGGGCTTCGCCTATGAGCTCCAGGCCAACGACTCTGACGACCTTGAGCACAGCTCCATCCTCAACGCCGTCCTTGCCAAGATGAACGCATAAGCGAACCACGCCCGCGACAATGTAATCCAAGTGTTAAGGAGGAAAGAGGGATAGCTACGAAAGTGGGAAGTAAAAGAAGGGAGGCACCGCCGTGTACTTCGTTTAGAATGGGAGTGATGCAAAGGGGGAACTGTGTTTATTCGATGGATAGGCATAGGTAATTTTTCAGATGTGCTAGCGCTACAGATGATGATTCATACCGTACTCAAGGGAAAAAAAATCGGACTCGTCTTTCGAACTCAAGGTGTGGGAATGTGTATGCACCGGTGAAATCAGTTTTGCTACATGGACGAAAATGAAAGAAAAGTATGCTCTATTAAGAAAAGAAGATGCTAAAAGGAGACCCAATATTTTCTCATACCACGCCCCGTTGTAGATTTTAAGAACTTGATTTGCTTGCCTGCCAGCTCGATCTAAACAAGTTCACTAGCTCTTCGCCCTTGCCCTGAGCCTTGAGCCGCTGCTGCAAGAAGCCCTTGAGATCCGCCCAGAACGCCTCCGCCTCAAGCTCCGCCTCCACCGTCGCCTCATCCGCCTGGGCCGTCGAAACAGGCACGTCGTCAGCCATCTCCTCGGGCGGCGGAATCGCCGCCGCGCCGCCAATCACCATGACGGAAAACTCAATCGTCCTGTCGGCTTCGCTCGCGCGCAGCTCCTTGAGCACCTTGCTGTCCACGACGGGCCGCTTGTTGAGCAGCAGCTTCATCTTGTCAATGGGGATGCGCGTCTGCTCCTGCACGGCGGCCTTGACGTCGAGGACGGACGTGCTGAGCGGCAGGGCGGGGAGGGTGATGTCGAGGGGCGGGTTGCGCAGGGACTTGAGGGAGATGGTTATGCTCGGTTCTTGGCCGGGGGCGGAGCGGGCGAACGGTTTGGACATGGGCGTTGGCATGCGGGGGAGGATGTACTGCAGATATTTTTATCAGAATTAGGTATTTTGACTTCATTATTGATGTGAGGGTTTGGAAACACGTACGGGAGGTCGAGGGGGAAATGTCTTGGGGTCCTCGATGTGGTCTGGAGAGAGCTTGATGGGACGGGAGTCGAGCGACGTGAGAAACGTCTTTGCGAAAGCGACTTCAGCCATCGTGAGCGTATTAAATTGGTTCTTTTCCGACTTTCAACAAGATTGAGTAACTAAAGCAGGTATGCGACGTGGCTATTGCTTTCGATGATCGTGTCGTCGCAAGGGAATGAGGAGAGGGGTTGGCGGGGTGCTTTGTTTTGCTCTACTCTACGAGTTTGGCCTTTGCTGAGTGCTTCAAGGGCTGAAGACGTGTCGTTTCGAATATGGAAGGCGTTCGATATTAAAAAAAAAAAAAAAAAAAAAAAAAAAAAGGACAGATCCAGTGGGTAGAATCTATGAAAAGCTGTTCTCCAGAATGAGACTCGTCGTTGGAGCTTAGACAAGTACAAAGGTACACGGTCGATGACACTGAAGCTTGGGAGCTCGGAAAGCTGAATCACGTGGGATCGACTCAAAACCCCGCCACCATCCAACACAGCACCAGGCAAGGCAACGGCCAGCTCCCGAGACAAAGCTGCCGTTATAAGACAATTCACGTCATGTTGTTATTAAACAGCCATCACGCTTAAAAGATAGGAGAGAAGAGACGTGTCTTGAAACAAGCAATAAACACTCGCACTCTTGACATTTACACACTAGCAATTAAACCATCTCTCCCAACCAACCAACCAAGTAGGTAAGTAACAGTACTGATACATAAATCCCATTCTTCATAAAACATGTTAAGAAGAAATAACAAAAAAATAGTTCATCCATAATCCCATTTCATAATCCGTCATTTCGTCATAAAAAAACTCTCTACCGGCGATTTTGCACGCCGTGACCGTGGTTTTTTTTTTCTCTATTCGCGATATTTTTCCCATGATAAATATTGCCCTCCAAGTCGTTAATTTCGCGCCTGAGTCCGTCGTCGAACCAAATACAGCTCCTTCCCTCAAACGCCCTAAAGACTGAAAAAAAAAAAAAAAAGAATAAAAGAGCAAACAGAATAACGAGCAAACGATAAAAACAAACAAGCAACGCTGTATCCTCTTAAGCCCCTGCCCTCTCAGATACATCTTCGCTGGGGATAAAATCAGTCGTATTAAAAACATGTAATGCAAAGCCGATAGATAGCAGCAGAACAAAGACAGCGACAGCAAAATAGAAGAGAAGATGAAAGATTAAAATCATAATACATCCACCAAAGTGTTAAAGCGAGCAAGGGGTTTTCTTGAACGGTGAAAGCGTTTGCATAGGTTAGAGCGTTTGCATAGCATCTGGTCTTACCTAGCTACACTCGGCACCGCAAAGTCGTCAAATTGGGACACGAGCTCGCGAATAGTCCATCGCCAAGCATCTCGGTCTCGAGGGCTGTGGTTCGTCCACTTCTCACACTTCTTCCGCCACCTCTCCTCTTCTTCACGCTGCCTTCGGATGAATTCAGGGCCGACGTCGAATTCTTCGCCCACCAGCCAGTCATCCTTAATGTCACTGGCTTGACCACCCTCCTGTGCGTCAGTGACCGTCGTGTCTTCAAGATCCGGAATATCTTTGAAGACATCCTCTTCCTCTTCGAAGCCGGTGAAGTTATCCAGGCTGTCGGTAGCCTCGGATGCCGTCATATTCTGAGGGCCGAGTTTGAGCCAGCACATGTTTTGAGGATCGAATACCATACCACCAACCACTTGCACACCTTTAGTGCCGCTGATGTTGGTGATGAGAGCCGGTCGAGGTGCTGAGGCTTCTTTATCTCGAACCAGGTGCGGAGGGACGGAATTCGAGGACGGCGTCGAGTTCGATCCGTCAAACGCATTGAGAGCATTCTCGTTTCCTTCCCAGCAATACGTCTCGGCGTTGTAAAACATGCCTTTGACGACTAGAGAGAGTTGAATGTCAGTCACAAGCTTTGATGTTGAGTACGAAGAAAAAAACACATACCTTTTGACTCCTTACCGCCGTTCAAGTTCGCGATAAGGTGTGGTTTCAGTTGCTGGGGTCGTTTCGGTCTTCTGATTCGGTTGGTCGGCTGCGCCAGATGGGACGGCTGCTGAGTATTGCTTCTCGTCGGTGCTCGTTGAGCAGACACTGAAGCCAACGGGCCGCCGCTTGGCGTCCGATGGGCTAGAGCTGTCTCGCGCGCAATGCGGCTGGCCGCAGTGTCTCGTGCAAAGCTGGGGGTATATGCGCCTCGCATCGCCGGCCCTGGTGCCGCCTTCCATGGAGAGGGCGTTTTGTTTCTATCCACCTGCGCAGGAGGTTGTGATGGCGGCGGCACCTGGTATGCTCTCCGTTTGTTAGGGTTGCCGGCAGAAGGCTGTTTCAAAAATCGACTCTCCGTCTCCTTTGAAGTCGGTAGGTCATCAAAGGCATCCAGTTCATGGCCATCACCAAAGTGCCGTTTACCCTTTGGTCTGCTTAGGCGTTCCCACGTATCAGCGGCCACTTTGTAACGGTGTGGACTGGGCGATCGCAGGCCTGGCCTTGCCAATGCCCTGGATGTAGGGCGTGTTTCGATTGTGGTGTCGGAATCAAAGCGACGCAACCCTCGCACAGTTTTGGAAGCAGCGTGCTGCGACTGCAGGTGAGAAGCCCCTGCGGGAAGAAAGGGTATCGAGCTCTTCCGCTGCCCAGGGCTCCCGTGGCTGATAGCCTGTTGTCGTTCTTGCGGCGTCTTGGGCCGGGTCTCTGTACGTGAAGATGGTCTCTCTAGCCGTGCTGCCAGAGGTTTAGCAGCAGGAGGGTTTCGAGCTCGAACAGCCGCCAGAGACCGCTTCTGCCTGAGCAGTTGGGCATTTGTCGTAGGTGGCTCGTTCCTAACAGAAAAGGGAGGTCGGGACAGTTCCGCCCTGCGAGGAGCTGGGGCAGCAGAAAAGGTAGATGTGGTAGGCGTTGGCAGACTTGTGACCGATAGTTGATTGGAATGGCCAACACGAGATTGTGGTCGGCGAACCCGATGTGTGATCGGGCCACCACTCTCTGACACGGGCTCTAGAGCCGTAGAATGGGATCTCTCGTGGTTGAGACGCGGGATCCTCGTTTGTGGCGGCACAGGCTTGTTGCTGAATGTCAACGACACAGCCGCCTTTGGCCTGGCTGGGTTCGTCAGGCGACTATCCTTGATCTTGATATTCCGATGCATTGTGAGTTTCCCAGAGTCAAACACATTACCGTCGCCAATGTCAAGCCCCTCCAAGAAGTCTTGCTGCTCCACTTCTGCGGCAGGGAATCTCTTCTTTGGGGGGGATGCCGCTTCGGCAGGTGGCTCCTCGGGGATATCTTCCGGCGGTGGGTTGGTCTTGCGCAGGTGCAGTCTCTCTTGGAAATTGAGATGGCCGGGAGGTAGTACAAGGCCGTCGAATGTTTCGTCTTCGCTCTCCACCGTGAACGTGCTGGAGAGACTGGGGCTCATAGCCGAGACCGACGAACTCCTAGTCGACCTTGCATCTCGTCGAGTGCCTCCATATCTAGTGCCAAGGCTGCTGCCCTCGCCCCAGTCTATATCCTCTGATAGTGAAAACGGCGCCTTGGGAATGTCTCTTCTAGCAGACAGCTTCAGTTTGCCGTCAGATGGCAGCTCCAGATCTCTTTCAAAGTCATCGTCTAGCGGCTCTATTGACAGCTCAGGCGCAACGGGGGTTGGGGGCGTGACAAAGGGCATCAGCCGAGGTGGTCGGCTCTTGGAGACTTTGATTGTGTCAAGGCCATCGCCAAAGAAGTCGTCGTCTTCGTCTTCCGTGTCCCTAAACTTGTCCAGGCTGAGCGCGGCCGATAGGACGCTCGAGGTTGACATGATGGAGCTTCTTCGGCTATCCCTTGCGGACTTTGGTGCCTTCTTGGGGCTATTCTGCATTGAGCTCTGCATCGAGCCCGCGCTGACCTTGCGCAGAGTCTCGGGGAAGTCGGCCTGGGTTCGAGGCTTCATTTGGAAGCTTTGGTGCCCTTCGGGCAGATCTAGGTCGTTTTCCCAGTCTTCGTCAATAATCCGGCGGCCCTTCTTCCCACCCAGCCTCTTGATCGTGCCTCCAGTCAGTGCAGACGACGGCACATTCTTGGGCAGGGGAATTCCAGCCCTCTCGGCGGCGGCTATGGCAGCCATGGTAGATCGCTCATCGTCGGCTGGGAGGTGGACGTGTTGTTCCTCCCCATGCAAAGAGTCCAGATCGGAGCGCAGCGAAATGTGGGACGAAGTGGAATCGCGTCGACGTGGTTGTGCATTGGTAGTGACAGCGGTGCTCGTAGGCCGTAGGCTCAACTCATCGCCGTCTACAATAAAGTCTTCATCGTCCCAGTTCTCTACCTCCTCCACTGGCTGTCTGGGCTTTAACCGCAGCGGCTCCATAATTTTGGTCAACTGTGCTGTTCTAATGCGTCTACTGCGTACTTGTGGTCGTTTGGGTTGTAATCGCGCGTTGTAAACAAAGCGGCATGCAGGGCCGCTCGGGTAGCGTGGCTAAACTGATTTTCAGTCTCTCGGATAGGTTCGTCGTGGCCGGTCGCGACATCAATTGGGCGGAGGCATAACCGTTCAATAACAACAATCCATCATTTCCCAAAATTCCCAAAACCGCAGCTCGTTATGACGTGGCAGTCTGTAGACGGCAGCGCGAGACCGGCTTATTCGTCCAAAATGCGGCCAAAAAAAAAACAACCAAAATAAAGGTCGGGGTATGTTGTCGCTAAAAGGTGCGCACAAATCGTCGTGCTCGTTCTAGTGGCTGATGATGCTATCGCTCCCAAAGCGCCCAAAGCCCAGCAAACAGAAAGGTAAGAAAGAAGAAGAAAAGATACGACGATCCGCCGCGATGCAGCTCGGCGCTTTCGACTAGATGAGCCTTGTCGATGCTTTTTTTAGATGAGCGATGCGGCGAGGATGTTGTTGTCAGCGGCTAGTGATTGGGCGCAGCGAGTGTTGACAAGACGAAACAGAAAGGCTGGGTCCGTTGCGGGCAGTGGCTGGTGCGCCCAAGCAGGGTCAGGTCGTGGCGGGGCCTGCAGAAGAGATTCCAGCAGCGCCCAGGTCTCGCAGTCCACCGTGGAACAGGGGGGTTCAGCGCTGCAGTGCGCTCTTCTCAGCCTGTGCAACGTGGCTAGCTACCCTGCAACTTGCAGCTGGAAACACGGAGCAGTATCGAAGCGTGCTGCCGTTGACTCGCGAGAAGCTGAGTGATGTTACCTAAACGCGGGCAGAGCCTTGGGCGCGGCACCGAGGGTGCTCTCGTGTTTTATATCCCCCCTTTTCCTCGCTGTTGCTCTGCTTAATTTAAAGGCTCATGCCACGCCCGTGTTGCATTTGCCTCTTTTTTTTCCCGTTTCTTTTTTCAAAATTTCACCCACCAGGATGACCCCTACTGCTCTCGCCGTAGCGCCGCTTCTTTGCTAACCCATGAGATGTTCTCGCGGCGGTGGAGTCGCTTCCGGATTCACGATCCTCATCCTAATCTCGCCGTGCTGTGCATGAAATTGGTTGGAAGGCTACTCCGTATCTGTCCACCCGCCCACTCTGTGCCTGAGCTCTTCCGTCTCCTGATGACGCCTCACCTGCAGTGGACTTTCTGCTACCACGACAACCAGAGGCCCTAGCATCCCATCCCGGCCGCTTCTCCATACTAACCCGCCAGCCTGCCAATCATGCGTGCAGGCCCCGTCAATTGTCAGATTTTGCCTAGTGGAGAGGCCAGATCGGACAGGGTCCTCTGGCCGGGCGTCTTTTGCATGCGACAAGCCCGAGGCCAGGCTAGGCAATGCACATACAGCGAAGCGAGCCCGGGGCGCGGGAAGCACGCAGAGAGCATGGGCTGGGCGATCCTGAGCTGGGCTCTGTTTTTGATTGCAGGTACTGCAATATCCATCATTTGTATTTGATGCTGTACAGCAACACACATGACATTGGATGTTGGCGATCAACCACATTGAACAGACAGCACATCTCGTCTCCAGTAAGCGGCAGGCGGGAGCTCATCTCCTCCTATTCCAAGTAGCACTGCACTAGCCAACACCAACTTATACGAGCAGAAACACTGTACGACCATCGCCCATTGCGCGTTAGGCCTTCCAGCTTAGTGCTTCATTTTGATGAGCCGCACTCCGCAGGCAGAGCAACTCAACAGGCCGCTCCCTATGCGAACGCGGTCTAGCCATGTTGGGCGGTAGTTGGGCATGATAGCGGTGCTTCCTCGCCAAAGGCTCCAGCGGCCAATATGCCTACCTGGACCCTTGTGGACATTGCCTTAATTTCCCACGTGTGCTTCGTACCAAGAGCTCCGGACCCCCGCCCCGTACAGTGCTGTGCTCGACACCAACTTGTGGGAGACGGCCTGGCACGGTTCGAAACCAACAAGAAACGGTTAGGCGTAAGTGGCAATTGCGACTTCGTATTTGCGAATACGAAAATCGCGTCGTGAACAAATTCATTGTGCTTGCTTCGCGAGCATTATTTCATGTGCAAAATGGTATAATGCTTCCGCAGGTTCGGAGCAATTACGTACTACTAGTACTCCATACCAGTAAAGAGTCACTGGCATGTATACATGGCGCTGTGACCAAGTCACCTCAGCCCACCTCCGCAATTTTGCAGCGACTGCCTGTAGGACCTGCGCCACACAACAGCCACCTGGAAGCCTGTACCCGTACCTGCAGCTCCAGCTCTGCTCAGGAAGCTCCAGCTCCAGCTCCCTGGCCGTAGCTGCCTGCGATGGACGCCTGCCTGCTCCAAGCACGCTAAGCCGCAAGGCTGCCATACACTCCACCTTGCTGAAGATTCACAACCGTTTGCTTGTGAGACATACAAGACTACACTGATTTGACGTATATCAGCGAAAGTTGAATAGGGAGACAAGGTCAAAAAAACTTCACGCGTACCCTTTCAGTTGGTTTTCCTTCCCCATCCAACGCGAACGCTGAAACATTGCTGCAACATCACCTCTCCCTTGATACCAACTGCTTCTCATCTACCCATCAGCCCATATATTCATCTAGATCGATCTATCTTCGCACATCTTCACGCAACCCATCCCGACATAAGAGCCAGCTCACATAATTGCATCATGGCAAACACAACGCGAGTCATCAAGTTCCCGCGAGATGACGATGAATCAGCTCATGTGCTCATTCAAGTCGCCCAAAAGGGCTCTAAACCCTTGGACGTAAAGCTCGTTGGAACAGAGGGTGAAGCACAATATGTGGCAATCTGTACAGTCTCTCCCTCCGCCAAAACCAGCCACAATACATACCTAGTATTAACGCCTTTACAGTGAAACACGATCGATTAGCTTCGCTTCAAGTCTCAAACTGTCCCGTCTCCGAATCAGAATGGCAGTCAATTTTGCAATCTCTGTTCGCGTTACAGCCTGCCGCGGATATCCAAGCAACAGCCAGTGTCAAGACCGAGACCTCTTTATCCATCACAGTTCGAAAGAGAGTCCAAGGTATTACTGTATGAGCCTCTCTTACTGAAATTTTACCCGTTGGAAAAAAAAAAGGGACGCAGCTCTAACTCGATTCCACTATAGCAACGACTCGGCTCTATAGAGCTAAAGTTCGATGCTGATGAGGTTATCGAGCTTTTTAAATGGTGTGCCGAATCAGTCGACGCATTGGTACAGAGTAACGCGGCTCTGGCTGAAGCCGCCGCTCATGCTAAGGAGCTTGAAACCACCGTGAAGGAGCTAAAATCGCAGCTGGACGAGCTCGTAACGTCAAAGCAAGACGATGAAACAGCCCTCCTTCAGAAGTTCCGGGACCTTCTCAACGAAAAGAAAGTCAAAATTCGCGAGCAGCAAAAGGTCATTGCCGCCGGCTCGTTTCCAAATAGCCAGTCCGCATCTCAACGGTTTTCTCAAACATTGGATCCCCAGCCATCTCACACGCCCGCCCCGTCTGGGCCTAGAAAGAGAAAAGTCCAGGCTGCGGCCTCCTCATCGAAGAACCCAGAGAATGATGAAATGGATGTGGAAAAGATCAAGTCTGAGCCCGAGGATAGCGAACCAGAGAATACCCCGGAGGACACTGCAGACGACACGGCGTCTGGCGATAGTGATGAAGATGATGATGGTAATGAAGATAATGGTGACGGCAATGTCTCCGAGACAGGAGCTGATAATATCTCACAACCGGCGCCCAAGGCACCTCAGAAAAAGGCCAATGAGCAGCCGCCTCCTCCAAGGAGCCTCCCGTTTACAAAGAAGAAGGCTCCAGTCAAACCGCCCACAACGGGAAACGAGACAGACTCTGACGATGAATTGTGAAGTGTGAATTTGGCAGACACAGCAAGTTAGAAAAAGGATGTATTGCAAAATAGAAGACTAAGACGTTTATTTCGCCACACGTTCCGGTATATGGACCATATCGCTATCGTATGAGGAGTGACATTCACATTAGCGGTCCAGTTGCTATACCTACGTGGAAATACAAAGCTACTTTTGATGAATAGATCAAACGTGTTCATACCTCATTATAGCTCGCTAAACCCTTTAACTTTATTTAATAGATCATCTTTCTTCTATTAGTCGCTTCTTTATCCCCTTACCACATCAGCGTATTCCGATGTCCGTTGGGACGGTATGAGAAGGGCATCATGTGTATCCTTAAAAATATTGCTTCCTATCAGTGTCTTCATCGCCAGCATCGTAAAATTCAATATGGCCCTCTGTTGTTCAACTTCCACTTCAAGAAAAGAAAATGCCATCTCAAACAGTAGCTTTTATAACTGTGTCGACAGGTATATTTATCTTGCTTGACAACCGTAGACCGTGTGTCAATGCTGTATAAGATGTTCCGCGCAAAGATAGATACACTTGCGAACCATCCTCTTGACTGGGCCAGAACAGGCAGCTGGAGTTGGATTCCCTTGGGGTACGACCCCTCACAGGCGGGAATACTACGCTCATTTCTGGGAGGCCAATCTTCTCTGGTGCGAACCAGACATAGGTTGTTTTGTCTTCTTTGATCTCTTCCTCCCAGGCTGCAATGTCAGTGAACCCATTCTTTGCTGCCCAGTAGTGAATTAGGGTCTTTGCTGTACGGTTCAAGACTTTCAGTTCTTCGATGGTGATCTTGGCGAGTTTGGTGTCGTCAGGTAAGTCTGCGTGTACTCCTGCCGGCAAGTTGACGGAAGCCTATTCAAGGTTGGCCTTGTTAATATTCTCCTCCGTACCAGCATTGAGTCTGTTGAGGCAGCGTAGTATGTGCTCCATGTCCATGACCGGGTTCCCGTTAACCGAGGGGGGGGGGGGGGACTTTTTGTGCTTCGGTTGGTGTCGGTTGCTTTTCAGCATTCTGATTCCATTTGTATGGGACGTCCGTCGGAATGTATATCAAGTTGGGTCTGTAATTGTCGATCGCCATTCCGAGGTAGTCCATCTAGAATATATTGTTCATTCTGACCCCACTTCGTCCTTTCCTTTAATCTTGATGTCTCTGGGGTGCTTGGCAATTATTGTCGTAATGAGACCTGGTGCGGGCAGTACATACAGATTACCTTTAAATTCGGACAATTCATCAATTTCTGTAAATGCGTTCAGATAGGAGTATTTGGAAGGAAAATGCCATCAGATCTTGTCTGAACGCATTTGATGATGTTCGTTGTAGGCTCAACCATGCTGGGATAGGCTGAAGGTGGGTTATCTCATCTTTGCCTCGTAAAACTCGGAGCTGCCCTGCGATGTGATTTGCTTCACGCATTCCGTTGCGTTAGACCTTTCTTTGCCAACATCATCTGGCATTAATAAGGCGTAGTCGTATGCCTTTTCACCGCTAATCTTGAAGCAGGGTGATTGTGAACGATGTCGACCAAGTCTTTCTACCCTTGGAAATCTTCATCGACTGCGTTGCGAGCTACCAGCTTGTCGCATGTAGCATATCTTTCTGGCTATATTGTCCGAGTTGACAGCTTTTGTTGTCGTCTCTAAAAATATGTCTTCAAGGCTTTTGGCGAGCATGGCGACTTGGACGTTGGTTGACCCTAATGAACTATCTGGTATCGAGTCGAATAGCTTCCCAGAATGCGCAGGTTAGGTTGACAAACATTCTGAATCAGTACGGTCACAATGCTCAGCCAATAAAGTAACAAAGTGCTCGCTGCGTAGGTCAGGCAGGAAAGTGTAGCCCTGATGTAGCGGTTGAGTAAAACTCGATGAATCCGATATGGATGCTCGCCGACAGTGGTCAAAACTTGATGGGTTCAGCTTGTCCATGGCAAGGAGAAAAGAAGACGGTAAAAACAAAAAATGAACCATGGTTTATTCCTGCCAATTTCTAACTGGGTTGGCGTGTTTAAAGCGATAGCTGCTTAATGCTCTAGTATATCTCTCTCCATTCACCTCCTGTCATCAGCGGCAAATTTGTGCTTCCAAAATGATCGGAAGTGGTACTTGTCTCCTTCACTAGAGATCTCCGCCACCTCCTCGTCTGTCAGCTTAAACTTGGGTAGCCTCTCGAGGTAGCCAGCGAGTCGCGACTCCTTGGAGCTAGTCGTAATTACCACATGGCCTTGATCAAGGACCCATCGTAGACCGACGTCAGAGTCTGTAACGCCATATTTCTCTGCTAGCTTGGTATAGACGGGCACTGCTGGACCGCCCTTGGCTGTGGTGAGTGGTAGCAAGGGGGCGTAGGCAGCGACGGCAATGTTATGCTTCTTGTGGAATGCAACGAGGTCGCCGTGCTGGAGATAGGGATGGTACTCAATCTGGTTAATTGCAGGCACCACCTTGGCTGTCTTAAGAATGGCCTCGAGATGCTCCTGGAGAAAGTTGGAGACTCCAATGGACTTGGCCCGACCAGAAGCCTTGATGGCCTCCAGATCAGCCCACTTTTGCTGCAGTTCTTCGTCGTTATTAGCAAAGAAAGGGCCATGGATCAGATAGAGATCGACGTAATCCAGGCCGAGCTTCTTGAGTGAAAGAGAGAAAGCCTCTTCAGTGTTCTTCTGGACCTCAGCGCTAATCTTGGTGGTGATGAAGAGCTGCTCTCGAGGAATTCCAGACTCTTTGATAGCGGCGCCGAACTCTTCTTCATTTCCATATACTGTTGGAAACATTTTGTGGTTAGAAATACTTGATTTGCCTTGGACTTTGATTTGCCGCCTTTCGCATACCTTCAGCGCCGTCAAGATGGCGGTAGCCGACATCAATTGCTTTTTTGGTGTTTTCGATCACTTTAGTGTCCAGAGGTCCCGCAACGCGCTTGAAGTTGGCAGTTCCAAGGCCATAACCGAGCTGCCAGCCTGGTCAGTATCGGGTTGACGTGGTAAGACTTGAAGTCCAATATGAGAGGGAGGAGGAGAGGAGCATACTGCGGGAATCTCGTTCCCATCATTTAGCTTGATAACTGGTGGGAAAGACATGATGGCTGAAGAGCGAAACTGTCTCTGGGCAAAGCAGGTTGTTTGTCGAGGAGATGGGGAGATTGAACTGGGCGAGGGGAATGTCAGGGAGGGTTTTTGAGTGGACGTAGATGGCTCACTTCCACGTATTGCGGCTGTTGCGGCTGGACCTTCCGATATTTATAAGTGGAGGTCCAAGGCAAGTCAAGACCTTTTGGTGCATGGTGGTCGCTACTACCCCACCGATGATGGATGGAGCTGGAGTAGTAGAGGGAGCGGGCGCTATGTATGGTGTAGGGACAATGGGACAATGGTGGAGATGAGAGAGATTGCCGAGTTGAATGTTTTTACGACCCAAGAGTCAATCCAATGGAGGTAGAGGAAGCAGGTTACTGTTTGCTTGCCTGTGGTTCGCCTTCCTAGACTGCTATGCACAAATATGCAGGCTCATGCACTGAAGCTATGGCATACAGAGCACTCCATCCCGCCTTGTCGTCTTGCTGTACTACTAGCAGCATGCGGCATCGTATCAAAGTTGCAAGACTGGGCTAGCAGTCGACAGCAAGCACGCAACCTGGCTCTCTCCATTCTTCAGGGTCTCATTCAATTAGGACCTACGAGGATGAGGTCGAAGAAGAAGCAAGTCACGTCATATCATTAGCTTAATTCTCTCTGGAATTAACCGCATCAATCTGTGGTTGGCGAAGTGCGGATGAGGCAAGTTTACGTGCTATTGCCTCAGAGACTGTTGACCCCATTGAGGTGCACCGGTCCACCATCCACAGCCTAAATCCATGGAAAACAATTATTAATACTGCTATTACTTACGCGGGGGCATTGCTTCCATCTACTTGTAGTCCACTACCTAACGTAGTATATGAAGCGGCCTATGGCTTTCCCCTCGTATATCCGATACCGCGATTCATTGCTCCATCTTTGCGTGGTGGGGCGAGGTTCGCAGCTCGGTGATGTCACGGAATGCCGGCTCGCCACTATCCGACTCTAATCGCTTTAAGCCGCGGCAGGGCCACAACGCTCTCTTATACACTGCATATTAAACGATAGCCATCTGAGCTGCCACCAATTCCCATGCTGCAGGGATATCTCTATGCAAGTCGGTTGATAACACGGACTCTGCCACTGAGGATCCTCAGTGGGCCATCGACAAGGCATCCCACTCGATATAGGGGAGCGCGAACCATGGCTTCATCGGGGAAACAGTTTGAAGGTGTCTCGTTGGATGAGCTGCCAAAGTCATGGAATTTCACAGCTTCACTACCTCCGGACGCAACCTTCCCAACTCCGGCAGACTCACACAAGACCCCTCGAGATCAAATCACGCCTCGCCAGGTCCGCGATGCTCTTTTTACATGGGTGCGGCCAAGTGAACAGAAAGATCCCGAGCTGCTGGCTGTGAGCCCTGCGGCATTGAAAGATCTTGGCATCAAAGCAGGCGAAGAGAAAACCGAAGCCTTCCGCCAGTTTGTAGCTGGCAACAAGCTCTATGGCTGGGATGAGACGAAGCTGGAGGGCGGATACCCTTGGGCGCAGTGCTACGGAGGCTTTCAGTTTGGGCAGTGGGCAGGCCAGCTTGGAGATGGAAGGGCCATTTCTCTTTTTGAGACAACCAATCCAGAGTCCAACGTACGATATGAGCTACAGCTTAAAGGTGCTGGCTTAACGCCGTACTCTCGATTCGCAGATGGAAAGGCAGTACTTAGGTCTAGCCTGCGAGAGTTTGTCGTTTCCGAAGCACTCAACGCACTCAAGATACCGACCACTAGGGCTCTATCTCTTACTCTACTTCCTCACTCTAAAGTTTTGAGAGAGGCCACGGAGCCGGGCGCAATTGTACTCCGGTTGGCTCAGTCGTGGTTGCGACTGGGAACTTTTGACCTTCTAAGGGCAAGGGGAGATCGCGATCTCATCAGGAAGCTCGCAACATATATTGCGGAGGACGTTTTTGGCGGATGGGAAAAGCTTCCAGGACGACTAGAGTCTCCTGATGAACCAACCAAATCACCATCCCCTAAGCGTGGAGTACCAGCTTCCGAAGTTGAGGGACCAAGCGACGCAGCAGAGAACAGATTTCAGCGGCTATACCGGGAGATTATTAGGCGTAACGCTGTGACTGTGGCTCATTGGCAAGCATATGGATTCATGAATGGCGTGTTGGTATGTATCCGCAGCTATGATAGGGTCTATGAGGAAGCTCTAATTACTAACCTCGTCTCACAGAACACGGATAATACATCAGTTTACGGCCTATCGATGGACTATGGGCCTTTTGCATTTATGGATACCTTTGACCCAGCATATACACCAAACCACGATGACTACACGCTGCGGTATAATTATAAAAACCAGCCGACCATCATCTGGTGGAACCTAGTGAGGCTTGGCGAGACTCTTGGAGAACTTCTCGGCATTGGTCCTCAAGTTGACGATGAGACTTTTATCGCCAAAGGCATCAGGCAAGAGCAAGAGAAAGAACTGGTTGAGAGGGCAGAAAACCTAATCACACAAGCTGGAGAAGAGTACAAAGCTGTGTTCTTGAATGAATACAAACGATTAATGACAGCGAGACTCGGTCTGCGTCACTTCAAAGAGACGGATTTTGATGAGCTCTTTAGCGAAGGGCTTGATACTATGGAAGCTTTAGAGTTGGATTTCAATCACTTTTTCCGCCGCTTGAGTACCATTATATTGGCGGACATCAAGACTCAAGAGGGACGAAAAGAAAAGGCTGCAATCTTCTTCCACAAAGAAGGGCCATCTGAAGTTGTTGGAGAAGAGACTGCGAAGGAGAAGATTGCCCAATGGCTGGAAAAGTGGCGCGTGCGCGTCTTGGAAGACTGGAAAGAAGAGTCTTCTCACGACTTATCTGAAGAGAAGGATGCTGAAAGAAGACAAGCTATGAAGCAAGTCAACCCCAATTTCGTCCCTCGAGGCTGGATTTTGGATGAAGTTATACGGCGGGTCGAGAAAGAAGGCGATCGGCAGGTCTTGGATCGCATCACGCACATGGCACTGCATCCATTTGAAGATTCTTGGGATGGAGCCGTAATCGACGGCGTTGAATATAAAGGCAACCCAGAGGAAGAGCAGAGGTGGGTTGGCGATGTTCCCAGGTTGGGGCGATCACTGCAATGCAGCTGTAGTTCATAGATAGCAAGCCAATTATAACTTGACTGCGTTGTACATGATCCCAATTACCGCTGCTTTCCATCATCACAGCATACAAATTGAGGCGCCGTTGCACAGCAAATTTCTACGTCAAGCTACGCATGATAAAATGTAACGACCGGCGGTAAGAGGCAACGTTCATCGAGACGAAAAAACTTCTCTCCCCTGCTTCCATAATCGGCGTTGACTTCTTCTAGAGCACAAGATAGAGGAGGACTCGACAGAAGCAACGGGCCGAAGCCCAATTGCCCAAGCTCACCTACAATAAAATGTGCCCGTGTACAATTTTGTTGAAGAAGCAAAAGAAAATTCGAAATTACTGGCCACGCCCGCCAAATTTAAAGCTGCAGACCCAGACTGCGGGACAAAATTTGCCTCAGGCAGCGGCATTGGGAGCTCCCAGCCAATGAGCGTGCTCCTAAATGGATCCGTAAGGGAAACCCACTAGCGCTGTAAATGGGCTTTCCATCCGTCCAAGACAGCAGATCCGTTTTCGAAACGAACGCCCATCCCACTCGACTCTGAGTCCTTAACTTCTCTCGCCGCAACGTACATCACGTTCAATCCGTCAAGGCGACACGATGCTCCGACAGTCTCTGGCACGTTCGGCTTGGCGGACCGGCAGGCGGGCCGCCGCTGCCTCGAGGGCATTCGCGACAACGCCCAGACGGTCTGCCGAGGTGGAGCTCACCATTGGTAAGCATCTTGCCTGCGTCGAGGACGGACAATTGGAGCTGGAGCTTGTGCTAACGCGGCTGCAGATGGAAAGAAGGTCTCGATCGAAGGTACGGTCCTGGAATGGAAGGGTTGCGGCGGTTGCGGGAGCGTAGATGCTGACATGGAAGCTAGCTGGGTCGGCTCTGATCCAGGCCTGCGAAAAGGCCGGAGTTACTGTCCCTAGGTGAGTACTGGAGGGGAATCTGATCTCTAAAAGGGGATAAAAAAAGCTGTTTAGAAAGATGTGCTAATGGCGTTTAGATACTGCTACCACGAGTACGGAATATCCAACCACCCCCGCGCCTTTTTCAGCGATTTCGAGCCCTAACCGTATACATATACAGAAAACTAATGATTGCCGGTAACTGCCGTATGTGCCTGGTCGAGGTTGAGCGGGCACCTAAGCCTGTAGCCTCATGCGCCTGGCCAGTGCAGCCTGGTATGGTTGTCAAGACCAATTCACCTCTTACACACAAGGCCCGCGAGGGTGTCATGGAGTTTCTGCTGGCCAACCACCCCCTCGATTGCCCCATTTGCGACCAAGGTGGTGAATGTGACCTTCAGGATCAATCCATGCGATATGGTGCCGACCGAGGACGATTCCACGAGATTGGGGGCAAGCGAGCAGTCGAGGACAAGAACATTGGACCCCTGATCAAGACCTCGATGAACCGATGCATCCAGTGCACCAGATGTGTCCGATTCGCCAACGATATTGCTGGTGCTCCTGAACTTGGTTCAACTGGCCGCGGTAACGACCTGCAGATTGGCACCTACCTTGAGAAGAACCTGGATACCGAGCTCTCCGGAAACATTATCGACCTCTGCCCCGTTGGTGCCCTGACCTCCAAGCCATATGCTTTCCGAGCTCGTCCCTGGGAGCTGAAGCACACCGAGTCCATCGACGTTCTCGACGGCCTGGGATCAAATATCCGTGTCGACTCTCGCGGTCTGGAAGTTATGCGTGTTATCCCCCGACTCAACGACGATGTCAACGAGGAATGGATCAACGACAAGACTCGATTCGCCTGCGACGGCCTCAAAACCCAGCGACTTACCGTGCCCCTGATCCGAAGAGAAGGAAAGTTCGAGACTGCTGACTGGGAGGAGGCTTTGACCGTAATTGCCAAGGCCTATCAGCAGACTAGCCCCAAGGCCAATGAGTTCAAGGTCATTGCTGGTGCGCTTACTGAAGTAGAGTCCCTCGTCGTGGCCAAGGATATGGCCAACAAGCTCGGATCCGAGAACCTCGCCCTCGATACCCCCACCGGCAGCCAGCCCATTGCTCACGGTGTTGACGTGCGATCCAACTACCTCTTCAACTCCAAGATCTGGGGTATCGAGGACGCTGACTGCATTCTCATCGTCGGAAGCAACCCTCGCCATGAGGCTGCCGTTCTGAACGCTCGTATCCGCAAGCAGTGGATGCGCTCCGATCTTGAGATTGGTGTTGTTGGTGAGACCTGGGATTCCACTTTCGAGTTTGATCACCTGGGTGCCGACCACGCTGCCTTGAAGAAGGCTCTGGCTGGCCCCTTTGGCAAGAAGCTCCAGGCCGCCAAGAAGCCCATGATCATTGTTGGATCTGGTGTCACCGACCACGTTGACGCCAAGGCTTTCTACGAGACCGTTGGTGCCTTTGTCGACCAGAACGCCGCCAACTTCAGAACCGCTGAGTGGGACGGCTACAATGTTCTCCAGAGAGAAGCCTCAAGGGCTGGTGCCTTTGAGGTTGGCTTTGTCACTCCCTCCGCCGAGGTTGCCCAGACCAAGCCCAAGTTTGTCTGGCTCCTCGGTGCCGACGAGATCAACGAGACGGACATCCCCAAGGACGCCTTTGTTGTTTACCAGGGCCACCACGGTGACCGCGGCGCTCAGATTGCTGACATTGTTCTGCCTGGCGCTGCCTACACCGAGAAGGCCGGTACTTACATCAACACTGAGGGACGTGTCCAGATGACCCGTGCCGCTACCTCACTGCCCGGTGCCGCCCGAACTGACTGGAAGATTCTCCGAGCAGCCTCCGAGTTCCTCGGTGCCCCTCTGCCTTACGACGATGTCGCGGCTGTGCGTGACCGCATGGTCGAGATCAGCCCTGCGCTGGCTGCCTACGACGTCGTTGAGCCAGTTGCCCTGAAGCAGCTGAGCAAGGTTCAGCTGGTGGAGCAGAACAAGGGTGCCAAGGCCAGCAACTCTCCTTTGAAGAAGGTTATCGACAACTTCTACTTCACAGACGTCATCTCCAGAAGGTATGTTGCTCTCCGTATACATCCAAACATGACAAGAAACAAATTGATTAACAACGCTAACCCCTTTCATAGCTCACCGACAATGGCTCGCTGCTCAGCGGCCAAGATCACTGGCGACCCCAGGACGAACTTTATGGCTCCTGGAATGGAGGAGGATAGACCCATGGGCCAGGTTGCGTACGGAGCTTAAGATGGGTGTGATGTATTAAAAAAAATTAGAAGAAATTTTCCCTTGCGGTTCCGGAGCGCTATGTCGATATGTACATATATATATAGGACGTTAGGGTTAGATGTTGTTTTTAAATATGTTAACCAAAACCCGGTGGCTGTTATGCTTTCCTTCCTCCCCCCTTTTTTCCTGCGTAGTGGTATCTTTATGCCTCCCCTGCAGCTGTATGACAATATGCTTAGTACACCCCCCATCCATCCCAACGCCACTCTCATTCCTTTCTGGCTCAGTATCTTCTCTCTGTGACGCCACTCTTCTCAGGCTCAGGCTGCACAATGGGCGAGTCAAACCGCACCGTCTTCTTCTTCCCAGCCCTCGCCTCGCCCTCTTTCCCAGGCACACGAAGGCTAGATCGGCGGCGCACCGTCTTCTAGTCGATGTCCATCCTCCCTGCCCCTGCCTCTGCTCCCGCCCCCGCCCCCGCCCCCGCCTCCGCATCCTGAATCTGCTTCTTGATGGCTGTTCTTCTGCTGCGCACATGTCTATCAAAACCAACCAAGTCGCCCGCCGCCGCGGCAATCACCTTCATGACCTCCGCCGCGGCGAATTCGCGCGGTGACCCGACGGGCGCATACGTCACGGCCACGCTCATGTTGGGCACGGGGATGTTTGTCACGCCGTACTTGAGATTGGACACATCCGGGGCGCGCATGTTTGCAATCATGGCGTCGCAGTCGCGGCGCAAAAGGTCCTCGTCGCGGGCGCGCACGTGAGCGCGGGCGGCGGCGTAGTCAAAGGGCGGCATGTTGTTCTTTTCAACCTCGGCGGCGATGTCGGCGCGGACGCGGAACATTTCGCGGTGGAAGAGCGCGTTGAGGTTGTTGCGCACGGAGGACTCGTGGCTGGTGACGAGGTCGAGGGCGGCGCGGTGGTAGGCTGGGGAGTTGGCGTCGAGGTTGAGGGGCTGGAGGAGCTTGTTGGAGTCTGGGATGGGGACGAAGACGGCGGCGGAGATGCTGGTGAGGGGCGGGATGGGGGAGTTGTCGTCGGTGTTGCTATCACCATCGTCTTGGTCGGTGTTGACGCTCATGTCCATGTCCATGTCCATCGTATCGCCGCTATTGCTGCTGCTGCTATTGATGTCGTTGCTGACACTTCCACTCATGCTTTGGCCAGTCATGGAACTGCTTCTTCTACTGCTGCTATCCATGCTGTTGCTGCTGCTACTGCTGCTGGCAAAGTTGTTGTTGTTGTTGTTGGCAAAGTCGCTTTCGCTGATGATTATGACGTCGCTGCCGCTGCTACTGCTCTCTCTGGTGGGTCGGTTGATGCAGTCATCACCGCCATTGGGTTGCCGTTGCTGTTGCTGCTGCTTCTTGATCTGACTAAATATGACTTGTTCTCGTATCAGATCGTCCAACGACGGTAGCTCCGAAGAAGCGGATGAAGAGGGTCGACTTGGTGAAGCTTCGTCCCCGGCCATGTAGGGCAGCTCTATCCGTGCGGCGCCTGTGTAGAGAAAATCGATGCGTATCTTTCCCTCTTAATCGCGAAAATTCAAAGCTTTGGCCGTAAAGTAAATTGACGCAGCAGAGACGCAGATAAAAATTCCCAAGCTGCACAAAAAGAGAGCAGGAAGAAAAAAACATGGGGTACGTAGGTAGGCGCGCGCATGGCGAATGAGAGTGGCAGCCTTGCGGCGCTTCGCCTGACGTTGGAAGCGTGTTGGTCGTGTCCGAATAATGCCCTGCAGCTCATTTTTAGCAGGTACATCTACATGGCGCAGCCGCATATTTACTGCACCATCTGGAAATTTTCATATTACACACAGACAGGGAAAATGCAGATTCCATTGATGGATGGCTCTCCATATACTTTATAAGGGATATCGCGGGCTCAGTTGTTAGTTGATATGTTGGTCGAACTTGCGTGACTCTTCCGGCGGATGCAAATATAGGTGTTCATTGTCAATACTTGAATTCATATTGCTTGAGAATATTTCCGTGTATATTCCGATAGATTGGAGTGTATTTTGTCATGGTCTTGGCTGCTATTTGTGTGTTCGATCCCGGCTACATAGTAAGTAATATATATATAGGTACACAAAAATAGAGAGAGGGAGATGTATAGAGGCAGTCTGTCTAGATGCCATTGCTATGTAATCCACGCTAATCGGTCGCTTATATCTATATTATACGCCCTAGTTCTCTTTATTTTAGCTTTGTTGTTCCGATTTCTCTCCATGAATTGACCGAGTTAGCTGTATTGACAATGGTTGTCATGCGCTCTCATCAACAATGAGTTTGGATGCTAATATCACATCTGATCTACCCTACATTCCACTTTTTTGAAAGAAACAAATATCTAGAAATTATGAAAATGATATGTTCATTGCGTGATCGTATATCTATTAGAAAGAAGTATCTTGTTATTTTACCTCTCCTATATGAATATACGTCGCAGCCAACTATAGCCACCTGGTAAGAGTTCAATACCTCTCTACGCATATCATACATTTTCTTTTCCCTAGCTCTCTGCCAGCCACTCTTTTCTATTTGTATCAATCTCTCCCTTCAATCCTAAATCATTTTTTTTTTTACACTTGAACCAGCCTACACATTTCATCGTAAACCACACTCATCATTTCGTACGGTCCTCTCCAAGCACGACTTAAACGCCAGCCAATCACATCACTCACCCAAAAGTACCGGGGCCGAGGTTTGCCCATCCCGCGCTTCACTCACCTCCACCCACTTCACATGCGAACTAGGACGAATTCAATTGAATGAGAACCATCAACTCACCAGCCCACTTCAAGCGCCTTGACTCTCATTATACCTAGAATATTCTCTTTCAACTTACCCGACGTTCGAGTACTCTTTCAACACGGCATCGTCACTCATAAACGAGGCCCTGTTTTGACATTGCATAAACAGCAACCCCTCATTCGCAACGCAGCACAATGGCAGAGCCCCAGCCACCCTTCCCGGGAGCAGATCGAATCCGCTCATTAACAGACCAAGACTCCATCTTCAGAGCCTTTGACGCCTACCCCTGGACCAAAGACTCTGCGTTTCTGGTAAGCATCTTTTTTTTCTTCTTTCTCTCCGCCAGTAAACTCATCTTGTCCTTCCCAACTTGTAAATAAATACATGCCCAACTCCTTACACACCCACACCCACATACGGCTCATATATCCATCCGCCTCCCACTTACATCCAACCCTTCATCCACCACAGTCCGGCCTCCGCGCCATCCTCGGCGCCCCAAACCCATCCAACCCCCAAAATGGCTCCCTGCGTGACATCGCCACCCACGCCCGCATCTTCTACTACGCCCAGCGCATCGGCGTCCAAATCGACTTCGCCGCCTACCAGACCTGGCTCTCTCAGCACCCAGAATACCCACCTCCGCACATCGTCCCCTCAGAGTACGAACAGCAGCAGTCATCGGAACCGGCATCGGCATCTTCTGCCTCCGCCACAGCATGGCAGCAAGCCGCCCCCAAAGCCGACCTCTACGTCGACCGTAGTGCCCAGTCTCAGGCTTCTGGCGAGGGCGGCGAACCATCGTATCCTCTGGCTTTCGCAGAGATGATCAAGCTTATCCAGGAAGGCAAGCCGATTCCCGGCATCAGACAGATCCCCAACACTATTGAACGAGATCCCGTAAGTTTATTCAATTCCCACACGCCCTTATCTTGCGCCTGAAATGGGTATTTGCTCACGCTGAACCTGTCAGACTGTTAAACCCGTTGGATCTCGTCCCGTGCCCAGAAAACCTTGGGAGAAAGAGGCTACCGCAACCGCTGATACGGGTGCCGAAGGTATTGTGAATGCTCTGGATCTGGAGTTTCCCCCTGTTGAGCATCAGGTAGAAGGAGAAGCAACAGCTGCTGCGACAGGATCTTCATGACACCGCGGCAGACATCTAACGGCGATCATATCAAAGACCTGTCCCGCTCTTTGCATCTGAGAAGCATTATATACTAGACTCGCATTTATTATCCAAGCGTGAGATTTCGTGGCCAACTTGGGCATAATAGTCGCGAGTTTGAATACAACCCGTCTGGCCTGAAAACTTGTCTGTATTAAACGTTCTAATTATTATTCGAAATTACGGCGACTGGTGTAAACATGCATCGTCGCAGTCAAAACAAAAAAGAAAAAAATCCTGTGGTAAAGAGCGTTGCAGCTATTAACATAATAAGTCTTCTTCATAAAAACATTTTCCCCCTTATCTCCATCGCGCAAAACAAAATGCATCTTTCATCAGAGTGATACACCGCCCTTTTATTAAGATTTTCTAACGACCATTGACTTCTTCTCAGGCAATCCAAGATTAGCTCAGTCTCAAATCGCGACAAGATAGGTGGGAGTGGAAGGAAAACGAACCGTTTTAAGTGAATATGCTACTGTGTTTACATGTCGAGATGCAATCTGGGCTCATTTCAAAGAGAGAATGTTGCCGCCACGGTTAGCAGATGTAGTCTCCTGCATATTTCAAAATGCATAACCATAATGTGTCCAATGCACCCAGTCAGGCAGTAGCCAGCTGAGCGTAGGATGACGAGTGATCTTTAAATTGATTGCGTGGGAAAATGTTCATAAGAAGAAATCGACAAATTCTTTATGTGGTCTTGTGTGATCCGAGCGAGAACAACAAGGGGCGGAACTAGATGTGGTAACGAGTCGGCAAGATGCGTTGTAAGTGGAACAAACAATGCTGCGCAGAATCGTCGTAGAGAAGGCTTGCCAGATTGTTAGGTAACGTCTTGCACAATTGGACCTCTGATGTGAATACCGTATCAACGGTAAGTGGCACTGAATCTCGCTGGTCCTGGTCCGATACGGCTACTGCCCATGCCCGGGCCAACGCCTGGGCCTGGACGAGTTGTGACCGCGTGATTGGTACACAGCATGCCAACACGAGATCCAAACTTGGATCCCCTGAGCGAAACCATGTGCTTTCGAATATGGGCAGCTACCATTTCACGATGTTGAGGAGAAGCGTTGTTAAGAATCCACTGGATAAGGTAATTTCCGTATTGGTCACTGGCAATGTCAATTAGGGGGATGCGGGTGCGGTCTTGGCGCCCCTCGCAAACTCGATCAAGGTATCGGCCGAGAAACTCAGTGTTCCCAATCTTGAGGCACTTCTCCACTACTTTGGAGGCAAATTGATCGGTGCTATATTCTGCTGCGTATCTAATGACGTGGTCGACGGCTCGGCTGCGGTCAGGGGGGCCCCCATGTTCGCATATATGTTGGATGCACCAGTTTCCAAATTGGCCGTGAGCCACAATGTCAATATTGGCGAGGACCTCTTCGATACAGGGACGCTATTAAACAAAGTATTAGTCATCGGAATGCCTTGGGAGATGATTCCTAACTTACCTTGTCATCCTCCAAACAGTTTTCAAAAATGTTCTGCACAACGAGACTGCCAGTCTCTCCCAGGGCAACCTCGTGCCACATGCCCCTCAGAGACTCGTTGACGAATTTCATAATCTGAGGGGGAGATTCGCTCCAACGTAACTCGAAGAGCTTTTGCCAAACGTGACACGCATATCTGTGGATCACGGTCTCGGGGATGCGGCGGAGGAGTTCGTGGACCATAATCGCCTTATATTCCTCTGGGACCGAGTCGAACGCCTTCTGGACGACATGGCAACCAAAAGGGTCCATGGAGAGGTTCAGAGTATTGCCTCGAATGGCTTCGGCAATCTTGATCACCTGTTCTGGAGTTCCATGCTCAAAGCAGCGCTGAACAAGAAAATTACCAAATCTGTTGACCATTAAAGGGTATGCCTGGGCCACAATGGCTTCGACGATTTCGTATTTCTGCTCAGGGGTGCCTACTTTAAGCTTTTGCTGCAAAAAGATGGAAGCTTGCTGATCGTTGTTGCAGACTATTTTGTCCACAATGTACTTCCAGTTGCAATTCACATTTCGATCGAGAAGGCGGCGATAGTTAAGAGGCTCTGTTGGCGGGAGATAGGTTGGTCCTTCAGACGCAACAACCTGTTTTTCATCAGCATGCGGTTGGTAGTGATTTATCTCCACCACATTGCTGGGTACCTCATTCTTCCAACTAGCCTTAGAGGTAAACTCTGAGGCGTGCGGAGAAAGAGGAGTACCCATTGCTTGCTGATGGAAAGGAGGATACATGTTCACTCCCATAGGAGGCAGCGCCGGACCAACGTTCACATGAACGCCTGGCACAGGAACTGGAACTGGGTTTCCAATGGGATCGAAATGGTGGGCTGGATTGTTCAGATTGACGAAAGAGCCTCCAAATTGGTGGTTCGCATTCATTCGATTATCGAAACGGGCGCCGCGCCGGTTTGGATGAGGGCGAGGTACGAGGTCATGGTCGGCAGTCTGACGCTCAGCACGATGGCTGTCGATCAACACGTAAGGTTGATTTGGGTCTACGCAGGTATGATTAAATCCTCGCCCTCCGAACCAATGACCGGGTGACGGCTCTGGACCGGGTGGCTGAAGAGGGCCGTTGTTGGCAAACGAGCTCTTGGTAGGTCCCCAGATTCCACGAGCTCGATTCAGTGCAACAGCAGAGGCAGAATCACTGGTATCGGACTGAGTATCGTCCGGCGTGCCTCTGTTCCAAATGTTGTCTCGCGGAGCCGCTTCAACACGAGCAATGGGCACATCGGGCTCCTTGAAAAACCGCGTCTGAGCAAGTTCATGGTCAAGCTTGGAGATATGGTTCCGCGCTTGCGCAAGCTGTAGTTTTAGGCGAAAAACCTCTTCAGCATCTGCACGAGGATCGTCGAGCGTAACGCTAGCTGGTCTTGTGGCTAAAGCCGCAGCAGGGAAATCCTCGGTGGCTGGAGTAATTGGAAGTGAAGTGCTTGAGGAACCCTGATCTAAGACTTTCAAGAAAGGGCCGCCATCTTCGATTTTCAAGGCCTGGTTCTGTTGGCTGTAGGCAACTTGGTGCTCTGATAGTCTAGTAAAGAGCTTCGCCATTGGACAAGAGTCAGTTCTGGAGATGCCACAAAGAATTTTTTGCGTTCTATGGTTATAAAGGAAAATATGGTACACTCACTTTTGGATAGCCCTGGTTCGCCAGCTTCGAGGTAGATAAAGGTGTGATGCCTTTCTCAATCATTGTAGAAGAGGCCGTTGCCATTTCCTGGAACATTCATAGTCAGCGGGAATGAATAGTGATCGTGACGAAGCCGAAAAAAAAAATAGGAACACAGTGGACATGATCATATCATAATTTTGCAGGACATGATGGGGTACCAAACTCACGCAACTGGCTGAAACAGCTGAGGCTCCATCTCCCGCCTGCATCGAAAGATCTCTCTGGGCTGTGTCGGCTGGCAATAGGACCGAAAGCTGAGGAGTAGATCCAGAAGAGCTGGAAGTCGACATTGTATCCGCAGGCAATGCCCAAGAGAGATGGATAAACAGAGGTGCGAATGACGGGAGAGACGACAGCAGATGCAAACGGAATAGAGAAGAGCTCCCGGACACGCACAACTTGTGTGCCAAGGTTGGAGAAGGGAAAGGAAGAAGAAAACGCGTGTAGGATTAGAAACCGTGATTAAGGTGGAGGAGAAATTGGAGAATAAAAATTGAAGAGGTAAATGCTAGCGGTCGCTTATATTTGGAGGTGAAAGAACGGCCGGTTGGGCAGTAGGAGGAAGGAACTGGCAGCCCTTGCCAAACAGGGCCACCGCCTTGGCTGTCACTTACAAAGGCCAAAAAGCAGCCCTGGTTTATAGAGGTACGTTAGCGATGGCTGAAAGTTCCAATAAAGGCTCTGGGGCGGTCAGTACTACTAGTAGTAATTAGGTGGAAATAATAAAGAAGAAATGCTGACACTTGAGACAATTTAAAGTTTTGCTATATAAAAAAACCAGATAGTCCGAAAGGATAGAGGGGATGGGGTTGGTTGGCCAGTGAAGGGCTGAAAGTAAGAGACCCGTGCCCGTTTATCGGATGCTATATGTGCAAGTGTACAAACGGCCAAACGTTTTGCAGCGAGCCACTCATCAGTGAGTCACTACAAGCCTCAAACAAACGCCACAGGGGCTGGTACTATAATCTTTGGTTCTAGTAGTCTTCCGTGCTGCATCGCCATGATAACGTGTGCCGACGATATGGGATTGTTTACGAATACAAACAGTGTCCTGCCCGCGATCTCAAAAGATGATATCTTAGGTCTAAACTCTTGAAATTACTACATACATGTTTGTGGGTACACGCATGAGGACCATTGCACATTTGGCGCAAATATTAGATACCTAGGTAGGTAGTTGTACGCCGTCTCTTCTCCTTTAGAAGGTGTATATTAGGTATACTTCAAACGCAGGCAGCTCTCGCTTCATTCGACGACGACGTAAGTGGGTACAATGTCTCTATTCATACGCTTCTTTTAATATACCTTTTTGGAGTATCGCAGCAAAATCAGATCGACTGATATGAGCTGATAAGATGACTATATCGTACAGCCAGTTTTACATTTTCAAGTAGCAACACAAGATTTTGAGCTGCCATATCCTTCAACGCCTTGTTTTTTTATATAGCCAAACCCCATGATTCATATAACATCCATGTCATGAGAACTGAACATGGCAATGCGGAAATGACCCCTCTCAAGCTAATAATGTAGCTATCATCGCTTCTTTCCGGGAGTGGGAGCTGCGGGTTTGTTAGTTGAAAGGTATTCCAGGTGAGTCTCCCTAAATTAAAAAGGGCTTGTGAATGCGACGTACCAGGAGGACCCGTCTTCTTCTTCGGTGCACTCTTTCCACGCTGCTTGAGCCTGTAGTTGTGGTTTCAGCAAACTGCTCTATTAAATCTTCTTTCCAATGCACCTACTCTTCAATGTACTCGAACCGATCTTCCTCGGCCTCGTCCCATGTGGCAAGCACCGGGCCAAACTCTCGCTTCACGTCCTTGATCGATGCTAGCTTCCGGGGGTAATAAGCGGCGAGCGCAGGGCCTTTTAATCGCTGTCGCAAGATCTTGTTGCCCATGCGAACCCCCTCAGGGTTGAATGTCGTGGCGAAGACTTGGCATTGCGCCTATGAAATATTAGTGGAAGCATGGAGAGAAACAGCGCAAGGAATATTTACCTTCATCAAATCTACTAACCGCGCACGAGGGACACTCATCTTTACATGCTTGATCTCGAATGCTGCGATCGACTTTGGACGTTGAATTGAAGTTTGATGCACACCAGAAAATGATTTGGCTAATCCCTATTGGGACTAGTATCATCGGCGCGCTTCAAGGTAGGCGATTTTCTTCTCGCTCTAAGAATCCCCATCAGCCCACCCTCTCTATCTCTTACATCAAACGCGAAGAATTTCTTATCGTAATATCCTGGATTTTGGCATCATTTTAAAAATGTCTAAACGGCATAATACATCATCAGTAGACAATTGGGCCAAACGTCAACAGATTGACGATTTCCGAAATGATACAGAATTTGTTAACAGCGTCGAGACCACAAGCCAAGCGCTAGCGTTGCTTGCAGAGCAGGCAGATGAGCTGGTTGACTGTCTTCAGTCTTTAAAGCGACAGTTTTCGCAGAGCACAACCCTTACAGACTTCCAAATTGGAAACACAAACTCAAATTTATCACGACTGACCAGGCGGCTACTTCCCTCTTTTCAGATTATTGGGTCTATTGATGAGCCTATCGCCGAGACGGCTAGGCCTCTGGCGAAGAAGACATCCACGGTATGTACTATATTTTTTGAATAAAAACTCATTCGACTAATTATTGGCAAAGGATCCCGTCTTAGGAGCTGCCCAAGGCTCATCAAATATACCAGTGCTGTCTCCTACTAGTGTGACACCGTGGATCTCCTCGGATATATCGCAAGAATGGCCTCCTTTACCCCCAATTCTTGACCCAAAGCTTGCCGAAGAAGCATTTACGCATCCAGGTCTAGGCATGGACTTCAGCTACGAACGCCTAGAATGGCTTGGTGACGCTTACCTTGAGCTGATTGCGAGTTCTCTCATCCATCAGACATTCCCAAAGCTGCGATCTGGGCCTTTATCTCAATTCCGCGAGAGATTGATCCGAAATGTCACTCTTGCCGAATACTTCCGGTATTATGGCATGGAGAGGCGAGCCAAGATTCCAGATCACTTTGATTTAAGCAAGGGGCTCGGAAGGGGTAGATCAAAAGATAAGGATATACTGAAGACGCAAGCCGACATGTTTGAAGCCTACGTCGCGGCTGTTATTCTCTCAGATCCTCAAGAGGGGCTTGTCAAAGTGGTGGAGTGGCTCAAAGCCCTCTGGGGCAGAGCGATCAAAGAAGATGTTGAAAAAGCAGAGGCTGCAAAGCGACGCCGGGAAGCTCAACCAGCGGGGGTGGAGGCAACAGAAAAGAATTCCAAACAGCGGCTGAGTGTCAAAATTGTGACCAAGGGTGTCACCATTGACTACAAAGATCTCCCCGGCGAGAAAAGGGACAAACATTTGAAACTACCTCTTTATACCGTCGGGGCCTATCTAACCGGCTACGGCGAGGTAGGGAGACTACTGGCAGTCGGCACAGCCCTGAGCAAGAAAGAGGCTGGCCAGAAAGCTGCCGAAGCGGCATTGCAGAACAAGCGACTGATACAGGCATACGAGGAAAAGAAGAGGCAATATATACAGGCCAGAGACGACAATACATTTGTCGACAGCCTTTTTTGAATGGCGATTTATGGCTACGGTTCTTGGGCAAAGATGGATGGGCATTGGAGTGCTCCCATATGATGTTGAGGGCCGGAATTGGGATCACAGCACAGGGGCTTGATAGGCCTAATTGTTTAATTGTGGAGGATAGGAACTTTACTTAATAGATGAGCAGCGTTTACATACGCAGTTTGTACTGATAAAACGATAAAAAGCTGAGACACAGCAGTGAATGGCTATTGGCGAAATATCTCGCCATGATCGCCAGCTCGTAACCACCTGTCGCATCATGTGTTTTGGGAGCCTGATCTCCCGATACGTGCGACCTTGGCCTGTACCACTAATGGGTGCGTATTGCAAGCAGGAGAAGATATTTGCTAGTTACCCAGTTAGGCATGGAATCATTGCTTACTTTCGCTCTCTGTTTGTCTTTTTTTGGGCATATTGAACACTAGCGCCATTAAAGTGACTGGAAAAGCTTTTCTGCCACCACCGCAAGATGTTTCTCAGACGCAACAGCAGGAATGCGCATGCAATGCACTGTATCCGTAGCTAATCTGGGGTAAAACCGGGCGTCGAGAGCACTTCAGCTTCGAGGTACCCTTTACTAAGCATACAGGCCATCTTCACGTGTCGCCGCAGGTATCGCATACCCCCACCCGATGACGCTCAGCTTGAGTGCCACACTTGGTCGTTCTCAGCAGCCGAGCCCCCTGGCCGGGAGCGTCGCAAGTCCCACGGCTTAGAGCGCGTGCGCGCCGAGGTTCAATTGGGAGCCGGTCCACGACAAAAACCGAGCCGCCAAAACAGCTGCTATTCCTATGATTGCAATACATAATCGTAATCTTGACATCCGCTACTCCGACTAATCGCCTCCGCCTTGCCTCTGCCGGCCCTCAACCTGCGTCATCTTTCTCAAAGGAAGCGCCTGTCTCTGCGCTGGTCTGTGGTGTCGCATTCAATTCGTCTCGACTCCGTCCCTCGGTCCTTATCGCCAATCGAATAGCCTCTCCAGATCAGCGAATCCAAATACGCAATCGGTGCCTGAGCCCTCCCAACGAGTGCCACCCATTTACCACGAAAAAAAAAAAAAAAAAACCACGGGTCGAAGGAGAAAAGAGGAAGAAGCAGCTTCAATCGCAAGATCATATTTGGTTTCCGACGCTTTCAAGATATTGCATCAATCCCGTTAGGAGCAGCAAGGCTCCCCGTCATAGCCGCCCCCGATGGCGGATTCCGTGGGTGGGTATAATCGCAGTCGCATTCCTTTTCCCCACGATGTGCCCGCAATGGTACATGCTGACCGCCGCCCAATGCTGCAGATCGAGTCTTTGTTCATGCCTTAAACACCGTCAAGAAGATACCCAAGACTGGAGCATCGCGGCCGCCCCCGTCTGAGCGGCTACGGCTCTATGGCCTCTACAAACAGGCCATGGAGGGCGATGTCGACGGCGTGATGGAGATGCCCACGGCTGGGTCAGGGCTGGCCCCGGATGAGCTGCAGAAAGAGCGGGATAAGTGGGATGCATGGAATTCACAAAAGGGACTGACCCGGACCGAGTCCAAGAGACGATATGTCGAGGCGCTGATCGAGACCATGCACAAATACGCAAATACATCGTGAGTACCTCGTCGTAGCCCACTCGCTATGAATCTCCCCACCTTGTTGTACATGCACATGGAAGCTAACTCCTTTAAGCAGAGACGGGAGGGAACTCGTTGCTGAACTAGAGTTTGTCTGGAACCAGATCAAAGACAACGTTGCAAGTTCAGACTCCTCATCAGCCAACCCAAGCGACCCCTCACATGTTTTCCACCAGCCTAGGAGCGGCAGTGACGGGCCGATGAAGATCCTCAGTCCTATGAGCGAGCAAGATATTGAACTGCGATCACGTAGGCAAATTGATGAGGATGACGAAGACGCAGTAGCTAGGGATGAAGAAGAACGCCAGATTAGTCTTCAGAACAGCCGATGGACAAGGAAGATGGAGCGAGCCATCACCAAGCTCACCGCAGAAGTTGCGGCGCTCCGCGAACAAATTGCCACAGGGCGGGAGTGGAAATCGAAAAAGGAGAAGAGCTTCCCTTCTTGGATAAGATGGCTCATATTCGTCGTCATGAAACACCTCTTGATCGACTGCGTCGTTTTGTGCATAATACTTGTCTGGATGCGGAGTCGAAAGGACCGACGGCTCGAAGATATTGTACGAGCGGCATTACGGCTTGTCAGGGAATATGTCAAGAAGATTCTCCCGTCCAGGTGAACAGAAGAGGGACTAACAGCCGACTGTACATAAGCCTTGGTCAAAAGAAAGCGCCCAGGGAGAGCCATCATATTAGATTAATGCGGGCTATAATCCGCCATTTTCCATGCCCCGTCACGAATTGCCATGCACATACTTTTCACGATTCAAGTCAAAATCTATTCATTCAACCTACTACTGAAATAAACACCTCTTGCCTCTGATTATTACTGCTTGGGCTATATAACAAACACTATTTAGACTATAGAGGTCAATATATATCCAAAATCTGGACAACATTATATTTTTGATGCTACATTTCTGCATAGATTTATACGTACTAGTATTTCAAGATACTATATTACTTTGTAAAAACCACATCGCTTGTACTGCTATGCATTGTTTTAATGTGCTAGAGGTAACCATTGTGCCAAGGGCTTGTTAAGCCAGAGCTGGGGTGCGGATTCCTTTAATCTAAGACATTAAACCGTGACCCCCAAATCCCACCTTCCTTTGACCCTTTTGGCTTTCCTGGCTTTCCCTTTCTTACATCATCTTTATTGCTCTCTCCCATCTTCCTTATTCCATGTTTTGTTTCAGTTTTTGCCATTAGAACAGCCAGTCCTCGTTCTTACTCCACGATGGACCCTCTTGATGAGGTCGTTCTCGCGATTCAAGAAGCCTATGACGTGAGCATACTATCACATTAGTACACCTATATGCCTACAGTTTATTTACAAAGCATCTCTAGTCCGAGGTCGTTGGTGAATAGGGCCGCCGTGCGCTCGCAAATCTCCTCGACGTATGTTACCTACGATATCTTCCCCTCTGAATCACATACCTATTAGGCCTAACGCATATCTACATAGTTGTTTGATCGTCAATTTCCTGCCTGCTCTCTACATTTAGGCCGAGTCCATGTGCTGGAACAGGCATTCTGCTCAACTAATAGATCCCATTGGATATGCCATCAATGTGCAAATAAAAAATTGAGCAGCGAAATCATCCTCCCTTGTCAAGACGTTCTTGAAGACTATCAAAATCTGTATCGAGTGGACAGACAGAACCTCATAGATATACCCAGTATGTCGAATCCTATGGCGGCCTCTTTAATTCGTGGTGAATCATATTATGCTAATGAGCTACACAGATCACACTCACGAAAATGAACCCGACATCCAGCACGAAGCGCAAGAGATTGATCTATTGGGAGACATAGGTATCAACGGCCTTGCCCCAGCTCTTATACCATCTCCAAATCCCCATACGCCTAGATCTCTCATCTCGAATGATTCCGCTGCTAGACTTTCTCGAAAGAAAACTATCAGCGCGTGCCGGCATCATTGGATGAAACTCGGCGACACGTTGAAGCCAACTTGCCAACTTTGTGGATATTGGTTTGGTACATTGGTTGGCTGTGTCGGCCACTGTAAGGTTAGGATTTGTCGGGCCTGTCGTTGGGAGAATCGCTTGGCCGCACTTATGGACGATGAATATTAGCTGTCAATGGAATGTAGTATTACCTGCTATGGATAGATGCAAACGGGTTTGAACGAATATAGATGTAAAACGGTGTCTAGACGTTACTTAACAATTGTCATCACCTTTAAGGATATCAATGCTATTCTCTCCAATCTCTCACGGGCATGCTTCGCAATAGAATATGAAGGAAAATCAACAGTTCATTATACTAGTTGAGTTATACAGCTGCTGCGGCACTCTTTCTCGATCCTTTTGCCGGCAGATGTTTTCGTATTGCCTCCTTTAAGTACATGTAAACATTCGCAGGGGTCCAGGGTATTGGCCCGAAATGAGCCTGTTGCTATTTCCAGGCTCATCGAAGCACGCGCCACCTCGGCACATCGCACTGTGGGCATCTCGAAGCTTGGTACAGGTACGTACCTTTTCTCCGCCCTTTTGGGGGACCAACCACGCTGCGGCTGCACCGAATCGGATGCGCTAGGCCCCGTCCCGGCCTAGCCAAGTGCCTCTTCCACCGTGCCAGCTCGCAAGTCGCCATACTTCCCAGTTCCTACACTAGCACTACCAGATTGTCCCGCGGCCTGCCAGCTCCATCCGAGGCAGAAGAGACGGAGATTCGCAACCCCAATACACCAGCCAGCTCCCACAGTCTTGCGCCGCCGTCATCCAGATGCATCGTGCTGCTGTCAGGGCGTTCCGGACAAGTCACCACTCCAGCGTCCGAAACCCAGTGCGGTCCGCTCGCCGCAGCCACCTCCACTTGTTCACAAGCAACGCCCGCCAGCACCACCACAGCTCCGCCAATGAGCCTCTGAGGTCGTCCATGTACGTCCGTCGTCTGCCCGCTGCGCTGGCCTCCGGTCTGATCCTGGGATACGGCGCCTGGTACTACAACGGCGCCGACATTCTGTCCGGGAGCCAGGCTGTCACGCGAGCCTTCACGTCCACGCAGGGAGCGGCCGATGCCGTGCCGACGCGCACCGTCTTGGTTGTCGGAGCCGACGAGCTGACACAGGGAACCATCGTGGGCGAAGGACCCCTCTACAAGAGTGCCACCGAGGACGGCCGTAGGATAGTGGAGATGTTGACGCCGGAGCAGGCCACGGCAAAGCTGCGCAGGCAGGAGGAGTCTTTTTGGGTCAATCGCGGCCAGGGCGTTACGCGCTACGACCTGGTCCAGTTGGGGAGCAATGATCCAATTGAGGACGATCACGCCGAGAAAATTGTCGAGGTGCCGAACCGAGCAGCTACTGAGGAAGAGGAAGTGAGCAGCAGTGACTGGATGTTCTGGGGAGTTTTTGATGGTCACTCGTGAGTAGCATCGGTGCCTTGTTGCTGTCTTACTCTCTTTATTAACATGATATCGTACTTAGGGGCTGGACGACATCTGCCACTTTGCGCGAAAGCCTCATTAGCTACGTTGCTCGAGAGCTAAACAGCACTTACAAGGCCGCCAGCAATAATGCGCCGCCCCCCGAAGCCATTGACTCAGCCATCAAGACCGGCTTCACCCGTCTAGACAACGAGATTGTGCATAAAAGTGTCGAAAAGGTCTTCAAGGCTAGCTCCAAGGCTATGGCTGCCGAGCTTCTGCAACCTGCCTTGTCCGGCTCTTGCGCTTTGCTAACCTTCTACGACAGCAGAAGCGAACTTCTCCGTGTAGCATGCACAGGCGACTCTCGCGCCGTCCTGGGACGTCGAGCAAAATCTGGCAAATGGATAGCTACGGCTCTCTCAGAGGACCAGACGGGAAACAATCCGACTGAAGTAGCTCGCATGAGGATGCAGCACCCGGGTGAAGAGCATGTTATCAGAAACGGCCGTGTCCTAGGTGGATTGGAGCCAACTCGTGCTTTTGGAGATGCAGTCTACAAGTGGAGTCGTGATGTTGCTGGAAGGCTTCGCGAGAACTTTTTCGGCCGAAGCCCCTCCCCTTTACTCAAGACTCCCCCTTACGTTACGGCGGAGCCCGTTGTTACTACGACCAAGATCGAGCCAGAGAATGGCGATTTCGTTGTCCTTGCCACAGACGGACTGTGGGAAATGTTGACAAATGAAGAGGTTGTGGGCCTTGTCGGCCAATGGATCGAGACACAAAAGTCGGGGAAATCAAGCTCGCAGTTTGACAGGGCGTGGTCAAAAGTTTTTGGATCTCAGAACAAACCACTTCCTGTAGAACAGGGCAGAAGTGCCTCCGGTTTTGATGGAAAGACGCCGATCCGCCTCCAGCAGTGGGGAATAGACCCAGATGCAAGAGACCGATTTGTCGTTAGAGACAAGAATGCCGCAACTCATCTTGTTCGCAATGCACTCGGCGGAACCAATGATGAGCAAGTCTGCGCTCTTTTAACTCTGCCGTCACCCTTTTCAAGACGTTATCGGTGAGTAACCTATTCCGTTCATGCTTTCAACTGACTCTTACGCTGACTTGTTGTTGTAGGGATGACTTGACCGTCCAGGTCATCTTCTTTGGCCACGCTGATAAGACAAGCGAAAAGACGGGCGACGTCACAATCAACTTAGATGCTACGACAGACCAAGACCCAAGAGCCAGGCTTTAGATTATGCTTTGCGGTGACGACGACATTATTAGCTGTACAAACTATTTTTTTGTAACGATTCCAATGAACTAGGTTGATTTTTTATTTTTCGATACTCAGTTACAGCAGCGATAGATATTTCATCCAGCAAAGAAGCAGCCAGCGAGCAGATCTCTATATGCTACTCCTTCTTTGCACAAAGAGCTTGCTGCGGCAACATTAGTTGGGGAGAGCGTTGTAAAATGCATGGCGTACGGTTTTAGCGGAGGGTGATACGGGAAGAAAGGGAGGGAGGAATTCGGAAACTTGACGATTTTGCAACATTTTATCTTTATTACGCTGGCGGTCCCAAGTGCGGTGTTGGGGAGTGAGTTGGGCTTTTTTTTTTTTTGGTCTTTGTACACATTTACTGTCTAATTGTTTTATTCTTGATTTGGCGATATGAATAAACGCAAAGTATCATATGGCGAATATTTGATTCATAGCGGACTATTATGGGCTTGTATTTACTTGAAAACGTTTGCCCACTGTTGGAAGATGTCTTTTGACTATCGCGTGCGTATCTCGAGTTGGAATGGCAATCGCTTTGCTGCGATTAGAGGGCAGCATTCATAACCTTTGTTACAATCCAGAAATCCAACGTCCAATACGGTCTGGTGGTCTAGTGGTATGATTCTCGCTTAGGGTAAACCCTACAGCTTGCTTGCGAGAGGTCCCGGGTTCAATCCCCGGCCAGACCCCTTAAATTGCCATTGCGGCAATTCTATTTTTGTTTCAGTCTATCATGTTTTCTGTTAGAAATGCAATCTTCTTCTCTTCTTTTTGTTGTTCATTTCTTTTTGGGTCATATCTGGAGAGAGTATTGTGATGAGCGTGGATAATTGGTAGATTGTCGAATGATTGCGCTTCACTCAACATTAACTAGGCTGTGTATAGAGGGTATCTTTGTCTATCAACAAAGGAGATAAACAAACCGGATAGGATAAGCACAACGCAGGCTTAAGAGTTCGATTTTGGCCAGAGTAGTTTCTTCTGCTTGAGACAGTTGACCATCGTCAAGAAGATGATAATCCATACGATGATGAGAGCAATTGTCATGGCACATCCAAAAAGCTGCAGTCCCCTGTTCTCAAAGATATTTCCCATAATCTCAGTAGCGGTGACCTAAAACGATTGCATCGAGTTGTGAGTAAGAGAGCATGTGTGCGATGAGCTGACAGAGGATTATTACAAGAGAAAAGAAAACAGAGAAACCTACAAGAGCCGTGTTTGGAAATACAAATGACCACCAGGTCATTTGGAATGGCATGCCCTTCCGCGCTCGCAAGTACTTCCATAGTGACCCGACAGATACCAGGAAGAACCACATGGATAGGCCCCAGAGCCAAAGGGCAACGAGCAAAGCAATGATTTTTACAATTTCGACGCCATGTTCTGTGCCGAGGAAATTCGAGGGAAGGATCACATTGGCTTCGCTACCAAGCTGTGCTTTAAAAAGAGTCAGAATGAATTGGGCTTTTGATCTGAGAAGGCGTTTTAACCAACCAATTGATCCCGCGGTGAAAGCATATGGCCCGATAGAAATGAACTTTTAGACACTCAGTATCATAGCTGGATTAAAAAAAGAAAGCCCGTAATGCTAAAACTTACAACACCAGGTCGCTGAAAGTCCCTAGGCAGTTTCTGTGTCATCAATCGATATATGAAGGCGGCAGATATCATGAGAGAAATTAAGCAGCCCGTGCCCTGGGTGGAAACTGCCGAGAAGGCAATAGCGGGAGCATATAGTACGTCAATATGACCAGTGTCGGAAGCTGCTGAGATGAGATTGCTGGCAAACGGTGCCGTGAGCATAAGAGGGTATGCGGGAAATACCCAAGTAGGAGTCATCATGTGAATCGGAAATATTCTGTTGATACAAATAAGACAAAATGTTCCAAAGGTGTGGCAAAGGAAGAAATCTTACAGTGTTGACCAGAGAATGAGATATAACCCGGCACTAGCAATGGCGCTCAGCCCAGTGTATATCCAGAATAGGACTTGCAATGTCTTAATGAGCCAGACGCCACAATGTGGAACGCCATATTGGCAGATGTTGGTAAGGATGACTGCAATGCTAGAAAGTGTAAGCGATATTAGATCCAATTGAACAGCGACAGAAAGTGAGACTGCTTACGAGACGAACTATAAGGAAGCATATATATTAGCTCCTAGCACGCTACAGTACACGGTGAGTGTAGACCCGATTGACTTACAAAAGCAGGAATGAATAAGGACTCAACTTGATCCGTAAAGGACTTGGTGAGACTTCCAGGCCGCAGATAAAACCGCATGGACAGAAAGACACAGTTGGTAAGGAAAAGCACAATGTTGAGCAGGCAGAAGAAGATGCCAAACCCAGTCACCCACTCCGGCCTGTAAACCACTTGTATCAGGTCAGTCATACGCTGCATACATGTAGGTATAAGGGAGATGAGCACTATCCATACATCCATGAAGTACACTAGCCACTCCTCCGGTAGCCATTGTCTGTGAAAATAATAATAATGAGCCGCTGATCCAAAGATGATGATTAATTCGCCGCTCATACCATGGTGAAGAAAGTCCATTGATAGCAGGCAATGCGGTCCCGCAGACCGACTCGGCGAGGCAAAGCTTGATTCTCTTTGTCTTGTATGACGGTGTCAAGATTTGGAGGGGTGTGTGAAGGCTGAGTTGCGCCGAGGTTTATATCTCGACCTGCAGGATAGGGACCAAGAGGTGGGCGCCGAGGGCCCTGAGCAAGAAAGGCCGCTGTAAGGTTTGGGGCCGAGAATGATATCCTGGCGGGCGTGTTAGTCCCCGACGCCGTGGGAGTCGAGCCAAAGAAGAAGGACGGCTGATTGTCTTCAGTGGGCGACTCGTAGCCATCGGCTACCACGGCACGACGCTGAGAGGCGGCCATGGCGGGGGATCGAGGTTGTCGTGACGGCGGTTGCCCAGCGTGGACAGCAGATGGATCATCAGGATCTGGCTGGGCTCAGCTTGCGCAAGGGCGAGGTGCACATAAATGAGGTGAATCAGGAACACGACATTGTCCAGGAACAGCGACCCCAGATTGGCCAGAGGCATCGCGGGCGAATGGCATGCAGCTAGGAGGACTGGAGCTGGAGCTGGCGGGAATAGCGGCGGGAGCAGTGGCGGTAAAACTGCCTGGCGTGGAGCGGTTAAGGCCGTCAGCGGGTGATTCCTCATACACTCCACTGGGGCTGGCGGATGCGACAGAAGGTTTTTTTCTTCGGTGCTGCCTTCTGTTGCTTCTTCTTTGCGTCACTGAACGGTCTAGGGCTCGTGGCTGGGCGTGGAGAGTGATCCAGTCGAGCACTGCCTTTTTCTGTCTTAAGGTGATTCTAGTAGATCCTGATATGCGCGGTCTGTGCTGCGACTTGAGTCGGAGTAGCGATGTAAAACGACTCAATGGTCTGAGGCGTGCTCTCTAGCTTGGGTGCCAGTTGGATGCGATTAGACGGTGTTTGCCGACGATAGGATAATCTGATTAATGAACATGCTTTGCTACTGGAGATCAATCAAGACTGTAAGCGCGAAAAGACTCACGGTAAACGGGTTGCATGTAAATAGGACTCGGACCATGCGATAGTTCGGCGCGAAATTCACAGTACAAACTACGAAATAGTTACTGTACGAGAATCCTAGAAAGTGGAGCCAGGAAGCGAGCTATGAAGGAGCAAGCAGCCTATCAGCCCGTAATTAGGATACGTAAAAGGTAATGTTCCTTGACCCGTCGCACTGTGCTTGAATAGAGCTATTGAGCCATTTCACCATGAGCTTTGAAGCTGTACAACGAAAGAGAGAAAGAAGTTATACAGACAAGGCTAGCATCTAGTTTCATGCTACCAATTGTTGCAGAATTTACTTTTTTGAGCTCCGACTTGTCTCTACACGCTCTCCGGACCATGCTTCGCAATACCTACTGCTTCCTTGCGTAAGCTGCGCTGTCCACGTGATCGCGAAAGTGACACCTTTAGCTGCTTGCCGTCACTGCTCAAGCTGTCGCATCAAACTTCATCTGCTTCGATCTCAAGTCCACGAGGCTGCGCCTTTGGACGATAACTCCTCACTGGTAATGCGTCATCCCTGGGCAGAATCAACCTGATTGCACCTGCCAAAATCGAAATCATCGGGCAATCCCCTCCTCTATAGCCGCCTCTTCCCTTACCATCGACGGGGCACATGCGCAGCAAGCTATCCGCTCTCGAACTTGTATATACGGGCCATACCGCTTTCACAAGTCTTCCAGCATGAAATTCTAAGACACACAAAAGGAAAAGTACAGACGACAAAACAGATCATGACGTTCACCAACGCCCCGGTGACTAGACTGACCGTCTTGGGTCTGGTCTCCATCTCGATAGCCGCCAGTCTCTTCGATGCGAAACAATATTTCTACATCCTCATAGATACCCACCTTTTCCGGTATCGGCAATTCTGGCGGCTTCTTTCCTACCAGCTATGCTATATGAATTCAACGGAAGTATTATTTGCGGCTATATCGCTGTACAATCTCAGGGTCGTTGAGCGGATGTGGGGATCGAGGAAATATGCCGTAAGTGGCCTCTACCGTTGGAGCTGGTATGATGATGCAGACTGCTAACAAACATGACCCTACAGTCATTTATTGTCCTTTCATCACTGTTCACGGCCCTATTTCCGCCTCTCATTCTTACTATCCTTCGACCTATAGCACCGAGTTTGTTCAACTACATGCCGGCGGGCCCGACGGCAATCATATTTGCGGTCTTGGCCCAGTTTCACTCCATAGTCCCTCAGATGTATAAGTACCGGATTGCATTATCCCAAGCGCCGCCAACAAACGAGCGATTTTCCGGTGTAACCTTATCAGACAAATCTTACCAGTACTACATCGCCTTTCATCTAGCCTTACTGCAGTGGCCAGGCTCTGTTCTCGGAGCCATGGCTGGCTGGATTCTGGGGTATTCTTGGAGAGTGGGATTCCTGCCCACGTCCTTTACATCATGGAGGCTACCAGGATGGATTGTAGGCTCAGGCTCCTACAGGAGAAGTGCAGAGTTTGAAGGGCTACGGCGAAGATTGGAGGGAGAGAATCCAGCAACAGGAGTGTCAACCGGCGTTCAAAACCAAAACGAAGGCCAGACTGACCGACGGCGTACCATGGGCCAACAAATCATGGACCAATTCCGAGAAGCGTTATAGAAAACCAGCATAACACCGTGTAGTAGTACATATTTCGATACAATGACGAATTCATAATACAATAAATTACACTGCTCGAAATATTCCAATGTCAGAGACTGGTCATGATTGGTCTGTGTGCAATGACATCAATTGGCCTGTTTCGAATGATGCTAGCGTCCAACGTCACATGTGAAGAGTTTGCGTTTTCGATTACCGTATGAGCGCGCTAGATTGTTTCCTTTTTCAATGAAACATTTCCGCTGCTTTCAGCGTACGTAACGGAGCCCTAGGATCATCTAATGAAAGTGGATAGGCCATTTCGGGGATCTCGCAACGTGGGAAATTAATTGTACCCGCAGCTCCAGACTGACATATGATGATGGGCCTGGAGCACCCGGCCCCAGACGCCTAGTCCGTGAGCGCAAGAAGGCGCCAATTCAAGCTGCAGGGCAATTTTTATCAGTCAGATAGACCATGAGCCTTTTTTTTCTTTCTAAACCAAGGCAGATGTGTGGAAATGAAGAGGATCTGTGGCTGCATAGAGCTGAAAAGCAGCACAAGAGAAAGCCTCAATGTTACGAGCGCAAACCGATAGCTCGGCAGCCGGAGCCACAGGCCTTTCTCCATCCGGGCTAGCGGCGGGATGGCAAAAGGTCGAGCTTTCAGGGGTAAAAGCGCCTCTTAACATCATCTCGGCCCCAGTGCACGCTCCCCGGGCTGGCGACACGGCCAATGATGGATGCGAGGAGGCTTTTTCCCTTGCATGCGCCGTGCATAGGCTGAGGGGCTAGATTCAGTGGCTGCAGCTCCCCTCCAAATCCTCCCCCTCCAGGGCAGCAGAAGCGCTGTGGCACCCGCTCGGCGCTGGACCTTCAGCGGTGCCGGGGCCCTCCAAATAAGGCACCTTGCGCCTGTGCCTGGCATCTGGCATCCCTCGTCCGCCGTAATCTGCGATTGGGCCCTGTCAGGTCAGAGCAGAGCAGAGCAGAGCAGAGCAGCCACCAGCTCCTTTCCTTTTCTTTTTGCCCCCCCTCTCAATCTGCGAAACCAACAACCTCCAACCTCCAACTGTCGTTTGGCTTAGGCTAATCACGGCTGTCCCGTCGTTTAGGACGCTGCCGCTGCGCAAGTGTGTCTTGGCTTCTTTTTTTGGTCTCAGTTTCGTTTGCTTTTTGGGTTTGGCTTTAGACTTGGTTTTTGCCCTCGTCGCTCCAAGTGCGTCTTTGCGCCAGCTACGTATCCTTGCTTGACGACGAAAGTCTCGACACTCGCTTCTCACGATATTGAACACGGCTTCGGCGACGCCTTGCTATTCGCTCCCTGGTCCTATATCGAACTGCACGACTCAATAATAGCATATCTCGAGCTTCGAAATCTACCATCTAATGTGCTAATACGAACAAACGCGTGACGAATACGGACACCCACCATGAACGGATATCAGACGGAGCGAAGCTCCTACGAGGACGAAATTTCAAACATATCTACGCCAATTTCAAGCCACGGCGATCACGCTATGGAAGCGGCATTTGAGAAGGACGGGCCCAATGGATATGGCAACATTGCCACTCCGGAAGAACCAGTAGGTCATGCGCTGGCCACATCAACAAGCTTGAACTTGGTATTGACGCGTCCCAGATGGATCCCAGCAATGCGCCGAATGGATCGCTCGCCGATCTAAAAGATCCGATACAAGTACATCTGCTCACCGAAACTGCGCTTTACGACAGCAAACAATATGAAATCCTATCTCAAGAGGAGGTTGATAGGCTGAAGAAACAGTGTCAGTTATTAGAGCAACGGATAGAACCCACAAGAGCCAATTTGGCTATCCAATCGAAATATCGAGATGCGGCGGTATCGATGGCCAAGCTTTACGCCGCCGGAAAATCTGAAGAAGAGCTTCTGAACGATCCTAGAGCCAAAGAGGTGGAGCTAGAGAGAGAGGCAACCGAGAAGACATGCGAGGAATTGTCGCGCGAACTTTTCAATCTCGAGAAGAGTCTCTTGGGGCCTCAGAGACGTCTGCTTCAACACACAGCTGGTATCCTCCAGCTCACTCACAAGGCATCCAAGAGAGCTGCGGCACGAGCTTTGCAAAACGATAACGGCATTCCTGGTAGCCCGGAAAGCTTATACACCTACTCTCAAGGCCGAGATAGCATAGCGCGTGCCATGGAAGAGAATTATTTCGAAGATCCAAACCTCTACCAGCTTGATTTCGTCGAGGGACTGCAGCCTGGACATCTAAAATCGGCAATCGATATACCCCTCAAGTCTCCTGTTCGAGAACAAGCTTCCCAGATTCGAGGCGAGCTTGATAAGGCTCGAGAGGAAAACTCATTGCTAGTCAATCTCGTGGCCGACATGGAGCAAAAGCTGGAAAGCCTAAGTCTTTCGCTTCGGGAAACCATTATCAAATTCAACCCTGAAGTGAACGGTGACTACCTGGAGCCTCCCCGGGAACCAGGCACTGGTGAAATGAAGCCCGGCGACATGCTGAGAAAGCAAATTGACTACCTGGAAAGTGGGCTTGTTGCCGTACAAGCAGAGCAAGAGTCGTTTGTTAGCAGTGGTGGCAATAACGGTGGTATGTACCAGCTAGACGACGGCGCCGCCGAACGTATCGAGTCTGTCTTGGTCGGGCTCTGGGATAAGATGCAGTCGGGCTTTGCTGAAAAGAAGCAACGAAACGAAGAACGCCGGAAACATCGCGCAGACAAAGGATTGATGGTGGATGACGATGACACGTCCGACGACGATGCATTTGATGCGGATGAGACTTACAACCTAATCGCCTTCTCTTCCAAGGTCGAATGGCTTTACTCTCAGGCTTCGACGCTGAAGGACCAGAAGTCCGTGTTGAAGAGACAGATCAAACAGCAGCGTGAACTCAACAACAAAACCGACGCTGAAAAGGACGAGGAGCTTGAACGAAGACAAGACGAGCTGGATCAGACTCGCTTCCTACTCGAGCGAGCAGAAAAGGATGCTTCTGATGCCCAAAACATGCTGGCAGATGCCTTGCAAGACCTCGAAAAGGCGCAGTCATCATCTTCTGGTATCTCTGAAGAAGAGCTTCGTACGCACGCTCTCAAGATAGAATCTCTAGAAGCTGAGATGGCCACACGAAGCGCAAAAATTCAATCTTTCGAATCCGAAATACAAGCACGAGACGCCAGACTAGAGGCCCTGACTGCTGAACTCGAGACAGGAAATGGAACGTCAGGTGCCCTAAGAAATGAAATTCAGGCGCACCAGGCTCGGGTCGAATCTCTGGAGGCTGAAATCCAGGAACGTAGCGATCGTATTGCATCCCTTGAGGCTGAGATTCATACGCACAGCACTCGGGCAGAGTCTCTCGAAGCCGAAGCCCTCGCGACCGGTGTCCGACTTGAGTCACTGGAGTCAGAAATCCAAGCACGCAGTGCTCACATCGAAACTCTTGAAAATAAGATCAAGGGTCACGACACAAATATTGGATCCCTTGAGGCAGAAATTCAATCACGAGATGCACAAATCAAATCTTTGGGCTCGGAGGTCCAGGCGCATACTGAAAGAAGCGGGTCATTTGAGGCTCAGATTGCTACGTTAGAATCCGAGAAGAAGAAATTCGCCGAGCTAAGCTCTCAGCTGGATGGAGTTTCCAAAGAGAAGCTGGCGGCCGAAGAAATGGCAAAGGCTCTGCAACAAGAGATGGACGATATGAAGGCACACCACGCAAACAAGGAGAATGAGATGGCTCAGAAGGATGCCGATCTGGAGCAGCTGAATATGGCACTAGTGGAAATCAAGACCGAGCTCACATTTGCTAGAGCAGAGCTAGACGGCGCGTATGGATCTCGCGCTGAGCGTGCGGCAGATGCGGCAGCCCTATCGAACCAAAATGAGATTGTCAGGCTTACAGGCCAAGTCGAGAGGCTCAAGCAGGAGCTAGCAGGCACTGTGCAAGATCTAGAGGCGATAACCAAGGAGACGATTGGATCTGAACGCGAGAAGATTGATCTTGAGCAAAAGGTCGACGAGGCAATCACAGCAAAGGCCAGCTTAGAGGCAGATCTGGAGAAATCCAGACACTTGATCGCGAAGCTGCAAGAAGATCTGGATAGTGAACGATTCAAAGTCGGCGTGGCACAGGGAGGTGTGACAAAGGTCGGCGCTGGTGCGGCCCTACTCAGTGAACAGTTTAGGTCGTCGATGAGAGAGGAGCGGAAGAGATTCCACGAGGACATAAAGGTACGTACACACAAAGAGCTCATGAGGATACTTTTCTCTCGTTGTAAGATGCAATCAACTAACGTGTTATACAGGAGGAACGCGCCAAGTACCGAAAACTGGAAGAAGAGTTGAGCCGACTGAAAAAGAGCCAAGCAGTGCCCAAAGGTCCTCCAAGTCCACAGTAATAATCCATCAAGACCAACCTTGGTCCTATGACGACGCCCTTTCCCTCCACCATCTTGTCATTTTTATACACGCATCTTATGCCTCGTTCTTCAAAGCGTCTCTTGCTATTCCGATTTTTTGGCCTATTTCATCTTTTAATCTTCTTGTATATGATACCAACTCGTTGGGTATTCGTTGGCTTTGGTTTGGTCCTTTGCTCTACGGAGAAGGCGATGGCCGCCCTTGATGCTTTTAATCAGCCTCTGGGTTGAGTATCCGGGGCTATACTAGCACTCGAAGGTCATATGAGTCTCCTTCTCTTGCCTCACGGTCTCGGTTCCCGAAGGACCTCAACTACTACAGCCATTGTTTCTGGTTTTATATGTTGTCTTAGGATAGATTTGTTCATCGCATACATGGCCTGTGATTTGTCGGATTGTTTTTCTGGATAACGATTATATTTGAAAAAAAGAAAGGGTAGTTGGATGAAATAACTAGACTAAGTGTTTACTCAATAATAAAGAAGGAAAAGTTAGAACTGTTCTTGACGGAAGAGATGAGTGTTGATTTGATGAGGCGATTTATATAAATATCCTAACTTGGGCTCGCGTATCTCCTGCTTTTTCTACCAAAACAAATAATCAAAAAAAAAAAAAAAAAATAATAATAATAAAATTAAAAAAAAAAAAAAAAAAAAAAAAAATGAGTGCATTCATTCAATGATACAAAGCCACGCTACCATTTTTGTTTTATCCACATCATGTATCTTTTCTTTTGTCTACATTGGGAAACGACCTAACACGCTATTGGTGAAAGGGGGAAAAAAGAAAGACCCAGCTAAGAAAATAAACGAAAAAGGCTACCTTACTTATTAACCTTCCTCTCTCTCCTGATAAGGAAAGGAATCAACAGGTTGTAAGGTATTTATTACTTTTAGAAGTGTGAGTTGCCTAAAAGCGCCCTCTCTGTCCTAGATAGGCAGGGCACCAAAGTTGCATTTGCCTGTTATAGCGGATCGAGGGGCAGTATCTACAGTGTTTAATTAATGGAGATGCTTTGAGGAGAAATGTATGAATCACGTGTATTTTACCACAGCCAATCATCTTGGCGCATGAAAAATCTAGTTACTTTGTTACATGCTCGCAAAAACTCTCTGAAAGATTATATGTTGGCCAGGGATCGATCGTTGTCAATACCCGAGGAGCTTGCTAATAGATGAGTTAGTACAACTTTTTGAACAATATGAGTGTACTATATGGACAGTCAAGGCTCATATATAACTGGCAATACAAGAAATATCGTTTAGCACCCTCTTTGATAGAGAAGATTTATAATGCGATTCATACTCCATTGCCGTGCATAGGTAGGTAGGTGTATATCTGCTGTTCCATCGTGATTAATTAGTAAGATTCTAGGAGAAAAGTCACAGAAGAATGGTCAAAGGTGTTCAGTATGCAAAAAAGAGTATCATATGATCTAGTATTTCAGAAACTACTAATCTAACACTTTCATTGTTCGGTCTTTGTATTAAAGTTTATCCCCATATATCAGAACAAGTCTTTTCTTCCTTCGATTCTTTCTCTTCTTCTTCGGTCTTTGTTATTCCTCTCTCACATTCTATGAGGAGTTTCCACCGCTCTATTTAAAAAAAAGAAACAACAGGTGTAAAAAATTCTCTAGTAGATTGCCAGCAAAAAAAAAAAAAAAAAAAAAAAAAAAAAAAAAAAAGCAAAACATTCCAACCTTCTTCCAAAAGGAATAGTATATAGATGAAATAAAATCATAATCTTGTGATTTGAATAGACGAAACATAAAAATCAGCCTCTTTGGTATCGAGCGAAAAACATAAAAAGTAAATAGTATAAAAATTTCAAAACCATATGCCCCTTTCCTCTCCGAAATTCCAAGAAACGCCATTTCGTAAGTATAAAAGAGTTGAAATCGATCCAAAGTGAGGAGGATTAAAGATGGCGAAGTAGATGCAAAAAGATTAAGTAGTGAGTTAAATGGAGTAAAGAGGTAGTGTAGTCGGTCTATAGTGTAGAAGATAAATGTCGAAAGGTCTTTTAATGCAAAAGAGGTTAGCCGGAGAGAAAGTTTTGCAGAAAACATATTGCTCCATCAGGCTATAAAATACTGTAGTGTATGCGTCGAGGAAAAAAGAGGTTTGGAATTAGATTTGCATCGAGTCATCATCAACCGACATTTGGTCGTCGTCGGCATACGCGAGCTGAGACCAGACGCGCCAGTGCAAAACGCCGAGGTGTGCCATTCTGGTAGCAATATCATCCACGCTTGCATCGTCAAAGGCCTCTCGTGAACCGCCATCAGTATCCCGGTCCGCCGTGGCGGGTCGACGGCTGGGGACTCGAACGCCAGTTGCAACTGAAAACAGGGCAACACCAGAGAGGCCCTTGAATTCGCGGACTCGAGCGCCAAGATCGGCCATCAAGCGGGTAAGGAAGCTCTCTTCAGCATCGCGGTAGTAAGGGGAGTCGATATCGCTGAGGGCAGAAGCCAGCTTGGCCTCCAAATGAGGCAGAGTGGTGGACGGCAGGTTGACAAAGCGGAAGATTTGCAGTGCCATTGACGGAGCCATCATCTGCCATCGTGTAGAGGGCTGGCTTGCCTGCGGGGAAGTCTGCAGCAGCGCAACGAGTGTCTGGAATAGCTCACGAGCCTTGGTCTGAGAGTCGCGCTTGGGGGCGACATAGGAAGGGACCACAAAGGAAGATCTGGGTGATGAGGAGGCAGATCCTGCCACGCTGTGGACGACGCTTGACGGCCTGGAGATGGACGGAGGAGTGTTGAAGTCAAATCTGTCCAAGATGTCATCCACCTGAGAAGAGCAGTCAGATGATGGGGCTGCTGGGGTGCGGCGTCCTATCCTCTCAAAGTCTTCATAGACACGCATGCACACCTCCAGGTTGATGGCGTCCAGCACGTCGGCTCTAAGCTTCATCAGTCGCTCCTCGTCAAAGGTAAAGGTTGTAGGCAGTCGTTCCTCCCAGGCCGAGGGCAGCATGAGTCTTGACAAGCCCTCGAAAAATACACCCATATCCCCAAACGATTGTGTAGGGTGCATCCGGCTGTCGGCGTAGGCCTGCTCCGCCTCCTTATACCACTGTCTTGACATGCTAATGTCAGTCTTGCCCGACTCCATCCTCTTGAGGAAAAACTTCTGCTCAAAGTGGATTGTATCCTCGATCAATGCAGGTCGCAGGCAGCGAATCTGGTGGTTGGCGACGTCCAGTTTCATGGCTTCTAGGACGTTCAGCAGGCTTCGCATTCCAGTGACGAGCTCGTCGAGGTCCATGTTCTTGTTTCCATTGCTCAGTTGGTTGTACATGGCATCAACCCACTCATCGCGCATGGGAGCGCAGTGTGACTTCAAGACGTTCGACAGCCACTGGGCAAGCTTCTCAAGGTCGGCAACGCCCTTGTGGAATTGTCGCATGAGTAACTTGACGTCCAGACCCTCGTCCAGGAAGAGGCGGTCTCGCTGGGGAACAAGTGTCTGAATGATGTCCTTGACCGCATTGAGCAAGATGGGCAGAGTCCAGTCATCTTTCTCGCCGTGCTTGTAAATGAATGTAGGTCTGTCCATGAGGAACTCTGATAGCTCCTGCTTCAGCGCCCTCCAAAACTGATTTGCCTTTTCATGTTTTCTCCGGCCCTTTTCACCGTCGATGTTGGGGCGGAAATGGAGCTCAGGGTCGAAGTTGATATCGTGACGAAGCTTGGGGTTGTGAATGATCTTGGCGACATCGAGCTCGCTCAATGTGCCTTTTGTGACTGGTGGCTCAAGACGCTGTGTGTGGTGGGATGGAAGAGTGGGCTCTGGGGTGGGAGAGGATGAGACGACTCCCACAGAAATGGCAGAGTCGGACGAAGGATTGCGGGTTAGAGGGGCAGATTGAGGCGCCGAGGCACGAGGCTCGGCCTCACGTCGAGGCGAGACTTGTGATGACTGTGTAATCTCCTGCGCCGCTTCCTCTTGAGTTGGTGCAGGCACCTCGGATTCCTTTATGGGCTCTGCCTCGGGGTTGGTCGGGCAGGGGGCCGAAGTAGAGAGCTGTCTCCGGGATCGCTCTATCGATCCTCCAGTTTCTTGTTCCGGTACCATCTTGGCGATAATAAAAAACGAAGTCTAGCTGTTGGAGGAAAAAAGAAGTATCACTTCTGTAGTCGACTAGAAAAAGAATTGCTGTATCTTATATGTTCGTCAATGCTCGGCAAATGGTCTGGTCTCCGTTGCTGCAAGTATCAGCGTAGTGTGGATGAAGCCGCTGCTTGTTCGGTAGCTTCGCCCGATAAGGTAAGAGGACAATGAATGAATGTATGCCTCCGACTGTATAAAGCTGATGGTTAGCCTTCTTATTTTTTAAACCTGTGCAATGTGTACGCAGAGCATCTAAAAAAAGGGTGTAACCGATCCAATGGAATGAAGCGGCTAGCAGCAGATATAGCCGGCTGCTCGAGGTTACCAGAGCCCCCGGCCCTATGTGAGTCGAACAAGTTCACAAAGAAAGAAGAGATATCCCCTTTCAATCTGTGGGGCGTCGTTCAAGTCCAGGTGCCGGAGATGGTAATAGCCAAGAGTTGGGACCGGGCGTTGCTTTGTTGGTGTGGATTGGTGTGTATACGTACTTTGGTGTATAAGTCGGGGTGGGCTCTGCGGTCCAAGGCCTCTCCGATTCCTTTATTCCTGATTCTTTGATTCTAATATTGGTCGATCCAGCTCCGTTCCAAAACAGTCTGTTCGGAAGCAGTTCTCGCTAACAAGACACGATCGTACGGCTAAAAGAGCACAATGGCGGAAGGTAGCCAAGGTGAAGCAAGCACGCCAAGTGAAGGATAGGTGTAAGCACCACAAAAAGAGAGGTGAGTAGTGGAAGATGGGAAAGGATGAGAAGATGAGAAGAAGATGGGACGGGGGGGAGAAGAGAGTAGAAAAGAGAAAGAAAAAGAAAGACGAGAAAAAGCAGGACAATTAGTCAAGTTGAAGTAGGAGGCGTCTGGCTAGTGGAAAAGGAAAGCCATCCTGCAAAAAGAAAGGAAAAAAGGAGCGGAAAGACGGGACCCTGGGAAACGGAGATGGCACGAGATGGCAGGGCCATCTACATGTACAAGCATCCCAGGATCCGGAGGTATGGGGGAGACTGGTACCGGTACCTGGCCACCAGGTCACCCAGCACCGGCGCATGCAAGCCCGAGAGACCTCCTGAAGGGCTAGCGCTCCAGCGAGGGAGGACTGCAATCTTAGGTGTGCCTGAAGTAGCGGTACCGCGGGCCCGGCGGTGGGCGCCCAAACGCTGGCGCTGCAGTGCGTGGCGATGCGGTCGAGGGGCCGGGGACAGCGAGGTAGCGGGTACCCGCGCCAGCACGCAGCGCTGCAGCCAGGGCGCTGGCGGTAGGGCCCATGGCGCTGATCCAGCAGCGAGCAACAAGCCGCTGGAAGGACGAGGTAGCCCCGTGCATATACGGGCAGCAGGTACTGGTACAAGGGACTCTCCGGTGCAGGGCCGAGGGAGGGTTGGAGGGAGCAACAGGCGCGAGAACGCCCTCGAATGCTCTGCGGTGATTGACTGAGCACACCACTAGCGGTCGTGGGTACTTTGCTTTAGGTGCAGTTGTAGTTGCAGATGTGGTAGCGAGGGAGGTACACGGGGGTGGTGGTGGTGGTGGCGGTACGTCTTAGGCCTCATCCACGACGCCAAAAGGAAAAAAAATCAGAGCACAAGTGCCATGAGGAAGCCCAAGGATGAATGGATGTGGTGGGTACAGATGGCGGCACCATCGCCAGGCAGGGCGCTCAAGGCGCTATCGGCGCTGTCGCAATCCAATCTGACCACGCATCGGCTGGGACTCTTGGGACGAGGCCAAAGCCAGCAACACCATGGCGCTGGGGCTTCCGGCTGGAGGGGGGGGGGCAACATACTGTGCTCGCTGATTAACCACCCCAAGCCACCCAAAAAAGAAAAGGAAAAAAGCAGGGGGGGATGACAGAGTTGGAGAAGGTCATGGTACTTACACGCCTCGTGCAGCACTGGCTTCAGGCCACTAACTGTAGTAGCCAGGTCTAATTCGAAGATGGCGTGGGGGAAAGACGGAGGCCCTTTTGGGACATCACACTGTGTGGCCTCGCGGCTGCTGGCATGCTCACGCTCACACCTTGGCTGTGGATACACCGTAACTTTGCCTTCTGCTCGCCGTAGCGACCAACCCTTGCATTGGCCTCTGCTGCGAGCCAGACACACAAAGGGCGGAGAGCAGAGTCAAGGGGAGAGTCATGACTAAGGAGATGGAAGGCGTTTGGAAGGGAGGCCGGTGGCCAATGGCGGCACAAAAGGCGAGGAAAACGACAGTGTGAAACGGCCGAGGGGAGATTTCCCGTCGAGTCTCTGCAGCATCTCGTCCGTCGTATGTTTTATCTCATCACCGTCGTATTATGCCCGCCCATTAGTCGTCTTCGCCGTGCCACGTCTGTTCAATGCCCTGCAGCTAGGCATCAGATGCCATCTCCGGCCGAGAAGGGGGAGGGCCACACGCACCACGACTCGGCTGGTCTCTCGTTGTCCAAGAGGATCAACTCTGCTCTGCAAGCACGGCGCGAGTCCACATACACAGACGAGTGGTGGTAAGTGTATGTAGGACGTATTCAGCGGCGAATCACCCCCGTCCCATCGCAAATCCACATGGGCAGCCGCAGTGGCGGACGAGTTCTCGTATTGGGCCATTCCAGTTGCAACGCGGCCTTATCCCAACAAAGCCCAATGTTTGTCTGCAGCCACGGACAAACTGAGAACCCAGTGCAAAAGGGCTGGTACTAGCACTGCTGCCGCTAGAAAAGCCCATGTGCTGTGTGCCAGTACGGTTGGAGTAATACCTCAGCGGCGCAACATGACAGCCTGCCACGCAGCCAGAGGACCGCATACCGGCGCCACAGACCGAGCTAGAGCATGGAAAAGTTTTTTTTTTTTTTCCCTTTCTTTCTTTTCCTTTGTAATCTCCAATTAGCTTTCCCTCGGCCTCTGAGCAGTATTAGTAAAAGCATTGTTACCGGTATATCTCCGCGCTTCATTTGCCATCAAATCCCGACCAACCAACGAGCCACTGCCGTTCTCCAACCAAAATGGCGAAGAGCTGCGCTGCACGTCCTATCCAATATGGCTCTTTGCCCCCGGCTGACCATGCTGGTATACCTAGCATGCCTCTTGGCGCGGCTGGCCGCTGAGAAAAGACAAAAGCACGGCAAACAACCGGGCTAACAGGGTAGTCCCTGGTAAGTGTGGGATGACACGTTCGATAAGATGTCAGTAGTGGATGAGGTTAATGCTACTCCGTACCGCACGCCGTCCATAATTTTAGCACGGGTCTTGAATTGTTTAGCGACGGTGCTTTCAAACGGAACATCCCTTTGAGTATTCCGTGTCAAAGATCAAGACAACAAGGCGACTATCGTTTTTGTATCGCCTAGCTTTCTACATCTCCGCTATCGATTTCGGAGATCGACCATGGAAGGGATTATTGATCAGTGTTGACAAAGAGAAAAGGGGCCCGAATGCAATGGTTGAATTAAGCCGGCCGCAGGTCGTCTGGCCCGATAGGCATGGAATAGGTCCAACGCATACCTGCACACATACTTGTAGGTAGAGTACATGTAGCGGCAGATGTGCGCCCATTGCTCCGTAATCTGCCATTCGCTCCGTTTGCTCTCGCTTGGAGACAGGCGGCGGCACTTGGGCAACAATACAGCTGGCTCTGCTTGCCTAGACGAGACATGCTCCAGGGGGTACCGCCAATTGGATGGCTCCCTTGGAGTTGGAGAGGACCCCTGCCCACTTGACGACGCACCAGACAGCTGGTACCGGTACTCAGTACCCCATACGAAAGAAGAAGAAGAAGCCGCCGCCAGCGCTAAGAGCGTCCCAGAGGCGAAAAAAGAAGACGACGAAAGAAAAAAAAAAATGGAGAGCAGTTTTAAACGGCACAAAGAGCAGAAGCCTCGGCGCCAAGTCATGTCGCTAGATAAAGCACTCGGGAGGAGCAACGTGAAAAGGCTTTGTCGAGTCAAACATCGCTGTCGGGGTCGGGTCGGAGACGTTTTCGATTCCTTTCATGTCCTGAAATATCGACCCTCGGAAGCCCGATTGTTAGCTGCCGGGGTCAATCAAAGAACAATGCGAGCTGGATCGGCGAGAAAGGGAACAAACAAACGAAACAAATACTACTTGCTTATTCTTAGGTAGCAGTAGGCAGGTAGGTACTACACGACAGGCATCGAGTTGGTGGGAGACGCATCCGCTGTTTGGGCTAGTTGGTCGTCAATCATGGCTGGCGGAGGTTGTCGTTGCATAGGGGGTGGGCAGCCCTGCTTCGAAGTCAGTCGCCCGCATCGAAAAGGGCAATGCAGACGAGACAAGCAACAAGGTGAGAGAGCCGCCAATCCGCGTCCCACCAGCTCCTCAGCGGCCCATCTGCGCTACCGCCGGAAAGTGAAGGTGGGATATGACAGGTGGTCCGTCGGTCGCCAGTCATCATCAAAGTGCAAAGCAGGAGGGTAATAGGGTGGCAGCGGCCAGAGCTTAGTACGTTTTGCCCGCGCCAGGGTGCTGCTGGCACTTTTGAGGCCTGCCGCCATACCAAGGCTGAGATAGAAGCGAATATGGAGTTCCATTAACAGCCAGCGTGTATTAGACAGACAAACAGATCCATGGTGGCAAGGCAATATTATGCTGGGTTTGGATTCCAGGCACTAGCCCAACTCCGTATCTCAATGGCAAAGGGCTGCCGGCCTAGCGCGTGGAGAGCCATGGCGCGAATTCCGTACCTTAATGCTAGGAGGACCTTCATTTAGCACGGGCCACGTCTAAAACGGAGGCTAGGCCCTCCGTGCTCCGTCCCCTACTAGAGCCAGCGAGGGCCCCCACTAGCATGGCGTAGTCTTGTCGCTAAACTCCCCGAAATCCAGGCACGAGATTCGGCCTCGCTAGGGGCGATGCGGCAACGAGTTCCAGTTCTTTTTGCTTTCCCAAGACCCCGGATATGGCACATGGCCCATGTACCGCCCACAGCAGGCCTGCCCAACCAACAGAGAAGAGGCTAAAACCAAAGGGTCCGAAGGCCTGAATTGACTTCAATGTCGTGTTCAAAACATGCTGCTTTGTCCGCAAACAAGCGTGCTCGGTTCTTTGGCGCCCTGTTCCAGCGACCAGAGGCTGGCGCCAGCGCATCCAGCAGCGCCCAGAGCGCAACCGCGGCTTCGCATTGCGACGAGGCGCACCTCCAGATTCCACCTGCCCCTCCATTTCGGGCCTCACCGACAACAATGCGTGCTAGAGGTAACGTACATGTATCCAAGTACCTGACCTAGCAGTGCTGCTGCAGTTTGGGCGCGGTACCGCCCTCTGCCCGCCCTCTGCCCGCCTTTTCTGCCGCCGCCACAGGTACACCGACCCTCAATGAGGTTTGCTTGAAACGCACCGGCGACCTCTGCTTTCCAAACAGGACACCATTTCAATATCCCTCTTATGCAGACTTGCTGTTTGGGTCTTCCGGCTGACTCGCTTACGAGCGGTGGCATTATTTGCTGCTAACTGACACAGCCGCCCCTCGCCCAGAGGGAAAGAGGGTGTTTACGGCCCATCTCCCTTGTTGCTGTGCTCGCCAGGCTGGAGAGAGCAGGTGGGTGGGATGGAGCATGACTTCATCGACAGCTACCTAACCTGCCAAAGCATGGAGTACCGGAATTGGTTCCAGCAGTCTTCTGCAGCACTGGGTGGCCTGTACCACTTTGGCCGGTGCTGATACATGCTCGCGGCGTGCTTACGGACCTGCCATTTGCCCGCGCCCCTTCCTGACTCACTCCTCGGCAGCAAAACATGCGATGCTAGCAGATTGATTACCATCTGGTGCCAATGTTTCGCTGCCCTTCTCCCTTGGATGTCCGTCATCGTGCATACAAACATTGATGGTTCGACCAAGCAAAACACCAGTCCGGATATCGCCCAGACGACGGATTGAGCGCTTCTTCTGGTGCCGCAGCCGCCACTGCCGACTCCAAACTCCAGACATGCCGAATCCAGACTTTACGTACGCACAACCGCACAACCGCATACACGCACCATCCAATATCACTACTGCTGGTGTTTCGCAGAGGGAAAAGGCTACTGGATGCTGCTGCAGATGGATGAGCAGACGAGGCTAGTCGACAGTCCACTTGGTGGTCACGGGGGCATTGTCAGACTGCCACCACGGCCAAGACGAGACGGAGCGCGTCGGGCTGTTGACCCATCCGAGCACATGTCTGGTTGATGCTGCAGCGTCGTCGTGGCTCGTGGCTAGCTCATGGCCGTGAAGAACTACTAAGCAGCGAGTCTCTCCAGCAGCCATTGGGGGCACTGGCGTTTCTCACCACTCCACACATTCAATGCAGCACGCGCCGTGTAACACCAAATTGCAGGCTAGGGATAGCGCCCCAAGCCGTCGCTCTGCTATCCGTCAACCTCATTGATGCCTTTGGACCCAGCAGCATAGCCCGTAGAAGCACCACACCAAAGACAGCTCATTCTGGGGGTCCCGTGATTGTGCGGTGCAATGGGACTCGTCGTGGATGACCCAGCAATGGGCATCGAGCTGCTCCCCGACAGCGGGCACTCCCAAGGCCACCCATCTGACGGCCTTGGGCCCGAACGAGGTGAGGTGACTCAAGCAGATGACAGCGGCTCACATAGACCCCCCACCAGACACATACTACTTCCATTTACGACACGCACGAAATGTCTTAGCAGTACAGTAGACCTCTATGAACAAGAGGCTTCTGGGTTGGCTGAATCGGAGATGCCCCAGTACCCAGCCAGACCCCTTGCGCGGATAGCATCCATCTCGACGAAACTGAGAAAGCAAGAGAACCCGCATCCATATATGCCGCTGGCCGTGCTAATGAACACCGGTAGCCCGTAGATGCGCCTACATGCGTTGTGTAACCACCGCAAACTAATGGCGATCCGAAGCCATCTTCAACAGCCACTACTGGCCTACGGAGACGGCATCGGGATGATGCCCCGGCCAGCAAGCCAATTATTTGTTCGCCGCTGCTGCACCGCGCTGGAAATGGAAAGACAGTTGCCGCATTTAGCATTTACAGCGTCGGTTTGTGTCTGCTATAAAGCACTTCATGGCAATCGGCTGTGCCTGTGCTGCCCGACAATGTCACCACACTTGTCTCAAATTGCAGCCTTCTGGAGGGCGCCGCACGCACGCGCTGCTACCATTGGCTGGGATCTTTTTTGAAGCTACCTCTCATCCATTAACTCTTATACTACTTGATATATGATACGATGCACGGTCAAGGTTTATCTGATGTCATCTACGCCGAGAAATCTATATCTTGCTAGATCGACCAATGGTCACTTTCTCTCTCTTCCTCTACGTCCCTCCAGTTTCTTCTACTTTATAAGTGGAAAGGAAGAAGAGACAGAAGAGGGGACGGAACAAGGAATCTTTATAAATATGCCCATTCAATGCAATCACAGCTACAGATAGATACAACCGTCTACCTACCTATGCATCGAATATCGGCCCCGCGTCACTCTTCGTGTTCACGAGAGAGATACCGCCGAGATGAATGGCAGCACGTCATCCTCTGCCCGTTGCCGTCGCCTGAGAGCACTATTCCAATTTCCGGCATATTTGCTGCTGCTAGCACTTAGCTCTGACTTTGCTGCTATTTCGGGTCACAGCATTTCGGTGGCGCTGGACCTGTTTGACGGCGAACGACGTTCGACTCGGGAGGTTGGCTGCCACTTGCACCTTGACGCCACCGTCATACAGATTACATGCTGAACCCTGTCAAAGTCAATCTGATTTTTTGTCCCTCATTGCTCCTTGTCTAACGGCTTTCCCAGGGTCCGAGAATGCGGGAAAACTCAGAAACGGGTAGTCCGTGGCCGCATCAGACCGGAGAGCTTCCAGCACGCACGCATCAGACGGAACACCAGTATCCATTGCCACGATGCAGATACTATTTTTTGTCTGTGGTTTTCAACAATTTCTGAATCGTCGCTAATGCAAGCTCTGAATCAAGGCTCTATTATCAACGGGTGCGTTGTTTAAAAAATTTTCTTGCCAGTGGCGTTATGATTTTCCTCCCCCTTTTCCTTCTGGAAGTATTCCCAGACGGGAGGTGGAGCTTTGCTTCGCCGCCACAGCTTTCTTCTCTGTCGTGCGTTTTTCCCATCTCCGAGGCGCACGGAGTGCAAAGCCGACCTAAGCTTAGAATTTCCTTCATGCTAAGATGAATCAGTAGCCGATAAGACTGACTGCTTATCTTCTAGCTTGAGCACCATTGTCCAAATCGTCTGGACAGCAATGTATGACTGCGAAGGTGTTTATCAGCCCTAAGCTTTAAGTTGAAAGAAGAGAAGCCTTTTCTTTACACGTGCATGAGATAGATGGACCTCACTGATGTGATATTCTCTTAACAGCAAGAGTACGGGCAGCCCGATACGTTGTCAGTCTTCGGATACTACTACCTATTCCCTCGTCCATCCATACTCGCCATATACGAAGCAATTAGCTTCTTCAAAGCGCTAGCGGTGAGGCAAGACAGTCCCAGGACAAAAGACATGCGCTGTCGGTAATGCGTTGGGCCTCGAAGAGGTTAGGATGAAATAGGCCCTGTTGATACGGGGCGAAATCGGCGTGCCGATCACCATGGCATGATCGGGATGCTATCCAACGAGATGTGTTCGTACGGAGCAACTTGACCGGCAATATGCGGGAGTGCCTGAGCTTGCCACTCGAGCCCCAGCCAAAGGCCAGAACATTGAGAGTTAAGAGACCCATTTTCCCCTCCATTCTTGGTGTACCCGGTAGGAGGATCAACGGCGCCTAGTACCGAGACCCTCAGAATCGACATCTAGTCTGGTTCATACGCGAACATGTTCTAGCTGTCTCGAGCAGGAGGATAAACGGATAAGTACTCGTAGTTCTTGATCCATCATGGCTAAATGTCGATAGAGCAGATCCATGCGCTCCGTACATGTGCCTTGCTCCGATTAATCGACCTATTTGGACCAGATGTCGTCCCTGGACCGTGGACAAGCAACACAGGGTCCAGAGAAGCTTCCAACACGGCCCAGAAAATTGCCTATCAGCCACTAGCACTTCCACTTCGCACTTCGCATATGGGGCAGGGTCAACGGGTAAAGGCCGAGACATGGGGATTCCAGAATCCTTGTGTCCTAGATCCAAAGATATCGGGACGCCGGGTACGAAAGTACAGAATACAGTCAGCACTGAGCGACGATACGCGATGACATGCATGCAGATTCCTGGATAGCCTCTTCCAATGTTCCACCTCAGTTCCGCTTCTCCTGTTTTCCCTCTCTCGCTTCAAAAGGAGGTCCTAACTCTAACGCCAGAGGAGCTGGCCCTTCTTCGAAGCGGGAAGGAGGTATAAAGGACGCTGTCTTCCTAGTCAGAACGTTGTGCAAGTAGCTGACTCACGAAGACGCCAGACTGAGCCGCGTTTGGTCTTTCTGATACTACCGCTGCTTTTGGCGATGGGGCTGATGGCCTTGCCGATCCCGCTAGCATGATAATGGCCGATGATAACGCGACGATTGTTCTCACTCCACTAACTCAGCAACCCAAAGGAAACGAGAAGAGGAAGGGGAAAGTTTCATGTTAGTGTGGCTGATTCAGAAGGATGAGAGAGAGGCAATTAATGAAGTGAGAGAGATATGCCAACTCTACCGAAATAAGCGAGGTATTGGGACATGTCGCAGTGGCTGTTTGGGCCAAGAGAGCAGAGTAAACCAGCCCCCCGTCGACTCATTGGGTTCCACCGCTCTTCGGGCTCAGCATCGCGCTCAGTCGCATATTTTCGGCACCCAAGTCTAAGTGGTAGTTGGAAAAAGTGACAATTCAGCTGGCAAGCCTCGCTTCTGCGGGCGACTCGCCCGAAGACACCGAGGCGGTGGAGTCGTATTTGGCCAAGAAAAGGAGCGCCAGCCAGCGAAGCATACAGCAGGCAGGGAATATGGAGAAACAGACAACGAAAAGGCGAGGCGAGCTGAGGAAAGAGACTTTGGCTTTCCACGCGGATTCGCAAAAACAGCGGCAGGGCCATGTATTGCTTGCTCTTTTGTCTTCTTCATTCATTTCCTCGGTTTTGAATTCCAACTTTGACGTGCCTGGTAACAACGAGCATGCTTTTCTTAGCTCAAGCTTTATCTTTCCGCTGGAAGCCTTTTCTGATGAACCGTTGTTTCCCGCAGTCTGTATAGGTACAAACGAACGAATACCCTGGTTGCTTTTCCAGTCAGGCTCCGCTGCAGCATCGAGAGGATCTCGGAGATGACCTTCTGGAATGCTTCCTTTCCACTTTCGAAGAATTAGGCCCCCCCCGGCCAAGTCATGCCACTGACGTCAAGGGGGGGCCGTCGTATAGTATTTGTCGGTGAGCGAGGTACAGTACCTGAGCAATTGGGCACTCTATCTGAGACAAAGAGAGATTGAGGCTTTCACAAACATAATGCGGAGTATGCAAAAATGCTACCTTGTATAAACGCGGCTGCCTTGATGCTACCTTGCTAACTAAGCTTGACTGCGACCCTATGTAACTCTTGACTATGCGATATTCGGTCAAACCTTAGGTTAGAGTCGTAGTAGGCCATCGTGATGAGATTATCAGCTTCGGAGGGGGGTGCGACGCATTGTTTTTGGAACGGAGGCCTCGTATTCAGGTAGCTTTTCTTCTCCCTTTCTTTTTTGGAATGATACTTTTTTCTGGGGTAAGGGGAATGTCACTGAGGCTGCATTGACAGGGTGCTGTTAAAGTCAATGCTAGTATACTATTTCATCGTGCTAAAAGGTGTAAATTGACTTCAATATTGCCTCTGCTCGGTTCTTACCGCCGGCTGATCCCTTCAGCAGCGCATGCATAACTAGAGAAAGGTAAAAACAAAATTAGAAAAAAGACAATTGTTTACATAAATATCAACCTTTTTTTCGTATTTGTTGCCTGCAATGTCTTGCTTACTTGCGCGTGTGTCAGGAGCACTATTGTCTTGAACGCCCGCGCGACGATACATTAACATTCTAGCGGAAACTTTCAGACTATAGAGCATGGGATTGAGCTGGGGCCTTGGAAAAGTATCTCATTTAATTGCAATTAGCATGCTATGGTAAAAAATACATGGTCAGACAATGATGTGGCTTTTGTCTTTTGCTAGTGATGATGTAGAAAGTGCTAGATTCGTCTCATCTAGGAGCTCGTCATGAGATATCCCCCATCCGTTCTGGCGTATTAGACAGAAGCTCATGTTTCGTCCGAATGCATACAGGCAGAGAGCGCATTATAGCTCTCCGAATGACCAACTAATAGGCCATATCTGAGGCTTGCTGACGCAGCAACCATTGAATCTATTCGCTGTTGTGTTGGTATTTCTTTTCCAGACTCTTTTACCCTTTCCTCTGAAGGGTGTGCCGCTGTATGTCTATCGGAACAGATCGTGTAAGTCCCTTCTCGCGCAAGCTGCATCCGTTCGCCTGAAACTCCGAAAAAAGCGCGTGGTTCTCTGGTATGTGTCCAAATAAAAGGTTTCGGCTGGTATCTTTTTTTTTTTTCTTCATTTTTGATTGTAGGTCGTAGATTTTTTAGCTGAGCAGGATGGAAACCTAGTCTCCCATATCAGAATCTTTTACCGCTAATCTTTGGAAATCGAAGAAGACATGGAGGGAAGTATACGTACGGCCATGATGACACAGCATATACTTATATATGGACTTAGTCGCTCCCCTATCCTGGCGCATTTCCAGAAGATACCCATAACTCTGTGAGGCCAATTGTTAGCTTTTGGGCCGTTCATAGCTCGCGCAGATATGAGAGTTGTCTGCATACCCGTTCTTGTTCCGGTCCATGATGCCCGGGGTGAAATGGTGGACATAGGCGCTCGTGCAAATCAACAGCAAGATGACGAGTAAGAGGGACCTGAAGTTGAAGAGCGCAGACTAAAATCGATGCCAAACGTTAGTAACCAAAGTTCCATTATCCTGGGAGGACCAGCGTATTGGCGTAGCAACATACCATCTTGGCGACTTGAAATTAAAGCTATTCAGCTACTAGGAAAGCATTCGTCAAATATGCCGGGCCACCAAAGCTGTTCGCGATCCCCATGTCTCGTCATTCCTGGGAGCTTAGAAGGGGCCAGATGTCGGATAGGGAGGAAAGATTCGCCGATCCGATGGCAAAGCTGCCTGAGGGACCCACAATCAGCTGGAAATTGATGACATGCAGTTCGTCCATTCTCCACCAACCAGAAGTTGCGATTTCAAGTTCAAGCTTGCGATTTCAATCTCTCTTTTCATAGATTTGCGATTTTGAGCATCATTGATTTTTTATTAAAAGCCTCCCAACGATTCTATCTTTAAGCAGCACACGAGAAGAGAAGAAGCGACAAACGCAGCACACATTCAAGATGGAGCCTCGTGCGCGCGCCGGCAAGAATGTCGGCAAAATGAACTTTTCCTACGCCGAACGTATGCACACCACCCTCCCATAACCAAGACTTCCCAAAGACATAGAGAAGATATCACGGCGCGATACAGAAAGGGGGGGGGGGGAATAGAATTTTCTAACTTGTCATCGCGCTCTACAGTGGCACAACTCCTCTACGCCCACGGCGACATCAAAAATCCCATGCCCGAAACCGTCCGCGTGCTGGACGAGATCCTCACCGACTTCATGCAGTCCATCGCCTTCGAAGCGAACCGCGCGGCGAACTACTCGGGCCGACAAAAGATCAAATACGAAGACTTTGAGTTTGCCTTTCGGAAGAACCCTTTGTTTCTGGGCAAGGTGCAAGAGGTTTTCGAGAAGCAAAAGGAGATCAAGAAGGCACGAGAAATTCTGCGGGATGGTGAAGATGAGATTATGAAGGATGCAGTGGAGGAGGAGAAAAAGAAGGAAAAGGAAAAAGATAAGGAAAAAGAGAAGCCGAAGACGAATAGGGTGGAAGAGGAGCTGGGTGAAGCAGATGATGATGCTGAGGCGGAAGCAGATGCTCTGGGTAAGAGGAAGTAATGGTGGTTGTTCTTGGAAGGACTTCGACTGGGCCGTTTATGTCCTCCTTTTTTTTCTGCTTGATTTTAAAAGGCATTGTTCTGGAGTTTAGGGCGGCACAAAGCATGTGATAGATGCTTGGTACATTGGTAGGATCGGCGTTTTGGAGGTCTTCTTCTTTTCCTTTTTTATTAGCACACACTTACAGCTTAATGGATGCCAGCTGATCAATACCACAATTTACGCGATCCTTCAGCACATTCTGTCTACTCCATCGGCAAGGACCGGGCTTGCGCTTTCAGCTACGGCTGAGCAGCCTAGCCTTCCCTACCAAACGTCGCATATGATATGTCATGCCACTACTACTCAATAAATGTCAACTAGCCCATCCTGTTGTCTGGGTTCGACTTTGAAGCCGGAAAGTACTCAAGCTGGATAATTAATGGCTTCCCACGCCGCAACATCACAATGGTCTCTACTACCCCAGATAGGCCAATAACAGCAACAGATACATAGAGCCGGGCGCATGGGAATAAAGCGGAGCGGAGACGATCGGCGACCGATATCCGCATTCTGCCACCACATGCTCCGGGCCGGCCGCAGATAGCGATATCGGGTCACCGCGTGGCCAGCTCGTGGTCGGGATTTTAATGTAGGTGTCGAGCTACAGTGTTCGCACCCTCTAGCTATTGGATGGGGAAAAGGCCGATTTCGTAAGCTGTTGTCACTGCACCTCCGCCAGTTAAAAAATTGCCGTCGCAGCTCTTCGGTGATGGGGCGATAATTGCGATAAAGGCGGCTAGAGGAACGACTATATCAGATCCACCCCCAGAGAAGCCAATAGGGTGCCATGGGGAAGAGGCGCCAAGCAGAATGAATGCAGTCTTCTTGCTGCTAATGCTGGTGGTGTTGAGGAGGAGCGGGTGGTCACCGGGCGGTGTCTGCCTCGCTAGAGCCGAGCTTTAGAAGAGAAAACCTCGTCTTGTAATGGCACATCGTTCTCAGTCTGCTAGAGACTAGGTATCCTACGGCTTCGTGGCCTTGTGTTGTCGTTGCCATCTAGTTGCTGCCATCAGCTTCGTTAATCCAAATGCAGTTTGATCTTCTTGCGATTCCAGGGTGATTCAAGAGGGTAGCCATGGAGGCTGAACAAATATCCGGATCCCCGCCTGCCCCGGCAGAGATTGAGCTGCACCTCCCCCCATACAAAAATCATCCAGAAGAGGCAGATGGTTACCATATTGCGCCGCAAAACGCAGTTGTTTCAAGCGATTATCAGACGGAAACGAAACCATCGCTGTTAGCTGAAGACTTTCGTCAACTTTCCATAAGTCCAGCTCCCAGTGGAAGACTCTCCCCGATTCCCCATGGACCATATAATCCGACGGGAGTTCATCCGCCTCCTCTCGAAGCGCCGTCGTCTCGGTTAAAGCAGTTTTGGATAAGAAACAAGCCTTCTATACTTGTAGCCGTCTCTCAGTTTTTCGGGGCTTTGATGAACCTCAGTGCTCGACTGCTGGAATTAGACGGCGATGGAATACATCCAATCCAGGTCCTTCTCCTTCGGCAAGGACTCACATCTGTTGTTTGCTGTGCATACATGTGGTGGAAGGGCATACCCGATTTCTTCTTGGGCAATAAGGAGGTCAGATGGCTTCTGCTGGCTCGAGGTTTCTCGGGATTCTTTGGCATATACGGCATGTGGTATTCCATGATGTATCTGCCACTCGCCGATGCCACTGTCATTGGCTTTCTCGCCCCTGGTGTTGCTGGCCTTTTATGCTACTTTGCCTTGCGGGAGCCATTTACACGACCCGAGCGGATTGCCACTGGCGTAGCCCTTTTGGGAGTGATACTCATTGCTCAGCCGGTTTCTTTGTTCATGGACCTCTCTTCGTCCGACGACCAGGTGGTGGATGCTCCTGAGCAAGTGGATGGGGCTTTTCCTGGCCTAGATCGCGAGCCAACAGCTGAAGAACGGCTGCTCGCCGTCGGTGTTGCTCTTCTCGGGGTGTTGGGAGCTGCCGGCGCATTCACATGCATTCGTACCATTGGAAAGCGCGCTCACCCTCTAATCTCAGTCAACTTCTTTGGCATGGCGTGTACATTCATCTGCGTCATGACGTTAACTCTGGCGCCAACTCTAAACATCAGCCAACCTCACTTGAGGTGGATCACGCCAACGTCTTGGAAGGGATGGTTTTTGCTCCTTTGGATCGCAGTGCCTGGCTTCATAATGCAATACCTGTTGACCTCGGGCCTTGCAGCCGACAAGTCCAACAAAGCAAACGCCATGATATATACCCACATGCTGTTTGCCGTCAGCTTTGATCGTTGGATTTTCGACCACAGCATGAGCATGACAAGCCTGGCTGGCTGTGCTCTTATTCTTGGCAGCGCTATCACCGTCGTTTTCACAAAAAATCCGCCAGTTCCAAAAGCGAACGATGTCGAAAGGCAGGGGAACTTGGAAGGAGAAGCAGAAGGATCGCCGATGCTTGTCGATACCGGGGTTCATGGAGAAGGAATAAATTTGAGTAGAACTTGATTTGCATGGGTAAATAAGCTGGGTTGGACAGTTGGCATGACATAGAATCTGGATAGACAGAGTAATCCAAAGAAAAAAAGTTATTTCTTGTCTAGAGCACCAGATATTTCTTGCGTCTTGGAGAAAAATATCGAAGTAAAAACATCTGCATTTGAGGACAGTGATGTATAGAGTCGAAAAGAAAAACGAATCCTAGAGGTCATTTTCTGTTTAAAGTTTGTCATGATGGAGAGCTGCGGGAATGCTACATGGTAAAGAGCCACTCTATACCTAGTAACTTCTCATAAGGAGCGCAATTTGGCCACATGTAGGAAAACTCATGCCGATGAAAGGATTTCAATAACGGACCAGTATTTCAAATCCCGTACGATAAATTCAGCAATTACAAAGAACAAAAACCACTTGCTAGGTGTTGGATATGGGAAATTCCATCAGAGAAGCTGAAGCTTCAGGGTAGGGAGTCGGATCACGTGCAGCGAGAGCAGGCTAGCAGTCGCGACGCCGCGCTTGGTAACTCGATCTGCAGGGCTGTGATCCAATCGCAAAATTTCAAGATCATCCATTTTTGCGCTTTGCAACTCAGCTCACCTCACCCGGACATGCGATAGGTAGACAAATTCGACGGCATCTGATCAAAGAATAAGGACATTACTATTTTGCCTCCTCGCAATTGATACCGAGGCCCAAATCGCACCGTCAAGATGGTCCAAATCAGCGAAGTCAAGGGCAACAAACGCGATAACCGCACTGCGGCTCACACACACATCAAGGGCCTGGGCTTGAAATCCGATGGATATGCTGATACCCAAGCTGGCGGCTTTGTTGGCCAAGTCCCCGCTCGAGAAGTAAGGAGGTTCCCTAAGAATGGCATCCGTTCAACCCACTAACCTTTCTGCTTGCTATGGTAGTCATGCGGCGTCGTTGTCGATCTGATTCGAGCTCACAGAATGGCCGGCCGAGGTGTTCTGTTAGCTGGTGGCCCAGGAACTGGAAAGACGGCTTTGGCTCTTGCGATTAGCCAAGAATTGGGAACCAAGATTCCGTTTTGCCCAATCGTGGGTAGCGAGATCTATTCGTCAGAAGTCAAGAAGACCGAAATCCTGATGGAGAACTTCCGAAGAGCGATCGGCCTCAAGGTCCGGGAAACAAAAGAGGTCTATGAGGGCGAGGTCACCGAACTGACGCCAGAGGAGGCAGAGAATCCCTTGGGCGGCTACGGAAAGACAATCAGCACACTGCTGATTGGACTGAAGAGTGCCAAGGGCCAGAAAAAACTTCGATTGGACCCCAGCATCTACGAGGCTATCCAGAAGGAGAGAGTCACCGTTGGTGACGTTATCTACATTGAGGCAAACACTGGTGCTTGCAAGAGAGTGGGACGATCCGATGCGTATGCCACCGAGTTTGACCTTGAGGCCGAAGAATACGTACCCATCCCCAAGGGTGAGGTACACAAGAAGAAGGAGATTGTGCAGGATGTCACATTGCATGACCTTGACGTTGCAAACGCTCGGCCGCAGGGTGGACAGGACATTATGAGCATGATGGGTCAACTGTTAAAGCCCAAGATGACAGAAATCACGGACAAACTGCGTGCCGAGATCAACAAGGTGGTTGGAAAATACATTGACCAGGGCGTGGCTGAATTGGTCCCAGGTGTTTTGTTCATCGACGAGGTAATGCCCCCCCCGCCTGTCCCATTGTATAGGAGATGGAGGAAAATTGGCATCAGACATTGACACTGGACTATAATAGGCTCACATGCTTGATGTGGAGTGCTTCACCTACCTGAACCGAGCACTGGAATCGCATCTCGCCCCCATTGTCGTTCTGGCCTCGAACCGGGGAATGTGCACAATAAGAGGCACTGACGACGTTGTTGCGGCTCATGGCATTCCTCCCGACTTTTTAGCGCGAATGCTCATCATACCCACGTCCCCGTACTCTGCGGATGAGATCAAAAAGATTGTTAAACTGCGTGCCACGACCGAGGGTGTCTCGATTACCGACGCTGCCATTGACAAAATTGCCGAGCACGGTGTCCGCGTTAGCTTAAGATACTGCCTACAGCTGCTAACGCCTTCAAGGTGAGTCCCATGGTTTATTGCATGAATAAGTTCCTTTGCGTGAGACAACTGACGGCTGACGTGTAACCCCCCCCCGAACAGCATTCTTGCCAAGGCGAATGGCCGTACTCAGATCGACGTCCAGGACGTGTCCGAATGTGAGGACCTCTTCCTAGACGCCCGCCGTAGCGCTGCACTATTGGCCAGTGAGGGGGGGAGAGGCTATCTGTAATTTTGCAGAAGAGGATGGACGAACAGGGCTAGATCATGCAAGGGAGGAATATCATTGTGAAGGATTGGCGCTGGGCGGTGTGCCAAACAAGTCTACCAGTGGTTGATAAATAGGTCATGGCGGATATTGACGGGAATTCTAGGCACATCTTTATTTTCTTATTTCTTTTTTTTGGGTGTCTTTTTGTAAAAAACGATGTACGGAGTACTACTAATAGCTACTTGGGGGGAAAGGGTTTTAGACCAGCCCTGAGAAATGATTGGGCTTGAATGAATGGAAGTAATCTGAAATGGCGGGCCGGCCATGTCTCTTACGCTGCCAACGTAACAAAGATTGCCCTGCATACGAATACTCCGTGCTTCTACAGCAGTGTCCGGTACCTCCCTTTCACGCCCGCCACACCATCCTACGGCCCGCGACATTGTAGGCCTCAAAGGGAGGGAATAAAAGGATATCGTGGGCGAAAGAAACTGAGTCTTGTGTGGAGAATTCGTTTTAAAAAAAAGCCAGGACGTCTACATATCCGAGTACGTAGCAGTCATGATTCGTGCTCCACCCCTTCTTTCTTATATCTCTTTATGAGATTTTCAATTTTTATTGTTTTTCTTTTTGCTAAGCCCCCTACCCGTCGGCGTCGGTGGCTGTCCCGGTTCCCAAATTGCGTGGGCGCCACATGAAGCCTAGTGCCATCCTATAAGTGCACAACTTACACAGTCGAACGGAGGAAAGAGGCGGCGGAGATCGGAGGAAACAAGATGTAGACGAAAATTCACAATAGAGGATCACGTGTAGTGGACGTATAAAGAGACTTTTGCCCCAGGCTCGGTGAGCTTTTGCACATGGGCCTCCAGTCCTTTGTCTCATCGCCCAACATTCCAAAGGTCTGATGGCGTGCATTCCAAAGGCGGCATTGTCCGTCTCTGGTCGAGGCTGGGGGGGTGCGTGCCAGAGGGGGCGTGAGCGCGCGAGAGGCGGCGTTTAGAAAGAGAAGAAATCTAGAAATCAAGGAAGACGAAGGCGTTGTAGGAGCGGCTTTTAAGGGGGCGTCGGGCTTCCGCATTATTTTTTCGTTATGGAGTCGAGCTGATGGAGTCAGTACACGAGGTGTATGCACGAGAAAACGCTGAGGGGGGAGGGGGCCAGAGACAGGCCAAGAAGAGGTGTAAAGAGGCGAAAAAGTGCCAATGGCAGGCGAGGACGATATCTCACACACGCAGATGGATATCCAGCTGCCTGGCCGGGGGTTTTCGTCGCTGCCGCCGTGTGCGGATGGCGGATGGCGGACGTGCGCGCCCACGCCGCTACCCCCTTGAGGCAGGGCAGCTTCTCCCTTGTGTTGTTTATTGTTGCTGCATGGGGCGGTGGACAGCTGGCGAGCATTGTCTGATGACGAACGTGGATCACGTCTGTTTGTTTGCCCAAGTAAAACGCGGGTAGGAATAGAAATAAAATAACAAGAGAGATGAAATGGCGAAGAGATTGCAGGGTGCTCGTGGCGTTCCCGCCGCAAACGACCGACCAGACAAAGAAGCTTTTTCTTCGCAGCCACTGTGCCCAACTGGCCTCCAGTTTTCCACGCAAATGTATCTCTCCTATACACGGCCCATCTCCATCGGCCGCTCCTAGTGTACAACTCTCCTTCTAGCTTGATGAAGCTTTGAGCTTCTTTGGTGGGCTCAGACTGTCTTGCTCACAGGGGCTTCGCTGCGATGCTATGGCCATGTAGTATATAGCGACAAGCAAGCTCTCTCCCAAGCAAGACATTTGAGACATTTGAGACATCGGAAGCAGGGTGGTGTCCACTCATCAAATGGGCCCCAAAGCAGTATCGTTGTAGGCCGAAGGAACAGCCGCTATTGTGAAGTGAATGGGTATGTCTTTGCATACGCAGCCTTCCCGCTTTTTACACAACTCTCTTCCATCACCCTTTCTCTCCCTTCTTTTGAAGCTCAAATCCCTTCCAACTCCCCAACCACGCGAAATCGCTGTGCGATCCACGCCTTTGTTCGCGGGATTCCTTCCCTGCCAGAGCTCTTCAGGGTCTCGGCCCTGCATGTTTGTTTGCTGTTCTATTCTTGTCGAAAAACAGTCAGTCCAGCTCACACTTAAACTGAGATCTGTGGCTCCTGAGCCAGGGGAATGGTCACTCGACTGCAAGTATTGCGGCCAGTATATCTTTTGTCCAATCTTCTTCTTCCAGCATGGCCCATATTATGCCGTCTCAAGAGCATCGGCGCAGTAGGCCGCCGATCCATGCTTTCAGGGACATGATATCTCAGAGAGATGATCCCAATGCCCCATCTCTCTTGCGTCCTCTGAGCCCCAGAAGAGAGTATACCACAAGGCCACCACCTGCGCCTCTTGGCACACCTGAGACGAGTCGCAGTATGGAAAGCCAGCCAAGAGCCGGTACCTCGACTACCGCAATGCAAGCTGACAGTCTTCGGGATATTATTTGTGTCTGTCCACCAGAGACTAAAATACCTCGGCCGCGAAATGGTACGTTGTAACTGGCATCTTTCTGGCTGATTTCAATCCAAAATAGACAGACTGTATTGATGATGTCCCGGGCGTATGGGGCATTGTCTTTGTCGCGGTATCGTTGAGGGAAGAATTGCTGAGGATCATCGACTAACTATGGAGCTCTTCTCATAGCTTTTATTCTGTATCGCCAACGTTACCATACCGCTGTGACAGCCGCAAATCCACGCTTGTCCAACCCGCAAATCTCCAAGATAATCGCAGCAAAGTGGAAAAACGAAGAGGCTGAAATTAAAGGCTATTGGAAAGAATTGGCCGAAGAAGAGAAGAATCGCCACCGCGAGCAGAACCCAGACTATCAGTATAGGCCGCGCCGTAAGAAGGGCAAGAAAGGAAAGTCGCCTTCCCCAGTAGGTGCTGAAGAGCCAAGCCGGTGCTCTAAATGCCAGGGCCGACTTATTGCAACTCCGCGAACCCCGACTAAGCGCTCGTCTATTCGGTTAGAGCCCGGACTGAGCCATTCAGAGCCGCGGCCTGGGCTGTCCCATCCTATGCTGTCTCCGTGTACGCCGTCTCTCCCCAGGCTAGACAATGGCATCCCTAGCCGGACAAGTTACGAGCTTTATCAACCCCATAGCCTGTCCGTGCAAGGCAGGGCATCTTCGACTAGAAGTCCTGAAGGCTATGAGCTAGCATCACCCGCAGTGAAGAGACGCCGCACAGAGAGCATGGGAGATTATCGTTTGGCCAGTGGCTATTCCGACTTTTACGGCCAGCATGTTGGAGAACTCTCAAGATTGGCGCCAGGGGAGGAACCAGCGAGGTCGGCTAGGCCATACTCCTCTTCCACCTTGCCTGAGCTCGCGACTATGCCCAGGTCTCAGAGTTTTCCCTCGCAGCTGACGCAGCCCCCGCCTCGACCGTGGGAGACGAATGGAGCAGGCGATAGTTCGCCACGAATTCCTTTGTTTGACGAGTCTCTGCGACTCCCTCCTCTTCAGATACCAATATCACCATCTCCTTCACGAGCAAGTATGACAGATGGGTTCGAGACAGGGCTAGACAGGGGCCACGTGAAGAGGAGAATATGGGAATGAATAATGATCAACGATGATGAACACTATGATAAAAGCCGGAAAGAATGAGAATAGATAAAAAGGCTGGCATTGGTGTTAGACTCGGGAAATGGCGTTAAGGGCTGGTATCAAACTGGGTTTGGCATCGGCGTCTAGATTCAATGGTTATGATGGGAGTTCATTTTGGATGTCGATGACAGCGCCTGGTATGTATACTTTGTTTAGAAATAAAAGATGCCAAGTGCTGCATTGCAGCTGGTGAGCTTGGTCTCCTCATTGTTATCGTATGCCTTGTTCTTGAAACCTCGTGCTTCCATATTGCCCTTCTTTTGTTGCCTTGTTTTCGAGGCTCAAAGGCTTGCAGCTTGTCCAGCTGTGCCAGCTGTGCTCGTTTGAACAGCCTCGCAGGCGCTACTGGGTTAGCACTGCGCACTGCGGGTGGCAGCGGGCGCGCACCGCTGCATTCTAGCGGTCTAGTGGGATGCAGAGCTCCCTGAGGAACGAGCATCTTCAAGGGTTGGCTCACATCAAGATTCCCTGTCCCGCGCACCGAATTTCAACGCGACCTGTCTGCCTCCACTTTAACCTGCTCTAGTCCTGTATTCCTTAACACCTCTATGCCCTCATTCCCTAGAGAGCTTCGTACACCGTCTCTACAGCTTCCGAAGCTCTTTGCGACCTCTCCCTGGCATTGGCCGCCGGTTTTAGAGGCGATCGGAAGCAAACGTCTACCGCGAACAGCAGTCGCCCATCAGCAGTCGCCTATCCCGAGCGCCGCGAGCCTCATGATGCAACACCCCCCCTCTGACCCGTCGTCATAATGCCGGACTTTAAGCCTGGGCAGATAGTCCAGCTCAGCGATGGCCGCAAGGCCACCGTGCGGTTTGCCGGCCAGACTCACTTCCAGGTGGGCGAATGGATTGGCGTCGAGCTTGAGGAGAAGACGGGGAAGAATGATGGAAGCGTCCAGGGCGAGCGGTACTTTGACTGCCCCATGGGATACGGCATGTTCGTCAAGCCCATGATGGCGACAATCATTGCGCAACCGGCAGCCGCGCCGAAGCCAGCAGCTCGAAAGCCCACCAGGCCAACGAGCCTCCATCCGACGGTTGGCAGAGCCTCGGTTTCGGGGAGCGATGTCAGTCTCACCAGGAGGCGGGGGAACTCCAACGCGCCGAGTCCCAGCCCAGCTCCTCACCACAAGCCGTCGCAATCGTCGAGCAACCTTCGGGTAAGTGGACACGCCCTGGATCTAGCATATTCGTATTAACCGAGGACTAAGTCGCCTTCTAAATCTCCTACCAAACAGCTCAGCGCTTCGTCAAGTGCCAGTGCGTCCCGAACAGGGACGCCGTCAACTGTTCGAGTACCGTCGGCTACTAACAAAGCCCGCGCGTCGCTGCCGGCGTCGCGGACTTCCATGGGGCCTCCCCCGCCTGCCCAGCCTGCCCAGCGATCAATGCGAGGAGCCTCGATATCGTCAGTGGCTTCGCGATCTGGAAGTGCTCCGACTAGGTCCCTTGGCGGTCGCGGTGGCATTGCGGCCCCTAAAGCTGTATCACGGCCTGCTGAATCGGGTCGCCGTGCTTCTGCTAGCTCTCAAGGCGGTCGAGAATCAAGTTCAGCCACCAGGTCCGATGAGTTTTTGAGCTCCCCTGTTGAAGACGATCCTGAAGAAGAAGGCGATGACGAGATACTCTCGCCTCAACCAACGAGCCCGGTTGTTGGGAGAACAAATGCCCTGGAGAGAATTGCGGCCGAATCGTTAACCGCACCTTCTATGGCGCCTCCATTGAAAAAACCTCCAGCGGCCGGGTCTTCAAGATCTTCCATTGGTAGTACCGCTGCAAGTAGAGAGATTGAAGACCTGAAAGCAAAGCTGAAAGTTTTGGAGCGAAAGCGAATCGAAGACCGAGACAAACTCAAGCAACTGGATACGATTCAAGGAGAAAGGGACAAATTCGAAGGCATCATTCAAAAGTTACAGCAGAAATACCAACCAATGCAGCAAGAGAACACGGACTTGAGAAAGGCAGTGAAGGAAGCCGAAACAAGGTTTGAATCGATCGAGGCCCTTCAAGCGGAGCACGATTCTGCTCTGGAATTGGCCACCCTGGATCGAGAAATGGCCGAGGAGACTTCTGAAGTTTTGAAAATCGAGCTGGATGCTTTGAAAGAGAAGGCGGAAGAGCTACAACTGGAGCTTGAGATTCTAAAGGAAGAAAATGCCGAGTATAGCAAGGGCATGACTCCCGAAGAGCGTGCCAGCACAGGTTGGCTACAGATGGAGCGCACAAACGAGCGACTGCGAGAAGCCCTTTTACGGCTACGAGATCTCACGCAAGAGCAAGAGCAGGAGCTTCGTGATCAGATTGCGAGCATGGAGGAGGAGCTCAAGGAATTCAACGCCCTCAAAGAAGATCACACTACAGCAAAGGAGAAACTGGCTCAGTCAGAGTCTGCTGTAGAAGATTTGCGCCAACAGTTGGATACTGCACTGGGCGCAGAGGACATGATTGAAGATTTGACGGAACGAAACATGAGCATGTCTGAGCAAATAGAAGAGCTCAAAGCGGTCGTTGAAGATCTGGAAAATCTCAAGGAGATCAACGACGAGCTCGAGATTAACCATGTCCAAAATGAAAGGGAGATGCAAGAAGAGCTTGATTTCAGAGACAGCATTATTGCCGAGCAGGCCAGACGAGCCCAGCAACAAGATGCCGCGTTGGGTGACATGGAGTACACCCTCTCGCGATTCCGGGAGCTCGTTACGAATCTGCAGAGCGATCTGGATGACATGAGGGCATCCCAGGCCGTCACTGAGGGCGAGTCCGAGAAGCTCAATGACCGATCGAGAGCCATGATGGATCTGAATATGAAGCTACAGATTTCAGCTTCCAAGGCTCAAGTCAAAACGATTGATCTTGAACTGCGACGACTCGAAGCTCAAGAGGCAGAACAGCACCTGGAGATTGTCAAGCTATTCCTTCCCGACAGCTACCGAGACGACCAGGACTCTGTTCTTGCTCTCTTGCGATTCCGCCGACTTGCATTCAAGGCAAATCTCCTCAACGGATTCATCAGGGAGCGAGCCAACGGACAGCTCGAGCCAGGCCACGAGGACGACATCCTCGCTGGCTGTGACGCTATTGACAAGCTTGTTTGGGTTGCCGCAATGTGTGATCGCTTTGTCAACGATATCAGCCACTGCTCTATTGAACAGTTTAACAAGTACCAGAACTCTCTGCTGGAGCTTGAACCTGTCGAGCGGGCGCTGAACACCTGGATTGATGGCCTGCGGCGAGATGAGCTGAAGGAACAGAAGTGCGCCGATGAGCTTCAACGAACCATTTCGCTCATGTCGCATCTTGGAGAGGTACACATTTCAAGCGGCATCGCTGCCTTTGCCGACGACATCCACATGAGGGCTCTGGTTGTTCAAAGCCACCTCGATTCAGCAACTGTCGCCTTTAACGTGATCCGAAGCATGGTACAGCGGGCCATCCCTGCAGCAGGCGAAGAGGAAGAGCTGGCACAGCATTTCGCTAAGAGGATTGATCTCGCCATTACGCAAACACGAAGCACAAAGGTCTTTGCTGGAAAGGCGGTTCATGCCCTGGAAGACCTAAAGGCGCGATCCCTCTCGCTAGGCGAAGATTCAAAGGGCGCATTCGAACAATGCGAGACTCTGGCTCAAGACCTTGCACGACTGACTCGCCAGATGGGCTTGGGCATCCATAAGCTACTCACACATGATGAGGGCCGCAACGAGCCCTTTACTTATGGAGAGATTAACGAAGTCATCCACCAAGCTGTTCTCGAATCTACCCAGGCCAACGAGTCGGATCTCTTTTCCAACTATCTCGGCATGCTCAAGACTGCCAGTGGACAGATTTCTGATTTGGCGACACTCGCTTCAGACTTGGATCAGACTCATGACTTTGATGTCAGCCCCACTCCCTGGCGTCTTCGTGCCCAAGAGCTCAGGATACTCAAAACAGTCCCGGTGGATACCGAAGAGGAGCTCAGAAGGCTCAAGGCAGAGCATAACGAGGTTCGTCGGACGATTGCACAAAGAGATGAGCATCTTAGCACAGCTGTCCTCAAGATTGAGACGCTCGAGTCCCGTATGCGAGATGCTCAGGCAAACGTTGAACGCATTGGCACCTTGCAGTCCGAGCTCGAGGATGTGAATGGCCATGTCACTAGCCTCAAGGAGGACATTGAGAAGCAAGACCGAGAACTCAAAAACCTGGAGTCGGAGCGAGACAAGTGGAAGAAGATTGCGAGTGACAGCAGAGCATATGCGGACGGCGCTGATGCTGCGGATATGAAGGCCGGTCAAGAGCGGGCCGTCGCTACAGCACGGGAAATGGACACGCTGAAGAAGGAAATCGAAGGCCTACAAGGCGCCGTCCGTTATCTGCGCGATGACAACCGTCGTGCGCGCATGAAGGAGCAGCAAAGCTACGAATGGCTCGCAGAGCCTTTGAAGAAGGAGGCCAGCCCAGAGCAGCAGCGCAAGGCATTGGTGGCCGCCGAGGGCAAAGATGTGCTTGGAGAGCTCCTTAAAATGGCGACGTCGACGACCGTTTTCGACCTCAGCACCGCACCAAAGGAGAAGCTAGCTTGGCGCCCGGCCAGATCAACACCACAGTATCACGTGGCGAAGCAGATGGAAGATCTCGAGGCCTGGAGGGCTTGGCAGGAGTCGGTGCTCAAAAAGACGGACATGCTGTTCGCCCAAGACCGCAGCCTCCGCCTCGGAAGAGAGAAACTACAACAAGCGGCTGCTGGCGCGAAGGGGGACGCTGTAGCGCGGCTGAGGATCCGGCTACCTCGCGACCCTGCGTTGCAAGGCAAATTGACGGCGGGAGACAATGTGCGGATTGTGGGATCGCAAGAGTGGGATGCTCTGCAGGCGGCTACGAGGAAGTTTGCCGCTGTATAATGATTTTTGAAGCCACCCTCCCCCCCCCCCTTTTTTTTTACAAAGAAGAAAAAAAGCACGTGTATATGAATGAAAGCAAGGAAATGACTTGATCTTTTTATTTACTGAGCCCTTTCCCTCCTCTGTTCCCTTTTTTTTTTCTTCGTCTTTTAGGTATGAGAGGTTGTAGATAGAGGGAGATGGACGTCTTTTGCATACCCCCCCCTTTTTTTTGCTCATGTGTACCACAACGATGATTTTGTGTATGTGTCAAGACTATTAAGATTTGATGCCCTACAAGCAAGCAAGCAAGAGCGGCGAAGGATGGAAGGAGAAAAAAAGCCTTTCGGTTTTTGTTGTTTGTCTTTTAGTTTTAAAAGCAAGTCATGTGGCGAGATGTTATAAAGCTGTTGGAGGATAAAGATTTTGCTGCGCATCTCGATACCCTTGTTTTCATGTTCCTTGGTGTACGTGGTTTGAAAAAAAGGTATATGTGTAAATAGGGGAATGCGTTCATGTCATGTAGCGTTCGTGAAGCCGAATTTATTCTGTTCCTGCGTAATACCCAGACAGTTTGCTTTTTCCAAGGTAGCCTCTTTGCATTATATACACAATCAGTCTTTTGTCTCTTTCTTTCAGCTTGAATCGTTGCGAGTTTGTCATTATTGAAAGGTCGTATAATCGCCATCATCATAGCAAGTCTATAGACTCTTGAATCACCCCCTCCCCTGGGAAAAAAAGGTATTTTCTCTCTCTCTCTCTCTCTCTTTTTGTTACAACGCCCCCCCATTCACATACAAGGATATTAATTGCCCGCCATCCATCTCATTCTCTCCTTCATAGACTCAACCAGCTTTAAGCTTTCCCTTTGCCCTTTTTGTCCTTCTTCTTCTTCTTGCCCTCCTCCGCGCCGCTCGCGCCACCACTGCCGCCGCCGCCACCAGCCTGGCTCGCAAGCAGCGCAGCCATGGGATCGGCGCCGCCCTGCATCTCCTTCATCATGTCCTTGAACAGATTCTCCGAGACGCCGCCGCCCGTCATGGCAGCGCTCAGGTACGGCAGGTACTCGTTCATCTTCCAGCCCCGCGGCACGGCGGGCTTCGGGTAGGGCTTGTCTTCGGGCGGCTGCATCTGGTTGCCGAAGCGCAGCCGCAGGCCGGGCGAGTTCTCCGTCGTCGGGTTCTCGCGCAGGTGCTTGGCCACGAGGACGTACAGGTGGTGCTTGTTGGCAATGGCGGCTGACGCTGGCGAGCCGGCGGCCTTTTCCTTCTTGAGGGCGACCTTGACGCGGCCCGGGTTGGACCAGTCCTTGGGGTGGATCTTCTCGGGCTCGAGCAGCGTCTGCAGGCGCAGGCGCGAGCAGGCGTTTGCGATTTCGCGCGCCAGCGGGTTCTTGACGGCCAGGGCGGCGCTGACGCGGCGGCCCTCGGCGCGGGTGCGCGAGGCGTCGAAGTAGACCGGGTACAGGCACTGGTGGTTGTTGAAGGCGGAGCGGTCCGAGGTGGCGGGCAGCGTCGAGATGCCCGGGCCCGACATGGGGTTCAGGAACTGCTGGGCGCGGGCGGCGGCGGCGTGGAGGTCGTTGGCCTCGTCGTCGTCGTCTGAGGAGTCGACGATGCGCTGCTTCTGGGTGCTGGGGCCGCGCGCGCGGATGATGTCTGTTTCGGCAAAGTCGTCGAGGTCGACCTCGTCGGGGTCCGAGACGATGTCCGGGTCGCTGTCGGAGACTTCTTCTACCCGCGGGTGAGACATGTTGGGCTGAATTGGAGGCAATGGAGGGGATGAGAAGAGAAGAGACAGAAGGAGAATCAAAAAGAGATGTATGAGAGAGAGAAGAAGAAAAGGCGAGGCAAGGGACGGGGATGGAGGAGGGAAAGAGGTGGAGGGTTGGCGAGGCTGAGAGATGGAGAGAGGTTGAAGCAAGCAGAATAAAGCCAGTTCCATGGTGGGGTCAACCGCGCTTTAGTGTGTGGTGGGGGGTTGGACATCGCCCTCTTTTGGCTATAAATCGCCATGTGCTTAGATGCCTTAACGACAGCTAAAGTGGTTACATTCATGTCTATGCAAATGAAAAGAAAAAAATAAATGTCCTTGGATAAGCATTCATTGAGCAATTGTCGTATCTGCAAATTACCGCTACATGCAATAGCTAATTTCCACGTTGGGCGCTGAACCAATATTCCCATGGCGCGAGTGCACCCAAAAAAATAAAGATAAAAAACACCCGTTTGTACTCCCGAATTCTCTCTACCTGTATAAATAAGAGCGCAGTCATTTCTTTAAAAGCAAAGCTACTTCAACTCCTTCATTAGTTTGATATGACGAGATTTCGGACGGCATGGTAGTATCCGGCTCGCAAGCTCCACACTTTTTAGTTGGCGTGGACGTAAGCACTCTTGTATTTTGTTCCGGGAGGATGGGCCTCTTCCGAGAATTTGCAATAAGGATGGACGCAGGTGCCGTCCCGGATGCTAGGACACTGGAAAGATGAAGACGTTAGCAACGTTGTCTGAGGGAGCGAGACGAGGTAAAACTTACATGGTGGCCATATATGCAGTCTTCTGCCTCGCAATACTGGCCGGACGAGCACGGGTTTTGGCGAGCTAGCACAGCAACCGCCTTGATCTCGTCCTCGTTAATCTTATAGTCGTGAGCAAACGGGCAAATGTCCTTCTTCGCGCATGGCCCACGGAGGTAATGGTTGTTGCATAGTTTGTCGTTGTCTTTTCGCCTCTTGATCGTTTCCATCACTTGCACATTCACCCTGATGGGCTCGTCAAAGCCGCGACGACCAGGATTCCAATTATCCGGTATGCTAGACGGGATTAATTGGTACTGTGACTCGGACTGGGCACGGCCCTGGGCCCTCTCTCGCCAGGATGCCGTTCCCGACTGCGTCTGCTTTTTCGGTGGAAGCGTAAAGGGAAGTGTAATCTGTGGCGGTGGACTGGCACTCGCGATCCCGGCATAGGACACGTTCGGGGTGCGAACTTGGCTGGAGCCGGCGCTAACAGCTGGGCTGGCTGTTCGAGATGCAATCAGCTGAGCCGGGGGTGATTGGCTAGATGCCATCTGAGCCAACGTAGGGAATTTCCCAGAAAGCTTATCGTCGCGGAAGAGGCCGTCCCCGAGCTTTTCTATCTTGATGTTGGTCGCGACAAGATCAGGCACGGTAGTGACGCCCTCGATGATGCTGATCCTCTGTCGGGTAGCCTCATTTTGAAGAGTTTCGTCCAAAAAGGGGGCATAGCCGGCGTCATGCGAAATGCCGAGCATAATGTGCTTGCAGTTGTGATTTCGTAGATGCCATCTAGTTGTTTCTGTAAAATAGCAAACGGGGTCAGCTCAGCCAACTTTAACAGTCGTTTGGGACAGCCAGTGATTTCACAGTACCTTTAATTTTGGAATCAGCCCTTTCTTTGCCGTAGCCAACATCAATATAGTCGAATGTAGCTTTGGCTTGTGTGAAGCCAAGTGTAAAATCTTTCAGGGTGCTCGGGCTATCCACGCAGCCATCTCGTTGCATGGCTTTGCCCAAGCCAGAAAGATTCGCCACCACTTTGGCCACAATCTCCAAGTCCTCAACCTCTTCGCCAAATCTTTCCGCCACGGCAGCGCGTAAGGCATAGGCGACTTTTTTACCACCTTCAAGACCTTGTTTGATCCATGTATCTCTAAACTATAAGAAGACGCAAGGTCAGTGGCTGTGATTTGTTGCATAAGAGGAGGATTAACTAAGTCGTACCATAAGACCATCGCCATCTATCAACACCATGACATAAGGATTGTGGTTCTATCATAACGACCGTCAGCATTTGCGTTCCATAATGGATATTCAACCTATGGATTAAGAAGGCGGGTGCTCGAGGATATGTATACCTTTATCTTGTCCATTTCTTTATTCACTTTGACTTTTGCATCCTGCTCCTCGGCTTCATAAAGGCGAAGGCGATGCTCCAGATCTGACCTCTGAGCTGCCGCATTTTGAAGTTCAATCTGTGCGTTGAGCAGTCTCTGACTTTCATGCCGAAGTTCATTCTCGACTTGATTGCAATATATCACGAGGTCCTAAAAGGTACATGGGAATAAGTACAAGTGAAATTGGGTATATGCAGGGAGAGAGTGAAAAAGTAGGTCAAGGAAGTGAGCAAAATGCGAGAAAAAAAGACAGATTTCTCGGTTTCTGCTCATGCTCCGGAGCCGATTCAACAGCGACCATGGTGACGACAGGCACAGCCTAGGGGGAAAAAAAATGGGAGATGGAATTAAAATCAAGGACAACGCCGTACCTTGAAAAGATTATCCATCGAATCTCTTTGCACTGTCAGCTCGTGAAATCGCTGAACGAAATCCCTTATATCAGCACCGACGGCCGGATTCATCTTATGAGACATTTTTTTTTTTTTGTTAACTGCTCCGTTTGATCGAGGTTTCTTTCTTGTTTCTTTTCTTCTTGGGCAGCCGTATTTGAGGCTGTGAAAATAGTCTGGTTTTTTTTAGGGGTGCCGCTGCACGTCCCTTAAGCAAAAAGAGAGGAAATCGAAAAAAATATGAAGAATAAGTTGAAGGAAGGTGGAAATTAGAGAAATAATACTATCACGCTAAGTCTTTGACTTGAATCTGGTCTTTTTATTGTTAAAATGGTGATAATAGGGGAAAAAAAAAAGATGGGGTTTATGATGTGTGAGTAGTTGTTTATTGTAGAGGTGTAAAAAAAGAAAATGGTGGCGAGTCCAAGAATTTTTTTTTTGTGATGCCGCTGAGCTTCTGTATTGTGTTTCACGTCACTGCGACTACCCGTTTGATTGCTCTTATTATTCAAGTATTATCACCGCACGTGGTTTGCGCCGGCAGCCGAGCCAAAAAAAATGCCCTCACTTTCAGAAGAAAGATGTAGAAAAAAATAATGAATAGTAGTGAAGCAGGATTGCTCAAGATTTTGGGTTGCCAGATTTTTTTTGCCTGATGTGCTTAGTAGCGATCATTACTAGCATCCGCTGGGATTTTTTTTCTAATTCTGCTAAACTAACGGAAAAAAGGGGGGCCGCCATTTATACCCATCCAAGTGTCACTGGATTTAGGCAGCGCAGCCCTCTTGTCGACAGAGCGGCCGTGAGGTTTAATATTAACACCGTCGCCAACCAACAGCACTTTATATTAAAATTAAAATTGAATCGTTTTGAAACGGCGTCTAATGCGTCCGCTGCTCAAAATACGGATAGGCTCGCAGCCGCTAAAAGTGACCCGCGACAGGGTTCGCAGCACAAAAGGATGCCCCCGGAGCGGATTAGCGCGAGCGCCAAAGCAGACCCCACAGCATCGAGAGATGGCGATTTTCATCGTCAACTGCCCTGGCGGTGCTTCGCTTCCATCTTGAGCGGCTGAATCCAGTCTCATGTGCTCGTTCTCGTATCTGGACCGCTGCTAGCACTTGTTGCTTTTGTTGGTACGGCATACAATACAGTACACAATACAGTACACAATACAGTACACTGCCTCTTCTCGCTTGCGACTTTTAGTGGTCAACGCATGATGTTTGAGCAAGCCAAGCGAGTGTCTGTTGGCGCTATGGCGTCTCTGCTACCGCTCGCGTCACATCCTTTTTGGGGCTGTGAGGGCCGTTTGCCAGTCTCGGTGCCAATCATTTGCTGTGCTCTGGCGGTTGTCACCCCAGCCATTGGCCCCCTGCAGCTCGTAGCAAACGAGAGAATCCCTCAGGATCCCTCAGAAGCCAGTAGGTTGCTGCTTTCCTGTATGCCTATTTGCAGAATGAACAAATCACGTCGTCAAACTCGCCTTGGCTTGTGCATTCGCGCTCTCACCACCACCAACAGCTCCTCTGAATCACACGAGCATGTCACGCCACTCCTCGAATCAAGTCTTCCCGCCTCAACCGCTTTCGTTACCGCTGGGCTGGTGCTGATTCAAGAGCTGCCACACTGTGTCCTCCCCAAAGCCTCCTTCAAATTGCCACATGAATGAGTCGCCTAGTAGTAATGAGTCCGAATCTGTCTGTGGTGGCGCGTTGTCGATCTGATCGACTGTGAGGTCTTTATAGATGAGATCTGCCATCGGGAAATACGGCGCCATACTGGTGAAGCCATTTGCATCTTGTGACACGTCCCATCCACTGGGCATCATTGTCGGAATGGAGGCCGTCGAGTCCTCAGCAGTTGATGGAATGGCGGCGCCTGACGATACAGATTCAGAATGCCCTTTGAAGCTTCCTTCTATTGATGCCATGCCGACCGAACTTGTTGGTGTCGATCCAAATGTCTTGCTCGTCGATGTAGGCGTAGTGGTATTGGAGTTATGACGCAAGAGATCGACGGGAGGACTGACAGAAGAAGACGGCGCGCAGTTTCCAACGGCTTTGACGAGCCTAGCCACCACCGCTCGAAGAACTCCTAATGCCGACTTGGCGAGAGGATTCATATCCTTCATGGTCGCGAATCGCTCGACCGTCCAGTGACAATGCTGCACGGCAATTTCTCGAAACTCTGCATTTTCGTAAGGAAATAAGATGTAAATAGAGGCAATCAACGTGACTGCGTCGAAGCTACCGTAGAATAACTGCCAACTAGAAAGAAGAGAAAGTGAAAAAAGTTAGCTGCCGCTTCTCAAGATTGAATATGGCTTTGAAGATCTGGACGGAACATACTTCTTCCACGATTTCGGTGGCAGCCCTTCAAACATGCGCTTCTGCATTTCTAGCATGCCGAGGGAGCCCTTAATCACCTCAAGTCGACTCTCCTCTCGGTGGAAAATGTAGGGCCGATGGAGCGCAACCAGTGTGAAATGGAACATTTGTTCAGACAAACACCTTGCCTGATGAAGCCAGTGCAGTTCGGGTAAGTGATCCCATTGCCTGTCTGGGTTCTCTATCCGGAAGGCGGCCGGCGTAGCATCGTGTATATCCATAATGCTTTGTTGTATCTTGAGCACTTTTGACCAGTCCCTGGGGCATGGCCCTTCGGGTTCTAGGTCCAGAACATCCCGCAGCGGCAACATTGTTTTGTATAGGAGTATATTTCTCGTCAATGACGTTGGAGGGTCAACGCCCTCTTCTCTGGGGATGACGGGAGTTTTGGAGCGATCCGATGCCAACGTGAATCGGGCGTCGATAGGCAGCGTGGGGAAGCCGTGTCTGTAATTCATAGAACCGGGGCGGCCTAGAATGAGGCACATGTGAATATCCCTGGAAAGAATCATTAGTAATCTCAATCAACTCATGCTGGCTTATAATGCACTTACCATGACCCAAGCATCATGTATAAATGTCTCCTTTTCTCAATTTGCCACTGGTTTAACAACACACTCTCTACGTCGTTCGATTTCGGCTTTGGGTCAAGTGAATCTCGGTGCATGCCCAGCTCTTGGGCATCTCTGATCGTTTTACCAACTTGGTGCCACTAAATCCACGCAATGTCAGCGGAAATCGTCCCATAAAACATCAATGGCAAGCATGTCGGCAAGGCATGCACCCACCGATTCCGTAACGTTGGCCGTATACTTGAGGAAGGATGATCGAAGGAATCCAGTTTGAATCGACGTCGTAGACAGGGACTTTGTGCCCAAAAGACTGAGAATAGACATGCTGGACTCGCTGTAGTCGATTGCCAGATCCTCAAACGTCATGTTGGCAGCGTACTTGAGCGACTCAAACGACTCATGGAGAGACTTGGGAAGAACAAGCAGCGCCGTCGCAATGATCTGGAACAAGAGCGCCGGAAACACCTTCAAGTCCGGAGCCAAAGCTTCTGGGCCGCGCGAAGAAAGCAGCCTGAAGGGTATATTGGACCATTGTTCCAGGAGCTCGTTAAAGTTCTGAGGCTCGACCAGAAAGTACTGCCAGTTGAGGTCGGCGAAGAAGATTTCCGTCAGCTGGTCAATGTACATCCTCGCGGGGAGCAGTCGGATAAGCCCCTTGTATTTTTCCCTGACGGCAAACGTATCCTGATGCGATGCTTGCCCCGGCGCCGAGGCATTGGACAGCGCATCCTCCCCATCCGCCGTGCTGGCCCTCTCAATCTTCTGGAGGAAGCAGAGCGTGGATGACCCCCCTGATTGCGCATAGCCCCAGGACGAGGCCACGGAAGACAGCGGCTCAGACTTTTGTTTTGTCTCATCGTCGTCGTTCTGCTCGGAGGAATATAGTCCGGCGTGCGCCTCGTGTTCGCGGGCGGTGGGCGCGCCGGCCTCGTAGAAACAGCTTGTTTCCTTGTTCCTCGACCTGCAGTTGCCGCACGGCAGCTCCCGATCGCACTGCAACCAACACACATGGTCAGCATTTGCCCAATGTTACTCAATACCGCATCGGTCCAGCTCAGCTCGGCTCAGCCTTGTCCAGATTCCCAACCTTTTGCTTCCTTCGATGACATTCGGTACATGAAATGACAATTCGTCTCCGCTTCTTAGTCGGGCCCCGCTCGTCCCGGCCATCGACTGCGACCTCAATGTCTGCCATTGCTTTCTGTGGTTTCTCTTCGTGTCTTGGCGCTCGGTCGATCTGGATGGGGGCGGTCCAAGGGGCGCAACCGCGACGAAGGCTCAGAGGAGCGAGAAAAATCGGACAGGATCGCGATTGCGTAAGATTTCAAATTCAAAAAAGCTGTCGCAGAGAGATGGAGATTTAGTATGCAGGCAAGCGGCGGGGCCCGCGGCAGATAGTACGGAGAATCATTGGGACGGCCGTGCTAGACTCCGCGTTAAGTCCGGCGTGACGGCTCGTGCATCCCGAAAACACCAAGGCTGGTTTTCGGCGATGCAAGTTGATGCAAGTTGATGGAACGACGTCATATGTATATATGACTTATTAGACATCTCTATCACTTTACCTATTGCTCTATTACTTAGTAGGCGTCATCGACTACACCTTGTAATCAATAAGTAAATAGGTCATGCAAGACATGGGACGTCCATTTTTGGACACTCTGGCAAGTAGCAGCCCATTATCACAACATGATCTTTGGTTAGATATCTCTAACTGCTACATTTTCTTTTTTGTTACTTACTCTAAAATTTCCAGTCTGCCTTTTCTAATTTAAACAGTTTTCTACAGTACTGTAGTGCATCTCAAGAGGCTGCCTCATTGTTGAAATACTTCTCATCGTCTCCCAACAAACGCCGGGTTATCAACTCATAATGTTGAACAACAAATTGCTGCATCTTTATATTTTTGAGAACATAGAAACAGACAGGTATATATAAATAGTTAATGATACACTTATAGACACGGGCATCGGCGACATTATCCATCTTACGGGCCAGCAAACAGCACGTCGGTGGTCAGCATTGCTCCGCGCCTTGACTAATCCAGCCATAAGAAGCTTACGGATACCTATCCTCCCTAGCCTAGATTGGGCATTCGGTCTGCCGCAGAGCTTTCAATAGTTCCAGTCCATTTCTGTCCAGTTCACCGTAAGATAGTAAAGTCGCAGACGTTGCACCGGTTAAAATGCTAGATCGAGGCTTCACCTTGTCGAGTTAGCCGTTTCATGCATTCTACACGCCCGCAAAGACAAAAGCGGAAATTTTACCAGTCCCCCTTATCGTAGAGTAACAGTAAGTAGCCAAGCTCAAGCAATTTATCATTACAACTTCTTGTCGATGCTTAAGACGCACTCAACATCTCGTAGCCGGCGCTGATTCACTTTTCACTGCACACATCTTCTTATTTTTATTCTCTTCTTCTTTTTTTCAAACAAAAGGAATAAATCATTTTGATATTTGATCCTAAAAATTCCCTACAAGCCCTAGCGTTTGTTTCCCTAAATCGCAAAGCGTACCAAAATCCGAAAATCCAGATCCACCATGTAACGGACCAGTGAGCCCCAATGTGCAGTTCGCCTCCACCTTTGTGCATGCAATAACATCAACGTAAACTGGGTAGCGTCTTGGCTAGCAGACGGCCTCCCTAAATCAAAAGTGAATAAAAAAGGAGAAGAACATGAAAAAGAGTTCGCCTAAATACATTGCATTCTATGATGCGGGCATTAGATAGGAGCCTCTTCCAGCTCCGCTTCTTCTTTTTTTCTTATCGCAGCAACCTCTCTGTGTAAGCTTTCCATGCCGCTGACCGGTAACGTTCTGCCTCTTCGACGGGATCAGAAGCCTTCAGAATGCCTCTGCCCACAATGGCAATGTCGCTGCCGGCGATGCCAATAATCTTGTGCGGCGTGTTGTACTGCTGGCCTTGGCCATCTCCTCCCACCTTGCCGTTTGTCTGCTGATCTTCGTCTTCGGGAGGAAGCTGGCAGCCTGGGGTCATGTGGATAAAGTCGTCGTCTGGCTGTGTGTTCAGCGCCTCTTGTGAGATGAAGCCCATAACAAAGTCCTTGTGTTCCCGAGCTGCCTCGACGCAAGCTTGGGTGTATTCCCCAGTCATAAAGTTGCCTTCGCTGGACATCTGGGCGAGGATGAGGAGACCACGGTTCAGCGGCGCCTCTTCGATTCCTGGAAATAGTGACTCATCTCCCTCTGCGATTGTCTTTCCTAGTCGCGGCGAGGCGGCGGATTCGTACTGCTGAGTAACAGTAGTGATGGAAACGATGCTTCCCTTGCGGCCGTCGCCATTGCGGCCGGCGTATATAGGCTTCTCCATCATGTTGGATCCATTGCCGTTGACCGTAACAGGCTCATCATCTTTGGCATCTTCGGCATCGTCAAACTGGTCCATGGTAGGGGTTCCAACAGTGACGGATGTCTTGACCTCGCACGGATAACGCTCCAGCCATCGCCTGGCACCCTGGGCCAGAGAGGCCACAGACGCCTTGCCCGGTACCATGTTGACGTTGACAATGTGGGCCCAGTCGATGATGCGCGCCGAGCCGCTGGTGTACTGCAGCTCAACTGTGTGGCCAATGTCCCCGAACTTGCGGTCTTCGAAAATGAGGAAGCCGTGTTTTCGGGCCAGCGAGGCCAGCTTGGCGCCAGTGCCAGTGTCCGGGTGGAAATCCCACCCAGAAACCATGTCGTAGTGTGTCTTGAGCACAACGATGGAGGGGCCGATTTTGTCAGCAAGGTAAAGGAGCTCTCGCGCCGTGGGCACGTCGGCGCTCAAGCAGAGGTTGGATGCCTTGAGGTCCATGAGCCTGAGCAGATAAGAGGTTAGAGGATGCGTCGTCGCCTCGCTCCTCGCGGCGAAGGTCGTCTTGAGGGTCGGGTGTGATGCCATGGCTGCGGTTGTTGAGAGTCTGTAGTGGTGGCGGATAAAGATCGATTGGTGCTGGCGCAGAGCGTAGGGAGAGGTTGACGTCGAATTGCGCAGCGAGAGAAGCAGAGTATTTGATCAATAGGACTGCTCTGAGAAAATGCCGTCTAATGTCGGGTTGATCCCCTGCTAAAATTATAGGGAGGACTCTGAGGAGAGCCAAGTATATAGCGGAACAGGAGAGTCAATGCCGGCGGCGATATCCGATATTGCGATGTTGCAAGAGGCAGGCCGGCGACCACCGAAAAAAAAAAAAGAAAGAAACAAAGAGTTTGAGATTTGTGGAAGATGGCTGCAGATTCGGTGCACCCGAGAGGCGGAGGAAGTTATAGATGGATAAGACGAAACAGGAACCGGAAAGCTGGCCTGGGAGGAATAGTTGTGAAGCCCACCGTCCAAAAAGGGAGCTCGGTCAGTCGAGAAGCCCTAAACACCGTATGAACAACAGCAGATGGCAGATGCGATGTGACAGGCGCCACAAAGGAACTAGTATGGCCTTTACTGGACAAAGGTCGAAAATAAAAGAGAGACAGAGAGGAGGAGGAAGAGGAGGAGGAAAGAGAGAAGAGGATCCAAGAGTACGAGAGGATAAAAAGGAAAACGAAGAGGCACTGCGGCGAGCTTGGCGTGCGCCGTTCCGATTTCCGCTATAGCAGCAGACGACAGTCTCGAACGGGATCCCACAAAGGCTTGGGGACCGTGCCTGAAGTGAAGTGCCTGCAGCAGCAGGATCAACGAGCCCAGAATTGGGACAACTGGGTCTGTGTGCCGGGGTGGCTCGAGCAGGGGGTTGGCGGACGGGACGAAGGCGAACGGGGGCCGTCGATGTGAGAGGAGAGGAGAATTTTGTGGTCTCGGGCCTGGGAGCGCAGCAGCAAGGGCTTTGCGCGACGCTGACCAGGGGCTGGCCGGTGGATAGACGGATGGAGATGGAGATGGAGATGGAGTGAAGAGCGTCGAATGGGCTCTTTGCAGGCTGCGGTCCAAGCGCAGAAAGGCCCCGGTTAGGCTCTTTCTTACTGTAAAGGAGTTGAGATGAGAGAAGCGCTGGAGTAGCTTGTATTACAAGTATTGAAGTGTTTAATGCTGTCAACGATTCCCGAATCAGGGCAATCCAAACCACTTCTAATCGTGCCAGAGTCGGTCTGTTTGCTTGATGCCCGCATGCTTTGATGCCGAAGCAAGCCTTGCCAATTTTGGGCGGCAAAAACTTTTTCTCTCTTCTCGTCGTTGTGTGCGGCCTGCGGAGTTCTCTACTAGCATTGAACTGCTAGCTAGCAGCTGGAGTCTCAGTAGCTCCCCCAGTAGGCTCAGTTCCGTGGCAGTTGAAGCCCTGCATGGCCCGCCGCGACGCTGCAAAGGGCAGCCCTAGCCTGGCGGTAACGGCTAGTTGGGACTCGCAGTTGGGGCTCCAGCAGGAACCAGTACAGTGCTGGTACATGTACTCCGTGCTCTAGCGGTATGGCTTTAGGAGATGGCGGGGCTGTCCTGCTTCTCATGCAGGGAGCTTGGGGGGATTATGCATGGTGATGGCGCCGGCGCCGCGGTCCACTGAAGTAGTGCTACTGTACCTGTACCTACAGCACGACTCTGGGCTGCCCGGGAACCGGCGAGTCCAGTCCAGCGCTGCAGGCCAACATGCAGCATCAGAGTTCCATTTCAGCTGTGCAGGACCTTTTCCTCTCAACTTGCTCGCACTTGTTTTGCAACGACAACAAGAGCACCTCCGTGCGCGGGCAATCTTGCCTGGCAAGAGTGACGATAAGCCACTGGGCACACGCGACACTTTCCAGCCCACCATCTGACAGCCAAGAGCTGGAGGCGGTGCCGATTCCTCTCTTCCTGGCCCTCCTTCGGCACCACAGACCCGCCGGCGACGTGTAAGTCTCAAGACCCAACATCTGCCTGGACGTGGGACTAACAGGCGCCGTGTCCAACCGCTCGTGCTCGCTCTGGATGAGATGGACGGGGTCGATAATCTTGTGCGCCGTGGACAGACTGACAGACAGACAGACAGACAGACGCTACGAGGCTGGGCACAGAGCCTAGGCTTCAACATGTTCCCAATCGACCTTTGTCTAGACCTGCTGGTACGATATCATATCGGCAGCACCACGGTGGCGCATCACTAGCATAGCATAGACAAGGTGGATGGAGGTTATTAACAAGCTAGCAGCATTTGATCAATTTTGTGCGGAGCTCTCCTAGTGCCACTGCGGTTCCATGGCGTTGGCAGCAGCCCTGCTCCTTGCAGATGGCTGGCGATCCTCCCTCAGGCGTCGGCAGTAAGACGACTGACTACTGGTACTGTACGTATGGGGTGCTCATACGACCAGAAGGACAGTATTGCTGACCAGCCAGTAGACTGCCCAGTATCTGGGTAATATTGCTGGCTGTTCAGAACGAGTGCTACCACCAGTAGCAGTCACCATCTTGCCGACCCGGCCTCTCTTCTCTTGGCCAAGGCCAAAGTGCGGTCCTATTATCCTCGACCTGCGTTTGCCTTGCATTGCCGCTGTCGCAATGCATGCTGCTCAACTGGCAACGTCCAAAGAAAGGCAGGTCTAAGTCTAAATGCGCTAATGCTCGAGCCTCCATGGCTACTTGTCCCGCCCGAGGTAAATCTTTGGGGGCCAGAGCGGGAACAAAAAGCGTCAGCACTCCATCAAATGTCATTGCTGATGCGTTACTAGTAGTAGTAGTTCCTAGGTAGGTACTTGTAGTACATGCATGCTCGTGCGAACTACCCGAACAGTCCATCCATCTCCAAGTTATCATCCGATTAATCGCCCTTCAAGAGAGGACACAGACACAGACCAAAGACCTCACCTCACCATTTGTCCACACCCAGTACAGTACATACCATTATTACTAGGCACTAGCACGACAACCTGCTCAAGCGAACAATGTCGGCTAAGCAGGAAAAACTGGACTCGGACCTGGCCGGGACAAGTCGGCTTTTCTTCCGCATCTCAACCCTGCCAGCCTCTAGGATAGTGTGCCCAAGAGCCCCAGAGACGATAAACGAAACCCAAGCGCCGTTGGTATTTTTTTGGCCGCGAAACTTGCATTAGAGAGGTTGCGTTGCTTCATACTGTTGTGCATCTACGGACTTCTCCGTCTGTTGTGCACTGCGGCTGTAACACACGCCTGCCAAGGCTAACGCCACATCGCTGTCAACAGTAAAGGCAGCTTCCTGGGCCATCTCCAGAGTGCTCAAGCATGTCTCCATACACGATACCCCGTCTCTCCCTCCTTTTGTGTCCGGCAGTTGAGGTCCCGGCGAGCCCTGTGGTAATTGCCTGACAGAAAGGAGAGGGACGGCATCTTCCCTAACCGATCTCAACCTGGTATGCTTCCACTCATACCCTTACAAGTAGTACTTGCCAGCAGTACAGTACCATCGGCAAATTAACAACCCAGCATTACGGAATACGGGATCATGGAGTACGAAACCAGGAGATAATATACAATGGTCCCATTTGCCAGGCACTAGGTACTACTACCTGGTAGGTATATTACCAACTCACAATCCCAGTCTTTCGCTACCGCCAGCTTAGAAACCCCCGCTTTATTACGGAGAAGTAACAGCATGCTGCTTGCTAATGCCTTGTTTCCCATACAAATGCTGCTAATAATATCACTCGATATGGCATGGGAGTATTGTGGAAATATGTGCTAATACGAGGGTGAAATACACCAAGTATTGATATCAAGGACAGGCATTGCAGATCCATCCATTTGGCAAACCGAGTCATTCAGGCGCGTCCAACAGCGAGAGCAGAGCCGCTAACGCTTCCTTTACAAGCGTCCATCACATGTCCCAACGGCTAGCAGAGCTGGGGATAGGCCTCACAGACACCTCCCGTATGGCCCTAAACAAGATCTTTCCCCGAGTTGAGCTTATGGTTCGCGCCAGCGGCACGCATGTACCGCGATCGACGGGCATCCCGAGATCTAGATGAGGAAGCTTTATGCTGATGAGACACTTTTTTTTTTTGTGCCAATGAGAGGGAGCAAAAAAGAAACAATCAGGTTAGACAAGTCTGACGGCAGGAAAAGCAAGATGACGAATGATACCACACGCAACCGGTCGTCTCCCCCCCGCATGCCTGTTTGGTGCCTGTTTGGTGTCTGTTAGAAGCAGGCCTCTCCGGAGGGTTGCATTGGGGGAATCCCTATCGTCGCATTTTAGTTTTCATCTCCTCCGTACTAATGCCGGGCCATGGTTTGTTTCGGGTTCTGCGATTCGGGTTTCTTTTTTTTTTCTCTGTTTGATTCTTTCCTTTTTTGTGAAGAGAGTTTCTTTTTAAACCCTCGTCCCCGTAAAAGGACCGGGACCTTTTACGGTTCTACCCCCCCTTCTCCTCGTCTTGCATTCGAACTTCCAAGCATCAGGTAGGATTAAGAGAGCCACCACTACCGGCAAGCATTCCCCGGAGCTTTGTCAAAATCGACACATCACTTTTTCAATTCCATTTCAATGGGAGATGAGGGGCCTTATGCTAGATGGGGATTTTTTTTTTGAGTTGAGAGGCTGTATTACCAGGTATTAGTACCTAGCATACCGTGGACTGCTTTCATTTCCTTTTTCCCTTTTTCCTTTTTGCTGTTCCCTGCAAGCACATAAGCTGCAGGGCCAGCGCATATTGGCGAGTTTTATCAGGCCATTTCACGACGCCTGAAGTTTATGCTCGTTGACAGGTAGGAAGTAGTAATACTGTAGTAGTAGCTTGCGGACTTGATTCAAATGCTTGATACGGAGCCGGCAAATAGCCTAAATTAGTAAAGTTTTACAGTGAAAAGCCTGATCCTTTCAAACGACGACCCCCCTGGGCATTATTTTGTTGACTTATCAATAGCAACGCCGGCTTTTGAGCGATAACGCAAGCGAGGTGTTGTGAGTTGGTTGAATTTCCCCAAACAACGACGTGCATGTTGCATTCAACTCTCCAAATGCCGACCTGCATGTGCCTAGGCCCTGTTTGGATTCGGGTTTGGCAGTTCGCACGGGCCTTTGGCTTAATGTAGATGTGAACGCGTTGAGGATCGCTTGCTCGGTGTCTATAAACTTGTAGCGCAACTCATGCTGCTATCGTGTGAGTATATGCTACGGCGTTTGGTATCCAGGCTGTCTATAAGCAAGTGTATCTGTAGCTACAAGCTAGCGGCTGGACTTGGGAACTTATTTCTAGACTACTTAATGTGCTGACTGCAATGGAAACGGCTACTCAGATTGGATAGTTTTCAGTATTACAAGCGATGTTGCAAGGGTTAGAGTGCAAGTACCAGGAGAGAAAACGCCCGTACAGAAACCTTGTCTAGCTATTCAGTTTAGTTATAATTGGTCAGGATTTGGAAACTGTACCGGGGCTGTTGTTTAGGGTGATCCTATGAGTTGGAGTACCAAGATAAGTTGCCAAATACGGAGTATCTCTTCGGCCACAAGACAGTCAATCACATATCGTTTATAACAATGTCTTTTTACTCTGTTTAATGATCTATTCAAACATAGTTTATGCCTTGGCTTGTTTCCGCTCCAAGGCCTTTTCCAAAGACGCCACCCTCTCGTCAATCTTCTTGAACGACCAGCTCTCAAACGTGGGAGGGTAAAGGAAAGGGCGAAGATCAAATCTGTGATCGTCTTGGGAATAAGATTCAGCTGAATGTAAAGATTAGTATCATTATTAATCCGGATAAACCATTTTCATAAACATTCATACCGTGATAAGCCGGAGTCCCTACCGTGCTCTTGTGGCGGTTAATGGAATAAAAGAAGAAGAAACGCTTTACTTTGTCGGCGATCTCGCGAGGGCTCAGTTTGCCTTCTCCGCCCCATTCGTTGAGGAGTCGCAGGAACATGCCGTACGGTCCAAGCTTGTTCTGCTTACGTAGTGACTGTGATGGTATTTTAGCGCTAGTTGCTGATTTAGCTGCAGTTTGATTTACTTACACCAAAGCGCGATAGTTCGTCATAGGTCATGCCCATATCAGCTGCAAGTTTGTAAGTTTATGCCCTTTTTCTAGATGTTGTGATTTCAACACTTACCTTCATCACTTTGCACGTAGGTTTCAGTGATGGGCTCGAGTTCAGCCGTTGCTATTCTTGTCGTTAATAAAACGGGAACGAGTTGTATTTTGTAAGATGTAGACTGTTTGACTCACGAATGGCGTGGATGAACTCGTCCAGAATAGGCATATCAAAGCTTTTGCTCGCCCAGGCAATGAAGCGTTTACTTTAAGAGTACAATGTCAGTAATTGTTCTAACAACAGTATCTTTATGAAATCCTGCATGGAAAGAATACTCACAGGTCAGACTTGCTGATAGAACCGATTGGATTAAGATCGGCAGAGCTGCAGTCATATTTTGTGAGATCTATTTTGTTTGTGTCAGTATATTGTATTGCATAGGAATTTTGAGATTTTGATTACTCACATCCGCGAAGGCATTCATCGACATTGCTGGATCCAAGGACCAGCAGGCCGCCTCCTCCCGGTCGTTGCCGGACGGTCGGCAGCATCTGCGCGTAATAGTAGGCGATGACCATGCGAGAGCGGCTCTGGATATTTTGTAAGGCCACTGAGATTGTTAGCGTAATATCGTAGGAAATTTAGAAGGGACACATACAATTTTCAGCGACTGATCCTCCGTGGACCTTGAACCTGGGTTCAAATCCTGTGCCTTGCGTGAGCAAGTTCTTCGTGGCGTGGAAAGTGTCGTCGATATTCATGTCTGTATGGTAGCTACCAATACGGCTGGCAAGATCCTTGGCACGTTGTCGAGTTTCTTTGCTGCTTTGAGCGGCCATTCCCATGAAGACGGTATGGAAGATCTGATTACAGAATTCCTCGGGCGTATCAGGCAATTTATCGGAGAAGGCAGCGAGTCTTTTAACGTCCGCAATCACTTCTGAATTGCCATCTTTGACGGCTTGGACTACGAGTCGGCACATGCTATACACAATGACAGCCGTCGCGCAGGAATCGATGCCTCCTGATAGAGGCACTAGATAGCCCGCAGTTTTACTTCGTCGCACTTTGAGTATTCATTAGTATATAGGTCAAATCATTGATAACAGAGACTATGGCTCGATGTGCATGCAGCACTAGGGAAAGACAAAAGACTTACAGTAATCCCAGAGCCAGCATGCTGGGCCAAGAGCCTACACAACATTAATGATTAGCAATAATTCTCCTTGATGAAGATTGAAAAGCTTCTTTAGGGAGGCGGCCGGCCATATAATGGTCGGATTTAACAGAGGACGTACAATTTCTTCCTCAGGGAGGTGATATCTTGGGGGCATAATGGGAGTCGGAACTTCAAGAATTCTGAGGTTATCATGAGAGAGCGTAAAGTCAACCTCAATTCTCTCGTACACCGGTGCTTGCACGGCTTGGAAATTGCGAGATGGGGCGAAGCGGTAGGCTCGCACTTCCTCGAGGTCGACTGTCGCAGTCACCACCTCAACATCTAGCAAGCTGAACTGCGCGCCCTGGGCAACAATGTCACCGTTGACCACAATCATTGAGCAGCCATCATAGAGGAGACGATCACCATCACAACCTGCAGAAGGTAAGTAGAGAAACAGCTAGCTAGGGGGTTGTGGTATTGGACGCACCAGACTGGTTTGCGTAGAGGTAGATGCCACCGTTTTTCCGTGTAGCCTCTTGAATCAAAGAAATTCTCTCGTTGAGCTTTCGCAAGCTGTGATGCGACCCAGAACTGTTTGTGAAAATTTCAACGCCGTTGAGGCCCCTGGAAAAGAGTTAATAAATCCATGGTTTCTAACCCTGCAGCTAAAGAGACAAACATGTTGATATGCGGCGCCTGGGGGGTGAAGAGCTCTTCACACGTTTCAGCGGCAAGGGTCGTGTCGTTAAGAGACAAGATGACGTCGCCGATGGGGATCTGTCGTCTTCCTTGGTGTTGCTGGATTTGAGGCGGAAGGTTGTACTTTTCAACATATCTAGGCCGATTCCAGGGAGTAAAGAAGCGGTTTTCTCTAAAGTTTCTGTGCAGAGGAAAAGGTTAGCCATTTCCACCATCACATCGACATAATGGCAAGTTTGAGGGAAACTGGAAAACCTCAACATGTGTGCTGAGATGACTCATCTGGAGAACAACACTGCAACTCACCCATCGTTGGCTAGATATATCTTGGGGCGGAGGCACAGCAGCTTTCCGTCAAGAATAATTGCACGACAGTTATATCGGCATCCGCGGTGCATAACCGGCAAGCCTATATCAAGAAGAATGCCATGGAGAGAAGTATCCGTCAGAATTTTTGATAGCATATCCATGGAATGGTCATAAGTGTCAGATTCCAGAAAGTGGTCGAGACTGTTGCGCCATTAGTGACTGGTCGACCAAATAAGAGCTATAATTTTAAGATTTTATGCCTATAGAGGCCTTATTGAGAGAATCTTGAAACTCACCATCCATAACCGCTTATTTCCAGCTCGGGACCAGTTCGCAAGGTAGCTCCGGCTTCTTTGGCTTTGAGGATACTCGTACGAATTCGTGCAAGGTTGCCCTCCCAATCCAGTGCCCACTGGTTGAGAGAGCATGTTGCCAAAGTGATGAGCTGCGCCATCTTCAACTATCAAGGTGAAAAAACAGAGATGTTGAAAGAAAATCACGATGAGAGAAATTACGAAGAGCCTTGAAGTAAAAGAACGGCTATGCAGTAGCTGAGGATTAATACCCAGGCATTACTGTAATAGGATAAGGAAAGAGGGGGGGTATGGATCGAGGCATGAAACTTTTCTAGAATTTGCTTAAGTAAGATGCCGAGCAACGCCGACGCTTCGTGCTTTGTGTCAACTTGGTTAAGGAATTGGACGACTGTCTAATGAGAAACTATAGAAACTATCGCAGATTGGAGTAAAATACTGAACATGGGTAAGTTTGAAAATATATAGCTCTCACTTGTCTCTGGAGCCTATATCTCCAGTCTGCTCTCACAGTTGCATTGCAGATTGTCCGGGTTCCAAATCCGGAGCCTCGTAAGCACGTGTAGTACATCCATCTACATTTAGCCACCAAGGGACATTGCAACTTATGATGCGACAATTACTATGATTACAAGATTATAGATATGAAACCACCTAATTAAGCAATGATTGCGTCGATTGATTCTCCAAAGCAAAAGACTTTTTATTGCCGCGGAGCATGAAAATTGGACGGCTATGAATGCGGATTTACAGGTCACCAACCAAACCCTTGTCTGCGCGGACTTTCGGGTGACACCAGGCAGAGCTGAGGCCTTGCCCAGTGACGTCTACAGGGCTGAATGTCCGCGAATATATTGCCCACGGACCTGCGGCGCCATCCCGAGATTGCTGACCGGGGCTGTAAAATTGGCCTGCATATCAAACCAGCCACAGCGAATGAAGCCGAGAGGTGACGATGCGCTGTTCAGGAGGCTGAGAAGGCGGAAAGGCAGTTGAACACATCGTCAGCCACCAATAGTGGAGAAGCCTCTGACGAGTCTCTGCTCCAGACATGCTCAGCCTGAAGAATACAGACTGCAGATGCCTTGCGTCGGCGATGCTGTGGCTGGACACGATCTTCACGCCTCTGAGAGGACAAGAGGCAAAGGTCATGCGCGCTCTCATCACCGAATCACTGATGCGCAAAGGCAGCTCAAAAGGAGGCCTCGAGTGACGCATGGGCGCCTTGCAAAATCGTCAAATGCCTTTTTGCGTTATGGATGCTAAGCTTTATCGCGGAACTCAAATCCACGCGTACCATCTAGCCCAAAGAGGCATATCGCCCTGTGCATCCGGCAGCAAATTGCGCCAAGCTGAAGCTCCGAGCACGACTTGGCACCGCTCTGACAGCCACCACCTCGAATTGCGACACCGTGTCCGCCACTATGGTCTGCTAGTACAAGTAGCTCTGCTTTTTCCAATTAAGCTCTCCTTAACTCGTCTGGACATTTCCAACCGCTCCTTCGCCCAGGCATTTGTATATCTTCCCTTCAACGAGACCTTTTCTCTCTCGTTTTCTGCTTCTCCATCCCTTCTCCCCCGCTGCGATCCACCTCATCTGCAGCTTCGACAGGCGACCCCTCTCTGCTCGATACCGCTGTCATTTTTTTTTTTCGCCTCCAGCCTTGACCCAGGCCTGCCCATATAAAGAAGCCGACACACGCTGCACCCTCGGCCCGTAATCACGCGAGCTTGCTGGCAGCGCGGTTTTGCCCCTCCCACATTAGCGGCACGGATTTCGTGATAGAAGACCAGACTCGAACATCATGTCGGCACCAAGGACTCGGAGAAGAGCTGCCCAGGAAAAGCTCGAGCAGGTCTCTGATGACGACCACTCGCCGGCCGTCGTGGACGGCAACGGCTCGGCCCACGATGCGCCGGAAGCCTCGGATTCTGATTCTGACGGCGACGAGAACATCTTTCTGTTCTGGCCCAACATCATAGGTACGCGGTGAAGCTGGAGCGTCAAGATTCCGTGGAAAACAAGACAAAACTTATGAGCTGTCGCTAATGATGCTGGTTATTAGGCTACTGCCGAATCGTCCTTGCTATTGCGTCCCTCTACTACATGCCCCTGCACCCTCGCACCTGTTCGTTACTCTACAGCGTTTCGTGCTTGCTCGACGCTCTCGACGGATATGCTGCCCGAGCCTTCAACCAGTCGACTCGCTTTGGCGCTGTCCTGGACATGGTCACGGATCGCTGCACCACCTCGTGCTTGCTGGTCTTCTTGTCCTCGGCCTTCCCGCGATGGGCCATCATCTTCCAGAGCTTGATTGCGCTCGACTTCTCCAGCCATTACATGCACATGTACGCCACCTTGGTTGTTGGCGGGTCCGACTCTAGCCACAAGAATATCGATAAGAGCCAGAGCTGGCTTCTGAACCTGTACTATACCAACAAGGTTCGTGTTTGACATGGACTAATCCCCACCCGTCAAAGTTTACGAAGCTGACCCATTACCGTTCTAGACCGTCCTGTTCGTATTCTGCCTCTTCAACGAAGTCTTCTTCATTGCGCTCTATCTCCTGTCCTTCTCCTCGCCGCTCCTTTCGCCCCACCTCATCAAAAGCGTGGAGGAGACCAGCGGTGGTCTGATCCAGCCAGGCGTGCCCGTCAACACATCCCTGCTCCGACAACTGTTCCCCGATCCCTTCAGCGCCGCTGCCCTCGAGATTGCCCGAGCCAACAAGATGGATTCCACCCTCCCTTGGGTCATCACCGGTATCAGCTTTCCCATCATGCTGGCCAAGCAGATCATCAACGTGGTGCAGCTGGTCAAGGCAAGCAGGTGGCTTGCTGAAGTTGACATCAAATCACGGAAAGCCAAGGGCCTGGGCAAGAAGGCGAGAACGGCCTAATCGAGTCGAATTGAAGAATAACCAGTCAAACGTCGCCGCGATAACGACACACAGTGGCAAATTGTTCAAAGATTGAAAGGCACAATTGTTGCTTTACAAAATGATTTGATTTGGCGACTGTTGACCATTTAGGACTTGGATTGGGCGGAGCAATCTAATGCAGTCCTTTTGTATCGCAACATGGGTGTTGTTTTTGGTGAAAATTTACGCGCTGCTAGCCTTCGTGATGCCTCTCTTTCATCTTTCACGGCAAGCAGCTGTTAATATTGCATGGCTTGGCGCAAACGGGGCTTGACAAATAGGGGTGGCGGTCGTGACACTTGTCTCATTCCACATCGTACCTATGAACGGATGGGCTGGAGGGAATAAAAATACGTTGAAAACATAAAATTTGGAGAAATATTGGGAACAAAGAGCTATGCAATCTTTTCCTCTTCAGCCTGGCCTTGCAGCCTTGCGGGATGCTGTTGTTCATCTATATTCTGGTTTGTTTGTTGGCAGAACATGATCAAGTCTTGGTTTGCCTTCTTTTCTGTCTTTCTTTTCTTATTTTCCCCTGTTTTACTGCTGTACATACATACCTTTATTGTTCTTTCATTATGATTTCTTAATATTAGTAGATTAGTGGTATAAAACCGATGCGTTGAATACAAACGAGGCCGTTGAGTCACATGAAAATTTACAGATTGTTCAAGACAACTTGGCAAAAGATTTGCTTAATTTCGGGGGTATCTGAACAAGTTTGTTTGTTTAATTTAGTTATTCAAAAATTAATATATGACGGGATATTATAGACTTCATGTTTCCCTTTTGTGTATACATATCAATCTTTTCACCTTCTTGACGAAGAACCCTCGCCGATAGCGTTATGGCTCGACAGCACTTCGTCTTTGAATGCACCGCCAGCGACCCCGCTGGCTGTTTGAGCAGCGTCAGACTTTTCGATAATGTGTGAGACCTCGAGTGGTACAATCTCCATGGGCGTGGAGAGGCCGTACCAGGCGACGACGATGACACCAAGGATGCCGGTGATGCAGCTGAATACGAGGGCGACGATGCCGCGGGGAGTGAAGCTATCAAGTCCTGTGTTAGCAACTTGTCGACACCCAAAAGGCCTTTATTGAAGAAGGGGGATAGTGAGGGGGGGTCCTTACCCGCTAGGGATTGTGCCAGGAGGCTTGTTCTGGCCGGAGAGGTCCAAGAAGTCGACGGTGTTGCCTGCGGCGTTGCCCTTTGTGAGTGTCTTGGAAGCATCGCAGACAGAGAGGTGGTCATCGGGAATGGTCAACTGCTTCTGGATGTCGAGAGGGGCTTCGACAAAGGTGGCGAGAAGACCAGAGGCAACGTGCCACTCAAGATGACAGTGGAAGAGCCAAATGCCTAGAGGGAAAAAAGTCATGTCAACTCAGCATTATGTCTGATAACCAAAGAAGAAGAAAAGGAAATATTATCCGTCTTGGATCAAAGGAGGGGGAAGAAGACATACCAGGATTATCAGCCTTGAAGCGCATGACGATATTGCCATTCGGCCACATGACGAGGGTATCTCTCCGCATAGGCACGCTTATAAAGTCGCTCTCGGAGAGATTCTCATCCGCAAACGTACCGGCCTCTTCCTCGGAGCGGTGAATGGCCTGGAACGCGTGACCATGGAGATGGACGGGATGACGGCCAGAGTCGAGGTTGTTGACGACAATCTGGACGATTTCGCCCTTTTGCAGAACAAAGGAGCGGGTGAACTCTCCGTAGACGGCGGGGTTGTTTGCGAGGTCGCCTGTGGAGAGGGCCGTGTAGAGAGTAGGCACCTTGGGCGGAGTGTAGGTGATGTTGTCGAAGAAGGCATAGTTCTTTCCGTCGCGGAGATTGTCCATGATGATGTCGAGCTGCACGACCTGGTCTGGCTCAGGCAGCAGCTTCATCTTGTCGTACGGCACAAGGTCCATGTCGTCAAAAGGGTTGAGTTCGTCGATGATGGCGGCGTCAGGGAAGTTAGCTTTGGAGTCATATGTCAACCATCCCGTGACGTTGTAGTTGAGATCCTCGGGCAAAGTATCAAACAGAGTCTGTATAAAAGTTTAGTATTTTTTTTTTTTTAATGTTTCTCTCTCCAATGAATGCTTACAGTGTCCATGCTAGAGATGATGGGAAAGTTGGCAGAGGTATCGTTCTTGGTCGTAAGGAGGAAGCTGACACGCTGAGCAGCGGCGATATAGACCATCTCAGCTTCAGCGGCTTCGGTGTATATGCCGTCAACTTCAATGATGCGCATCGTGTGTCCTTCTATCCAGACGTACTGTCCAGCAAAGGCGCCAATGTTGAGAACGCGGAACATGTAAGTCTTGTTGGGCTCCACAGAAATGGTCAGATTTTGGGTTTCATTCATGAGCACGGCCTTGGGCACCGGCTCAGCACCCGTTGGGTTGTTCTTTGTGAGGAAAGTTGGGAGAAGAGTGGCCATTTGATCATGGTACCAGTCTGACAGAGTTAGAACAAGCTCATGGTCGACTTCCTTTTGGTAAGGAAACTTGGGGTCGTGAACAATGAGAGGACCGCGGAGGCCATCGGGATACTGGGCATTGTGATGAGAGTGGTACCAATATGTGCCCGGCTGGTTGATCTGTAGCGGACTGGTCAGGATGCTGCTTTTTGATAGGAGTAGAAGGAGGAGAGATTTACCGTGAAGTTGTACGTGAAAGAATATCCTGGAGGGATCTGGCACTGAGACACGCCTACCGGACCATCCATGTGTGTCGAGCCATTCTGGTAAATGCCGTGGAAATGCAAAGAAGTAGACTGATTACCGAGCTGGTTGTTGACGTTGATGACGACACGATCACCGATATTGGCCTCGATCTGAGGAATGGGCCATTGGTTATTGATACCAATGACGGGACGCGGGAATGCTCCGTCCGGATTGGCCGTGACCCAAGTGATGTTGAAGTCGTAATTGACAGTAGCTGCGCCGGCAAGGCCCAGAGAGGCAGCGAGCAAAGCTGCTGCCCGAGTGAAGCTTTTCATCTTGTGGAAGATTAGGTAGTTTGGCAATCTCTCTCTCACACACTCTCGTTATCAAGACAGAGTGGACGACTAAGAAGGGATGAGAGGAGACGGCAGAGAGATGAGATGGAAGAAAGAGGGAGAGAATCAGACGGGACGGGAAAGAACCGGCATTCGCCCACGGCAGCCTTGCAGTTCTAGGCCCTCGCTGAAAAAGCTGTAAATGGCGAGAAAAATGTTGAGGTCCTTCCGATTATCGCATCAGAGATTGATAACGCAGCTGTGGCTAGACCCGGCGGAAAAAAATGCTTCAAGGGCAGCACTACCTATGCGGCCGGTCCGCCGCCACGAGTTCTTGGCCAACGCGATTTCAGTCCACATGTACTAAGACACAAGATGATAAAAAAATTCAAGGGTCCAGTCACGCCACAGACTCATTTTTTAAGACAAATGACCCGCGCCGATTGTTTCGTTTCGTTTCATTCAGCCAACGGTGCATGGATCGGGCGCTGCAGTTCCTCCGGCTGAGGGGCATTGGCGGCAGCACAGCAGGGATGCGACATGCATAGAAATAAGCTACGAGGCTAGATGACTAAAACTGGGTAGCACTGGTGCGGTGTTTGTTTGCTTTAGTAGTGGGCTGCAATGGGTAGTAGATAGTACTTCTGTTTAGAGAAACAATGTATGCGGATCGAAGTCCAGCTTCGGCGGCAGCTCGCTTGCTCCTCCGAGATGGTAGCGCCAAAAGTTCGAACAAGCATAAATCTTGGCTTAATTCGCGCCCGTGATTGGGCAGCAAAGATCGCCGAGATCCAGTTGTGGCCCAGCAGTAGCGCAGCGGGGCAGCTGATGGGGATTGACGGCCGTTAGCGTCATCAGATAAGATGATCAAGAGTGCTGCAAGAGCTCAAATGTTCCGGTTGATGGTCGCTACTGTAAGCCACAGCGCAGATACGGACCAGGATGAAAATGGCGCACAAAGAATAGCCTGTTAATAGACTCGCTTTAGTTCGTATTTACGACCAGAAGAGAGAAAACGGGGAATACAACAGTCATAATGGAGCCACTCTATTCTTTTTGGTTCTGTAACTAGAGAGAACTCGGTCTAAGGTGAGCAGAGGCCAACAAGACTTATACCTAAGTAATCAAGTAGGAAAAAAATGAAGAGGAAAATAATTGAACATCAGATGATAACCCGTCATGACTCCCAGGCTATTCTTCTACGGTATCCATATTGGCTTCTGTCCCGCCGACGATATCCTGTATCCATGGCACTTCGAAGCAGTTTATCCCACCTCTCAGCAGCCCTTTTATCCGATAGCTCCGACTCAAACCGACCTCCCGTATGCGGAAGCTATCCGCAGGTTCTTCACGCGTACCCAATTCTCTTTGACCGTTTTATTCCCATCATCCTAGCAGTGACATACTACTAGTATATGGCCTTGGACAAAATTAGATCCATGTAACCCAACGGTAAAATTTTCTCTCTTGCTCTCTTTTGTTGGTCGACCCATCACCAATTCATCCATGGCTAGTGTTCCGTAAGTGGGAGTGGGGTTAGGAAAACAGGTGCCACAAAGTAGACTAAACGCCTTGGACAAGCTTCTCGTCAAGCTTATCTGATCCGAGTCGGAGCTGGGCCCGGCTGTTTGATCTAGGAATTGGACCGGGCTGGAATTGTCTCGGTAACTTGTGACCGTATCAGCGAGCTTTCTCTCTCTTCAAATTCTGTTTATGCTGCCGATGCCGCTTTTGCCCTGCCCATGGCCGTTGTAGGAATCAATATTTCCAGCTCTCTCCCTTGCATTTCTTAAACCCTTTTTTTTCTTCTCCTTCTTCTTCGTCTTTCTCTTCGGTACCCAGTAGCTCCTGCTCTTCTTTTTGCCAGCAGAATTCTCTCTGCTCATTGCCCGCAATGGCCAAAGACGTCTTCTCAGTCCCCGTCTTCCTCGTCGTCTTCCGCGAGACGCTGGAGACGGTCATCATTGTCTCCGTCCTGCTCGCCTTTTTGAAGCAGACGCTCGATGGCCCAAATGCCGACCGCGCAACTTACAAAAAGCTGCGGCGCCAGGTAAATAAGAAACACAGAAGAAAGATGCCTAGTATTGGAACTATTTGAGCTTACACGTCAACTATTTTAGATCTGGATTGGCATTGCCTCGGGATTCTTGCTCTGCATGATCATCGCCGCCGCCCTCATCGGCGTCTTCTACACCGTCGGCTCCAACACCTGGGACAAGAGCGAGCAGTACTACGAGGGCGCCTTTTCGCTCGTGGCGTCCATCATCATCACCATCATGGGCGCGGCGCTGCTGCGCATCGGCAAGATGCAGGAGAAGTGGCGCGTCAAGCTCGCCAAGGCCGTCGAGTCGCCCATCAAGGTCGGGTCAAGCCGCAATTGGGTCTCCCAGGTCTTGGAGAAGTACGCCATGTTCTTCCTGCCCTTTATTACTGTCCTGCGAGAGGGCATTGAGGCTGTCGTGTTCGTGGCTGGTGTAACGTTTTCGGCTCCGGCGTATGCGGTGCCTCTACCAGTTGTAATAGGATTATTAGTTGGGGTTGTTGTGGGATATATCTTGTACAAGTGAGTTTGCCCTTGACATCTTTTCGTTCTATTCCACAGTAGCTGATCGATCTTCACAGGGGAGGCTCATCAACAAGACTGCAATATTTCCTTGTCGCATCTACTTGTTTGCTGTATCTCGTGGGCGCAGGATTATTTTCAAGAGCTGTTTGGTCGCTAGAACAAGGAAAGTGGAACAATATTGTCGGTAGCGATGCCTCTGAGCTTGGCTCTGGTCCCGGATCGTATGATATTGACAAGGTTGTGTGGCATGTCAACGTAAGTAATCGTCATCAACTTGAAAATACGGCTTGTCTAATGATACTAGTGCTGCAATCCCAACGTACCAAACAATGGAGGCTGGGGAATCTTCAACGCCATCCTCGGCTGGAACAACACCGGTACTTACGGCTCCGTCATCTCGTACAATCTCTACTGGGTGTTTGTCATGTCTTCGTTCATCCTCCTTAGGTTTCGCGAGACCAAGGGACGATGGCCTTTCCAGAAGGCGAAGCCCGCTGTCCGCGCTGACACTGAAGCCCGTAGCGGAAGCGAGAGCAACGACGGAGTTATTGAGTCTAAAAACGTAACAGAAACAACGACGACGCTGCACTAGAAAATTGGTCGAGCATAGCACATGAGACATCTCAATTGATGGTACTGTTATGACATATATATATATATGTGTGTGGATACATGATAATAAGCCAGCCAAGCTTTGTATTCTCGTAAATTTGGCCTCACATCAAGTGTGATAATGTACACTGATTCAAACTCTATATTTCCATTTCAGCGTCCTTCATAAATACCAGTAGATTTTAGGTCGCATTTTGTATGGCCAGCACGCACATTCCGAAGTTCCAAACTTACTAAGCCGTTCAATGTACGTGCACGACACAAAAACGCAAGGCCCAGCTCCTCCTTCTCCGCATCCTAGGCTTCAGGAGTCCAGTCCCACGAGCTTGCCGTGAAGAGGCCTTTCGACAGTCTATCGGTATACATGGCTGCTTCGTAACGAAGCCGCTGATCGCTTGCCACTGCTCTAGTGAAGACAAACTTGACTTCTTCTTCATCCTCTCTAAGCCGGCGGTCTCTCAGCTGCGTCCACGACACCTCCGATCGACGCTTCTTCCAGTCGGCATGGGCGATGGAAGTGCCGCTTGCGCTCAGCATGGTCCGAATATAGTCTGTAATTGGATCCATGCGGATTTTAAGCCCGCAATTTGTGTGGTGCTTGTCGATTTGATAGTTGGGGCACTGCTTGAGAGTGTTGAGGAGATCATCAATGTTGATCATAGCGCCGTCTGGCACAGCCTCGAGAGACGGCGAAGTGTAGTCGACGAGGAACAGCAGATTTTTCGACACCAAGAACTTGAGCATTTGTCCAAGCTGGAATGAATCACAGGCTCCACTGGAGTCATAGCCAAGCTTGCACTGTCTCTCCTTGGAGCAGTACAGATTCAGGAAGTGGCGCTGAACAGACGCAATGGTATTCAAGACGCATTCTCTCCGGTACTTGAGTTCCTCTGTGCATTCGTTAACATTTTGGCTTAGGCGATGCATATACACGTCAGGTTGGGGTAGCTTACCTTCTATGCCTTCGGGCAAATGCCACCACGCAGCCGTCAACTCCTCACGCTCTTCGGAGTAGTCGCTCCACAGACGAGATCCTCGCACGACAAGCTCTCGCGCCGCTTGATGCAGCTTCATGCCATTGCTGAGGAGCCAGGAAACGAGAATCTTCTCCCGAAGCGTCTGCTCCGCATCCGTGTTACGGCCACTGTCATCGGCAAAGGGTCGATTGTTCGTCACTGGCCAGCGGAGCCCATTAAGCGAGCGAGCCACCGCCGTGAGACAGTCGAAGCGGTCTGCGAGAATAGCCATTGTGGTGACCTCCGACAAGCCTACCCTCGGCGCCTTGAGTGGCTTCTGGTGGATGATCTTGAGCATGTCCTCAAACACATGTTCGCGGCCCGCCGCCTTTGTGGCTTCGTCGTCATCCGTGATTCTGATCCACGGCAGGTCTGCGGCATCTGCCTTGCCAGGCTCAATCTTCAATGCCGCAAGTTTCTTGTACACCTCATCAATGGCCGAGGCCTCACTAAACTTTGGGTTGGACAAGAGGTTGGCGAAATACTGAGAGTGCTTCTTCAGGGCGGCTTGGCTGACCCGATACGCAACAGTCACCTTGCGCTTGAGAGCGGGCTGAGGGGCGCCGCTGGGCTTCTTAAGTGCCAGGGCTGACGCCTTCTGCGACTTCTTGAGCGTTTCCTTGGAGGTTTCGAACGTCACGTCCAGAATGATATCGCCGGCCTCGGCGATGTTGACGACTGTTGGGCCGTCTACTTCAGAATTCTTGGCAGCCTCTGCGTCTGCGGCTGCCGCAGACTCGCCCATCCTTCCAGCAGAACGAATACTATCGACATAGAATGACCGAGGTTGCGAAAAGAAAAAAAGTCTGACCGGCCAGCCAGTCCACGAGTTATTTGAGTGTCGCGAGAGGGCCGAGGACCTGCCAGACGCCTTGCAGTGGCATTATTAGCAGTCCCTATCAGTTGCCAGCCCCAGCCTGATGCCTAAGCCGCGGCTTGCTGGGATTTCTTCGTGCTCACTGTTTTTTTTCTTCGATGCCTGGGTCAGCGCCAAAAGGCGATTAGTGCCATCGCATCGCAGTGCCGCTGCCGCTGTGGGCTAAGCATGGCCGGGCATCAACAGCGACGATTACTCAACGCAGATGCGCTGCACTGCCTGCGCAGTGGCCTGTGTCGGCGGCCAGGCACCAAAGTCCAGCGCTGCGTCCACCATCCACACGCGCTGCACCCCTGCGTTGCCGCACTGCTTGAGAGCCTGCAGGGGGCCCTTGGCAAATCGGTCGGAAATGATATCACATCGAATCTCTGCTTGCCTCGTCGACATATCAGTGCGATAGAGCTTGGACATGGCTTGGCCAGTAGATGCACAGCTTGGGCATCAATCGAGAAGATTTTTTTTTTTTCTTTAAAAATTTTCATAGAAGGCGGTGGAAGTATTTGGCTACATATGTATTGTATATTGAGCACGGGTATTGGGCTGCAGGTGGTTGATTGAACTGAAGGCTGGACCCAAATTAGCCTCTGCATGGAGTCACTCCTACTAAACTTCGGGCGTTACCAGCACAGACGTTGCCGAGCTTGCTGCCGCTGGCGCGCAACTCCTCTGGCCTTTCTTTGTCCGCTTGTAGCCCGCGAGTAATTTTCCTTCCAAGCTTGCTGTCTACAATCTCCTCATTCCCAACCCTGTTGCTCTCCTTTCAACGCCCAAACACGATATTTCGTTTTCGAAATTACCAAGAACTCTCATATTGACGTGCAAGACTCTCTCACTGAGCCGCATAAAGCCGTTCGGCTATCTCGACAAAACGACCAGGCTTTCTTTGCCCGAGACATTCGTCCTTCCTCCTTCTGCGTCCCCAACGGCGAGCCCATGGCTGTGAGCGACGGCAAATTGACAGCGACCCGACTCCGAAAACGTCTCCGAATGCTTGGGATTGAGCGTCTCGAGCTTCGGGCAGCGCACACAGTCTTCACTCTCAATGGCGAACTTGGCCACTAAAGCGCTAGGCTCGGCATCGAGAGCTGCCGCCCACATCTCCCCCGACGCTGTTCCGATCCCCGCGATACCGACCGCTTTGCGAACCTCTCGCGTGGGCACTCCGTTGAATCTGCCAGATGATGCTCTGCGGCTTCAGAAGGAGAGCGCAGCAGTCCGCCCAAATCGATATACGGCTCTAGCGACGAGAGCAAGGTCGTGTCCCGCACAGACACGGCTATGCGGAGCCCGCGGGGTATCTCGCGACACCATCGTTGACTTGCCTCCAAGACATGCGCTGCCGGCTACCAGGCGGGATTTCCATACGTACTTTGTCACTCATCTGCCGTCTTCCTCCCTACATCCAGACTCTGGCCGGCTATACGGGTCCGGCCACAAGCTCCCCCGCGATGCCTCGACACCCCATACCCCAAGTCCCGGGTCTTCCCCCGCTGTCTCGATACCAAACATGCCTAGTCAAAACATGACTGTCGTGAGGATACCTTTGCGGCGGGCTAAGCATCACTTTGGTACAGCAACTGCCCGAGGCAATCGTCCTTATAACGAGGATTCAGACCAGGCGGGGATTGTTGACATGCCGGCTTTTGCAAAGAGGGCGCCGACAAGCGTGAGGCAGAAGCCGGGAGAGCCCACTGCGGCAGACAGCGCTCTTGGAGATCCTCAGGTATTCTACTTTGGAGTTTTTGACGGGCATGGAGGAGTTCAGTGTTCCCATTTTCTTCGAGATGAGTTGCATGGCTACATTGAAGAGGCATCATCTGAATTTGGCCTCCAGAGCAGCCTGCGGAAAAAGAACCCTTGGGAAGTATCCAGAAGGCCCGTTACCAAGGAGCAAGCCCTTGATAACGTAAACATGAAAAAGCCTGATGAGGTGAAGGGCGATGCCCAGCTTCCAGAACGTGATGGTAACACACGGCAAGCCCCACGGCATGGAGATCCTCTGCCCAGTGCCGAGTCCGAGCCTGTCGAAGTATCGGACTATGAAAAGGCCATCAAGTTGAAGAAGGGTCTGGTGCAAGAGTACAGAGACTCAATTGGTGGCTACTTTCGTCGTTTTCAGCCAGAGCATTTTAACCTCACAGACGGTGGTGAGAATCAAACCATTTCGGTTGAAGCGGCCCTTGCCTACGCATTTCTCCGCGCCGATTTGGACTTTGTCTCGGCACAGGCTCGGAAAGTCGACCCGGACGATATCCGGGTCAGCGATAGCCCCCTGAACAACGACGAGATACTGGGTGAGCCTCACGCCACGCCGTCAGGCCACGACATTGGTGGTGCTACGCGGTTCAAGGGGGGGTCTACTGCGTCGATTGCGCTCATCTCCACACCCACGCCTGCGCCCTTTTGGCACCCTGGCGCACACTCGTCGCTCATTGTAGCACACGTCGGCGATACTCGCGTATTGCTGTGCGATACAGCGACGGGCCTTGCTCAACCCTTGACGTCAGATCACCATCCTACCACGCCACGCGAGAGCAATCGCCTGCGTCGATACGCCCCAGCCGGTTCCATGGTGTCTGGAGATAGTTTTGGAGAAGAGCGCATTGCAGGCCTGGCCAACAGCCGAGCCTTTGGCGACGTCAAGAGCAAGCGGATAGGCGTCTCTGCAGAGCCCGAGATCACCAGGGTAGAGCTCGGCCCTGCTCAGTATTCGTTCATCGTGCTCATGAGCGATGGTGTGTCTGGCACCCTCAGCGACCAGGAGATTGTAGATGTCATCAAGGAAGCTAAAACCCCAGAGGAAGGTGCTCGTCGAGTTGTCGAGTACGCGACCGAAGTTTCCGACGATGGCGATAATGCGACATGCCAGGTTGTGCGACTGGGCGGCTGGGAGCGTCGGTCTGAAGGGGGCTTGGGCAGTCTGGGGACAAAGGAGTTTAGGGACATTAGACGTGCGGAGGCTCAGGATCCGCGACGACGCTCGAAGCGGTAAGAAGTCTTCCATAATGAAGGGTAGCTAAGTAAAGATGAAGAGCCGTTTTAGGAGAGCAGCTAGAGGGATATTGTGAGTAGAGATGTCGTTTGGCGATTAGCATGAAAGACAGCGAGTTTTTGGTTGGAATTTTTTTGCAAAACACATGCAGATGCATACACCCTATTACCACGGAGAAAGGGTAGGACGGAGTTTAAAGGCAAAGCATTGTGGAGTGGTTGCCTGCGTGGCCTATATATATTCTCGATGATTTCGGTTCTCTTATAGTCTCGTTTGAAGCCTGAGGTTCGCGTTAAATAGGGTCGTGGAACGAGGATAGCCATCGTATCTACAGGTAGATAAAGGTTATATAAACCCTAGAGATTTTGAAATAGTTTGGCGAGACGCGTGTATATATATTTGATTTCTGGTATAATGTAAAGAAATCACAACATCATCGCAATTCACATAACCCTCCAACAGGTACACTGCTTGACCAGCTCCTAACCTTTTACAAGCATACCATGAATATCTCCTGACATGTGCACAACTTGGACAAAAGCACGTATATACCGCCACACACAAGCGTCAATATTAAGAAAGCTTTTGAAATTTTGTCAACTGCCTTGCCAGTGAAGAGATGTTACGCTTAATAGCGGTCATGCTGTGAATCCCAGTGGGATGACTGATGTTGGTGTCCTTGGCCGTGGCCGTGCTCTTGGTGCGGAGCATACTGCGGTTGAGGAGGGCCACCATAGCCTGGATCGCCATACCCATGAAGAGGCTGAGGCTGCCCGCCGTACTGCTGTTGATACTGCGGTTGGTTGGAATAGCCCTGGGAGTAGCCCTGGGAATGACCAGGATGGCCCTGTGATGATCCGGCATGAGACTGAGCGTGATATGAGGCACTCTCTCCGTAGCCGTAGCCACCTTGAGCTGGTGGTGAATAGCGCGAAGGAGGAGCTGGAGAATTGGACATATAGTTGGCGGATGGATTACCATCATTGCCTTCCAGAGAGTTCAAATCTCGAGTCTTGACCTGCTCCCAGAGTGATCCAGAGACCTTGCCGTGGCCAAGCTGGGTGATGGTCTCCCAAGCATCGTGGCCATGGCCACCGCCGCCTCCCTTCTGCTTCTGCTGGTTGAGGATGTGATTTTTGCCCTGTCTGACGGATTCCGATGACAGGAGACGGTCAATGTCGTGCCGGCGAGGATGCTCATTAACCCAGGTCTGTACCGTGCGGAACATTTCCTGTTGGATCTGAACGTCTCCGCGGCGAAGAGCTGGGTGGTGGAATGCGCGCAGTACGTCGTTGGCGACTTCATCTACGGGGACATTGGGGTTCTCCCATGCATAGAGAACACGACTGTGAGAATTGGCTAGTAAACAAACTTCTATACATCTATGATAGGTGGAGAGGAAGAGCGAAAAGAATCACTTACGGGACAGTATACTGAAGAACCGTGCTTGCAACACGGCCCGCGCAAGAGTTGAGTACGTTTGTAAAATGATCCTTTGACAGCATAGAGTGCGTTGGATCCGTGCTTCTGGGGTTCTCCCATGGCTCGTATTGAGAATTGGCACTGGCGCTGAGCACGCCAGAGGAGCCCTCCTTCAAGGTTTTGGACACCTGGTTGATAATGGGTCGAATAAAAGGAGCAAGGAGACCAAGGATAAAGGCAGTCAGCGTCTCACTGATGTGCTCGAGGAGTTTCTCGAGGCCGGGGATCTTTTCGATTCCCCGGCTAATGGCCTTGACGATCCTGTCACGGAACTGCAATATGGGGTAGATCCGCTTCGCAGTCTTGACTGGATCGAAATTCGGGCTCACACCAGGAATGACGTTGGTGTTTCCTTCAGAACGAGAGCGCACTTCGTTTTCTTGATCTTGAGCATCTGACATGGCCTTGAGCTCTCTAGCTTGAGCGGCGAAGCCAGCACCATCGCCAGGTATCTTGGCAATGAGAGAAATGAAATCTCGTGGAGCGCCAATTCCCAAGAGGCCTCTGGAAGCGCCACCGCCGCCGCTGCCGCCGGCACCACCCGCATTCAAGAGGGCAATATCAACTTCGTCGACTTCGGATTGGGTGAAGTGATCATTTGCCTCGCCGATGACAGAATGCAGGAAATCGACACCTCCAAAAGTACCAGTCACTAGGGGGAACACATGTTTCCCATGGATCGAAATTTCTGATTGAGTTCCGCAGTGTGGGAATACTTCTCGGTGGCCCAACTCGCGGAGGGCTAGCTCGCAGTAATTGCTGTGAGCACTAAAATCCTCCATGCAGTGCAAGGCCTGGCCGAGGCACCTGAGTGCTTCGTTCAAATCTGCCTCGTTGCCGCTCTTTGATCCATGAGTATAAAGGCGCCCAAAGTGGATGCTTCGAGCAAAACTGTATCGGAGATAGCCGGCACTCGTAGCCCATCGACCACTCTCGTTGGCAATGTAATTCTTCATGCCAGTGTTCATATCGATGTCGATTTCAACAGGATCAACAGGGCCACGTAGACGAGGGTCGAATGTGCGAGCATCAAGGCCATCAGCGTAGCCCTTGGGGTTGTCGATATGCTCCTCGGGACGATAACAGCCCAGGCGTTCTTCCGTCACTTCGAACTCCTCTGTGGCGTAGCCAAAGGCCATGAAGGAGAGAATCCAGACCTTTGACTCTTTCGTTAACGCTAGCAATTGATGGATGAGGGCTTCAGTCCTACCAAGATACGTATTGTGGGAGCATTGACGCCCTTGAGAGAGCCAACGTCAATGGCCTGCGAGTAATCACGAAGCCAGTTGCCAAAGTAGGTTCTCTTGATGAGCATCGACGTCCATTTCTTTCCACGCAGGAAGGCAACGGTTGTCAACATATCCTCGATATCTGCAATCACACCGTCAGCAGCTATCCATCTCATGTTCCATATACTGCCCATCATTCAGGCACTCTGTACCACGCACCTCCATGACGCCAATTGTGGCCCTCGACCTGGAGTTTGTGAGCTTCTGGACCCCGTGCCAGTATAAAGATTTGTGTTCATGTAGCTCAAGGACCAACCTGCGCAATCGACGGAATATTCCCTGCGCCAAACGCAGCGACTTTGGTCGGCAGCAGCACGAGACAGATGCAGAGCACCAGCAGCCAGCCCCGCGGTGGTGAAAGTGACGCCATGATGCAGAAGCTATGGCGGGGCAGACAGCAAAGAGATGAAGAAGCAGCCCAGCGTGAGACTCAGTGGCTGTGCTCCTCGAAAAAAGCAAACCAGTGTCAAGTACGTAAGCTGTGTATCCTTTGTCTCAAATATCGTCAAATCAGCATATCACCATGTGTATGCTGCAGGTGAGAGTGGTTGCCTCCTCTTCGTTTGTTCGTCTTGAGCTACCCAAATTGCTAGCGTGTGTTTTACTGTATGTGGCTGATTGTTCTAGTACTTCTCGTTCCTAGAAGATCGACCAGCCACATAACAAGTGTTTGCGCCACGTTGTGGACATGATGCAACGCACAGCCACAGATGGTGCGGCGTCAAGTACCAAGCTGACTCGCTATACCCTTTCCGGCGTCTTAGGTGAGGAATAGGCCCAGAGGCAATCATGTATATTAATCCATGGTAACGAATCCAGAACGCTACTATGATCTCCGACAGTGGATATGCGACCATACTACAAATAGGGGCTTAGCAGATAGCTCGGACTCTTCGGCATCACAAGCAAGAGGGATTCTACGGACATCAATGGACCCTGGTTTGTGATGTGATTATGGTGAAGTAAAAGTCTCCGAGCAGGATAGTGCCCAACGCGGAAATCGAATAGGCTACCCATTTTCCATGCTTGGGCTATCACCGACACTACTCCGCATACGGACACATTCAGCAGTTCCAGCCAGCTGCAGGTCGTCGTGTCAAATACCCGGCGGCTTACAGTGAGAAGCTCCGCTTACCAAGTAGTAGGATTTTGCTCAATGAAATCAGGGCAGTAGGAGTTCTCAAGGTGCTGCGCCTCGTGTTTGATGCAACATCGACGTTCCTGTAAGTGGCACGGGGGAGAGGAGAAGGAAGGAAAAAAGTAACCTTGGCGCCAGAAACGAAGCAAAGTAGAATCTTATTGGCGGTGGTGTGACTTTGGCGTGCACTCTGCTGAGATTTCGTTGGTAACGCCACCCACTAGTGCTCGGCTTCCGGTGGCCAGCCGCTTGTAGCGTGCGTCAGGGGATTCCCCAAATTAATCATCGGTAACCTAGAAACCCCGTCCGATCTTCAAAAAAATCTCATACCCCCCCTGATAAATCCTTCGCGTCCTCTTTTTCCTTCTCTTCTTCTCGCAGCCAACTGGCAACATTGCGACCCGTGCTTTTGCTTGCACAGTCATATACTTTCTTTTTTAGGTTTTCACCTTTAGATTTGGCTTGCTGCCAAGAGGGCCAATCTCTTGCTTGCTCTCCACTTTCGCTACCGAATTGGTCGCTTTTAGTTTATCGATCTGTCTTCATCGCCGCCACTTCATCCCTGTCCGCCTATTCACATCTCGTGATAGCACGGCAAAATGGCTACCGAAACTCTCACTAAACTCACTCGCGCCGAAGTCGAGAGACACAACACTGAGCGGGACTGTTATGTCACTCTCGGCAACAAGGTCTACGACGTTACAAGCTTCCTGTTCGACCATCCCGGCGGCCACAAGCTCATCCTCGACTATGCTGGCAAGGACATCAAGGACATCTTGGAGGACGGCGTCTCGCACACCCATTCAGATGCTGCATATGACATACTCGACGACTCTCTTGTCGGCTACCTGAAGCCAGAGCAGAATGGATCCGCCAATGGAGCCGCCAATGGCGAGTATGTGCACCCGAGAACTGGCATGTCCAACGAAGAAGATCTCAGCAAGGACACGGATTACAATCAAGACTATAAGAAACACAAGTTTTTGGATTTGAGCAAGCCTTTGTTTGCCCAGCTCTGGTACGGCAACTTCTCCAAGAAGTTCTACCTTGACCAAGTGCATCGTCCACGCCATTACAAGGGCGGCCAGTCTGCTCCCCTCTTTGGCAACTTCCTCGAGCCGCTCACAAAGACCCCTTGGTGGGTGATTCCTCTTCTCTGGCTCCCTTGCGACTCATATGGCTCCTATTTGGCCTTCCAAGGTTGGGAAAATCCCATCATCCCTGCCGCATATTGGGTCCTTGGCTTTTTCATTTGGAGCCTTGTCGAATATGGACTGCACAGATTCTTGTTCCATCTTGATGAGTATGACATTATCCCTAAAACCCAAGTCATATGATTTGTTGCTAACTATGATGCAGCTACCTTCCTGATAATAGATATGGCATCATTGCACACTTCTTGCTTCACGGCATCCATCACTACTTGCCCATGGATAGGTATAGACTTGTCATGCCTCCCACCATGTTCGTGTTGCTTGCAACTCCGTTCTGGTATCTCGCCCACACCGTTTTCGCCTACAACTGGTATGCCGCGACCGCGGTCTACTGTGGCGGCATCTTTGGTTATATCTGCTATGACCTGACCCACTACTTCCTCCACCACGAGAACTTGCCTCTCTGGTACAAGGATCTCAAGAAGTACCACCTGGAGCACCATTTCCTTGAGTACGAGCTCGGCTTTGGCGTCACTACCAGATTCTGGGACAACGTATTCGGCACAGAGCTGAAGCCCAACGTCATCAAGACTCAATAAATACGAAGCACCTGATACATTCGAGAAGAATAGATCGTCACGAACATGAAAAGACGGGGATGACGAGGTTGTTTAATGCGTTGTGGGAGGCAAAATCTTTAATGGTTGTGGGTATGAGTAATGGATTAATCAAGAGATCGTCTTCATGAAGCAAAGACACTAACGGCACACTTATCGGACGCTTATATTACCGATGGTACTTTTTTAAATAGTAAAAGATTTTAATTAAAGAATATCATGCTCCAATTGTCCTATTTAGTACTGAGTACTAGTAATACTTGGTTGCTTATGATGGTATGACCTTTGAAGCTGGGGAAACCGCCTATAAAACGCCGGGGCTGCGATTTCCGGATTACGTAAGCCCTGCAATTAACATTGTAAACGCCATTCACGTGACTCGCCTTTAGCTCAAGTCCCAAGGAGAAAGTAATCGTCTCCGAAGCCTAACTCGCCAGAAACTTTCTGGGGATTGATATCCGTGACAACTTTGCCGATCCCGAGATTCGACGCAAACGGACACTATTGTATTCCACGGCAATCGTACCTTTGTTCATGGTCCATTGCCCCCTTCAAAGTACTAGCAACTTCTTCTCTTTTGCCATTGGCCGTCAGGACAGTGTACCATCATGTCTAGCTTAGACGTCGAGGCGCTGCTCGACGCAACGGCTAAGAACCCAGAGAAAAAGCAAAAGACCCCTGATGCGGACCGCTCCAAAGACGACGGTAAATCTGATAGGCGAGATAGAGACTCCGACCGCGACAAAGGCCGAGAACGTGATGGCAGCCGTGTGAGAGACAGAGATCGAGACTACGACCGTCGCCGTCGAGACTACAGCCTTACTCGAAGCCGCCGCGAGACGCCCGATACAGGCACTCCCCGTAGTGACACTGGTAGCCACAAGAGTAGGCGGAGAAGCAGGAGCCGTGATGATGACCGTCGTCACTCACGCCGCCACAGAGACGGCGACTACTATCGGGGTGGACGAGCTCGCTCGCGTTCACGTTCGCCCCCTCGACACTATCGTCCTCGTGACGATCGCGATCGACGAGACCGACGAGACCGAGGCGACCGCTACTCCAATGACTACGGCCGCCGCGGTGGTCGAGATGACGACCGTCCTGAAGCCGGCAATGAGGGCGCCAATGCCCCGCTTACGGAGGATGAGAGGGATCGCCGTACCGTGTTTGTCCAGCAGCTTGCAGCTCGGCTGCGGACTCGTGAGCTGAAAGAATTTTTCGAAAAAGTCGGACCTGTTAATGAAGCTCAGATCGTGAAAGATCGAATCAGTGGACGGTCTAAGGGGTAAGTCGCTCTGAAGATTAAAACTCTTCATGTAATGATTGTTACGTGTTACTAATTCGGCGGCAGAGTGGGCTATGTTGAGTTCAAGAGTGAAGATGCCGTGCAGCAAGCCCTTCAACTTACAGGACAGAAACTCCTAGGCATCCCTGTCATTGTGCAACATACCGAGGCTGAGAAGAATCGCCAAGCTCGTAACCCAGACTCAACGAGTGGACATCCCAACTCCATACCATTCCACCGCCTTTATGTAGGCAACATTCATTTCAATGTTACAGAGCAAGATCTTCAAGCTGTGTTTGAGCCATTTGGAGAGCTTGAGTTTGTTCAGCTCCAAAAAGACGACAACGGACGCAGCCGTGGCTATGGATTCGTCCAGTGAGTTTCTGTCCCTCTCATTCCCACATCTCATGTCTAGCAAATAGAAAGTATGACTAATGCCATCTCTACAGATTTCGGGATGCAGGCCAAGCTCGCGAGGCTTTGGAAAAGATGAACGGGTTTGACTTGGCTGGCCGTCCTATCCGTGTTGGCCTTGGCAACGATAAGTTTACCCCTGAGAGTACTGCCAACCTAATGCACAAATTTTCCGGTAATAACCAGGGCGGCTTCCAAGGCTCTGCGTTCTCCGGAGCAGGCGGACGTGGCCAACAGTCTACGTTCGACCGAGCCGGAGGTCGCGACAGCGAAAAGACTGGTGGTGCTAGCGCTTTGGATGATACAGACGTTGCTGGCGTCAACTTTAACAACTATAGCCGCGATGCATTGATGAGAAAACTTGCCAGGACCGACGAAGCCCCGACCAACGGCAACGAAGAGCGCCAGCAGATTCTCAAGCCTAAGACGGAGACGAAACCCCTTCCTGTCAACGTAAATATGGCCAGTCGCTGTGTTGTGTTGCACAACATGTTCGACGCCACAGAGTAAGCATTACCCTAGTTTGACATTTACAGACAGTGACGCTAACTGGGAACCACAGGGAGGAGGGCGACGACTGGGTCAAAGAGCTCGAAGATGAGGTTCGACAGGAAGCGGAACAACGATATGGGCATGTTGTCCATATCTCTGTCGACCCCAACTCTAAAGGAGACATTTACCTCAAGTTTGACAAAGTCCAGGGCGGCGAAAACGCCATCAAGGGTCTCAACGGTAGATACTTTGGCGGCCGAATGATCGACGCGTCACCTGTTGTAGACGCCGTCTACAGCAGTTTGTTCTCTCGCACCCGGGCAATCTGAAGCTAATGCTTTGCTATTCACATTGTGCAATCTAGGAACTTGGAGGTTGGTAACTAGTTTATGAAAATATAACCCAGTATTCCTTGTTAACCCATTGACAGCCCTTTCTATGCCTTTTTGCAATTATCCAGTACGACTTTTGCTATAAAGACAGAATAGCACCACGACGCAGGTTACACCTTTTGTCCAACCGAATACTAAATCAGCCAAGTTCTTTTGGTGCAGCAGATCTTTTGAATCCAACGGGGCGCCTTGGTCGCCGGTTTTGACTTTCTTACTTAGTCCATTTCATAATGCGTTTTAGCACCTCTTTATAAGGCAATGTCCCAAACTGATGTTTATGCCTAGGACGGTCATCGATAGTCGTTTTGATCAAAATTCGTTTTCGAAATCGTGTAGGATTAGTTTCTGATATTGATGCCATAGCAATGATAACTCTTAAAATACTCGACGTAGGATGGATATCATTGATTGAGATGACACGGGCAAATTTGGGGCATCATCATACTTGAGCTTTTCGAATAGGGCTGAGGGTAGCTACTTGAGCCTTTCAAGAAGATTAGAGAATATACATTGTTGAGAATGATTGGGAATGCTCCTGTGTCCATTCTCTTTTTGCTTTTGCTCTATTCATCTCGCTCCGGCTTCCCTCCATTCTCCAAAACGAATTCAGCCTTGGAAGACAAGAATTGAATTGAAGCTGCTAATATGGTAGTAGCTCGAGACGTGGTCCACGTGATGACAGCTGTTCTACCTTTGCATCAGCTACCAAGTACTTCTTCACTTGTACGTCTATAACCTCTTCACTTTCTTTCTTTTTTTGGAGCAGGACATATATTATTAATATTTAACTTTGTGCGCGCATCTGTCGATCGTCCAGCCATTCACAGCATCGTGACTCTCAAAGAATCTTCATTCACTAGGTTCTCTCTTTTTCTTCCTCATGTACAGCCACTTCCTCCGTTTTCAGCACACTCCTTGGTGGTGTTTCAAGAGAAGCACCGCAGCGAGCCAAATCTTCTAGGAGCTGCGGAAGCCGGCAGCAAACAGCCGAATAACCTCACTTCATGCTCAGTTCACATTCAGCTCTCAGCACTTTTGGCCACGTTTTTGCGGCGTAATTTCTTGGGGGTTCACTAGGAGTTTTTTCTTCCTTTTCGTTTGCTTTCTTCCCACCCTTTTATCTCTATTTTCCTTCTCGCTTCTCTCACCTGCCGCATCCGTTTCTGGGAACTTTCATTCAACCAGCATTTTCTCGACAGCGGATTCACGCTTTCTTTTTAACAGAAAACCTTGGGTCTTTTCTTGATTCCTTTGCGTTTTGCATAACCCCCCTGTTTTTTTCTGCCATTTAGCGTTTTTAGACAGGTCCTCTCCGCTTGACGCGCTGTATCTCAGAGAGACGAATCAGGTAAGTGTCCAGATTTTACTATTCCTGCCTTGTTCAAAAGAGGAGAGTCATTCGAGTCAATATATGTTCTATTTCAATCCGAAGATGCAGGAGAAAGCCAAGGGGTTATCAGCAGAGCTGACGAAATGACAGGATCGTAACCTCCGCGTCTTTCAGCCCTGTCCAACACTCCTATACCGCTCACTTTCTTCCCTGCTCTTTATCTGCTCTCATTCTTTACGCCGGCTGTGGCGCCACATTTCTGCGTCGCTTCCAGAATATGATCTGGAGCGATATCAGAACTCTCACTACAGAAGGCAGCTTCAATAGGTGTAGCACGCCGGTCAGCTCAGCGAATTCAGTCATCGAAGGAGCAGCAGTTGTCATCGGAAACATGCTGTCTGTCAACTTTTCCACGCCCCTCAACGGGCCTGCACGGTCTGAGAGGATCAAGCAAATGTCCAATAACCATGTAAGGCCTCATTCTTCCACCATCGTTAATAGTGGCTGACCAACTGTTGCTACTAGCCTGCTTTCGAGAAATCTCGTATCACGCAGGAGATTTTGGTCAAGATACAGCACTCTCTGAGGCGCATGCCTGGCGTTGCTGCCAATGAATCGAATGAAATCATTCAACGGCTAATCGAAGTTGGTCAAGTCATCAGCCAGGAAACGAGCGCCCTCGTCGAAGCTGTCATGAATCTTCATCTCGACCAAGAAGACACAGATAAGGCGATTGCTAGGATGAGCATCGAGGCTAATCTTGCCAAGGCACATGCAGATGATCAAGCCCAGCGAATCAACAGCCTTGAAGAAGAGCTTCGGCAAGAGAAGAAGAGGAGAGAAGACACTGAAGAGAATCTCAAGAATATGATTGGTGGTATCGCAGACATCACCACCGAGTTCAAGCAGTTAAGGGATAAAGCTGACAGACAGAAAACCGACTTGCTGAGTAAGGGCTTGCCATTTTCCGATGGCGATTTTCTCATCAGAGTAAGTAACTTTCATGGGCTAAACCAGCGTTATATCTGATCTGACTGTATACTATCTACTTATTAGAGCCTTGACAACACCATTCATCTCTTGGAAGATGAAATCAGCAAGCAGCATAGTCTTTGGACCGTGCAACAGCAGCCCAATTCCAACAGCATCCCTCGAACCATTGAACCCTCCCCTGAGCACGTTCAAGTTACAAACGGTCACCGTAAGCCTCTAGTGCCTCTTCAAGAGGAGGAGGTGGGCAACGGCAGCATCTTCAGCGACCCCGTAACATCGCCCAGACCAGCTACGGCTTTTCAGCCCGCTCAGCGACCCCCTACGGTTGGTCCCCCGCCAAAGTTTGGCCAGTTTCAGGGAAACATGCCTCCGCGGCCTACGACAGCCCTGCCTCATGATCGCCGAACTGCCAATGCGTGGAACCTAGTCGCACCCATGCAGGGTGGCAGACAAGGCTCCTTTAACCATAGGCCACAGTTCCAAGGCCCTCATTCCGGCCGAGCCCCCTCTCGCCAGGGTTTTCAGAGTAACCCTCAGTTCCGAACCAGCTTCCCGCAGTCTGCTTTTGCTATGCCAGAGAACCCTCCTCAAAGGCCAAGCAGCGCGTTTAGCTATGGTCGGGACTACTTCCCCAACACTCCAACTGGCCAATCTCGAGGCAGGTATGGTGGCCGTCTTCGTGATAACGCTCCACCGCCTCCATTGCTAGATTTCGGAGCCTCGTCCTCCGGTAGCTCTGCTCCTGGTCCTCTTAATGCCCTTGTGAGTCGCAACCCCTACTCTAACCAGCCAATCACGATCACAAAGCAAGCCGTCCAGGCATGGCACGGGCATATGATGCATTTTTATGCAACTATACGCCACTTTGTCGATGGTCACGCCAATAACCCTGATCCCACGGGCGAGACAAAGCTGAGCCAGACGCACCTATGGCCAATCCTGCTGGCCACGTACTACCCGCTATCTGAGCAGGCAGCAGAGTCTTACCTTGACCATCACATTCGTAGCGAGAACTCCAAATCCTGCATTGTCACTAGAGTCATCATAGACTTTGTCGTGAACCGAGTTTGGAACCCTAGTGCTTGGGCCGGCGCCGATGCAGACTCTACTTATGGCATCATGGAAGTAGAAAGAGATCTAGAGCGTACAACAGGTGACTACTCCGCGTCATTTAGTGTTCTCCATTATCCACACGCAGAAAACTAACGTCTCACAGGTCAACCATCGGCTATTCGCCAGCCAATTCTCGACCGTATGGCTGCAATCATCGATGTCGTCATGAAAAGGGAGCAGGGCGGCCCCTTTATCAAGAATCGCATCGAAGAAGCCACTCACGCTCTCCTGACCAGCCTCCAACCACTGATGAATACATTTTACAACGCGGCCGACGCAATCCAAGACTTGGAGCAGGTCATCGACAGCGCCTACGAGATATCTTTCAAGATTCTCACCAGCCGCCTGACTTTTGACTTTCGATTTCCCGAAATCGGCAGCCGCTTCTCTTCGCAGTCGATGCTGCCCATCTGGCCACCCACTGACCCGTTGGAGCTGCAAGCAAAGCATTGGCGTGTGGCATTGGTGACGACTCCGGTAGTGACGTGCCGAAACGATACTGGCTCGAATATTTCTGCGCACTCTGTATCCCTGGCAGATGTCTTCTGCATGCAGTGAGAGATGTTTCGGCCTGGTATGGAAGGGGAAGATGGGGTTGGCTATTTTGTTAACGTATAGGAGATGAAGATGGTATATTTCTCTTTTTTTTTTTTCGTTTCTTCTCATTCACGCAGGATTGATACGTTGGAAAATGATATCATAATAAACTCATGGCCAAGAATAAGGTATTACTTGAAAAAATAAAGCACCAAAACTCAAAAGAACAAAAAAAGGCTACCTAGGATAGGGACAGATTCGATATCAAGGATGACTGGGTTTTGGGCGTTACTGGTTTATACGATTTTTAATTACTTTTATTCTTCTCTGGTTTACTTTAATATCAGACTCAACCTGATAGCCAAAACACTCGGAGAGGATATCTCGTTATCCCGATCTGTGTTTGTCTTCCTGATGTGCTGGGAAGAGCATCCGATCAAGAAGAGCTTTGCGGCAAAGATACAATTCAATCATAGGCATTTCGTGGGACTTTTCTTTTCTTCTCTTTCTTCTTCTTCTTTTATACCTTTATCTACATGAACATTGGAAATGACAAAACTTTTTTCTTTCGCTGTTTAGCAAGGGAAATCAATCTGATATGAGTAATATCTCGTCTCGAGTTGTAAAGCCCCCCCTCCAAATCGTGATAAGTGTGCCCTTTGGGACCAAGTCTCTTGCCAGCTTAAATCTAGCCGTTATTACAAGTAAGAATCATAACGCCAAAATATTTTTTCGTCCTTTTATTACCGAGCCACTTTGCCTCGATACATAAACAAAGCGTAAACAGCGCTGCTAATGTCTAAAGAGTCTTCTTACACCCGCTCCCTCGCTTGCCAATTTGCCCAATGAGCCCTCATGTAGACAATCATCTTGATAAAAATCCTCTTTGCAGCTCTCTTATACCAGAGAATTACTGCCAGACAGCCACAGTAGTCTCCGGTCATCGAATCGGATACTCTCCCAAAAAGGTCCTTCAACCAAGATCTCATCAGGTTTGCCCAAGGTCTTTCCTGTCCCAGCGGCGAACAACGGCTCCCAGAACAACCTTTAGGATACCCTCGGCGGTAAGGTTCTTTCTGCTATTAGAAGACTTGCCATCCCAGGTCACCGTGTCCACCATGTCTCTGACCTTCTGCTTCACCAGCTCGTCATCCAATTCTTTTAGCGCCGCCGAGGCGCGCTTGTCGTTTCCAATTTGGAAAAACTGTATGCCGACTTGGTGCGACGGCGCGTCGAACATGTCAAGTTTCCTGGCGTACTGCAAGATGATTCTCTCGGGGTCGTCTGATGGACTGCCGTCCGTGATGACAATGATGTTGATGGGCTTGACCTTTTCAAAATGTTGGTACGGAGTCTTGCTGGGGTCAAGCCTCGCAACGTATGGCTTGAGAATGTCTTCTAGTCTCCGGCCAGTAGGCGTGCCACCGTCGGGGGTGGCTTGCCGAAAGGCCATGTGAACCTTTTCTGGAGTGTCGATGCCGTAGTAACCGCCCATGGGCTTGCCCGCATCCGTGGTATATTCTGTCGATCTATGGTTCAGAAAGTACAAATCAATGCCATCCTCGTCGCGAGCAGTGCAAATCTCCGTGATTTTGAGCAGAACCTCTGACACTTCTCGCCAGTTGGCGCCGTGCATGGAGCCAGAGTCGTCGATGAGGAAGATTGTGTCAAAGGACGCCAGAAAGGCGTATTCATCGTCTTTCCCGGTGATTTGAGGCGGCGGCGCCTTGCTGCTGCTCGCAACGGGTGGAGCTACCGCAGAGTAGGCAGGAGGAGCATCAACTGCGAAGAGACAGCAAAGTCAGACTGTATTCTTTTCTTTTGTCCGTATCGCATCTTGGGATAACATACCTGGGTCTGCATACGGATTGTTTGGAGCCAATGAACTCTTGGACTCGCTCTTCTCAGAGTTCCTGTCAGAATCTCCGCGAAGCTTGTCCTTTATGCTTCCAAGAAATGATGATCTTCTCATGATGTAAGAAAGAAGAAGGGCAAACTTTGAAATCGAGTAGTATGTGCAGCCGAGTCGACGTTGCGAGAGGTCGCGAGCGTTGAAGAGAGGGAGATGGCTGATATAAGAAGAAGAAGAAAAGGTTTGCGCAAGCGTCGCTCAAACAGCAATTTCGCAAGTCACACCTGCCAAGAATAGTCCTGATGAAAGAGAGGATAAGTGGCAGCTAGTGCCGGCAGCCGTGACTTGCTGTTCAAATTCGTCCTTCTTTGTTTGCCAAAAGCCTTGTAAGTAGGTAACCGTTCAAGGTAACCACCCGCTGCACCACTAGAAGAAGAAGAAAAACCCTTTATTTGCAAATTGATGCTTAATCGGTAATAATGGAGAAGTCGCTGTGATAATAGATATCTTTGGGTGTTGTGAATTGTTATTTTCATGAATAACCCAATTGTATGCATGGAACAGTACCTATATATATAGGTAAATTCGCATGTACCAAACTTGGTGTTATACTTGTATAATCGTTCAACCTTGCAACTGTCCGTGCAGCAGACTTAGATTAGCTAAATGTAATTTAAACTTCGTAATTTGTATAACAAGATAGAAAAGTGCCCGTCTTGAACACTGGAATCCGGTGACGGTCTACAAATTGAACTGTCTTAAGTCAGTCACAGTCAGGCATACTTGGGCTTAACTGCACGCCCCACCTAACCCGAAGATCAAGGGTCAGTGGGTTGTGGCTGTGGCGCAGGGCAGAGGCGGGGGCCTCAGTCACTGCCTGCACACCAGCATGGTCGGTGGCGCCTCAGCCTCAAGGCCGTTTGAAAGGCCACCTGCAAGGCAGAAAAGGTACGGCCCAGATCGATCTGGTTTGGCTTTACAGGGGGCACCTCGTCAACGAGACATCAGTGGCCACTGCAGTCTTGGCCCCTGAGTGTCTAGCACATTTGCATCCTAGGCACGAACCTCGCATAGAAGCGAAACGCACTAGACTGTTCCAGAGATCCGGTTCTCTGGCAATGGTTCATGAAAGACGCCCCTTTTGGGCGATCAACCCTCCCAAGTTGGCCTCCAACCGATGCTGTGGTGGGAATATGTAAGGTACGCGAGGCAGTGACAAGGTAAGGCGCGCGGCAAAGCGATTGGACAGGCAGGACAGGCAGGACCGGTGGCCAGAAGATGACCAAAGCGGCTCACACATGACGGGCTAATGTCTCGAAACAGTCGGTTTGTTCATTCATTCATCTGAGGCGCTATTACGTCTCAACACAAGACTGCTATTCCGCCGCCGTCATTCATCCCCCAGGTGACAGTCATCGTTCATTTAAAGTTCACACTCTTCAACAAATCCTTGTACATAGCCCCATGCCTTACTCGGCATACTTGCACTACTCCCCCTAGTAATAGGAGGCTTCACCTTCGCCTCTTCCTGCTAAATTCAATCAAAATTGCTGCTGCCTTGGCTAGGCAAGCCGCTGATACCCGCAATTTCCGCCGAGGGGGCTGAAAACATCAGAACTTTTGGGTCAGGTCGGCCAACTCTTATTCAATCTTTTTTCTTGTGTCTAGTGGAGAAATTCGAGTGTTAGCGTTTGAATATGGCCGGAATGAATGCAACTGCGGCAGTAAAACTTACTTGTTGACAACGCGCTCGATACCCTCCAAGCCCATCCTAAGGACGTCCATCTTGGGGCCGTATGACAGACGCACAAAGTGGTGGCATGGGCTGTCAAACAGATCACGTCGTCGCGAGGGGTTAAGATCGAAGAAGATACCAGGGACAACAATAACCTTCTCTTCCAAGCAGGCCTGGAAGAAGTTGAGGCCGTCAGCAATAGCCTCGGGAAGGCCCTCGAGGTTCAGCCACCTTGATAGTTCAAAATGTTAGCATAATTGCACGCACAAAGCATTGTTTTAGAGAGATTATCATACAGGTAGAATGTGGAATCGGGAACGTATTTAATGGAGAAGCCCATCTCACGTAGACGTCGGACCGTAAAGTCACGCTTGTCCTATTGGCCTGTTAGACTCCCCCGTCTTCACAACTAACATTCTTGGGGAAACAAACCCGGAAGTGGCGCTGGAGATGAATCATCTCGCTCTGAACCAAGGTAGGGTCAAGCATTGGGACAGCAGCCTCTTGGAGAGCATGCACGGCACCACCATCCAAGTAGCTACCACATGAGCCAATACTAGACACGCTATTATTAGCAAAACCGCAGAATCATCAAGTGAGCTTTGGTTAGTTTGTAACATACGCGCTGATGTACTCTAGAGGCAAATGAGAGTTAGTATTTGCAGCTCCATCATCAGAATTCGTTACTGTGTGGCTTGAGCTCACCCTTGGGTCCAATGATCCATGCAATTCGCCATCCAGGCAGTCGGAAGCGCTTAGTGAGACCGTCAATGATCAACACATCGTCTTCGTCGACATCCTCAACATTCTCAGCGGCCGAGATGGTGGAACCATCGCAGTTGCTGGTATAGTTGTATCCAGAGTAGAACTCGTCGCTGATAAAGGTGGCGCGGCCCCGGCAAAGATCCTGGATCTCGGCCAGCTCGGGGTTGGCGACGACTCGGCCAGTGGGGTTGCGAGGGTTTGAGGTAAGGATAACAGAGGTACCACGGGCGATTTCTTCGGCAATCTTGTCGGGGTGGATGTGATAACCGTCTTCTTCGGAGAGGGGGACGGGAATAGCTGCAAACTGTAATTCAGACAAGTCAGACGATACGTTTGTAATTTCTGAGTGCTCAAATTGCAACAAGACTCACGTTCTTGAACAAACTCAGCATCTCGTTGTAAGCGGTGTAGTCGGGCAAGAAGAAGGACAGGTATGAGCTGCCTAGAACAGCGGCAATTCGGATGAGACCAGCACGGCCACCGGGCACGATGGCGACGTTCTCCCAGGTGTATTTGCTGTCTTTATCCTGGCGGTGCGTCTCATTGTAGAGCTTGGCAACAGCTTCTCTCAGGGGCTTGATACCAGCAGTAGGGCCGTACTCTCTGGCCGCAACGCTGATGTTGATTGTCTCGGGTCGCTTGAAGCAACCGGCAATTTCGTCCTCGACTTCAGGGGCACCCTGGCCAAGATTGGCCCACGCATCAGGCTCATCCATGAAGCCATACTCGTTGGCTCGCTCAGTACACCAGATGACACCAGTAGACGATCGGCTGGCATCCAGGCCGGCGTGGGGCATGTGGCCTTCGTGCGCATTGCGGAACTGTCTGTGGACCTTGGATTGGAACTCTATAAGCCAAACTCATGTCAGCATCTTGTAATCAATGTTCAATCATGTTCCAGTTGCAAAAAAAAAAAAAATCAATGTCGCAGTTGCGGCCGCAGAAACCCTGTCAGTGCAGCGCAGTACAAGCTGGCGGTGGCCGTCAAGCTGCGGGGGAGGGGTAATCCTGCTTGGGAGTTGGGGTCGCTGCAATGGCGGGGCGCATCCAAGCAACAATCAAGCCAAGTCGAGCGCCACCGCTGCTTTGACGGCCGCCACTTTTTGAACACAAAAAGGAATAAAGGAAAACAGGATGATGTAGTCTCTTGTGGCTTGGTTGACAGCAGCAACACGGCTTTTGCTGCAGCAGCGGTGGCAACATCCACTTTCTTCGATCCCGTCCCAGCGTGCAGAGAGAGTGTATAGTATAGAGAAGGCCTCACTAACCATTCGTTGACGGCTCGGCGTTGCTGAAGCGTCGCAGCAGCGGCTTCGGGGCGCCGGTATGGCGATTGATGGAGAATTTGCGTCCGGAGAACATGTTTGCGGCTAGGAGAGCTAGACAGGCTGACCCAATCAATCAGTATTGCCCAACAGCGACAGAGGACAGGAGGAGAACTTGAAGTCGGGGGCAGCAGACCAAAGGTGAAAAGAAGGGGGTAAAGAGGTGCTTTGTAGCCCGAAGAAAGGTACGGCACGTAGCACAGCTTCGGAAGAGCGGCACGGTATAACGTCACGCAGCTGTCCAAGCGAGAGGCACAGACGATCAGTGAAGTGCAGGTTCAAAGGCCAGGAGCGAGCAAGAAGAGCTGGAATCCTCTCTGGCAGCAGAGGACAGAGCAAAAAAAGGCTGAACAAGAAAATTACGTCCCAGAACCGCTCTGGGGCATCACCGCGAAGCTCTGCCTATATAACGGAGCAATAACTAGAGGGGGGGCCACCTCGAGCACTAACAACGGATCCGCACGCAGAGCACAGCGCTAGATACTCCAGATGACCCCCCCAAACAAAGCGCTTTGGCAGGGGATTGGCAGTGAGAGCAGCAGCCCGGCAGGCTCTTCCAGGTGGAGGCAGCACCTCCGGCTGCCAATCCGCGACGCCGTCTGGGCACCAAGAGGAGGAGAAGGCCTGTGCATCTTCACTAAATCGGCATGGGCCAACCGATCCAGTTGAGAACGGCATGGCCGACGAGAAGTGAGCGCCGCAACAAGGAGAGGGTACGAAAGGAAAGAGGGGGGGGGGAGAGAGTATCAAAGAGACTCTTGATATTTTGAAACTGCATTTATTAATGAATTGAGTTTCGATTTCGGTTTTGGTTTCAAATTGAAGGGCATTTTTATACAGCTCTAGTTGAGTTGGTGCTACCGCATCCAATACTAAAGCACGGGCAATCAATCTTGCACCTCCAGCTGAGGCTATTCCCACCGCCGCATTTACTTACTCCTCACTTCCCCTTCTCCTCCACTGCAGCTGCATGTTAGTCCCATCAGCGTCACTTCGAGCCAAAAATCCTGCTGAAACCTCCCCAACGTGTGGAGCATATAAAGCTGATTCTGTAACAATGCGCAGGCGAACACATATCCAAATAGAGACGGAGGAAAAGGAGCGGTGTCTTCGTCTCCGGTTTGCCCACCTTTGCCCGGCCTGATACGATGCGTAGCCGACTAACAAAAGGCCTCATGCTCCGCGGCCCGGGGGCATGTCTCAAATAGACGTTCAACGGGCATAGATCGAGTGATGCCTTTTGCGTCACCTACTCGGCGCTGCCGGGCTTGACATGCAGCGGGCGGCTGATATGTCGTACTTGACATGTCCATGCAGGTCGTGATACAAAGCACAGCAGCTTTTTGTAAACAAATGTCGATCGAGGACCATCCAGCCCCAAATATAGCACCCTAGTGTCAGCGTGTTACCTCATCCACCACATAGATCTGCAATTCCAATTCTCCGCTCATCAAATCACCTACACACTCGTTCGTTCAAGCTGAAGCCCAGAAAGCATTTCATCTAAACAACAGCTTCTCCCTTTTCCTTCGCCTCCATACAGAAAACAACAGCATCTTGACTCGCGTTCTTCCTCTGTATCGTCTCCGTCCCGAAAACGGCCGTCCCCCCTGACTCCATTTTGTCTCCTCCTTCCGTTGCGATACCTTATATGGGGACATTTCGCCTGAATCAGGGCGCTCCAGCGCGCTCCACGCTAGGAATCCATCAGCCCCAAGTGCCGAATCGGAACAGGTGGTGCCCAGCATCGGCAGCAGAGTCGGTAGCATTCGCTAACAGCTCGGTGCATTGAGGTGCGACACTATTTCAGACTCGGGATTGTTCTCATCGGAATGGGAATTTGTCGGAAAGAAAAGGGGGCGGGCTGCAGCCTCAAGTTGCATACATGAAGGGCCTTTTTGGGCTCTTACAGGATTCTTCTTTTTTTTTTTCGTGCTACTCTACGGCACCCACTGCCGAACTAAGTGTTACATGCACTAAAGCATTCCATGAACCCGTATATTTTTAGGTAGTGGCATCCATCGTTTTTAGTATTTCCAGATGCCACGCTTTCTTCTTCTAGCTTCCGCGATGAGATCCACGAGCACGCTCGGAAATCCCCCGTTAGACTCTATCAACTTTCCTTGGATCATTCAATATGGCTGCCTCTGGTAGCAGAAACGGCTGGTCTGAAGTCATCAAGCGCCATGCCAGTTTTGTCTCCTACAATTTAATAGCCTTCTCCGTAGATTCCTAGGTATTCTCCTCTTCAGTTTAATGTTTTTAATCTCTTCCTCAGCAAACATACAATTTACGCTCTAGCACTTGTAGTAACTCAGAGAAGCAGAACTTTTTCATGTACTTTGTTTGAATGGCTGTGTTACAAGGATTCAATCTCTCTATTGCTTTACGCCATGGCTTCCCAAGGCTGCATCGAAAACTTCTCATCAACGACAATTCTACGCATAAACCCTCCAGTATGCAACTCCAATAGTCAGCCAGAATAAACCACAAAAATAGAAAAAGTTACTGTCACCTCAATTAATCATAAAGTCTTTCAGTTATAAAGCAGTTCGCAGCATGGAACTGGGGTGCCAGGTTAGCCCGCACATAAAAATCGGCCAATTACACAACAGAGAGGGGGCCAAGCCTCTAAGAAGCAGAAAAAAAAAACTCCAAAGCATTCTAGAACCACCAAGCATCGTCACCACTCGCCAACCCCATAAAAACATCAACCTCCCTGCAGCAGCTTGACCTTAGGACTGAATCGCTCATTTTCTTCACCAGTAGCCAATCTATATCTCTACTAGCCATTACCCCAGCTTTCAGGCTGCACCTTTGCGTCCTCTTCAGCTACATACAACTCCAACTCCGCTACATCTCAACTCAACGAACAAAAAAGTTCGACGGATATATAAATCTCACGGCATCTCACAGCATATAAATCTTCAATATCGTACTCATTCCAACCCCCCCAAGGCAAATGCTTCGTCGCAGCACCATCCCCCTCCGCTCATCACTCCTCAGCATCAAGCCCCGCCATCTCATCTCGCCATTCTCATCCTCGTCTCGCAAGATGAGCTCCGATCCTCAAGATAATTCATCCTCATCATCAAAGACAGCGTCTCGCGAGGCCCTGCCAGCCCCGGGCTCTCACAGCGGCGAAGACGTAACAACCCTCGACGTCAGCGGCTCAGGCACAACCGTCAAGCTGGACGCCCTCGGCCCGCTCGTCGTCAACGTGGACGGCACCATGTCCCGCATCTCAAATTGGGATAAGATGGCAGAGATTGAAAGGCAAAACACGCTTCGCATCATTGGTAAGCGAAACCAGCAACGCCTGGCTGCCCTGAGAGAGGCTCGTGGCATCAGCGAAGGGGGCAATCGCATAGGCGCTAGTGGCAATCACGACACCGATGGCAAACAATAGACAATTTAATGAACAAAATACGAAACGGAGATTTAGAGAAAAAAAAATTTGAACATTTCATATAACATAAATGAAGCGTCATTTCCCACATGGAGCCCATTTCTTTTGCTTTCGGCTCTCCATCTCCAACCACTTTGGATATATGCCACATACAAATAAAGCCAAATAGATATCCGCCGCCCAGCTTCGTTTATTTCAGCCCCAGATTGAATCGGTTATCCCATGATTCGAATCTTCCCAAGACAGGACAAAGCTCCCTCGATCCAGTTAACAGTAACGCCAGTAACCAAAGCAACGCCCCCCGCCTCCCCCCCTTCGAACAGCATGACATTAAGAGAGATCAAAACAAATATTATCAACATGAGCTCGCTCACTGCTCTCCTTTGATCTTCTCGCCGCTACTTGACTCAGCGGATGCGGCCTTGCTCTTGTCACTGGCGTGCTTGGTGAACTCTTTCCAAAGAGCAACAATGTCTTCATTGCCCTCGTTCTTCTCGACCAAGAGGTTCTTCAGCCACTTGTTCTCGGTTTCAAGCTGAGACACCTTGCTTTCGAGGTTGGAGACTTTGTCAGACATCTCCTTGGCGGACTTTTCCAGAGCCTGCTCACGCTGCTTCTTCTTGATGCGGAAACGGGCACTGGCAGCAGTGTTCCTCCTCCGCTTGTCCTCCTCGGCAGCCATTCTAGCAGCCTCCTCTTGGTTCAAAGACTCAGACTTGCGCTTCTCGCCAACCTGTGGGGGTGCCTGATGGAACCGCGCATGGTGAGGAGGAACCTGTACGTGGCCGTGGTTCGGCTGCAGGGGCGCAAAGCCCTGTTCAGAGAAGTTGTTCATGTGGGGCGCCGCATATGTGGTGTTGTTGTTGTTGAACTCTGGGAAGGTAAAGTCTGATATCAACATTGATGATTAGCACCAAGAGCGCCAAGTATGTTGACTATCACATCAATGGATCACAAGATGAAGCAGTAGAGGGCGGAACAAGACAAAACCAGCAACACGACGGGCATTAGGGAAAGGGGGATATATCTCCCGAGCCATCCATGGCCAGTAACGAGGCCTCGCTGATGCATGGTTGCATCTGAGGATGAGAATGTCAAATCACGAGTTATGGCGCCATAGCCCCGGGATTTGTCAGCGCATGTGAAATGCGGGATGCCCCACCCAGCGTGCGCACTCCAGCAGCACTTTTGATGCACTGCACCAGTCTAAGAGACAGCTCGTCCCAATGACAGAGGCGGAAATGGAAGTGATATGGGGGAAACAGAGCAGCAAAAGGACCAGAGGATGCAAGGGCCCGATAGATGGGCCGGATGCCTGCGTGGTGATTGCGGAGATGATTGACAAGAGTGTGCCCGGCCACGCTTAGAGCGTGCGTGGGTTCTGCTGGAAAGGGAAAAAGCCAGGGTCTCGTTTTCTTCCCAGGAATGAGAAGTCGATAGGCGAGCAGGAAGATGGGTGTGAGGAATTGAAACGGAAAAAAAATGTGCATGTGCATAAAAACGCAGAGGGAAATAGCAAGAGCAGTAAACTCACCGGACATGAAATCCAAGTTGGGCATTTCACCGATCACTGAGGGTGCAGCGCTTACATCCTCAGATGTGGTGCCACTGTGGGGAGCCTTGCCTTCAGGCTTGGCGGGCTGAGCTTGGAAGTCGGTGTTCTGGCCAGAGTCAAAGTCGAAGAACTGGGTGTTTGTGAAGATGTTCAGGTCCTCCTCGAAGTTTAAGCTGCTCTCTTCCAGAGTATCCGCCTGAGGGCTGATGGTGTTGAGGTCGCGAAGGTATTGCGACACGTTGGGGCCGTGCCGACCGCTGTAATTCGACATGATGATTTTTCGTCAAGAAATGTCAGACGGGACTTGTCAATTGGCGTCGTGAGTCGCAACCAGCGTCTCGCTCGTAGTTGACCGCTGTTGAGACTCCGGAACGTCCTGATGCAATTACTGGCGGAGTTTGAATGCCACGTTGATTGCGTCTCAAGTGAATGGTATAGGCGGTGTCGCAGTCAGTGGCGTCGCTATGATGCGTCGATGCCGATGCTAGTCGTCGTCCTTCAAATTGGTCGTCGAAAGTCGAGAGTCGATGATGGCGACAGAGATGGTTGTGAAAGGAGGAAAGCCTAGAGCCAGTCTGTAGCGAGATCGCTATGAATGTTCGGATCGGGATTATGACTCTCCAGCCCTCCAGTGGAGTGTTCTCGGTTTTTTTCCTCCTCGCCAGGCCACAAGCGACAAAGTGCAACGTACCAGTAACCGACCGTTGGCCGAAGGGCTCCGGCTACAGTGGACCAGGCAGAGACTTTTAGCGCCCTCACAGACCGTGCTGAGAAATCAATCAGCTGAATCCCCACTCCGCAGAGGCCTAGAGCCCCAGAGAGCAGAGTGACATGCCTCTGGAGCCGGGGCACCGCACACCACCAGGTACCGCCACGCACGCTCTGCGGCAGAGAGTCCTGTTTAGTGCCAAGGTGTGGGCGCCTGTAGCGTCCTTGAGCCTGGAGGTCCCCGCATCGCCCTGGTGCTGTGGCCAGTCAGAGCAGGCGTTTCGCCCATATCGCCGCAGCGATTTGCTCATTCGGTTTTTAAGAATTACTGCAGCTGCACCGAGCTGCCCAGCATTCTGCCTGCTCGCTGCGTCCCCATCCTTATCTCCAATACTGTTGCACTCTGCAGAGCACCGGCCCGGAAGAGGCAATTAGTATTCCCAGTAGCCGGGCCCTACTTTTGGCTACATCAATGTACTGTATGGAATCAATGACTGTCCCAATTACTCGTAGTAAATGCCGGGTCTGCCATGTCACCAATACCGTTTAATGATCCTCCGTAGCAGCGCAAAGCACAGGCAATCAACCTGCACTGCACAAACGTTAGTGACATCTGCAGTTACGTAGGTGCTGCAGCTTGTGCTCCCCCAAGACGCTCCGTTACCCGGTTTTCACCTTTGCCTCTGCCGCTGATCAGAACCCATCATTACCTCCTTCGCCTACGCTACAGCACACACGCTACCTGTCCAAGAATGTGCGGCTGCAAGTTTAACCCTCAATAGATCCAATCCTTCAATCCTTCCGCAAGGCACGCCCATGCTCTGTCCGCGAACCCTTAAATACGCCACTCGGAATGCAACGCGTGGGGGGCACTGGCCAGCCAAAGTTCAGTTCTCCATCTCCAGCCCCGCTGCTCTGTTTGTTGCTCTGCTATTGACTCGAATTGCCCGCATTAGGCTCCGCGCTCCGCCGCTCCTCAACAGCCCGTCTGTTTCGCGCCCGCTAGCCGAGACAGACGAGCGAGTTATTTTCGTTTCTGCAATCGCTCCGGAGCAATCTTAATCTCATTCTTTTAGCATTGTGCGATTCTGCTCTCCACCTTTGCTGTTGACGCACTGCATCACTGCTGATCCCTCCGGCAGGTGCTTGCGCAGGTACTTGTAGATTACGTGCTTTAACGCCTGTGCTGCATGTACCTATGGACTCCTGAGATTTACCTCAATACAGCATCATGGATGCAAGGATAACTGGAGCCCATACCAAGAAACGCGCCACCCTCAATATGCATCTGCAGTTGAGAATTGATTGCCGTCGCTTCGTGCGGCTTGGATATGCAGGATTTCAGGATCTGCTGCCGATGATCCCTGTCTCGGCTAATGTGGGAGCTCGAGATGAACCGCACCCTGCAGCCCATGCCGCGTGCATCGCCAAAGCTACCGGCCGTCGATTGGTGCATTCGCGCATGGCCACGGGGATTAGTATGTACAGTCTTGGATTAATCCCGCCATGTGATCTGTGGTTGCCCGTCCGGTGTGCATACATAAAGCTGTCGCAGCGTGGAGGTGCAATCACGCAAGATGCGCTGCTGTGCGGTTGGACGTTTTAGCCGTGCAAAGCCTCGCTGTTGGTCGCTTTGAATGTGAACAACTGCTATTGAGTGCTACTGAGTGCGGAGTGCATACACGATGCAGCAAGGCCTCGAAATCAGCGCAAGTCCAGTCCTTGCAAAAACCGCTCATGATGGGCTCAATCTGCTCCCAACATCGCATCGTACTAAAACAGGCCATGTTTGTGGCTTGAACTTTGACGTCGGCTGTGCAAGCTTGCGGCGTCTCCTGACTCTGGATTCCGCATGTGATTGGGGCTCCCATCAACCCACCAACGTGAGCTGATGGTGGTGTCCATTTCTTCCGCTCACAAGAGGCCAAAGCCCTTGTAAGGTTAACGTTAACGTGGTATGCTTAATGCGAAACTCGGTCGTATTGATCGAGGTATCTACATGCATACATGTATGTACCTGTACTCTGTGTCATTACACTTACATGTAGGGAGAACGAGAGAGGAAAAAGATTTTGAGGAGCCACAGCATTCTTGAACAAGACTTTTTTTTTTCCAAACAATTATATATCTTGCCATACTTCTAATACATCTTGATAGGAAATTAATACAAAAGAGAAAAGAAAAACAAACAAACTAGACTACATCTTATTGACTCGCAGAGCTTTTAGAACAAATTAAACCCCTTCAAACCAGACACGGGCTACCAGAGCCTAAATCTTTCATCTCTGCTTGACTTGCAACTTATGCCAGAACGGTCAAACCCTGAACCTTGTTGGTAGCGAATGATCCCTTCAATTGGTAGTGCTGAGCCACCTTTTTGCTAACCACGTCAAACACCGTCACTGCTGGCGCAACGGTGGCATTACCGGGGCTCAAGGCGTAAATGAAGCTGCCAGCAGCCTTCAAGTCATTGATACCAGGGTCGCCAGTGTTCAGGTTCGTGGTGGACTTGATGCTGCCATCGGTCGAGGATAGTTCCACAAATCGGTCGAATCCAGCGTCTGCAAGGAACACGGTGTTCGTCTCAGGGGAGAGAGTGGCCCAGCAGGTAGCCTTCTGGCCAGCAACATCAATAACGTTCTTGACGCTTGCGGTTCCGGTTTCGGTATCGACAGACAACATGACAGCTCCAAAGGCTGCATCGCTGGAGAGGATTTGAGAATCTGGGAGCGGCGCCGCGCCAAAGAGAACGGCAGTCTGGTCAAGGACATTCAGCTTGCCCTCCTGGCTGACAGCGACAGCTCCACGGCCGTCACACGGCTGTTCCACGGCAAACACTCCCAAAGTACCGGTGGTGTTTGTAGCCGGGTTGCCCTTGACGGTAGTATACAGCGTCTCTTCATCTTCAGAGAAGAATACTTGGCCGATGGTGTTGGGGGGGCCCACAGGAGGCGTGGTCTGGTTCAAGCCGACTGGGCGAAGCTGGTCCATCTTGCCCAGCCCCTTTGAAGAGAAGGATGCGCAGGAGACACCAGACTTGGCGCCAGTTGCTCCAACGCAAACCAGCTTGTTCTTGGTTGATGCGCCAACCGTCACGGGAAATTCACCGGGCACGGCAGCGGGCCTGCCCACCATCGTGAGTCTAGTTGGGTGTAAGGGATCGATGGCAAACATGGAGACGGTATTGGATCCGGCATTGACGGCGAACAGATACTATTTTCAGTAACACGATATGTTAGTAAGAGGCTCTTTGGCGGCGATATCAGCCACATGTAGTCAAGTCTGTATACATACATTGCCAGCCACAGTCACGGCCGACTGAGAAGACAACACATCAGCGGTGGCGGGTGTTTGCACGTTGCCATTCTGGTTCAGGATGCTTGAGCCTGAGCCACCCGTCGCAGTAAGTGTGCCAGCAGACAGCTGTCCGTTGCTACCGATTGGCAGGGCAATGATGCTGTTCTGCTGCTGGTTGCTTGTGATATAAATAGCCCTTCCAGGCTTGACCTTGGGCGGAGGGCAAGAAGTTGGTGCCGCCGCTGACTCTGTTGCCAGTGATGTCAGCCCTAGAACAAGCAGAGACTTCCAGGTAGAGGAATGCATTGTGGCGTCTGATTGGCAGAGGTGAACGAATTGAGTAACTGATGGGATGGAAATCGGTACAAGCTAGACTGTAAGCTGATAGCCAAGAGAATCGACTGGCGAGTTCTCCAATTGATTGTATGGATTCAAGGATGAGTGAAGAGTTGGAGAGTTGGTTGATTGATGAGAAAGACTTGCAACTTCTGTCAACTTCGTTGCCTCTTTATATATTTCTCTCTCTTCGCGACATCTCCCCTATCTCGGTTCCCATTCCCTCGACGTTGCCGAATTTCCGCTCAACAATTTCAACTCAAGGCAACTAGACAACAGTTTCATTTGCGAAAAATCACGCCGCGTGCCGATGAACCGTAACATCAAACTGCGTCAGAGACAAGAAGCCTCCTTCAGGACATACCCCCTCATGAGGAATCTTTTCCAACTTGTCAGTTGGAGATCATCAGAATTGCCGGTTTGGGCATAGCGTGCACGACCACGATGCAGAACAAGCTTACTACGGGGACCCATGCAGTTGTTTACGGGGTATAGCGGGCGTGTTACAGCGAGCTAGGAGGGCTCTCCGTCTTGCTTGTTTCGGAAGAAGCCCAGGAACAGAGACTCGTTTCTGGCGCAGGGGCAGCAATATTGTCAGACGGTTAAGATTGGATTTTGAGAGCAATCTTGCGTGGGCGGCGTCCCAGGAACCTGGAAAACACCAAACACTCTCGGGTACCTGGCTACTCTGTTTGAGAGATTGCTCCATGTATACCTACTAGTAGTATCGTATCGTAGCCCCTACAGCATTGGATGCTTTTAGCCAGGAACCAAGCGCTAGCGCTAGCATTACGGAGCAATTCTATGGTATATATGCCCGTGTATGGAGCCGGTGACGTCTCTCGGAAAGGCATCGCCGTGTCTCTATGTAGGTGTAGCACGAAAACTACTGTATAGCAGCAGCAACTGGATCCTTTTGCTAGGCATCTCGGCCTTGAACAAGCCCGAAATCAAAAGCGTGACAATTGCCGAATATAAGGGCAGCAGTAATCCATACTATGTCGATGATGTCTAGCCTGTTTTGGAAATGGAGACCCTTCAAGCCCCTGATGAGCCAGTGCGTATCGTGTCTGCAGCAATACGACCAGGCCCGGGTCTCACCAGATTGTATTCCGCATCTGCCAGCTTCTCAATCATCCAATTGGGCACAGCAGACTAATTCGGGCTGTCGCTGTTGCTCCATAGTGCTAGCAGCAATAGCACATCGACGTTTGTGTATGCCATAATGGGCGACAGGATATTCCGCATCTTCAACCCGAGAGGTTGGTCAGACCTTTCTGATCTCCCAGCCCCGATGAGCATGACTAAGGTACGAAAGCATGTGCTGACGAAGAAGCAATAGAGCCAAAGGGCGATCCCGTCGAGAAGAGACGCGCCCAGCTGAGACGCGCCCAGCAGTAAGTATCTGCTCTGGTACGGGGTGTTTTTCCCAAACGGCGTTGACCGTCATCTATAGATCGTATCGCGATCGAAAAGACAAGTACACCAAGGCTCTTGAGGCTGAACTAGCACGCTCTCGGAGGAATGAAGCCGGCCTGGCGACTGAGACTCAGCAGCTTCGTGCAAGAGTCCATATACTGACTTCTCTTCTGTCACAAAACGGCATATCCCTCCCCCCTGAGTTTGCTGAGGATATATCCCATGGTTATACCCTACATACGGATGATAGCAGCCCAGCAAGTGAACAAGCGCAAACGGCTATCAGACCCCTGGAGGAGTTACAACTAGATCCTACGAGCAAACCGGCGAACCAAAATAGCCCTTTGAGCAGTGATGGTTTTCATTTGCGGCATCATGGTTCAAGATTCTTCAGAAGGCCGCTGCCTCCAGTACCCACGGCCACCATAACGCTCTCAGCTGAGCCCAGTGACAAAACTCACCTTTCCGACCTTGATGCCACGACAGTTGGCATGGAGTTTGTATTGACGTATGCTTTTTTTTTTTTTGGGGGGGGGGGTCCCTCTTCGCACATATACATGGATGAAATGCTGACCGCATGGCAATGAAGACTAGAAAGGCCTTGTCTGGGCCATGTACACGGAAACCCCAAGAAGCCTAATGAACCAGGCGGTCATGCTTTGACTGCCACGGTTCAGCTTCAATCCGCCCTGTCTCTGCCCCCCATTGATCCACAGGATCCCAAGCCTCCGCCTTACCAGCAAGCCCCCGCAGCTGTGCTCGATCGCTTGTTAAATCTTGCGCCTAGTGTATCAGAGGACGGTGACGTGACACCGATCCAGGCGTGGCATTATATTCGACACCAGCCACACTTTGGCGGGTTTGAGATACAAAACCTTAACAGACTGGCTGAAAAACTACTGGTGGCCATGAAATGCCATGGGTGAGTAAAAGAGGCTTCCTTCTTTTTGACTCCGTTGGGAATGATTGCTGAGAATTGCAATAGATTTGGCGCTGCGATTCAGCCGAGCTTATTCGAATCAACTGTACGCGAAATTCTCAGTTCAACGTCTTTAATGTCACCGTGACACGGAGAGCATAGAACTGTCAAATCTTCATCTTTTCCTACCCTCTACTTGAGCAACGGTAATTCACCAAAGAATGGGGATTTCCTTTTCGGATAATGAGAGGACAATTGAAGGAACATACAGACGGGCATTCACCCAAATCACGACGAAGGGAAGACTGCGGTCAATGGGAGTTAAAAAGTATATATAGCCTGGTTTCCCTGGATGGCTACGGTACACTGTTTCTTCTTCTTCTTCTTCTTCTTCTTCTTCTTCTCTCTCTCTCTTTTCTCATGGGCCGATTTTATCTGTGACAATTCTTAATTTGTAGGGTAATCGTATTGCTAAGCAAACTTTGACTTTGAGTATGAAGCAATATACCTTCATGTTGTTTAGTTTTATATGTTATTACCCATGTAGTAGAAAAAAGCGACATTCATTACCTGCGGTTATGTTTTACGGAAACGTCTCCATGTGAATTTCAACACAAGATACATATATGCCTGCTACTTAGATCCACACCTAAAGTCGAGTTGCGCCTTGATACTTGACCTCGCAGACTCGATTTTAGCTGCGGGCCCTGTACCGTAGGACCCTAAGTAACAAACTTGCATTCATACTTGGGAATAATATACGAAACTAAACAAGTACATTGTTCCATACCTCAAGTCGGATTTTGCGAGTGAATACGGTATACGGCGCAAGCAATGAACACTGAAGCTGTGAGTATAAGCTGACTAAGCTGGACCCGCAATCTTTTACAACGCGTCTCACCGAGTTGGCCGCGTCTGGTTGACTTCTTAGCGGGGCATTTATGCAGCCTTGTTTTCATCTACAATGTATCTTGTCACTCTCTCGAATCGCCTCTTCGACCTGGTGATGGTAGTCATGTAGGGCGATATCGCAGGCCTTTTCTCGAATTGCCTGGTTATAGAGGTTCTCGCCACACATCAAAGAAAATGGCCCGGTTCTCAGTACCGACAAAGGCCAGGCTGCCTTCTTCGCTGCGCGTTGATTCTACAAACCCAGCCGTGGTAAAAAGCCTGGGCCGACTATCCCGCGAGGCTCTCATTTCCTTGGCCATGGGCTGGCTTGACGGCGACTCCATTGCCAATGCGATACCTTACCTGGAGAGACGGGGCGACGAATATGAAGTTGACTTGGATGATCTCTATCCTGCATGCGGGTCAGTCCAGGAGCTGTACGAGTACTATGCGGCAATGCAGCAGCAAAAGGGATCCAAGCGCGATGTAGCCAATCGCATACTGGAAGGGGACTGGAGACATGGGCTATCGTTGTATCAGCTCGCAATGGTCGATTTCTACCATCTAGAAGAACACCCCATGTCTCAAAAATGGACAGCCTATAAGATCCTGCCGCTGAAGCCTCCAACGCAAGGTGCCGATGACGAGGTCCTTCAGGTCGACGATAAAGCGTTGAATGTTCCTCGCTTCCACCCATCAACGTTTTTACAAAGCCTCCAAGACCAAGTCTTGCCAGATATCAAGGCGCACTATCATTTTCATCGACCCAAAGATCTCCCAGTCTTGCTGCTGCGCATCTTCGTTATCGAATCCCCGTATAACAGCAGCCTGGCTCTATCTAATGCTACCAATTTTACCTCGTCTCGGACGGTGTATCTCGCGTTCCCCGATGGTTCATCCCACATCTATATTACTAAATCTCAATCCAACGGTCCGGCTGCTGCGGGTGAATCGAGGAGCCTTCAGAACTTGATTGTCCATGGAGTACCCAAAGCACTATCTCGACCAAGAGAACGATATACTCTTATTCCAACAAGTCTGACAAGCAGAAACTTGGAAACACTGTTGGATAAAAGAGGGCCTGGGCGAGGAAATGCCGCTGGAGGCGGTTGGAGCGTTTACGCCTCCGATAAAAACAAGAAATCTCCGCTTGACGCCATCCTCCCCAGCCCTCCGCTCTCAAGAGAGCCCTCCCTCACTGATCAGAATCGAAAGAGGTTGAAACCGCTAGACCAAAATCAACGCGCTGCCAAAAGAGCTAGGCTAATTGCCAAAGCGCGATTCGGTGACTCTGGCCTCGTCGCCGATGGAAAAGGTATCGAAAAGGTTGACATCTTACTCAAAGACCCTTTCCCTACAGCCACCGCCGCCGCAGAAGCCCAAGGACACGACGAAGAGCAGACCATTACTCCTGGAGAGCCTTCAACTTCAGCTCGGAGAAGAACAATTGACGCTGCGCTTCGCCAAGCTGCTGATGGTGATGAAGAGCTGAGTGAGCCGGAGAACCCTTCACAGTGGCGGCCAACAGTCCAAATTACATTTCAGGGGAATCACGTCTTTGCCGGTATTCGACAGCTTGTTGAAGCCGGCATTGTGGACGGCGAGCGTATGCCCGGTTGGATGACAGGTGAAGATGGCGTTACTGTAGGCGTCGTAAGGCAAGGACGAATACGGGGTAACAAGGGCTCGGGATTATGAAGTGGTCTCTAATGTTCTTGTCTTTTTTTTTTGGATGTACTGTATACTGCTCTTTCTATGCGCTTGATACCCATTACGATGAACCATGACAAGTCTAGTTTCTTTCACCAAGTCCAAAAACGCTTACTGTGTTTTTCCAAGACGCCTCGCAAAGCTCTTCGATGGTTACCCCTTTAACGGCGGCAACGATTTTAGCAACCCGCTCAATGGTGCATGGTTCGTTGCGGCCTTTAACCATGGCCCCCTCTTGCCACTTCTCCTTCTTCACAATCTTGAAGCGGTCCGGCACCTCGGGCTCCTTCTTTTGGTTCTTCTGTTTCTTTGGCTGCTTTGATTGCTGCTGTGCGGCTCCCGCAGGCGGCTGAGCCACACCATTTGGAGCTGGCTGTTCCGGCTCAGGCTTCTTCTCTATCAGATATTGATATCCAGCATGGCTGGGCCGCACTTCACACCAAGGACCATCCGTTTCGAGCATGATTCTGTCCAGAGTGACCTCTTTGACCATGGCCAAATTTTCTTCCGTTTTGAGACTGCAGCCGTTGACACCAATATGCAGGCCCAGGTCCATCAACTCCTTCATCTCTTCGATGGTGCCCGTGAAGCTGTGTACCACGCCGCCCTTTTCTAGCCTTTCAAGCTTCTCGCCAAAAGCCCCCTTCAACAGGTCTACAAAGTCGCGATGAGCGGCTCTGGAGTGGAGAAATAGCGGCAATTGGGGCTGTAGGGAGACTACAACTTTGAGCTGGGCCTCAAAAGAGTGCAGCTGAGCAGCTTTGCTGCAAAAGTTCAGCCGGTCATAATCGAGACCAAACTCTCCCACGGCAACTAGATGCCCCTCGCCAGACGATCTAGCATCGGCGAGGAAGGTTGTGAATTGCTCAATCACCTTTGCCGAGGTTTCTGCATCTGGCTCGCCCTGGTGTTGGGTCTCTTCTGGATCTTCGGGTTCACAGGGGGCAACATGTTCCTCATGTCTCCCATGGCCTCCTTTGCAGAATATGGCGCTGCTGCAGGGGTGAATACCAGCGGTAGCGAAGCAAGTTCCAGCTAAATAGATTCGTTCAGCTTAAGATCATTACTACTAGCGAAAGGGGTTACCAACGAAATTCTTTTGCTAGCTCTAAAGAGTCATGCGAGCTTGTGAAGTCAGAGCCCGTTACGATGAGCTTGGTACACCCCACCTCCTTGGCTCTTCCGATAACATCCTTGAGATCATCCGGATGTCGCTGAACGCCACGATGCTTGCCCCTGAATATGGGGTCGGCTAGGTTGATTCCTATCTTTACCAGCCAAAATCAGCAACTAGAAGGTAAGATAAGGGGGGCTAGCTTAGAAAGACAAAGTAATTACATCGATATATCTGGGCTTATAAGGTTGTGATCCCGGCTCAAGGCTGGGCTGCGGGGCACTCATTGTGGAAAATACCGAGACACGAGAAATGACTGCAGTGTAATGGCGTGGTAGAAGATGGCGGGCCCTCCCTAGAATCATAGACATATATACAGAATCTTCATATATGTGATATGAAGCAGCAATAGTAGCTCACTCGTGCTCAACTTCCTGTCTCGTTTCCGCCGCAAGAGTCGCCAAGGCCAGGGCATACGGCAAAATGACTTCTCAGGCAGGTGTGCTTAGTAACGTGAAAACACCACATTAAAGCCTTCATGATGGCACGTGATTCCGCGACATGATTGAAGAAAACTCGATGACCAATCCACGCGCCATGGGTTCGCGTATCCACCAAAACAGACCTTGAGCTGTGACTCCGTTTCAAGTGTTTTCACTGATGACTTAATCCTTCTCAAATGCTTGGTACGTATCTCGTTTGAAACCCGATCAGGCTTAAGGAGATCCAATGAGGAAGTGGTTTGTTGGACCCTTTGCGCCGTTCTCGCGCTTGACTGGCCACAGAGCCACTGGAATGTGCCAGCGCGGGGCAACTTTTTTTTCAATTAGTTTTTTGAGCGTACCACAGCTATAATTTACACGCTAAGCTGGCGTGGCGCGTGCTGGAGACGCGCCGTAGAATAAAACCGTCTGTCCCGCCGCCTGAGAAGTTCACGAGCAACTCTTTTCCTCCTCTGCAAACAAAATATCCCAAGGCCTCGATTCATCTCGAAGCCGCCAAAGCTCTGTCCGACTTCCTGCGTGTCTTGACTGATACCTGCGAGCGTCTGAGAGCCTTGAATCGTCATAGCCCTCGTCATTCTTTCTCTCCCGCACCAGTCCTTCGCCATCCCACGCCGCCGCCATGTATGTGAGGAAGCGTGGTATGTATCCCCACCTGCACGCACTTTGATTTGGATTGCGTCTTTGTAAACCCTTCTAATCCATGGATAGACGGTCGTCAGGAGCGTGTCCAGTTTGACAAGATCACGGCTCGTGTTTCACGGCTGTGTTACGGCTTGGACACTGACCATGTCGACCCTGTGGCCATTACCCAGAAGGTCATCTCTGGTGTCTATGGAGGCGTCACAACAGTACAGCTTGACGACCTGGTAAGTCAAGCTCCATGTCCCGCAATCAAGATGTCAAGCCGTTAACGTATAGAATAGGCTGCCGAGACTGCCGCGTACATGACCGTTACCCATCCCGACTATGCTATTCTGGCTGCCCGCATTGCCGTCTCCAACCTCCACAAACAAACCAAGAAGCAGTGGTCCGCTGTCGTCAGCGACCTGTACCACTATGTCAACCCCAAGAACAGCAGGGCCTCGCCCATGATCTCCAAAGATACATACGAGTGTGTCATGAGACACAAGGAGGAGCTTGACTCTGCCATTGTCTACGACCGAGACTTCAACTACCAATACTTCGGCTTCAAGACACTGGAGCGGTCATATCTCCTGAAGCTTGATGGCAAGATTGTTGAGCGACCACAGCACATGATTATGCGTGTGGCTGTTGGCGTTTGGGGAGACAACATTGAGCGTGTCCTTGAGACATACCACCTCATGTCCAGCAAATTCTTTACCCATGCCTCTCCCACCCTCTTCAACGCTGGTACCCCACAAGCTCAGCTGTCCTCATGCTTCCTGGTGGACATGAAGGACGACAGCATTGAGGGTATCTACGACACTCTAAAGACATGTGCCATGATTTCCAAGATGGCTGGTGGTATCGGCCTGAACGTCCACCGTATCCGTGCTACGGGCTCTTACATTGCCGGCACCAACGGTACCTCCAACGGTATCATCCCCATGCTTCGAGTCTTCAACAACACTGCCAGATACGTCGACCAGGGTGGCAACAAGCGCCCTGGTGCCTTTGCCATCTACCTCGAGCCTTGGCACGCCGATGTCTTTGAGTTCCTTGACCTCCGCAAGAACCACGGCAAGGAAGAGGTCCGTGCCCGTGACCTGTTCCTCGCTCTCTGGATCCCTGATCTGTTCATGAAGCGTGTTGAGAAGAACTTGGACTGGACTTTGATGTGCCCCAACGAATGCCCTGGCCTTGCTGACTGCTATGGCGAAGAATTCGAGGCTCTGTATGAGAAGTACGAGAAGGAGGGCAAGGGTCGCAAGACTATCCGAGCTCAGAAGCTGTGGTACTCCATCCTAGAGGCCCAGACTGAGACTGGTAACCCCTTTATGCTTTACAAGGATGCCTGCAACCGCAAGAGCAACCAGAAGAACCTGGGAACCATCCGAAGCTCCAACCTCTGCACTGAGATCGTTGAGTACTCTGCCCCTGACGAGGTCGCTGTCTGCAACTTGGCCTCTTTGGCTCTCCCTGCCTTTGTCGACTATAACGAAGGCTGCTATGACTTTAAGAAGCTTCACGATGTTACCAAGGTGGTTGTCCGTAACCTCAACCGCATCATCGATGTGAACTACTACCCCGTTCAGGAGGCTCGCAACAGTAACAGCCGCCACCGACCCATTGGTGTTGGTGTTCAGGGTCTTGCTGACGCTTTCCTCGCTCTGCGTCTTCCTTTCGAATCACCCGAAGCTCGCGAGTTGAACAAGCAAATCTTTGAGACCATCTACCACGCTGCCCTCGAGGCATCTATGGAGATTGCCAAGATCGAGGGTCCTTATGAGTCATTCAAGGGATCACCCGCCTCTGAAGGCATTCTCCAGTTTGACTTGTGGGATGTCAAGCCCACTGACCTGTGGGAGTGGGACTCGCTCAAGGAGCAGATTAAGGAGCACGGTATTCGCAACAGTTTGCTCGTCGCCCCCATGCCCACTGCCAGCACTTCCCAGATCCTGGGCAACAATGAATGCTTCGAGCCCTACACCTCCAACATCTACCAGCGACGTGTCCTTGCTGGCGAGTTCCAGGTTGTCAACCCCTGGCTTCTCAAGGATCTTGTCGATACTGGCCTCTGGTCCGATGCTATGAAGAACCGCATCATTGCTGAGAACGGTTCTATCCAGAACATTCCCAACATTCCCGCCGACATCAAGGCCCTGTACAAGACTGTTTGGGAGATCTCTCAGCGCCACATCGTCCAGATGTCAGCCGACCGTGGTGCTTTCATTGATCAGTCCCAGTCCTTGAACATCCACATGAAGGATCCCACAATGGGCAAGATTACCAGCATGCACTTCACTGGCTGGAAGCTTGGTCTCAAGACTGGCATGTACTACCTGCGTACCCAGGCTGCGGCTGCACCTATCCAGTTCACAGTTGATCAAGAGGCACTCAAGGTTGCTGATGCCAACGTCAGCAAGGATCGTGTTTTGAAGAAGCGCGCTCCTCCTCCAGGATCCTCCTTTTCGATGACTTCAGCCACTGCCGTTCCTAGACTTAGCAATGCTAAGAAGGACGACGTCTCTGGAAACTCATTGAGCTCTACTGGTATTCCTACTCCCACTACCACGCCTCCCCCTCTGGGCAGACCTCTGGCTTCGCCCCACAAAGCCCCTCCTATGAAGGCTGACATCGATGAAGGCGACAGCCCCAAGGTGCTCCCTACGGAGCCTTCAGACATCGTCAAGGAGGAGGAGCTGAGCAAGAAGCCCGATCAGACGGAAGACAAGAACGATGATAGCGAGGAGCGCGAGAGGGACATTTACTCAGATGCTGTTGTAGCCTGTAAGTTGCTCTTGCCTCTGTTACCAGACGAAATTTTGAAAGATCAAATACTAACTCCTTTATAGGCAGCATTGAAAACCCCGAGTCCTGCGTTATGTGCAGCGGTTAAAGGGATACCAGTCAGCTGTGATGGCGACGTGTACGAGTGCTGGAGAGAAGGGAGATAATCGCAGAGCTGATCAATTGATCGAGCATATACAACAAAACTGGCAACGGAAATGAAGATTAAATAAATGTTTTAGGGTTTGTGCATGGTGGGCGCCGGATTCAAGAGTCCGACTGAAGTCACACTGGATGTTTAATGTGTTTTGGACTATTATGGATTTTTCTTATGCTTGCGACATGTTAGATGTTGTTTATGTTAGTAACTATGGATTTTGCGTGCTTTCTAGATGCAGTTGTTCATAGCATAGAGGCACGAATGTTGGAATGAAATAATGTATTCATACGGATGAAGTGTCTGTCTCGTTGTATTGTTAATTATCGTATGGTCCAAGTGCTGCCATGTAATTGCATACATTAGTGCTGTTGCTTGATCTTCGATGGATCTAGTGTCGTCTTCATTGAAAAACTTGCCTTTTGCCGTGATCAAATTAAGTTATCTTGTCTTGAAATGTGAACTTGATAATTACAGTTACTCCAACTATACAGTCCATGCTGAACGGATCAAGTCAGACTTTGATGTGCACTTCAAGACCTTCCTCTGTTATTTTCCCAGATAGAGGGCGGCTGTTGTCGAACCAAAACGCTGGGTGTATTACTGTCAAGAGAACCGACATGAGAATCATGGGAACGGAGTCTAATGCGATGAAGATGCCCTCTTTTGATGACAGGGGGCCGTTGAAACCTCCATTGAGCTCGGCAACACGCCAACAGGAGCGTATAAAAAGACAAACGGCAGCTACTGCTGCGCCTAACGGATAAGAAGAGGAAGACATTAGACCATGGCATAACAAGCCAGCATAGCGATATAGTGTGACTTACCAACAATGTATCCTAGCCTCTTGTCTTCGGCAAGCTGTTTGTGTATCTTGAAGCACACTATGACGAGAAGAAGGCAGAATATTGCTGTGAACAAGACTTGTGTTGCGAGGCCTGCAATCATAAGATCGACTCCTATGGGATTCGTGTCGAATATTGCGGCAAGAGAGCCTCCACATCCGATGAAACAAAGACATATAAAATCGCCGAGGATGAATAGAGAGGCAAAGAGCCGAGGGCTGATGCGTGCGAGGCGGGCTGATTTATAGTGTCTTTGCAAGGTGCTTATACCGAGATACAGGGACGAGGAAAGAAAGGTAGGGCCTAGGGTGAGGCCAATGATGTACCTAGAAAGAAGGCCTTGTCAGGATCAAATGATGTTGATAAAAAAAAAATTGATGAACAATGATGAGGTTTTTGGAAGCGTACATGATGTATCCGTTCTTGTTGGCTCGATTATGGGAGAGTTGGACTTTGGCGACGTAGCCTAGCAGTTCTAAGAGGAGGCCGCCTAACATGCCGATGGCATAGCCGTAGAAGCGCCAGAATCTAGCGGTCAGAATGATTTGGATAGTAAAGAGAATAGTGAAGAAGGTGACGAAAAGAGCGTTTGGCGCAAGGAGTGGTGTGAAAGATACGGCGCCGATGCCGTTGGGGGGGGTTTGGATGGTGCTATTTGCGGTAGAATTCATGGTTAACAGATTACAAAACCTATATTCAAACAAACGAAAATGAATAGAAGTAAGAAAAGTATGAATCAGACATGCGAACCCAGCATTATTGTTTAATTGAGTGGTTCATGCTACTTATTTATTTGCTACAGTTATATCAAGTCCACCGCAAAACTGCCGTTAAATCGCCGCTTAATCCCCGCTTTGCTTCCGTCAACGTCCAAGTCACAAGTCCAAGCAAATGGATTTCCTCCTTTAAACAGCCACCACACTCAGCTATAAATCTCCGTCTGCAGATGACAACTGCTCATTTGTACTGCGGAAATATTTAGTTTTTCACCATGCGGTTGAAACGCGGCGTTGAGCGGGCGTCCTGCGACTTCTGCCATCGCCGCAAGATCAAATGCGATCGAGCTTCACGGGAAAAGCAGGGCCACTCTTCCTGCTCGCCTTGTTCTTTGCGTCAAATTCAGTGTATTCTTGATGATGCGGATGATATTCGCCTCCGCAGACGGCGAAGACTAAGCAGCCGCGATGGAGACGCTCAAAGTCTCAGTAATTCAAGCCCATTTCCCTCTATATACGGCGGAGAAACTCAAACGATATCCCAAGAGAGACTTCAGCAGCCATTGCCATCCTACTTTCCACCAGATACAGAGGATAGTATCCCTTTATCGGTGGACCAGACGCCGGACTTGTCTTTCATCGACACCCCTTTCGAGCTCAGTCCAGAGAGCATCTTTTTCTTGGACCAAATCTTCTTGGGTGGCGGTTATGAAGGATCAACAGAGTACCATGAGCCACAAATAGTAATAGACCCCGATCTCCAGCTTCCTATGGGAGAAGATTGGGCTCCTCACGACGCCCAAGGCGAACCGTCTGCTGAAGCCTCAACTGTTCGTGCTCAACAGAAACTCTGGGTTGGCTGCAATCTTGACAAAGAGACATTTGATGCAGCACTGCATGCTTACTTTGACTTGGCCACCATTCATCTCCCGGTGATCATGGAGGATGCTTTCTGGAAGGATTATTGCGCTGGGCGATGTAGTCCTGCTCTAGTATATGCCGTTGCTTGTCGAGGAATCATTTTCACAGCTACTTCGGATAGCTGGGACAAGCAACAATGCCTAGCCACGATGTTTAGACAAAAGTTCTTGGAGGCCCGGCAAAAAGCAACTGGTAAATCGGCTATACGTCTCGATGATCTTGAGGCACTGGCAATCATGGTCGGCTGGGCATACGATGAAGCGAGAAGTTCGCCTCTCGATACACAATTGGGAAACCTTTTCCTAACGCATGAATCACTTGTCCTAGCTACGCTACAGTCGCAGATGCAAGACTGCGATGCAGGAAATTCAGGAAATACAGACCAGATAGGTCCGCTTGCGCGCAAAGAGGAGCGTCGTAGGCTTCTTTTCTGGCATGTGTATGGGCTTGACGCGTTCCACAGCCTGGATCAGAGCCTCATCTCCAGGATTCCAGATGGAGAGAATGAGGGCATATCACGAAAACTGCCGCACCATGATACCGGAAGCTATCTTGATGCCATTCTCAGCTTGGCCATTATTGCGAGAGAGATGCTGCAGGTTTTTATGACTGTCAGCACAAAACGGAATGGAATCAAGCCCCAAGACGCCATAAATATGTATGAAAGGCTCGACCGTTGGCACAACCTCGAATGTCCGGTTCACCTTCGTAGGAAGAGAGATGGAAAAGGCAAACTGACGCCACCGGCAGTCAGCGAGTCAACAAAGACCAATTTTATCCAGCCATTGCATTGCTCTCTCCTTTGGCTTTTGGAAATAAACTGTTACCTGCAGGTCGAAGCTTGCGTTTCTCGTTACGGTATGCGAGACGGTGGCCCCTTTGAGGCAGAAATGGCTGCTCATCGAATTGAATTGGAGTCTTTGCGGGCAGTCAAGGACGGCATGGAGATTTGTCAATGGATGAAGCGATTCTCGGCTGCAACAGGTGCAGGCAGCGCCGCCAAGAGCCATTCTCTAATCGACCTTGCGCCGTTTGCCCGCGATATCTGTGCAGGCCAATGTTTTTGGATAAGTGAGCGCGGCAAAAGGGCGATCCGTCATCCCACAGGTCGGCAGCGAGGAGCAAAAGCCGGAAATGATCACAAGAAGAATGATATTGATGACTACATGAAGGCTGCCAAGGAATTTCGAAGCGCCGTGGCGACAGCAACGTCGCACAGAGACACCGAACTTGTGTTGGAGCGGCTAGACCAGCAGATTGCTTCGTTTGAGGACCTTTTGGCGCAGTAGTCTTTGATCAATGATCCAGGGTGTATTTTAGCACTTGTTTAGCAGTAGTGAAAGAATCGCAAGAGATGAGTGATTCTTTTCCGCTGAGTGGCCAGGCATTGAGCAACGAGGTATTGAAACTAGCATCGTGTAGCATGTTAATTGCAGTATTGTTGCTCAAGAGCAGTAGTGGCTCAAAAGTTGGATTAGCGTATGAATACTTGACATCCAATGGAAGGCCAAATAATGCTCACGCATTGAAAGGTGACGTAGGCCTGGTTTATCCTGCGTGAGTCCATGACTGCAGAAACCAACATGATGAGGTCAGCTAGACATAATAGGACCGGGATGAGTGAAGTAGAGTCTCGGAACAATGCCGTCCAGTACTTTGATAGATGGGTGGCAGCGCATCAATAGATAATGCCTCTGCAACTAGCCACTTGGCAAAACGCGTGGTCCTGATTCAAGCCTAACTTGTGTGAGCGAATCACGGAGATGCAAGCTACAGTTACGCCAAGGTCCGATCTTGACTGCCCGGACCGATGATGCTGGGGTGGGGTCCGCTTCGTTTCTAGTTTTTTTTTTTTTTTTTTTTTTGTTTTGTTTCCAATGGAGACCTGTTGGCAGGATTGGATTGGATGGTCCGAGGTTGATGTGAGACATGCGTGCATCCTGCGTAGACATGGAGGATAGTACTGCGGAAGACGATGCTGAGAAAGCTGGGCAGTTGTCCAAGAAGACGAGAAAACCAATTGGATTCGCTGGAACAGTCGTGGATTCTGTGTACCTGGTATCGGGTCGGAAGAGAATATCCAGCGTCAAGAGGCGCGTAGAACAATTATCGGATACTCGCGAAATGGAGTGGAGGGCACCTTTGATCGCTGGTGGCGCCGCTAGTTGCCACCTGCTAGGGTGAAGCCGGCAAATGAGCTAAAATGCACCGTCAGTGCCTAACTGCAGTGAATCCAGCTGGGTCGCAGCGATCAACCAGCCTCTTTTAGCAGCCCCAGCCACGCATCGTCGGCAGTCTTCAGCTCTGCCAGGGTCGGACAATAGCTGCTAAACGCTAGGCTAGCAGATGCTGCTAAAGTAGCATGCGGTGGATGATGCCGTCATTCCGACTTGGACATAGCTCCTGGGCTTCAAGAGTCGAGCACCAGATGTCCAAGTCAAGACTTGAGGTTGCCTCTGAGATCGTACGATATGCAAGGGGACAAGGCACTAGGGGAAGCAATGCGAGCACCAACAGCAACAAACTCCCAAGTGCTCTGGCAAGTACAGCCACGGACGCTGGCGGTTCAATTCTTCTTTCATGTCGTGACAGTCCCCACCAACAGCTACTCCGTACTTCATCCTCTGAACACAGCCAAACTGGACTAAACAAGCGCTGTCTTACCATTCACTGCTTGCGCATCCAGGCCGCCTGAGCATCGTGCAAGATGCTTGGGCACGTACCGTCAGATAGCAGATGAGAGCACTCGTCTATAATATTGCTAACATGCTCGCTTCATCGTATCCTGCATGGCCCAGTAACCGATCTATAGTTTGGAAAGAGGGTGTCGCACAGACCTCGTCACTCCGTTCACCCCCTGCAGGAAGAATCGCAGCTTCTGCTGTTAATGACGTTGATCAAGCCGATCTGCCAGCTGGCGAGTGCCGAGAGCTTCAGGTGACGGCAGGCACTATAGATCAGGTACATGGAAAAGGGCGGCGAGTCAAAGGCAGGGCGAGGTACCTCCTACCTGCAGGTTCTCTCCTCCTTCCCGACTTCTTAAAGCTCTAGGCCCTCCTCACCTGCCCAGCTCTTGCCAGGTGTCTGGGCTCTCTTTCTGCCACTGCCGCTCGCACATTCATCTCCCCCATCTCTGCTCTCTTCCATTTCTCAAAACTTCTCTCATCCACGATCACGGCCAGTCAAATCACCAAGAGTCCAACTCTTTCAAGTCGCCTCGTCGCCCTATCGCCACTCTTTGTTCTTTGTTTGCCTCGTCTTTCGTTGCGCATTTGTATCGCCCAGGTTGGTCCACTTCGCCTATCTCGCCCTTTCTCTCCAAGCATTCTCTGCGTCTTCTTCCTCTTCCCGTCTCTCTCGCGAATCGCTCCCCCAAGTTCCCGAGCATCTATAACGCTGGGTGACTTTGTTGCTTGTTTTGAGGGAACACCGTAATTTCTTCATATCCCACCTCAACACCCGCTCATCTCCTCGACCAAGTCGTACAAAACCCCTTGTACGGCCTGTCACAAAGGCTTGCGGTGCTTCTCTGTCCTCTCTGTCCGCCAATAGTCTACATTTTCTCTTTTACGGCCTTTGTTCTCCCCTCTATGATTAAAAACTGCCATCAGCCGTCAATAGTCTGTCACTTTCCAACTCTTCGATCTGTCTCTTTTTTTTTTTTTTTTGTTATTGCCAAGTTCGATTCTCGCACATTCTGAACGGTCGCTCGTTTCATCACGCTACAAACACAATCACTCAAGTTATCTTTACTGACAGCCACTTCTCCATCAATAGAACATCAGTTCGAAATTTTGACAACATCAACACCAAGATGAAGTCCGTCGTTATCGCTCTTTGCACCTTCGTGGCGGCCGCTGCCGCTCAGGGCTCGCCCAACCTTGCCGCCTGCGGTGTGAGTAATCATCATCACATCTCCTCTTGACATTTGAACTGCTACTGACCATCCTCCAGCAAACCTGCGCCACTAACATGCTGGATGCCGACAAAGCTGAGGAGCTGGGCTGCAAGCAGAATGACCTGAAGTGCCTCTGTGCCAACAAAAACTTCCTTTACGGCCTCCGAGACTGCTCTGCAGCTATTTGCTCGGCTGAGGATGCCAAAAAGGTTGTTGAATACGGCATCAGCATATGTGCTTGTAGGTCGCCCTCTCCACCCATCTTGTGGTATTTCTACTCACATCGTCACAGCGGCCGGAGTTGCGATCCAGACAAGCACTGGAGGCGGAAATGGTGGTGCCAGCAACACTGGAAGTGCATCTGGCTCCGTTGTTAGCGGTGAATCGACAATTGCCACCGCTGTTTCTTCTGGTTCTGCTGCCGTAAGTTCTTCATCTCCTGCTACCACCTTTCCTTTAAACATCTTTGTCATTAGCAAACCGCAGAGAGCAGCACTGACGGCGAACAGGCATCTGGCAAAGTGTCCACAATCTTCAGTACCCTCACTTCTGATGGTGAGACCATTACTACTGGTATCGCCACCACTATTGTCAGCAATCTGAGCGGAGGAAGCGCCAGCGGTGGTGCTGGTGCTTCTGGCCAAGTTTCTACCATCGCCACCACTGTCACTGAATCTGACGGCAGTGTTGAGACAAAAACCAGTGAGGTGACTTTGTCTGGCTCTGCCACTGCCACGGGTACTGGCGCGCACCAGACCGACAGTGCAGTCTTGACTACCGTGACGTCTGATGGCTCTGCTATCGTCAAGACTCTGACCACAATTCACAAGACGACTAGCGAGACGGAGAGCGCTTCAGCCACTGAAACTGAAACCGTCACAAAGCCCGAGTCCAGCTCTAGCTCTGAGGGCGAAGCCACTGCGACTGATTCCGGCAGCTCAAGCGCTTCTACCACGTCCACCAGCAGTGGCGCCGGCGTAAGTTTTGACTTCCCATACTTTGGTATCCGTTATTTTCTGAAACGATTTTGTGTAGGTTCCTCAGAAGACCGCTGGACCCGTCGGCATCATTGCTGCCGCCGGCCTTGCCATGCTCATGCTCTAATTCCCTGATGGCCCTTTTTTTGATGTTTCGCGTTGCACATGTCTGATATATAATACCCTATCATTGTCTCATAATCCTCGACTTACTAAACATCTTTCGCGCTCGGCGTGGGAACTTGGCGCTGAGTCTATCTCTCATGACAAGGAAAATAGGAACAAGGTGAATGGACATGAACTGGGAAGGTTAATGAGGGTTAATGACTCATATGGTTTATCGTTGATTTTCTTTTTTTAATTGGGCCATGAGAAAATATATCAAAGATTCGGTAATTAATTGCTGGTAATGAACCAGAGCAATGTGGTATGGAAAAGAGGAATGAATGAAGCTCAGGCTCAGGGCGAATTGGAATGCAATCCTTACTTGCCTGTCGGACGAGAGACTCTAGACTATCGTTTCCCTTGTCATGATATGACACCCAGATCTGGCACTGCCTAGGTAAACGGGCTGGATCTCTTGCTCTCATTTACAGGACATTAATAAATAATTTTGGTGCAACTTGCAATTCATATTACGTGCCATACACTTGAAACATTGACATGGTCTTGATGAGTAGACTAAGCTAAGACAAGGTGGCATTATATATACACAGTGAACTGGAATATCAGTGCTTGTATAATTGTTTAATTACTATCTAAAATTTGAGTCATGGTATCCCCAGTTGCATCCTTTATTCCCATAAAACTATATGATGCCAACTCGCAACCTAAACGCCGGAATATGCAGAGTACGCCAACGCGTAAGGAAAGAGAGATGTCGAGTATCTAGAACAAAAAGGCGTAAGCTTAGTAGACGCGATCACCAATTTGGCTCCTCCAGCTCTTGGCACGCTCAAATCCATTCTCATGGGTCTGGTAATCGGCAAATGTTTGCATGACCTCCTCCTGCGAGTTGAGGACAAAGGGCCCGTATTGTACAACAGGCTGGTCAAGAGGAGTGCCCGCAATGACGACTTGGGAGTAAATGTTAGCCTGGAACAACCTTTGAACTGCAGAGTCCAAATTTAGGGAAGGGGGGGGGGGGGGGGGGGGGGGGGGGAAACTTACAGACTCGAGCGTCCTTTGTGGCGCTGGCTTCAGTCGACAGTTGAATTACATCGCCCTCCTGTTTGAAGAAGACGTTGTCATACTGCTCGGCCTTCTTGGCCTCTGCTCCCTCGCCAACAGTGACGTCTCCGTCAAGAACATAGGCAAAGGCGTTCCACCCCCGGGGAAGAGCCTGGGTGACTTTTGCGCCGGGCCGCAGCTGGAAATCGAGCAGCCACACGGGCGTATAGGCCAGCTCCTTGACAGAATCAACGCCGTGACTCTGGCCCGAGATGACCTTGACGGTGACGCGGCCGTCGTCGACGTCGACCTTTGGAATCTCGGCGGCGCGCAGGTCGCGGTAGCGCGGCTCGCAGTACTTGAGCTCCTTGGGCAGGTCGACCCAGAGCTGGAGGCCGACGTTTTGGCTGCCATCGGGTTGCTTGCGCGGCATCTCGGCGTGGACGATGCCGCGGCCGGCGGTCATGAATTGGAGGTCGCCTTCGTAGAGGGTGCCGGCGTTGCCGGCGAAGTCTTCGTGGTCGACGACGCCCTTGAGGAGGTATGTGATTGTTTCTTGGCCGCGGTGGGGGCTTGAAAGGTTGTTATTATCTATGGATGAGATAAGAGTTGAAGGAGATTTAGGTGCTTACTGGTCGGGAAAGCCAGCGGTTGTGGCAAAGTGATCGAGCATCAAGAAGGGACTAAAGTTGCGCTGCTGTCTTGTGCCGATGGAGCGTCGGACGCGGGCCCCAGCGCCTTCGGCCTGTTCAATGGCACGAACGACCTTTGCGACGGCTCGTGGGGTGGACATTTCGGTGACTGTGAGATGTTGCTCTGGGGTGGGGAAGTGGTTTTTGGGAATTGCTTTGGAAGCAGCTGTCTCGTTCAATGCAGTACTGGTAGCGGTCTTGCTGACGAACAATTCGCTGTAGTGGTTTGGAATTGAAGATTTGGCAAGATTCAGGAAATCAGAAATGCTTTCGCGGTATTGGTACAAGAGCGTAGATGACAATCCAATGAGAATTGCAATGATGATTTGGAAAAACTTCATGAGAAAGGGAGTAGAGGCAAAAGGGTTTATTTATATACAAAAACGATGTGAGAAATCTAAAGAGAAGGGGTGGTTTAGCAAAGAGCTTTAAAGAAATTTTGAGAAGTTTCTGATTCCTGCCAAAAGTCGCATTATACAGGCTTATATCATCAAGCACTTACAAGTAAGCTGCCGCAGCGCTGCCGCAGAGCTTCTCCCGCGATCAATTAATGTTTTGCAAGCTTGGGCCCACAATTAGTCACTTTTACATCAGCAGCGGTCGAGCACATTAACAAATTGCCTTTGTGCCCCGCTTTACTTCAAATTCCACATTCCAGATTAAGCAATGGTTACTCAGCGTTTGATGTTCCCTCTTGGATTTGCTAAAGATTTCTACGTACCACAGACATGTTTCAGGTAGCATCACATGATCACCTCTGCAAGCAGGACGGTTGTGAGACTGCGTTGAGTGTTCAATTTCATCAAAAGCAAACTCCCATTGGTATTCTACCCTTTTTGCGTCCTTCCATATAAGTGCCCATACAACAAAACAAAGAAGAGTTAATGTCCCGTAGAAAAAAAGAAAAAGAAAAAAAAAAAAAAGAGGCCCGTCTCCACAGGCACATCAATCGCCAACCGCCATCTCTTCCCAATTCCAAGCTATGACTCCCAATTCTCAAAGATAGCATCATAGGTTTCGAAAAGGGTGAGAGGGGTGTTGAATAATCGATAGGGCCTGTTGGAATAAGGGAATAAAAGAAAATGTAGTTCAAAAAAAAAAAAAAAAGCGTCAGAGCTTGGCCACCGGGTAAGAGAGAAGTGACGACATCGAAACCGGTTGTAGATGTCCCCGTCTTGAAAGGGACGCGGGATCGGCCCACTTTCCTGATACTTTTCATCGAAAGCTGGCGTTTCGAATCCATCAAGATCAAGCGACAGAGAGCGCAGACAAAATGCCGATAAGTAGTTGGAAAAAGGACAAAAGAGATGAGAGCTGGTCAAGTCAATGAATGTGTGCGCTTTTTCGCTCTACGGTCCGCTCTCATCAGGTCGTTTACTGGTTGATCTTCTCCTTGGTAGAATCAGCAGCTTCGCCCTTCTTGACAGCAACAAAGCTGCTCAGCCAAGCCAGCGTCTCGTTGCTAACAACAAAGGCCGTGGAGACGGCAGCCTTGCCCTGGGCCACGACGCCCTGCTGCTCAAGCTTCTTGAGCTCGGAAGCGTAGACCTGGAAGACGTGGTCCTTGCCCTCGAGTCCCTTTTGGTAGGGGAGCAGAATCAATCCACGGGTATCGTTGTAGAGGTCATTGGTGGGCTTCTTGATGATGGGGAAGCGCTCTTCGATGCGGTCCAGGGTCTTGTCGCCAAAGGAATCGGCCTTTTGGACATAGGGCGAGACGATGCCATAGGGTCTAGCAAAGTAGGGGATGATGGGGGCGGCAAAAGTCTGGTACGCTGAGTCGCCGAGCTTGAAGGATCTCTGGGCGTACTCGTTGGCCGCGACGGTGTGGACGCCATCGCTGACTAGGGGGAATGAGAGCAGGTGCTATAGAAGGAATTGTTAACACAAGGGCGAGATACGACGCCAATTCGCCCTGCAATTGCGCGAGAGCGAATGAGTTTGCACGCGTACCTGTAGGAAAGCGGATTGGACATGGCTGGCCACGTCGCCGTTGACTTGGGGAGCAGGCATTGTGATGTTGGAATAAGCTGTTTACTTGGTGTTGCAGGTGGAGATTGGGAGGTGAGAGACGGCACGAGGTGGGCGGCGAGATGTTCAGGGTGCTTTTGAAGAGAAGAAGAAATAGGTCGGCTGGAGACAAAAGGCCAATGCTTCGATAAACAGAAGAAGCAAGGGATGAGAGCAGGTATGAGAAAAGGAAGGGAAGAAGACAAAAAAAGAGCCAGGAGTGAGCAGCTCCAGCAGTAGATAAGGACGGGGCAGACGGGCAGCCGGGCAGCTTTGTACTGTAGCGGCGCATTCCCCAAGCCAAGGGTGCCCACGGCCTGAGCCATGGCTGGCACGCCACCCCGGATGATGTATTGATAACGCAGCGCCGCGCAGGCCAGATACCTGCCAGATACCTGCGATGCCTGGCCCTCGCGCCGCAGCGCCCTCCCGCGAACGGTACTGGTACGTATCCGTGCAGGACGCAGCAAAAAGGCATGTGAAAGCGGCGAAACAGCTCTAGCAGCGCGGCGGGTCCCTCTTCGTTCTGTGCTGTGCAGGACTGGAGACGCTTCTGTGAGGCTTGCGGCTCCGCGATTGGCTCACCAGCCACACCTCGCATGGCATGGGGTCCCCGTCTGACTTTGGCCGACATGTGAAAGCGCTTGTTCGCTGCAGCCAGCTGCTGTTCTGAGCCAACCGCAGCAGCACGAAGGTTTTGGTTTATTACATTTTCTCTCTTTTTTTTTTTTTTTGCTTTTCTCTGCGGTCCCCTTTTTAGCGGCTTGTCCGGGTAAATCGTCCCGACCATCTGTTACTGTCTAGTCTCTCGGTTTTGGACAAAGGGAGGAGTGCTTCTCCTCAAGAAGCGGATTTGGTCCAATGGACGCCGTGTCTGGCACACACACTCGGACGCATTTGCATGCATGGCATTACATGTTGTATTGCATTAGAGGCGCTGGGAGTTGCTCGTTGATGCGGAGCAGGCCTCGTTCCCGCCAGTGCAGCCAAAATCCCGTATCGTCCGGAATTGCGACATCTCGCACTTGTTGCGGTGTGCGCCAAGCGTCTGATCCGTCATCCGGGTGTTGGCGCTATCTCTACTCGAGCTGTGCTGGGGGACTGACTGATTCAAGCACATGCATCTGTATCATCCATGGGTTTGATGGCTTGATGGGCCTCATCCGCCTTATCGCCTGGGATCGATGATCAGTCAGCTAGTGCATCCCATGCCCGAGAATGCTTGCGGCATCGGCACGTTGGCGGGTCATGTTTTGCTGGGAGAGAGCTCCTATAGATTGATGTCAATGTTCATACCGTACTGTGCTTATCTATCAGCATTCATGCATGCAACATCCAGATGCACACGAGCTCAATGCCCATAAATGTTGACTGGATCCTCTCGTGCGTCACATCTCACTTCAGATCAGGTGTGCCTTTTTTTAGGCAGCACGCACGATTCATGGCTAACTCGTGGAAACGGCCGAAATAAAAACTCTCCTCAGTGAAAAAAACAGGGACGAAAAACAGCCGGCCATGGGGCGATTCTGAGCCGACTTCAGTCCACACACATGTTTGACAGCGTGAGCGCCAAGGCTACCCTGCCATCTGATGCCTGGCTACGGATACATGTATGTACCATTGCTCCCCCTTATTAGGTTGGTACCTAGGCAGGTACTACAGTATGCTTACCTCTACTCTGCCTCGTATCTCTCGGCATCAGATGAAAGATAGCAAAGAGGAGAGGGAGAGACTGGACCCCTGGAAGCTCACCATCACGTGTAGAAAGACGGCTTGATGTTGCATCCCTTGGCAACTTTTTGCCCACGCCAAAGGAGCCAAAGGACTGGGAGGCACGTTGTCCCTCGCTCTCCATGCCCGGGCGTTCGGCCACGCTGGTGATTGGCCAGCCCATTGGTTCATTGGCCAAAAAGGATCGGCGCGAAGCTGCGCAGCAAAGACTGTCTTACAGTAGTACCGTAGTACTGCATATTTTGGGACACTCGGCTATCATATTCCGCGCTCCGTATTATTTCGTGAATTCTCTTTACTAAAAAGCGCCGATCGGGCTTTAGGATCAGGTTTTTTCAAAAAGGCCGTCACGGCAGGCCAAGCCAAGGACAAATTAAGTTTTGCAGGTCGGAAGTTTGATCGATCCACGTCTGGTGCTAGTACCCGCACCCTTGCTTGGTGTTTGTTCCATTTTTTGTGGATAGCTTCAATGCACCAGCCACAATCACATGCCAGAGAAGACTTGGGTTCTCTTGCCCCTCGAAAATGTCTTGTTTGACCTCATCGTTTGTTTACTTGTCGTGCTAGACGCGGGTCTTGCTGGCTTGGCATTTTCTTTAAATTGTTAATCTTATCTAAGAGGCTTAAAATTTATATAGCTTCCAACAGTCCCTCCGAAAAATCTTTGTTTCGCTCGTGAGCTAGATGCATGCGGTCTTACAACGGGGAACCTTTGCTTGGGCGGCCTCACAAAGCATATTTTTTTTTTGATGTATCTCATTGAGTTGAGGGTAGTAAGTATCTTTCACACGGCTGATTAGAAAAGCAACACGAGTCTCTTGCATGGATGCCAATAGAAGTCTGCTGGACGCTGATATCAGCATTCATCATGAGCGTAAGAGGTTGCACTAATCTTTAATGCAAAGCCCAATCCCTTTATCGTCCTGGATTCATACATGTGACTCGAAAAATTCTCTTTAGCAGCCGCCTATTATACAGCTCAAATGACAGCTGGAGCTGCGTGATCACATGGTTCTAGTCGGTGACTTGGCGACCCCATTCACATAAGATTGGTTGGACACCACAAATGCTCTTGATAGAAGTGATTCCACTTGGACGATTCGAAAGATCCTTGTCATCCTATTAAATGAGCTCGGCATGCACGTGTCCGTACCTGGAAATGACTGGTAGATAGAGATATGCATGTATACAGACCTAATCAAGGGGCTAATGTCATTGTGCTGTTATGTTCTGTCTAAGACAGTTTTTGTGAGCACAACGGTGCTATCTCAGTCTCCCTTGAGCGAGTAAACACTTTACAGTATCAATTGCAAAGTGGCAGTATCATATATTCCGTATACTAGCTATATATAGCAATTCTACATATAGTATGCGGCAAGTTGCAATTGAGGGCCATCTTCTCAGGAGCAGAAAGACTGATATCAGCAACATCGCAAGCTTTGAACATGGGTCTTGACAATATTGCCTCAATAGTAATGCCAAGAATACCTAGTTAGATTATGAATAGTCATATTAAGACAGAGCTATCTCTATGCACGATAGGCATCTGCCAGTCATACTTGAAATTCCAATCTAAGCCTCGGGAAAGCTCAAGATCTTGCCACTCATCATTGCACCACTGCCTTCTTGGAATAGCGTCATCATTTTCCACAGGATACTATCTTGCAAGAACTCATGTAGCCGAAGTCCAACGCGGTTCACAATATTTTCGGCAGCATGTGATTCTGCAAGGACAATTTTTAATCGCGTGTGCTTTGAGGTATATACATTCCTCTAGTGTTTTGCAACGCCGCTTGCAGAGCTCTTTGCCCTTTTGGACAATCAAGAGCCCAGAAGTGGTAAAGTCATCTGGAGAGCCATTCAGTAAACTTGTACATATTTATGAAATGAGCGATATTATCAAGAATGACATTTCCCATTGAGACTTTTATGTAGGTCCGCTTGACAAATGGTGAACTTGCACATCTCAGCGCCCAAAAATTCTTCATGGCAATTCCGATACACTCCAATGCCCTCATTCACAGTTAAAGGGGGAAAAAACGCTGCGATGCACACAACCCCCTTATTTTGCGATGTTTACTTGCTCTGTATTGTTAGATAGTACCCGAGACCACCACTCATTGAGGAGAGAAACTACGTACAACTACATGTAATCTAGCCCCGCCGTTTTACGGAACGAAAGGGGGTCATCAGCACAATGAGTCGCTTCCCAGCAATTTTCATCTACTCTGAGGCGTCACTACCTACCTACATATAACCTGGCCCTACCAGGTTCTAGGCTAAGATGAAGTCATTCGTACCTAAGGCGTTGGTTGCACTGCAATTTTCATCTACCCTGAGGCGTTACTTGCTGATGTAGAGGAGATAAAGTACAACTCTATAAGCTATGCTGAAAAAGATATCATGGCATTTTCTAGTGCAATGAGAGAAACTATGGCTTCTAAATACTAATTACATGTTCGAAGCATAAGATTTAATTTATTGGGTAGCATCTACGGGCACAGTCTTGTATTAGGTATTTGCCATATAATGCTGGAGATGGTGCGACTCTCACAACTAAACTTGTAATACACAGTCGTGCTTTATATCATCATGCATGGACCATGTGTATTCCGTCACTGGACTAATAAATGTTGATAGAATCTAGGGTAAGAATTTACAGATGTTTAGCTGCTAGTTACCATTGAAGTTGAAGTTCGGATGGTCAAGTCATCAGAATTCAGACTGAATGAGATCACATGGCGGCAGAATCATAAGAAATGTTATATATTTCCCGTTCGGCATGATGTTCTATTCAACTCATCATCCTTGACGTGTAAACTACAGAGTCTAATGCTCCTTAGTCAAGTCAAACATAGTATGGCTACATCCAAGTAAGCAGTGCGTATACCTACATACTGTTTCGTGGACTACTTGGGTAGTAGATGTGGCGGTTTCAGGGCCCGGTCTGGCGCTTGATTGGCAGCACAAGCCATCAGCGCTGATTGAAAGCATGTCACTTCAGCTGCAAAGGACGTTGGCTCGCGCACTTGTCCTCAATATCGAGCTCTCGTTGCTTTTTTCTTCTTGGCCATCGTATGCCTTGCAGGACAGATGAGCAAAAATAGAAGCCTCCCTTGCGTTGTTGGCCGTTAGTATTCGAGCCTTTTTTTTTTTCTTACGACATAACTGGAATGCGGAGCCCCATCGTGCCGTCTGCAACTCCAATTTCTGTTTTTCTTTTCTTTTTGTTTTATGTTGGCCCGAGCCTGGCTTCAATTGCGGCTCGCCCTGCAGCCACATCCCACCTGTCACTTTATCACAGTTGACAGCATGTACAAGTGCAGTAGTACAAGTATATTGCGCATGGCGTCCAAGGGTCCAGCCAATCTAAGTAACCGTCGCGCTAGAAATGCCGCCGTCGTATGCAGAGACGGGTGTAGAGTCGAAATGCTGCGCAGTAGCATTCATGATCCTTGATGTGCTGGACCGCCTGCTGGACTCTGCTTTTGGAGGCTGTTGTTGATATCATACTGTACTACTACATGTGCTCTTTCAAGGAAGCGCCGCCACGTTTTGGCAGCGGCAGGGGATAGAATACGGGGTTTAATCAACCGTCTCGCTTGTTTGCGATAAAGGAGCGACTATCAGCGTACGTAGCATTCACTTGACGCGGGTGCGGGCCATGCATCCGAATAAACCGCCACCCGAGACTCTCCAGGTGGTGGACTATCTATAGCTTACCACTGACCACTCGTGCCACCCAATAGTATCACTCCTGCAAGGAATATTGGTTGATAGCGAATTGTGGCTGTCAAAGGTGCGACGTGAAGCGAAGCGGCATATGCATGCAGGTACATGTACAGTAGCATTTGTTGCCGTCTACCGGTAGTTGCTGGATGAAGGAGGCGAGAACGCACAATGAATCAAATCAAACAACATGTGGGAATGGAGAGGTGAATCGGTAATAGATCCAACAACAAGACTTGTCGTAAGGACTCGAAATGAGAAGGATCAATTCCCAAGATGGATGTCACGAACACAGTGCCGTCCATCTCAAAAGGCAACCAAGCATCCTTGCTCATTTTGACAACGTGCTCCCTCTCCGCAAGTTACTTGTACAGCAGGCATCTCGTGTACCTGTATTAGCAATTCAACTCGGTGGGCAGATGATGTCTGCAATATGCATGGCGTCATGCAGGCACACGGGGGAAATGCATGGTCTTCGCATATTAGGCGCATATGGAGCAATCTGGAGTGCATGCCTGCCTTGCATGTCGACAGCATGTAGGGGAGCATAACGTGGGTCAAATGCCGCGTTTTCCTGTGCATGTACGGATAGGCACAGAAAGTACTAATAGCTGATGTCAGTCACGGAGACGCTCGCCTATGCACTCCATAATACTTGGAGGAGTGTCGAGGCCTAGAGTCCAGAGGGCGAGTTCTCGAGGGATGAGCAGGGCAAGGGCACGGAACCCTGCTGTAGAAGGTTGTCGAACTGGTGACGATATGGAACATTGAAACTGCCGGGATCCAGGAGATGAAGCCTGAGTCTCGGCCGATTTGGTGGTGGTGATCATGATGAAGATGCCTGCTAGTATGCAGTGGTAATCTGCTTTTAATGCTCTGTACGAGCAGAGAATATTTGGGGACCTGTACCACTGTACAGAGGCCTTGGCGAAGCTCCAGCTGGAGTCGGGCAGCCCGTAGTGGCACGGAGCGCTGTACAAGAGTACATGTACATGCGCGTACCTGGGCTCGACTGAAGGTGCCTCACCACTCCTGTTCTTGTCCCTTGCATCCATCGCATCGCATCTCCCTTGGCCCCCTCCTCGCCTTCCAGCCCTTTGTGTGGCAGGAACAAAAAACGATAATGTGCTTGTTGGTTTCGGATGACTGATTTGTCCACATCCGTACTTTGCACTCGCGCTGATTCCTCGACTGCCAGCCATCTGCGATTCATTCACCCACAGGCAGCTCCAGCTCCGCCGCTGCGCTGAGGCCAAGCCCCGATCCCCTTTCATACTCAAGCTGCAGGCTGGAGAAGAACGAATTTCGCTCGCTGGGGTCCAGAAGCTGGCCTCCGGACGCCGTGATTGGCCCTTGGGCACCTCAATTTTGCAAATTCGGCCAGGACCCCTGAACCCTGCACGCACCCCTGCCGCCCTCGTGCGGACAGCACTGGCTGGCTGGGACCTGGCAATTGGGCAATTGGAAGCCAGAACACGGCGATGCAAGCAAGCAAGCAAGCAAGAGATGCTCCCTGCCGTCGCTTGTTGTGCGGGACAGCCAGGAAGGGGTGTCGCCGTCTCAGGAGCAGGATGATGAATCAATCCATCAACTGCTCAGCTGCGCTGGAACATGCATCTGGGGCATCCGTCGCCTGCAGCATCGAGTGCAGAGTGACAATGGCGCGCAGATATGGGGTCGCTTCCCATTGAGTCCCCAATGCTCGGTGCCACGCCAGCTCGGCCAACTAATATCGCAACGCCGCACGCTATTGCGGACTATTCTCAATTGTGCTCCGTCCGGCGGGTTAGCACGCACTTGTAGCACCACCATGCCCATCACTTGCTTCAATTATCCAATATCCATGCCGATTGGCATGTCTGTTTTGGCTAATACCGACTGGCCACGAAGAAAAAACCACGGCGGGTGGGGACGCACTCAAGGCCCCCTGCTCCATGCAGCCGTGCCCCTGAAAGCGCTGCAGCCCGGCCGAAGCTGCAGCAGCCGCAGGTACCTGCGCTGGGCTGCCACCACTACCGCCAGTATGCTCGGCGCAGTATACAGTACTGTACTGTAGTGAATGTCCTCCCCCATGCATCCGTCTGGCCATCTCAGACCGGACTCCTCTCTAGTGGCCACCCAAGACCCAAGACAGGTCTCCTTTTCTATTTCCCGTGTCTCGCCTCGTCTCGCGTCGCCTGGTTCCGACTCTTCTCTCTCTCTCTTTTCCCTCTGTTCTTCTCTCGTTCTGCACGGGATTCTTTTTTTCTTCGTACGGGCCACTTGAGGTCGTCCGACAGCGCCTGCTTTTCCTTTCCTTCTCCAGACCACCGTCCTTCTCTTTTATCAAATCTCCGTGAGATCCAGAAGCACTTCGGATGGCCCGCTGAGATCGCCCCCGACTCAAATTCTTCTCTTCGCCTCGCTCGACTGAGAGTGAAGAAGCGTTTCGTGGGAGCTCGACTCGATACTGGTTCGATATCGACCAGCCGCAACCATGTCTCCTTCTCTCAGCACCCAACTTTCGTTTACGCGCCCCCGAACTGGCGACCGTGATGGCCGGCCCAGCACTCGCGACCAGGGCGGCGCCGAATCTGCCATGATGATACCCAGCCGTACCTCATCGCTCCATTCCCGCATCACCCAGCCCATTCCGTCCACTCTGGCCCAGAAGCCCCAGCAGCGAACCCCAAAGACGCTCACTCATGCCTACATGGTCTGCGGTGTCGGCCGTGAGCCCTCTCAATGGGTCAAGGCTCCCGCTCCCGCCCAGGGCAAAATCACCCACATGAAGGGCGCTGTTGGACAATTCTGGCTCCCCGAGATCCTAGGCAGCAGCCCCCGCCTTGAGCAGGACAACGAGATTGCGCGGGCTCTGCACTCTGCCATGAGGGTAAGCTCATCAACCTTGATCGCCGTTGTATCAATGGCCAAACGGGCGTCTCCCCAAGGCGAAGCCGATGGATTCTGCTAACACTGGCTCGCATAGGCTTGCTTCCCTCACGATGTGGAAATCTGTACTGGCCGGAACCAGCCCCACTGCACTCACCATTCCTTTGTCCTCCAGCAGGACTCTTCTCACACTCTGTACGGTATTTGTCTGCGCGTCTGGTCGCGGGCTGACGAGAAGAGAGCCGAAACCATCCGGGATCTGAGAAAGAGGACCGAAACCGACTACTATGACAACCCGGAAGAGACCTACTGGATCCCCTACTGCCTGTCCTTCCTCTCGCGCTACCCTCTGTACAACCTTCTGGGCGATTATCTGCGTGGCATGTGGATTCACTGGAACAAGGCTACTAACCTGTTTCATGCCGAGGAAGTATCCCGCATTCTGAGCTTCCCGGCCCCTAGGCTCAACGATCTTGTCCGTATCGACATGAAAGATTATGCCCTCTGCTACCAATTCCCCTCGTCCCCTACCGGATTCCAGAACTTCGCCATGTGGCCCCTTTTCAACTGTTTGTCCATCCCTAACATTGTTGGCGTCATTGAAGCTGCCATCTCTCCCACTCGTCGCATCATTTTCGTCAGTCATTACCCGGCCATGCTCACAATCGCCTCTGAGACTGTACGATACTGCGTGCGAGTCTTCGAATGGAGTGGTCTTTACGTTCCGATGGTGCACGCGCGCCATACCAAGGAGCTCGTCCAAGAACCCGGTCCTTACATCTTGGGTGTCACCGCTGAATGCCGGTCCCTCTTCACAGCCCCCACCGACGCTTTGGTCGTCGATTTGGATCGCAACTTTGTCCTCACATCCAGCCCCCCTACTGCCCTCACTGCTGGCCAGCGCAACAAGTTTGTTAGCCGTTTGACTCAGGCTCTAAATGGCGATGTTACGCCTTCTGGTGTTCCCCAGCATCTCCGTTCTGCCTATGGCGGTGGCAAGTTGGTGCCTGCCGGCCAGATCATTGTCATGCGCGGCGAGGTTGAGTCCATCCAGGACCCCGAGTGGTGGAACCAGGATTCTGTCATGTCTGTCATGGACCACGTGTGCGAGAAGATGGGTCGCAACTCTGGCATCAAGGCTGTCTTTGGAGGCTCAGTTAAGAAACCTCTCATGACCAAGGTGTCAATGAGGCATCTCAACGAACTCGTTCGCGAGAGAAACCAGTACTCTCGAGATGCTCTCGAGGCCTGGCAAGACTTCATCAATCTCAAAGGCCGTATGGACACTGAGCTCGGCAAGGTTACTAAGCGTAACAACTACCTTGTCGAAGAGCTTGAGAGCTGGAAGCAGCAGTTCCTCAAGTTCCAGGCCTTTGCTGAAACTCTCACCAAAGAAACTCAAGACCTCAAGGTCAAGATTGAAGGTCACAAGCGGGAGAATCGCCGTCTTGCATCTCTCATTGAGCAACAAAAGGAGGACAACGGCCGCCTCACCACTCGCCTCTCTGGCACAGAGAAGCAGCGTGATGATGCTCTCGAGGCCCTCGTTTTGCAGCAGGAGATTGCTGAAGAGCTCGAGCGTGAGCGCAAGAGGAACAAGAAGGAGCTTTCTCAGCTTCACCACACCAACGCCACCATCACTCGCCAGCGTGACGAGGCTCGCCGCGTGGTTCTGCACCTACGCAGCTTGATTGGCGGCCAGAGCCACCACATGGAGCATCTCATTCAGTCCCTCACCAAGCCGGAGGAACTTATCCGCGAAGTCGAGGATGGCTACGAATCGGACGAGGTTCAGGGTGGTGCTGATGTGCACTCCCTGCGACCCTCTCGCAGCAGCAAGCGGCTGTCTACATCCAGTCTGGTTGATGTGGCTGATCGCCACCTCAAAGATAAGACTGATGCTATCGCTCATATCGTTCGCAACATCGCGGACCAATGCCAAGCTGCCGTCGACGGCCTGCAGCTTGCCCAGGATGCCGAATCTCGAGCCAGCACTCGTGCTAGCCGACGACTGAGCAGCATGTCGACTGCTCAAAGTGATGATGGTGAGGACGCCCGCTCCACCGCCACCTCGGACGCTGGCGAGGGGAGTTCTCGCTTACAACCGCGTGCCGGGAGGCCTAGCTCAATACCACCAACGCCGGATCTCATCCCCAACCGCAGTAGCACTGCACTATCGTTTGCGTCCACGGCCACAACGCCTGAGCGAGCCTCCCAACAGTACTCTATTCGAGACGAGATACCAACCAAGATTCTCGAGGACGATGAAGAGGACTTCGATGACAGCCGAAGTGATCAGATCGGAGTCTCCCATCACCACGGAGTCGTCTCGAAGCAGTCTCAGTCTCTTCTCCACCGATCATCTGGAGCAAGAATCAGCGCTTTCGGCAATCTCCGATGAAGACGCCAAACCTGAGGCTGCGCATGATGCTGAGCATGAAGCTGAGCACCAAGCTGAGCAGGTCGGAGACGCCCAGCCGGCCTAGCCGCAGCCTTTTTGTACTATTGTCGATCCTCGTGCAGGATCACCCCATTTTTCCTTTGTCTTGATTACTTCGATACGGCGATCCAAACTCTATATCCTTGTATCTTGAGCGTTTCCAGCCTCATTGGGCAGACATCTTTTTGTTTTGTGGCGGCTTTGGATAAAAACATGTTTCGGATCACGGCGTTCATTTCTTATCCTGTTCTTTTTCGAGTATCATCACTTTTTTACCACTATATTCTAGATGAAGGGAACAGTTTGCGATGGAAGGCTGACTGATGACTTGCGTGGCGCCATCGAGGCTTAGGATCTCTTCTTTTTTCTCATGACTAACATAACTTATTTTTTTTTCCCCCGCTTCCCTACATAAGGGCATTATGACACTTGATAGTTCAAGCCTTGCAATTGAGTCTTCTTACTCACTTGACCTACTTTGTGCTTTCTTTTCCCAGATTTGTGTGAATTGGGTGACTCTGGTGAAATTTCAATCTTTGTTTGAGCTGGGTTTGAGCTGGCCGTTGTAAATGTTTTGTAATTACATGCTTAAAAGTTTGTCTTTTGTAAAATTGCTTTGTTAGTAGTAGGTAGATCTTAATAAGAACTGACACTTGTGTTAGTGCCGGTACCTATGTTTGCTGGTTGCCGCTGCAGAGTGGAGTTCCTTTACTAGTGCGGCTGGTGTTCCGTGTTTCCCTTCCACTAAGATAAAGAAATTTCTGATAAGAGCTGCGCATTGTCACTCTTTGCAAAATTTAGAAGCGCGATTGCTTGGCTGTCCAACATCTTTTACACATTTTATAAAAACATTTTTTACAATGGCGGATCCTCTGCTTACTTCTCTTTGCGCTATTTGCCATACATCAGTTCCTCAATACAAATGTCCCCGCTGCAACATCCGTACCTGTTCCCTAGCCTGCGTCAAGAAGCACAAATCTTGGTCGCAATGCAGCGGCGAACGCGACCAGGCGGCCTACGTCCCCAAATCCAGGCTGGCGACCGCTGCGGGCGTTGACCACGACTACAACTTCCTGCACAGCATTGAGATGGCATCCGAGCGCGCGGAGAGAGTCCTCGTAGAGGACAAGGGCATCGTACAAAAGGACGAATTGCGACCGCTGACGGTGGAGGAAGTGAGGTGGCAAGTCGGCCGAGACGGCAGGAAGAGAAAAGTTTTGGTGACGAGGCTCATGAGAAGATCAAAGGAGAGAGCAGTGGATAAGCTCCTTGCGAACAAATTGAGAAACTTGGGAACAGAAGTCGTGTCTTTGCCTCAGGGCATGACGAGGCAGAAGGAAAACCTCACGACGGTGAATAGGAGATCCGGTCGCATTAATTGGCAAGCAGAGTGGTTCACTTTCGAGAAGGCGAAGGAGACCGATGGCGGCGACGATGCGAACGAAGTGAATAAGATACGGACGCTTTCGAAGCTGTCAGACGATGTGCCGCTGTACAAAGGATATAGTGCGTTGCTGGAAACCCAGGCAAAGACGCAGGGCAAAGTGCAGAAGAGAGCCTTTAGGGGAATTGCTCAGAATCCGTGGGATTCTCATTGGCATATGGCGAGCGATTGTCTGCAGGATCCGCAGACGGCCAGTTGGATATCCATTCGGACGGCGTCAATTGATGCGTGGCCGCGAGACGATGAGTCGCTGCGACGGCAGTTTCAGTATTTTCTCGGCAGTTCGAAAAAGCGATCCGATCGAAGGGTCACATTGGCACCCATTCAACCCGAAGAATGTCTTCGAAATATTCTTTCAAACACAAAAGTCATCGAATTCCCGGCAATATACGTCCTAGAAGAAGGGGAAGCTTTGCCGGCTGGATATGTGCTTGGGTCCAAAGACCCGGCTAGCCTTTCACATGAAGAGGAGCAATGGCCAGGTGCAAAACGCAAGGGCGGGCCACAACAATGGAAGAGGCCAGAGCGACCTGCGAAGAGAAGAAGACCAGGTGATGGAGACGGCCTGGAAGAAGGCGAGCTTGGGGGTGATGGAGGCTCGGATGAAGAAAACGGCGGCAAGGCCAAAGATGGGGCTGAAGCTGGCGATGTGATTGCCGAGCAAATCTTGGGCGAGGATGAGGACGATGACACGACAAGTAGTGATGAGTCCACGAGCAGCTCAGGCTCTGACAGTGAATAAAGAGGACGAGGAATGGGCGTGTCATAGGTACCTGTGCAGCATCATGGATTTACTGCTCTCTGGCTTTTAACTCTAGCTCCGGATGGCTTCTTCTCCTTTTCCTTTTGGACTCAAAGATTCAATTTTTGCATTATACAATACCATAGCTGTAGTTTATCAAGTTACTAATGAGCGATATACAGATATAGATATAATGAATAATCGGAAACGCAGCGCCCCAACACTCCTGTTTGTGACATTTTTGCTGTAGTACCACATCTGGCCGCAGCCGTCCTGAAGATTCTCCCCGCAGCGGGTACGAATACAGCGGCGTGGGGTGCTGTCAAGTCCACTCCGTAGCGCCTGGCGCCCATTGCTTGGTGCCCTGTACACAGCCCAGGTGCCTTACGCTTCCTGCAGCAGAGGTACCGGGTACCAAGGGAGAGAGCTAACGCAGCTGCCGTGTTGAACTTGCGGACGACATCGTCACAACCTGGCGTCTTCTTCATTTTCCACCAAACCAGCCATCTTCAAACGCGAGGGCTGGGTCTGCGGGGGGAACAATTGCAACTGGCCTGTTACGCTCTTCCCCGTGACTCGCTCGTCCATCCTTCTTCCGTCTCACAGCGGTCCGCGCATTATGATTTGACAAACCTCGAGGCCCCCCTTCTTCCTTTCTTCTTCCTCTTCTTATCCCCCCTAATTCGACAGCTCGAACCGCCCACGCAAGGCTGTGCTGCCTAATCATGGATGACGCCCCGGTTCCCAAATTGTCGGATCTGCTACGGCACCCGGACGATTTGGACAAGATACCCGCGCTGAAGCTCGAGCTTTCGCGCAAGAAGAGCGCCGTCGATGGGCAGCTTCGCAACGGGCTGCGGGAGCAGCTCGAGACGACACAATCCGGCATGACGGGCCTCAGCGACGGCCAGAAGGCGGTGCAGCAGATCAAGGAGGAGATGATGAAGATTGACAAGCTGTGCTCCGAGTCGCAGACCATGATCAAGGACTTTGCCAGCATCAACCTGGTGTCGCAGGCGCACCGCAACTTTGGCGCCGTCGAGGCCATGAGACGCAACCTCGAGACGTTTAACGAACGCTTGGTCGTGGTGGAGGGGATGCTGAGGGATGACGACGAAGATAGAGAGAACATGCCGAACCTGCTGCCGTGCCACTACGAGCTGACGCAGCTGCGAAATATACGAGACGATGCCATGGAGCAGATACAGAGGGCCGACGACACCAGCTTGGAGTCGACGCTGGAGGACTATTTTACAAGGCTGGACGATACCATCGACTGGTTTGACGAGCACGTTGGACTGCTGGCTATGAACCTCATCAACCTCGTTGTTAGCGACAACAACGGCCTGGTGGTTCGCTTTGCCGTCGTCATGGAGGCGGAAGAGAAGAGTGATCAGCGCGTCATGGCGCTGCAGGAAGCACTCAAGGACCACGAGGAAATGGCGGCACGATTCCAGGGTATCACGGACGGTGCCAGAAAGGTCCGCGGCTACAAGGACAAATTCATGCAAGCCATCAAGCTCAGCGCCGAGCAGCAGTTTCAACAGGCTCGGGAGGACTTTCTTGACGATGCCGATAGCTTAGAGGCCACAATGAAGTGGTTCTTCAACGACCTTAATGCCGTAAAGATTGGTATGACGCCGCTCATGCCGAAGAAGTGGCGGATCGCAAAGACATATGCGGACATATATCACGTTTTGATGCACGATTTCCTGATTGGCATGGTGGACGATCCGGAAGCTAGCTCGGCACATACCCTCTCCATCATCAGCTTCCCTGAGAAGTACTACAAGAAGATGTCCAAGATAGGCTTCAAGCAAGAAGATCTAGTACCACACGTTATTGACAATCGCGAAGCAGAGCTTGTTCGTGACTTCCGGCAGCTCATTATCAAATTCCTCGACGAATGGATCGACCGCATCTTTGCACAGGAGAAACGCGACTTTGCCGAACGCAACATCGAAGGCTCTAATTTGGACCAGGATGAGTATGGCTATTTCCGGACCAAGAACCTCGTGGCCTTGTGGAGGATGTTGCGCGAGCAGGTCGAGGCGGCCATCAACTCGCAGCGTACAGACGTGGTCGAAGGTGTCATCGACGCCATGTTCCTCCGGCTGCGAAGCCGCCAGCAGTCGTGGCAGCGCATGTTGGAAGACGAGGCTGTGCGGTACGAGACTGCCATGTCCGATCTGGAAGGCTTCCAGGCCCTGCAGGATTGGCTCGTGGCCACGGCCAACGACCAGATTGGCGTCATCGACGACAATGAAGAGGAGAACCGCCTCGGATACTTGTCGAGCTTCCGCCTCCAGTTTGAGAGAAACGTCAGCCCGCAGTATCTCGAGCGTGCCGACCAGGAGCTCAACGCCCTCCGCGACGGCTACGTCGACTTTAGCACCTGGTGCATCCACAAGTTTGCGCACCTCGTCTTCGCCGTCGACTTCGTGGGCGTCATGCCAGACTTCTTCACGCCAAAGTGGTATTCCAACACCGCCATGAAGCAAATGGTCGTCACGTTTGAGGAATACGTCGGCGAGTACCGCCAGGCCCTGCACCACTCCCTCCTCGACATCTTCATCGAGATCTTTGCAGACGAGCTCCTCGTGCGCTACCTATCCGCCGTGCGCAACAAAGGCGCCAAGTTCCGTCGATCCGATCCCTTCCGCGACAAGCTCTTCAACGACATCGCCACTGCCTTTGAGTATTTTTCCAACCTGGCCAGCCCCGAGGTCGCCATGTCCATCAAGGACACGTGGCGCGTCACCGAACCGTTCTTGGGCTTGCTGTCTGTGGATAAAGACTCGGTGGCGGATGAGTTTGCGGCTTTCAAGTCTGCGTACTGGGATCTGCAGATTAGCTGGGTCGAGGCCGTGCTGCGGTCCAGAGACGATTTTGAGAGGAGCATGCTGAATGCTGTCAAGGCGAGGGCGGCGCAGATGGATATTGTGAGGGGACCGGAGACGGTGATGGCCAAGATCAAATAATAAAAGAAGTTATATATATACATATACGGCATAGGACTTATGTAGTGTGGGCAGAGAGGCATAGTTAGCTGGTTTCAAGAGTGGGAAATGGAATCTGGCGGCACTGGATGGATAGGCGAGTTCATTTTACGTGGACGGAGAATGTGGTTTATTACGATTTCAAATGGTTTAAATGTGCTATATTAGCGTTTCTATGGATGTCAATGGAGCTGTTATACAAGAGAGGGAGAGGGAGGGAGAGTTGCGTTTCTGAGAGAGCAGATTTTGCCAGCACGTCTAGTTGAGTCGCAAGAGGTTACGTCTCACACCAACAAAACAAATTCAAAACTCAAAAGTAGAATGCAAAGAATGTGAAAGAAGAGAGAAAAAAGTAACGACTCAAATATCATAGCCTGCTGCTCCCTTTTGGAAAATACAAAAAGGATTACGCATCCCTTTGTAAGCGCGTATATCGACAATCTTCCTCCCACTATCCCTCAGAATACAAAAAGTTTAAAAAGGGAAAAAAAGAGATAATAGTAGAACAAACTAACGATCGGTTTATATAATGGGCTGCTTCTTCCGCTCCCTCTGTCCTGTCCCTGGTCCGAAACGAAGTAGTAATAGAAACGCGACTGCGACGGCCCTGTACAAATTCTGGCCCCTTATAGAAAAAAAGGAAAAAAGAGAAGAAAGGAAAAGTTAATGTATCAAGAAATTCAAAGTTTCCACCCCCTTTCCCTGTACGATTAAAGAATGAACGGCATTTGCTATGCGGTGATATAATTTCCTACTCCGTATTGAAAGGCCAAAATCTGGATTATCAAAGGTTTATCCCCACTCTTGACTCTTGTTCTAAGACTGGCTGGCAAGGAAGTTAGCGGCCTAAGCCAAGAGCAATCAGTATAAAATCCTTCATTATAAATTCTCTCAGGTGGATCAACTTACTCTCTCCAGGTTGTAGTCATACTGCTCAAGGGCGGCAAGGGCGGCAGGGCGAGAGTATCCCATGCTGGTAAGGTTCTTCAGAATAGGGTCATCGTGCTCTCCCGCTTCTGTGAGGGCCCGGCCTGGTGCAGGGGGGCGGGACTCTCCAGACTCTTCTTGCGCCGGACCTGTGTTGTTGCTCTGCACAGGCTGTGCGGCGGCGGCAGTGGGAGAGTCCAGGCCGGAAAAGATGGCGTCCCAATCATGGGATTCTGCTCCCTTCTGCTGTCCATTGCTAGACTGGCCGGGGGCGCTGGTGGCTGAGTTGGATGAGATGAAGTCAAAGCTGCTCTCATTGCCAAATGCCGTGGACTCGCTCTTGGCTTGGCTAGCTGGGGGGCTGCTGTCAAACATGGGGTTGTAGTCATCCAGTCCAGAGCGAGAGATGTTGGCAAAGTCATCATCTGCAGAGCCTTCCTTGGCATCTTCCAGTCCCTCGAAATCATCGTCGAGGTCATCAAAGGCGCCCTTGGCGGCCGAGCCCTGGCTAGTTGCTGGAAGGGTGGTTGAGCCAAAGATGTCATCAGCATCAGAGATCTGAGAGGTAGTCAAATGGTTGTTGGTGATTGTGGCGGGAGAAGAGGCTAGTTCAGGGCTATGGAAACTTTGAGTCAGTAATAATTTTCAAAATAGCAGCTATGATTTTTTACTAGCTGGCTTCATTTTCCCTATATTTACCTTTTAGTTTCGGATTCGGCATGGGAGGCTGTTAGTTCTTGGGGTTGAGATAAAGGAGCGGTTGTATCGGCGGCTTCGGCAGCTGGTTGATTAGACTCGGGAGTTGGCTCCGGAGCAACCTGCTTCTCCTTGGCCTTGTTTTCTGGGGACGCGGGAGCAAAGTCGTCGTCAAAGCCCCTCTCGCTATCCGACTCATCTATCTCTCGCTCAAGTTCAGAAATAGGCGGGAATTCAGAGTCGAATGCGTTTTGAGGCTTTGTAGCAGCGCTATTGTCTGTGCTGCCGGGTGCTTTGGCTGAGGTAAAGGCGGCAAACGCATTGTCAAAGTCTGCCTTGGCCTTAGCATGGTCAGTATTGTCAAAAGAGCCGGTTCGTTCTTGAGCTTCTCCCTCCGCTGGCATCTGAGAGATATCACCATGAGCGGCCGGAATAGGAGTTGCGTTGGCGCTATCATGCTTCTCCTCCTCTTCAGCAGCCGCAGGAGCCTTGGCCTCTGCAGCGCCCGGTGTCACACCGCCGAAGGGAAATGAGCCGCCCGCCGAGCCCTCGGCACGTGCGGAGGTAGGGGGAGACACTTGTCGTGACGAAGACAGTGACTCGTTGGGCTCGGGGAACGGCAAGAAGCTCGAGCTTATTTGTCGGGACTCTGGCGGCGCAGGAGGTTCAGCACTCAGCGTTGGAACGCGGCTGACATTGGGAGTCGGCCCTGAGTAATTAGAAAAAGATCCAACACTAACTGATGACTGCCCCGTGTTTTGCTGTTTGAATGCTGCAACTGGCGGGGGAGTGCCGCTGGAGCTGACAGGGCCGGCGGGGCCAAACAAATCGTCAAAGGACCTGTCGGAAAAGGCTCTGCTCGGGGGTGGCGGTCCAAAGACGCCCATGATATCTGTACTGGCGGAGCGTTTGAAGAAGGGGTTGTTAGCGCTGGATGCCGAAAGTGCCGGGCTGGCCATCTGAGCGGAGGTAGATACGGGGGAGCCCGTCTCTATCTGGCGAGAGATGTCCTCGGCGCTCTTGGCCAGGGAGTCGGCTTCACCCTTGAGCTTGTCGCGCTCTCCTTCTGTAGTAGATAACTGCTTCTTGTTAATCGCAACGAGGCCCTTTTGCTGTCTAGCGTCTAGCTTGAGCTTCTCAATCTGGGGCTTGAGTTCCGCGATTTCGGCATTGGCCACGCGGATTCGCTCTCTCAAGCTGGCATTCTCCTGCTGGTCAGCATGGAGAGCAGCCGAAACCTGCTGATGCTGAGTCTGAATATCTCGCAGCTGTCCTTCCAGAGTCATGCATTCTCCCTGCAATTTCTTAGTATCGGCTCGCGAGTGTCTCAGCTTCTCCTCGAGGGCATGTGTATCTTGAGCCTCTTTTTCATATAGTTGTCGCAGCTGTGCCAATCGCTGTTCAAAGTTTTGCTTTTGAGAGTTAGTCTGGCTCAGCTCATGCTGAGTCGTATTTCTCTTAGTCTGAACTTCTTGCGTCTGCTTGGTCAGAGAACCAATCTGATTTGATAGGTTGGCAAGCTCAGTCGTCTCGTCAGAGATGTTCTTGTTTGCCTCATCAGTGTCACCGAGGAGGTCCTCTGCGGCAGAAGCAGTGTGTGGTCGCGCCTGCTCGGTTCCAGGGTGCACGGACAAGCCACGGCCAAAGGAGGAAGATGGTACAAACGGTCTAAACGTCGTGCCTACGGGGGATGAAGGCTTAGCAGGCGAGGATGCAGCGTGAAGAACGCTGCTGCCACCAGCAAACGGATCGGCATTTGATCCTCCTGTAGACATTGTTGTCTGCGCCGGGGCGGCTGCCGGTACTGGTGCCGGTGCCGGGCTAGGGGTTGAGGAATCGAGGCCAAACAAATCGTCAAGAGCAGACTTGGGTGCTGGTGGAGCCGGGGCCGGGGCTGGCGCAGTTTGAGTGGGAGCCGGAGTTACATCAAAGGCTGACGAAACCGCGGTCGCAGGACGGCTCTGGGTTCGCAAGTGTGGCGGGATGAGGGCCGTAGGCAGAGTGGCGGGCAGAGGAATTGACCGATTGCTACGTTGCTGGCGGATCAAGTACATGGCAACGGCAAACCCATCGCGGGACAATCGTCCCTGAGAACCAAAGTCGGCCAGATCCCAAATCTGAGCGAGGGTGTCCTCGGGGAGGTTAGACTGGCTGAGGAAAGGCACAGCCTCCTCGCCTGTGATGTATCCCTTGTTCGTCTTGTCGAAATCGAGGTAGATCTGGTCAAATCTTGCCTTGTCGGCCGGAGTAATCGCCCAGTCGTTGTTTGAAGGAGCGCCGGTTGCTTGAGCGGCGACAATCGGAGGACGGTTGAGCGGGCTGCCTGTCCTCTGCTGCTGGGCAGAACCACTCAGCTGTCTTGGGATGGCAGAGATGCCGCCGGTGTTGCTTGGAGACTGTCGAGGAGCTGCTGCGCTGCGCGTGGCCGCTTCATACAGGCCGGCAGGCAGAACATTCGGCAGTGCGCGAAGGACACCAGTCTTGACGGACGTAAGGAGATGCATAGCGATGACGAATTCGGGCAGGGCTAGTGCACCGCGCTGTTCGGTATCGGCCAGTCCCCATATCCTACCGAGCATCTCGTTGGGAAGACCGGACTTGTCAAAGATGGATCTGGCTTGCTCGCCCGGCAGCATGTTCGCCTGCAAGTTTTGACGCTCAAACAAGGCCGCATACTGGGCAACCTTGTCAGGAGTCAGGGGAGGAACTCGAAGGCCGCCAGAGACTTGGGGCTGGATGGGCGTCTGCGATGGGGAAGTGGCCGGCCAGATGCCTTCGAAGCGGGGAATCGGGCCTTGCTGAAGAGCCAGCTCTGGCGTGGGCTCTCGTCCAGCCTGGGCATGGCCAATGAGGCGAAGGACAACGCCGAACCCAGCGGGAGTGAGGAAGCCGCGGTTCTCCTTGTCGGCGATCTGCCATATCTGTAGTTGAGATAGAAAAGCATGGCGGTTAGCCCGGGGACAGAAAATGGGGGGGGGAGCGTGGGGGTGAGTGATGAATCAACAAGATTCCTCTTCAGAGAGATTTATAAAGGAGGGAAATTAAGGGAGCGACAAACCTCTCCTAGGATGCGCGAATCCAGTCGTGTCTTTTCAAAGAACTTGACGGCTATCTCGCCGGTAACTACGCCCACATTATCGGTGTCGGCCTGGCGGAAGAACTGGCCATAGATGCGCTTCTCTTCGGGTGAGAGATTGAGGTTCGGCGCGCCTAAAGAGGGAGAGAGCAACACAGGTTAGCTTGGCGAACATGGCACGCAAATGAGGGCAGCAAGAGGCAATTCTCGCAATCAACAAGACATACTCGGATCAGCGGCCGCCGACATTGTCGCACGGAAGCACTAGGAAAAGATCGAAGCAGCTTTGGCGTCTTCGCTATAGTGGGTGGTGGTGGTGGGCGAGTTGCGAATCCCCTTTCGAAGGCGCAAAAGGAAAATAGAACGCTCGGCTCAAGGAAGCTCCCAGGAATGATGCAAAGCTGCAGTGGCGCTTCAGCCAGATATAGAGCAAGCAGCAGGAAAAGATAGAAAAAAGAAAACAGAGAGAGAGAGGGAGAGAAATGGCTTTGCGGCCCAAAGTCTCGAACAGCTGGCGATGGGGAGATTTTTCAGAACTGGGTGTAGTATATTGGGTTGAAGTCGGGGTCGTCGTTTGGGTCGTCAGCCTGGGGGGAGGGTGGTGGCTGGCAAGCTGCTAAAGTGCCTTAAGTGGTGAAGCTGCCCGGAGCTCTGATTCGACAAAATTAGGCTGCGGATTTAGCGTGGCCGGGCAGCACGTTTGCTTCGGCCTGCCACAAATCACCGGCTGCGGTGTATTATTGGGTACTGCGCAGCGCCGCGGCTGGGGGGATTTGGGGGGCTGTGCGGCGCGCGGAACTTGGCTGGTACATGTCAATCCCTCAAGTCTTCCCCGGGGCTTGGTAATTTGGGCATCGCCTGGGCGCTAATGAGCTGCCGCATTAATCAAGGAAACGACGAAACAACCTGAAATACAGGCCGGGGGCTGCGTATGTACTGATACGTGCACAGCGCATACATAAAATAGAGGGCGAGCATATCTCCCTTTTCTGCGTGATGCCGCTCTGCAGGATGGATCAATGGATGCTGCTTCTGCCTATCTAGAGCTCGCATGCATCATCAAAAAAGAGAGAGGCCTGCAGCCAGATAATCATACATGAATGGGCCAGGCAAATGGCAGCTCGTGGCAGCACACCCCCAAACCACGCGGCATGCATTGCGAGCTCTTCCCCGCAAGGACGCATACGCTGCTGTCACCACTGCGGCCCTAGTGCAGCGCTGGAGCACAGGTTGCGGCATCAACTGGATGCCCCGGAACACACGCAACTGAGGCGCTGCGGCAATACCTACCTGTACACGGCACCATGAAGCAATCAATCCAGTCATTTCTCTCGCTCAGACGTGCAGGGCCTCCAGCAGCCGCCAATCCCGAACTGCTCTTCTATTTGTCTCCCGTGACTCGTCTCTCGCCAATGGGTCGCGCAGCATGGCCCCGTCATGCATCCTGGCCCGTTTTCATCACATCGCCTGGCAAATTATACGGAGCCATTCTTCCTCCCACAGAACCGCTCAAAAATATTCGCCCATCATGCTCATACGTATCAGGGTTCAATCACGTATCACTAGCTGGTGGAGGGCTTCATGCGCACAAATGAAGCAAATAAGATTCAGTATATACCATAAAAAAAATGGAGTGCTAGTTTTTTCCCTTTTTCTCTCTCTCTTATTCACATTATGTAGGTATCTCTCTAAATCCACAGCACGTCTATCCTTATCGCAGTGTAACCAGCTCTTCGGCGCTGGTCGGGTGAATGGCCACGCAGTTATCAAAGTCTGCCTTGGTTGCGCCCATCTTGACAGCAACGCCAAAGCCCTGCAGAATCTCGCCGCTTCCAACGCCCATGATGTGCAGACCAACAACCTTCTCCTCAGGGCCGGCCGTAATCAGCTTATAGTTAGTAGGGCCCTTGTCCTCTACGGCCATCGGAACGTAGTACAGGGCAGTGAAGCCGGACTTGTAAACCTTGATGTTATCCTTGCCGTATTTCTCGATGGCCTGTGGCTCTGTGAGACCGATGGCACCAATTTCGGGGTGGGCAAACACGACTGATGGGATGTTGTCGTAGGTGAGCTTCAGCGTTGAGAACTCAGGGGGGCCGAAAACTCTGTGTGCGAGACGGCGTCCAGCAGCAATAGCAACTGGCGTCAGCTCGACCTGACCGGTAACATCGCCGATGGCATAGATGTTGTCAACGGAAGAGTTCTGGTACTCGTCAACAACGATGTGTCCCTTTGCGTTCAGCTTGACGCCGGCCTCCTCCAAGCCAATGCCCTTCGTCTCGGGCACTCGACCAATGGCCCAAATCAGGTTATCAATGTCGTGAACGGTGCTCTCGTTGCCCTGTCCATCGCGGTAGGTGACAGAGAGCTTGCCGTTGGCGTCCTTCTCAACCTTGGTCGCCTGAGACTCTCTGTGGATGTGTACTCCCAGGCGGTCATACTCGTTGGTGGCCGTCTCTTGGATCATGGGGTCGAAGCTTCGCAAAAAGGTCTTGCCTCGGATGAAAAGATGTGTTTCTGTGCCGAGGGCATTGAACATGCCAGCAAATTCAACGGCAATGTAGCCAGCGCCGACAATAGCCACCTTCTTGGGCTGTTTCTCAATTTCAAAGAAACCATCGCTGTTGGTGCCCAGCTCGGCTCCGGGGATCTTGGGCGGGGGAGCAGGCTTGCCTCCGACGGCGATGAGAATCTTCTTGGCGTTGACCAGCACCTTGGATCCGTCATCCAGAGTGACCTCTGCCTGGTTCTTGGACAGCAGACGGCCCCATCCGTGCAGATAGTCGACCGTGTCGTTTGCCAGATTCTTCACAAAGATGCCGTTTAGCTTTGCAATGTGAGCATCACGCTTGGCCTTGAAGGTGCTCCAGTCGAACGGGGCTGTTTGCTCGACGGAGAAACCGTAGTGCTTGGCGTCGTGGATTGCCTCGGCGAGGGCCGCAGCATTGTAAGTGATCTTTTTGGGGACGCATCTACACGGCAGTGGTGGCAGAGGTCAGTATAACAGTCTCATATCAGGGGAGCAGAGATATAGCCGCAACTCACCCAACATTGACACAAGTTCCTCCCAGGCGGCTCGCCTCAACAATCATAGACTTGACGCCGTACTTTGCGCTGGCCATACGGGCAGAGCCCAGGCCACCGCTGCCGCCTCCGATAACGAGATAGTCGGTTTCTTTTACTGTGGGAGCCATTGCGCGGGCTGTCGTTGATAGATGGCGGGATAGTGCAGTTAATCGGTTCGAAGCAATGTTTCTGGAGCCTACTGACTGTGCTCGCGCGAGTAAAGCGAAAGGTTGCATGGACAACAGGACTGGCGTGCAGCTTCCGTAGCCTCGAGTTTATATAGGTATGCGCGCGTGTGTAAATACGGATAGCAGATAGCAGTAGAGGGGCAGTAATTTTCTTTGCTTGTTCCAAAAACTGTTGCTCCCAAAGCGGGGGAGGGGGCATGGAAAATGACGTGCACAGCAGCTTCTAGCAGGAGCATATTGCTAATACCAGGCATTAGTGGTTTAATTAAGCGCTTACTGGTCCTGCGGCTCCAAAGGTCCCCTAGTTTCAAGCCGAAGCCGTCTTTGATTACATTGGAGGCGGACCCGAACTTCCGCAGCACCAGAGCTAGGGGGGTTGCCCAACCAAGCGATTTGATTTGCGCTGTCCTCGTGGCTGTAGCTTAGGTATTAGGAATCTGAGGGCGAGACGCTGAGTAATAGTAGGTTCCAATACTGTCTGTGGTAGCCTGCCATCCCTTTCCCAGGTTGTGGCTGGAGTGGCTCGAGTTATTGGCTCGTTTAGCCTCGATGAGTTGAATTTGGAATTGAGCACTCGCCCAGTTACGCTATACATGTAGAATAGGCATGAGTTGTCGATATAAAGGCTGCAAGTTACGTCATTTTCAGCGTTCATTCTGGGCTTGGTTGTAGGGAATACTCTGCGGGGAATATAGGCTATTTCTAGCATCTCAATGTTGCTCTCTAGCAGAATTAGAGTTGCGTGCCCTACAAGTCATTACCCTGCTAGCGACAATCGTGGTGCAATCCAACGCCATGATAGCGTTCGATTTGCGATACGTGTACGGAAGATTTGGCCTCGATCCGACATATCGAAAATTGGAAATACTTTATACTACAACAAGCATGTTGCAAATATCCCAGTTTCAAGCTCGGCTTGAATTTGGTCTCAGCCCACCGAGATTCCAAGCCGAGCCCTTGGGACCGTCTCATTTGTCATCTACCGGATCGCCTCGGACGAAACGATTTTCACCTCCAGTGACTGATTCCAGCAACAGCAACAATACCTATAAATAATCCCTCTAAGAAGCGCCCCTAGCTCCGCTTTTTTTTTCCCCCTTATTCTTTTTTCTTTCGCTTCCTAGAAAATGCAGCTCTCATGCAACAGCTACTACCTATTTCGTAATGCTCTCGCGCCCCCACCACAGCTTCGCCCGGCTTTCGTATACATAACCTGTAATAGTCGCCGATTGGTTTCTAGCTTACAAGCATCCCACGGCTCATTGACGTGGAGTCCAATGGGTTTACAATGGCCTACAACAAATGCGCTATATTTTTTCCCCAAGTGTTGCTTCTTAATTTTTGCATAGGCAGGTACCCGCCGGTACATTGAAAAGAGCCATGGTGGAAAACTTGAACTCTTGTACTTTGGACAGCATTAAGAAGGGCTGCCCTTCTTGCATCAATCGTAGCGCCCATGAGACAATTTGACAACTCACTTAAAGGGGATATCTATGCAGTTTCCTCCAGGTGGAGATATCGAGCGTCTGTCGAATCGTTGGCTCCCTAGTTCACAAAAATATCAACAGCTGAAGGCAACAAGTCCTCATTTAGTAGTAAAAGCAGCAATGACTGCAATACAGGCTGCATGTTCTATCGGTTGCCCAAACTCAAACCATCTATCCGCCAGTCACTATCAGAAACACGTCCAACAAGAACAAAAAAAAAAGGTACGACACAAGCCTGATTCGAACAGGCGCTCCCGAAAGAACATGATTTCGAGTCATGCGCGTTAGACCACTCCGCCATTGTGCCCATGATGTCATTCATTGCTTATTGACCTATATGAAGTTATCGCAAGAGAGCCTCTGTCGAAGACAGCACGCTGCCTCAATCACACGATTCTCTATTTCCCTAAAGCCCATACTTCTTTTCTCAATAAATCTTTGCGATTCTGATGATCGACAAATACTCCTTAGTGAATCTAGCGCAAGAAGTGGGCAATAGAGGTATTTATGTTACTCGACAAAGTTATGTATCTGTCAAGGTCACCTCTATGATAACTGAAACCGCTGGCTTAACATATAGCTGCTTTCAACTACTAGAGACGATTTCCTATGTTTTGTATGAAGACAATAGGCTTATATGGTAATATAGTTCTGACGGATGAATACCCAGGGCAATCTAGGAAAACATAAAGTTCCAGTTACTCTTTGTATGAAAATGTAATGTTCAAGTCTAGTAAGCTCTCTGTGTATATAATATTATGCGTCTATTGCGTCTCTATATGGAACGTATCTATTTTAGGTCTTGTAATTAATTCTAATATTTTCCTGCAAAGCTTCCTGCTCACACTCTTGTCGTCCAAATTGAACTCCCTTCTATTCGACGACATTTGGCCCACTTGGCCGCAATAAAGAACGCTGATCCTATCAGCAAGGATATGCCTGCAAATATTTCGGCACCAAAGTACGCCCCATGGGCCGCAGAGATGATTTGGCCTGCAATCGGCGGTCCCGTCAACGCGGCAAAACTCATGACTGTGAACATCATTCCCAATCGCACGCCCGCTTTCTGAAGGTCAATAGTTAGACTGCTCAGTCCCGCAGGAACCAGACTTTGGACACCTCCGGCGAATGTTCCGTAGAAGGCAATCCAGACGTAGAGTCCCGCGACATTTTTGACGGCCATCCAGCACAGCATGCCAATCCCAGAAAGTAAGGCGAAGGGAATGAGGACGGTGATGGGTCCAAGCCGATCAGCTATGAAGTTGGGGGCTATACGCCCTGTGATGCCAACGCTGTTTATCACCAGTAGCAGATTCAGGCCGTCTGCATAGCTCAGCCCGATTTTCTCGCGGCCGAACGAGGCGACGTAGTAGTAGGCGAAATAAAGAGCCAGGAAACACTATCAAGGACGGCAGTTATCAGTACATGTCTGCTATCAAGCGAAACGGAACATGAAGCCTTACAAAGAAGGCACCGCACACATAAAGGGAATACTCTGCGTCCCTGAACGCCGAAAACTCAAACAAGGGGCCAGACTTTCGAGGCGGGACACGCGGTTTCAGCGCAAGAAGCGCCGCCCCCAGTGTCACAAGCTGGACGAATCCAATCGTCCTGACGGTCCAGCCGAATCCAATCGACGGCAGCAACTGGCGGGCGATGCTTGGAAATACTAAACCCCCTACTCCCGTGCCACTGGAGATGATGCCTATCGCGAGCGCCCGCCGCTTGCTAAAGTAGGTCGAGACGACGGCCAAGCTGGGGCAGAATAGGCAGCCATTGCCCAATCCCATGCAGATGCCTTGGGCCAGGAAGATCTGCCAGTACTGCGTCGCCGCGGAAGTGGTGAAGATGCCAATCATCTGCAGGATAAAACCCAGTATCACCAATTGGTTAAAGTAGCCCGCGTCCGAGATTCTACCGGCGAGGACGCCGATAAAGAAGAGTAGGAATATCTGGACTGAACCGATCCAAGAAATGTCGGATGGCGAACGATCCAGCATGCTGGTGTAAAAGGTCTGAAATACGCCGAATGAGCTGATGTAGCCCCATGTATTGAGAACAATCATGTGGCCGGCGATGACTATACAGCTGGATTAGTCCCAACGACCAGTATTGAGAGTTACTTGAACTGTTGAGAATTGAAGTTGAAGACAACTAACCCTGTGCCCAAGCTCGTTTCCCGCCATCAGGAGGCGGCCCCGGGTCCGAAGTTATGTCTACAGGTCTGAAGACACTGGAAACATTGGTGAGGATTTTAGAGAGCGGCTCCGGCCTTTCCTCTGCGTCGCGGGAGCTGGATCTTTCGCTGTTGATCAATCCTAGGTCGGATACATCTAGCAGATTCTCTTTTGGCTCTAATTGCTGAATGTTGCGTTCGATATCGGCGGGGTCGTCATGTGCAAATACATGTATGTTACTGGGAGGCGGAGAAGACTTCTCCATTGAGAGTATGGGCAAGGTATCAATGAAAATTTCAAGAGAGAGTCTACTTTGGAGATCATTGATGTCAAAAGCAGCAAGAAAATGTCGGGAATAAGGATAGACTCTGCAAATACTAGTGGCACATATAGCCTATATACATCGTCTACCTAGCTATTCCGCAAAGCCTCCGATGAATCACCCAGCAGAGATGGATACAACCGCGGGTACCTCAAATTGGCTTAAGCTTCTCCATGTTATCAGTCATGAAAAACTTCCTCAGCGTTGACTTTGTTTGACTAGTGCCCGCGCCCTCTGAGATAGATCGGAGTGATGTGGCTCGCGATCCACACCGGCCCGGTATCGCCAACAATAGGGCGTGGATGCTGCAGCCGATGATAGCCCCGAATTAGCCATATCGGGCAACGAAAATGACCTCTAAGGCGTGAGTTTTACCGCCACGCTTCAGTCTTGACCACCAAATTCGAGTATCAACAGCAAAGAATATGTACCTAGTCTTCGTAATCGGTTCATTTGCAATGCTTCATCTTGAGCAATTGTATTTAATCAGCATTCAATTACCAAGCTTGCCACCGGACGTTTCTGTTTCGTAATATCTACTCCATATGTACTTGTATGTGATCGGACCCTCGGCCATCACAAGTCATTTTCGGATCTCGCCAAAGTCTCAATGGCAGTTTTTTCTGCTTATTCCCCACTGTTTACATCGCTATTTGATGTCTACTAAACTCGTCTTGCAAATGACTTTCGACGTCATTTTTTGGAAAGCCTTCGTTGAACTAGTCGGGACGATTCTCTTACCTGATATCAAGCTCATGCAACTTACAAGAGCAGCCTCCCATCACATCTATTAACAACATTCGGCATATTAAAAATTCGGGGTTTAATTTCCCGACTTTTGAGCTATTTCGTGAATATCCACTTCAGTGGACATCGATATGGCATAGAACGATGGAAATGATGTCGTTTATTGTCCTGATAGAAGTCAGGATACAGTCGTAACCAAATCGGGACGCCCAGTAAGGCCTCGATTTCTGACAGCCTGAGAAGGTGCGCAGCTATCAAGATCGTTCAAGACACTAAGTAAATTAAATTGTAAATCTAAAACGATAGAAATCTGGTATACAAATTAGCAGGTTCCGTGCGTATTTCTTAACCGGGGCCGATGACTGGACAAATATCATAGAGGGGTAGCCGAAGGTGTAGACGCGACATCCGGGAGAAATTCGAGGAGGAGGTCTCGGAGCCACAGAGTGTCGTGTGGTTGGTGGCGCGAGGTCGAGAAGGCATCTCTATTGAGACCATGGACAACAATGATGTCGACCGGGTAGTTGCTGGATCCCGAGAGGTCACGCTTTTCATCGGCGAGATTAAATAATCCTTGCTTTTCTATAAAAGGTTTCGTTGATTCAAGTAGTTTCACAAACTAGTTCGACATGCACGAGGTAAGATACATGCACACAATCATTTCCACCTTCGCAAGTCATGCTGTGTTGCAACTTGTTTCAAAAAACCATGTTGTCTTATATACCGTAAATAGCATCCTGTCAAGCACGAGTCAAGACGAAATATCTGATGACTAATCTGGATTGCCCTTATAGCTCAGTGGTAGAGCGTTGCACTTGTAATGCAAAGGTCCATAGTTCAATCCTGTGTGGGGGCACATCTTTTTTTGAGCATCGCCGTGGCGTTTTTCTTTTTTGAATTCTCTCTTGATAAAAATCATCCTACGGCACAAGTAATAAGTATATGAATGATATAGCGTTGGCAGATTGAGCTGGAATAGAGATACTGGGTAGCTTCAAAGTTCGCCGGACGGTGGGGTATCATACTTTTGGATAAAAGAGTCTTCGAATCTAGTCAAGCATAATAGAAAAGAAAAGACTGCGCTCGTTGTTGGTAAGTAAAGAGGCAGCTGTCAGACATTCTAAGTGTCAAGCGCAGATCCTACATCAAAAAGATGGGATATACCTGGAAATAGATAGGTTTAAGTAAGACTGCTAGAGTCAACAAGCCCAAAAGTTCTTTTTCGCAGTAAGCCAACGTGAAATCTAGTTCACCGTCTCACTACGAACATATCCCCAAAATTCTTCCCCGAACACGAACGCTTCTTAGAGAGTCAATCTGGGGAATACCATCTGAGGTGATCAACGCTCACCTTGTTGAAGAGCAAGCATCGGAACGGAGGTGCATGCTTCCGACATTTTAGCTCTTCTAGACTACCGATCCGCTTTCGTAATCAATCTGCACTGGGAGCAAAGCCGCCCCACTATCGGCGCGCTCTCATCAATTTTTTGTTTGACAGGCCAGCGGCGAAAAAAAAAAAGTTCACAATCAAAAGGCGACAGCATATTTCAGCATTTTCTCTGTTATTGTAATTTGACGCAGGAAGGCTATATTTCCTCATCGCAGATTTATTTAAGAGTATTATATTTTAAATCTCAACTCGCCAAAAATAGACGATGCCTGGACGAACAAAGACGCAGGACGATGCTTCGTCTCACGACGCTGATATGCAAGACGTCCCACCTTCTGCCCAGGAAGCGATTGGTCAGGATGCTGAAATGAGAGAGGATGCCGAGGCTGAGGAGGAGGAAGAGGAGGAAGAAATTGAGGCTCAGAGAGTGCGAATTGTATGGCAAGAATCCGGCATCATCGAGAGTCTTCAGTTCACTAATAAGAATGACAGCTTCCTGGCTCAACGGACACTGCGGCTTCATTCGAATTCACCGATGAGGGCCATACATTGGGCAATGCTCTGAGATACATCATCATGAAAAAGTATAGTTTCTTCCACTGGCACCGCTCAGTTCATCAAAGCTAATCTCTCTCAGCCCCGACGTGGAATTCTGCGCTTACTCGATTCCTCATCCATCTGAACCCAAGATGAACATCAGAATACAGACATATGGTAAAGCCCTCCTTTCTTGTTTCGTGTTATTCATTTCCGCTGACCCTTTAACTCACAGATGGAACGGCTGTGAATGCCCTGAAGAAGGGTCTGAGTGACCTGCAGGATGTATGTGATGTAGTTGCTGAGAAGTTCTGGTCAGAGAGACAGAGCTTCAACGCAGAGCAGGGCATTGAGCGATGAACGATTGCTATGATGGTGGAGAAAAGAGAGCGCAGTTAATGGAGATCGGGCTGCTATCCCAAGTGGCGTATAGAAAGGGCATTTGTATATGGACATTATGCGAATTCAAGGCGTTATATGGCAGGTTTTGACATAGGATCTTTACAAAGATATATTTACAAAAACAAAATTTCTTGCATTGCTTCTAATTTCGGCCCTATTGATCCTCGTTAGCCAATATTCTTAATCCCCGCATTGCATCGCCCTGTAAACTCACCTCCAAGAAACCAGACATGAAGCTAGATGGAAGTCTCTTGTCTCCCCTAAAGTTGTCGTTAAAATAAGACAGGATGTGAGTCTGCTGCTTCCAAAAGTTCATTGTTTCCTACATCCCCGCCATCCATTAGCAAGTGGTTTCCTTCCCATTGTCTTGGCTCTTTTTGTTCGCGGACAGCAGCATTCGTACCTGGTATTCAGCGTGGGATTTGAAGAGAAGCACATCGACGACAGAAAGGTTGCTCGCGTGTCGGTTTCGTTCAAACTCTTGTCGCATCCGTGTTCGGAGAGCGGAGATGGGTAGAGGGACATTGTACATCGTCTGGATTTCAGGTGCCTACATTCTCTCAGTTAGCTTCCAACTCTGCAGTATAGCAACGTTCCTCCACAATAACAATCTCCAGTTCTTCATCGGCACATAAGCTTGAGAGGGAATTTCGTGGAACGTACGCCTCGGATCCATTCGCGGTAGGAAGAAAGGACTCGACGTTTCGCATCCGCCCAACTGGTGGCTAATTGGCTCGGTCAGCTTCAGAAAAGTAGGGAATTGGCTATAGGACTCACATTGCGCCGTCTTCTTGGCGAATTCAGTCGGTGAAATGGCCATGGTGGGCAATCTATGCTTCTCAGCGCAATCTCTATAATGCCGTGACGTTGAATTGATACCAGTAAAGCACGCCCGGCTTGGAGCATGTATGTTCACGTGATTCGGCGCCAACTCCCGGTTGCGCCACACGATACTTGCCCCTCGCCTGTGGCTTAGCTCAGCCTTCTCGACGCGCTTCTGGAACTTCCTACTAAGCTCGCTCCTGGGACTTTACCTAAGCTTGCTCTTGATCTTGATCTTGCATCAAGTCCTTGAGGCTCGCATCCTCTTTTTTTTCTCTCTACACAAAGCTTTTTCACTCTGTGCATCCAGTCACGCCACAATGCCGGCCATCAGACACTCCTCAAAACGAAAGCCGCCGCCTGAGGGCTTCAGCGACATCGAAGATGATCTCTTGATCTTTGCGAACAAGATGAAGGATGCGCAGAACAAGCCTCCACCTCCCGGCCCAAAACACATGGCGCAGTGGGAAATCTTTCAGATTGCGCATCAGAGAAGCCGCTACGTATACGATCTGTACTATGAGAAGGAGGCCATCAGCAAGCAACTTTACGAATGGTTACTTAAAAACGGGTACGCTGATGCGATGCTCATCGCCAAGTGGAAGAAACAAGGTTACGAGAAGGTGAGTTGCCGCTTAGCACTCTGCCTCACTTGATATTTTATTTCGGTCTACTGACAGATATTTAGCTCTGCTGTTTGCGCTGCGTTCAAACCAAGGAAACCAACTTCAACAGCACTTGCATCTGCCGAGTACCAAGGGCTCAGCTGAAAGAAGATAGCGACATGCAGTGTGTCAGCTGTGGCTGCAGAGGATGTGCATCTAGCGACTAATGGCGAGCTATGCTCCTGATTTCCGAAAATTTGATTCAAATATACAGATATGAGTCGGAGAATGGTCAGTTCAAGGCGTTGGGGCGTCGGGCGTCTAATTACGATTGAAATACTCCGATACGGACAAAATAAGAGAGAAACTATAGATTGGGTACTAGGTTGAGACCGAAAGAGGTACATATCCTTTATTTTGGCTGAATACCATTATTCCATAATTTATGCTGATTATTTTTTCAATACCTCCAGTTCACTCCCTTTGATTCCCTTCGTTACCTCTTTGAGAAGCCTGCTCGGCCTCGGCCGAACCGGACGCTGGATGGTACGAATTGTAACGCTGACATGGCTCCAGTAAGATCTGCCATATCAGTATCTGCTTTCTCCGGCTTCGCCTTGCCCTTATCCGCCGTAGTGGAAGGCTGCGATGGCTGTGATTTGTTATCGGGCTGTGACGCTTCCTTTTCCAGGGTATTTGCACGGCGCCTTAATTCCTTCGCTTGTGATTGAGAACCAGCCGACGATCTGCGCCTACGGCTAGCTTCTATGAGAAGCGAACGTTTCCCATCAATTCCGTCCTTTGTGACAGCGAAGAAGAAATTATGAGGAAATTTGTGTTTGTCTATCAGATGAAGTCGCCTCTTCTGGGGAGTCATGCACTTGCGCTCGCATCCTTCAACAAAGCAGGAATACTGAGTTATGTTAGAGATACTATTTTTCATGGCATAGCGTGGGAAGCATCGCATTTAGCTTACTGTGTGCTCTCCCTTTTCTCTGGCGACCCTCGCCAGGGGGTCATGACACTCTTCAATGTGTACATTGAGAAGATGATCTGTTGGAAAATTCTTGCGGCACTCAATGCACCTGTTTGTGTGAAAATTGTGGTAATGGGTTTCGTAATCGTCGTAGAACCGGAACCCTATCGATTCCCTGTGGGGAGGTAGTGAGCATCTCATGACGAATCCGGCTTCCTCGTCTTCAACGGCCGAATCAAGGCCAACGATTTTGGAGACGGGTCGGAGATCGACGTCGGCGTCTGCTAGATGAGGAGAGTCTGCTTCTGGAGGGCCGGGTTCTAAATGCTCTTCCGGCTCTCGTGAGCGCTTCATCTTTAGATAATAAATGGTGAGCTAGGTATATGGGGCACAATATTACTTTGATTCCCACCAAGACCAACGATACTGTGAATGAAGTAAGGCGGGGGCACGGGTAAACGCAGATGCGGCGGGACGTGGCTATTGGGGGATACTAAGTAACTTGAAGCGATTGGGCTGAAAAACAAATATCCAATAAAGCAGTCGAATACATGCAAAAGGGGCGACTCAAGGTGTCTAGTTGAAGAGGTGAATGTTGTAAGTTGGGAAATGCCTGCCCAAGGAGCGATGCGTGGAGTGGACGATGCCCCACACTTTACCGCACTTGTGCAGGTCGTTAGCGCTACAGGGTCCAAAGCGAGATCGAAAAGGACAATAGGTACTAGTATTGATTCTATCACTGTCTACCGCAAAGTCAAATAATACTTTCGACGATCCGATACTTGCGCTGTAACTAATCCTAGCTGCAGATCAACGGAAATTAGCGGCTGCTCATAATAAAACTGGATAGCGCACTTGGTTCGGGGTTGAAGTTGGTATTTGGGTAAATCTCCAGGTTAGCATCAAGCATCGCTGCAGTGAGCAAAGCATGATATGAAACCATGGAAACTGTGAGCATTGTCTAGAGGCTTTTTCTGTATGCATTTTGCTTGAAATACATCTCTTGAAATTCAGTTACCTTAATGACCATAGCCGTGGCGCCTTTTACTTCGAAGGATGCTCAAGAGTGGAATTATAGGACGAGTGTGTTGTTTGTTGCTAAGCACAAAGCGTAGGTATATATGGATGCTTGCGTAAGTCCAGCTCTCTGGCGGCGAGGCGTTGAGAAAAAGAAAAGTAAGATCAAAGTAAAGGCAAAGTAAAACTAAAGGAGCAAAAAGTCAGTTCGCATTGCAATTTCGTGTGTATTTTGTTTTGAGGAGGTATCTTTGGCCAATCTTCCGCTGTATGTTAGCCCATCGGGGAACTTCGAGACTACCAGCCTACAATAAGGTGTGGCTGCGGTAGGCGGTCCCTTTTTTAAAGGGAAAAGTTATCCAGCACCCTAATTTTATTATCCAACACCCCAACTGTAGCATAATAGGGCAGCCAGTTTATACATTAAATATACAGCTGCCAAATACTTATTAAAATAGCAACAGTAGCAACAGTAGTAGCAGTAGTAGCAGCAGTAGTAGCAGCAACAGCAGCCTAAGCTACAGCTGGAGTGCTAAATAACATAATCGGGGTGCTAGATAACTTCTCTCTTTGTTTTGGGGTGTTGGATAATAAAACTGGGGTGCTGGATAATGGCTCCCTTTTTAGAACAGCCGAAGAATTCCCACACCTTGAGGGGCTCAGATTCCACTCACTTAGAGTTATCGTCAGTCTCTCATTTTAGCAAAAAAAATAAAAAAAAGCTTCGTCGCAAACCTACGGCGCAGGTAAACAAACAATATTGACTCTCGAGCTAGCAGATTCTTGGCCTATATATTGCCGTCGTCACCAATGTTTTCTCTCTCAGCTGTTTTCCCGATTCCCACCAACCGAGTTCGGTCCCAGCTCCCCCAATCCGACGTGATTCTGAGTTATGGACTGTCTGGACCTTTACGATTTGGATTCTCAAGAGCATGATAAGTGATTGCTTAGCTAAAGATTCATCGCATACGACATCATCACCACGCTACTAGCCAACATTACATCTACCAATCTTCGATAGCACAAGCCCGTCGACGGAATGGCGTCTTCCAATGCCCCTCCGGCGAGCCTTAGTTGGCGGTAAGTTGATGCAAGACTTTGATGTATATCTGCGATGCCTACTGTTATCTTGCGTCTATTGACTTGGGCGTAACGTAATGGGGGCTCGCCGGCTGTGGACAAGACTGATATTGGTGATCTAGTGACGCCCAAAAGTTACGCAAGTATCTTGCACGAGACATCGGCAAGCTCCAGCCAGGAACTGGATCTGGAATCGACATTTCCAAGTTCGAGGCGGTTGACAGCCTTTTGGAGAAGTATGCGACCCTGATTTTTAGACTTCCATCTGAATTTAGCTAATGCGCTTTCTCTTTTGCAGGTTCCGCCTCGCTTGCGTCTCTACCATCTTTCTCGACTTTGATTATGCCATCGCCCAGAAAACAGAGGAGCATCTGTGGCTCATTCATACCTCGATCAATGCCGAATATCGACGCATCTTGGGCCGGCTCAAGCAATCGTCCCACGCAGTCGAGAAGCGAAAGGTGGAGAAAATGTACAACAACTTCCTGCGCATCGCCCATAAGTTTTACAAAGGATATATCCAGCGCCTTTCCGCCTACTATGATATTCCCGAGCTTAAACGAATCGCGCAAGGCATTGAACTCGACCAATTGGTCGTCGAAGATACGATTAGCCCGGTCTCGGAAGATTTGCAGCGCAAAGTCCTGTACTCTTGCCACCTTACCCTCGTCCACTTGGGAGACTTGACACGATATCGAGTCCAAGCTCGCCATAAGAACTCTGGGTATGAAGGGGCGTTGCTATACTACGGACTGGCCCACCATCTTCAACCTCAATCAGGCTTTGCTTTCCATCAAATGGGAATCATCAATCTCGAACAGGGCAATCACCTCGACGTGCTCTATCACTTTTACCGCGCCTGGGCCGTGGAAAGTCCCCATCCCAATGCTCAGACCAACTTGGAAGCTGAGTTTAAAGCGGTTCTTGCGCCAAATGGCTCCAAGTCTAGACACAATGTCACTGCACCACAAGACCATTTCACGATGTGGTTTGTCAAGCTACACGCCTATTTCTATAAAGGAGAGGCTTTTCGTCCTCAAGAAGAGTTGGAGGGCGAAGTGATGCACCGACTTGAGATGGCTTGCCGAAATCCTGAGTCTTCCAACGCGATTCTCAAGATGGCGCAGGTTAATATGCTGGCACACTGCATAGCCTCTGCTCAATATACAGGTATGTGATAACATGCGCCGGTTATACTACGACTTGCTAAGTAATCTTGAACAGAAAACCAGACGGAAACTTCCATGCGGTTTTACCAATACACGCTTCGCTTCAACGCCAAATTTATGCATACCTTTTGCAAAGTCTTTTTGTCTGAGCTCAGAGAGGCTCTTACTAGCGCCGAGGGCTTCAAACATCGACTGGATAGTTCCGAAGAATCACAGACAAAGACTTCCGTCATTGAAGCCCTTCTGCCTGTGCTGCGCGTATATGGTATGTGGCTCGCAGCCCGCCGTACCGAGATATCTACCGCCGCAGATGCGTTTGGAGCAATCATTCCAGAGATGATTCAGAACATGTCGAGAATCGCCACTATATTCTCTTCAGAATATTATAGCCTGGATAATTTGAAAACTTGCCCATATTTGCTTCCGGAAGACATCCAGAACCTGGGTTTCCAACCACTCAACGAAGATGATCTTCCTCAAGAGTGCAGAGTCTACTGCAACGCGAATGGAGACTGCAAACCTTACCTTCACGCTCTCGAAGAAGGCTGCGGCTCGGCATCGAGTGAAAGAATAGGAAGAATCTTCGATGTCCTCCGCTGCGCGTATTTCTTGGCCAGCGACGGCGCATATCCTATGGGCTATAAAATCGAGGGAAACTTTCTGATTTTTCGCCATCAGCCAGTTGCCGAGAAGCCACAAGCTCAACAAAGCACGGAAGACGATACGACTTCGGTCGCTAGTGATTTGGAGGCTGTTGATACAGAAGAGTCAATTGAGACCAAGGTCATCCCCGATGCCCTGGCGATACCTGAGCTGGCGACCCCCGAGCTGGAAGCAACAGAGGTGGCGAAACGTCCAGTATCAACTCGGCAGGAAGCAAGTCGACTTTTGCTGAATGAGGATGATGACATTTATGAAGACTCTGAGGCTATGAACCGGGGTGTTGAGACGGTTCTCGACGTGGTGGCTCCTTTCTTGAGACCACTTACTCCTGTTGACGAATCTTCATTCGGAATGCACACTTCCACTGCAAACGAAGTATTTGGCTCACTCAACACAGAAGCCAGTCCCACGGAATCCATCACGTCGGGAAAGTTTGCGCCTCTTCCTTGGGCTTGGTTCGGTACGCCGAATCCGCATGGTGCCCGAGATCCAGCACTGCCTGTGAGTCAAAGCGCTCAGAACACTCAGAACGCTCAGAACGGTCGCCGAAGCACAACGCACTCCCCCAATGCGTCTATTGCAGCCAGCCATCTCCTCGAGGACCCCTTTACTACGCCAGGCCGCGATGTACTAGATAGTCTTCCGCGCAACATGGCAAATGAAGTCGCCAGCCCGCCAAACACATCTGCTCGGAGAATACATCGGGAGCAGTTGCTCCAAGCCTTTGGCAATGGTTCAAGCACTCCACGCACTTCGTCGTTCAGCCACTGGTCACACAACTCCAACTCCAACGCCAATGTGCCGAGACCACCGGCCCCCATGGTGACGATGCAAGAGTCGAATCATTATCCAGCATGGACCAACCAGTCGAGCAGTTCTTCCTTCTCTCACCCAAGCAGCCTCTACCATGGCACTCCAGCAAACGGTTTACAGTACAACATGCAATTTGCTGTTGACCCGAGCCATGTCTTTCAAGAGGCTCACCAATCAATAAATAACCACTTTCAAATCGATAAAACGACATCGAATTACAACAACGCCGTCATGAGATCGGCGTACCAAGGATCGAGCTAGATGGAAGGATATACACTCTTGGGACGAATAATGTTTTGCAATGCTTGTTGAATGATTTCTTTTTCTTTTTTGTTCTTTTTATTCTCAGAACGATTGGGATATTACGATTTAAATTTTGTGGCAATGACGAGGAATGTCAGGGGCCCTTTTGTGGCAGCGTATAGTCGCATGTATTCTACGGCGACAGTCTTGCAAATGCGAATTTTGTTTGCTTTTTTTTTTTTTTTTTTTTCGACTTGAGGATGGCTCTGGCAATGTTTTTGGTACTTGGAGCAAAGTCAAGGGAAGAACCTAGATAGGTAAATGAAATTGATATTCAATCCAAAAATCGAGATTATCGTGATGCTTGGTAAAATCTGGTCTATCATTTATCATGAAATAGGTTGAAAAGAATCGAAAAACAGAAATCAAAGACAAGAATGGTCATGTATCGTGGAGGATGCCGACCTGGTATGCAAGGATGCAAAGGGAGCCCGCTGCTTCTGGACTCTCTACCTTATTGATGCAAAACGCCGTTGTTGAAACCTATGCCCCCCGTTTTAATCCCTCAACGCCAATTCCTTTCCATCCCAGCCGTGGGAATGGATCGATAAGAGCAATGTGCTATCGCAAATTCAATTTAAGAAGATGCCGAGTATGCCTGCTTGGGGAAGGGGTATCTGAAAGGAATGAGTTAGCTCATGAGAATTTATACGGATGTGAGAATTGGTGGTGAGGAGTGGATGAGTAAGTGAAAGAATAACTTACGAGGGACCAAGCTCCTGAATGCTTAGCTTAGCCAGCCACTGGCCCTTGTCAATGGACTGCTCCAGGGACTCGCCCTGGACAACACCAGCCAGAAGACCACCGGCAAAGGCGTCACCAGCTCCGTTGCAGTCGTTGATGAGAGCAGAGTCGATGGCGCGGACAGGGAACTCCTTGACCTCGTCCTCGCCCTGGATAGCGACCAGAGTAGGCTCGGTGCCCTGAGTGACGATGGCAATACGCTTCCTCTGGGTGTTCTTCTTGGGAAGGTTGGCCAAAACCTTGACTACGTCCTTGGGGTCCTTGGAAGGAAGGTCGTGGGCCACAGCATAGGCCTCGGCCTCGGCCTCGTTGCCGATGATGTAGTCCCAGTAGGGGGCGCTGGCGTCGACGACCTCCTTGAAGAACTGGGGGATGAAGGGAGCAGAGAGAGACACGGCGAAGATCTTGTTCTTTGCAGCGGCTTCCTCAGCAAGGGCCATGATGGCGGGAGGGCAGACTGCGCATCATTTGCGTTAGTACTTGCATCGCAACACAGTGGATTCACTTCTCATCACTTACCGGTGAAGTGGTAGCCTCCAATGTAGAAGACCTCGGCGTTCTCAACGAGGGCCCAGTTCTCGGGCTTCTTCAGGTGGTCCAGGTCGTAGTGGTTGGCAGCACCTAGGTCAGTGCAGAGACTGCGGTTGTGGCCGGTGATGACGACGCCGCATCGGCCGGTGGGCTGCTGCTCGTCCACGCGGTACTCGACACGCAGGCCGGCAGTCTTGACGGCATCGTGCAGCGTGGCGGCGTATTTGTCGTTGCCGACGCCGCCAAAGTAGACGACGCTGTTGGGCGGCAGCATGTACTGGGCGCCACGGGCCGTGTTCTGGGCAGCACCGCCGGCGATGAGCTTGGCGTCGAAGTTGTTGAGGAGGTCCTCGTAGAGGCCGAGGTGCTCTTTCTCGGCGAGGATGGCGTCGTTGGCCTTGAGGTTGTACTTCTTCAGCAGGGCCTCGTCACCAACGGCCTGGATGTCTGTGATTGCGACAGCGTCAGCAACAAGTTTACTTGCCTGGGCACAAAGGAGGCGGGAGTGATATTTGCTTGCTTTCAGCAGCTTGATTTTTTGGGGATGAGGGGTCCTTCAGCGATCTGAAGTTGAAATACGTACCAAGAAGAGGGTTCTCCAGGCAGACAAGACGGAAATCCTTGGTGGCAGCCATTGTGATATGATGTGAGGGATGAGAATAAGAATTCTATTAAAGTCTTTTGCTATGTTTAGGTAGAGATTGATATGGATTGAGGAGAAGACGGGAATTGCTCTGGAGGGGCGAGGGGCTACTCGTAGGCGCATGTGGTAATTTAGCGGAACGTGGGATTTTTTTTACTGGGCCCTGTGCTTATTTTGGAGGGGTGGAGCAGAACTTGCATGCTGGGGTTTATCAGTTGGTGTCTGCGTATGGAAGATGGCAGTCAATTGACCGTTGCTCTGGTACATGAAAGAGCTTTTGATTTTGACGATGAACTCTATATACGTGTGATTATTTCTAATTTCTCAAGAGATGGCGAAAAAATACAAGATAGAAAGAATTAAAAAATGAATTAGAATCTGCTCTAGGCTTAGTAGAATAATGCCTGTCAGCTTTGGCGTGCGGAGGTCGGCGACTTTCTACACTTTGGACTTCTTTCGCAGTCTTATGTACTTGTGCTGGAGAATTTATTGCGTCAGATAATCATGATGAGGGTATTGGTGCAGATTCCTTTGATTGTGTAGAATCATATACGACCTAATCGGTACAATTGATCATTTCTCATTTCTTTTCGAGCCCCTCGCTAGCTACTATTGCCCTGCTCTAGGTATTAGGCAAAGAATAGTAGGTATAGATGAATGCAGCTACCTACATCTAAACAAATGTCCCGATCCCGAAGAATGAATTGGAAAAAAGTACCATCATTCTAGTGGAACCAGGGTTGTTTTATGGAGTTCGACGACATGGATTTCATGGTTGTTTTTACTGGCACCTCTGTATCAAGCAGGTGAAAAGAAATGGCGTATCGAATAAGCAAAGCTGCAGTACAACGGTATAGTAGGTAATTGATCCTATATGCCATGTTTTGGGCTCGCTCTCTTCTCAATTTAGTCAATATTCCTTTAATACCGAGTCAAAAAGGAGCCACATGTGGGAATTTATGTCAATTACAATGGATATCTAACTTTTTTTGTATTATGTATCCTCACTGTCACGCGCCGGCTCATTCACGTCGAATATTGCAAGGGAATCTGGCTCGTAGTTTGTTTTTGTTTTGCAACGAAATGTCATAATAGTACTTGCCAGAGGAGCCGTGTCAAGTTTCGTTCCTGAGCAGTACCATCCATAGTAAGAAAGCCACTGAACACCATCCCAATGAGACCATGAATTTTAGCCACCTTACTCCTTTGTCTTCTGAGTACCACGGAGCAGACCTGTCCTTCTGGCAGCAATAAGACCGGCCTTCTGTCCCTGGACGGCGTACCGTGAAATGGTAGAGGCCTTACCAATGTGCTGGTGGTTACCCTGTTATGGGGGTCAGCGTCTGCGTTATTCTGTCCAATCGAGCTGGGGAAACTTACACCACCGTGAGGGTGGTCCACGGGGTTCATGGCAACACCACGAGTCTTGGGCCAGCTGTTACGCTTGACAGCGAACTTGTGCTTGGCACGAGAAGCCTCTGTTCAAATTGTTAGCACCCAGTCCCTCTATTCTCCACAACACTTTTTCTTCGCTGTCTTCTCTCCAGAAATAGGACAAGCATAGGGATCAACGTACTCAACAGAGGCTTGTCGGTACGGCCACCACCGGCAACGATACCGATCATACCACGAGATCGGGAGTGGACGACCTTCTTGGCACCGGAGGGCAGCTTGATACGGGTCTTGCCCTCATCGGGGTTGTGGCCAACAATGGTGATGTAGCCACCAGAGTTACGGCCGAGAGTACCACGGTCGCCAATCTTCTCCTCGACGTTTGAGACAACGGTACCCTCGGGCATCTCACCAACGGGCAGGACGTTGCCGACGGTAAGAGCAGCACGCTTTCCGGCGTAGATGAACTGGCCAGTGTACATGCCCTCGTTGGCGATGAAGGTCTCGGTAACCTGCTTGTACTTGTAAGGGTGGCGGAATTGCACCTTAGCAAGAGGAGCACCACGACCTATATGCAAAGAATTCCCATCGTTAGCCCTCAGTTCCCTTTCGTGAATTCCATCTCGAATCGGATTTTGTTTCGATGCTCGTTCGGGGACTAACCAGGGTCGTGGATGATGTCCTTCACGATACCGCGGACGTAGCCATGGCGTTCGGCGAAATCGAGGTTGCGGAACTTGGCAGGGGCCTTGTTCAGGCGGGTGTTGGCCGCTGTTTTCAATATTGTTAGAAATCTCGAGAAGCGCATTGAAGTTCCTAATTCGATGCATATCGACGCGGCGGCTACTCACTGAAGATGGAGCCACGGCCCTTTCTCTGGTTGCGAATAACTCTACCCATGGTGGCTCGATGTGTAGACTGTGAGCGGGATTGATGTCAGTGCGAAACCGCCAGCAGGGCGAGAGGTTCAAACTATACCTGGCTCCGGCCTTGGTGTTTGGACAAAGAGGCGCTCGCTTGAGACTTCTGATAATTTTTGTGTGCGGGACCGCTGCCAAAAGATGAGGAGCCCTGACCACGTGACCGAAATTTTCCGGCGCGCGCATTGGTCGCTCGGAAGTACCTTGTACCTCTGCATCTCCCGCTCTCCTAGCGCATCAGGATGGACCCCGACAAACCCCCACATCCTCTACTCCGTGTTTCTCCCATGAGCGAAGACCTCAGTGACGTGTTGCGAGATTGAGCGTCTTCAAGGCTGAGACGCGTGACAGAAAGTGCCGCGGAAGCAACGTCTTGCTGAGCATCTTTCACTGCATGCACACTCGATGTGATCTTTATCCTTTTGCTAACCTCGTGTTTTCTGCTCTCTCCAATATCTCTGTTCCTGCCGGATGAACGGGTTCGACATGTGACAATCTCTTATCAACGAAGTACTACTCCCTCATCGACTTACGCGCTTGCTAGGGGATCTTTCAATGAAGATACCTTCAGTTGCTCAACTGCACTCGGCCCCGCGGAAGATGTGATATTCTACTTCGTGGAAAGCTGCTGTTCTATCTTTCAGTCTACTGAAACCGTCTGACCAAGTGGTCTAGACCTGCGCAATGATTGAATGATAACACCAACAGCCAGACTTACGCTCTTTTTTCCGATATGGACGCCGCTCTATTTTCACCTACCTGAAAGATGGCTGGCCATTTCACTAAGCTGCTGTGGTGTCTCTGACACACTGCCAGTGGGGTCGGGTCGCAGGCTGAACCATAATCTCCAGGAGTACCTAGGCATCCATGCGTGGCGATCATAGCTGTCGCCTTGAGTTGGCAGCAATGTCAGAATTCGACAAAACCTCATGCTAGTAAGTTACCAGATTCCGATTCCATGATGGAAAGAAAGATATCAGCCTTCCATCTTTTGGCCTACTCAATCTTGAAAATCAAGCACTGACGATGCATATAGGGCTGGCATAAATTGCCTCATGCATGATTTAGCCGGGTTGGTGCACACCTCAGAAATATTATTTGTGTAGCTCTGGGTTGCTTGCTGGCCTTGGATACATCAGTGTTGCCATGGCTAAGCCTATTGCGAGATTCACCAAAAATGCATGTGGTGCAGGGCTGGCTTGGAAGTGGGGGAAACCCCTAAAATCCAAGGCTGATGGAAAACTTGGATTCCGGAGCCAGAATTTGTGTTCTGAACGGCAATGGGCTGGATTTGAATACTGGCGACCAGGTTAATCGGGTGGCTTGACCCAGGTTGGCCAAAGCTCTGCCTACTTTGTTTGGCGTTGCCGATGCTCTCTGCGAGGAACAAGATTGAGACGGGATCTGGGGCTCCGGGCCTCACAACGGCATGCGCGGGCAAGGTTATGCCGAAACACGGCCCGGGTGTAAAGACAGATGAACAGGCTAGACATCTAAGACGGGAGACTGGGTTCGTCTTCTAATTGCATGATTAAGGCTTCCTTGATTGACTACGTGACTGGCGACTACCACTTGATAACCCCCCTTGGCCTATCAGAATTGATATGTAGCTAGTGCATCCACATCTCTTCAACAGACGACGTGCCTCATCCACCTCCCTCCTTCACACACTCGGCACTTGCACTGCCAGAAGCCAACTCCCGCGCCATGGCTGCCGCAGACGACGATTCCTCTGACCTCTCCTCCTTATCGTCACTATCCCCCATTCCCTCGGATGATGAGTTGGACGACCTTAGCGATGACGCGCCGACCGGATCTAAATCGGGAATTCTAAAGTTCTTCCCCAAGTTATCAGAGAAGCCGCCAAAGGAGCCTTCGCCGCCACCGCGCAAACGGTCGCCCTCGCCACCTCACGAATATGTTCTCGCGGACAATCCAGACATTGCAGTGCGTAATGACCTATCGCAAACGCCTCTCCCCATTCTCCAATGCGCGCTGGTTTTTGCCTGGCAGCAGATCGCGTTCACAGCTTTCTGGCGACGCGAAATTTCGCGTGCAGACGTCATCGGACTCTACTAACAGCCGCAGTTTCTGGTAATGTTTAGAAGCCGCTTCAACGACGCATTCCCAAAATCCCTTTCGCACTTCGGACCGCAAGAATTAGAACGAGACGTTGTCGAACCCATACCCGGCGATCGAGCAGAACATTTTTTGTGCGCCGTCCTCGGACTCCTCCTGAACCGGAAACAAGATATCAAGTATGGCTAATCTTGCCTCGTCCAACATTACGCGAACCACTGAACTAATCAGTTTTTCTTTTTTCCTCTTTCTCCACACAGAGCAGGTCATTATGGCAGAGCATTGGAAGATGCTATTACGTCTCACAAGAACCAATGGCCGGCCTCATGGAGCGAGAAAAATCCGCTGTCCGGCGGCGGCACTTTTAGCTCCCTGAGCCCAACCGAAAGAGTGAGTGCTCTCTCTATGACTAGATAATAGGAGCGAGAGGCTTTGAAAGCAAAAAAGCAAGATTGGCTGACCCTACTTCTGTAGTTGAATCTGCTGCGCACCCTCGTCCTTTGGGCCATGTCCTCGTCCGATACCCTCAAGGGCTTGATCAACCAATCCTATAAGCAAAATCGCCACGAAGACGATATCAACCAGCCGAGAGCAGTTCAACCGTGGGGTTCCGACGGAGATAAGCGCCGCTACTTTTTGGTTGAGGGGCAAGACGATACTGCCTTTCGCGTATATCGCGAGAGCAACCCTGCTGGCGCCAACCGAACTTGGTGGAGCGTTGCTGGGACCATAGAAGAGCTCAGGGCCCTCGCAGAGAAGCTAGAAACGAAAGATGGCGGCCCTAAAGCCAAGAAGCTAAGCCAAAAGATTCTTCAAGCCATCCCGCGATTCGAAGTCGGAGACGAGGTAGTCATCTCTTGCCAATTCTACTTGTTTTCACCAAGCTTGAACTAAATAAACTATAGAAACGGAAACGGCGAGAATATCGACAGATGCGCAAAGAACAGTTCAAGCGCCCGGAGCCTGGATTTTCATTATACGAGGGCCGCACTCGTGGCAAGCGAATGAAGTATACGTATTCCGACGACGAAGACATGTTCTCAGACTCGACTGGTTATAGACGCTCAGCTCGTAATACCGGAACACATACGCCAGCAGAAACCGCACCTGTCACCACATCAAGCGGTCGAACTGTACGAGCTCCGCCTCGGCTCAACGTGACCACGGGAGAAGACCTTGCCACCGGTGATCAAGATGATACCCTCGAAGTTGCTGCAGAGGCTGGAAGGTCGCGTAGATCGGCAGCCGCAAATCACGAAACCAATCAGTCCATGGATACCGATGAAGAGAGCGAGGCTGAGTTTGGTGATGATGAAGACGATGTCGACGCCCAGATTCCTGAAGAATCGGAAGACGAGGACGAATTCAAAGACGAAGCCATGGATGAAGAAGACTTGGAAATGGAATCTCAAACATTGGTGGTGAAACTGTCGGTAACTCCACCTAAACTCAAGGGCGTTCTCGCTCCGAGCGAGTTGCTTCCGACCTCGAATGAAGACGATGTAAAGGAAAAGGATGTGACGGCCGGTCCGCCAGATACGCCGACTCCAAATCAACAAGTGTTTGAAGCAGAAGTCTTGGTTCCGACATCCAGCGCGAAGACGACTGAGAGGCATGTCACTCCAGAGGCTGTTGACCGGCAGGCTTTGGGACCTTTGGGACAACCATCCATCTCATCTACCTCATTGGCATTCCGAGGTAGCCCTGAAAAGCAACCGGCGCAACTGGTGTCCGGAAGTGTCAACGTCGGCAGCCAGGAATAAGAGATGCCAGCTTGCCTTGAATGGCTGTTAATGTTTCTCGACGGAGTTACGGTCTATTAAGCGACGGATGATCCAAGAAATTTATTAGTGTACAATCGGTTGAATCTATGGGTTTTAGAATGGGGGACATGACAACAGACGGAAAAAAATCCCCTGCAGCGAGGGCCTGCGATCTGACCTATGAAGCGTAAACAAAAGGATTCTCGGGTGCGATGAAATGGGTCTAGAGGCCAAAGGGTTTTGTGTGATTTTATCTATACTAGATAAAAAGGAATAGGGTGACGACCTTCATGTAACTGATAAGATAATAATATACACTCTTGTAGGACGGGTATTTGCTGTTGTTTTGCTTTAGATGCGTTTCCTGGAATTGGGCAGGCTCCAGTTGTTTACTCCAAACCACCATCTCCTGAATCGGGCACCTACTGAGTCGCCACTCACCCTGGCGCTCTTGTTCCAATGCTGCCATCCGGCCATGGCCAGGTTGAGCAAGACGCCTTGAGCTAGGGGTATTAATACCTGTTCGCCTGATTAGTATTGTGCGTCATTGGAGTTTGCCAAAAAGAGTCGAGAGATACCTGGCTTTTGATTGTGGTGAGCACTACTTTCCACCACGTATCTGCCGACTCGATGCTGCGGAGATAGCTCTGCTCGAATCGCAAGTCTGGGAGCGGCGGGAGGTTGTAATGCTTCTTCGGAGGTCGCAGGACGCTGTATGGGATATCGTGGTCATCGTCGTCGAGATGACTGCGCTTCACCTCATGAATGTCTACCAGCTCTGACTTGTCGGCCGCAGTGGACGGCGCAATGTCCTGTCGAGGATCGGGATGCCTTCTGATATGGCTGGCTTGGATGGTGCTGGCGACCTCGGTGGGGAGGGATGAGTCCATTGCGAAGAGAGAGGATAGCCCTGCTCCAGGCCCCAATGTCGACACGAAAAGGTTCTCAAGCCTTGCTTCAATTTCCGGACACCAATTCTCGTTCTGCTCGTGATTCGTAGCGTGCGCTCCGAAAGTGTCGCTATAAGCTATTCCCGAGGCTCGTCCCGTCCTGGGATCATTCAACTCACTGACGGAGTTTTGCCGGGCGGTGAGTTATGGGGGCGAAACTGTGCTGACCGCATGAGTCTTACAGCAATTCTGTGACGTCGAGCGCTTACCTAATGCGCTTCTGTGACCTCAGTGGTTGTCGGGCCGCTCGTTTTAGGCGGACAGCGTGCTGGATTTTGGCCTTTTAGCTGCCTGGAGGGGGACCCGTAGCGCCAGCCCAGCCATTGGGGTAGTAGGGTAAAACTACCACAACCCAAACTTGCATCTCGCATCCAACAAAAACCAACCGCTGCTCTCCCTCGACCAGCCAGTGTCACGCTCGCACGCGCCGGCGCCTCTCGATCCTTGGACCTGTCAAAGCGGCGGGATAAAAAAAAAAAAAGAAAATTTCCATATTTTTCTCCAAGCGCCTCTCTTTTCAATCTCCTTCACCATGAGCGAACCTCAAAGCGGCGAGGCGGAGAAGAACGTGAGTCTTTCCCCTCTAGGACAAAAAAAAAACTAAGAGCAAAAATACTCGAAAAATATTTTTGGCTCCCCTGATTTGCCCCTCCATGGCTTCGTGCCCCGCGCTGGCCATCGGAAAACGCCAAATATGCAACAGCGACATCTAACAATTTTTTTTTATATGTATAGATCGAGATCTGGAAGATCAAGAAGTTAGTCAAGCGCCTCGAGGCCGCCCGAGGAAATGGAACCTCTATGATTTCTCTCGTCATCCGTACGTTTCGCCCGCTGCAGACCGCTTTCGCATTAGCTCGATCGAGAGTTGCTAACTATGACACAGCTCCCAAGGATCAGGTGTCGCGTATCGCTAAGATGTTGGCTGAAGAATACGTATGGAATATACCTCACTGATTGTTCAGATCTATAACACTTTTGAATTCTTTGCTGACAACCCCCGCAGGGCACAGCCTCCAACATCAAGTCTCGTGTCAACCGACAGTCCGTCTTGTCCGCCATCACATCGACCCAGCAGCGTCTCAAGCTGTACAACAAGGTCCCTCCGAACGGCCTGGTCGTGTACTGCGGTGAAATCTTGACCTCGGAAGGAAAGGAGCGAAAGGTCAACATTGACTTTGAGCCATTCAAGCCCATCAACACTTCGCTGTATCTCTGCGACAACAAGTTCCACACCGAAGCCCTCGCTGAGCTGCTCGAGTCCGACCAGAAATTCGGCTTCATCATCATGGACGGTAACGGTGCACTGTTCGGCACGCTTAGTGGCAACACTCGTGAAATTGTGCACAAGTTCTCCGTCGATCTCCCCAAGAAGCACGGCCGTGGTGGTCAGTCCGCTCTGCGTTTCGCTCGTCTTCGTGAGGAAAAGCGTCACAACTACGTCCGCAAGGTTGCTGAGTTGGCTGTGCAAAACTTCATTACTGCTGACAAGGTCAACGTCGCTGGTATTATTCTCGCTGGTTCTGCCGATTTCAAGAATGACCTCAACGCCTCCGACATGTTCGACAACCGTCTGGCCGTCAAGGTTATCAAGGTTGTTGACGTCTCCTACGGTGGTGAAAACGGCTTCAACCAGGCCATTGAGCTGTCCGCTGAAACTCTCGGAAACGTCAAATTCATCCAGGAGAAGAAGCTCATTGGCAAATACTTTGAGGAAATTAGCCAGGATACCGGCAAGGTCTGCTATGGTATCGATGATACTTTGAAGGCGCTGGAGCTTGGTGCTGTTGAAACTCTCATCATCTTTGAGAACCTCGAAATTACCCGCTCAGTTCTCAAGGATAGCGAGGGAACTGAGGTTATTCTGCACACCACCAAGCAGCAGGAGACTGGCAACCGAGAGAAGTTCCTGGACAAGACCACTGGCCAAGAGATGGATGTTGTTTCACAGGAGTCATTCCTTGAATGGATTGCTGAGCACTACAAGGATTTCGGTACCAACCTGGAGTTTGTGTCCGACCGATCAACTGAGGGCAATCAGTTTGTCAAGGGATTCGGTGGTATTGGCGGTATCTTGCGTTACAAGGTCAACTTTGAACAGTTGGCAGACCTCGACGAGGACGATGATGATTATTACGACGGTAAGAAGACCATATTCTTCAACAGCGCAATATTACGATACAAAATGCTAACTCAAATGCACAGATTGACCAACCGATTCCCTCGTGGAGAGCGAGGGGCCTACTCAAGTCAAACCGTCCGCGCACGATGAGAGCGACATGCCCCACGACCCTTCGGGGCCAGGGGATGCCGCGCCGTTGTCATTTGCTCAAAGGAGCTTGATGCGAGGCGCTGGTCGAGTGCCTTCCCAGACGACGCGACCAAGCCCGCTTCGCACAACTATGACGGCTACTTGAGTTTTATCATTTAAAGGAATGAGGGTAAGCCTACACAACAGCTTGTATATATGTAGGCACATACATATATATGCATCGCATTTTCTTTACATGGCCTCAAACTAATTCCAACGACTCTTAGATGTCGTCTGCATAGCTGGAACCGGCGTGATGATGGGATGGAGTAGATGCTAGGAGGCGCCTTCAGACAAAAGGGAATTTTCGTGCTTACGCGTCCTTGTCAAATTATTAGAGAAGAACGCGTGGCATTTTTTCGACTGAAAAGTTGGCATTTCTATTTTGCCTAGAGACCGATTTCGAAATTAGATAGCTCTCATCTGCAGGACAAAAAGCCAGGAATAGAAATTGACGCTCCTTTGTTGTATCGGGTTGCTAGTTTGACATTCAAAGAGGCGTGCACAGGCGTGAGCTACGAACAACTAGGTAGGTATTCTCTAGACACTGCTGGTTACTGAATGCAACTGCATGCACATTTTGTGATGCATCATGCACGCGACTTGACTGCTGCGCCGGTGGTCGGGATAAATGCTGCGTATAAGACTACGTCATCAGTGTAGGCGTAGCGGTGTTATCGATACCGCCGTAGCTGGCGAATCTACATAGCAAACAATAGGTTGTCATTTCGCTGACCCACACCAGGTAATAGCATCCATGCTACTGGGTTGAACCTCCTAACTTGGGGGTAACGCCAAACTATAACTGCCAACGCTGCCTTTGCAAACATCTCAAATCACTGGGAGTTATTTCTGCAGACGCTGCTCTCAATGTCGCACTTGAAGTAGCTTTTGATATTTCCACCGTCACCATGCCAGAAGCCTCCGGCACGACGGCGACCGCGCCGAAACCCGCAGACCGAGCTGTCCCCGTCACTCTCAACGAGGCCGTCCTCGATTCCCCAACATTCCGCGCAACCGCCACTCACTTTGCCGACCAGGTCGATGCCGTCGAAAAGTGGCTCAATGGATATGTCGGCTCGACATCGAAACTCATGAGCGGCCTCCTCTCTCTCGAAGACACCGTCAACAACTACCTCTCCAAGACGACTCCCTTTCCCGACAATGTCATCGACAATGACTACACACTCCTGGCCCTCAAGCGCACTAGCGAAGGCATGCGAGAACTCTGGACGCAATTGCTCAACACGCAAAAGCGAATGGAGACGGCTGTCGTCGAGCCCATTCGGTCGTTTCTTACTGGGGAGCTGCGGAACTTTAAGGAGATAAGGAGAAGCTTAGAGCAGACCCAGAGAACCTATGATACAACTCTCGCCCGTTATGTGTCTCAGTCCAAGACAAAGGAGCCCTCCGCCCTCCGCGAAGATGCCTTCTCCGTATATGAGAATCGAAAGGTGTATATCCAGGCTGCGATGGATTACTGCCAGCTCGCGCCTCAGCTCCGATATTCGCTGGACCAGCTGCTGGTCAAAATCTGCTGTGATATATGGAAGGAGATGAGCCGTGCCAAAGATGCGGCTTCGAGCGCCACCCGATGGGGCCGAGAGCTGGATCGTGTCCGGGGATGGGCGAAAGAGATGGAGCTGTCAGATAATGTCTTCAGACGGGAGATGCAGAATGCAAGAAAGGATATTAGTGACGCGACCTCCGAGACCTTCAAACCTTCTCGCGAATTAGAGGATTACAGCACCTCGACTGTAGCATTCTTAGGGTCGCGCGGACCCGTCAGCGTTCGCCCGAATGATGAGGGCGGCGCTGCTGTTACCGAGAAGCAAGGCTGGCTGTTCTTGCGGATCGTAACAGGCAAGCCCGTCAGATACAACTGGGTTCGGCGGTGGTACTACTGCCGAGATGGCGTATTCGGCTGGCTGACTCCTGGCACGCAAGGTGTTTTGCAAGGAGACGAGATTGGAGTGCTGCTTTGCAACGTCAAGCCGGCCGCCGGCGAGGAGCGACGATTTTGCTTCGAGCTAAAGACAAAGAGCCGGAGCATGCTGATGCAGGCCGAAACGCAAAAGGAACTGACTGACTGGCTGGAAGTTTTTGAGATTTCGAAAAAGAAGGCATTTGAAGCCACCATGGACAGAGATAACAGCCCACTGGCCGGCGGTGTTGACCCGGCATTCTCAATATCTGCCCCTAGCATCCCGGAGTTTTCGGCCAAGGCAATCGATGCGCAGATGGGCTCGTCCGATGACATTGTACCCAGTATAGATCGTATATCTACCTTGGCTGTTCCCGGAGCAGACGATGGTTCATCTACCCGACGGAGTTATGATCCTAATGGGAACGGATCTCGTCGATCCATCTCAGCACTTGGACGGGACTTGGCACGAGAAGAAGGCGAGAGCGGTCGAGAGCACGCGGCAAGGATCATCCAGAAGCTTGATCTTCACCGTAAAGCGACTTTCGGCGCCAGCCCTGAGCCTACGCTGACGACTTCCGGCTCATCAGGAGGTCTGTCCGGCATGGTTTCCGGAAACCAAGGCTCCCAGCTCGTAGGGACTTCTCTATCTTTGACGTCTTCAAGTCAAGCCAAGCTCACAGGTGTTGCGCTTCCACTGCTGGACAGCAAACCTGGTACACTTGCCCCCCCTACTTTGGCTAGGCCTCCAACAATCACGAGTTTCAGCCGCACGGCTGTGCTCATTGCCGGTGAGCGAGGCCATGTCTTGGAAGGCAAGAAACTACCTACATCTGTTCTTGCAAACTATTGGGGGACCAGCATGTGGAACTCAATGCAATCTGAGCCGGCTGCGACGACCCCCCTTGACAACGACGACCCCATTGGCGTTGTTGTATCAGAGGACTCGCAGGCGACGACGCCTCTTGGTGAGGCAGTACAAGCAAAGAAAACTAGCGAGTCTTTACCAGCTGGATACCCCCCTGAACTGAGAATCCAGCACGCCCAGTTTAGGCTTCTGTTCCCCAATGCGCCCCCTGAGGAGAGACTGGTGCTTGTATTCCGAGCGGCCTGGTCGAGCTCGCTGGAGGGTAGTTCCAAGAGCGAGCTGCCTGCTGGCGATGGCAGAATCTATGTGACGGCAGAGAACATGTATTTCTACGGTCAGCAAATGGGCTTGGTAACAGCGTATAGCATCCCCTTGGATATCATCACCGAAGTCACTGCGGCTACTGGCAGAGACTGCGATTTCATTTTCTTACACCTGAGTCAGGATCTCAACGACACGGGATATAAGAGGATAACCATAAAGGTGTTCCTTGACGATCTTCAGCTACTCCATGCGCGTCTTAATCTCTTGGTAGACAATCTGCAAGCGGAAGAACCGCTTGACACTTTGGAAACCATCAAAGCGTTAATCAACATTGATCAACATGAATATGATAAGCCAAGCCCTAGCGCTGAGAGCTGGGAGGAGGTATCATCAAGCACGCCGATGGATAACGGCACAGCATTGGGAAGGCCGGTGGAGCGGACCGCGGGCGACATTCCTCGCTTGATAGCTCCTACCTCTGGGCAAAAAGTCCCACTGAAGCTGAATTTGCCCAAACACGAAGTCATCTACGAACCGGATGATATGACGTCGATGGCAGCCGAGAGGCATTTTGACCTTAGTGCAAAGGCATGCTTCCACGTTCTGTTTGGAGACAAGAGCTTTGTGTTTCCAAAATTGTACTTTGAGCATCGCGCAAAGCAGATTGCCCAGGGCCCATGGTCAGCTGCAGTCGACAAAGAACCATCGAAGCGTGAGTTTCAGTTTAAGATTGACTACGTCGACGTCTTTGGTCGGTCGAAGACGGAGGATATACGGGATTTCCAAACAATTGATGTCTTTAACGATCATGTCACATACGTGGTTACGCATACGAGAACGGCGTGGCATCTCCCTCATTCCCAGCTCTTCAAGTTGGTGACCAAGGTCGTCATCACGTATGTTGCCAAGTCAAAATGCAAGCTGACATTTTACGTGCGCGTCGACTGGTCAAAGTCACCGCCGATATCCAAGAGTTTGGTGGAGCGCCAGGCCCTCCGTGATGCGGCTAGCGATGCCGAAGAGCTCGCCGAAATAGCTACTGACCAGATTCACAAGCTGGGCTCAAGAAGTCGCACTCATAAGGCTATCCAAGTATACGGCCAAGTAGGCCAGCAAACCCAGGTAGTAGTCTTTTCGCCAGCACCTACCGACGCAAGGAAGAAGCAGGCCATCAAGCCTCGCACGCTTACGGCCATGCTGTTCGAGACGCTCAGGTCTCTTGGCGAAAGCGTGGTCTCCTCCGTGATTTTGTGGATCATTGCAGCGTTGAAAAAGATATTCGACGTTGTAACCGCGCATCGGCTCCTCTTGTTAGTCCTGGGGCTGAGCATGGCTACCAACTTGATGCTATCTTCCACGGAATCATTGACTTGGTGGCAGGAACGGAGAGCGGCAAACTTTATGCGCCGAGTTGGCGTGTCGCCGAACCACATGATGAGCAAGGCGATCTATATTGCTGACTTGCATGAGGCGTCTGGCGCCAGCGATGATGAGTTGTCCTCCTTTCCACAAAACAGCACGTGCTTCGGCACCTTCAGAGAAGTCTTGGACACCACGAGTATGGATTCTCCGTGGGAGACCGCGGGAGCTTCGCTGTCATTGCCATCAAGTCGAGCCACGGCTCGTCGGCTGCGGAAGACACGACAGAGGCTGGGGATGTACCGGCATGATTTGCTGGTTGCAATGAGGGTCGTCAACAGCGTTGAGCGGGAGTTGCTGCAATCAGAATGGGAAAACTGGCTGGACAACGAGAACTCCCTCTGCGATAACCTCGAGGAGATGTTACATGATAACGGCCGCAGAAGCAACGGCAAAGACCACGCAAGTGATGGATCATCACAGAAGCCTATGGACGCCATACCGCCGGAACGGAAGAGAGCTTTGGAGGCGTGGCGGGATGACTACTGCGGAAGTTGTCGGAGGGACCATGCGTCTGCGATGCAGGCGAGAAGGCTGACCAACCTGTAGCGGCCATACTCTGTAAGGGACGCTGATGGATATTATTTCTGCATGGATTGGATGTGCTTTAACAATGTTGTTTAAGAGCAAGCGAAACTGTTTTGGCTAGCTGGGCGCGTGGGTTGAATTGTTTGTTTTTGTTGTAGTCGTTTTTTGTGTTGCTTATGTACTTGGTTTGTTTTACTTGGAAGAGATACCAGACATTTCATCCTTCGTTTTCGTTCTCCGTCTGACTCATTCGTTTTAACCCTGTCTTGTTTTCACTTTTGAAATTCTCTATACATGGATAGCAAGGGCATATAAGCATATACATATATATATATATATACACGTATAAAACCGGTGCCTGGATCGGACTTTGAAACTCTGAATTCAATCGAATGCGAATGCGAACGAGAACGAGGCTATCAACTACCAACTCCCGCTGTAAGAAATGGAGTCCGGAGCAGCCGGTCCCTGGGAGTCGGTGGAGTCGAAAGTGCGAGCTCCGTCTTTTGCCACGGCAGAGCCACGATCACCGGCGTGATTCTAAGCCGGCTAGCCGTTGCGGATCAATTGATTGCTGGAGAAGCTCAACTGCTGTCTATGTAACATGTGCAGATCCTGGTAGGACAGGTATATAAATCGCCAAATTTTATATAATCAGCGACTGCTGTGCCCCAATTGGCTGCCAATCAATACGTGTTGCACCGACAGCGTTTCTGCATGACTGCTCGATTACGGCATCCATTTCTACAGCAAGATCGGGCTTCTGGTACCAGGGGTGGCCCCTCGGTGACGTCAAGATTCAGCTTCCGCGGCAATAGGCGCAGCACGAACAGCGCATTTCAGTAGTATACGCCGTATAGAGAGGCACTATTGAGCTCAAAAAAAGGGCCCTGGACCTCGCTATTGCCTGCTGTAAGCTTCGTGTCGCTGGCTTTTTAGCGGACGTTCCACAGGCTTCCCTCGGCGCGATCAGGCCGGTTTGACGCCTCCCTCGGGCGACATGCCACAGCCTGCAGACGGCGCACACGAGTTCTAGTCCCTAGTGCTTGCTCTTATATTCCCTTCCCTTTTATCACGTCTTCCAACCAATCTGACCTGTATCTGCCTGTTTCTTCTGTGCTGTTAATCTAGACGAGGGCTGCAAAGACGTGATTTTGCGTGCGATTCAATTTGTTTCATACTGCTCTTTTGCTGTTTCCGCGCCCCTCCTTGCAACGAGCGAACCTCCATTCTACACCAGCCATGGTGGCCCATCACGAGCCACTGCGGGCAATGGGGCCGATCGAGTGGGACGACGTCCCCGTTGGCAACCTCAAGCCGTTCATGGACGAGGTCTTCATCGATGCCCAGACCGTCGCCGAGTCCGTCCCGTCGCCAACGACGGCCACGGCAATCGGAGCGGCGGCGACGGCAACGGGCGCCGTGTTCGAACAGGCCGAGAAGGCGTATTCGCAGCGGGAGGCGGGATCCTCGCTTGCCATGGCCCAGAAGCTGCGCAAGGAATGGAAGGAAATCAAGATGACCCAGAACAACCCGTTGAATATCAGCGTCTACAAGCTTGGGGCCAAAGACGGCAGGGGAGCGTGGTTTGCGCGGAGGAGCGTCCACCATGGCTTGACGTTTGAGGAGTGGAAGAAGGGCATGGAGATGGAGTTTCCCGAGACGCTCAAAGTACAGGGCTCGCCGGGCAGTGGTAATATTCGAGGCGTCGGCGCGGATAGGCAAGTCGAGAGCCAAGAGGTCGAGAACTCGGGACACATGAGTGGTAATTATCATCCGAGATGCCTTGTATAAGTGAGCTTGACCGATGCTAACTCATCTGTCTCCATAGTTTTCCAGCTCTCGGCTCAATTCCCAGGACCCACGGCCCCGAGAGACTTCATCACGCTACTACTTACGACCGACTTTGAATACAAGCCGGCGGACCAGGAGAAACCTTTACGGCAACATGTCATTGTATCGAAACCATGCAACCATGCAGAGTGCCCTCCACGAACGGGAATAATCCGCGGCTCCTACGAATCCGTCGAAATCGTCAGGGAGGTGCTTGTTGAGAACGGCCTTGCATCAAAGATATCATTATTGTCATCAGACCCAGGCTCTGAGGAGGTTCGAAGCTCTAGCTCGGACTCACGGGAGCATCAGTCCGTGGCTATTGAATGGCTCATGGTCACGCGAAGCGACCCTGGCGGCAGTGTGCCGCGCTTCATGGTGGAAAAGGGCACTCCGCCCGGAATTGTTGGAGATGCCGGGAAGTTTGTCAAATGGATAACAGCAATATCACTGCTTAGCTCCAAAAGTGGCGAAAGCCTCCCCGAAGCAGTGAGCCCGACAAAGCGAGGCGAGGAAGATGCAACGCTTCTTGAAAATGGGAGCCCCCAATTACCACCCAGGCATAAACCGAAACCCAGTGTCGATTCCAAGAAACGAGAAGAAATAGAAGCTGCGAGAAGAGAATCGGTGCAAAGCATTCCTAGTAGCAATGGCATCTACGGCATCATAAGCGGAGTGTTTGAAGCCGCATCATCCGTCGTCGCCAGTGGACTGCGAGGTACGCTAGGAAGTCCGGCCGAGAGCAATACTAGCCTTGACGACCTGGAATCCAGAGCTGCAGAAGAGCACGAAACGGATGCCGATGTGACAGATCTGAGCGAGACGTCTTCCATCAGAACATTTAGATCAGCTCTCGAAAGAAGCATGACTGAAGAAAATCGATCCAAGAGCGTGGCAGGCAGCCACAATTCCGATGAGTCCAAAACCCAAGGGAAACAGTTACTAGAAAAAGAACTGAGGAAGCTCCAGGAGAAGCGGCGAAAGCTAGATGAAAAAGCCGCCCACATGCAACAGCGCTTGGAAAAGAAACACCGCGGCGGCAAGGAAAAGGACGAAACGGCAATCGCCAAGATGCGCGAGAAGCACGAAAAGGAGATTGCCAAGCAGGAAGCCAAATACAGGCGGGAGCTGCAAAAACTAGAAGACAAGCGTGTGCACGAGGAGCGCAAGGCAGAAGCCCGCAGGCGCAAGGCGATTGAGCGGGAGGAGAAGATGAACCTGACGATGGAGCTGGAGAAGACTAGAGCGGAGAGAGACGTTGCGCTGAAGGAGGTTGAGATTCTCCAGTCGCAGGTCGGGCAGCTTCAGGCGCAGAACACCATGTTGACGGCCAAGATGGGACGGTTGAGTGGGCTTGAAGGGGCTACTGCTTCGTCTTCCAGGGGTTCGGGGATAGAGAGCATCAAGGGGTGATGGCTGTCAAACAAGAGAGGCATAAAACGCTTTAAAGGGGGTGTCATGTTATCTTTTCTTTTCTTTTCTTTTTCCAAGATTCACATGTCTTTTTTTTTTAAAAGTCAGAAATAGGGGAACATGGAGCATTCGGGCGCATGCATCAATAGCGAGTTTTGATCAGCATTGACAATTTTCCTTTTCTTCTTCTTTATTACTGTCACAGATAAAGGGGTTTATCTACCTAGGTTATGGGAATAGTATATGTCTTTTTTTCCTTCCGTCGTATTTCTTTTATACTATTCATTCATGATTTTTTCTTATAATTCTATTCTATTCTATATTCTTCAATAGCTCGCCCAGCGGTTCCATGAGTAATTTCGAAACGTGATGATGATTCGGCGACTTCAGTAACTCTTTGAATTGTGCCACGGTTTGGCGTAATTTCGGGCTTCCGTGCATTTCGCTCAATACCACAGAACCACGGACAATGGATGTACAGATAGCAAAGACAGATGGGTTTGAAGCCCAGCCCAAAGGACCGTCTTCCTGCTCTAGGAGTTGCTGCATTTGTGCTAGACCATCCAGAAGCCATTCATCCAGCTTGCGGAGTATCTCGCCATCGTCCGATTTTCCTTCATTCCACTTGAGATTCCTGAAGACGGTAGCCCATCGGTTGGCTTCGCGAACCTCGTCAATGAAGAGATTCTGCTCTTCGACTGCGAACAGAGAGTCGTCTGACCTGAGAGCAGCAGCCAGGTGAGCACTGGGTGAAGTCCACGCCTGGTCGTGACGATATCCAGCGACGCGGCTTGCGGTAATAGCTTTCAGATCAGCACTGGTGCTGAAATGTTGGATGAGCCACTGAAGGAGACGGCTAGATGCTTCGAGGGGTACTAGATTCTGTCCAAGAATGCTCTTTGCTGCGGCAGACCCTGCTTCTCGCACTTCGTCGTCGTCGTCGTTCAAGGTATCGTATAGCACAATGATTGCAGGGAGATATTCTTCGCGGGCGGAAGATGCTCCGGAGACGCTGAAAAATGAGCACAGAGACTGAGCAGCCGCGAAGCGCGTATCGAAGCTCTATAGATTAATCTGTTTAGTATATCGAAAACGTATGACAAGAAGAAAGAAGACGGCCTGAACTATCACTAACCTTGTCGTCTGAGCCTGCATCAGCCATCATGGCGCCCCAATTCCGGAACGCCGTAGCCGGAAGGCGTTGATGGTGGTTCACGATGGCTACTAAACAGCCGCTGGCTCTCACAATCGCATTGGAGAGAGAGGGATTCAGTGAGCGCTGTGGTAGAATGTTCCACAAATTCATGAGAGAGGATACGGGCAAGGAGTCGAGCTTGTCTTCCGCAATGAGCTGGTTCATCAATTCTACCAAATTCTCAATTGCTACCACTTGAGGTTCCGTAAAGTTGGTTCCGAGGCAAATATCGATGTAGAGATCACACAGGGCAATTCGGATTTCGCTTGGAGTCGAGGTGGAATGCCACAGTCTTGGTATTGATTCCAGAGCAGTAGCCATGGTATCGGCGCCGAGGCGGCTCTCGAATAATACACTCCTTACTTGTTGAACAGGCTCCTCCTTGTCTTGGGAAGAGGAAAGTATTTTGCTTATAGCACTCTGAGCTTTGAGCAGCGCAGACCCTTGCTTCGTTGGTATCATGACGCTAGATGGCTGTAAGGACTGAGCTCTGGAGATTTGGGATATCCATATCATGTTGACGACTTCTAGGTACGCGGAAATGATGTCTGGGCAATTAACGTATAGACTGTCAATGTGGCTTGTTTCGAGGAATGCCGTCAGTTCAGGTAGATCAGCTAGAAATTTGTCAGTAAATACAATGGATATGATTTGATTTTCTGTTGAACTTTATATATACCCATAAGGCGATCCAGCGCCACCTCATTGAATCTTTCAATGAGGAATTTGAGGGAGAGCAAAACACCGTGTACATGGTTTTGGCTATTGGTAGTTTTGTCATTCAACGCCTTGCGAAGCAAATCTTGGACGACACTAAGCCATTTGTCGTGTAATAGACAAGAGCAGAGAGTCCTGGCAGCTATCTCACGGACATGCCATACAGGGCTCGAGAGATAGGCGGCAACATAAATCTGGATCTCATCTCGCAGTAGATCGGGCGGTCCTGCTCGACGAATAATGTCCAAGGCCGGAAAGACAGATTCGGCAGACGAGGTTGCATTTGCTGAAGTCACCATTGTATGACCCGATTTAAGGAGACTTGCGAGTACTGTCGGAAGGGTAGGATAGCGGTGGTAGGGGATTCGGTTGGCCTTTCCGTCCCAGCCAGCTTCAATCATCGCTTTGCTCTCCTGAGAGCCAAAGAGACTGTCGATTAAGCTGCGAAGAAAGATCAAGCCACAGTTACGGATGGCCCAAATCTCTGACCGGAGCCCGCTAGCAGCCAGCTCGAGACACTGGGGAAGATACTTTTCAGATTTGTTGCCCATGGATGTGAGCAGCGAATTTTTGAAAATATCTTTGAGACAGTTATAGGCGTGAACTTGCGGCAGATTGGATCCGTCTGTCTCTACCACATGCGCCTCGATACTAGCAATTTCGATGAGTTTGGCCATGGCATCTTCAAATGATGGGCTAGCTGCATTCGCAGATAGAATTCCCGTCATCATGGACGGTATACCAGCAGATCGTCGAGTAGTGGATCTCTGGCTAAAGATTTCCTTCAAGGTGCCCTTCAAGGTTGAATGTTAATAAAGCTGCTCTGTAAAGAGAGTTGTTGATAGGACATTTTGACATCTTACCTGGTACCAACCCTCCAGCAGAGATACTTCGCCCTCAAAGGAACTAAAATGTTTAGTCAACTGGCAGCACGTCGCAAATGTCGCAGCAACTGTGGTGAATGCGCCGCGATGCCTTAGGTTGGCCAGCTGCGTAAATGATAAATTTCCAATGGCCTCAAAGGCTTTTCGCGTTGGAGTCAGGAGCCCCTCTCGGGATTGATTTCTCATACTCTGCACAATCGTCCGCATAAGATTACTGGAATTTGGTCAGCGAAAGCATATATAAAATAGTCACCACACGTAAGAAACTTGCCTTGACTCATGGACAGCACGGAAACTATAGCTCAAAAGACCCTTTGTGTCGAGGCCTTCCATGTCTTCCATCTCTTCAGGCAGATGACCTTCAGGAGAGTCATCGCAAAGAACATCGCGCACAGCTCTCCACACTCGCTCACAGCAAAAAATCATCCTCTCCTGCAGTACAATAGCAGCGTCTGCCTCAGACTGCGACAGTTTCTTTTCAGAAACAGCCTGCCAGGTGAAGCCCAGTGCTGCAAACGTACTGTGTAGTGGCTGATCTAGAACAGCTTGCCCCAAGTCTGACTCTGCTCTTGAAATCTTTTGGTGTAGTGTATCGACAAGCTTTGAAAGAAGTCCTAGTCGCTCATCTTCAGTGTCTAAAAATTTGTATACTAGCTGTGAGGCTCTGGCGACACCATCAGAGTGATCAGCTCTAGCAGTCCGAACTGACACCTTTTCAGCTCGGTGTAAAAGCTCCTGAAGTTCCTTTGAAGGTTTTTGCTCTGACCCTGCAGAGTTAAGAGTAAAATTTTGATATCTTTTATCAGCATAAGCCTGGGCCATCGCTAACGAGGCAATCTCCCGGACATCGTCGAAGGGATCCATTACTAGATCTGCGAGCACTCGAGCCCACTTCCCATCGAAATGGTCGAAGAATAGTTGCTGGTCATCCGCTGTCTCCCAAGTCTTAGATCGTTCTCCTTCCATACGGAATATCGATATCAAGCTCTTGAGAGATGTAATATGTCGCTGATAAGAAGCAGTAGGTGATAATTCGGCACATAGAAATCTCAAATACCAGTGAAGGAATTTCTCATGGTAGTCCAGGCAAGATACCAACTCAGACTCTGACCATGAAAGTATGTTAGTGCGATACAATGCTGGCTGGCTGGCTGAATCTTTCGAGGCATTTTTTCTGGCCTTTGCCCTTGCTCGCGGAATGCTCTTGTTCAATACCGAGATTGCGCCACGAACTCTTTTGAACATGTCCCTTGATCGAGCACATACATCTACTCGGAACTTTGCATCTGGATCGGCAAAGAATGTGGCTAGATGTCTTTTGAGGAGGTCCAAAGTGGTAGCCGAGTATGGTCGTGTTGTCGACGGGGAGCTAATGAGAAGACTGAGTGCTGATGTCCGAACCTCGTGGGAGGGATGCGTCAGAACGCTCTCAAGGGCGTTTTCTTGCAGAGTGATGGATGAATTGTCCTCGACTGACTGGTCGCTGCCAATATCTAGCCCTCGTTAGTATTCAAATCTTAGTGAAACCAGGGTCAAATTCTTTACATGGTTCTTCAACAAGCCCAACTTTCTTTCCCATTTCCAAAGCAGCCAGAGTGAGGAGCGCACTTGCGCCAAAATCATCAGAACCAGCTGTGATAGCAGAGCCGGACTCATTCCGGTTCACATGCTGCAGAAACTTCAGACTCTCCGGTCTATCGGCCTTGAAGAGGGGAGAGAATATGTAATTTTTGAAGTTCTCCAATAGAGTCGGTTCTTCAGACAGAAAGTCGAGCAGCCACTTATGCCATGTATCTATACCCAAGCCTGTGGAGTCTTCATGGCCCCTTTGTCTTAGAGCACGGAACAGGCTTACTATGAACTTGCCAGCTGCAGGGCAAATAAAGTGTAACCGAGTCCATTGTAGCAGCTCTGTCGTGAAGACCCTCCATATCTCAATATCCGTAGCATTGGCTAATTCTTCATGATATGAGAGATGAGTTGCTTTGACGTCATCCAAGGTGAAAACTCCTTTGAGTAGGAAGTAGTCAAGAGTCTTGAGCGCTGACTTGGCCACAGGTTTAGTAGAACGGCCGATTACGATGGAGACAAGATTCTCCAGGAGGGAATTTCGTATGTGCAGAGCCGCTTCCTTATCAGGATTTCTCCGGAGAAGCTGCGCTATCAAGTCTAGAACAAGCCTCATGGATCGATGATGATCAAACTCATTCCAATCAATGTAGAAGTCGTACAGCCGAAAAGCTACATCCCGAGAAAAGGCCCAAGGCTGGAGCGCCTGTGACTCAGATTTGGAAGCCCTCTCCACAAAGCCGCAAAGCCTCACACAGGCGTTGCCTGAGACGGATCTGGGTTGAGCGGCTTCCCCAAGAATGGTATCGAAGATGTTTTGGGCATAACTACATACAGGCTTAGCAAAGCTACATAAAATCTTTGAGGCAGTTTTCCGGCCAAATCGCACCTCTGTTGGCTTTCCACATCCTGGTCTTCAAGCCACTTCAAAACAGGATTCGGGTTACCGAGCAGATCAACATGCTCAGGAATAAGTAGACTCGGCATAATAGGCGAAATTTTGGCCCGTTGAGTCACACCGGATGGATGAAAACGTTATCAAGGAGGTATCGGTGCTTTTCAGTGTATGGGGACCATTTCAAAACGCCAATTCTGCCCTTTTTCGTCCTTTTTGCCTTGATTCAGCCTCTATAAAGCTCGTCTATAAAGTTTCCCATGAGTCAAAATAGGAAGTTTAAAATAGCACGTGACAGCGCACGTGAGAAAATTTTGCCCTGCGCACCAAAAGCGCACGAAACCCCACATGCGCTCCTCGACCCACACTGCTAGATAAAAATCATCGAGCCCCCCCCCCCATACTTGTCGGTTTTACGAATCTCAACCAACCACCCCGTCCTGATCACCATTAGATACGTTTGATTCTATTGGGAGACTGTCAAAATGTCTAAGATCTCAGTCGGTACGTCTTACATCACGAAGCGGGTCATCTATTCCTGTCGACCAGGATAAATGCACTTCGCCGAGACTCAAACGCCTTTTTTTCTTTCTTTTTTCACGGTGCTAACGATCACACGCAGCCAACGTCCGGACGCAAGTCGGAGAGCTCCTTGAGTACTCCAACGAGACCAAGAAGCGCAACTTCCTCGAGACCGTCGAGCTCCAGATCGGCCTCAAGAACTATGACCCCCAGCGTGACAAGCGTTTCTCCGGCACCATCCGCCTGCCTTCCATCCCCCGCCCCAACATGGCCATCTGCATCCTCGGTGACCAGCACGATCTCGATCGTGCCAAGCACGGCGGTGTCGACGCCATGTCTGCCGATGACTTGAAGAAGCTCAACAAGAACAAGAAGCTCATCAAGAAGCTTGCTCGCAAGTACGATGCCTTCATTGCTTCCGATGCTCTCATCAAGCAGATCCCCCGTCTCCTGGGTCCTGGTCTCTCCAAGGGTAAGCAGTTTATATCCTTCAAGCACACATCATTATATGCCGACGCCAATACTAATATTCTTTCACCTACAGCCGGAAAGTTCCCTACTCCCGTCTCCCACGCTGATGACCTGACTGGCAAGATCAACGAGGTCAAGTCCACCATCAAGTTCCAGCTCAAGAAGGTTCTCTGCATGGGTGTCGCCGTCGGCAACGTCGGTATGGAGCAGGAGCAGCTTGTTGGCAACATCATGCTTGCCATCAACTACCTGGTCTCTCTCTTGAAGAAGGGCTGGCAGAACGTTGGAAGCCTTACCATCAAGGCTTCCATGTCTCCTCCCAAGCGCCTCTACTAAATTGGTCACGGGCTTTTTATACTCTTGTTTCGAGGTGTCAAACTATAACTATGTACGCCTTTAGGGATAGCATAGCTTAAAATCTCAAACAACGAATTTTTAGCCATCTTACATTGCCTCGATAACTCGTAGCTGTAATATGTGATTATGCTACGTAACGTCCTATCGAAAATGCCTAGCACATGTAGATAATTCAAGCTTAAAAGCATTCAACAGCTGGATATTCAACTTTTTACTTTATTCATGTATGTCTATAAAATTTTAAAAGATGCTGGGCTTTATAAACCGCAGCTTTTCGTTACACGCCACGCGACGAGCCCCCGACGACCAATGACTCGGGAGAGAGTATTCCAGACCCCGTCATCTCCAAAATCCATATCGTCCAAATTGAGATGGTTCCTATACCGCCAAACCTCCCGAAATCTCAGCCCCTCTAAGCCCTTGTTGGAGAGATATGGGTCCAACCAAGTGGCCGACGCTGGCGCGATCAAATAAGCTCCATTCTTCTCTTTCAAATACTCCTGACTGCGCCGGTCTGCAGGAGTATCGCATGTAGCCATCTCAGCTAGTTGTTCCAGCAGCGCTTCACCCTTGATTCCCATGACATCCTTGGTAGTCAAAACTTCATTTTTGCCGTTGAGAAGCCAGATAGGGGGAGGATATGTCTTCCACCAGATGACATTTGTGGCGTCGGGCTGTTTGCTCATAAATACCTGTCCAGGAACAATACCGCCTTGGTGATAAATCCCCATGAGCACGCCAAGGAAGACATTGAATATAATCCAAGATGCTGTCCAGATTCGATTAGTTGTTGGGTTCTTCGGCAGTTGTAAGGATGATAAGATAAGTGGTACAGCTGGCAAAAGGAATCGTGCTTCTTGATGTTTAATTAAAGATAGAACGACAATTCCAGAAATGGCCGAGCACAGTCTCAAAGACACATAAGGCCGAAAGAATATTAAGACGAATGCCGGTCCAATAAGCTGCGGTAAATTGGCGAGGATATGTTGATACCAAGGGTGTAGACCGTGCAGTGCCAGATTTTCGGTGGAAGAATTATATATGAGGTTGTTAAGAGGCGTAATAACGGGATTCGTGATTAGATCAGTCCAAGTAATGGGCTCCGGCGTGTAAAAAGCAGTATCAATCGCAATAGCGATGAAAGCAGTAGCAAGGGCGGCCAGAACCAAAGCGACCACCGTAAAAGGTCTGTCATAGTCAGCGTTTGACTCTAATGCTCAAAGGTACGGTGACTGACTTGTGCCAAAAATGAGGCAGTAACCAAAATCCAGGCAGTATCAAAAACGCCGGAAAGGTAACACGGTTGAAGAAGCCAAAGACGACAACCACTCCCAAAACAATAGACGATAGTATGGATGACTGTTATCAAGGAGCGTTAGCATGAGATTTGCAAGATGTTTACACATAATAAAGCAGCAATAGACTCACTTGCGGAGCAGTGATGCGTTTTATCAAGACCAAGCTCCACAAGACCGTCAATGTCTCGACTGAGTTGGAAAAGGTGTGTGTTTGAAAAGTCCAAGTCACATAAGACGATGCAACAAGAAGAAGAGCATTACGGCGCTGGCGTGCCCTGTGGACTGATTCATCGAGGTTGATTAACTCGTCAAGGGCCCAGTCTTCAAGCACAAAGCTTGTCAAGAACATCAAGAACCTCAGCGTCCAGAAGACAACAACAGGGGGAATGTCGCCATCTTGGCCATTTCCAACCCAAAGCCAACGCAGCAAAAGCATAGGAAGCCCATAGACGGGCCAGAGAGGGAAGACACTCCGAATCGGATTCTCGCTAGTGAATTCCCATGTATGCCGAACAGGGTAACTAAAGATCTGGCCTAGATGGAGCAGACATCCGGTTAGCCATTATTAAGAGCAGCTACTAATAAATCGATTCATAGCTAATTTAACCAGCAACCAGCCTCGAAGGCAGCGAACAAATAAGATCTTAAGATATTACACAGCACCCGAATACATACCGGCAATCACTTCCGGCCCCTGGAAGTTCTCATCGGGGTGGAGGTAGCTGGGCGACAGAGCGAACCAGAGCCTGATGAGAACTAGGAGAAGATATGTGCGCCGCCACATCTTACTTTGGCTGACAGCTTAGAAGATCGTGTAGGTGGAGCAAGCATGAGAGTTAGGAAAAGCTGATACCGATGAAGAAACATGAGCAAGTCGGATAAGCGCTGATAAAACGTCTTTGTGCGCACGCAGCCTGGCCGTGCTGAGAGAACAAAGAAGAAAGAAGAAAAAGGATAGCTGGCAATTACGAGTAGTGCGGTAGTGCTACCATGATAAGGGGGGAAAAGTCAACAGAAAAAGCTCTAGGCTGTCGTGAATTAGGAACAACGGAGGTATTTGCTGAGATAACGCTGCGAAAGCAAAGGCAGCGCCGGATAAAGCGATACGGCGAGTTGTATAAAGCAGCGAGGACGACGAGGCTTAGGATGCGCCGAAAAGGAAAGACAAAGGAAGAGAAAAAGCGAAGCAAAATTCGATTCAACGCGTGGAAGAATCCAGGGACGCGCCAAAAGGCTAGAACAGGTGGCCAGGCTTGAGGCTGATGACCTGCTGGCACCTGAGACCTGAGACCTGAAGGGTGTGCCTGACATGGAAAACAAAAAAAAAAAATAAGGGGCATGACCTCATCTTGTCCTTGCCGTGGCTTTGGTAAGCATTTTTGGTGCTTTGGTGCTTGGGAATTCCGGCAGCTTCAGGCTTAGCCACGGGCGCCTAAAGCGTTTCAGCGACGGGAGCTGTCAATGCAGTAATAACGGCATGAAAGACGGAACAAACGAATTCTTCTTTCCACCCTTCTTTTTTTGTTCCATGTGGTATGCCTGGTCATCTTTCACAATCAAAATAGAAGAAGCTATTTCTTACACATGCATCCATCCATCTATCTACAAAAGAAGTGCGTGAAAGGACAAACGCAAGACAGGCCTATTCCAGCTGCTACCTAAGGGCAGTGCCGTAGGGCTGGGGCACTTACCTAGGTAGGTATATGAACGAGCAATAGCACCAGTATTTATATACAGCTTAGAGAATCACCAGCCAAGCGGACTGTCTCTCATCAAGCTATTCAACGTAAACTTCTAGTAGAATGCCTGTAGCATTGAAAATTCTGTAATTGTCCGTTGGCTCTATGGAGGCCTATACCAGGACCGTGCACAAGGGACTGATCCTTCAGCGAAGGCTCCAATAGCGTGCACGATGATATCCCAATGTCAGGCTGAAAGCGACCCGCAAGAGTAGATAAAAGACTCTCATGGGAAGCAACAGACTTTACAAGAAAAGCCCAAAGTATAAAAAAAAGAATTATTCTTAAACTCGCATTGCTTTGTTACTCATTTGGCGCACCTTTTGATCAACTTAAAAGAGTCACTTCTTTGATGCTTGACTTTAGCCACTCGGTCGTTAAGCTTTGGGTGGCGGTACGTACTGCTCTCCACCAGCGGAACCCCGCAGAACTCAAGGGACCGCCTGCCTGCCTTACTGCCTATCGCTGCCGTCCGTGCCTAGCAGCCGATATTTCAACCTTCAGCTCCCGCACTCCCAGCCGCGTTTCTCGCATCTCCATCATCATCCGCTCTCCGTCTCGCTCAAACGCCCTGTGCTACATCGCAGCATCCATCTCCCTCGCCTATATCGTTCTGCTACATCTATAAGCGCTTCTCAAAGCACCCGACTAGCACAATGGCAGAGGCAAAGCCCGCGTCCCAGAAGATCTGGCTGATCTCCAATGACAACGCCACCATGGAAGTCGGTAAGCTCATCCTCGCTGGTCCATCGCCCTCTCTTTGCCGACGGTTTGATACTGACTGCCAACCCTAGACCGTGTCGTGGTCGAACGCTCCATGCTTTTGAAGAACATGTTGGAGGATTTGAGCCATACCGACATCACCCAGGACAACCCTATTCCCATCCCCAATGTAGGCCACTTCCCATCGCATCTTTGATGCTCTTTCTAGAACACAGCTGACAAGGACTCGGCAGGTCAATGAAGCAGTCCTGCGAAAGGTCGTTGAGTGGTGCGAGCACCACCGCAACGATCCCGTCACGACTCCCGATGACGAGTCGGATGCCCGCAAGAAGACGACCGATATCGAGGAGTGGGACCAGAAGTTCATGCAGGTGGATCAAGAAATGCTCTTTGAGATTATTCTTGTACGTTTATATGATGACTACCCCAACTCGAATATGCCCAGGAACCCCAGCTAACCGTAAGCCTAGGCATCCAATTTCCTTGATATCAAGCCTCTTCTCGACGTCGGCTGCAAGACTGTAGCCAACATGATCAAGGGCAAGTCTCCCGAGGAGATCCGCAAGACTTTCAACATTACAAACGATTTCTCCGCCGAAGAGGAAGAGCAGATCCGTCGTGAGAACGAATGGGCTGAGGACCGATAAATTTTGGTCGTTGTGGCTCTTTGTGCTTCTTGAATCTTTATTTTTGCTGGAGGAGAGCAACAATACGAGCCTAACTGTTTCTGGGGCTGTTTCATAGAGCAACCAACGGCGTTGGTGGGATTGAAATGATAGGGCTATTGGTTTCTTTTATCCTCTCCTTTTAGGCTCTTTTCTTTTTTTTTTTTAACTGGTATCTGTTTTTGGGGCAATGTTTTCGGGGCACGACAGACTGGCAACAGTCGATCCATTTTCATGAGCTGGGGACTTGTCCCATGTGTTTACACATGCGTTAGATATCAATTTCTAACATACATCGGAATGACTGTTTTAACAAACCTGCTCTAGAGTATGGGAAAAGCTTAGTATGAACGTGACAGCCTTTGGGATTCTCATACTTAACTCTCGTGGGACCTTCTGTGCTCATACCCAGTAGTAAGAAGGCTGGGAGTAACGACAATCAAATGTTGCTGAGGCCTTATCCTACCCAGGTAATTTCGAGATACGCATGTGGTGACTAGTGATTCTTATCTGGGCGATGCGTCTAAAGTCCAAACAACCGACCGGAAAATAATGATTGGAAATGGCGGAGCATGTTTTCATCACTGTCCAGGAAAAACATCTGGTTCATGGAGTCTTCCTTCACATAGAGAGTAGCAGCACAGGCACCATGCTCAGGAAAAAAAAGACATTTGAGACTTGGGGTAAAACAAGCAAAATGGACATCAAAAAATAAAGGTTCATTTCCTTTCCCTATGACCGACCGTGACATGAAGCAATATCAAGAATCAAAAATCCAGGCAACCGTGCCCAATATTCCGTGCGTCCGCATCCTCCTTCCCACACGCCCTAAAGACGACAAAGAGATTCTGCTTTTTGCGCCATCCACCACTGTTTTAACTTGTCATTGAGAAATGCCAAAGAAGCCGGATGTCGGTACCGTCGGTACAAGTGGGTCGAGGAATGCCAGGTGATTTTGTGTTTTGACGTCGCTTAGATTCCGAGGCGAGTCTTTCTCCAGTGCCTTCTCTTGGCGTTGTAGCTGTACGATGAAAATGTTAGTATGAAAGTTGGTCAAAATTTGGGTAAAGTGTTTGTTCAGGAAGAGAATGTGTGAAGAAATCGGTGGTCGGAGAGAGGTGAGCGGGCGATGTATTTGAACAGGAAAATTCGGTAGTGTTCGAGAGATTGTAACAATGGAACTTCGAGAGCAGAGGATTTTCTCGTCCATGGGGGAGTTTGCACGCACCGGATTGTGTTGCCAGTGCGAAGGCGAATCCATTGCGGAACCGGGCGGTTCTGCTTCTGGGCCTTGGCCAGCTTCTGCTTGGTTCGGAAAGTCTTGTGGCTCTATATAATCAACTGCACGTCAGCGGTCTGGTCGTTTCTCAGAAAATATCGATTCCCATCTTGCGTCTTTCGTCTTTCCCGCCTGCAGTCAAGAGTTTGAACACCACCACAAAAAAAAGGGTGGTCTTCCACCGCCCAAAACTGCCAGGCCAAAATCTAGAAATCGCTTCTCTCGGGAAAAGACTCTTCTCTCCATAACAACGAGCAGGAAGGGGGCGCTGCATACCGGCATCTTGTTGACCTTGCGTATCGAGTCTGGTGATGATGACGATTTTCGTTGATAGTTGAGAACGATTGTAGATTTTGCGACCCGCATCCGAGGGCGTAAAGCCCTAGCGGAGAAGAAGGAAAAAATGGTGGGTTTGTGGCTGGTGCGGCAGGTGGCGCAGGCGAATCTTTTTTCCTGAGGCAGAATTTCTAGCGAGGAAACTGTGGGGATGCTACCTAATGCGGCCTGCAGCGAATGGACAAAATAAGCTGGTCATAGCGCATCATCTGATGAGCTAAGCAGCGTCTGAGTGGAAGCATTTAGAGTCAGTCATTCTGTAAAAGATTGGACATTCCAGTCTATGTGATGAATCGACCTATCGTTATTTGTCAACAAAATTATGCCAGGTCTCTTACCTTGGGGTATGTAAAGATATCTCTCCGCATAGGTGCAATCTTACTTCTGGCGACAAAAATACACACATGCATGCTTTAGCAGGTCAAGTGATATAAGGCTGCGTGAGATTAGCCTTAATTATTCTGTCTAGCGCCTGGACCAACCAGAGGCCGCCGTTGGGAAGGGCCATTGCCTCTAAAACAAGGCCTACCAAGATAGCTGCAGATGGGCATTGGAGCCTCCGGAATAGGGGACAGTTTGTAACTGATAACTTCCGCATACCTTAACACTTCAACGAAACCCCCTTTGCGACGGCTCTTGCGGCGCACACGTGAGAAACTTGATCGACTCATTCGCCCGGCGTTTATTGCGATTCTTTTTTTCATAGTTTGATTTTTCTTTCTGTTTCGGCGTCCCGGGAGAGGCAAACACGCTCCCCTCGACTATTTCAAATCCACCCGCCTGGAACGAGGCAAACCGCGAAGTGTCCGTCTACCTCGTCGCGAAGCAACTCGGTGCACCGTTAGGGGACTCCAGGCTATATATTCTTTCAAGATGGGTGCAGGCATGTCATGGCTGTCCAACTTGGTGTGGGCGAAGAAGGAGATCAGAATTCTAATTCTGGGCTTGGTATGACGTCGTGTGCTGCCTTGGGGCCTCGGTGATGGATTGCTAATGCGTCGGCTCTCAACAGGATAACGCGGGCAAAACAACCCTTTTATACAGACTGAAGGTAATGATATCATGGCTGTTTTCATGATTGTTTTTGTTTTTCTAACAATATGCTGACTTTGGGGATCAGATCGGAGAAGTTGTCACGACGATACCAACGATCGGATTCAATGTCGAATCAGTCACGTACAAGAACCTCAATTTTAACGTCTGGGTATGGATGGCACCAACACAAACACACAAGAGAGAATCATAGAATGACTTCTTTCGCTAACAAACAATATTTCTCGTCTGCAGGATCTGGGCGGACAGACTAGCATTAGACCCTACTGGCGGTGTTACTACGCCAACACCGCGGCCGTCATCTTCGTCGTCGACTCTACCGATATCGATCGATTACAAACCGCGGCCGAGGAGCTTTCGGCTATGCTAAACGAGGAAGAGCTCAAGGATGCGGCCCTGCTGGTATTCGCCAACAAGCAAGATCAGCCCGGCGCCAAGGGGGCGGGCGAGATCTCAGAGGCGCTGCAGTTGGGCGAGCTGCGGGACCGAAACTGGAGCATCATGGCTTGCTCGGCAGTCGACGGCAGTGGTGTGAACGAGGGCATGGATTGGCTAGTGGTAAGCTTCTTTTTTTTTTTTTTTCATGTTCCTGAAGATCGATGCATCTCGGGTGTTAGAATACCGAAAGAGGCTAACGTTTGAACGCTCCAACTGTAGCAAACCGTCAACTCGGACAACTAAACCAAACCATTATTCTTTTCCCCTATCAAGGAGACTTAATAACAGCCATCTCCTTTTGTGTTTTCGAAAACCACAATCTTGTACAACAAACGATATGACGAAGGCAACACGACGGTCGGATTCCGTTGTATGTGGGCATGCAAACCATACACCTGGCGATCAGAGGAGGAGGACATGCAGCGAACGGCGCATTTAGTTATCCATCTAACAGGCGGAGGATGGGCATTTTAAGAGAGGATAAATTATATGGACGGGATAATGTCAACAATACTATCATTTAATTTAGACTTGGGATACCAGTATCAGTATCCCAATTTGATTCTCAATATTGGTCTCGGTCTTTGAAACACCGAGTTTTTGCATCAAACCCCTGGTGCCTCGTATCTAAACAAGAGCTGCCACGCGGCACGCCGCAGTAGATCTAATTAGAGACCCGCAACGCGCGGACTCGCTGTATCAAAATGTGTTGAAAGTAGATACATCTGAGCTGGGGCATCCAGAACTACCTGAAAATCAAGACGGCTCAACAGAACCGTCTGATTGCCCCTCACTGCTTGTTATATGTTACATAACAAGCCCGCATGGTATTATCAATAACATAACTCTCTCGGATTACGACGGCCGAATCCTCAGAACATCCGATGGGCATTTGGATTCGACAAAAGAGGGTGTGAAGGCAATGCTACTATTGTACACAGAAAGTGGGTTTCTAGGCCTCCAGTTTGCAATGTCCTGAATGGGATCATCCAGATGTGTTCGGGCTTCGGGATATACATGAGGGGGTGGAGCAGATTTTACGAGGTCTGCACTTTACTGAGTGAGCATGGCGTTGGAGGATGAGATTTTGGCGTTACCTTGGCTATTGTGCTGTAGCCTAATTTGACGGGCAGAAGAACTGAAAGGGATTTCGCTGTCATTCGCTTATAGAAGGGGCATTATTAGCTACTATTAGGATTGATACAGTAGAGCCAACAAGGAGAGCGTTGTATGATATCAGCCTGAGTTGGTTATGGTCTTTTATAATAATATCTGAACCAAGGCTATATATAACCTCGACTGAACATGCCATCTTTCCCAGGCATTGGAAAATAGGTACCGCTGAAGTGTGTTGCAGTTTACAACCCCACCACTACCGACTCAAAGGAAGAGACAGAATACTCAAATGATGGGCACACATTTCTCAACTTTACACTCCACGCACAATAACGCTAGTGTCCTATCCAGAACTGCAGTTATAGCATGGGCTATTGCTGCTACCGCTACTACCTCTGCTGCTATTGTTTTCATAGTTGTCGGTACTTGTATCATGATTAGATATTCTTACATGTGGACCATTTACATGTACTCTACTAAGCTATAGATGGGGTGTTGGATAACCAGAACTCTGGTAATAGATTGTAGAAAAATAGAGTTCATGTTTTCAACCTGTGTGTGCATTTTCATTCATGCGCTAAAAATCGCAAGCGAGCAGGTGACCACGCGTTAAGAGGCCTCGGACACCGAGACGCGAGGCGCGCCGGCATCTCTCCGTCCAGGCTGGGCAGAAGCAGCCCGCTCCTAGCGTGAACCACTCGACTCGATAATGCCAGTGGGAGGGAGAACCGCAAGGGTTCCAGGCGGCACTTGCGGCACTTGCGGACGACAGCAAGGGTAGGGCCCCGCCCTGGACATGAGGGAAGGTTGGCTGAGATGGTGAGCTTGTTCCACGGCTAACCAAGTGCTTGTCGCTGGTAGCTACCAGAGATGGAATAGCTGGGTCTGGCTGAGATGAGTTGGGGGAAGGGCAAGAGATGAGCGTTGAGATGTGGCGTGACATGAGCCATCAGGTGTGTTGCTGTAAGCCACTGACATGGGAGGGCTTGTTTCAACTGCCGTAAACAGTCGTTGCACTGGAGCTTCAACTTCAACTTGGAAGACGGGGAGATGTATACCAGCTATTTCACGCCCATGGACTGCGACTCGGCAGAAAGACAAGAAACGCAAGCAATGCAATTTCGTGTTTGATACTGCTCGACCACTTCTTACGGCCGAGAGGACAAACAAGGCTAGTAGCAGCGAGCCTACGGCAAAAAGGACCACTGGAGGTCCAGGCGGGTTACGTACAGCGGTCTTGCAAGGAACACGCGCCCCGCCCCGGACAAGTGAACCGAGCCGGCTTTCTTTTCACGGCCTCGTAATTGGCTCTCGTCCAGCCCCCCACATCGGGCTGGGGCCAGCGGGGGGACAGGCCAGTGGGTGGACGCTGACGTAGAGCATTTTGGGCGAGCAGCGGAATTGGCAACAGAGGCAGGCACTATGGCGATATAGTCAGGCACGGCAAGCTTTCGGGTCAATGGCTGGGGCAGAGCGAGCTTTGGGCGGTATCGATGCGGTATCAATGCGGTAATAACGGGGAAGACACAGCTGAGCACAGTGGATATGATATGCCAGGAGGATCAGTGTGATACCAAGGCAGTGATGCGGTACAAGCACAAGCAGCATACGCGAGCACAGAGCTAATGTATAAGCACTGGGACTGAGGGGAAGCCCAGCCCAGGCCATGCAACAGACATGCCGCCAGCCTGCACCCATTGAGGCACGGCTTCTTCCACTGCTTCTTCTCTTCTGGCCTCGTCTGACTTGTACATTGGGCTCTCACCCCACCATTCCGCTGTGCTCCTCGCGTATAAAGAGGGCGGCTGGTCCTGCCCCTCCTTGGAGCTGCTTGCCTCGCTGCCTCCAGCTCTCGACTCTTCTTCTTCTCCCATACACATCTCAATTCATCCCGGGTACCTTGTGCATCTCCAAGGTATCTCTGTCTGATATCTGCCTGCTCGGCCACCTACCTATACATCTACTTTGCCGGGAGCTTGTTCAGCGAACAAGACGCCGTCCGCCAAAATGACTGCCGAAGACACGCCAGCCTCCACTTTTAGGTACAATGAGAAGCCTGTCTACACCACTTCCAGTGGTGCTCCCATTGATAACCCTTCGGGCTGGCAGCGCCCAGGCACCATTGGACCTCTGCTGCTCCAGGACTTCCACCTGATTGACTCTCTCGCCCACTTTGATCGTATGTTTACCCCCTCTTGTTCCTGTATCCAGAAGCCCTTCAGAGCTCGACCCCATTCCTACCTCCCAACTCTAGAATAGCTTGCTAACACTTCGTGTCCGTCTAGGCGAGCGTATCCCCGAGCGTGTCGTCCATGCCAAGGGCGCTGGTGCATATGGCGTCTTTGAAGTCACTCACGACGTCTCCGACCTCACTTCCATCAACATGTTTGATACTGTTGGCAAGAAAACCAACTGTATCGCACGTTTCTCAACTGTTGGTGGAGAAAAGGGCTCTGCCGATACCGCCCGTGATCCCCGCGGCTTCGCCATCAAATTCTACACAGACGAAGGCAACTGGGACTGGGTCTACAACAACACTCCCGTCTTCTTCATCCGTGATCCTACCAACTTCCCCCTCTTCATCCACACCCAGAAGCGCAACCCCCAAACAAACCTCAAAGATGCCACCATGTTCTGGGACTACCTCTCTACCCATCAAGAGTCCATCCACCAGGTCATGACCCTCTTCTCTGATCGAGGAACTCCTTACTCGTACAGACACATGAACGGATACTCAGGCCACACTCACAAGTGGACAAAGCCTGACGGATCATTCGTCTATACCCAGGTCCACCTCAAGACCGACCAAGGCATCAAGACATTTACTGGAGAAGAAGCCCACAAGATGTCTGCTGATAACCCGGACTGGAACACTCAAGATCTCTTTGAGGCCATCCAGAAGGGAGAGTACCCTAGCTGGACCGTCTACGTTCAAGTGCTTACACCTGAGGAGGCCGAGAAGTTCCGCTGGAACATCTTTGACTTGACCAAGGTCTGGCCACAGAAGGACGTGCCCCTCAGGCAATTTGGCAAATTCACTCTCAACAAGAACCCTGAGAACTACTTTGCCGAGATTGAGCAGGTTGCCTTTTCTCCTTCTCACTTGGTACCTGGTGTTGAGCCCTCCATCGACCCTGTCCTCCAGTCCCGACTCTTTTCTTACCCCGATACCCATCGTCACCGTCTTGGAACCAACTATCAGCAAATCCCTGTCAATGCTCCGCTCAAGGCATTCAACCCCTTCCAGCGTGATGGCGCTATGGCTATCAATGGCAACTACGGTGCCAACCCCAACTATCCCAGCTCTTATAGACAGCTGACGTACAAGTCTGTTAAGCCCACCGTGACACACGAGAAGTGGTCTGGCGCCGCTGTCCACGAGCTTTTCCAGGAAGTAAATGACGACGACTTCGTCCAAGCAAAGGGTCTCTGGGATGTGCTCGGCCGCACCCCTGGCCAGCAAGAGAACTTTGTCACAAACGTCTCTGGCCATCTGGCGGCAGCTCACCAAGATACCCGTACCAGAACATATGAGATGTTCTCGCGGGTGGATAAAGCCTTGGGAGCCTCCATCCAGGAAAAGACAGAGAAACAGGTCAAATAAGCGAAATCTGTTTGTCAATGTAGGACTCAAGGATACATTCGTAAAGATGAGATTTGAGCAACGAATGACAAAAAAAACAATGAGATAAATAGATATGAGTAATGAGAAACTTGTTATGAGAATTTGAAATCACGTATATTAATAAGATACAAAAAGCGAGGGATGTCACGAAAACGGCATGTTCATCAAAGTGAAAGAGAAAGCATTTCAAGTATGAGTCTGTGAACGCAGTATTCACATGTCTGTCCAATACGCTGCTTCTATCCCCAAGGTTCATTCATGAAGCATTGAGTATTTCGATAAGTAGTAAACAGTTTTCATACAATTGACGATGATGCACGAGTTATTCACAGATATTCGAGAGAATGGCACGGTCCAAAAAAAATTGTTTTAATGTTTCAATTAGCTAAAGAAAGAGAACGAACAGGGACCCTTTTCCAGCAGTGCGCTTCATACTTGCGTGCAAAGCATCCCCACCGCCAGGGTGAAGAGCCGATTTTTTTCCCGTCTGTTATATCTTTTTTTTTTCGGCGGTTTTCCCTCTCTTTTCATAACATTTTCTCTCGCACACTTTGAGTTTTTGTTTTTGTTTTATATCCAGCATCTCTTGAAATGCATATACCAAGCGCCCTCCCGTTCCCAGCGGGAGAGCCCTGGAGCGAAGTAGGTCATGCCGAACAAAGCACAGCCTTGTTTGGCAGCCTCTGGCCTCGCTCACTTGGCATCGCGCCACAGCCGCTACCAGTGTGTACCCGGCTAGATCCAGTCTAGCGGGGAGAACAGCTCGAAGCGGAAGTGGTGGTGTAGAGAGATGAGCTACAAAATCATTTCGCCTCAGTCTCGCCAGGCAGTCTTAAGGGTGCACAGCTCCTCGACCCGCGGTAGCCTCTTTGACTTCAGCTTAGCCATGATAGCGGCCTTGCTGACATGTCCGATTTAGCAAGGCTCCGCGGCGTGCCGTAGTAGAGTGCCCCCTCTGGATGCTTGAGATGCCTGGCTGAAAAGAAAAGAGGGTGAAACAATGTAAAGGAAGCAGGGACTACTCGCACTACCCATCGCTGCTCAGCAGAAGTGGAAAGTGAGGTTCACCCCTGTATCATCTTTCCATTTATCAACAACCCGCACGGGCTTGCCGCCGGGCGTGTACACCCCTGTCGACAACCAGTGTCTGTGTGGGCTAAGAATATGCCGGATATCCCAGCACCATGATCACAATTGCGTAGTGGTTTGGTTTTGCTGGCATGACGTCGTGTTCCATGAAGACAATACTGGTCTGAAAGCCAGTTCAGATCCAGCTTGTCAAATGTTGGAAACAAAAAGCTGAGTTGAATAAATTGGTTGCGTCGTAAGAGTCCTTGATAGGCGTTCTAAACATTCGAAAGGTCGTATCGCATACCCAAGAAATCTATTCATAACTCATTCGTGTCGTCGTCAAATATTCGTAAAGCATCATTAACGCAAGACAGGATTAAGGAAAGACTCCATGCAGTAACCTGAAGTATCATAGTCGGGCACCACATTGAGGGGATATCTTCCAGAGAAAAGAGAAAGTCTGCTTCTGAATGTCTCTCAAGAGAGACAAAAAAGAATAGACGAGAAGCGAAAGTGTAGGATATTCAAATCCAATGGAGGTTTCGGGCCGAGCCGATTGTTGTGCATTGCTGCAGTTTGCCTCTTATCTTTAACCCAATGGTACCAGAAAAACAAGAATAAGGAAAAGAAGAGAAAAGAATGTCGCAAGCCGTTGGTGACTGTCGAAGGAAAGAGTCCCCGTCCGTTGAAGAAAAAAGTAAGCATCCAGATTGCCAGCCTCGGATCCAGCCATGTTGGTGGTATAATGTAAACAAAATAACAAGTTAACCCAAAAAGAAATGCCGAGCTAGCGGCTCTGATGCGACAGTTGATGATGGTATTTCCTGGATCTTGAACGAGGAACTAGATTCGAAACCAAGTGCACGCTTGCTGTGTCGCCGATAGCAAAACGGAAAGGGGGGTAAGGAAAAAGAACCAAGAAAGAAAAGGTGAAAAAGAAAAAGAAGAAAAAGAAAAAGAGGAAATGATTAGGGGTATTTCCTAGCAAGAATAATTGGATGAGGTATTCGAACTCCGTTCCTGATGCAACAAAACGCCTATATGCCCTGACAAAGTGTCTATGCCGCTGAGAAGATAAAAAAAAAAACTCGTTTGCTTTTTTCCCCTGGAGAAAAAAAAGGGGTAGTGATCCGAGACCACAAGCTGGTGACCGGGACAGCATTAAGAAGAAGCCAGCATAGCAGATCTCTACTTTCACATTGTCGCGGCGTACTCTTGGTAGCGATCCCAGCCAAAGCCGCCCATGCCCATGCCGACGCTGACACCGCATTGTGACGGCGCATAGACACTCGGGAGAGGAAGAGCAGGAATGGGCGTCATGATTGGCGGGCTGAAGAAAAGCTCGGCAGTGGAGTGCGGGTAGCTAAACGAAGGCGTGGGAGACGGCAGCTGGACATCGCTCATGCCCATGTTGGCCCAGATGGGAGTGTTGACCGAGTCGACAGATGAAGTAACGCTGGGGCTTGAGGGCAACACTTGCCAAGGCTCAACGGCGGCAGGGATGATGTGAGGAGGGCCAGCTTGTGTCCACATGTTGGCGAGAGGAGAGCTGGGCAGCAGAGGCGGCTGTCGAATGACTTCGACAACACGAGGAGGAGGAGGCAGAAGCGGCTTCATCAGTTTCATGAGGCTCATCTTGACTTCCTCGCTCTTTCCGTTGAGCAGCTCGCCAGCACCCTCCTCCTCAAGACCTTCCAGGGCAGAGACATGTGTGCGGAAAACATACTTGTTGACAGCCTGCACAAAGTCGTCATGCAGCTTCTTGCACTGCTGCTCCTTCTCAGACCACTCGTAGGTATTCGCCTTGGCATCAACGCAGTAAATGTCCTTGTGGTACTCGACGAGGGCGTCAATGGTTTCGACGGTGAGCTTGTAGGCAACCTCGTTGCGCAGGACCATGTCGACGTGAACGATGTAGGCCTCGATGTGGATGAGCTGATGGCTGAAGAGATTCTCTGTGGGGTCCTCTGGCATCTCGGCTTGGGGCAGCTTGGGGAACATTAATGAGGCCAGGGTCCAGATGGCATTTGGCGATGACAGAGTCTCGGTAAGGCATCGATGGTGCTGAGGAATGCTGTTGAGAGGACGCTTGACCCGGTTGACGCGCTTGAGTGTCTGAGTAAGCCATGGCTCAACCCTTGAGCCCAGGACGACGTTGACGGATGAAGCCCTGGGGGCAAAGGCAGCGGCTGAGGCCGGCAGAAGTTGGACCGGCATATTGGCGTATGAGGACGGTATTAATGAGTTGGCGTCTGACAAACAAGATGTCACGCGGCTGTTGTAGGCTGTACAGTTGAAAGAAGCACAAGGGCGTCGTCGATATTTGAGGAGGATCTTGTTTCTTTTCTTATCTCACAGAGAAGCGGCGATAGAAGGTGGTGGCGAAGGGTAGGGACAACGGAGGGACAACGGAGGGAGGACGAATGACACACAAACAAGAGGCAGAGCAAAAGATGAAAAAGAAAAGAAACCCGGAGACGGTGTCGAGCAGGGAGGGGGCGCAACGTAGACAAGCTGACTGAATCACCTGCTGAGCGGCCGAATCCAAGGCAGAGGAGAAGAGAATGGCGGACGAGGGAATCGTGAAGGAGGAGGGAGAGGCAGCAGCAGAAGAGGTGGGTGTGAGCGGGGAGATATAAGGTCGGTGGTCAAGCGCTGGGGGGGCGCTGAGGGTTAGCGGCGGTAGGCGGGTGCAGTCAGTGCAGTCAGTGGCCCGTTGGTGCTGTGGGCGCCGCTGGAATAAATACCACCCACAAGACGGCTAACGTCGAACCTGGTAGTGCTTGGGGCTAGCACGTAGCTGCAGCAGAGCCAGGCATGACTGCCTGCTGCATCTGCATCTGCATCTGTACCCGCTCGCTGGCGTTTTTTGTTTTGTTTTTTTTTTTTTTTTCCAATATCGGGCGCTTTCCCACACACTCGCTCGCACACCCCTCCCCTGAGGCGTGCGTCTTGGGTCCGGCCAGAGGCGAGAGCGAGGCACCATGGCATGGGCCTGGCCGGCGCAGCGGCGGGCCGGAGGTACTCCCTACTTGGTTGGGGCCGCATGGCAGTATGACGCAGACGAGTAGGGAGTACCCAAGGCCACCCTCCCGTGCACTCCGTGATCGAGGACACTTGTACGATACGCCTCTTTTTTTGCCTTTGGATGTTTCTCGTATGGCGTAGCAGGTCGTTTCATTGGAATCCGCATGCGCCAGACACGCTGCAGCATGTAGTCACACTTTGATGGCCTGTAATCTGTAATCTGCAATCTGTAATCCGTCGTCGGTGATGCCCTCAGCACGGGAACGGGAGCACAGGACCCGAGGTTGGATATACAGTAGACGCCGCTGAGAGGCGTCGGCCGGTGCGTCCCAGGCCGTAACTTAGTAGCCAACAGCGGCCGCCAACTGATGGCTGATGGGTACCTGCCGCAGGGAGAACCTCGTGCTGCTGGGAACGGGGCATGCCGCCCTGTACTACTCGTACGAGTGCTGCAACTGAACCACCATACGAATTATTGCGTAGTGGTGCTACCAAGGGTGATGATTATCCAGCCCTTTCGTCTTTGCAGTCTCTATCTACCACTACCTTGAATGTCTCAGTCAATGTGGGCAGCAGCAGGTGGCATTCCAAAGCGTTGCTAGCAGGTACTTTGCAACACGAGTGAGTGGTAGTGGCACAATGGGTACCAGTGCTACAGTACTGTACAAGCAATAAGCACTCGAGATGGCCGACTTGCCTGGCAACTCTGTCATGGCTGCTCCACTTCTTTCACTGCCTCTCTGCAACTACCGCTGCCATGGCTGCCGCTCTCGGAAATGCTCGCTGTCGTCTGGACTGCCGCGCGCAGTGGGCCAGGTGGAAGGTGGAAGATGGAAGAGCAGAGAACTTGATCCCAGCATGGCCTGGGCTGTGTAGAGCAGACTTCTGTCCCCAAGACCAGACCTCTCCCATCCAAAGGGGGGTGCGCATGAATTGGGGGTGCGCAGAGGACGCATGGCTCCCAAAACGGGTAGTCCTGCAGGCGCCGGTGGAGCTGAGAAAGACCTGCAGCCCGCGCCACACACCGTCTTCCAGCAAGTACCGGGACTTTCGACTGCTACTTGTCGTACCGTGGGCTGAGGTGCCACCAAGAGAAAAACAAGGTCCGGTCCTTGGGCTGCCTTTAGCCTTTGCGGCGTCCATCGTGTCATACGGCCTCTTCGTTTTGGAATATTGCTGCATCTTTTGTCTTTTTGCTTCTGCGCAAGTGACACCGCCCGGTGAGACACCAACCTGTTCCGTCCTGAGGGGAATATGCACATCGACATCATTGGGGGGGCAGCATGATGCCAGAGATCACATCACGAGATCAAGCCATCGTCGAGGCAGGACCCGGTATCAGTAGGCGCTTGGCGCTGAGCGAAATATCTGCCCATAATGCACGATGCTCCGTGCGCGGTACGCACTTCTGCTGGGTAGCAGACATGGTGCTGGTGGGTAGCAGCAGGAGTGGTTGCGGCGACATATGCCATGCTATGCCATGCCATGCCTACCCCGTATATAGTAGTATATGTAGTATATGTGCGGATGGTGCGTGGTGGATGGCCGCAACGATCAAGAGTGGGTGGCCGTGGCATCAGGCTTGAAACATGCGTGTCCTTTAGCATTTTCCCGTTAAAAAAGATCAAGTGCCGTACTCCGTCGTGAATGATCGGCCGTCTGCCGCCGCTTTAGTTGACAGTCGTTGCGCTCCCACTACATCCCCATATCCTCGTATAGAGAGCTTCATCAGGTCGTTTATGCTACATTGCCCCATAAGCACTCTGTTTCGTGCCTCAAGCTGTCAACCGTGGCTTGCCCCATCTGCGTCCCCCTCTCGTGAACCGACAGCTAGCTGTATTCAAGCTCGATACAGCTGCCGTCATCTCTCTCGCTTCGCTTCTCATTGCTCGTACTTAGAGTTCATATCTGTTGAAGAGCATTTGCGCTATTTGATCCACATCCTAAGAAATAGAGGAAGAAAATCCAAACTGTAGTCTTTTTTAACAGAGCAGCATGGACGCAAGAAATGCACGATAGGGCCACTATCGACGCTTTTCAAGCGAGAGGGCTGCGCCGCTTATGCAGCATGTAGCGACCCCCGTGCGCGCCTCCGCTCACAGGATTTGCCTGTAGACTTGACGAACAATAAACAAGCAGAAGGAGAGAAAAAAAAGAAGTAGAGCAAATCTGTACTGGCACCCGCCGCCAGCTCGGCGACCAAAAGCGCCCCCAGAGTCATCTTACTCAACTCCTAGCTCAACTGGGACAGTGGTCAGCATAGGCAACTAGCAACGAGCTGAAACCAAACAAGGAAATTGATGTCGAATGAGAGAAATTACTCTCAACCATCTCATCTCGTCGTCTGGTCAATGAAATGCAGAGTAGGCCCTTGTTTATGTTGGATTTGCTGTAATGACTTGCATGCCAACGCCGCGCCATGCGCCGACGCACCTTGCCTAGTACACACTTGGGTGTAAGTGAGGAGACACCCTCCAACAGTAAAAATTGTTCAAGTGCCATGACTCTTTTCTCTTTTTTTTTCCCTTTGTCCTCCACTTTCACAGTGCAAGCTTGAGTTGTGCGGACTTGGCGGGTGGAATGTGCTGCCGCCCGAGCCATACCGGTTGTAGTCTCCTCGCTTGCGTGGTTCTAGATATGTACTGTGGACCATGGGAAGAGAGGATAAGGGTCAGAAGAAGAACTGTAGGCGCCGTGGCATGTGTATTGGCCGCGTCCCCGCACTCAAAGGCGTGCTCTTGAGGATCGGCCATGGCCTTTCCCTTGTCGACGACCGATTTGATAGCAGTCAAGTCCCGTGAATCATCTCAAGAGCTCCGCATCGTCCGAGACCTGCGCCCTTGGCCAGCCCCGACTCCTTTTGGCGAGCTGCCAGGAGAGCAATAGTACCTTTTGATGAGGATGGATACCGTCTAGGGAGAAGCCGTCGCCCGTCTCCGTTAGGGCCGGGTGATTCCCCTGGCTGGGAAGGCATCCTGTGGTATTGAAACGGTCCTAAACGATGCAGACATGTAAGTCCTGGTCAATGGTTGGGCAATGGCTCGAGACAGTCCTAGGGGTCCCCGGAGCGTCCCGAGACGGCGGGTCACTTCTAGGAGTCGTGAATCTCAAAAGACCCTCCAAAAAGGGGACTCGTTGCAGACGAAAGAGATGATTTGTGTGCGAATCCTCACAGACCAAGGAGCATCGCCTACATCTGGACGGTGTTAGTGGCAGTCGGCGAGCTGAGGTGTGTCGGTTGAAAAGAGCCTCTAGAGCCTCTGATTGGCCAGCGACCTTGGTTGCCAGGGTGGAGAAGCCAAAAGCGGCCGGTCAGGTCGATGCTGATTGGTTCCTTGAGCGATTGCATTTGGCCAATCACGGCCGATGGCCAGATTTTCTCAGAAACTGTGCGAGCGCGGTCTCGAAGGCGAGAATGGGCTAGGAGACCAAAGGCTTGTGTAGGTCAAGCCAGCTAGCGAGCCCTCTTTTTCGTGTTTCGTCTCTCTCTCACGTCCTGGGCTGTGGAGATTGATAAGTGACAAAGCTTCTCGCAAAGGGCAGCGACCCATCCGACGCACCTCACGGCACTTGGGCATTCCCTGATCTGCCATCTGCGTTTGCTGCGAAATCCCGGATATCCGTCTGCCAGAAACAAGAGACGAGGGCTCCTGCTCCAGCACCTTGGGGACCCTGCAGCGTCTGATGCTGCTCACTGGCCACTGGTTCGACCATCGAGAATGGGACCATCGAATCCGGCCGTTGTGCGACGCGGGGGGGTCGATGGAGGTGGCCCCTTGAGGTCCGCCCGCAAGACAAGACTGCCAATGAGCGCCGCTGTGATGCCCTGACGGATTTCCTCGCTTTTGCCGTCGGAGTTGCTTCGTCAATGGCCGGCCAGGCTCACCACGTCTCGCGCGCCCGCCACCGTCTCACGGGCCATGCTCGGGCTCGTCGTCCTGAAGCTGTGCAACGAAACGAATCTGACCAGACACAGATGGGCATGACAGGCGTGGCTGGAATACGAAAGTTGCCGTGCAAGCCACAAGCCACACACGAGCTCCGGGAAGGCACAAGTACCGGTACATGGGCCCCGGCCAATTGGGCTGACGGAGCCAAATCGGCAGCCATCGGCCCATAAAAGGTCTTTCAAACGGGCACACAATGAACAAGTGCGAATTGCTTCAGCGCCTCCCCCAGCGCCCATCTGGGTGTGCTCGTATAAGGCCAAGATCTGAGCCAAAGGGCAAATCCTCGCCAGGCCAGGCAAGCACGATCATTATGCCGTAACACTGCAGAAGCAGCTTCAGTGGGAGCTGCAGCTGCTCCGTACTCGTACCTGCCACTAGTGGCCAGTAAAAGGGCATTACCAAAAATAGCCTGGAATTCCATGTGGATGCTGGTTGCCAACTAAAATGCTCCGGCCGGCGTGTCTTGAAAAGTACCAAGTACCGATGTATCTTTTCTTCAAGGTTCTTACAGCCCTGCTTCGTGGCCACGCTCACCCTGGAGGAAACATTGAATATGACCGCGAAGATGGACAAGGCGATGGACAATATTTTTCGTCTTCTTCTCGCCGCTGTGCGACACCCACGGAACACGTCATTTGAGGCAACCAATGTTGACCATTAGGCACGCGTCGCTACAAGCAGTTTCATCAGGGCCGGCTGCAGGGCCGCAACATGGCCGCAGGTGACGACGCTCACCTCTATCCACCGCGGTCTCGCCAGCCAGTCAACGGCGATTATCTAAGTGAGGCGAGGCTGCAGAGTCACAGCTTTTGGGGAGCATGCAGTGGACGCCCCTCCAAATACAGGGCAACGCATCTACATGTACATGCACACATCGGATGATGGAAGCACGCTACATGTACCTTCGCTCAACGCATCGACACAACAGGGCATTCATCAGCATCACTGCTTTGAATCTCTAGTGGACCCTTTACGCCTCGACAATAGCAACATCGACAAGTTGGGTAGTATCACTAGTACCTGTAAGGCGACAACATACCTACTTGAGACAGCAAAGCGCTACGTAGCAAGGCTGATGACTGCCACCGCATCTGGTCACCCATATGGCCTCGCTAGCCATCGCCAACGTGGTCACTGTCAAAGGCAAACCATGAGCCTTGCCTCGGCCAACACATTTTCTCCCTGTCTCTGTCATCCATCTCGCTGCCAAGGTCACAGGCTGCCTCTGGACGGGGCATCGCCAGTGGCAAATGCAGACTCCCTACCGATGCAGGGGACATGAGCCCAATGCTTGAGACAGTAGGTGCAAGTTGGCTACGCTACCATCACAGCGTGCGTCTCAACAAACTTCTGAGGCCATACGGATAACAATGAGCTCACGCCTCATGCAGGGCGTCCTGGCTCGAATAGCCGAGTCCCAGATCACCGGGGAAATCTGACCCTGGAAATTCTCCTTCCCCGAAGTGGCTCTTGCGGGCCCCACGCAGACGAGGGTCTTGACCGATCTGCCAGAGCCACCAACTGCAATGCTCCGTCCCCGGCATGAGAAAATAGTCGCCCAATCGCCCTACGAAGCATCCATATTGGCTCCTGAGAAGATGTGGCCAGGAAGAGCTCTGCATGCCAGGATGCCGCAGTCGAAGCAATGCAATGCTTTTGCATATAGAAGGATTCCCTCTGCATTAGCCGGTTTGGCGACACAAGGCGCGTACCCCGTGCTGCAGGCCCATTCTCCAGCACAGCTCTACGACGTACCTGTTGTATCATCGTGTGCGTCTTGCGACCACCCAACTACGCAGCGACAAGACGGAGACAGTTTGCCAAGTACGTATAGTGAGTGGCATCTCGAAAACGACCCGACACCCCCTGTGGATGGCAATCATGCAACAACCCATGGACAGCTGAAAGAGCTGCAGATACCGTCATGGGCTACTACTGCACGACCTCATCCATGGCTCCCTTGACGTCTTCCTGCATCTCCGCCCATGGTTTTTCGTTAGCCGGACGTCGATGTCCTGCCCCTCGGTATGCCCGCCAATCGTTAACGTGGCGCGGCAGACTCGTTGCACCCAGGGCCGTGGCTGTGTCTGCCTTGCGAAGTGTGGCTAACCCCACAAAGATCTGCCAGCTGTGTTGGCTGATTGTCCCAGCACGATTCCCGCACGGGAGGCA